CGTTTGTATCAGCTCAAATTTTTCCTGTTTCTGCATTTAGATTGCTGACCAGTCAACAAGTGGACGTTTATGTACTGGCATTACATATTACGTTAATAGTTTGCACTTTTTCTTATGAGTTGAGGTCGTTTAGGCCAATATCTGATGCGAGGTTCTTCAAATGTTGACTTTTCGCCATTAAAGTTTCTTTCGTTTGTGCCTCGGCTGCTAGTTTTCGTTTTATTTTAAAACTAACTGAATCATTCGTTCACTCGGTATGTGGTCCACAAAAAACGCAGAGGCGAAGCCAAAGCTGTTTGTTGTTAAACACTGATTTGCCCGTGGTGAAAAACAAGCATGTGTTGGATTGTGTTGTAAAGTCGAATGGCAAAGCCAGACAGCTACTTATTCAGGATGGTTGCCTGCGGTGAGAATCGTGGAGTATTGACCTTTTGGCCCTAAAGTTTTTTTTGGTTCATGGCTAAGCTGCTAAGTTCCTGCTTATTCTATTGAATTCTACTGAATCTGAGAAGCTACTGTAGTGGCTTATCATTGGGCGAAGTGATTTGTTAAGTGTTCACTCACCCAGGGGAGCACAAGAAACGCAGAGGCGAAGCCATAAATTTTTGCTCAAATTTATCATGCCCGTGGCAACATAGCTGCCCATGTTAGCCCTATGGCATCCATGGTAACAGGCTTTCCAGTGACCGCTGGGCCTACCGCGACCGCGATGGCGAAAGGTCAAGAGTCTAAGAACACTCCCCGCACTGGGAGGATTCTTGTGCAATTTGAAGCAGAAAAATCGATTGAGTAGAAGCGGAGATCACGCGTTACAATCAGGAGAGGCCGAAGGTCTGCAAGAGATGTTTAGTATTCATATAACAAGATGAGCACGGATGAATATTGGCTTACGACTGGGCCAATAAATTAGTTTAAAATTCATACGTTGCAGCGTATTCGAGAAAGCAGTAACAGTTATTTTTTTGTTTGAAAACAGTTGGTTTTTGTATAAGAAAACAGATTTTGTTTAGTTTATCGGATTTAACAAATGACAGGGAATGCTTTGCGGTCAACTTGCGGTTGTATCAGCTGAATTTTTCCTTGTCTTGTCGTTTGGCTTAGTGATTAGTCAACCTGTGGACGCTTGCTGTCATTGTCGGTTTACTCGGTTATTACTTTAGCAAACTGAGTCTATTATCAGTCCAGTCTCTACTAATGTTCGGTTTAGATTGCTGACCTTTGTTAATAGAGTTTGTGTCGTTCTGTGGCTCGGCTGCTGTTTTTCTGTTCATTCTGCTAAACTCGCGAAACTGTAATAGCAACTGTAGCCAACGAAGTGTCGTTCAGTCAGCCCACGGAACGTAGAGGCGCAGCCAAAGCTGTTTCATGTTTGAGCTAATTGAGTAAGTACAGTGTAATGTGACCGTGGTAACAGACTAGCCCATGTTAGCCCTATGGCCTCCATGGTAACAAGCTTTGGAGTGACCACTGCGCTTGAGGTTCTGCATACACCAAACAACCATTAGTCTTAGATCACCCGCCAGACCGAGCGGTTCCCAGAACATTTTAAAGCGAGAAAATTGGATGAGTGGGAGCTGAGATCATTGAGAACAAAGAGGAGAGGCAGAAAACCTGCAAGAGATGTACAGTATTCATATAACCAGTTTACGGGATCTACATCCGTACATGACTTTCGTGCCGCATACTAGTTTCGAACTTTCGCCCTAGCTTAATTCCGGCCGCTCAAGAAAACTGAAAATATAATAAATCTGAGGAAAGCTAAGAAACATAAGAAACTCTAAGAATCCTCATAAGGAACCTAACAAACCTAAGAAGCTTAAGAAACCAAAGAAACCTAAGAAACCTAAGAAATCCCAGAAACCTAAGAAATCCAAGAAACCTAAGAAACCCAAAAAACCTAAGAAACCTAAGAAACCTAAGAAACCTAAGAAATCTAAGAAACCTAACAAACCTAAGAAACCTAAGAAACCTAAGAAATAAAGGAATCCGAAGACATCTAAGAAAGCTTAGTAAACAGAACCTAAGATGATTAGGTATTTTGAAACGTCAGGCTCATAATGTTATTTTGTTGCGCATTTACAATTGTTGCATGAATTGTTAGCGAAGCGAGAACGAAAGGCGCGATTTGTCTTTGTCGCTCTGCGTTAGCTCATGTATGTCTATGGAGGCCCATAGCAACAAGGCGTTTTTTGGGGGCTGTCTTGCCCTCTTGAGGCGCACAATATTCGCAATGTCCCTATGTCACTCGCAACGTTGCGACGATTCCGGCGCACTTTACCGCGTCAAAATCGAACCATCAGTTCGCCCGATCATCGTGGTCGTCTGCTTAGCATGTATAAGAGGTTACGGATGTAGATAACAAGCTGAGCACGGATGAATATTGGCTTACGACTATTTTTAAAATATTACGCTTTCCCGCAAAGTCAGAATGGCAAAGCCGGACAAGTGTTCCGGATGGTTGCCCGCGGCGAGCACCCTGGATAGTTTACCTTTTGCCCCTTCTGTTTTGATTTTGATTCGCCTGCTAGGTCTCTGCTCAGTCTACCGTATTCTGAAATTGCCAAACTATTAAGCTGCTTTTGCCAGTGCAGTGGCCGAAAATATCTGTTCACTCAGTCCGTGAACAGAAGAAACGCAGAGGCGAAGCCGAAGCTTTTCTTGTTGTTTTAATGCAGTATATAATGTGGTAACTGGCCAGCCATGTTAGCCTTATGGCATCCATGGTAACAAGCTTTTTAGTGACCACTGGCATTGATAATTTGATGATAGCAAAACAAGACTGGTCTTGGATCACCCGCCAGACTGAGAGGTTTTCAAAACATTTTAAAGTACGCAAATTGGATGAGTAGAAGCTGAGAATACCGCGGTCTAAAAGAAGAGGCCAAACACCTGCAAAAGATGTTTAGTATTCATATAACAAGCTGAGCACGGATGAATATTGGCTTACGACTGGGTGAAAAAATTAGTTTAAAATTCATTGGCTACAGCGTATTCGAGGAAGCAGCAGCAGTTATTATTTTGTTTGAAAACAGTTGCTTTTTGTATAAGACAACAGATTTTGTTCAGTTTATCAGATTTAACATATGACACGAGAATAATCTGCAGTCTGCGGTCAACTTGCGGTTGTTTCAGACGAACATTTTCCTTTTCTTGTCGTTCAGCTTAGCCCTCAGCCAGCCTGCGGTCCCGCGGACGCTTACTGTCATTATCGGTAATGTTTAAGCAGTTTGCACTTCTTTGGGTTAGGTTGGGTCAGTTCAATATCTACTACTCGTAATGCCCAGTTCGTGGATTGCTGACCTTTGAGTTTGTTTGGTTTGTGGCTTGGCTCCTATTTTTTCGCTTATTTTGCTAAACTGTCCAAATTTTAATAGGCAACTGTAGCCAACGAAATGTCCCAAGTGATTCGTTCAGTCTGCAGCCTATGGAAACACGAGAAACGCAGAGGCGATGCCAAAGCTGTTCTTGGTTCTAATTTAATGCCCTTGACACAGACCAGCCCATGTTAGGCTTATGGCATCCATGGTAACAAGCTTTTGAGTGACCCCTGGGCTTGAGGTTCTAAATTTAGCAAAGAACGATTAGTTTTAGATCACCCGCCAGACCGAGAGGTTCTTAGAACATTTTGAAGCAGGAAAATCGGATGAGTAGAAGTTGAGATTACCGCGGTCTAACAGGAGAGGCCGAAGACCTGCTAGAGATGTTTAGTATTCATATAACAAGATGAGCATGGATGAATATTGGCTTACGACTATTTAAAATTACGTCGTATCTTCATGTGTTGGATTGTGTTGCAAAGTCAGAATGGCAAAGCCAGACAGCTACTTATTCAGAATGGTTGCCTGCAGTGAGAATCGTGGAGTATTGACCTTTTGCCCCTAAAGTTTTTTGATTCATGGCACAGCTGCTAAGCTTCTGCTTTTTCTACTAAATTCTACTGAATCTGAAAAGCTACGGTAGTGGCTTATCAGTGGGCGAAGTGATTTGTTAAGTGTTCCTCAGCCAGGGGAGCACAAGAAACGCAGAGGCGAAGCCAAAACTTTTTCTTGTTCAAATTTATCATGCCTGTGGCAACAGAGCTGCCCATCTTAGCCCTATGGCATCCATGGTAACAAGCTTTTAAGTGACCACTGGGCCTACCGCGATCGCAAAGGCGAAAGGTCAAGAGCCTAAGAACACTCCCCGCACTGGGAGGATTCTTGTGCAATTTAAAGCAGAAAAATCGATTGAGTAGAAGCGGAGATCACGCGTTACAATCAAGAGAGTCCGAAGATCTGCAAGAGATGTTAGTCCGAAGGTCTGCAAGAGAGAGGTCTGCAAGAGATGATTTAGTATTCATATAACAAGGTTAAGAGTACATGTACTAGCAAGAAAAGAGAGAAAAACTGCAGCTGCGGTTGCTTAGGAGCTGTAATTAAACGCGAGACTTGCTCTATGTGAACTGCATAACGCAGTTTACCTTACCGTTACCTGTTACCTTACCTGTTACCTTGACGATTCTATTTATATATTTGTTGGAGCAATGGCCCTTTAAAGGACTACGTTGTATGTTATGCAACAACAACAACACAACAACAACAACGCAGTTTTAATCTCTTTGTTATCGTACACAAAATTATTTCATTTAATTAGTATACATATATATAGTACTCGTATATAACAAGCTCAGCACGAATCTTTGGCTTATGACTATATTCCAACATTCGGGAGTCGGGACCATTTTGTTGCGGAAAACAACTACATTTCAAAACATTGATAACAACTTTTTAGATTCTGCTTCAGCATTTGTCACAGTAGCTCATCGAATGTACAGTACGTACTAGATGTACAGCAAAAAATAAATTATGTAGCTGAACTCAAATAGTACCCGCTCCGCCATCCGGCCATCCTGTAACAGTGATAAATGGTGTAGTGCAAAGGTGCTGTGACACAGCACCTTTGCACAGTACGGTGCGACAGCTATCGAAAAAACACAGTACTGTACCACACGCCAGGTCAATGCGCATTTAACAGTAAGAAATTAAGAATCAGCCCATGTAGGTCAGCGGCGTCCATGGTAACACAATTTCAAATGACCACTGGACCTGAGGTATGATATGACAGAAAATTTTGATCAGCCTGCAACCACCGCTGCGTTGCGAAGATTCTGACGTTGAGAAGAAGTTAGCCCCGGGCACAGATAGTGTTCATATAACTAATGCCTGCTACCTATTTATCTATCTGTATATATTTGATATATATATTCTATATATATATATATAAACTTTAACAGGTATACCGTATACCTGCTATTTTACTTAGACATTATACAGATACTGTACAGGTTACAAGTGAGCTGCGATGTGCGCGTGCATACGGACCAGCTTGCGAAGCCTGTGGCCAACAAGCATGTTTTTAATGCTGTTGCAGCTGCACTTTTGTGCGGGATGTCCGTCAACACCTCAGCAGCCGAAGGCAAACCGTGATTGTGAGTACCTTTAGCACTTACATTACTGATTACATACGTACTGTAGGCTATGATAAAAGTTCTACCCGGGTAGCTAGAACAAATGGAAGTGCTATGAGGCTACAGACCCAGGGCGTACTGGCAGATTAGCGGCCAGCAAGAATACCGAGCTTCAATATTATTACTATTATTGTACTATGCATACCCGCCATACCGATACATCCCTAGCAGGTAGGTACTAACCTGGCTCACGTGGTAGTGAACGACATGCTGAAAGAGGCCATGCTGGATAACCGCCAAGACGACCGGATCATACTGACGGGACTAGCCCCGAGTCAAGACGTGACAGACAGCGTGGTGTACCGGCCGCGTTTGGGGGAGCACGCAGAGTTCAACTGCAGCGTGCCAGTTGGCAGTAATTTGCGTGATGTGTCCTGGCTGCACCAAGGGCGGACCGTCTTCGAAGCTGGACGGCCGATTCCGGCGCCGATGGGGGACACCACGGGACAGAGCTACAATTTTAGCCACGTCAATTATACCCTCATTTTCGTGGTCCTCAATGTCAGTATGCGCTCCGGGGGTTCCGTGCATTGTGTTGACGCCCCGCGGGGCCCCGCCTACACGCCCCGCTCCCGCGTCCTGCAGCGTTTCATGCTGTTGCCGCTGATCACGCGCAGCACAGAAGTTTTCGCAGCGCCCGATGTTCCTTATCGGATCTTGACCGCCATCGAGGGAGAGCGCGTCACGGTGCCCTGTTCTATCCGCCTGCCCCTTCCGGACAGCATCTTTACTGATATATTCAACCACTTGATCTGGCGCCATAAGGACCGCATCGTCCATGGCCCCTGGGAGGCACCGTACGGGCCCTTGATTCCCGCCATGGCCCGCACTTATTACGCACCGCGTGATGCTGAATTCAACCGCCCATGCTCAACCAATAGCCCTGGCCAGCTGTCTCGCGTTACACCCTACTTTCAGCCGGTCACGTTGGCCGATGGGGGACTTCTGGAGTGCTTGTTCCGGCCGCACCGGGGCATACATGAATGGATAGTTCAGACGACGGAGCTATTGGTTTATCCTAAGAATGCCACGCAGTAACGCCATTATGGGCGATACCGGACGGTAGTTTCCGTTATGATGCTAGTGTGCTGCACTGTGTGGATGTTTGTCAGTATATACGAGTATATTGTACTATATAGTGTTTTTGTGGGTGCGGCGCTGTCATAAATGGTGCTGCAGAAGCCGGGAATGCACGTAGACTTGGCCAACCGAAGATGGTCTCATGTGTCGCTTAGTCGCGTGGCACTCGTTCTTGTTGACGATGACCTGCAAGGGACACGGACGGGACTTCTGGGATGAATATGTCCGGACGAGATTAGGACTTTTCTGTGTGTGGGCCACTGTGGGGAACGAGCAGCGAAAGATTGGTGTCGGTCGGGAGAGCCCCGGAGAAGGGGCGATCACGCTATTGCGCTTACACTGCTACGTCGGTAAATTAGTGCATATTACGTACTGATCTATCTACGCAGTTGGCGAAAGCCGTGATCGAGTAGCGATCAGTAGCACTTAAACTAATCCATGTATTTTTTAACTGTTCAATTTTTATCCAGATTTTATTACGTTGCCTGCATAAAAGCGTTACAACAACACGAAAACACGAAGCAGCAGCTGAGAACTTAAAAACATAACACGGATAAAGAACACTACACTATTCAAATTTAGCAACATAATTTTACAAATCCCTAATACTTATTTAGTGTTTACATTCATCGAGTTATCCAATATAAAAAAAAAACGCAAAACGAATAAGAAAATAAAACCAATAAGAACATACAACTGTAATGACGCTGTGTACAGGAGGAAAATAAAACGAATGTAATGCACAGTGTCGTACTAATAAGCACTTGTCACATTTCTTTTAAACTGGCATCTTTTGAGCAGTTTCAAATTTCACACGTCTTTCTCAGAATCACAATCAATGGTATTCCATAATATGCCAGCGAAGATCATACGGCGTCCTATACAATTCACAATCTCACATACTTCGAGTATAGATATCCTCTTCGTCCTTAGGTGCGTTTTTTATTTCGTATTCCACATCCCCATTGCAACCCGCAGCATTCCGACCATTCACCATTTCCATCTCCTGATCTTCCACCTTAACATTAATATCCTCAGGTATTTCCTGCTTAATTTTGATATCATCCTCATCACTATCCGACTGCGATGTACTGCCATGGGAATTCGATAAATGCGAATGCTGCTCCTCCGCTTTCAAAACCGGGCTGTTCTGCGATTCAGTGCTAGCAGCATCAGGCGATTTTCGAGTGCCTGATATTGTACAAGAGAGTAGTAAGAATGGAGTAGTCAATCTGGGACTTTCACCTTCGTTTGAGCTACCTATTCAGGCTGCAAGACCTGCAATTATGCGTCCAGAAATCGGCTCCGCGGTTACGCTATCATGTATCATGTATCCAGAGCGCAGTGAAAGAAATAATACCGGCAAATATCCAATACGGCATCATTCTGTCTTGGGAAATCTTATGCTCATTTAAATGCGGCTCAATAAATAAAATTAGCGGAGCTAATTCCGGTTAAGACAGCGGAGAAGGATGAAAGGCGGATTGGAGAGATGGGGTTGGGTGCTGTTGGGGCGCTTGGGCAGTGGTCAGTTGTAGCACTGTATGTTATGGATAGTATCATGGAAAGTTTGTGTATGTAGTTGTGCGATTGATGTAGCTGAGTGCCGTGTCTGAAAGTTAGTTCTGTGGCTGCTCGAATTGTGTTTGGGAATTTCTTCCCACCCTCCCTCCCTTTTCCTTATGAAAGGGGGGTTGTTTTGGAAGTGTGTACTTAATGGATGCGCTGCGTCGGTTACATATGTCATCAATACAACGCGCTAACCACCAAACTACCATTAAAGTCATTGCTGAGGTGTTCGCGGAGTCTGTCTTAACAGATTGTAATAACCCGCTGTTCAACTCGACTAACCATATATTATTTGAAATGGAACACAGTGAAACTGGAGTTCGCCTCGCAACCGAACCGGCTGATGTCAACATTACATATAGCAGAAGCTGTTTAGTTCTTCGCCGGTAAATACACATGCACGGAAAGGACCCCTAACAACGTTTCATCTATCACAACACGAATTCGGATGAGCCCTCTTTATCAGCCGAAGGATGTTTTTGTTCCTGCAATGCAAAATGTCACCGCACGCAAAGGTCAAGCAGCGGAGTTCCGCTGTTACACACAGTTCGAATTATTTAAAGGAACACTGAGAGATTATAGCAAACGGTTCATCTGGTCCCATGAGAAGGGCATCCTCCATGCCCCAAAGACACATCCACTTAACGTACTTGAAATTGACGCTGAAACACTGGGCAGTGGTTACAAAACTCAAAGACACATCCACTTAACGTACTTGAAATTGACGCTGAAACACTGGGCAGTGGTTACAAAACTAAGAGTTTAAGAGTTTTAAAGGTTTTAAGGGTTTTAAAGACTTGGACCACTTTGTACCTACAGTGGCAAAACTAATGGGATTTTATCTGAAAACGGAACATGTTCGTGTTATTCGACCCTGACCATTAAAAGTGTTTCACCAATTTCAGCTGGGCGTATTGAATGCTGGTTTCAGATTGATCCGTTTTTGGATGATGGGTTACCTGCCTGTCGTACAATAAACAATAAACAATGAATGGCTCATTCAGTCTGCTCATCTTATTGTCCACAAAGAAAACTGATATTTTATGCGCAATATCGCAATCATTTTATTATTCGCACTTAGAAAAAGGAATAGGTTGCCTTGCGATGTCATTAGGGAACATCCATAGTTCACGTACGCAGCGGATCAACATATACTTACTTCAGCAGATACATATGTATGTTATTATTTTATTTTATTATTACAATCCTAACTCCGCCGTTTCTTTTTCTCCCTTTTCCTCCAACACTGTCCGGCGCAGAATTTCGTTCGATAGCTTAAAAAACGGCTAAAATCCTGTAGTTTGTCCCTACAACTTTAGTTTTTCGATCTTCTTTTCCTTAGAATTACGAAACATGGCCAAAACGAATTTCGCTGATTGGCTCATCAGAAAGTATTTATTAGTGGATAATGTGGATTGGCGGAAATGCGTATATTTTCGAACGGAAACTGCTGACACAGCGTGGCAAACTGGGACATAAAAACTGCGGTACATCAGTAATCAGTAAAATTTAATACTCCTGTTTGTCGAAATTTCGTAATTGGCAGAGCGATAATGCAGTATGATTTCTTTGGCGGAAAGAGGAAAGGGAACCAGTATAGCGCAAATAACTGTACGGCAACGGATTACGTATAAACTACTAGGGAAGTGCACCGCTTTTTGCTAGCACTATTAGACCAAAGCAAAGCCGGAAACAGAGTTTTGCACAAAAATGCTTAGGTTATTTGATGTGTGGTTTTATATGCAATAGCCATCAAAATAAAATAACAAAAAATTGCAAGCGCTGGCACTCTACTGATTAATCGAAGAGTGGTGTTTCGGCGCTCTTCCATTTCTCCATGAAGTCATTTCAGCACATGTCATAAATTTCATTATGCGGACATTCACTCGCGCCATCAGGCTGGACTTTCGTTATACCGTTGTTGCTTATATGATTCCGTAAAGGCGTAAACTAGATAATAGTTCTATCGATAATTTTATTAACTAATTCTTTTAGCAGAAATGTTTTTCCTTTAATACAAAACAAAGCTCTGTACTCAGTATTGAAAACAAAAAAGTAATACTTAGAATTAATAAGGAATAATATATCTACTATTAGAAATAAACAAACTATAATAATAATGAATAATAATACTGATAATAACGAAAATCAGTATTTATAATAATTGCCTCGAAAACCGATTGCTCAGTCAGCACGCGTGATCACCAAATGCAAAATACATGCCAAATTAAAAACATTTTAGCAAGTGGACGCACTTACTCATTGTTTCAGACGGAAATTTCGGCATTCTGATGGCTTTTTAAAATAAAGTCAATTCGGCAAGAGAAAGTTTAGCATGCGGACCGAGCAGCAATAACTCATGTTTCAAACGGGAATTTCGGCATTCTACGAGTAGTGGTTTTGTAAAATAAAATCAATTCGGCAAGGGAAATTGTAGCATGCTGTCGTGTATAAGCGTTCACACCGATTAGGGTTCCATGAACAATCTTTACTCTTCCACGCCTGTAATGCTCAATCGGTAGGCAACTCTATCTCAAACTGTAACAGAATAACTACGGTGGAAATAGGTCGAACGAATCAGGAACACGAGGACTCAGGAATCCCTAAGCAGGAACACTCCAACTACAACTTCCGGTCGTAAGTCCTGTGTGGATCGGCAAGAGCTAGGACGATTGCGTCACGAGCAAACCTGTATACTAAGCGATAATCCGTGAACGACTATGCACTTCCGTAGGAACAAGTATTGCTGCCTCTTTAATCCAATTCACAACACAGTTCACAACGCAAGGAAATCGTAATTAGAAAACAGTCTCTAGAAGTCAAGTTAGCGACTGCTACCGATATTAGTGACAACCAAAACTTATATAGACTCTGCGTTATGACATCATATACACCGCTAAGGAAAGAGAACAGCAAATCACAGCATTGATTGACTAGATTATCCGTTGTGTTGCAGATGGAAGGCGGACAGTCAGCATCCGTACGTACATTCCGGCGTGTGATCCTACTCCCACACGTCAATGCGGACACAGCAGCACAGAATTTTGGCCGGTTGAACAGAGTTAAGGATTTTCGCCGGCTAGAAAAAGGGGGAGGGGTTTTCGACGGTAAGCACGGGGGCAGGGATTTTCGCCGGTTAGACAGAAGGTAGGGATTTTCGCCGGTCAAGCACAGGGGCAGGGATTTTCGCCGGTTAGACAGATGGGTAGAGGTTTTCCCCGGTAAAACAGAGGGGTAGGGGTTTTTGCCGGTCAGACACAAGGGTAAGGATTTTCGCCGGATAGACAGAGGGGTGGGAATTTCCGCCGGTTAGACAAAGGGACAGGGATTTTCGCCGGTTAGACAGAGGGGTATGAATTTCCGCCGGTTAGACAAAGGGACAGAGATTTTCGACGGTTAGACAGAGGGGTAGTAGTTCATCATATTACCGTAAAGTTTGCTAATTAATAATTCTATAATCATTATTAACAATTATAATAATAAACCAATAATCCAAATTCATTTCTACATTTTCCCGACCGAGGCCGGAGGCCGAGGTTGGGCTTGTAAGTACAAGCCCAGCACGGATGAATATTGGCCGATGGCTATTAAAAAATAAGTAATTCCAAGAATGTGTTGCTTTGCGGTCGTTTACAGACCGTAATAATATTAATGAACCCGTGCGTATGTTTAGTAGTATTATGATACACTTTACATAAGTTAATCGAAACACGGACTGTCTACTTGTACATACAGTATAATATCTATATAACTTGCAATGATGACTAACGTGTTAAGTTACATCAATTTTTTACTTTGTATTGTAACAGATACTCGTACTTATTGTTAAGCAGCAGCTCAGATATTTCTACTGTTCTGGGTCAAGTTGTGTTAGAACAGAGTGCATTTCTTATCGCGTCCATGGTAACGAGCTTATTTTTGACCACTGGATCTAGACAAATGATTTTGGAAAAAATTCAACAATCTTGGATCCACCGCTACACCTAGAGAATTTTGATGTACTTTAAAGCAACAAAATTGGTGAAGTAGAAGCCGAGATCCTTTGCCTCAAAGGACAGGGGCCGAAGTCCTGGCACAGATAATCAGTATTCATATAACTAGTACGTCTTTATAAATCAGTGCAGGCGCAGGTGCAGGAAAACGTTTAATACTGTAATGTAATCACAATGTGTGGCTGATTTTCTACCTGATCGCTTGAACTGCATAACATTGATTCCCATGCGGAAATCTCTTCTTTAAAACACTACTGCGTGTGACTTGCTGTGAACTAACATCATTTGAAATTATAGCTGTAATTAGAAACAGACTTCTGCGCTATGCTGCTGACTAGTTTATGCTTGCTTTGAGATGTCACAATCTGACAAAGAATTGCTGACTGTTCCTACAGCCATGTCAGGCTGCTCCAAAAGAGGATTATTAATCTGGACCTGCAGACCCGTCACATGCAGTCTCCGCACTTTGCTGCGAAACCTTTTATTTCGATTAAGTGCTGTTGTAACTATTACCTACGATATCGCGCCCTTGTCGGGATGTCTCAGCGAACCAGTGATACATCTAATATATACCGAACGCGCAAGAGTGTGGGGCGTGCCAGCATGCAAAATATAGAGTCCGTTCTATTTGACTCACAACCCAAGGCTGACGATCGGAAAACGGTTCGTTCTGATGCGGATGGATATACAGCACCACTCGCTCAAGTTCCTTTCGATACAGTGGCGCCAAAGGCCGTTTATGAACGAGAAAGCGATGTAAATTTTACATACCTATTTGCTCTACAGCGTTGTTGTTACAGAATTCCATGGTTTCATATTTATTAGAAAAGTGGTCATGGACGGGCGAGTTTACTTAACGAACCCGAACTCCAGAAATATTATGTGAAAGATCCTGAACCTATTTGCCAGTGCGGTGCTGGACCAGAGGATGTGTCTTACCGTCACGATGCTTGTTCAAATGTCGCACGTTATCAGTCTGCCAAGGAGAAGCGCACCAATCGGTTATCCAGTGTCATAACCGCTGATCATGCCAAAAACGCAGATTTACCTGACTTGTTTGTTCCTGGAGATGCCAGTTCCCAGCTTCCGTTTAATTCGCGCAGTCATCTGGAGAATCTGCGGAAAGATCTGCGACGTATCCAAAACCAATGGGTATTCGAGCAACGTGTTGGGAAGGTTGCTGATCCCGAGGATGTGGAACGTTTGATCCACGAAGTGCAGAACGAAAACATCATATCGAATGCGGTGTTTTACGATGTGGCTCGGCAAGCAGCTAGCGAGTGTGAAGCTCGCGGTGACCTTTTGGACTCTATTCGGAAAAAATACAACTCACTGGTCGGCCAAGTTTCTCCACCGCTGGAACGCATTGCAAATGAGCTGGAAGCACAAAGAAATCTGGATAAAGAAGTGGCAACGGTGTTATTAGACTATCAGATGTGGTGGCGACAAAGGTTGCCACCATTGGAAGAGAGCCACCAGCAGAGCGAGAGTATGCATCTCAATGTGGAAAAGGATATCAAAGGGCTCAACACCACTTTAACTGCTTTGCACAGCGAAAGCTATCAGCTGAAAAGCCTGATCACACTCCATGCTGCTTACCGCGCCCGATCTGAGCAGAACATGCAGGAACTGGTGCTGGCTCGGGAAGAATTCTTCCCGAGCCAGCACCAGTACCATGTGATGATGATGTACCATGTGATGATTTAGCATATAATGTTTGTGGCAAAGGTATCAAAGACCAGTGCCTGGTCAAGCTAACGGAAATGCATGTCCTGCAGCAAATGTGGTACATCGCAGCAAAGCGGCGATATAAGGACTTACAAGTCCTGGATGACAACGAACTGGCCCAGATCCAAACAGTAGAGAAAGAATTTCTCGGAACACTGAAAGCTCTTGAAGCCAGTATCGAGAAGACCCAGAACTTGCTTTATCGGACCTCGACGCGCGCCAATCAGAGGAGCGAACCTTCTATTTTTTCTGAACACACAACATTTATTACAGACATGAAGCATCGTCGAAATAATAACATCAAATTTTGTTAAAGGGCAGTCAAGAGCGCCAAATTAAAGTGCAAAAAATGGTTTTATTACCTGCTGGAAGTGACATCAATCAAAAATTTTCGCGCGTAAGTAGTTATTACTACAAAATTACTACAGTTCTTCTGCAGGTCAACAATATTCAAAACGTAGATGACATAGTATGCGGTTTGCAGGCTTCGTACAAAAGATTTAACCAGGATAGACAATGGTTAATATTGCAGCATCTACACAGTACACATGATGTACCATCGCCTTCGGATGCCGCCACCATAATTCACGACTGATCACGCTTGATCGATTGCAAACAGTCACCATAAACAGCGCATTAAAACCCGTACACTAGCGGCAATTATACGCATGTACCGTTATAACTTACCGTTCCTCGTCACGGTCAACTACCCATAAGTTAGAAATGACTTCAAGTAACTGGTTTACTGTACTCTGTACGAGTATTGCTATCCGGAAACATATCTTACCACGCAACATCAACCAGATTTGGTTCAATATGCGCAAATTATATGCATTGTGCGGTGTAGCCTGCTTGATGTATCGTATCAAATTGACCGCCTCCGATGCCGGTGCGCTTTGAAGTGTTTGCAAAATAAGTGTTACTGTTTGGCTGGCAAAAGTGTGCCGAATGATAACAATGCACAGAGGATGTTATTACTGGGAACGGGGAAGTTATTCAGTGCGTAGAATACAGGCGTTGCATCCGCATACTGTACTGTACAACTACAAAACCACATATCGCGGATTCGCGATATGTGGTTTTTGTTGCAAAGATAATAAACTATCAGCATTCCCAAGCATATGAACAAGGTGTATGAGAAAAATTAAAATACGCATCGCCATTTTTAATGTACAGTACCTTGCGAAGAATTGTTATGTTTATGGCCCGGATCTGGAATAGCCGGTGTCTTATAAGATGCAGAAAGTGGTGTGACATATACGGTAAAACTGAAACGTACGTACTTATTTGTTAATCAAAAACCTAACCGTTGTGATTATTTACAAATTTTTGCACCCTCCGCCACGAAGTCACGAAGTCTCGAAGTCAACCTAAATATTAGATGGAAATTTGACGTTAATAGACTTACATGACCGACTTTGTCAAGTGATTCTCACAAACAACAAAGTATTCTTTCTTTAATCGGCTTTGCGGATTATCAGGTCTTATACGCTAATATTTAAACAGATTTCGTGTAAATTGATCAACATGATAGACATGTTTGATAACAGAGATTTTCCCGCTCGTTTTGAACACCTAAGCAAAAATAGCCAATTTAATTTGCCGATAAACGGAAATATTTGCGCCGTTTTGTGTGGTCATAAAAGCATTAGAGATCGTTTGTGCGCTGTATTAAGTCAAGTACAGAGTTCGATTGCCAATGGTGTGAATGAGTGTAAATTTATTTGGTCAGTGACGTGGACTTGTCGAACAGGTAAGCCGTGATTATTTGCGCTCAAACTGACTCTGATCTGCCGCAGTGTATACCGCCGTATCAGCCGACGCGCCGATGATCATGAGTTTGCTTTGCACGCCAACGTGCAACACCGTCTTTCGTGTTTTTCTTCAACGTTACCCTCCGGATAACGCGGATATTAATGACCACATATTGAATTGTTTTCACGTTCATGAATTGTTTACTGTTCTGTGCGGAGTTCTTGTGCCAAATCATTTGTTCTGTGCGGAGCGGAATTTTCGCCCATTAACGGTTTAGCTTTTGGCTTCTCATGTTGTATGATACTTCATCCTTCTGACGATCATAGAAGTTGATAGAACGGAGTTGCCTGTTTTCGTTGCAAATATGTACAATGGAAATTTAACTGCAAAATTTTATTGCTTTGCCGGGAGTATGTTATTCCATTTCGCTAAAAGTGCACATTGCACAACAACATTGCACAACAGCAATCGACAACTATTTGAGCAATCCATCGGAATAAGCCGATCAAACAGCCAATTTCATGAGGACAATGCAGGAGAATGTGGATCGATCGCGGTCTGTTGACCGCTACCAGTAAGTCGCGTGTCGGTTGCACCAGATTAACCCACGAGATTTAATTTGCATTTATGCCTTTGAAAATTTAAAGCGCGACCTATTATTGTCAATTTACGAATAATTTGCCTCAGATGATTATTTTAATTTTGCAAACCTTTTTTTGTGAATAAAAATGTACACAAAGCATAAAATGTAAACTGCATGCATGCTACCGATACGTAGTACTAACGTGATAACTGTACATTACCACTAAAATGTTCCATTTGTCTGTTACTACAGGTTTTATAACATGCGTAACTTTAGAATTACATCAAAATTATGTACAAAGAAAACTCCCTTAGGATGCGGATGTAATTTTTACAACTTTTTAGCTCGGATCAACGCCTAAATTTTCGCCGTTTGCCTCAAGCCAATGGAAGACAAGAAAATGCAACAGTAATTCAAGTGCCACCAAAGCAGTACCGGACCGGACGATCGCTGGTGGCTAACCGGGACACTAACAGAGACAGGACATCACGCTGGAGATCACCATCACTGGACACGCGTCTTCTCCAAAACTTTTACGGTTTTGTGACAAATATTTTTGAACGCGGAAACGACTTAAAAAAGTGTCAGCTGGCTGAACAGTTGTTATGGACAGCCGCGCGTAAAAACGAGGTATAGTTAGCGTGCTACGCAAATCAGAATGCCGGTAAATCAACTTCCGGTGAATTATAACACATTTGGGCGCCAAAATGGAGCATTACATGTCGACTAATTTTAGACAGAAATATTTGTTGATATCATGAAAAAATTAATGGAAAATGGATACGACATTAACGCCCCTAATGAATTGGGATGGAATTTAGTGGACGAAGCGGTTATGCTCGGACATGCGGAAATCGCCGCGGAATTATTCAAGAACGGCGGTAAGGAGACGGAGTGGCTATGTGAGTCCAAACAGCGTCGACAAGAAGTGCTGCGCAAAGCACTTCGCCGTCTTGAGGCCATTCAAGTGCCCTCTCGAATTCGCGAGCATAGTGCCGACACCAGACAGCTGGTCGCCGATGTGGCCGTCGGGCCAACCATGGCAGTGTTGCAGAAGATGATGCAAAATGTAGAGCGAACTAGTAAGTGCAAAATTAAATCCTTTGCAGCATACCTTAATGGATTTTTACGCATTTCATTGGGAAAACAGTGCTTAATTTTTCGCGTTGTAATTAAAAAGGACCACCAAGGAATTATCTGGACCGGGTCATCGTTGAACCTTGTGGAGACTGTTCAGTTGCTGTGTCATATGAGCCACGATCAATTCCCCCTGGAGTTATATCTAGATTTAAGGGTTGGTTTATCTAATTGATAGGTATCGGTACCGGCTTCTCTGTATTGTCCAGATACATTAACGCAAAGCTATACGAAAGAGCTCGGTTAAAAACTCACGGGTGGTTACAGTTCACGCAAGCTCTGCTACTTAATTAATAAACAGCGAAGGTAAATATGACTAAAATTTACCGATTAAAAGCATTTTAAAATTTATTTCCACAGTGGAGTGGTCCCGCGACAAGTCGTTCAAAGGGATTGTGGATTATCAGATTTTTTCCAACTTGATGAATCCTGAGCGCCTGATAATATCGGAGCTGGACTGCGGCATCGAGTATCACTTCCGGCTGTCCGTTGCCAACTTATCCGGCTTTGGAATTCCACTGAACGCAACACCATCTTCTGTGGTTATAACGTGTACGCTTCGTTTTGACATCAGAACGAATCTCTTCTACAGCGGTTTCATGCTGCGCTGGTTGATTTAGCGTGGAGAGATGTCGATGGACAAAAGCCACGGCTGGACACTGCCACTGTTCACAACTTGGAGAAAATTTTGCAGAATATCAGAACGATTACGAAATATATGCTGAACGACCCAGAGCGCCGACACACTCGGACACCGGAGAAACGTCAACATCCACACCGAGCCGTGCAGCGCAGGGCCAGCTTAAAAGATAGTATTCGCGATCTCATTCGACCTCATATTCGGCCGGCTAATGCAGAAGACGAAGGCGGGATGTTTCTTTCGGTAAACCGAGTGCAAGATTTCGGTATAACAAAAACTTGTCATCTATAATTCTTTTACAGTGTATGGTGATTGCGGACGATTCGATTCTTTTGACCAATGAGTACACACTACCGTCGGTGGTCGTGCATTCTCCATTTATTGGCTCCATTAGCTCAAAGGATTACTTGTGGTTTCAAAAGGTAGCAGCCAAATTACAAAAGTTTATTGAAACGCGTGTTAGTATTCCATTCGTGTCATAGTTGACAACTTGTTGGGATGCCATCTCGGAAATAAAGGAGCTTCTGCACACCTCCAAGGATTCATCCTCTGATTTACGGTACCGCATTGTGCGAGCTGTTTCTAATCTACAGGTATTTTCTTATTACTGGAAGGCAACACATCGTTGTTTCCTGGTTGTGTCGAATTTTTAGTGAAATAATTCTGTGCACACTTTTAGAACCTGCTGACGATCTCGAATCTGGGAATAGCGTATTACCGACCGTTAAGGGATAGGCAGTTTACTTCCTGCGTTTTGTTGTTAATACAAAAGGTTAACAAATTGGACGTTGGCAAGTTATCGGGGTTTCAATGGAAATCACTGAAGGAGGCCGACATAATGGCCATTGGCCACTCCCACCCGATCATGTCGGCCATTTCCACGGCAAGCACTGCGGTAAGGCATTGATAATTTAATTGTACAATAATTTTAATTGCCGATGTCTGTGGATGTACAGCATGTACTCATCATGTTTTTCATTTCGTGCTTGCAGGAAATATATTCCTGGTATCATGATATGCAAAAAACCCTTCCTCCTGGGCTGCATATGGCATATGCCGAACTGAGCCTTAACTTAGACAGTATTGCAGCAGTCACCGCGAAGCAGTGGCCGAATATTCTTCCTTCAGCAAAAATACGCTCCAACGCTTACGTTTCCAGGTTTGATTTGCAAAACATTGTTCGCTTTGCGCAGATAAATTCTGATGGTTAGAGATTAAATATCGAGCATCAATTTTAGTGACGAATGGTATTTCATAACCCGGAAGGTAACCGGTGCGCCGAAACGTGTGCGTTACTTGGAAAGCCTACTTCAAGACAGTTGGCATGCACTGAAATCCAGCTTATCATTGCGCAGTGTAGAGGAGTTGTTTCTCTTTCCGGAAGTGGTAGAACTCGGACCGGAAACCTCGATATTAGTTGTTTATGGGGAGAAACGAGGCTTATCGTCTCATCAGTCACTGGATGAAGAATTACGGAAAAACTGTAGTCTTGTTCCTGTTCAAATATTTGAAGCCGGTATACCATACTGCAGTTATACCAAAGGTTTATAATTTAATTATCAGTGCATTCCTGTTAGGGTTTCATTTTCGCTATCGAACGCTGGCCTGGTCAACGTATGCGCAGTCTTCTGTTATTCTGGAAGGTTTGGTCGTTCATCTACAGCAATTACTGCGCCAGGTAAGTGACGAAATCAGGGACATCATTCTGATATGAAATCGATTAACACCGGACGTATTGCCATCAGGAACTGGAAACCAATGAAGAAGAGGAAACAGGTGCACTGCTTCATAAAGTGCAGTTACTACAAGAACGACTGGAGAATATTTGGGGAGAAACACGCTGGATGCCGAGCTTGATCCGCACCATGACACGTGACCGCTCGCCTGCAGAACGAATCTCACTGTTCAGCCCACTTCAGCCGCAGAAACCACCACGCAAGAAAAATCACCGACCGAATGACCACAATCAGCCTGTGATTTACAATGATGACAAATCGGTCAGTATAATTATCGGTACTGCCAACTTCCGGGACCTGGAAACGCAGAACGAATCGCTTCATGAACTTGTAAAGAAAAATGTCAAGAGCACGGAGGTACTGTCCTTAGATTTACAGCTTTTAGTTAAGTAAATTTTAAAATTTCTAGTAAAGTCATCGCTAAAGGGTCACTCCCAGTTTATCTCCGTGCGATCCCAACATGCCTATCGTGTCTTTAAATTCGGCAAACGACAGCTTCCCATCACCATCTTTGTCATGGTAGATTATGCTTTTGTCGACGGTCTGCTGCAGTTGCACATCTGTAAGGTTATCTCCGACCATCATTTTTAATACCCGAAAGCAGTCCGCATTGGAAATGAATCCATCTCGGTCCATGTCGTAGATGCTGAAGATTACCCGCAGACCGCAGTTTCTGCTCGATATTGGCTTTGCTGCTGAATAATGTCATGCCCTGCGCAAACTCCCGGAAATCAATTAACCCATTGCCATCTCGATCGAAAACCTCTAGAACGCGTGTGGCTAAAGGGTTCGCTCGCACTTGTGGTAAAGCGGTGAATTCCTCCAGGGAGAATAGCCATTGTTGTCTGAGTCCAGCTTGAAAAACCGAAGATATAATCGCCTTATTTGGTCTGGATCAAATTCGGGTGGTAATTCTGATGAGATGTCGTTACCCATTTTGAAATATTAGATTCTGCAAGCTGTAAACTGCGTCAAGCAAGCCTAGCTTAGTGCTTGTCGTTTTGTCACCGCATGACAACATTAAGCACTTAGCGAAGTACAGTAACGACGCGAATGCTTTTGAAGTACAGAATCGACGCGAGCTATTTCACCAAAGTACGAGCATTGTAATAATCAGTACTTGTGATGTAATTTGTAATAATTTAGTAATTAGGTGCAGATTTAAACATTATGTCCATAGCCCTTTATGAATTTACATGTACAGCTGCAGTTTGTATACAACAGGCACGTTATCCAGTACGCGGTATGCCAGAACCAAATTGTGGGAAGCTATCGAAGTATTTGGAAACAGCTAATTGTTTGATTGCCGTTAGTTCCAACAGCTTTGCTGGACATAACAAACTACAAGCAATATAAGCTGGCTGAGCTGACTCTAGAGAAACCGGAACTGCTACGACCATATCAGTAGTCATTCCCAAAGCTCAAAACACTCTTCACAAGATAAAGTATGTTTCAAGTTCTTGTGAAACATTAAATTGTATCATCGCAGTTTGTTAAAAAAGCTAGATCTTCGCAGTCAGAAAATTCTAATACATAGACGTTACATGTACATACTAATACTCGTATAACGGACAGGCAAACGAAATTCGAGCTTTTGGAAGAATGATACTTAGCAATATTTCTATAAGCAGTACAACAAGACAGACTACTTTACCAATGTATTATTTTAGAGATTATACGAAGTATTGTACTCGTATGTAGATGATGCACCAAAGGCCGCAATGCATGATACTGTTGCGACTGTTGTTTACCTATAAAGCCGTTGTCGGGTATTTATCAGGATTCAGCATCATGCGACGTTCATTTCTAAGTAAACATTACCTGCCATGACCGGAAAAGGACCAAAACCGGAAGAAGCACTCTTAATCTGATTAGCGCAAATGCTGAGCATTTTATACAAGCGACGAGTGAAGCGCGGATCCGTAAGATTAACAGGAAATTAAAGTTAAAAGCAAGTGTACATATACTGTTCAAGGTCCCGTAAAAACATGACATTCTCCCTTATCGCCTTTGGTGAAGATGCAGCGCATGCCGGGACCACATTTAGGTTTATCGTTGGAACATTCGGGACCGGGAATAGCCCTTCTATCTCTTGCTAGTTCGTTGGATTCTTCGACGGCAGTACAGCGCACCGCGTTCATCCGGGCCAGCTGTAACAAATCGTTTTCAAAATCAAGTAAGCCATGGCGCAATGCTATAAATCTGCGGAGGTAATGTATTTTTGTTTGTTGCTCTGGGGGATTTTCAAATCAGGGTAAAGTACTGCGTACAGTACGAATTAATTTGCGGTTTGTGATGAATGTACGACGTATGTATACACCGTAGAGCCAAATGCAGATACAAGAAAATGATTATACTGGTTTGGTTTTTCTCCATCAGCAAAAACACCGCACCAATAATAATGCGCCGGCATTATCAATGGATGCAGGCAATCAAATCTGAAATGTACATAATTGAATTACCATAATTATAACTAATGGTAGATCTTTATTTTAATAAAACGCGAGCAGCAGTACTTTTACGTTTTCCTATTCGGACTATGGACCAACATCGATAACGCAAAACACTTTCCAGTGGGTATTTATTTGGGTGTAAAAGTTATTTGCACTGCGCCCCCTCCGACCAGGTTTGCATCTACTTTACGGAATAAAAGAACGGATCCGTACATTTACAGAGAGCACAGTTCTTTTAAGATTTATCAGGGCCTAAAATTTACTACCCTAGTTGTGGAACGCAATAGTTGTTATGGCCCCGTAAAAAAATGGCATTGTCCTTCTTTATCGCCGGAATGCTGGAAATTGCACAGAAATTCCCTGCTTGGCTTGCATGGATGTTTCTTTGAGCAGGGATCACCTGGCTTACTCTTTTCTGAACCCGTGCACAGCCATGGGAGCTGTGTACAAAACGCTTTGGTTATTCTCGTCAGTTTTATATATGTACTACAACAAGTCTGCTCGTAGTCACAGCTGGTTAATTTTCGCTTTGACCTAAGGGTTCAATCATCAATGTACCTTCTCTGCTTAATATGCAATATTATAAATACTGTACTTCTATTCGCAGTTACCAACGACTTCCATCAAAGTCTACTTAACCTCGCCAATAAGAAGCATGCACGTTTGCCAGGGTTTGAATTTGAGCAGTCACACATTTGTTTAAATGATATGAATACAGAAATCTGCATTAATATAGTGTAAAATCTGCATTACACAGTGCTCACTGCTCACAGAATATCTGCATTCCAGTTAGGTTAGTTTCTATACTAAATCTATGCATCAGAATTATCAAAGCTTACCCCAACAAACATAGCCACCAGAAAGGTCATCCATGTGGTTAGAAATTTCATGTTGTTCTGGAAAGTTTCGAAGGTATGTAACAATGCGCGACTGCATGCAGTAACTGGTGCACACTGCAAAAAAGATTTGAAACTAAATGTTTTTAGAAACTGAACACGGTTATATACCAAAACTGTTCCTGATCGATCAACCAAACCAAAATATTCTCAGAAGACCACTTGTTTAATAACAACCGCAACCACTTGCGCATTTTGTCGGTTATGGAAGTTCCCGGCAAGAACAAAAGGGACGGATGCGATCGCGCTGAAACGCTGTTTTGTGTATGTACGAGTACGTTTACGCATTGGTATTCGTAAATACCGTACTATACTCGGTGGCTGGTCGCGCTTTTCATACTGTATTTTTCTGCTTATTTGGAGCCACCGTCCCCCGGTCAAGAACTCAGAAGACCACTTGTTTAATAACAACCGCAACCACTTGCGCATTTTGTCGGTTATGGAAGTTCCCGGCAAGAACAAAAGGGACGGATGCGATCGCGCTGAAACGCTGTTTCAGCGCATCACTTTCATGGTCCGGTAAAAAATTGGCATGTTCCTTCCTTGTCCCCATCTTTTTTGAAGAAGCATTTCTCACTTCGCATTTCGCATCACTTTCATGGTCCGGTAAAAAATTGGCATGTTCCTTCCTTGTCCGCTATTTGCTGCTGCGAACGGAACAACACGGTTTGGTGCGCTTGTTTTCTAAATCGAGTTACATACAATAATAATAAGTATTTTCCAATTAGCTCGCCGGCTAACAACAACTCGCATAACAACTCAACGCGGAAGTCTTTATTGATTTTTATTAAATTATAGCATGCTGCTGTATCGTTACGCCCAAAAACATAATATACAGAAAACTCCATTCAGCTAAACAAATCAGCCAATGAAAACAACTGATTAGTTAAAAATTTCCCAATCAATAACCACCACAAAAACACGTCCCAGCATCACTTTCATGGTCCGGTAAAAAATTGGCATGTTCCTTCCTTGTCCCCATCTTTTTTGAAGAAGCATTTCTCAGTTACGCGTTTACAAGGCTTGCTCTTTGAGCATTTAGTCATTTGAGCGTGGATTTCTCTTTTCTCCAGTCTTCCGCTTGCACCGTCGCTTAACGCTGCAAACTGCAGAACAAAATCTCCTGTACAAAGCATTATAAGACATCTATGCTCGAGTTAATTTCCGCCGAATTTTAAATCATGATGAAAAAGCAGAAAAAGATTGTCGATCGTTATTTTGATTTTGCAATGATGCCAGTATATCGTGTTAATGAAACTTTAATGACCGTATTTTCTACGAAAGTATTTCGTTTAATTTTTAGTTATTCTGTTTTTATTTCTTTGAAATTTTGAGGCTTACAATACACGCCACTCACCAGCTTATAATATATAATTACCGGCTCAAATAAACATGCCATTTTTTATTTTGGGGATAAAGCAAAAAATTCTTGTGCATGGGGTGCGAGCCCAAAACATATTCGTAAGAGGAAAATAATTTAATTTACTGTACTTTATGCATTGTACATTGGGCTTAAGGACTGAGCTTACCGCAAAAAGCAGGACACACACAAATAACCCCGAAAAGAAAAAATATCTTCATGGTGAGCTGGTTGATTGAAATGTATTTTTGCACAACAAGTACAATATGCCTAAAAATTAGAAATCAAACACTTTTTGTTTACTTTCACTGCAGTAAAATCTTTTAGCGCAGTCTTGTTGTATTTATACACTGCATATTAATGGCACACGTTTGAACCAAAGATAAATATGTTTTTTAATCGGATTTCGAAGTTTGCAATCACAACTGAACTACCGGCGCGTTGCTCTTATTGGTTATTCCGAAACCGGAATTTCCCAAGTAGGGTAATATTTGCTTAATCATGTTTGACCAGAAGCTGTAATTAATGGAGTTAACCGGCTGGGTGTATCAGCCAACAACAACAACAATAAGTTGTGCAGTACATCAAAAACACAAGTGCCATTTAGAGCAAATCAGCGCGAACCTAGCTAAACAATAAAAAACGAACTTATGCGCTTCAGACTTCAGAGTACGTGCGCGTTTTCTTGCGCGACGCTCTCTTGCGCAGTTGCATTCGCACTGAAAGAAGTATAAAACTACCGATTCGGAATCCAAAAATCAAATAATATAAGCTTACAACAGAAGTGTGGCGTAGAAGCATGTGTTTCCAAAAGGTGTCATTTACATATCCGCACATATATTATTCAATGCTATTATGCTTGAAGATTTAGTACATAATTAACGGAGAGTATTATAGAGTACTCAGCTTCTATAGGGTAGTAGGATTTAATGTTAACGATATTTGACGACAATCAGTAACTTCACTTATAAAGATTATACTAACTAAGTACTTTATTCCGTTCCAAATGACACCATGATTTAGCCAATACCAACAGCCAAAGCGCCGCAACGTTAATTGTTGAGTTTGCTTGATACAGCAAAAAGAATCGATGACTTTAGCATATCAGTTTTCAATAGCATTTTTGTTTCATTTATAGGCGCACATGAATCTGATTAGTAAGAATTTGTTTAAATAATCCGGCCGTATTTCATCCGCGAACGTATCCAAAAATCAATCTCATACTTCGCCTTGCCATTTGGATTAAGGTGGATGTTATGCTACCCTAAAAATCACATTTTATGCGAAGCTCTACGATATTCTGTGGAATCTATTATCTATGCTTCGGTCCGCAAACGTTTTGTCACGCTTAACGTACCGTTTCCGCTTGGCATTTGCATTGGCTTTCACACCGGGGCGTCGCCAGGCGCTTCTTTGCGAGATTTACTATCTTTTTCGCAGTTTGTTTGTTCCTATAAGGATACCAGACCGCACGTAACACTACATTATACATTTTGCAGACCGGTATTCGGTTGAATTGTCGACGGAAATAGATTCCAATTTGGTTAACACTCATTTTTGCCAAACTATTGTACAATACCTTTGACTGATTTTAGTCACTGCCTTGCTCTTAGAATGAGAAACATTGGCACGATTCTTCTTGGCGTTGTGCTGGAGTCTGTCCCAAAAAACACTTAATGTAAGCTTATTAGTCGAACAATTTTCGATAACTGTATATTAATAACCCAAATAGTAGATATTACAGTAATATATTTTCCACAATGAATAATCAAGTTGTTGTGAGCACAGCACAAAATTTACAAAGGTTTCTGACCTCTTATTTTTCTTGGCTTTTGGTCCACGTTGTTTTCCCTGCACTGCTTTTGTCACTCGATGCCTTCACAAAATCAAGAAACTGCTTTGCCGCTTCCTGGCACTCTCATAATATGGAAATTTTATTTACGTACCTCGCGGTAGGCGCTTTTGCTGTGTTCTTAACCGTAGGATTCTTCGGGTTGACCTTAGGCTTCGCTGCCGCTTCAGTCGATTTTCTGTAAGAATTTTCACAGGAAGTGCTGCTGTATATTGCCACAGTTTAGAATAACCATAACGTTTTGACGTACACCATGTTCTTAAGGATACTTACCGTGCTCTATTGTGGAACTTATACCCTCCATTTTGCTTTATAGGATAGAGGTAATTATACAGATACATACTTGTCTTTTGGACTCCCGAGGCAAGATTGCTCGCCTTGTTCGGACGCGGTGAACTATCATCTTCATGGACAGACCCTTGCCGGCTTCGATCTGGAGCCTGGTTCTCACGCTGGTTGTTGCCGTCATCTCTGCAAAGGTCATTAATAAGGTCATTAAGTCATTAATGTGTCTTTCTGAAGAATGCAGAGTTTTAAGCAGACTTGATATCTTGGTGTATATATGCATTTTAATTGTGGAAGCAGTGTTTCTTGACAGAACTACTTTTTCGGTTTTGCCGAATCTTTATCATGAGGTTCGGCGTCCTTTTTGGTTTTTTCCTGCTTCTCCCTTGGCTCGGACACTTTACGTTTGTTGTCCTGTTCACTGTCTTTCTTGTCCTGTTTCTCTTTCCTTTCCGGCTTTTCCTTCTCCTTCTTCCTGGCTTCTTCCAGACTATTTACCTCCTCTTCGGTTAGAAATACCAAACCTCTTTTAATTATTTTCTTCAGCTCTGACGGTTTAGCGCTTTTCCTGTTTAACGTCCAATAATTTATAGGGCTTTCGGTATAGTTACACACGCAGTGAGTCGTACGTAGTCAACTGAACTACGTACAAGTAATTCAAAATGTGTGTTATTTTTAACCAGTTTCTTACAGCATTTGTCGGTTATGGTCTCCACAGTAGAGCTTATCGCTGGGCGGCATATTGTTTGGGTTGAAAAGATCCCACTCGATGACGGTGATATCCTTCAGTTCTCTATACAACTTACGAGAGTGCGTAAAATTTATTCAAACGAACTGCAAAATACTTTGTAGTTCTCTGACTGTCAAATTTTTTAAATCTTATTCAACTATCATGTCGCAAGCCTGCATGTACGAGTATAACTTACGTTTTTGGATTGTGTCCAACAAACTTGACCACATATTCGGGAATTCGGGTCTTTTTATTTGTATCTGGATGAATTTGACCTTTTTCCACGCGTACGATCTGTTTTTGAGAACAGGTCTTCGAGATTTACTTTTGACTAAATTGCCGTTTCAATTTGTTTCATATCGTTTGGACAACACTCACTGGTCAGCACTCAGCAAGTAAGAAAAGATATCGACTTTTTATTAATGTTGTTTCGCTTTGCCAAATGCATTTTCCACACTGTTCCGATTGCAAAAGCAAGTTTCCAAATAAATTTGACCTTAGTAAGTTAAACGAGGTTTCTATCATTTTAAATATACTAAATTTTTCGGAATGGGAAACGTAGGCCGACTGATTGTATACATTACTGTTAATGTGGTCCGGTACTTATGGTAGATGTACTTATGGAAGTTATGGTTAATAGTACGGTAGAACGATTTCTACTCGGGTAATACCTCGCACTCGTAGACAAGCGACCGCTCCGTTACCCAAAGTTTATCACCTGCAAGAAAAAGGGAGCTCATAGAAAATTGAACAAACCATGCACGTACTTCTTCTTGCACTGTACAAAGAAATTACAGTACTGCCAGAGCCGGGAAATGATAATGTACGCAGTTAATTATATTAATCCCGAAGCACTCACCATCAGAAAAAAAATGTTTGTGAACTATTACAAACGTATATCTGCGAGTATTGCACGTTATAAACGAGGCATATGTCGTTGCCATTATCAGTAGCCACGTGCGGTCTACCCCATGGTACCATCCATTGAGTTACAAGTTTATAATCTGCCAAAAATTTTTGTTGTATAACGACTGATATTCCTGAAAGTTCAAAAAATTTATTTTGCAATTAACAAAACCAGCTCGTACTTCTGTCGATGCAATTTCACGTAAGAATTATGCTAAATTTACCAGGCTTATATAAAGGAAGCCCGTCATAGGTCGGTTGTTCATATCGACGTCCCCGGCGAGCATGGAATTCCTGTTCGCGCTTCATGTCACTGATTGCACTTGCCGCCATATTGGTAATCCGAATTTCGCAATAAGCAGATTCAGTAATAGCGTAAAAGTCGCCGCGAATACCTCACTGAAGTCCTTCAAAAATAAGACCCGGTTTAGAATACTTTATCGCAATCGATCGAAGAACCATGCATGGTATATTTAATAATCGCGAACAACAACATCGCAAAAGTGACCTTTGGGTATTTCAAATGTTTCCAATGTCACGATATATATCCAGGTAACGGATAGTATTGTTTGTGCGGTAAATATTTTGTTATGCGAAAGTCGGTACTTGCAGCAACTAATACTACGTCGCACTCGCGTCCATTAAAGCGTGTCATGTACAATACTAGCGTGTCATGTTATAAGCGAAACATGTAAATACGAGGTATTACTTCTGTTCCCACTAAATCAGTCAAGTATGTAGTGTTCTCTGATAAGTGCTAAACCACGAAACCTATAATTAATAATAGGTTTTATCTTTATTTGCCAGGTTATAGTAATATAAGCACTAACCACATTTGCTATACTATTGCGACAGTTACTGTATATAGATACATCTATAGTATCTAGTAAGTATCCAAAAGACTGCGACAGCCCGTATAAGCGTTATGCAAGGCACGCCGGTGTGTGCTTTAAAAATTTATCTGAAACATCAGTTACGTACAAATCGCAACCAACTGAGTTAGATCTGCGGGAAATTTACAATATGTACCCGCAAACAGCTAACGATCGGCCATAGCGCATAGACATACGTAATCCGTACACAGGTTTTCGATGTACGTACGCGTGTTCCTTCGACGTTTCAAAAACTGCTTGAGGCGATGCTCGCTCGATCCAGGCTATAATTTTAAAAAAACCTAGAACCATGTTTTTTTCCTGGAAAGCAGCAGCTACGTACTAGTACTGGTAACTACATACCGAGAGGGGTATGTAAGGTATAAGTTATAAGCAGTTAAATCCCAGCAAAAAAATATTTAGTATAATATGCTAAGCATGTTTTACTGCGATTCAACAGGTAGCATATTATGCTACATGGTTTATTTTATCATACCGGGCATATGCCGGTATTCTTACCGAATTAAGTATACGTGAGCGAACTTGAAAACCTTCGTCTCCTCACTTTCGATGACGAGACCTTCCCCCGCGGTAGTCGAAAGTAATAAATGTTTACATTTTATTAATAACATCGTATTTTACGAGATATCGTGTATATATAACAGTGCTTTTTTGTCAGCTGTTAACTATAGCGCGGAATCCCGCAAGGCGACCGGTAATTGCTTTTCATATTGCCTTAAACTCATCATTTTTGAAGAAACACTTAGCTGGCCTTCTTGGCTTACAGTTACTTGAACCTCCACTTACGATTACCGGTATGCCCCATGAAGTGACGTTCGGTATTCCACGAAATTTTGGCTCAACTCGTCAAGGTGCAATGTTTAATTTAAGCGGTTTTCTTAAAATGCCTCATGACTAAGCCCGGCGTCAAGTGCTACCGCGTGGTTGTATTTTTTTGAATTCTGCCGCTCGTGGCACGGCGACTATGCGCAGAGTATTTATCTTTACGAGATCAGTCTATCGTCGGGAAACGCATAGGCAAGCTTAGCGCGAGACTAAACAGTTTCTGGAAAAGACTAATAAGTGAATGAATTCGTACAACTTTTCCGGTTCAGTGTACGTCTGCACAACAAGCGCCACATCTCCATCATAAGCCAATCAGACCACTAGAGCTGCGAAACGGGTTCTGCCTCTGCCGCTCCACCATTGGGTGGTAAAAGAGCGGCCAATAGTGCAATGCAGGGAACAACAACCATTGACGGCCCATTTTTTTTAAAAACGACCGGCTTTCGTGCAGAGCGTATCAGTGCGAAAACACATACAAGAGCACGGAAAAGGCGGAGTCTCATAGCTGTAGCGTGTCCAGTTGTACCTCGTAATTTGAGCGTAAACGCTGAATGTCTACTACTTACACTAAGAAGGAGGAGCTACTTGTTGAGTTGATTAACGCAGTCTTAGACCAGACAGACTGTCCAACGCATCCGAATACATATTGAACCGCGCGAGGCAAAACGAGCAATTATACGATTGTAAGCCATTTCGACATCGGCGTTCTTGCGAAATCTCTCTGGCTGTCTAGACTCAGAAGCGTAAAATTTCCTTCATTCCTTCAAAAGTTTTCGCTTACTGCTCAGACCTAACTATCCAGTTTTTCGCCCTTTATTCCACTTTGCCATTTAGCTTCAGTTTTAGATTGCCAGACACAACATCATAATTGTGTTTAAATATTTAAATTTGACTTTTTGAAAATTCGTATTAAAACTTCGTCAAGGATGGCTCATCCCATAATACTCTCCTGTGTTCTCATAATTTTATCGATATTTGGCCCCGAATCTCTCGTCAGCGGTAAGTTGGAAAAATCAGTCTTTTTCAAGCAGTCTGATGTGTTTGCCGGCTTGATTGCATCAGCGTACACCGCGTGCGCTCGTTTGTGCAACCGTCTTGCTATCCTTTGCAGTTTGCAAGTCACAAGTTGCAAAAAACAGCCGTCATATTTAATTATGTGCACTCATACGCAATAACTGGCCGGCGTGACTGACTGATTCAGCAGTGTTGTAGGGAACCAGACGGCATCTTGTCGCTAGCTTAATTAAATGTCGTAAATTGTTCCCAGCCGGCTCGGATAGGATTAGAGGCGACGCTTTTCCCAGAACTGCATAACAGTTGGCGAATGATTCCTGTCTAAAATTCAAGGTTATTGCCTTCTTGGCGGTAGAACCGCAGTGAATAATCCATTTGGCACCAGATGCCGGTTTTTTAGCGGGAAATTAAAGTCTTACCGTGCGCTTGATGCTGACCAAAAGTGGTAGATGGAAGGATTTTGTGGTAAATATTAAGGCCAGAAATGGCCCAGGGCTTCGTTTGACCTGCGATCGCGAGCGGTCTAAATGATTTAAGTATTTTCTCCGGTTTAGTTTGCGTTACGAGCCCAGACGTTCATACGTAGACAGCCACATTAAAGATTAACGGCCGGTTTATTTTCAAGATATTTTCAGAAAGCGATTACCGATAAGCCGAAGCAGTGCTGTTACAGCTTTTAATGGTGTCGATACATCCAGAAATTTTAAAAAAAAGTTAAATTCCAGTAGTTTCTGTAAAAATTTCGGATTTACATAGAAAATGTTCATCGTTCTCAGGGCGGCCGGTTTTTAATTATGACGTTAGTGACATCGTGGCAAATAATGATATATGCAAAATGCAACGAATTCGTGGTGCATTTTTTACAACAAGTTATTGTTTACTGTGGTTATAACTATTTACTGTCCATATGACGGTACTGTATATTCACATCCATAAAACAGTAATTTCTGCTGAAACGGCGACGAAGTTGAGCGGTTATTATGACTGAGACTGTATAACAGTATTTGAAATTTTTGCCAACGGTTATTGCATCAGGAAATTAAATGAAGAGTAGACAGTTTGGATTGCTTCAGTTCTGAGTCATAGCTATTGAAATCCGTATGAAATGACCGTTAGTTAAAAGTGCTGTGTAAAAGAGTCTGAAGTGGGAAAGGGAATGAATGAGTGTATTATCTGCCGAGAAACAACGGTGCCCGTCCCTACACATATTGACCATTCTGTCTGCCCGAGTAAATGGCGCTGTCGGGGTCAAAAGTAATTAACACGTCCATTCAGAAATTGCTGTTACTATCGTAAGCCGTAGATTAGCAACTTGTAGCCAGCCAGACATGCGGCAGGTTCCAGACATCGTTTACAGTACTCTCATTCTTGCTACAGTACCAGTCTTATCTGCCGACTGCTGTTTGCTTTTGTCTGCGGACGTCGTTGTTAGATATCACACGCCAACTGAAACGAAGATATTGCAAAATATAAAATTAATTGTTTTGGGAGTTAAGTTAACAGTTCGAAACCTCATTAAATATCATGCCTGTTGTGGTTTTATTTGTTATATTATACTAGCACAGTAGTACTCGCAGACATCAACCTTCGCCATAATAGTCTAATTCCAAAACACACATTTTTATAACATGTTTGCCATTTCCGCTAAACCTTCCCGAGCACATACAGTTCGTCCTGATTAAATGGTTACGCAGTTTGGAGATTATTTGCAATTATTATTGCCGGTTCCGGAATACTCTTTGTTGTTACATCATTGTTTGGTGAGACGACGGTTTTTGCAATAGGAACTCGCTTGTGACTTATGATCACTGATTTATGGTTCACCGCGGTTTTATTGTGTACACAATATGACAGTAAGAATTCAGTATTCGAGTATCTTTTATGCTTAATTAATTTGTCACAATTTTAGGCGTGACGCGAACAGGATATTCTCAAAATGAGTATATTCATACTTCATTTCACTTCTACGAGAGACAAACACTGGGTGATGTCGGTCGAAGCAGTTTTTCTGAACTTCCAAGCCAAAGACATATAAATAAACATAGGAATAAAGGCAGATACGAGTAATACCAGCACCGCATGTTATCGAAGATAAAAATGACGAAATAACTATACTTTCCCACAGTAGGCAGTGTAGTGACGGAGCAGCCGGCATTTTGCCGGACTGCAGATTTGTGATCTAATTATAAACGCAGACTGCGTCTGTTGGTGGGAATAAGACGGCAACATTCCCTGACATGCCTTGCGGTGTATGAGAACCAGCCGGTTCAACGATACAGAACTTTGTAAACAAGTTTGACAATAATGCTGTCTGCTCTAAATAGGTGGCGTGTGCTGGTCTGCGGTGACAGCCAACGGTCGCTGTAAGGATCTCGTGCAGAGCTCCGTCTCCAAGGAATACTGTTGCCAATTGGCCGGCGGCCTGGCTGCCTGGACCGAAGAGGACTATGATAACGGTCAGGCATTTTTCTGGCACGCGTTAGGAGGCGGCGCACCCAACTGTAAAACATGTTCGGGTAAGCTTCTTCGCCGCAATCAACAGAGAACTGTGATTTGGTCAACACACTCTTTTGCAGATTCATGTAATAATATCAAATGCCCAGACGACGAAGTATGCAGCATGAAAAATGGACAGCCGGTGTGCGGTTGCCCGCTCCACTGTCCTGCACCAGGGCCTGGTACTAAAGCCATTTGCGGATCTACAGGACAAACTTTCAAATCCGAATGCCATTTAAAAAGATACAATTGTCGGAAGCAGACGAAGATCTGGGCAGACTATGAAGGTCACTGCCAAAGTAAGTTACTAAATATTTCTCCAGAACTCCGGAGTGTACGGCTGACATTTTAATATACCCATGCGGTATACTGTGTAACAACAATTAATAATAATTTATTCAATCATGAAGAATTTATGTTGGACCGATGATACAGCAAAAGCGCTAGTGGTCCGGACTTAATTTGTTATGTAACAGGTTCATGCGATACGGTGAAATGCAAGGCAGACCAGCACTGCATACTAGATAAAGAGCACACTCCCCACTGCGTCCGCTGCCAGTCGCGTTGTCTTCCCCTCAAAACAAACCCTGTCTGCGGAACCGATGCAGTTACTTACGATTCACTTTGCCATCTGCATAAGTTTGCCTGTGAGAATAAGGAGAAAAATGTCAAATACGCACACCGAGGAGGTTGTGATGGTAAGTAACCACAGTAGTCCGTAGGTATAGCATTAAACTTTTGCAACGTAAATCTTGTTGTAACGGATATATTGTCGCCATTTTTGGTATATACATATCGTATGGATATATCTATATACCGTATATATATACGGTATTATCATTTTATAACACACAACAAAATTTAAATACTTACTCTACGGTGTTCTTTTTAGCGTCGACAACTTGCGCGAACGCCAGATGCAGCGCAGACGAGACTTGTATCCTGGACAGTATAACACGGACGCCGCGCTGTGTGCGTTGTGATTTGAATTGCTCAAACAGCACGGAGAGTCCCGTATGTGGGTCGGATGGCATCACCTACACGAACTGGTGCCAGCTAAGAGCTAATTCGTGTGTTTTTGGCGTCCTTATCCACGTGGACAGGATAGGATCGTGCAATGACAACCAGACTGCGATTAGATGATTACATCTGCACCGGTTATAATTAAGCGCTGAAGGTTGCTTTTTGTCCAAGTTCCTCAACGGTTCTTCCTGGCACAGTATGCTGACCAAACAGTCCGATCCCCGAGCTCAACGGCACAGGCAGAGAGTGTGGAGAAGATTAATTTAAGCTGTTTGAACTATGACTAAATTATTCTAAATTAAGTTTATTTATTTCTCCGAATTTTGCAGTTAGAAATGGTAGCTAGCGTTGGGCCGTTGGCTATACATGGAGGGCCTCGTAGTGGTGGCAGCTAGTTTTTGTACATAGCGGGTTCAGGTGCTGATTGTGGTACGAATGTCTGAAACGGTGGTATAATTGCCAGTGTGGCGATTTTGTACAGTTTCTTGTTGGATTATTGCTTAAGAATTATGGTTGTTACATGGGCATTTTCCACCAGTTATTGTGGCTCATACGAGCGCTCGCACAATCAATAAAATGATTATGCTTACAGCAAAAGCAACCAGTTAGTTTACCACTTTCTTGCTAAAGTAATACAATTAATGTGGAAACATAAATTTGTTGCCGGTAATTAGGATAGGGACTATAAACCACATACTCTGTTGTCTCTTTAGCATGAGAATACTCTGTATGTGCTATGTGGTAACTTCAAATTTTATAATTCCTAATTATCGTGCCTCGTTGCCGAAATGCTTTCCGAATGATATTTTTAGGTACTTACCTGGTATCATGCAAATACTGAAACACAGCACAGCTTTCATCCAAGCACAATATAACGTTAAATAAATACCGGTAGTAATGAGCACAGTACATTTTACCGTGCATACGTACCTATAATGGCATAATTATTAAACCTTCATTTAAACATGGGTTAAAAACGAATTAGGAAAACAAAAGCTCATTAAACATTTCGGCTTTCTCCACGGTGCCAATGACAGAAAACGCATTATACCGCTGTATTACTATAGACAGCCGCTGACGTAAAAATTCATGTGAGCGCGCATTCATTATTAAACCATGCACTGAACATACAAAGTGAATCCAGCAAAAAAAAGGAGGCAATAGTCACAGGCGTCCGCTGGCGTCGCAAGATTACGCGCATTACACTTAAAAGAAACGTTAAACGACGCGACAAAAATAATCGAAAAACAGTAGCCCCTGCTGGGAGTTGAACCCAGGACCCTCAGTTTACAAGACTGATGCTCTAACCGCTGAGCCACAGAGGCGAGCGGTAGATGAGAAGATAACGAATCTGCCATAAGTCTATCGTTTTTTCTAAGTCCGAAGATCGCTTTGTTATGTTCGCTGTTCTGTTGTTCACTCTATGAAAATAACGCCGGTTGAGTGATTTTTAAACACAGTCAACAACTGCACCGGTATTGTAAATGCGCACACAATCTGACATTGTGAATTGGTGAACAGAAAGTAGGCACAGTAACGGTAGATAAGGTTTACCTGTACCCCATATTATACTGTACGTGCAGTAAATACGAGTACCTTGTATAATTATTTAACATAATATCTTTTATAAATTATTATACGTACGAGTATATAAAATTGTTGATATTAGTGATTTTGGTTGTTTTTTAATTCTTGATTATGCAATGCCGGCAGTAGTGATATAACTTATGACTATTGTCTCGCGGTGTAAACAAATTAAAAGATTGGTTTTGATACTATTATATACTAGTACATAATATCTAAATACAAGTACGTTTAGATATACTGTTTGATTAAATATTATTATATCTATATAGATAAACATGGTAGTGTACAGTACACCTTGATAGAAGCACAGTTTTTGGTAGTATTCAGTGTGCATAAAGAGAATCTACAAGTGTAAGACCGGCTTGCTATTTTGAATTTCTCTCCACATAAAGTATCCTTCAGCAGGATACAAGTAATAAAATTTATTGTGACTGATTTTGAAATCTGTAATACCGGCCTGCAGAATACCAAACAAATATTAAACTAAAAATAAAATTTGTCGGAAAAATAATCCATCAATGGCATTGCCGTCTCACAGATGTACATATACATATTTGAAGCATAGCACTCAGCAATTAGAGTGCAGAATGAAATTACTAGTATCTGATATATTTTCGAAGCGAAAACTCTGAACGCTTTGGTCTGGAATGATTGACAAAATTAGCTGGGAACTCCCTAAAATAAATAAATTAACTTTGTGTAAGAGTCTTGAACAGGTTCCTCGGAGAGGGTATCACGACAGTATCATCTGTCCATGCCATCCGGAATCAAGATGTGATTGTGGAGCCAGTGGTCTTCTCGATCCAACTGAGATAGTGAGACACCCTTGTATATACTGCCGGTTTTCCCGGAAAACCACACCTGCAAATGTTTTTATTTTGAATCTACTCCTCCAATGCAGTTCAAAATCCATCTCCAGTATTTGACTGTAGTTATCAGTCCGAAGTTACCCTTGGCTCCAACCGAAACTGACAAGTCCTTGCAGCACCCATTGCTTCCCGTTCGGGTGCTGACACACCAGAGGGCCTCCGCTGTCGCCCTACAGGAGACGGCAAAAAAAGTGTATGGGGACAATGTAAAACAGGCATGGGAACGATTTAGGGAACGCAGGCATGGGAACGAATATATTTTGAGAGAACGGTTTACATTATAGCCGCTGGGAATAATGGCAATGCAATATTTTCGCACAGTATGCCGAAAGCAGATGTATGTACTGCATTGTTACAAAACGTTAATTACTACAGTAGCTGTACATTGTACAAGTACTTTAATATAACTAGGCGGTCGTCGCAAAGTTTTTGCTTGTGAAGGAAAGGAAGGATTCACTAATTTGACGTTTTGCACGAGAATTTATTAATGGCCGTATTGAGTCAAACATGCACGTTTAACTGCTATTGTACAAAACTGATCGTAATACTGAAGCTCTCCTTTCCATATAGATATAATAATACGATCTTAAGTAAGATGAACTTGTTTCGAATATTAAAAACTCCTATGCGACACGAGACCTTACCCTACAAGCGTCCGTTTGACCTTCTGGATATCCGGCGCATATATTGGTATTCCTAACGCCACTGCCCCAGAAGAACGGCGACTGACATATGCCTCGGCCGATAACTCGCACCTTTCCTTCTTTAAGTACACTGCTAAACGGCGGCTTTCCTGGCCCGGTATTTCCCCAGCCAGTCACGAAGCACGACGTACCGGCAGGCGGGTCATCGTTCGCAGACGGAAGACAAACAGGAAGGACATTCTCCCGGAACTTAATTGGTCTCGAGAGACGCAGTATGGCAATGTCGTTCAAGTAGTTTGCCAACTTGTTGTATTTCTCATGAATACGTGCACGTAAGACGGGAATATCTTCGGCACCGTCGTCCACACGATTCGCACTGTGTTCCCCGATGCGAACGACGTACGGCATATTCAAACCCCTACATTAACAAAATAAAAACTGAATAGCCGTATGCTGTAAGCAGTTTTGTAAGGGTTCGCTATGCACATTAAAACTCACGGTTCCAAACAATGGGCTGCGGTGATGATGTAAATGTCAGAAAGAATACTGCCGCCACACATCCACATGATCTGCCGGTTAGGAGCACGGATTCCTAGCCGGATTTGCCATGGCCAGCTTCCTGCGACCGCCTCCGAGCCTCCTGCACATTATATACCAAATGACAATCAAATCGTGTAAAATCGTTCTGGATTTTCTGGTACATTAGTTGCTCTTCTGATCGGCCTACCGATAAGCTTCGAGAAGTGCGCGGACGCATCCTCAGCTTCGATGAGATGCTGATAGGTTCGCGTGAGTCCACAGCGAGATATTTCTTGATCAGTCGCTTGTGCAAGCGCTGGTTGGAGGGAACACAATACAAAACAACAGGTTACGAAATTTAATACTCGCAGTATCAACAGGGACTGTTCGTGGAAGGTCATTGTGACAGTATGAAGCTCGCGCAAGGATAAAAAATTGCAGTATTCAAGTATAGACTTTATCCGCGCCGCCACTATTTTAAATACTGTCAATACTAAGATGCAGTTCTGCGACCCAGTGCTTCCTTTAGCAGTATGCTTATATTTATTTCGACAAAAGATTTCCGTACATCATCATGGTGTTTACACAGACTGTTAACTGTTTGTACTCTACGGCTACTCCGTGGGTTTGTATCTTCGTACATTAGCCGCCGTCTTCCTTAAAATGATTCACACGGTATCTCGCATCTATATAGTTGTACAGTAAATGCATACATGTGATGCAGCACTTTATGCACGGTAGAATAATTTACCACTAATTTTTGCAATCTTGCAGTGGTTTTATCGTTAGTACACACAGTCCATATCCATGATCATGAGTTACAAGGAAGTCAGCGCGGACACACCGGCCACGGACGTTGTCGCCTGGAAGGGAATACTTACGGTGCTTAACCTTATCTTAAATCTAATGTTAATTTGTACTATAATATCTAAAACGTACACAAAACATAGTCCATTTCTTAATAGTACTATGGAAAAATTAAAGCACTTTTTAAAGCAATAATTATGGTCACGTCGGCCCTCCTGATTCGTAATGTGAACAAATTAACGCCCATCATATTATAAATAGCGTGAACGTATCAGAATAATTTGATTATTTTATTTTAAGTTGGCTGAAATAACATATTTGTGTGTAATTGTAAAATAACCTGCAGCTAAATTTTTTTGGATATTTTGATCATTGCTGGAGCCATCGCTGCGGCAGCAAATAAACTTAACACATCGAGGGTAACGTCGCGCACATCGAGCAGTAAATGACCTATTCTCGCTCAACACAATTGTTTACCGCTGCTAACCGAGACGGAAGTGCATGTCACATATACTTCTTATAACGTAAATGTATCAATACCCGTATATGCCCTGTATGCCAAGGAATCTTTGCAAGGCAAGCAAAAAATAATTGTTTAGTTTGTCAGTAGATCGGCCATTTGAAATCATCATACCGGTACCGTATATCGGTGGATAAGTGTGGACTGTGTGGTACAAGTTGTATTTGTACAATAGTTGTGCTCGATGTATGGGTTTTCAAGGATTTGAAGTTCAGGGAAACAAATCAGTAACAATTTGTTTACAAACGGTATCAAACTTTTTAATGCAAAGGCAGCATATGTAAATCAGGCTGAATTACTGTGTTAACTAATGTGATAGCTTATTTTCATATAAAGCGACATGGCGATGGAATTGGCATGGAAAACGTTCGAAAGGCCTGTCAAGCTCTAACTCCAGTTTAAACTAAATCATATTACAGCAAGTGTACTGAATAATTATTTTACTTGTTGGTTTTCTGTTGCTAAAATTTAAATCGAAAATCTGAAACTGGCATATTCCTCCTGCTGCACAGTTTGTCCCTTTCGATCCCAGCATGTAAATTGATTGTGCAGACTGTAGACGCCACTGTGAGGCGCGATTCTTGAGAATTCCAGCTTTCATACCCTCCAAGTGCTGATATAAAATTAAATCTATAAAAACTTTATAAAATTGAACTGGACAACGTATCTGCAGCTCGTACAGATATTTTAACAGTCTAGATACGTAATAATTTATGAATAACCGTTTGAGTCAAACGGTTTGACTAATAACTTGCAAGTCCTACTTCCGGTGGCTCTGTCTGCAGCTGGCCTCCTTGAAGTGGCAGTTTCGACCATCCGAGTTGGAGCTGCTCCGTTGGAGTTGGCCACATGTATCGTGCGTTGACGTGATTGAGAAATATCTATACTTCTATACCTATAATTATGAAAGTTTTGGTTTTCTCTGTTTCTCTCTTTTACGATTATTTTATCATTAATTTTGTCTTTCAGATTTCTCAAGTAAGTTAAAACTGAGAGCACAGCCACATAATCAGGTCTTACCTATTCTTTTAGTTGTTATTTGTTGTGAATGCTAGCATTTTCCGTTCTTCCAGTTCTCACCAGTTCCAGTTTGCGAACATACTGTATACTCTAGATATTGTCACGAGTTTAGAGCTTTTCGACCCAGGATTCAATAATCTGATCTTTTGTGCTTTTATGATTTATCGGAGGTTTGTCATTATGATGAATGTAACTTGAAATTCAGTCATAGTATAAAGTTCTGACCTTCTACTTTCTAGGGTTCTGTAACAGGCGGATTTAATCAGATCTTAGAGTTTAGACGTTCTGCGTCCTGCGATCTGTGATTCAGTTCGGTTTTTGGTGGAATCGGTTCTGTCGGAGAAAATTATTTCTGTTAAACTTTGACCGTTTATCTTGCGTTTGAGAATAAGGCTGAATCCTCGTTACTCCCCATCTTGTGTTCCCGTGCAAAATGCCAGCGAATATTGTGGACAAAAATCCAAAAAGTCGAAAACGAACACTGAAATACTATTTGTAAGTAAAAACTATAAATTGTTATTAACTTTATTTGCAAAATAAGCCAAATTGCTTAACAATGTCTGAAATAAACTTTATTTTTTAATTTTCGGTTATCTGTTAGATTTGGCTTTAGTCGTCTTTACAGCTTTACTGTTCTTATCAGATTCTGTAATTTAGCAAGAAATACAACTTGTAATTGACGTGAACGCTGACTGTTTGCACTTGTAATCTGTATGGTCTGAACGGGTAAACTGTAAACAGTACTGACATCACCAAATGTTCGTTATTTACAGCATAATTAGTGTTTCTGCTGTCGTTTTGCTTGACACAGTGGCAAGATTTGGAGTAAAAATCAGCAGGACAATCGCTTGAATTCCCATGGTCAGTCAGGTCTCGGAAGCAGTCTGAACGCCGCGGCGGAAAACCTTGCAGGTATGGTTCGTTTCGTAGATTTTGCTGCTGTAAACAGTAAACAATAGAAAAGAGAAATTTAAAAATTTTATTTTACGAAATTTAAAAATTTTATTTTTGCAGATTTGTTTTTTCAGGTTTACGAAAATAGACGAGGTCGCACACTTAATAAATAAATCTGACGGCCTCGTGCTTATCATCTTATTTGTGAGTGAGTTTGTATTTATTTTCTAGACATACATTTTTATTCTTTTTATGCATCAATGAATTATTGAACATTGTATGTTGAAAGGCTTTTTGTTGGAGCGTAATCGTGCGTATTTTCCACTTTACAAGTTTACCGAGGATTTTAAGATTGCAGCCTGAAGGAGTTGAAACACAATAATCGTACAAAAGCTTGCAATAAACAATAAATACTGGTATTGCTATATGTTGATTGTTGTATAATCCGGTTAATTAGACCCATAAACAGCTAACAATAAATTTCTTCGTGTATGAGTTTCCCGCCATTGACAACGCGTGCCTCTCAATCCAAACATTTGGTGATAGACTGGTAGTTTATGCTGGAAAATCTTGATTTAGATTTGTTTTTGATGATTTGTTTTCTTGCAGACAATGCTCTTCGAGACCGGTACGAAGAGAAGCTGGCACGCGAGCGAGTGCGCCAGAGCCTGGAATGTCCTATCTGCACGGACATCTTCCTGGATCCCGTGAATCTTTCCTGTGGACACACGTTTTGTCTGCACTGTTTGGCCAATGACTACGTACGACGCGATAAAGCCAATTTGGTCTGCTGTATTTGTCGTGATTCCTCCAGCAGTAAGTGTTTCCCGTTTCAGTTTTTTTTCGTTCGACAATGTTTAAATTAGGTAATAAAATTTGGTAGCTAATTTAAATTAGGTGTTAGTTAATAACTGTTATTTAATGTTAAATAAAAAATAAACATGTCTTTTTTGAAATTTATTCTGTACTTCATTTAGTATCTTAGACCTGTAAATGCGCTTCGGTCTTTGGTGTGGAATTTTGTATTTTTTTCTTTTCCGATTCAAATTGATTTTGATGTTTTAGAATGTTTTAGCATATGATACTGAAGAAGCTTTATTACTGCCGCTCTCTCGCCGCTTAGCCAACGTGTTTTGCAGAGAATGTTATAATTTCACGAACTTTGAGGGACGTTGTGGAAGGCGCGTTTCCGGATGAGGAACGTCATCGGCGGGAAACTCTAACCTTGTCCGATCGGCAGGCCCTTACGAAGCTGATGGCTGATCAGAACAAAACACAAGATACTTTGAAAATGGAGCGCTTCTTCCTGCAGGCTCGCTACGGATTGCTGGCTTGTGCTGTTTTTATTTTGTGGTTTTTTTATTGGGATTAGGCGATGCTATATTGGTGCTGGTCCACTTTGGAAATGGGTCTGAATTCCGGCTTTTTGCTCTGATATGATTGTGATAGTTGTCAAGTACGATGGGACTGTGAAATATGTGTGTTTGGGAGTTAGAACACTGACAGTGTGGAAATGCCATGGAATTGTACGATTTTATAATGCTTTGTGTTAGTAATATGCAATCACCGCTGTTGTTGATTAGTGCTCTAGATAATATTACAATCGGATCTGCATTGATTTTAAATTAATGCCGTTTTTGTCAATGTTTCTTCTGGAGTATATGAAAAACAAATGGAATAACATTGAATTACTGGTTATAACGCGTACTGTATATTAAAAATGCCGGTGATATTAAAAATAAATAGATACTTTGTACATGATACGCCGCTACTTTTATGGTTAGGCAAGCGAGTAAATTTTTTCGACTCAGTGAACGCAGTCCGAAAACTGATGGGTGAGAAAACGGAATTTGAAGTTTGTAAAATTTTGCAAATATACTGTAGTTAAAGTGCCCAAAATCAAAATTCTTTGAGCGAAAATTACAGAAGGATGAGGACAGCTAGTTCCGAGATGGTGTAATCTTACCGAAACTTCCAAGGGCTAATTACAAGGGCTTTGGCCGCTTGGCCCATAAAATACAGTGGGTTAGGGTTGTTCTTAAACTTAACTTAAACTTGCTCTTGTAGAATTTTTTTGCGCGCCAACATGAGGTTTAACATAGCTGCAGCTGGACGATTTTACCACTTGCAGACTTTTTTGGTTTTTGCAGTTGCAATTGCAGTTTGGTTACGAATAATTAAGAATAATTATGGACAGCAATCTGTACAGTAACCTCTAAAGCTTTCTCATCTGAAACCGTCGTACGAAGCAGTTGTACACCTGTGTGATTGTACGGGCATCGTATCGGTCGCTGCATCCTGCCAATTCGTACCATACACAGGATGCCACCTTCTCGAAGATATCACATTCGACCCTAGCGACATCCGGCATGGCCGAAGCCTGGCTTCGAACGTCTGAAGAAAACGTAAGTAGCAGAAATCTTACTAGCAAAGGTCACACAATAACAGATGCACAACTAATTGTAACATGTAACGTACCGGCCAGGAGGTCGTTTACTTCGCCCTCGAGTGTACTAGCCACAGCGATACGCAGCTGCATTTGCCCTGGTGACCTGGCTACAGGACTGTAGCAAGTATGGTCCCATGAATCAGCGCTCCATGATTTTAGTATTGTGCAAGTGTATTTGTACTGGTCACCACGAACTGCAAAATTACAGGATTGGTTGAACAAGATTATACGTACGGTAGCAGCACTGATGACTCACATAGACCAATACTGTCGCATTCCTGCATCGTTGACGCTGAAATGCAATGATTAGTTTTATAATATGTATACGACATAACTGTACGTAACGGTCCGCAAATAAAGAATTGCGCTTATCGTCGTGGGTATGCTGTACCTTTCGCACTAAAGGAAACCGCCTGTAATCCGCAACTGGTGATCCTCCCGAACGGCTCCAGTACATCTTTTCGGCAATAGCTTACATTGTAGACTTTGCAGAATTCATTGCCATAGAGAATCAGACACTCAGCATGCCCAATTGGGAAGTTTTTTAACATGTTTCCTGGAAGGCAGTATAGGAACAACAATTTGTTAAAACAGAACTGCAGTCTCGCGCGTTTAAGTTGTTGGCTTTAATAATTCCAAAAGCTGATTTGTTCTTTACAAAAACTGAACTATTATTAATTATATTCAAGTCTTGCAACAAACCGTTACCCTAACCGCCGTAACCGCAAAGTATTTATTTCGAAACTAGATAACTGACGTGAACAACTGCCTTCATGTACGAGTATAACACCACTGTTGCTTTTGAACGGCCTTATCACCTGCGGTGCGTTTGGGTGGAGTCGTTGAATCTACTGTGGCTTTGCTGGCGGTTGCGGAGCCACTAGTGCCCATAACAGAATACTTAAAACATCCGCCAATTTCTTTTTGATCGCCATCCTTTCCAAACACGCAGCTTTTAACTGTAAAACACAAGCGCTAACATATACGTAGTTTATTGAGATCCAGAGCCTCTGCATTGGAGGTGTCTGATTACTGAGGCAAAACTTCAAGCATCGTAAGCCATTGCAAAACAGGAGCAACTGATCTAGGTACCCACTTGTCAGACTTTAAATGATTTTAAGACAGATACAGGTTTATTAGTTTTACGAGTGGAATCCTGATGCCATTAGTTCAATTAACAAAGAATGGGGGATTATCGTTCTGTGGACAGGGTGGAAGCCGAGAAGAAGATGTACCTCTGTTCGCGCATCTGACTGCCTCCTGATTGGCAGCATTCTGCTCCGCAATCGTCTTAATCACTGGAGTACGATGGCGTAATGATCTGGTCGAGGAAGCCGTAGCAGGCACCAGAATTTCAGTTGTGGAAACCGGAACCGCGGGTGTACTGGCAGAATCCACGTCGTCAGGTTGTCCCGGGTCCGCCTGGAGTGGATTAGATTCAGCGCCGGTCTCTCTGGGTTCTGTCATCATAGAAGACGGCGGCGACGCGGCAGCACTGTTCTGGGCAAAAGATTCAATTACTCCAATCGGAGCGACAGCTGCAAAAAGGAAACAACTTCATAATAATTCTGGTGATGCAGTTTTTCGTGATGTGAAGTGCCTCTCTGAACTGAGCAACCGAGCGGGACATCATTTAACCGGCACGACACGGCACCGCACATTAATTAATGTTACAGCGAAGTAGAGAGGATAGACTTGACTATGGCCGTATATTCAGCAGTAGCTGATGACCAAAGTGCTGATGTAGTTGAAGTCACGTACTATCAATTTGGTACTTGACCAATGGCCGCACTGAAGAAGCCGTAGAAGTGGCCCCTGGCATCAACGGTTACAGTTCATGCGTTAGAGGTACAGTACTTCTTTCAACAATAACGCACCGTTACGCTGTTACAGCGGTTGCTCAGTTTTAAAAGGGTTTAGTGTACTGATTACTAGGTACATTGCAAAGGATCGCTGGATCCCGTTTTCTTTCCCCGCCAGGGCAATCCACCAGAGCACTGGTCAAAGGCCGCTGGCTTGCTTGGATCACAGATCGCTACTCCTGAACACTCAAAAATTTTCCCCGTTTTTGAGAAAGTACAAATCGCCGAAATACGATGACGGGGGCGGAAGGTAGAATTGGGAAGCAATCCAGGAGCAATAATTCCTAAGCCATAAAAATTTAGGCCTTGGCAAGTACTGTGTATGGCACTGTATTAAGCACCATAAAATTTTATTACTAGTACGCAATCAGCTAACGGTTGTTTTCTACATACCGTCGTTGGCTGTCCATTGAAAGTTAGAAACTCCCGATTTATTGCATACACGGTGCATAATTTTCATCTTATTTTCAAGGTCCAGTACTTCTGGGTCATAAGAGCACTGGTCGTCGCATATGGCATGGAAGTCGTTGTAGAACGTGCACTGCGATACCATGCAGACTTCATATAACTATGTAGCCATTACCAGTCCTCAATATTTTATTGAGGATGTGCAAACTAAACCTGAATTGTATCCGGATCACTGTCTGATTGAATTGTCTGCTGTGTCGTTCGCTGACGCTCCACAGTATTAGCCGCCACATCCAACGGACCATCCCTTCTGGGGGCATCCCTTCGCGAACGGCCGATTCCGCCTGCTGGAGGAGATTTGATGACGCCTTTGATTATCGCCGCTGAAAAAGAATTCTGTTTAAAACCATTTCCTAAGAAAAATCAATCTATGGTCATCGGGGTACCATCACGTAATGGATCTCCTTCGGTTGCTTTTCCAGACCATCTTTTTCCACCTTGACACACGGGTTTCGTGTTTGACGCAGTCACCTCTGAGCACATGATGCTTTCAACACAGGAGAAGGTACGATTCCGCCAAAACGTGCAGGCAGCAATAATGCGCTCTTTGCCACCCGCTTTAATAAGTCTTGGTCGCAACCAGTTTGCCAAAATTCCTGTAAATGTTTCCGACGATCAGAGCCAAAAGTTCTGATTTCGTACATAGTGATTTAGGTAATACGAGTATTATAAGATTAAAATTATCTACCGTCATTAACGTCCCAGGAGTGGATAACAGGAGCTTGATTCTCCACACACTGCCGCATCGTAATGGTGCTGTCCGAAGTCGTGTCAACGGCATATTCGAATTCATCTGCGGTACACACTTTCCAGCAATTGGCTAAGCCGTTGTCGAAAAACTGGCACTGTACAATGTTGGGATCGATTGTTCCTGATAAGGATGAACCAACAGGTTGCTGATTGGCACTAAGAGAGCTAGAATCAGTGGATGATGATACGGTTGGCATTGTTGATGCCGCATTTTGCAGAGGATTTTTCTTTAGGTCGGTGTTTTTCCTTGTATCTTTCGGTGGTCTAGTATCTTTATGAAGTGGAGTTGTGACCACGTTGGTCTTCGCGCCACCATCATCATCCGTTACTTCGACGTAATCTGCAATGTATAACACTTTACTGGTTTCGTATAATTATGCGTTCAAGGGACTGTTTTTACGTAATATCAAGTACCCTCGGATTCTGTGGGCGGTACGGTTGGTGGAGGCGGTTCAGTCGGCTTCGCTGCAGCGGGTTGCCGCCGTTTTTGGTTCATCACTCCTGCCGGATTTTCTGAGCTGTCACTGTCTATCACGCCAGCAACACATTTCATTGGCCGTCTGCGTCTCTGACCAGCTGGTAGACACAATACCCAGTCCACTTCGATGAAGTTGACATTTCTGATCTGTGGATTACGGCTGGCAATCGCTCTCACGCCGACGCCATACGCTTTGGCAATCTGCGACAAACAGTCGTCCTTCTGGACAACGTATTCTTCTGTCCAATCACTGTTGCAAGTGGTCTGTGCACTGGCGCAGACAGCTGCGCTGATGATCAGCAATGCTATAAACATTTTCAACAACCCACTGTGGCGATGGAGTGGCGTATACCAAGAACCTTGCTAACAGTCCTGTTGGTGATTTTTCGCAGTGCTGAGGACCTTCGGGCCAGTAAGACTTTGTTAAAACCGGTTCCAGCAGCGAGTGCATGCTGATTGGCTTTAGGGTTTTACAAGCGGATTTCTCGTTTCCGTCAGTACATTCGAATGATATGCTCGTGCTTGAAGCAATAAGCAGACGAGACTAAAAGAATACCTAGAAGCAAGTAAATTAACCACTTACACAGGAACAGGATTATTATCACAAAAAGTAAACGATACTAATCTTTACAGCGTTTACAGCATTGTAGCAGAAGTACATATCTGTTAAACATCGTGACAGGAACCAGAAATAAAAATCTATTAATTTTATACCTTCCCACTCATGGTCACTTTTGGTTACTCGCATCGGTGATAGCAGTACTGTATTGGCTTATTGTTGGCAGCAACATGTATTTGTAAACTAAGCTGCATCATATCGCATAAACACACCATAATCTAATGGATTATTGTTAAGTAATTACTTAGCTAATAACTTTGTAGGGGCTGTTTCTCCCTTAGGTTACTGGAGCAAATTTATCCATAGTTGGTATTGTCAAGCCGTTCATGTTCGTTTTACCTTCTACTTGCCAAAACTCTATCGATAATGGGTTTGACAATTTGTTAGGCTTGGAAAGAGCAGCCAACACTCTCGTACACGTGCACTGCACATCCCGCTAATTCAAATCCGGCCAATGGGAGTTCCGGTCTTACTTCCTGGAAATGATTTTAGGGATGAAATTTTTACGACGATGGAAACTGTAATGGTTTAGATACTGCTACAGCAGGTTTAAATTATCCAGGGATTTGCGATGCTTTAACTGCCAAATTTCCTGGAACCCATTATCGAAGCACCTGACGCGTGTTTCCAGATAATCACCATTCCAGATAATCACGACATATCATTAGTGAATCGCATTCTGAAGTTTACTTACTGTATTAGCCATACGTTTCATAACCAGCTTCACACTTTCAACATACAAGTGCAGCATAGAAGTACCGGTAAATAATTTCCTTTACAAATTGAACTGTAGCGCGAATAAATTGTTATACAAAAGCGAACCAGAAGCATACATCGGTATTTTAAACTCGTAAAATTAATCAGATTGAATGTCATAAGCGATGCACTGACAGTAACGCACAAACATAAGGGTCATGCGTACTATTCACCGAATTCAGCCTTCGTATAAAAACAAGATCACTGAGATAAAAAACAATACTCTAAAGAATCAATAATGCATGTAATCAGGATCGCGGCTTGGATGCCGCGAAGCAGTGACGCCTGAGATGTAATCCACCATTCAGCGTGCCGATTGTTTTGCGTATATCTTCGTCCTACGGATAACATTGGGCACATCATACCTTTGCCATAAAGAAGCATGTAAGGTTTTAAGGAAATCGCTTACGTTGTGACAGGCTTCGATAAACTCCTCGTATGAGACCAATCCATCTTTATTAGCATCCATTTTCTAAGAAAGACGGAAGGTATGACGCTTAAGAAGCATGCCTATTAATGGCTATCAACGATTATTTGTCGGTCCAGGTTTTTATAAACAACGATCTTCACTTACGCAGAACACATTAGTGGCGTGATTGATTACAGCATCCGTGTCGACCTTAACCGGCTGACCGGGCATCGCTTCGCTGCGCATCTCATACACAGCTGAAACTATTTCCACCATCTCGTTCTGCAAAGCAAAAGGTCACTAAAAGATTGTCCAATCCGATAGAACCTGTTAATGCTTACTTTAGTTATGTATCCGTTTTTATCAATATCGTATAAGGTGAATATCCACTGTAGCTTTTCTTCGGTTGTGCCGCGCGACAATACTGACATGCCCGACAAAAAGGCCCGAAACGACACGTGCCCGTCTTTGTCCTGCTCCAGCGTATTGAAAACATATCCGGCATATCTTCCAGAGCCTGTCAAAATAATGTTACCCCATTACTCTGCTAGACAAACGACCTAATTTGCGAATGACACTCCTCATTACAGTGGTGACCGCTAAAAGACGCCAGAAAATGGACAATCTTTGTTCTTTAATTGAATTTTTCATGCGTCATTGTCGGCAGCAGTGTTGTGTATGCACTGCTGCTCAGCGGAAACATAATGGTGACATGCAGAAGCAATCAGTCGAGAATGAACAGATAAATAATTCCTGGAAAAGGCTATTATTCCAGCATTATTGATCGATTAACTGACGGAAGCGGTGTTGGCTGGATTTATGGTAGTGGATTATCGGCCCAACAAGCGTCACCGAAACGACAAGGGCAGTTCCGTTGCAGTCGTGTAATCCTGAGAGAAGGGACGGGAAATTCAATAACATACTTGCCAGTAATGCGGTTTACTTTGTTACTGGAGCAAACAGCTCTTCTTTCTTGTGAAAACACTTGCCAGCAATATGATAGGGAGGAGTATGTGTTTGCAGGTGAAAGTTTTAAGGCCGCTTATTTCTAAATTGCACTGCAACAGTAAAACGATGAGGAAAAACAGGAGCACCGCTCAACCATGTAGCTACTGCTAAATAATTGAGTCTCAATGGGTATTTGAAGTTTTATACCAAGGTGGGCTGTAAATGCCGCTGGCAGTAATAAATCGGCTCAGTTGAAACCGATTTTCGCACTCTTTCCTTCAAATGTACCAATGCACGGACAATAAAGGCATGCAATTTTAGGTAAATTAATTATTAAATTCAAGTTTTTCCAAGTTTATGTTTTACATCTATTAATGTATTTTGAATTATGTATATGCGAGTTTATTTTACAACCTTAATTTCGAATGGATCATAATTAATTCGCAACTTATTTGCATAAACGACATGTACGCACTCAACCGTAACATTGTAATAATTATTGTGAAAACTCCTCAAGTTATTCAAAGAAAAAAGTCGCCGCTAGGATGCACGCATGGCTGTGCATATATCCACTACAAAGCTGTTTACCAGATAATTTGGATAATTTCCTAAATGGAATGCGCAAAGCAGCTGAATATAAAGAACTAATCAACTTGTATGGCATGATGATCCACACTAATTCACTTTGCATGCATATATGCATTGATCGCAGAGGTGCTTCTCGCATGACACAACTGGGAATTAAGCTCGCTGGAGCAAGCCTGCCATTGAAACTGTCAACAATCCGCATACGCTTTGTGCAGTACTTGTCTACTCTGACGTTTGTTTTCATCTGATCAAGGTTATGGGAAGTTAGCCCAAATGGCATCGCTGCGACTATGCCATACAACTGCACGTAAACAACCGTTTAGCCTCATTTGCCATCACGCACCCCCAGCGTTTTTCCCGACCCAAATGCTCTTACGCGCCAGCGCCGCACCGGCTAACACCTCCAGCGCGCCGCCCTATTAAGCCCGGGCATTACCTCCTAGGGGGAAGCATTTCCGATAGAGCGACTGGAACTGTTCCTTGGTGATGTAGCCAGCTGGGCATTCGTGCTTGAACTCGCGATAGAGCTCGTTAACTTCGCGCTTGGTGAATTTACTCCCCAGCTGCAGGTTATCCAGTGTGGCCTGGGTGCTGGAGCGTACCAGTGGCCGGCGGGTGCCCGTGGTGTCCTTTGGGGCCGGTGACCGTTCCAGTAGTTCATGGTGGTCTTGGAGTGCGCCGAGGTGGGATTCCTGATCGATGGGATCGGTGTCGGTGTTGGGACTGACGAAGAGATAGGCGGAACCTGTAATCAGATCATCCTTACAGCCACATGCACCGTGATGCTCAGGATGAGCATGCATGCAGCCGGAACTATGGGGGCTGATAAAGCCGGTAATAAATCTCGGCTTACCAAATCGATTTTATTGTGCAACTGCCAGTGAAATGGGAAATAAAGTACATAAAAGTCTTTATGCCTCTGGCTACTTTATGTGGATCTGCGTAACGTTCGGAGCGACTATTAATGTGCATTTAAAGTTATTTAAGCCGTGGTTTGTTTCACAACATAGAAATTATCATTTGTATATGTAATACAGCAGTAGTAGAAGACATGCGCATGTACTTAATTTAATATACAGCGCTGCTTCAGTCTGCAATCGGAATGCCGATCGTTATACGAAAGCGCTTTACACGATTAATTTAGAAAGCGGATTCGCGTCTAGCGGTAGAAACTAGTTTTGGACTATTGACTGTTTTTCACGTTAAACATGTTAAACGGAAGCCTATAATACGGCGAATACAGAGGTGAATTTATCGTGAAATACTAATGAACTTACTGCGTTTTGGTTTGAGCGCTCTGTTGAAAATGTCCCGCAATCCAGCCATGACTGAGGAGAAGAACAAAATAATGGTCTTTATGCTACGGCACACCCACGATAATGCGGTCCCGACGTATGTATGGGAAGCTGAGCCTGATTTGTGAGCTTGGTATAACAAGACACTGTTTGACACTCAGGAGCGAAACTTTTTACACGTGACGGCGTCGTTACGCTCGTAATCAGCGTTAATGGTGGTACGTAATGTCACGAAAATCAACCAGCCGTTCGATACAGATGTTGCTTATTGGTGGTATTTACAGAGACAAATAACTAACCGTAAAGAAAAGCGGCGTAACTGATCAGTTTTTGGCTGGAGAATTAAGTCAGTACATTTTGAAGGCAGTGAGCCGTTTATGAGGGAAACTAGAAACGAGGCAATGCCTTGAAGGAATTTATTCCACATTTCTCCTCATTGCTTAGCCATGAATCCCAGGTGAACGGCTCAGTTCAGCAGTGCGGTCAATAAAGCGATTCAAAAAATCGATAGGCGGTTTGACATGTCCTTCCCATTGATCGATAAATGTATTGTACGGTATGTAGCGTACAGCAACTTATCTCTACACTATGGTTCAGCCAAATCCTCTTAGCTGGAGGTATTTTCCCGTTTGCAGCCTGAAATGCAGGTACCGGCACGTTTCTGCTTGCCAAGGTAGCATTGGAAAAGCCGATGAATAACGTTGCACGAACACGTTCTGATTAGCGATCGCAGTCGGGAGTACACCTTGCTTCGAGAAAAAACTCTGATTTATCACTTTTGAGCTGCTTCTTTAGCCGATTGATGCGGCTTCGTGATAAGGGAGCTGATGAGAATGTCTGCTGAAATAATTAATATCACCATCTTACGCAGAGCACGTACCGTAATCAGGATGTTTCGCATGCCCACAGAAAGACCGGTGACACACTGACACGTGCACAGAAACCTACCATATTATGTGACATGTTTTTGGGTTACAACTACGGCCCGTTTGCCACTTTGCAAAAGACCTAGCCTACCTTATCCAGGCCGAAATTTCAATAAGTGCAGCTAAATGCTGCTACATCTATGGCAAAAACCAGTACACAGAGTACAGGTACCAATGCATTGACTCTGCGAACATTGACGCACATGTCAGTTTGAATCTGCACATCGTTAAGTACGGGTGAAACTAACTTGAGTAAAAAAAAACTTGTTGTCTGTTTTTTGTATTGTATGTTAGGTCGCATCGGAGAAGGTCCACGTTGGCGTGGAGGCTGAACAACGTTATGAGCCAGCTAACCCAGGCAGGAAACAACATCCTTAGTAGCAGTTCGCTTGCTGTTCTTCGTAATGCACTGAAGCATGTTACCATTACTTGATTACCTTCCTTCTCTTAGTAGTCCTCTTGTATTAGCGGCTATTGCTCTAATTTCATTATGATGCCTGTTATTTAGCTAGGTTTAAATTCCCGTGCCTAGATTTCGATCCCAGCCTTTAACGGGTTACCTGTCTGCCGTACAATAAACAATAAAAATAAACAATCAAGTTATCTCGCGTGAAATATCAACGCAAATCTATAGGGCGTGGTGACCTTATATACAAGTCCTTTACCTAAGCGCCTCTTATGCCGTCAAGTACAGAATACAGACTAACTCCAGCAGCATTGTCTTTTGACACATTGTTGCACCCAAAACCACACTGAAACTGGCAAACCCCACGCAATTTAATTTTGCTGAACAGGTGAATGGGAGCACGAATCTTACCATTAGCCAATGCTCGGATTTAGGTACATACTGTTAAGTCTGGCTACGCATCCTGGCTACTTCAAGAAGCAGTATAGTACCCGCGATAAGGCACATTCGATGCCTTATCACGGGCTTGCTTCGGCTTCAAATTGGCTAACCAACTACGTAACTAACTAACTAACGTCTGGTAAGTCACAGCCGACTCCTTCTTGGAATGTCTTTCTGCGCTTTACCTCATCGTTCTACATCTGCCTTTACATGTACGAGTACATTTAAGTCAAAATTTTGTGATTTATCGGTTTATTTTGTGATTTATCGCAGAACCGACCAAGAACCACGGTTTCCGTGACTAACCATTTCAGAGTTACACCACAGCAGTTATTGGCACGTATAAATGAATTCTTGTCCCCTAGTCTCGTTTGCTTTATTTCACACAATAATAAACTTAAGCATTACTAATTCTCTTGATGTCAGTCAATGATGTGCGAACTTTTTTTACTGGTGGCGCGACCAGGAAGGTGAGTATGATTCCGACCAGCCGTAAATGTTGGAATATTCTCTTCTTAAGACAAAACGCATTACGGCCTCGCATACCATTCATTTGACCTATACTGCTAAATTGTTGCAGCAGTTTAATGTGTCAAAAGTAGCGGTCATTAATTAACTTTGTGTTTCGCAGTCTGGCTCATAGGTTCTAGAATTCTGTACACTACACCACTGCACCTTGTGGTTCTACTGATTGTGAATACAATGATCAGAATATCAACACATGCTCAAAGTATTCGTCCGGCCGGTAGCTCGTATGTGAGACCTACCACAGAGAGCCGTTTGCTCAATGCGAACGATGTTAAATTTTATTCTCAACTTCCCGCTTACATGTACACCACATTAAAATATAAAGGTGTCACTGCAGGGATGAGAAGCTGTCCGATTTACAAGGCTGCACGTCTCGAACTGACACCGCGTTTTGATATTATGTGTTACCGTATAACGGTTAACTTCCCGACTTCCTCACTTAGGTCTGCTAGTTACAGGAAACGAATTTTCCTGTGCGGGAAAAATTATTATACCTACATACCCGTTGGCCGGTACTAACAATAACATGTATGGTATTATGGATATCAGTCCAACACTGCGCTTGTACTGTATATACTCGTATATATGGCGTAGTTATCGATGAAACCCTAGGCCTAGAGGCGTTTTGATTCATTTTAAGACTATGCATATGCCGTTCATGATAATTAAAGCATCACATAATGTACATACGAATACCGGGCGGTATCGGGCTTTAAAACCACTGCAACAAAAGGTTGGACGAGAAATCTCAAATATGTAACCGTTAGGTACAGCAGCATGCCCGTACAAACAGCCATGCTGTCAAAGCGCACCAGATTTGCCAAGTTGAAAAAATTTAAACAGTGGGATTAGCCAATTTGTATTGCTTGAAGCATACTGCGGAACCACATGCTTTTATGCGTCAAATCGTTGAAACAATGACTTTTCACTTGAAACTCTCGAACCATTAGTTTACATTAGAAAAATCCATAAAAAAATCAATTATCATCCAAACAGACACGAACATTCCCATTGAACACGAGAAAGAGCGCAGCACAATCAGATGAGCATGAAGTGCTGCGCATTAAATACCCATCGAAGGTACTCCAAAATGAGCCACCACTATGCTCGCTAACAATGTCCGCTACCCAGTGAGCCACATTATACTGTGTGCCATTTTTGTGTAACATGTCGAACCGCATGTTTAACCCTTACAGCCTGGTCAGTTCGTGTCATACAGTGTTATGATCGATGCATATGCCATATCCTACCGTTCCGGTTTGGCAAATATTCTAACGGGAATCAGGACAATTTTTGTTTTGGCCACGGAGCAAAAATGCTTGGAATTAAGAAACGCATTCCGTTACCTAATGTGCAGACGTCACCGAAGAAGCAAAAAATCAATACAGTGACGTACATTAAAATCCCCTGGTTTGGGCATTGTCACTGCTTCTTATTGGATTGGTTTATTGATGCCGTGGCGCCAAAGGGTAAGACAATAACATCACTGTTTCGTAGAGGTACTACATGTGGATAGCCTTGAAAGGTACGTACATATAAGTTTTTGTGTCGGTACTTCGTATGCATGACGCATTCACTGAAAAACTGCAAAAATAGAAAATATTTAAAAAAAAATGACGTTGGGACTTGTTGCGTAAGAGTGGTAAGCATTATACCAAATATAATAACATAAATATCTATGTACGTATTGCCGTGTGACTGTGAATAATACTCGTAAGTACTTGCACATATTCAGCAATGAAAATTAATTAAAGTGTTCGAGTGATTGGCATCAGCAACCTACTGACCAATACACCAGACTTAAGCAGATATAACACGTGTATAAATATGACAACACTCCTGTACCGCTAGTCTGTAATTCACTGTTTTTAAAAGCAGCAAAAACTGACAAACATAAAAACTGACATTGTTTATTGTAATTCCCATCTTCAAAGCGGGAGTCACTTGTAATGTTAAATACAAACGGTAAAATTAGCATGCAAGTGAATTGATAAAACGATCCAGTGTGGTAAAGATGGCGCAGCAATTGTGGAACGGCCAAGTGGAACGGTTTGATAAAAAGACTACACATGGCATGCCAAATCATATTTGAACGGACTGGTGCGGATGAAAAAATTAAAAAAGAATTATCAGGACGACATACTCCATTTCACATGCAGTGGGCCCTTTTAATTGGATTCCAAAATATGCATCCGGCGAGCTTGAGTTTTGAGAAAGCGCAGCCGCTGATGGGAAATGAGTTTATTAGGAAGAGTGGTGGTTGTATGACATTTTCAGGCGCAAAGTAGACCTCCGCTTTAAATACACTCGATGATGTATGGTTTAGTGGTTTGTTTGCAATGTTAATGAGCATTATCATTACGCGACAGTGACAGTATAGATTCAGTCATAAATTAATGTTTATGCTGGCATGAAGATGATCTATTATTTGTTTTGAAATGAGCTTTTCCAAATTTCGGCGGTACAGTGTCCAGGTGTTACGGAGAGTCTGGCCCAGCTTTCAGGCTGCTCCAGGTACGCGCTTCGACTTACTAACAGTTTTCGTACTGCAGTATTGTTTTACTACTTTGTATTTAGGGCGCGCAGGCTTTTGATTAGGCCATCAAGACGTTTCCTTTAAATATTTTATTTACCGGTAATCAGTAATGCAAAATTTATTTGTAGTTTTGTGTGAAGTCTCTTTTTTCACCTGTTAGGGTACAGTGTATCGATTAGCGGTTCGTATACAAGTTAAAAGCACATTTGGCCATGTTTAAACCGTATCGCGTTTGGCGTAAGCGCAGAAAAAGTACGATAGTGTACATCAGTATACAGTAGTCGCGTGCACAATTTTCTATGATATAATATTATACTCGTAACTCTCTATAGTTTTAAACACTGTATTCCATTGATTTATCCCGCTGGGTAATCTGAGACGCCGTGTGTGTTCATTTTTGGATTGAACGAAAAGTTTTTCGTATCTTGTGTATGGTTTCTACATGCTAGACACCTAAAGATAGGTAAATAAACAGGTGACAAGGGTCAGTGGATCATACCACAGCCAGAATTGCGGAAATGCACTTTATCTGGGCAAAGGGCTCGTTTTGTATCCAATCGCGCGCAAAAATTCCCTTCCTTTTGCAAATTTCAGAATGACCATGTTGGCAGTATAAAATGGGATACTTCTCTTTTAATTAAGCAGTTGTAGTTTTTTACCAATAATTTTCACTGCGTGCATATGCATATGCGCACATGTACGGGAAATACCTGTATGTAACACTGTAACTCTTCTCATTATGTACAGATTTGTGAACGCATTGGCCAGCATCGCTCCGTTAATAATAATAAACCGTTAATAAACTTTATAGTTTACACCGTCTGTGACGACACAAAATGCCACATCTAACTATCCCAATATCTGCATGGCTGACGATGAGCTCACTCTTATTAACTAAATTTAGATTCAAGTTCGTGATAACAAAAATCGTGACGAAGTAAAATTGTGCCCTTACAGTCTGAACACACAGAAAATTGTTTCAGTTATCCTTTAATACTATGCCCTTCATTATTATTATTATTATTCATTATTTAATACTAATGGTTTTCGCTCTTCACAGATGTAATTTCTGTTAGAATAGTGTACATATACGTTCTCCATGAAACTATCGATCTTATCGTAAATATGCTGCTTACCAGCTCATGAGCAACGTCAGTGTGTGTACACCATGTACAAATCTGAAGCATCGCGTGGGTGCTTCTGGTGATACCCGCCAGTACAATTTGCGGAACATAGTCACCCACGCCCACGGTACCATGCCGCGTTCGCCGCCTGTCTGGTCCCTTCTCGTGATTATGGTCGTGAATAGATTGGGCGGGAAAGCGTTGTTGGTAGACTAAAATATCGATTGCAAATGTATTACTGACGTCCTTACGACTTGTCTATAACTCTAATAACTGCTGCAATTGCAATGCTGTTTTACTTCCTCCGCAACTTTGCAAAGAGATGCCAGTTATTTTTATTATTATTATTATTATTACAGCGCAAGAGCAGACAACCCCGAAGGGACTTCAAGTCTGGTCGAAAGGGGGTTGTAGGGTTGGCCTACTGATTATAGGCAGTAGCACGATTTCCAAAAAATACAGGAACACATAACTACGATACCGTCAGCGATACTTTGGTATCTCTTTTTGAAATGGGGAGATGAAACAAAACGGGTAGCAACACCCAGTAACCATCCGACATTTACATTATGCATTATGCGCGCGCACGTCCTCAAACTGTGGTAGTGCGCATCCATTCTTCCCAAGTGGCAAAGAAGCTACTTTCTGGAACAGCATAGCCCTTCTGTAAACAACGGAGTACACTGCCTAAAAACTGTTTAGCCCCATCAAATGCAGCCGCGAACACTGCTGATGACAAGTAATGCAATCCAGATTATCACACTTGAAAACAGTAGTAGTGAGTTGGCGGACAGCGGTGATACTGTAGATGTATGCAGTGGCACATAAGCTGCATTTGCACAGCGCGCGCAACAGCCATTATAATTGATCAGCTAAACTGTATGCATCCACCAATAATCCCTGGTGGCCGTTCTTTTTAAATTGTCCTATCACTCCATCACAAACGGGGTTCATGCTCAGCTAGTGACAATTTAATTTGCTCATGATTTTAACCTCACACCAGTATTCAACGCCAGACGACGCAATCAGCTGCGAAGTTTATACGAGTATATGTGCGACTAATGCGGAGAGATAGTTGCTGGAGCAAAGTGTTTTTTCGTATTCAGTCCAGACAGCGAATTGGCTGGTAGCTCTATTTCCGCTCATAATTAAATAAGACTCTGTAGCAATCTGTGCTCTTTCCGCTGGCAATACATCGATGATGACCTAAACGCTCTTTCATCCACTGATCCCCTAATGAACCGAAGGGACTCGGCCACTGTTGTTGCGCGTCCAGGCTTAATTGAATTTGTTCGCACAATTTCCAATTGGATTATACGTGTAAATAGCCGGTATATATACGGCCTTTCAGAGAAGCCCAATATATAACCAGAAGTAGACATTCTTGTTTATCTTGGTGTTTTAATAAGTCGGAACAAAAATGTACAGTGGGAGTTTGAATGTATCCTCTGGTAATCAGCCGTCACGGCGACGAAATAATGATCATCGACACAGATTACAAATGCAGCTCGATAAGGATTCTTTTGATGAAACTGGGCATAGCCGGTTGCAGGTTTACGCGCACAGAGTATATACAACGCTCAGGAGAATTATTTTTGGAATCAATGATGATTACGGTGAGTTAGTTCCATAGCAAAAATATTCCTGTCTTATAAGATTTTCAGATTTTTGCCAAGTTATTTTGGATTATAGTTGCCAGTAACCGTTCGACTTATTCGTTTGGTTAGTGCGAGCTCCAAATTTTGCACGGTCTGAATTTCGCTGCACGCAAACCGCGCAAGTTTTTTGTTTAATCGGCGCAAAATCTTTAGGTTTGTCAGCTAGCTGGTGGTTTGAACTTTACATATTATTTTACGTACGTAGGGTAGTTTGTTATTTACAAAATACGGTAGAACACTCGCAGAACGTTGTACTTTATACTGGCCGATTTGCGGTTAAAAATATCTTTTTAAGGTCACGACACATCTGTATTAATTTTGGTTGGTCATCAGTATACAACGTATACAACAGGACAAAGCAGTAAGAGTAGGTTAAAATCATACAATTCACAATCTCGTGTATAAGTTTTTATGATGATGAAATAATATCCTGTCATGCCCTACAACTACGCTGTTCCTGTGCGTGAACAGCGTAGTAATATGAAGATGGAGTCTCCCGTCAACATTTCATTTCCTTTCATTATACGAGGGGCGAGTTGATATTCTTCTTTAAGCAAGCAGTGCAGCACCATATTGTAGTACTACTGTAAAGATACAATATTGATAAAGTAAAAATACAATATATATTAATGATGTCTTTAAATACTTGTCGTTACGCACAAAGGCAAGCAAGTACAGATAAGCTAACGTGGACAATCTGCTTTCTTGGCCATAAGGGATGACAGTCAATCTGAGTCAAACAGTTCTTCTATAAAAATGAAGTTGCTGTAATTAGACTTATTCCTATTTTACGAATCAAGGTCATAAAAAGTTCGTAAGCAGCGAGCTAGGGCCGCGAGGCGCATAATAGCCGAGATGAACGGTTTATAGCTACGTCTATACATCTAGAAAGGAAGCACAGTGGTTGGCGCGCCAAAACATTGACCTCCTAACACTTGCCTTAATGACTTTTCTTCTGCTTCGCCTGAATTATAAGCTTCGTTGTTTGAAAAATGGCATGACTCCTCCGCATCTGGCTAATCTTGATATGACGAGCAAATATGCATAGCCATGCATCATAACACATTCATCACGTTCTGTGTCAGAATCCACGCATCGTTATGATTTATCGATACTGGCGTACGCAACTGAATGCCCTTTACATTTGTATACGGGAAGATGACATCGTGATGAGTCTTTAAATCTTAAGTCTCGATTCACTGTATATTGTTTTTCTGTTATAACAACCTATTTTTCTGTGGCAAAAATGGAATATAATAGGTTCAACCACATTATACTTACAGACTGTATTTATGTAAACAAGGCGAGATCGATCAAACTGGATGACAGCTAAATTTGCATCTTCGGCGCACGATATTAAATGTATGGCCTGGGGCTAGAATATATCACAAAAGATATAAATCATTTTCAATCCCAATGAAAGTTTGACGATAATATAATACTGTATTGCATTTGATAAACTAAACCATGAAAATTAATAAAACCTTCCCTTGCTAGCTGCAGCGAGTGGTAAAAAATATGATACTGCAGCTTGTTTCGGCTATAAAAACGGTTTTGCCGTTGCAGTGCCCTCACGTTAGCCATTTACTTGATCAAATTTGGAGCCGGCTGCAAACATTTATTAAAAATTTATTCTGGATTCTTGTTCAGCGCTTATAAAACTGCTGACTTAATTTCTCACGCTGCGATCTACATAATTTTTAAAACTACATTATTGTTCTCACAGTCGTAATTATTATCAGAAACTTTTGAAATAAAGCAAAAATCTGAATTAACCAAAGGCAAACATCGCTTTTACGGAAATACTGATTTTTGCGGATTCTATAGCTCTATAGCTATTTCAGCAGTTTAAAAAAACATAATATTAGGTAGTCCAGAATGCGACACCTTATTACACAACTAAAATTTTGTGAGAGACATAATTCTAAATTTTAGCAACAAAACGAAAAATCATGTAAGGAATTTTGTAAATTCTGTTGATTGTTTATTGTTAATCCCTAAAAATTTTAAATATCTGTAGGGTAAGCCAGCCACGATCTTGATGAACCAAAATGAATGTGTGATGCACGTATGAATGTAAAATCAACGACCGAAGTTTACATGAACGCATGAATGGGTAATTGATTGAGTGACTGAAAAAATTGGGTATACGTTCCATAAACATGGCGTATGTACTTTAGTACAGCCAGTAAATAACATGGCAAATACTATACGTCAGTACGTGGCAAAACTGTTCGGTAATCAAATTCTGGGGCAGAGACGTTAAATAGTCCATAAGTACTAAATGTATTATGGAGATTTTATGTTGTTCTTTCTACGGCATCATGCTTAACGAAGTCTAACGCCTGCGTTGGCGCGTAAAGACCGGCAATGTCATTTGCAGAATGTGCATTTTTACACCCCGTTAAAGTCCTGATGCTTGATGTAAATTTTATGTGTATCCAGCATGTATCCAGCACGTCCTTTGGGGTATGATCATCCGCTAACTAGTGCTTCCCGTAGAGCGATATGCGGGATGAATGTAGCGGAAGTTAATCAAGTGCTGTGTTTTCTAATCTCTCCCTCCACAATAACCGTATATAGGTCTTCGCAATTTCATGCTGGCTGTCAGTCGCATATAAAAATGCTACACGCGGCGATAAATGCTGCATTTAGTAAATTGTAATGGAGATGGCTATTCTTGTATTCCATTTGGGGTTGGACGGCTGCAACAAGCGGCAAAATATTTTCGCTCTGTACCCGGCTCTAAATGAGTCTTATGCAAATCTTTTGTATCGACGGATTTGTTTGGCATCCATAGTGTAAATATTTCTGAAAACTATGGAGGAAGATTTTGTGGGATGGGAATCATACGATGATGGGAAGGAAGAAAAGCACCACAATAAAGCGCGCCATTCCGTTACGAGGGCGCCCGAGAGGATCAGGTCCAATAGCGTTGTGGAGAAGCTTAAGAGATTATTCAGGATTGCAAATGAAGGTAAATCGTTATTGATCAAGCAGAATATACGTTGTAAGTCGCAAAGCGTTGGAAAGCTTTGCCAGAATATTCATCCCGAACTAACAGGCAAAAGGAGATTGCGGATAATAATATATGGCTTCGTATTATTTCTTCCTGTGCAATATTCATGAGTATCCAGCAGGAAGACTGTCTTCTTCCTGCGGCGTTTGTAGAGGTTCTAATATGTAGTGCCGAATTTGAAACATGAAAAATATTGTGCATTGCCCAACTGTACAATGAACAGGGACAAATACTGGAATACTACTCTAGTATGAAGGTCATATAAAGAAGCACTTTTTATCGCGATGACAGCAGTTGGTTGCAAATTTGATTTTAACGAGCGAGTGAAGATATTAGTCAACTTTTCGATTTTATCAAACGCATACAGCAAAGTTACGCATGACTGTATTTGCAAGCAATTCAGTTACGAGTCGCAAAATGGTAAAAACAGCCGATTATCACGTGTTGTTATTGTGTACTGTGTAGCTTCATTACGAGTCTATATATAAAGATGTACGTAAAGTCTGCTGCACCTGAATATTTTTGTTAGCAGGAGTGTCATAACATTTTGCTGTACGAATCCGTGTGATTAACAAATAATTGCTGTGGAAATATCACCGAAAATTTGAACTGACAGCAGTTGTAATTGGCGAAGTACCAGAATAGTATACAGTGCCTTTTTCCACTCTTTACAGTAATCTTCCTCGCAATAAGCGGCTTAAGATGAAAGTGCAGTAGCATGCGAGCACGCTTTGCAATCATAATATTATCCCCAATGAAAATGAACGATATCCGGTTGGCTCATCGTTTTACTTGTGGTTAATAGCATCGATACAGGCAATTATGGGACATGTATGACAAGTTCGTTGATAATAGCGTTAAATTGCGGTGCCCGTTCACACGCAAAGGCGTTCTTGGGAATCGCGGCGCTCTTCAGACTGCACAGGCTCCAGAAAGAACACGTCATGCAGCATGCAATGCGATTATACATGCCAATAATATATACTCTTTATAATGTCCGAAGAGTGAAGTGATTACAACATTTGAAATTAATAATACAAGTAAATGCAAACCAGTAATCGCAAATATTCAAAAATACTTCTGTTACATGACAGCCTAATTATCCATCGTTATTACCACTTCGATTATGTGTACAACGTGTAAGGCCAAAAAGTACTTTTTAACAGTCAACAGTAACAACACTGACTGAAATTGCGTTGCTTCCACAATTTGGTTACAAAACTGCTAAACTATAGGGCGCGGTCCTGTGCCGTGCGGATTCAAAAATATAGTTGACAATGGGATACAGATTCCATTTATTCCAAATTATATCCCCACGTGCTGCGTGGTCCATGTGGCAGGCTTACAACTGCACCCGTCTTGATTGATTAAGTAAGTAATTAACTACAATCAATTTTGCAATTTGCTCTCCCACGCCATGTATGAACGGGATTACAAGGAAAGATATAACAGAAACTGTAAAAGGGTCAGTTTCTGTAAAAGACTGTAAAAGGGTCAGAGGTGTTAATATTAATACTGTACATTGGCATGTGCTCGGTAAAATGGGATTCTTGTGTTCCTAATGGTACGAATGTGAGAAAACGATTTAACTGCGCGATAACATACTTCGTTTATGTGTAAAGGATGAGCTCACAGTGCACTTCCGTTGACAAGAAAACGGCAATAAATCCCATGGCATGACGAACACAAACTAATCAGACTGGCAACTGGCGGCGGAAGGATGTTTGATCAAGCATCCTCCTTCCGCACCACATGTTGACTCTCGGTTGGATTAGGTGAAACCGTATCAGACTGAACGCTTGTACCGCCTTGGGCACAACTGATTGATCACGGCCCGACTTTTCATAAATGCCTGATGCATTTCCCACTTCCGGCAAATATAAATTCTGAGTGAGTGAAAAACGTAAGTGTTAGGTACCATTACTTTGATTTGCAAAAGTTGTGTAGACATTCCACGCGTGCCAAACTTACGGGTAACTGACCAAAGTGACCATGCAAGTACTGTAACTGACACCATGCAAGCTAACCGTAGAAACAATACCGCACAGAAAACAGAGCATAGCTTAATGTATGCAGTGATTGGGGGATTACGACGTTTATTTTTGGGCAGTGGAAGCAACCGCCGCGGTAAGGTTAAACTAACCTAATTTACTAGCAAGTTCGTTTAATAAATTACGTACGTATACATTTTATGAAATATTTTGGCATGTTCTATTTTATAATATTCAGCTTCTAATGTTGTTGCTGACATTTTTTCTTGTGATGATTTTTGGCTTGCTTGAGATTAATTCCTACACTTTCTTTGACTTCTTTTGCATTTTTTTGCTTTAGCGCTATTGTATTGCCAGTAGTGCAAAAACTCGGGATAACGTTGGTAACTTGGTACACAACTAGTCTGGACTTTGGACTAAAAAAGACTGCGTATTGTTAACATGCATGTATTATACAAATAGCTCAACCAAGGTGCTGCGTGCATTAAAAATTTAGCGGCTCCCCTTTCGCTGCTCTGGGATTTGCATTGATTTCTTAAACCAGTTCTCAGGCTAGTGAATAAATCACGCATTACATCGCTATATGTGCTAAATACTCGTATTTGTAATCTAGGTTAGATACCGGTATATCACTTTAATTTGCAGTAGTGCTATGATTAATGTGACATCGGTTTGAATGGACCGCAACTACTATATAATTTCCCAGTAGACACGGCCATCCTCTTCAGATCCCTCTTTCCTAAATAAAAAAATATATACTACGAGTTGATTATGCGGTGCAATGGAGCGTGAAACCGCCCACATATGGCGTGTGGTCATTTGAGAAAAAGTCGCTTATGCTACTGTTTAGAAACGGCAAGCACTTTGAGAGGTTGTTGTTCCAGGCGATTAACTTCGTAGTATTAATGCGGAGCAATAGCGAGACTACATCACTGGATTAGCGAGAAGTAATGGGCATCCGATACCATCGTCTTCTGATGTGTGGCCGGATATGAATGTGTGCACCCGCAAAGGCACACTGGCTGCAAAATCTGAAATTGTCGTGACCCTGCTGAGGGCGACATTTTGACTTTTGAGTGCTTTTCCATTCAAATGAGCTTGCAAATGCACCGTATAAAAACCACTGTACTAGGGCAGGTTCACGTAGCACAAGGAGGATTTTTGTCCACAGCACCTAATTTAATCGCGTCCTTCAATTTAAATCGTAAACTGTTTGCATACGGTTTTTGCGCTTTTGGAATTTGTCAACAACATACTCGAGGAGATTTGCACCACATATGGACGGTGTAACATTGTGGTTTTTCACGTGAACGTTTTCTTGGCGTTAGGCAGTCCGTTGACTTTTTTTCATGAACGGTCAAAAGTAGCCGTAATAATAGTTTTTGGTAAATTCACTAATTTGTAACCATGAACGCGTTATCGTCGATTCGGAACGTTTTGAGCAGCTTGTCCTCTTTTAGAAAAAGTAAGTTACATGTTACCATATGCTTAATGTTAGCAGCGTGCCACGGCTTGGGGAGGAAAAGCATGTGAATGTTCGATAAATATTGCTTCCATTAGAGTCGTATTAAAGATATCAGATTATAAAAAAGTATTTTATTTTGTAGATCCGGATTTGGAAGATTTAGATCTCCACGTTAGTCGTTATATGCCCACAAGTCTGGATGCCCTTACGAAAAGCACCAAGTTTTCGCGGAAAGAACTGCAGTTTATATACCGAAGTTTCAAGCAAGACTGCCCAACGGGAATCGTTACTGCTGAAAAATTTAAAGAGTTATATGCACAGTTTTTTCCTTTAGGAGGTACATACATATTTACAGCATGAAAAGTTCAATAATCGCTAAATCGGAAAACCAATTACGATGGAGAAGGCAAATATTCATTACTTCTTTCCTGGCTCACAGTGTTGTCTAAGAATCTAGGACCACCTGGTACCTGTCGCCGTAATTGTACTAGGTTACTTGTACCTGGTTAAAATAAAAAAGTCGATGACGGCGCAATGAAACAGCGTGGCATATAATAAAGCTTGAAGAGTTTGATTGAGGCGGTTTGCCGATCCGTACCGACTGAACCATGACCTAATACAGTAGTATACCTCGTAATTATGCATAATGCTGCCTGACTGCATCGTTGGCAGTTAATGATACACTGTAAATATTTTCAGATGCGACACTCTTTGCCAAGCAAGTTTTTCAATGCATGGACCACGATATGGATGGAAATGTGAACTTTGAGGAATTTGTCGTCATGATGTCAGTATTATCACGCGGAAGTTTAGACGAAAAACTGCAGTGGATCTTTAATCTGTATGACGTCAATGGAGATGGGCAGGTGACCTTAGAGGCGATGCTTACGATCGGGACATCGATTTACGACCTGCTGGGGAAGCATTCAGAGCCGCCAATTTATGAGAATAGCGTAAAGGATCACATCTCGAAAATTTTTACGGTAAGATTTTCCATCTTACTTCGATTACCTTTCGATTACCTTTTGACATTCCATAACATGTCAAAAGTGCGAACTCCTGCACTATTGCATCCTACAAGGAACACTTTTACGTATTATTACATAAACAACTGAAATTCAATTGAACAACCGACCTGCCCACTGACCAATGGTCATCACGCAGAGCTGGTATAGTTTAAAGCGGACAGTTTAAACGTTACAACATCAAAGTCGTGCCCGCCAACTCTAGCAAGACCAGCCACATAATAAGTCCCTCAGTGCTGGGCACGACTATTCCTGGTCGTGCTTGTTGCCACCGTCTGTCCCGCCAATTAACATTATACTGCATTTGTCGCGTAAATGATCATATTTGTCGCGCACAAACATTTGGAGGTTGGTACAGCTTTTGAAGAGGTTTTCAAATTAATTATCCACGGAATATTTGCAATGAAATTAATTAAGGAACTCATGCCGCGGTGCAAAGATGAGAATCGTACAATAATAATTACAACAATCGTTAGCTTTTACAACCAAGAATCTACGTGTATCATCTTAATTAAACTTTTCCCTTCGCTTTCACAATTGTCGAAGTCCTTTTAAAAATTTAATAAAACAAGGAAACCCTTTACCAGCCTTACCAGACTTTTCTCAAAATTCAATCGAATCATATTAAAGTTGTCTCAACTTTTAATAATACATTGGCTCCTTGAAAGACTACTGGCTTGTTAATTGTTAAAACGATAATCGATTAACGATGAACATAAAAGCTCAGAATCCAAAACAGAACAGCTGGTAGTGATGAATAAAACTTTTATAAATTGTTAACGATCGAAAACGTTGAAAATGTGTATTTACTATAATTATTATTTTATGATAGCTACCAAAAAACGGAAACTGGCATAGAAGTACATCAAGGTACTTCTCAAGGTACTTCTCAAGGTACTTTTATACCTTAACAAGGTCAAGGTATAGAAGTGCACAAGTCAATAAAGTGAAGAATGTATTTCATCTTGCGCAAGCATGACCACATATCTATATTTCATTTAATCAAATGCAAAAGCCGACAATTTGGGTTTGCGTGCGCACGTGCTCTTCAATGTGCGCACGCATATACGGTATTTTCTTGTTACGAAAATATTTTCTGGCAAATAGTAAAAAAAAGTAAATCGTTTGAAGATGTCGTTGGATCCGTTCTTCAGAAAGACTCTTCTTTCATCTGCTCAAGCTTATTATACTGTGATTCGATTATCATACGAGTATAGCAGGTTATCAACCGAATTACGACGTAGCTAGTAACGTAAGCCATTTTATTTTTTTTTCAAATTTATTCCATTGCTCTGTACAATAGCAGAATATTTCCTTGTGATACGTTTAGCGGCAAAATTAAATAAACATTACAAAAACCAATCGTGACCACTCCGTACACACCCTTTCATACCCTTTTACTCCGTACACAACCTTTGACACTACCATTCGGTACACTGCCAATCCACCCTACCTTTCACTCGGTGCACTACCACACTTTTATATTTATTTATACTCGCATGTACTTAAAATACTTATACTCTGTATTACTTATGGTAATCTGGAGTATTTTCTCTAAAACTTTTGCATTATGTCAAGCTCGGAAACAGGGAGAGACCTACGAAACTGGATCGAAAACTCCTTCAAAGCGGCACTGTCCAAATCCTACAAAGAAAAACCGGCACAAGAGTGCCTAGAATTATTTTCTCACGGGAATTCGATTTTGTAACTGCCGATGATGCTGTAAAATAAGCAGCAATAACTGCGGTAAACGAAAAACGGCAGTTTCAGAAATGACTGTATTTTGCAAAAATTTTAAAAAAATATAAGGCAGTGCACGCAGATAAAAGTAGTGCCGTGTGGTTGTGTACGGAGTAAAAGGTAGTGCTCAAAAAGGTTGTGCACGGAATGAAAGGTAGTGCAAAAGGTTGTGTACAGAGTAAAAGGGTGTGAAAGGGTGTGTACGGAGTGGTCACCAAAACCAGTACTGTACAAGTGTATACTTCAAGTATAGACATTATACAAATTAATGCTTTCCTACGAAGAATTTACGAATTAACAATTTTGTCAAAAACCAAAAATTCGCACAGATTTTTGCGGATTTTCAAACACCAAAGGCATATAACATGTAAATACCGAAAGATTTAATATGTATCTTGTTTTCGTAGAAGATGGATTTGAATCAAGATGGAATCGTCACCTTTGATGAGTTCAAAAACGTTTGCATAAATGTACGTGATCATGGTTCAAGGCACGCTCACCTTATGTACTGCGGTTTGCCGGTCTCGCGATCAACAAAAGCCGGTAAAGGAATTACCAGTAAAATTTTAATTTTTGGTTTTCTTTGACAGGATGAAAAGATTAGAAGGAATCTCACCGTTTTCGACACATTTCTGTAAAGCCACTGCACAAGAAATGCACTACTGCACCATTCCTTTTGCATCTTGCCAAAAAGACTTCTCATACCTGGATCCGTCCTTTACAGTGGAGCTGTGTGTACGACAACTTATTTAAACAGTTTATTGTAAATTAAACAAAATTCTGGACAAGCTGATTTACGGTGTGATGCATATTTGTTTCAAGCCCATCAAGTGTAATGCATTTTTTGCTCATTAGACATTATTGAAGGACAGTTGCGCAAGTGTTCAATTAGCACAAAGTACAAACTCTTGATATTTGGCCGATATCGGTTATGAGAATCGGTACTTGCATAACTGCGTCTAAACAGAATTTAAAATTATTATTAGAACGTCATTGTATCCGAACCGTGTAACGTGCCTCATAAAGTAAAAACTGCTAGTGCTCTAGTGTATCCAACTAATCCGAGGATCAGCAGCAGACGAGGTAGCACCTAATCCCTGAGCGCTTGGCTTCATCACAACTGAGTGCGAACGACGGAATAACGAAGAGAGATTCTGATGTTCACAAGTATCCATTGACTGGTGTCTGTGGAGCATGTTGCGTGCTAACTGCTGATCACAGTATCAAACTTTCCAAAAACTGAGACAATCTGCGGATCCTGTAATGAAAATTGTTGACAACATAGTCTGTTACTGACAGCAGGCGACATAAACATTGTCCTACTGTCGTACATTCTGGCACGCTTCCGTGAATTCGGCAAAGGTTATCGAACCGTCGGCGTCAAGATCCAACTTCTGCAATGTAAAACCGTTTTTAAGAAAACCCTCGGAAGAAATACGATTAAAATTATTTCCATACGGCAAATATCTGATCAATTTGAGTGTTGATTGATTGTTCATCGATGCACGGTTGAGAATGAGATCCCAGCATCAAATGCATGGCCATCAGAATCTCCTTCATGTTGGCACGGCTGACCTTTCCGGTACCGTTGAGATCATACAGATTGAACACCCACTGCAGCTTTTGGGTTAACGTGCCACGCGCCAGTAACGACATTCCAATAATGAATTGGTCAAAGGTTACATGCCCGTCTTCGTCTTGGTCAAAGGTCGAAAAAACGAATTTGGCATAAGGTGACGCATCTAATAACGCGTACGCATGCAAGCCATTTATTGGAAAGTACAAAAAGGTATTTTACGGTTTGAACCACTACTAAGAACTTAGTCAGTAGTTAGTACGTACAGTAAATTAATGCTTGTTAAAAAATTTCTGAACTACACAAATTACCTCCGAGAGGAAAAAACTGGCAATATAGTTCCCGAAACCTTTCTTCGTCCACAATACCGGCCGGACATTCTTGTTTGAAACCACGATAGATCATACGAATTTCTTCACGCGAGTAGTGCGTCAACTGGCAGAGATCATCCAGATTACTGGGTTTGTAGTGTATTACTTGGACGTCAAAATCCTCGAAGTCCCCATCTAGAACATTGCTCTTATTAGTAAAACACAGCCACCTCCAAAAGAAATAACTATAAAAATTTAGGATTTATATAACTGAAAACAATACGACAGAATTTTTCCTGGTCAGAATAACCCAGAACAGAATTATGGTAACACTGCCATCTTTGTCACCTATTTCATCGCTACTTCCGGAAAAGGCTTTACGAACAAACGCCGCAGCAGTTCTTATTGCCGTTAAACCGTTGTCAAAAATTCTGTTGGCCATCTTTACACAACGTGTAGACCAGTTCACTATATTCAACCAAACACATCTGCCACGGCTAAGGACATTCTTTGTGCCACACTTAAGAGAGCATTCCAAACCCGCTTTAAGTAAGAAATAAATCAAGAAGCCAGCGCCGCACCGATGTACGCTGGTGTTGCGAACACGATCGCTAATGAACCATCTAAGAAAACAGACATAAGCTTTCATCAGTTAATTCTTTTGGGGGTTATTAATAGCCAGCCACCAACGGGCAGAGTTGTTGACAGGCTGCGTGGAGATTGTGGCAAGCCGTGGCATTGGAATGTGACAGATGATAATTAAGCTCGGAAATGCTTGATTTGGCCTACATTAGCCGATGTTCTCAGGCCTACCGCTCTGGCTGCACTGCAGCGTAATTTGTTGTTGCAAATTTTTTGGCAACCGGGGTTGAACCGTTAAATACTGCGGCGGATGAAATCCAATCGGGTGTTGACAAGTGAGATGGGCACTGCCGCTCACAACTCCTGACTGATAATGGGATTTTTCTGCTAGAAACTGCAGACGGCGCTGTTTCATAACAGTAAATCTTACGGGAAGCAACCGATCATTTTGGCGGCTAGACAATACAAGGGTGTGCCTTAGTAAGTATTTATATTTAAGACGCTACGTTAAATCAATTAATCGTTTGTTTTTTCATCGATCCTCGAAGCACGAGTCATTAAGACTTAAGCCAAAACTTTTGGTATCTGCGTATAATTCCAGAACTGCAATGAAAAATTGCAGCACAGTTTTTCATGGAATTGTATCGTTGCAGCGTTTAATTTCATGTCTTTAGTAATCTGTATTTACCGTGCGCGTTACGGCAGAAAGATAATAGGCGTATGGATTAGTACGGTTGATTGAACACTGCCAGAAATTATTGAAAAATAAACTGGAGCTGTTGAACGCGCGCCAACTGCTGTGTGACCGCATCTAATCAATAAGTCAATATGATGAACTATTGATACTCAAGCAAGTGCCGTTGAATACCGATGAATGGCGCTGATAATAGTAATTTGGTCACTATGGAGTATTAAACAAACAGGCGGCTGAAATGCGGGTTCTGCATGGGGCAGCGGCCTAGCGGAAACAATCTACCGGCACCCGCAATTACGCTTTGTGGGAAGTTGGGCGAACAGCGAGGGTGTGAGCCCTTTTATAAGTTACCGCACTGCGAACACAGCGCTGTCGATTCATTATTGTGTAATAGATTTGGGTTATGCATCGTAAGCTTTTAATAAAAAAAGCTTTCGACTCTTTTGATTTCAGCGTTGGTGGGGATGCTGCCGCACGCGGTTCAAACACTTATTCAGTGCATGCACAGGAAATACGATCCTTATTAAGCCCACCTTTGCTCTACTAAACGCAAATAACTGAAAGGCATCGCGGTGTTTTTAATTGACATCGATCGATGACCTTCGAGCGGGTTCGCTATTGTCCCTTTAGTTGCTGTTAATGACTGTAATCATACTTGATGGAACAGCCGGAAGCTTTCCTGTACTGCAAAGTAAACCGCCTGGATATAGTAATCGTATCATTGTTGGCCTCAATTTTCATAAGGGATATAAATAGGCTCATTAAATGTGCGCGCGGATTAACAGGCACATATGCAATGATGATATACTGTACTCGAATTGTCCTTACGCATCATTCGACGCAGTACAGATAGAACGAACAAGTTTTATGTCAATTAACGAAAATGTAAAACAGAAAGATGTGGTAACTGTACTGCACAAACGCCAGACATTCAGTGGTGTAGAGTCAGTGTAGACAATAACTCGGTTTATTTAACTCCCTGTAAAACGCGAGCACACTGCCAAAGCTTTGTAAACGATTTTTGCGCGTGCGTTTTTAATAAAGCATCGCAATTAGGAGACAATATAAAACTGCAAAACTGCTCAGAAACGCACGTGTTGGCGGCGTACATAACGTTTTTATAAAAATCAAAAGTTTATAAAAGGAATAAACACAGAACAAACTTGCGATTAATGTGCGTGTTGAAAGCGCCGAACGCGGATGCAGTTACCTGTTTACTCTACCTGGTGAATTCCTTTTTTATCGATTGCAGTTAATATTAACATTTTGTTAAGGTTTCGTTAAGTACTAGAGATTCTATGGTAGGGTCAGTAATCGACAATAAATTCTGTATAATGTCCTTCCTGCACGGCACTCCTGTGAATTTTCCAAATCTGGACGTATCTGGACGTCCAATTACGACAGTTAGTGGTATGCCGGTCAATAGTTAATTAATCAGATTTAGCAAATCTGTTTTGATTTAATACACGACTTGTGTTGCGTACCATAACCATCGGAAACGCCAAAGAGCACTCTCCGGAGACAATGATAAAATATCCGGCAGTAATTGACAAATCTCTCCCGTCGGGTCAAATTAACCTCAATGTTCTCTAGTCCTGCCGGCTGTACCGGGATAAAATGAGCTTTGGGTGTTGTCCGTTTGCGTACGGAGCGCCGATTCGAAGAGGCGTTGATGCTGCTGTACATGATAACAACCGCAAGATGTAAGTGAGAAAAGCTCCCATCAAAACGTCAAGATTCCACAGCAAACATCACTCAACTAACGTTGCCTGACAGAGAATTACATCCCATTGACTAACAAGGTAAATATCGATAATCCGTGATCAAACTACCACTCTGTAATCGTACAAAACACGGGAACAGCCGTCATAAAAAGTGGAGTGATGCCGGTGCAATGGGGTTGATGAAGAGCGGACAAAATGCGTGTATTCTTGTACTGGGAGTGTTTATGTCTGTACAGTTTGGCGGTTTGTGGGATGTGTGGTGCAACAGGGGTAAATCGATAATTCACGGAATGATTATAAATGTTTAGCGGTGCACAAACGTTCAAGTCAATCATATACATTGGAAATCAACGGAAGGTTATGACAGTTGAGGGTTAGGATCAAAAACTATGCCGCGCTCCGTATTAGCGAGATATCTGCGTGTTGGTTGATCCAGCCAGGCGAGCGGGTTAGATGACGCGGAAAGGGTAATGCGGCACGTTGTGATACTAAACACTCGTTAGGATGATCTTCGGAATTCGAATGACACCGGCGGCGAATTTGTAAAACGATACCGATTCTGGTTTGTTTGAATTAATACAAAAAGTACCAAGATGTACTACTACGAGTCGGCGATATGCTCTGGTCTGCCTCTGACGAAACTCGAATCCTGTCGGCACTGTTGAATCAACAACCGGGGCGTGATCGTTAAGAAATGACAGGAATAATGTTCTTAACGCGGGGATTTACGATCTAAATGCTTCTGGTCAGGAAAATGAGCCTCATTAAGGCGCAATAAGAATGCCGGTAAAACAAACCAGAATTACGCTGGATTGGTTTTGTTTACGTTGGCTAGTTTCTTACATCATCGGTATGTCGAATGTTCTCGGAAATGAGTGCTGCCTTGCATTCGTTAATCCATATCCCGCAGCTTGGAATTATCATAATTCTGTACCCACTGATTACACCCCAGACAGTACTTGCATTTAATTACACTCATCAATCTGACATCCCGCTGTCATTGCAAACTCATCACGGAAGATCGAGCGCAAATAACGGCCTTACTGCTTGATTGTCGGTACGGATACTATTTGCAACTTCGTCTAAGGAAGCGTAAATATCAGTGGGATTGCAGACAGCAATCCAATGCCCTCGGGGGATTTCGCCGAAGTGACAATGTGGCACCTTATCATCGCGCTGATGGGATTACTGACAGATCTTTACTTGGCTACTTACTACTTACGTATTCCCAGACAAAACGCCAGCACTTTCCCATCCCAGAGCGGCAAACTTAATAGTATCCTGGAATACTAGTAAACGTTTCTCAGTAATCAATCTTAAAGTCAGAAATGACGTCATAGAATGGTCACTATTCAATTTTTCTTCGTGGGGCGATATTTATTAAGTCTTCATATTATAGGTAATTACTGAACTTTATATACTCAAACTCAATCATTATTCTGAAAAATCAACAGACATGCGGTTGAATCGCACTGTAAGGATTTGAGTAATTATGGCTTCCACGTGACAACCTCAACGAAAGTCTTGATGGCTTGTTTCAACAGCGGCTCGGGCACTGTGTTGAGATCCTCCACAGTTGCCAGCTCTGCAGTGTATAAAGCGCGTCTTTCCGGCGTTTCCGCTAAGAGTGTCGCACACTTTAATGCATTAATCGCCACCTCCAAGGTAGGATTACGGGCAACCTTAATTAGCCGCAGCAGCAAATCCGATGAATGCTTCAGTGCTCGGTAGCGCGCTTCAATGTCCACTAAGATCCTGAAAGTAAGACATCGATACACAGCACGCTTCTGCTGACTGAGAAGCTAAATCTCTCCCACATCATTAAAGCATAGGTGACTGCTGCAAGGCATCCGGTTGGTTCCTCCAATAGCATTGCGACAAGCTGTTCTACGGTACCGGTGCGGTTAGCCTGGATCTTGCCTTCTGTTTCTTGCGCAACGTCCCCTAAACATCGAGCGGCTCGTTCTTGGATTTCCACATCGGGATTTTGGAGGAATTCGGTGAAATACTGAACCGCTGGAGTCTTTAAGATGTCTTGTCGAATCAGACTGTGATCCATAATGTTATGCAGAATTTCCAACAAAACCTTTTGCACTTCGGGTACTTCGTTATGAACTTTTGCAACGAACTCAACGACCAGATTGTAGTTAGCGATTTCAAATGCTCCTGCAAAAAAAGTTATTGTCGCCAAAATGCTACATCATTCTGAACCTGTCATATACTCGAACAAAAAGTGAAGTAATTTCTCCCACTAACCTTTAATGTTTGTAGACAATTTACGAAATACGCTATAAACGTTGACTCGCACATCAGTTTCCTCGTCATCGATCCGGTAGCGCAGCACATCCACAACATCTTCCAGTATGATGGTGTCACATCCTCTCTCGTATTCTGGGTGTTCAAGCAGATTATTAAGTTACTTATGGTGGTAGACTGTGGTGACAAGTAGATTAATATTGCTGCCGACATACGAGACAGTAACTGGAGACACGCAGTGGTTCGTTCTCGAACCAGATAGTCCTGTTCACGCAACCGGCCATTCAGAATCCGTATAACTCCTGGACACAAACTGGTGTACTTAGTTGATGCGCAGGGTTATATTCCTCATGAGTTATACAGCTTAGGCTTAGCTGGTGGCCAAACAGATCTTGCCCTGATCAAGACATTCCTGTACGTGACGGGGATCACACAGATACATGGCCAGAGAATTCAAAGCTCGTCGCCGGACAATGACTTCGCCAAACTGCATTTCTTTCATCTTGAAATAAGATTTGATAGTCGATGGTTACGTTAATGCAGTAACCCGCAACACTTATAACTGAGTGTTGAGGTGAACTTACTAAAAGTGGAACCGCGCGGAGTCCAAAAGCCAAAGGTGTCATTGTAAAATCCACCCGCGGCGGGTATGTATCGGAGACACTGGGTAGCGACATTATTTTCTCTGATGACATGTTAAGCGACAAACACTAACAGCAATGGCGTCTTACAAATTCAAACTGCGCCCGAGACGAAAACGTCATAAAAATCTGTTGTTAATTTTCGTATGTCTTCGAGTGCACTGCTTCTCCGTAATTTCTGTTTTTTTTTTGTGATTGATTAGCAACAACGTCACTGTAGCTGCTTATGCAGACAGCGGCTGCAGTGGCGCTATACCAAATCGGCACAAAGTAATCGGCGGCAGATTGCGCCGCCATTGCCAAATGTCTCACTCAGTAAATGCATAAAAATTATTGCGTACAGATGCAGTTCGCTTGTAACAAAATCGCAGCTCGATGTACACCTGATCAGCTAAAAACCAACCTAACTCGTAAATAAAATTGATGGCACTTGTTAGTTTTGCATCACAAGCGTGCCCATTGCCCGGATCCGTTAATTTAGGGTCCAATGCGCAGATTATTGCAAACTTGTACCTACATACTTGATACTTCAGAGTTGATTCTGCATTAATTTATCAGGTTTAACTTCTATACTTCTATCCAGCAGATAAACCAAAGAAAAAGAAGTAACGAGTCGCAATGATGTTTCTACAATCGGGACCTAGAGATTATAACATGATTTTGAATCAAAGAAATTTTTATATGGCGGAGAAGCCCACATACCTAATATCAGTGATAAGGGTGATTTTTTGTTTTGTTAATGCTGCTGCGCTGATAGGGATTGTACTACAGAACAAATTTTAAAAAAAAGTGCTTCTAATATTATGGCGAACGACCCAAATCATGCTTTTTAAAATTTTACGCCGCATCAGTAGCTTTCTCGATAAAGAAAATAGTATCTTTTATTGAAAGAAATAATTTCGTCAGCGTGACGACTAAGCCAAATAAATAACTACAAACGACTATCGAACATTGCTCCAAAATATCGACACATCTCTGGATCCTGTAAATAAGTGAAACATATTATGAGAAAAGTTTATCGTGCAGCATGAAAGTACTTTTGATGGTCTCACAAATCACAAGTAAGTTCGATTACTACAGCAGAGAAAACAATGAGTATATAATGTGTTCACCATGTATTGTACATTGCGTTTATTATGCAACTTACTCGAGTGCAAACCGTTTTAAATTCTTCAATAGTAATAAATCCATCTCCATTGAGGTCCATCCTCTAGGAAAGAAGAAGATTACCTATTGGTAGCCTTTAATCTTCGGAAAACTTAAATTATCCTATATGTTGTATTACTTGCGTACATGCATAAATTTACTACAGAATGTATTATTATCTGTTATTTATACGATTACAGCATTAACTGCGTCTTGTTACTGAGCAGTTCACATTATAACAAATACGTTACTTCTTAAGAACAGTTCTTACGACATAATATTATCTACTATCTAGTACACTGTATATTATACATAACATATATAATAATATCTGCTACGGAATCGTTTAATAAATAACTCAATGGCCAACTGACCAACACCCAAACCGTTAACTTTACACTAAACCATGGGAAGAGCGCGATAAGTCAGTTTCCAACTTACATGGCCAATCGTCGGATCAAAGCAGTTAAAACGTGCCACTTTAAGTTATTAGAATTAATAATCATCGTTTTATTACGGTACGTGGCTATTAATTACAGTGGCTGTGGCCTTCACCAATCAGTACACGCGGCGTATGCATGCACTGTGACGCTTACAGTATTACACACCGTTCATGCAACATGCTGTAATACCATTGCTGTTAAATGCTTAAAATTAATAAGTACGTTTAACGTATAATTTATATAAATATACCCGAAATATGCGGTACACATGATCCTCCACGGTACTTTTCTGCATGGCTGGCATGGTGTGCTGCCCGATCATGTCGTACACTGACGTCAAGATAGCCGACATTTCTCCCGGCGAAACGTAGCCGTTGCCGTTTAAATCATACAGCTTGAAGACCCAGGTCAGCTTCTCATCAATGTTCCCCCTGGTCAACACCGACATGGCCACTAAAAAGTGGGCAAACGTAATACAGCCACATCTGCCGGTATCCAACGTTCCAAATACATAACCGGCAAAATTCCTTGCATCTGTATGAACAACACGAGGAGGCTTCAACATCGGAAGTCTGTATATTGCATCAGAAAGTTGACCTGCCTCCTAATGGAAAAAACTGCGAATACAGATCTTTAAATTTATCCTCTGTTATTAATCCAGTAGGACATTCTTGTTTGAATCCGCGATAAATCAGCTGGATCTCGTTGCGGCTGTACTTCGTAATGCTGCATAAGTACTCCAAGCTTTCTGGCACATACCGATCGGGTGGCTGGTCGACATCGTCAAGGTCGGCATCTGGAAAAAAACAGTCTTCGAACAATCTAGACATCTTAAGAAGTGCGTAATATGGTATTCCCAAATAGGCCGACACAAATGCTTAGCTTACAAGGAACACATTTTGTAAAAAGTCGTATTGGAGTTAGCAAATAAGAGAGAGGCATGTTGCACAAAACCAAAAATAAATAAATTACACCCCAAAAGTAAATCACACAGCTTCTAACTTATCACTAGCTAGAGCGCATTTTTGCCTATTTTTTAAAGCACGTAATGAAATAAATCTCTCATTATAAACATCGGAAAGCTGGATCAGCGTAAATTTACCCAGATATAAATACAGTGTTAAGCCGATCACGTCGCTTATAAATTCTCATATTAATGGTCAAATTATCGCCAGATAAACAAAATCTTTGCTATCTATACAAAACAACGCACTCACGCTTTCGAAACGAGAAGCTTGTAATTGCCGAACGAATGGACGATAGAGCGTTCATCTCAAGAGCAGACAAATGGCATTTCCATACCAGTACAATTTACGCCGCTTTTTTTTAAAACCAACTGTGTTCCTAGGAATCATTTTTGTATTCCTCCGATAGTGCCTCAGCTGTTTAAAGAATGACTACGTAAATATTAAGTAATCGAGAGTCATACGGACTACAACATCACAATGATACATGCCTGTTTGCACTTATCCCGCCAACTGGTCTTAAGACACTTGCCATGTCTGTATAAACTTGCGTAGAGTGTATTGATTATGAATGATGATGCGTTGCCGCGCTCAGCACAGAAGGTATCATTTTCACGAGCATTTTACATTATTTAGGATGTGGGAAAGTATGGATGTGAGAAATATTTGACATATGTTATTGGCTGACATGCCGCGCGATTTGTTCAAGTGGGGAGTTCTGGATCGCACTCTTGACGACAACTACGGAACAGTGATGTAATTGATAGCTGGTAACAACCGGCCAATGATAATTATTACAATCAGCTGGGCTAGTCAGCTTACATGTACATTGCACGTCAGTTTTCTAAACTATCATAGCGCAAGCCGATGCGAGCTTGCATAATTATAAATACTTCTACTGATATATCAACAGAAGCGTTAAAGCGTACGTACCGAGTAAATGTACCACAGTTTTAGCGGACAGCTATTGTAGCAGGAAATGACTCTCAACCACCGTAAGTCCGTAACCATCGCGATTACTTATAGCTTTCGCTTGTATGATGTCGGCGCTGCGGCCGTTTCGTTGTGAGACTCAGATATTTTTTTATGTAACGGACATACGGACAAAACGCAGTGGACGACGAAGCATAATATTATAACGTGAACTTTTGAAACTACTCCATTCGGATCGCGCATTTCACTCGAAGTCATACTGTACCACATCAGACATCTGCCAGCATCACAGCTACGCTTTGCTTTATGTCAGGGACTCATAATACACACAGTCGAAGTAGGACAGCAGTTGCACTAAGTCGAGAAAAATGTCTGATACGTACCACATAATTATGTTAATCTGAGATCTACCAAATTTTCAAAACCGATAACAAAGCGCTAAATTTTGTATAAGGTAAAGTTAACTCCCAGTGCAACTTATACTGGTATATAGAAATGAGGGATAAGTAATGACTAACAATAATCAGATAATTAACAATAAGTTAAGATTGTAAGTCCCTAGAACAAAATTTCAGCGGCCACAGAAAACAAAAACCGGAAAACGCAATATTTTTTGGCAATCATAATGTTATAATTACAAAGCAATATAAAGTAGCTACCCTTGGTATATTTAATAGCCACCTGACGCCTAGAGAACAGAAAGGAAATAAGCAAGTCAGTTATTTAAACATGATTACCGTCGTCGGCAATTGCTCCAAAAATTGCTCTTTTCAGTCCACTTAAAAAATTTATGGTTGATCCTCCTGCTGATCCCAGATCCGACGCATCAATATCCACAGTGCTTCGAGACGACTTTCTGGTGTCCTTACTAGATTTCCGGCTTTGTACAGTTGGGCCAGATGTGGATGTGGTGCTGTAGGCATGATACATTACTAGGCCCAAATTTCAAGAAATTCCAATAATAATTATATCACAACTGATAATAACTTCGGGGCTACAGCCTTACAGCGCCAGAAACCATGCCCAGAAAACGGAATTACTAGCAAACTAGTATAGAAGTATGTACAGACTAATACAGTTTGCAAAGCTTGCATAAGCTGTGAACGAAAACGGTAAACTAATTTCCGAATGTGCCCTATTACGATAGTGAACTTTATGGTACCTAGCTCGCAGTATCTATATAGTTTTAACTGCCAGAGGGTACCAGCACAAGGTTGTTGTTTGACCAGCACTTCATCACCGCTTGTAAATGTCAGTCCATGTTTAACTAAAATCCTTTTGAATGATCAATGCTGCTGGGAACAGCTGGTAAATAGCAAAACTTCCTTTGTACGCTGACTACTGTTTTGGTGCTTAACGAAGTAAACCCCAATAGCATTTGAAAGTGTATCTCCCAGCACTGACTTTTTGCCAGTTTTGCGTGATATGATTAATTTTTATACTTTTCTGGATGAACTAATTCCCTTTTGCTTATCTTTTTAAATTTTGCACACAAAATAGGTTGCGACTTGATCATATCAGCGGTTATTTGATTCAGAAGCGCTAAACAAATAACTGGCCGATGCGTACATATTACAGTTATGTAAACATGTTGTATACTTGGAAGTATGCGTATTATTTGCTGATCTGCTTATTCAACTTTTGTGTACAAAGTAGCCGTATATATTCCAGGTACAATATTACATTGGTTGATTTGGTGGTCCTCAATTAGCCATTACATTGTGGATTTGCTAAACACGGCTTAAGGGCTTCCTGTAATAGGGGGATGCGCGTATACTGCGCAGCATATTGGCAGCCAACCGATTAGCGGCACTTCCCTAGTGGACAGTTTACAGTTCATTATTCTCAGTTCATTACTCTCAACGTTTCTTTTACCGATAGCTGAATAAAAAATTCACACAGAATTGTATAAACTCAAGTTTCCCAAACAGCCGAAGTTTGAGGTGGATAATGAGGCGTCAACAAAACACTTGGGATTGAATGGTGATTTAGCCATAAATTTATCGGTTAAAGCTTACCGCAGCATGAATAAATTCTATTAATTCCGGCGATCGCATGGGACCGCACCACATACCGCATTTCAAATCCAGGGTCGACATTGACACAAAAGCTTATTCGTGAGTTTCTAGCACAAAATTAGCAAAACCGGCAATTTTGCAATAAGTTAAAACATAGATTACCGTAAATTCTTTCGCTGAAATCGTTCAACCGATACATTAATCAATGTTTCACTGCCATTGTTGCAGTGTGCGCCATTTTTCATTTGCTAAAACACTTCGTCTCACACTACTACAATGTGGATGTGTAGTTTCTTTACCGCTCCTGTAGCGGCGTTTATGATTGCGCATGTTATGGCTCAGGACGAAGGAACACCAGTTCGGATGGTTACCGTCGATGTATGCTAGAGATTCAGTTTTAATGGTAGTTTGGATTTGAACTGATCTTCATGGCTGCAGTTACCGCACTTGCTCAACCGGACTTCGGATACTGACCCAACCGGATACATTCCAGATCTGTGGGATGCATTGGACAACACTAAACTAATCACGCTAAAATACCCGATTAGGGTTGCTTCCAATTTTGGCCAGGCTGTTCGCGACATACTTAACGGAGTGCGTCATGATTTTTAGAAGCAGTTAGATGCAACTACAGATATGTTCCTTCCCCACTGTATCTTCTGTACTGAACCTTTCTCTTCTTTTTATTCAGAATTCTGATGTCTTCCTTGCCTTTGTTGAGCCTACCGCGGAACTGAACAAATCCATGACCTTTACTATACCGGTTATGAATACCAGCAATGTGCTCGTGTACCATAAGGATCTCAATTCCACAGACACATTACTGTACTTAAACGGAACAGATGCGAAAGATATTATGGAGGTACCAAATTGATAAAATTACCAAATGGAGGACAAAAATAATACTTTGGCCAGAAAAGCCCTCTAATTAAACTGCGTTTGAATTCAGCGTCACACTAACGTGTTCACTCCGACAATGAGACAGCTGAGCCAAGCCGTACCTTCTGTCCCAGCTGGACTGGAAGCCGTTAATAACAAAAAGGCTTTTTTTCTTGGACGGTATCCGTTCTTCAACAAAGTCATGAAAAAGTATCCGAATCTACGCATCACTAAAAAACTGGAAACGGTTATTACCCATTTTGGCGTAGCAAAAAACAGTAAGTTGCTTTTTTAGCGTGCTTGAATGTAGGTAATTATACTAGACATCCAAAAACAATTTATTTGAACGCTGATTGAATTGTCTCATAAAACCTAGGTATTATAAAAATGCTTTTGTTTTTTAGAGCCAGAAATCCTGGAAAGTTTGAACGCAGCCCTTTATATGCTGAAAAGAGCCGGGACCTTAGAAAACTTGAGGATACTTCATTTCGAGGGAGTGGAAAGGGCACTGAACAAACTTAACACTAAACCTAAGGCCTGACTGACTGTTTACAGCACAAATTTACATTTCTAATGGCTAATAGCTAATGCCAGATGAAGAAAACATAATCGCTCACAATAAACCGAAGTTTAGAGCGCGTGCTACAACTACTTATCTTTCCATAGAGCAGTTAAAATTACGGTTATAATTCACATCAATGACATACTTACTTGTTGGAGTCATCACGTTAATTAATTTTACATGCTAGTGGCATTCGGGATCAGTGTACCATAGCAGTACTACCACAGCCAAGTAGTAGCGCAATATAATTATTGGGCTGTTGTACTACAATACAGTACTAGTACTAGTTCCAAAGGTTTCAGTACGAGTTTTATTATTAGTCGGTGGCCTGTCAGTGGTGTTAATAGTGCGCTCTTTACCATCGGTTTCGGAAATAAATTCCTCTTCTCGATGTTAGCTAAAATATGAATATATAACCGAGCGAATGCCAAGAAAGCTAAATATAGTGTAATACACTACGTATCGTTGTAGTGTGCAGGAATATGGTGTAAATATTCATGCACATTACAACGAAACTGTACTTCGCTGCTGTAATGTGATAAAATGCAGAGGACCAACAGTATTCGTAAGCCAAAAAAGCAATACTATGACGTTTATTTCACAGCGGGCAAAAAATAAAACGTTAAAAACACATACAGTAACTTGAGTGAATGACAATATTAATGAGCCGACCCAGCAATGCCACTCACATCGGTCTTTGGTGCGGAGGTTCAAAGGGCACCGAATGCAATCGATCTGGCAAGTTTACATTAAGAGTCTGTAGTTTCGAAATATCTTGGGCTGGCCGATTCCGGTCGCCAGTCCCTGTTAAGTAATCAATCTGAACACATGGAATGTCTTTTAAAAGCTCCTTTATGCGATCCCGAACGAACTCCACATAGGCGGGTCGCGTTGTGCACAGCCACACGTAGATTCGATAAAACTGTCCTTTAACGGTTATGGACACTCCGTTAATGAACCCTGAATACGGTACCCATCGTTCCTCAATGCAGTGTACCATTAGATCCCGCCAAAAGTTGTCCACAATCTGCGGGAGCTCGTTGACCTTAAATATAATTTTCCATCTGCCTATAAACAAAAGCAACCAAAATTTGTGCCAATCAGCAAAAACCGACATGCAATTACCGCCATCTATGTTTTCGGCATCGTTCCAGTCCGGCCACACTGGACGCCGGCCGAATCCTCCGCGGAACAATGCCATCTCGCGCTTGGCTGGCAACTCCGACGGCGGTTTAATAGTGTTCCACATTCCCCAGAACTGTTCCTTATAATCAAATGTGCACATGGGCTTCATGTTCTCCTTCCAATCTGCCTCGCCTTTTTCCGTGATGATGTACCAGTACGTCCAGGCCGCGTTCAAGCGGATGCCTCGTGGGCAATCAAGACGAAACCGCTGAAGGTATGACTGATACGCTTCTTGGTCGGGTTGTTGGGAGGATGGTAGGCTCTGTTGGTTCTCGGCTGGAGCCCCGTATGGATCGTGGATGTTGTAGAGTTCTTGCGAGTTGGAACTGCACGGGGTCAGTCGGCCGCCGTTCGACAGCGGGGAAAAGTACGGCAGGGGCTCCTGTTCCGCATCTGAATTATCTGACGGTGCATCTCCCGACCCGTAATAGCCGTTACTAATAGTACATAAATCTAGTCGCGGATATTGATTCATGCCGGGCCAGTTCCGTTCTCTTATTGGCTTTGTGTGCGAATGTTGACGCTTTTACAAACACTGTTAACTGGCTGTGTACATTGTCTCTGCAGTCACGTACATTTTACGACGCGCACAACAGCTAAACGTCCTCCTGATCTGGCCATAGTCTTCCTGGCAACAACAGCGCTAAACACGAAGTACTTATTTTGTGCATTCGAATATAGACGACTACGCTGTAGATTTATGCAACAACAACAAGACATCCTTTTATAACGGGATAAACGTTATTCGCTTCGAATAAGTACAGTAAGTACTTATCGTAAATACCTACAGCGCATACTGTGGTTTGTGCTGCTGTGGTTCAGTAGGACCGCAATAGGTCCACAAACTTGGTCATGCGGGTCATAATTACTTTTTATTCTGTTAACCGTGGTATTCAGGATTTAAAGGAACAACAAAAACTTGAATATAATACTACAATATTTTTCGTACTCGCAGCGATATGAACATTTTTTCCATAAAGCTTTTCGATTTTAGTTTTTCCATTTTGTTTATATATTTTTTTCAATAATTATTAATACGAGTACGAATATCGATTTTAATTCTGCGCACCGTGACAAGGAGCAAAATGAGCAAGTGTGAGCATAACCACGTTAATGTAAAAATACAGAAAGAGTGCACAACTCACTGTACAATACCAAAACCAAACGTTACCAAACAGATATATCATTACCAAATTACAGTACTGAAAGGCTAGTCAAGCTTTCCAATCGCATCTTTATCAATGCACTTAAAATTATAGCAGATTTTGTCCTTATTTGGCGAACACGCAGTGCCGGCCATAGCGGGTCCGAATTTGACGCCAAACTGCCTGGACGGATTATCCACGCCTACTACTTTGCAGTCGAGCGATCTGCAGAGTGCATCTCCGGTTTCCGTTGGCGGGGAATAAATTTTCTGTATTTGGTTTTTGCGCACCTTCTTAAAGGTCATCCATACCGGCCCCAGCAGCAGACGACACAGGTCGGTAGCATCCAGAGGATTGCGAACAATAACGCCTGAAAAAGATAAACAAACACGCTTTTCCGAATGTTGTATTCTTTATTAAGGCCGGGCAAATTCCGTTCTCTTCTTGGGAACCTAAAAACCGCTCTTACCTAAAAAGTGCGTCTTAAATGAGAACTGGCGTTCGATTTTGTCTTTTTGAGAGCGAACCAAACAGCGGTTGGCTCCGTTCAGCGCTTTAATCAGCTCCTGTGTTGTACAACGTGTCAAACTCGGTAATGTGCCTTTAGTGGCCCACGGGTTACCACCGCTGGAATGGGACGACATGAAGGAACTTCGATCAGGATCCTTGGGATTATACCGGCACTCCTTCAGCTGCTCCTCATGGTGCATTCCCAGCGAGTGACCCAGTTCATGGGCACCGGACAGGCTCGCCATTGGTGAATTCATTTCCACTAGTGAACAATGTCTGCGTTGGTTGCATGTTGACCCTATCTAACCCACCCAGGACATACAACAAAAAGAATAATTATGATCACTCAGCAGTTCATAATTTACCCAAGCTAACCCAATCGTATCGTAGGCCTTATGGGTTTCCGGGATCGATCGTGGATCAGTGTGCGTTGGTCGCCACCCTCGTATTCGGTCATTGCGTTTGGCTTCTGGCAACGTTATCTGATCGAACTCCATCTCTCTTCTCTTTCTTTTCTTGTTCTTATCATAAATATCCAGATAAGTTAGGGCTTGTACATGGTCGTAATCTTCATGATTATAAGGTCCTTCACAGAGGTTCTTCAAGTACTGCTCAGCGTGCGGATCAGCACCGAGGTCGTTCTGTGGGGATTGAAAAAACCCAACGGATTTTAGGGTTATGTGTAGTCGGACCTGCCGACGCAGAACTCTCTCGCGGTACATCGCTTGGACTTCATTATAGAATGCCAACACGAGAAATAACTGGTTCTCCGGCTTCATAAACTGCCAGTCCACCATTGTCTGATACACGGTGTGGTCCGCTATTACAGCCATCTTTAAAGACGCTCGAATTCCCGAGTACGATTTTCTCCGGTTGGTATTCCTCCTCGAGGACACATCAAATTCATGATTTTCGTCACCGGTTTCCGCTTTAGACAACTCATAAATGATGTGCGTACCGGCATTTTCCGTCTCTTTCTCAAGATGGACGTCGAATGTTTGCTTAAATTTCTCCTTGAACCTTGGTCGGAGCGGTACAATGCGTAATAATCGATTGGATGCCTCAAAAATTCCCTGCATCCCGTCTGGAGAAAAGGCCAATGCTCCGTTGGTTTCAGAGTTTGGTATATCGAATGCATTATTAACGGGTGTCACGCGCGTCAAGTAAAATCTTTGCAGCTGCGAGGCAGATGGCTTAAAAATGGCTCCAGATGATTTATCCGATTTATAGTACGTAACCGTTAAATTTGGATCAAACAAATAGTCATTACGGACAGCTTGGACTCTGTGTCTGGTATCAAAAGCGTCTAAGTAGAGTTCTAATTCCGCCGGGTACACCCAAGTCGGGTCACGGACATGAACAGGAAAGTCGCGATATGCGGGGTGAAACTGCGGAGTGATTACATCATAGTTTGGTACACTTGCTATATCTGCGCTACCAAAATGGTACTGCAAATCAGGCACATCCATGTACGTGTGAACGTCATGCCTGTAGTTTATTGTAGCCGGTTTAGATGAACTGTAACCAATCACATGGAGCGTAACGATACTGACGACAGCAAAAATTTCCATTGCAGCATGCTGGGTTACCAAAAAATGGCAACTTATTACCGGAGCAAATGTGCGACCATGACCTTTATTGTTTAATTTTTGATACAGTACCTTTCAGCTGAATGCTAAATTAATGGTTATATCGCAACAATAGGAATCCTTCCTTAAATTTCAATTAAAAGAAAGACAATCATACAAAAACGCGCACCAGCGCTCGCAATATCACAGTTTTCCGGAAAGATCAGTCCCAACGCGATTCTTAAGCACCACATTTTCTCATAGGTTATTCGACGAATTAAACAAATAAAAATGACAAACGTAGTGGATAATCCGACAAAAAAATCACAGTTCACAATTTTTTTATTTTATCGCCTCTCACGACGGGATTATTCTTACGAATTTCTTCTGTTCCCAAAGAACGGTAATCAAACGGGCATTTATGCGCATCATGATAACGATGTATGGCACAGAATAATCCGCCGCATCGGCATGTTACCCCAGTCAACCCCACACGCTTATTGCATTCTTTGCACCGATTGATCGATCGGCCTGGTCCTGTCCGAGACTCGTTACTGGATGACCGCGACGAGGCCTCTTTGTTATTGGGCGCGTCTATGGATTGGTTGATATTTTCACTTTCTTCGCCGTTGGTTTCTAGCGGCATGAGATCAGGTGGTCGGACGGTTTCCGGGGTTTTATCCGGCGGTACATCGATAACAGGAGGTGCCACCGGAGGGTGTGTGGTAGCGTTGATATTCAGGCGATTGCGCGACGACCGCGCCGCCAAGGGAACGAAGGCGTTGACTGGTGGCGGTTGGGGGTGGTGGAGTTTGTAGCATTTGGAGCACATTCCGCCGTTGGACGGAGAGCCGAAGAAGCCGCAGCCATTAGTACAGAGGTTTGGCTGCTGGTCTTGGTTCTCCATCTGCGCAGACGCTGCTACACGGGATCGTTGAACATTACAATAATGGGGGGCTATATAGAACTTTATGGGAGATTTTGCAGATTTGTGTACTGGAACAGTGCTTATGAGCTTCGTAGGGTATGCCTAGTTGCACCGAATGTTCGCATTGTACAGTACGTATTGTACCTTTGAAACACGTTGCCGTAGAAACTCGATCCACCTTGCGACGTGTTCCAACTGAACGGCTTGTGCTCCGTTCAATCGAAAAATGTGTGAATTCAGGCAGATTCTTTACAGCTGACAGAAAATTCTGACAAGTAATGACGAACTATAGAGCAGCCTGCTATCCCCGGGAAGACCGTCTGAACAGTTCTGAATTCTCCATTTATCAACCGGATCCTGACGATGTTCCGGATCCCGAAGAGTTTCAGACTGCGGTAGCAAGATTCGGGCAGCGCCCTGAAAAAGATGCTGCACACTACTTGGAATCGTACATATCTACGTGCGAGGAAAATGAGGTTACACCGGTGCCACAAATGTTCAGATTATTGCAGGCTAAAGCCAAGAAAAATTTGGTGTAAGTTATGGTTGTACTTGTATGTTTTAAAAAAAAAGGCGAGCGGGTACTGTCTGAAAGAAGCTACTGGCATAAAAATAATGACAGACGGCACCAACGAGTTAGATATGACTTAATGAGCTATTAACCATTAAGACATGGTCGGTGTCAAACTGTCAATCACTATCAGCCTTGTTGACAAGATTTTACTACTGTGTTTACTGTTTAGCGATCGTCTGCAAAATCGAAGAGCTTCTGTCTATTTACCTGGGAACGATTCCGCGTCGAATCGGCGGTTGGATGATATTGACTTAGCAGTGATATGCAGTTTTATGGAGTATCACTTTCCGGATGGCATTCGAAGTATTGATTTAAGATATAACGTTCTGGAGGATGCTGAAGCGCTTTGCACGCTTTTGAAGGTCCGTACTTGCTGTTAATGTTATCAATAATCGCACTGATTAATAATCCTTGAGAGCAGAATTCTACTGCTATGAAGGCAGTTAACTTGATGTACAACCCTTTGACTGAAACGTCCATTGCGACGTTGGCATCTGCCGCATTGGTTAGTTCCTTCGTCGTTCTGTTAAGCGCAATACAACGACTACTATTTCACGAGTTTTTCCTATATGTGTCAAAATGCCTGGTGAATCTTTGCCTTAATGGAGTGAAATTGGCGAAAACTAGTGGACTGATCATTGCGGATCTTGTTATAAACCTTCCAAGTTTGCGGTATCTTGGACTCGCATACTGTGAAGTGGCAAGTCCTATCGAAGACATCGATACCGATACTTGGACCTAAACTGAAACCTCTGTGAAAATCTTGCAGTAGAAGTTAGAAGTTCTCATTGCCATAATGATTCCCATCAAGACCAACGTAATTGAACTGAGTGCTCTGGACATTACCAGTCCCAATATCCCGGACTGGGCCAGCAAAACGGTTTTTATTGACCAGTGCGCGGACATGCTGGTCCCATCCAAATACTTAAAAGAGCTTTATTTGGGCAAAATGGGCCTTGATGATTTCGCACTGGAGCGATTACTTCCTGCTTTGCAGAGGAATACATCATTGCAGCTTCTGGATCTGCATGGGTAAAACGTTTTGAGATACTGGGATTCCGATTAAGCAAAATGCGTCCATATGTGGATAATCTAACTTGGATAATAATGTGGATAATTGTAAACATGAATAGTGTACCCGCCGCTGCTTTAACCAGCGCGGCTCGTAGATCGACCTAACCGTTGCTGCTTACAGTTTCCAGCTTTTACTGTACAAAGTTTTTTTTCTTTATGTGGATATAAGCAAAACTGTAGTTTTCTGGAACAGGAATAAACTAAACCGGGACGGCGCCAGAATGCTGATGCGGCTGATTCAAAACGGCTCGCGACTTGAGGTTTTAAATTTGGACTGCTCCAGCTTTACGGATGAGGGGGCCGAATATATGGCCAACGCTATTTATGAAAGCGATTTTCTAAAAACGTAAAGTTTAATGTCGTTTCCACACTTACAGATGGTTACATAAATTTACTAAAGACAGGCCCTTTATGCGTTTTAGGATTTCCCTCCGATTTTGTCGCATCGGCGACCAAGGCATCGATTATCTATCAAAAGCCATAGCTCATGGAAAGGTCAGCCGCATTTATGTGTGGCAGGGGACATCGATCAAAGGACCGGGTTGCAAAGTAAGCGAGCACTTCGACGAATTTAACTGGCCTGGTAACACGGCTACATATCTCTAATAATTTGATTAGCTCTTTTTGCATCAACAATGGGTCAAAAGCGTGAAAAAACCACGATAATCTTTTACTTTTTTGTATGTGGCTTTTCTAGGCTTTCTGCGATTTGATGAATCGTGGTCGCATCCAGGAAGATCAGACGGATGTACGCTTTTACAAAGTGGATGAAGTGTGTCAAATGGCGGAAAACAGCCATGCAGGAATCAGACGATGGGAATTGTACACTCCCAATTATGGAGGATATTCCCACCAGGCCTGCTATGACGGTTTTGCAGAGCCAGAACCCCAACCATACTTCAACACTTTTTAATGATCGTTGCCATCGTTCTTAATACTTAGCAAATTCAAACTTATGCGAGCCATTTTGATTTTCGATTCCATTCAGCGCGTTTTCACACGCAGCGCGAAGTACTTGGGTAAACGTCCAAAAGCCATCATCAGCGCTCCAATGTCTGATGGCTTTTTTACAGTGTAAGCCTTTGCGTTGTTTAATAAACCCGACACATAAAGATTTTGTAAAGAAAAAAACTTAAGACCGGTCTGTAGTCACAAATTACTAACACAAATCTGCAGAACCTACCTGCACGGAGCTTGTACGATAACCTTGTACCGGAGCAACTCGAGGAAAACAGCGTGTATTTTCGGACCAGGCAAAACTTTGTAACAGGTTTTGCCATTGCTTCAGTCGCTACTCGGTGTTGCTTTGTTCTCCAGTTTTGGTTTTGGTTCCGGTACTCCAGTTTCTTGCTTAAACGAAAACCGCAGAGCTGGCAAAACAGCCGAACTGTCCGGTTTTCGGCAGGCTTTCGTTACAGTGCACATGTGATCAACACAAAACTATACGAGTACAGAGCTAGCATAAATAAATTCACTGACACTGAATAACTGAAGAAATAAATTCACCCGTTTTTTATTGAGCACTGCATTGACGAACAAGTGCCAGCAGAAAGGTCAAACTAAGAAACTCTCCAAACACGTTAACATTGTCCGTTTCGGCTTTGGCAGGGTTTCAGCTAAAGCTGTAGTTTGCTACATTGACCTTTTCGAATGAAAAGTAGGTCTCCGGTTGGTCAACCATGATAATCATCTGCGATTTTACTGTCTCCGTAATTTCTTTCATAGATTCTTTGCTCGGATTGTTCGCTTTATTGAAGTCGCTAACCAGCATTTTGTCATGGATATTGACGACCTGGGTCACGGTAACTTTCCTTTGGCGCGCAACCGCAGTGTAGAACTCTCCATTGGCCAGTTCGACAATATCGTACGGTGATGCTAAATTCATTCCTTTCTCTATCAAAGCCTCGTAACAACCGTTAAACAGCTGCCGCATATCTTCGTCCATTCGCAACTGGTTGATAGCCCGAATGACCTTAATCCACTGGGCTTCTCGCTGTATCCATGCCGGTTTGGAATGGCTTAATCGCTTAATCTTGATTAGAGATTTCCGCATAGTAGAGGGCAATATGTACGCTTTATTCAGTTTCGGAGATTTAGCGGAAAGTGGACGTTTGTTTTTCTTCGGCGGGACAATATCAGTGTCGGACGGCCAATACTTTTGCGGTGCGTTTTTCTTCCGCTTTCGTCCAGATCTTCTGCCTTTGCGTGAAGGCTTTTGCGACGAAAAGAAAAAAAACATTTTTCGTCGTAATCATTTACAAAAATCACTATCGGGTTGCACTTACTTCTCGAGAATCCGACCGTGGACTTGACGTAGTTTTCTTCTCTCGACGTTTCCTCCTCGATATTTTTCCATCTCGCTGCAATGCTTTGGTTTCTTGTTCGCTTATCATGGTCTCCGGTTCATTCGCATGTTTTCGGATTTTTCCTTTTTTAGGATTTATTTGCGGCTGGGTTTGTTGTTCTGCTGGTTCTTTTGGTGGCGGATACTTTGGGGCTTTCTTAGCGTCTTTCGAAGGTTGAGATTTTGAGCCTGTTTCAGGCTTTGGAGACTTTCCACCTTTCAGTCTTGCTGCTAACGACAGTTCTTCGCGCCGGTACTTTTGATCCAGTTTGGGTGTTTTGTTTTTGGCGTTTCCCTGCCTACTTTGCACACTAGTCTGGTTTTTCTTTTCAACAGGTTCCAACTTGTTTCCGGCAAAGGCAATCGAGTCGCCTTCCTTCTTTTTTGCAGGTTTTTTCTTGGCCGTATTGTCTGCTTTCTCATTCTTGTTAACCACCTGGCCAGGCGGGCTCTGGCGCTTAGTTTTCTTAAACTGTTCAAATTTCTCGGGCAAACTCTTCACATTTGACCCAGCAAAATTCTACAAAGTACTCTCCACTGGTTAGTGTCTACCACAACTACATGTAACTAAGCCTACTCCATGTAAGTGATTTATTTTCTGCTTGAAACAAGATAACAGGGTTGTCAAAAAATGCGCTCTTTTATCTACCTGTCTTGCAATTTTGGAATTCTGGATGGTTTGTGGATTCAAAGCGCTGACTTCCATAGTGTTGTTGCTCTGCTTATTTGTAGTTTTCTTTGCAATAGCTTCGAAATCATCCGACATTTTCAGGGACCGGTTTAGGCCGTTTGATGAAAATTCGTTGTTTCCTGAAGCACAAGTTTATGCTAGCCTCGTTAGTAGTACTTCTACTCTTAAAAATACAGAAAGTAACGAAAACTGTACTCTGCTTTCATACCTTGCTTCTGTTTGGAGTGCGCGATCAGCTGTTTTTCTGGCGTCGGATGCGGAGACTTCCCGCGGGTTTTCGCCTGCTTCACAGCGGTTTCCATTTTTGGCGTTACAGGTTCTGTCATCAAACCTTTCCGTTGCTTACTTTCGTTCACGGGCTTATACAAGCTTTTCTCGTCGGAATAAGGGCTGAGTGACTTTGAGCCTGTTCTGCTTTTGGATTGCGCTTGTTTCCAAATCGGTGTGCCGTTGTTTTCTTTATCTTTAGGTTTTCCTTTAACCTTTGTGACCAACGCCTCGCCGGTGTTCTGCGTTTTATCCATCGGTGAATGCAGAGTGTCGCTTTTGTCAGAGCGGAAACTAAAACTCAGGAAATTGTTGAGTATTCGCCGGAATTCTCATCTACTCTGTACTTATGTCAGGCCTTGATGTAAATGTAATGTAGAAAACTACCTTAAGGTCGAGCTGCTGTAAGTAGTCCCTAAGGATGGTATGAGAATGTCGCTTGCAGTGCCCGGCTTTGAAACGCCTTTATTTCCTGGTTTTAATTTGCCATGACCTTTCGGACTGTGTTGGTGATATTTTAGTTTTTCCTGTGCTGTCCATTTTGTCTTATCGGATTTCGTCATTTCGAACGGGTCGTTCATGATATGTGGGCTCACTGGCGAAGCACTCGCAATGGAGCATGCTTCCGAATCGAGTTCTGGAATAGCCGTATACTCAGTTTCTGAGTCATCGCCAGTGAGTCGTCTACGGCGCTTCCTGGCACGAATTTTTTTATGATAAAGGTCAACGTGGTGCTTTCGTTTGGATATCTCTAAACAGTTTGCTTGATGGGCAGGCCAGTGCGCATCCAGGCATTTCTGGGAGCAGTAAAAGATTTTCTCGCAATTGGGACAAGGGAAAAGGGCCCGATTAGGTAGCGACGATTCACCGCAGCAGCTGCAGTATTCGTATTCCAAAGCGGTATGATCAATTCTGCAATTTTAAACACAGCATTTGTACGTATGAATTCGGTTTTAGCGATGCAGCTTACGGGATATCGTCGCCGTTTTCGTCAATGATATGCACAGCCGGCACCAGGAGACCCACATGATCCGGATCCGTAATGGGCTTGCCTAACTTTCCTTTCTTTCCCTTTTGCTTTTGCGATACCTCCACAACATTCAGTCCCCCAACGCCCAGTACTGACCGGTGGGTGATAACCAACTCGTCCTCCGTAACGAAGCTTTCGTTATCCAAACTGCCATCAACGGACTCTGGAGAAGGAATATACGATCCACTTTCCGCTTCCTCGTCGGAATCAGGACGAAGAGGATTTCGCATAACGGTTAGCGTTGGTCTCACAACCTTTCCATCCTTGACAGTATCTTCGGCGCGGCTAATTTGGTTAATTTTGGCACGAAGACCCGGAAGAACTTTCAACAGGGGTCGGATTTCGGCGTTTTCGTAAAGACTGGCTTCGATCAAGGGATCTGATGCATCAATCAATTGCGGCTGCTGTCGCAGTAATGGTACGATTTCAGGATAAATTGCTCCTAAAATCGTAGCAGTAAAATTTTACGGTAATTAGAACTTGTTAATCAACGGAACGCAGATTAGCGTGACAATAAATGACCTTTGAATTTGAAATGCAGGGTGGCAAGTACCTGCAAGACTGATTTTTCGAAGACGGAGGACAGACCTTTGAGTAGCATCTTTGTAAGCGTCTAAAATGAAGCTGCGAAAATTTTCCAGTATATTCTTCAGTTGTGGGTTCATGTTGGCGCCTAATGTTTGCTAGAACGAGGTAAAAATGATGGCGTTTAACGCAGCTTCACTGAAATAAAACGCAGATAATGTACAGACTTACCTTGCCATAAACCTGCTTGGCGTAGTCCTACAAAATCATCATGTAGTGTGTTTTTGCACTTGAAGAAATAATAACGTTTCCAAAAATTTGACTTGCTTACCAAGGGTGAGCCCAAAGGCGGGGCACTGTTTCCCGAAGTGGAGGTCAGCGCAATTTTCACCGTGAAATCAGCATTATGCTGTAAGAGCACCTCGACCAGTCGCTGCAGAATGCCCACTTCCTTGTTAGTACGTAAAAATACGTCAGCTGTTGCTAGTGTTGCTGCTACACATAAAGCGTTCCCCAAGCCTCCTGTTAGATCTTGATTTTCGTCGCTTCCCGCGGCCAACAACGTTTCAACCATCTACAACCCATCTTCTAAATATTGCTTACCATATACAAATTACAGCATATTCTTAAAGTTACGTTATCTAGTGCAGAAGATCCACTACAAGAACTCAGAATTTATCACTAAAACCAGGTTTATGTTCAAAACCTTTATGCTTCCTTGTTGAATGGACATTGCTAGCGGTGTTAGGCGATTCCAAGTGACGTCCACGCGAGCTCCATGTTTAATTAAGGAATTCAGAATATGAACTGCAACCTGTAAAAAACTGATTTTGTTAACAAAAAGAACGGAATGCATCTGTACATCTGAGAATTCATTAATATAAATACATTTGCTTTTACGGCCAACGCACCAGTTCATTTGGTTCCCGCTGACAAGCGATGTGCATAACGTATCTACCGGCAAATGGTGCCACTTTGACCTTTTCCTTTCCTGTTGGGGGCTTTATGTAAAACCATTAACAACACTCAAAATGTGAAATTAGAGCGTAATCAAAGCCTGCGTTAACATAAAATTTGAATGCATCGCGGATGGACGCAGGACGCTTAGCTGATTCGTTCGAAAATTATATTCGCTTACAGTACGTAATTGATAACGTAAGTACTTATGCAAAACCTAATAATGTAAATACTTATGCATTCCATTTGATCAAGCTATTTCAAGCTGCTCGCGTTGGAATAGCAAATTTTCGTATCAATTATCAATGAAAAATATCTAGACACTTTTCTTACTGGCCGCGTATCAGTTTCGATGGCATTGGGATTCGCACTATTTTCAAGTAAAAGATCCACCACGTCTGGTGCACTTTTGCCAGGAACCGAACAAGCTACCATCAGTGGCGTGACGGCAATGTTCTATGAACACGAACCAATGGAAACAGAAACGACTTACATAAAAAAACGTCAGCTAGCGTACCTGTCGCGTTAATAGTTCGTTGGAATCGCTTCCCTGTTCAAGCAACAACTTTACTAGATCGCCGTCTGACGCCCGGATAGCCACATACAACATCGGCAGCGGCCATATACATTTTTTCCAGTTGGCTCCGTGGCCAATGAGAGCCATTATAACATCCTTTATGCGATGCTGCCACTCCCTTAACCAAACTAGAAATAGGGGCTTCTCAAATTCTGGCTTATGGTAAAGGTCATCGTCAGTTAACAACGACCGGTGGCTTTGCATCTGAAGGCCAACGGAGACGAACTGTTGATTCTGTACATCAACCGGGACTTTTTTAAATGTTTGATCAGTTTTGAAAGATCCCTTCTGATCCACGTCTAGTCGCATTTCTGGATCTGGCCCCTACAAAAGTTTTATTGTGAATTTTAGTACTTTGCTGTAAACGAGGAGACTGGAAATATATTTTAAATTGTTTATCTGGCGGATTTTGACCCACGCTTAGATTAAAGACTGGCATTGTTATCTACTGTTACTGTTGACTGTAAATTTAATCACTCTTATAATTTAAGAATATATATTGTCGTTCCCCAGTTTGTCTGAAATTAACTGCAAGTCCCAAGACATTATACCTGCCTTTTAGTATGAGCCTTTCCACCTGCACTGGAAGATTTTGGTTTATCAGACTGGTTCGTCGCCGGATTTGGTGTCGATAATCTCTGCGGCACAACTGAAGCGAGCTTCGATAGCGATGCTGATGCGTCGAAAATCAGCGACCCTTCGAGGGAATTGTTAAGCAGAGTTGGAATTTCAGGGTCCTTTCCTCTCCACTGATTATACTTTTCGACAAAAATATGATACATATAACAGCATAGTTCCATGACGTTGTATCCATGGTTTGTCACGCGACTAAGGTCCGCTCCGAAATTCAATAATGTCTCGGCAATGACAGTTCGTCCGTTCAGCTAAGCCAATTAATATGTTGTGTATTTGTACCACAGTAATTAAATATTCAAGTACGACAGCTTGGCTATCTATTCCCGACAAATGTTTTAGCTTAGCATAAGTTCCCACTAAATAAATATTTCCCACTCTATAAGGGCCAAAAAATCACCACAAATATGTACGCGACCTTTACCGAAGCGGCCATCAATGCTGTTAACCCTTGCCCGTCGCAGACGTCCACATTCACACCAGTTAGAAACAGCAGATCTTGCACGAGCCTCATATTACCATGTGCTGCTGCAGTTACGAAAGATATTGCTTCAGTTTCTTTTCGCCCGGGTGCTGCAAAGTGTGCTATCCTGTCCACGGAATTCACCAAATCAACATCGTATTCCATTTTACCACACAACGGGTGCATTTTTGTGATAAACTTGTGCATCTCCATTAAGATATCGCTGTTGTTTGCAAATGTTTCTGTTTCTGGAATATCCTTGCGCATCGTGCTGTATTTTAGATGTTTCGCAAATTCCAAGTCCATGATTTCCCGGAATTCTACTAACGCCACTTCTCCAAGTGGCACAGCGGTAAGCTGAAACTGCTTGTCGGCCATCAGGACATTCCAGACTGCTGCTAACTGATCACCAGTAGCCGCATTTGTGCTTTGGAGCAACTGCTCTCGTGGATTCCAGGTTAACGGAACGACGAACGGACAGTTGGCCATAATTTCAGTAAGGTATGGCACACGGTACGCTTCGGATACTGGATTCATTAATTGCAACAAATGATTGCCTTGGAAAAGACCCACATCCTGTCGGTTGTCGGGATAAGACAAAACTCCGATGCCGTACGATTGATTCTGGCGGAACAGACCCTGAAAACAGGAGATATGGATATGAAAAACCGTGTCTTCTCTAACAATTCACTGGGCTCTGACCTGATAGACTTCTCCATTGGGGAAAGTCTTCGTACCATACCCTTCTTGCCCATCACAGAAAAAGTATCCAATGTAAACGCTACCGTCAGAGAACGTTAACCGCCCTGGTCCGTGCTTCAAGCCGTAGTACCAGTAACCTTCATAAACCTTTAAAAAGCCTTTTCTTTGAGGCAAAGTAATGCCTTATAGCGTGGCAGTTCGAGGCCTGGAATTACCTCGTCATTAGGTGATATCAAACGACCCTTCCCGTGACGTAATCCCATCCATGTGTCACCCACGTAAACTTCATTCCCATTGTTTACCATTTTTCGATATCGTATCCTTTGCCATTATATATTAGGGAAACATCAGTCATTGAATTTAATTCTTTTTTTATTCCATGTTGACAGGCATGCGCGGGTGTTGAGTGTTGAAACCATAGGGCCAAGTTCTAACCAAGCTGTTGAAGTTCTCGCCAGAAATGTAGATGTATGTTCCTGTCACCTGATTCCCAACACGTTCTGGTGTGCAGTTCTGCATGGTCGCTAATTCAGTGCATTCGGTGCTATGGGGCAGTGCATTTAAATTGCAAAATGTCTAGAAAGAACGTTACCTAGGTAAAGGGACAAGCATGGAGGTTTTGGTCGACCGTATAACCGGCTTTCGCATGATGTATTTGGCAAATCTTTTCCAGGATTTTTTTGCAGATTATCAGTAGAACATAAGCATATGTGTAGCAAAATCACAAGCAGACAGATACTGGCGGGTTAGAACATAACATAAGCGAAAGCAACAAGCGGAAATAAGAGAGAAATTCCAGCTTTGCTATGCTCTGAGGCTACCAAAAAGAGCAATTATACAGTAGAATACGTCATTTAAGTATTGTGTAGAGCATAAGTTATCAGTAAACTTACTGCAATTGTTCTTAAAAGCTAATAATATTGTGAATACTGTACTGAAATAAATACCAGTTAAATTTTTTTGGCAGGTTGGTTATGCTCAGTCTGTAACCGAACTATCAGGAAAATTAACTGGTGTGTTTTAGCATCTTTAAAGGGGCTGATCCCGGCTGGTGCACATTTGCTGCTTTAAGTTTGTATTTAGAACTATTTAGTTCTAAAACGAGCAATATGTACAGCTGTATGTCAGTCGGAATCAACCGCTATACAATCGAAAACATCGAATGATCAGTCAATTTCTATTGTAAAACCAATAACGTTTTTGCAGATGACCTTCGTGTTGGTCCGAACAAAGCCTAACTTTCGTTTTTTTATGTGGTAGAGAGTGACCAGACTAGAGACGAGACTAGAGAGTAAGATATACCGTATACGTACGTACTGGCGTACGTGCAACAGGTGGCAGTCGCGTCTGTGTGCGCTTAATCACATCTGGGTAAATCAACACCAGTAGTACGAGTTTTATTTAGAGATGGCAACGGCTTAGCCGAGGCCGGCTAAGCCGCGGCTTAGCCGGCTATTGGCCAGCTCGGCTGACGGTTTTGCAAGCCGCAGCCGACGTCAGGCCGGCTGCTTGCTGGTTGAGACTTCAGACAGCCGCGGCTTAGCCGGCGGCCGACTCGGCTGAAGCGGCTTGAACGGCGGCGGCATCGTTGTGCAATTTTGGCGGTAAAGATGGCGCCACTGAGTCACTTTGCGTCACGTTTTCTTCGGCTTGCGCCTAATTTCTGTCGCTTTCGCTAGTAATATTGTTTAACTTGGTCGTCATGATGCCATTTCAGTAGCAATGACGCCATTAATTGTTCAAAATTATGGAATTTTAACTCGTTCAGACTCGGAATTCCCGAATAATTGCTGTTTTTTTGCTTCAAATGTGTTCGAAAACCGTGTTTTCACAACATAAACGGAACAGCTTGTAGTTTTTTGGTGATTTAACTGCACTTTGCAACGTTATTTTCAAAATTTTGCGAATTTTTAAAGCGAGAATATAAACGGCTTAGCTACGCCAACCGGCTAAGCCGGCTGAAAATTTGGTCAGCCTTTCAGCCGGCTGAGACTTCCAGCCGCGTTGAGTTAGCCGGTTAGGCTTCAGCCGGCCGTCAGCCGAAAGGTCAGCTGTTTAGCCGGCCGTTGCCATCTCTAGTTTTATTCACATTTCACAGTATTGCGGAAAAACCTGCCGAAAGAACCGCCTGCTGAGCGAAGATTATTTACCCTGTCAGCTCCCAAAATAGGCTCACACGAAACAGTGGGAGCAGAATTTAGGATTGACTAGACTCTAATTTTTATAACTTATTTATTTCAACAATTAGGCTTGGAAGTGTTTAGTGTGTTTTAGATTAAGATCTTCGTTATCCTATGTATCAATGGCTTGCAGCAAGGGAATTTTTGGGATCGCCATGTTTTTCGGGACCGGTTTGGCGATTCTGCTTTTGAAGAATGACGTTGCTGCGTACTGTGCGTCCAATGAATCAGACAATTCAACCGTACTGCTGCTGCAAGAAGAAACCCAACGAGTTGCCGCATGGGCTCCTATGGAATTCCAGTTCGGCCAAAAGAAATGTTGGTAAGTTTCATTTGAACTTCAGACAGGTCTGAATAATTGCAGTAGTACTTATGTATTAACCAGAATGACTTAATTACGCTGAACGGTAGCGCGACAACTCTATGACCTTCGTTTCGCTGACCGACAATTTGATGACCGACTTGTTGCTGACTACCACAACTTGCTGACCGACAAATCGCTGACCGACAGTTCGCTTTTTTACAAACTGGCTGACCGACATCTTGCTGAAACTAATTTGCTGAACGACAGCTTACTTGTCGGTCAGCGAAATGTCGGTAATCGACAACTCACTGACCGACAACTTGTAGAAGACGAAAACTTGCTGACCGACAATTTGCTGATTAGTTCAACGCACATTTGCGATATTTACGCGAAAACCAGAATTTTCGTTGATTTAATAAAAAGGAAGCAATACTGTGACAGTTATAACTGAAATTCAACTTTTTGCCATTTAGTAGGCCGTATTAAGTTCACGAGTATGTTATGGTCTCAAATAATATTAATTATTACTAATAACTGTTAAAATGTTTTAATAATTACACCGGTTTCTTAGTGTCTTAGTATTCTGTAGGTTTCTTAAGTTTCTTAGGTTTCTTAGGTTTCTTGGGTTTCTTTGGTTTATTAGGTTTCTTAGGCTTAGGTTTGATGACCGACTTGTTGACCGTTCTTAGGTTTCTTAGGTTTAAGTTTCTTAAGCTTCTTAGTTTCTTAGGTTTCTTAGGTTTCTTAGGTTCTTTTTTAGGTTTAGTTTCTTAGGCTCTTAGGTTTCTTAGGTTTTAGGTTTTAGGTTTCTTAGGTTTCAGTTTACTTCTGTTCCATGGACTTTAAGAAATTCCCTGTACGCGCTCGGGCAGAAAAAGCAGAAATGGACGACTGGAATTGTCAGATTGCTCCATAAGCCGGCAGGAGAAGTGTTTGTGGTATCCGATCATAATCACCCAAATTTAGGTTCAAGGAATTGATTGGTAACAAACTAAATTTGTTGTCAGCGAGTTGTCGGTATTTCCATAAAACGTCGGTCACTAAAATGTCGGTCAATTTAGTAAGTAAGTAAGTTGTCGGGTAAACATTCTGTCAGTCAACAAATGTCGTCAGCAAATCGTCGGTGTCAGCGAACTGTCGTTCAGCAAAATGTCGTTCAGCGATTTGTTGTTTCAACAAACTGTCGGGTCAACATTTTGTCGGTCAGCAAATAGTCGTCAGCAAGGTGTCGGTCAGCAAGATGACCGTCAGCGAGTTGTCGGTGTGCCGTGCTAACAATAAGTGAAACAACTGAAGTATTCACTTATTGTTAGCACACTTATTGTTATTGTTAGTATTCACTTATTTTTAGTGTTAGTATTCTGACTTCCTCATTTCAACTTCATGCGTTAACGATCGTGAGTTCACAGTTGTAAGGAGTTGTAATAACCGTCGATGTTTTTCTAATTTTGTCTTCGAGTCTAATATTGTGGATATTTTTACAGTGACTGGAGAGAATTCGCTTGTGCAGGATGGTCATCGCATCCCAATGTCACTCTGCCGTTTTTCTTTGAGATCACTCGCAACAATGTCAGCATTCAGCACGGGAATTTTTACTTATGCGGCGACTGTCTGGCAGTCCTCCGCGATACCACGTTGGAATTGTTCAATCATCAGGGCAAATTAATATGGCGTTCGGGCAAGGAAAAAAAAACCACAAGGAAAACAGTTCTGACGTGTTGTAGGTTTTGACCATCGCACTTTGTAGACTGTCAGCTGTTTATTTTTAACAGCAGAAACGCATACGTTGTGGCTGTTACAATATGTTGTTAGAATATTTTTTTCCGGATAATTTTACTTTGAACAGGATGTGTTGTAAGGAAATTATTTGCAGTGGTTTTGGGTAGGTAGGACATGTTTGACCGCGGTTGTAAATAAAGAATGATGCATTTTATGCTTTTGCATACCGTGTCCAGTTGACGCAGCAATCATCAACTTTCTAACAGTAAACTGACCGTAAAAAAGCTTCACTTTGGAACGGGCAGAACGTTACTCAGCCATGTGAAACTCTTGATTTGCGCCGAGTCCTTTTCCCTTGACCATCAGACTCCACCGGAGCACCAGTAGTTGTATCAACGGTTGTTGGATCTCTTATGGCGTTTTCCTTGTCCGCTGCTTCCCGATGGTTTCTCTCACTTGATCCTTTCCGCTGAAACAACTCGCCCATCATCTCCTCAAAATGCGAATAAAATTGTTTGGCTCGTTCATCGTGCTCGATTTCCGCAAGAGTCAGTTCTGGATAAGACGGCACTTTCTGAAAGCTGGTCTGCGTGGTTTCTTCTGCCGTAGACTCGACTTCTATCTGTTCGCTTTCTATGGATGTTCTTTCTGGTCGGGTACTGTAGGCTAGTGAGGAAATAAAACTGGCTCCTGAACTTTCCCTGCTCTCTCTCGTAACTTCAGCAGTTGCGGGATCAGTGTCCGGCAAAACTGTGATATCTTCCGCCGACGGTGATTCCATTGACTCCAGTTCTTGCAATAATGGCGTTGAACTTTCCGGCGCAAAGAATATATCAAATTCACTATCAGTCATTTGATGTATTTGGTGTCTTAACCATTCACCGGTGCGGTCAATGTCAACCGAAGTTTTTCTAATATCCGCGTTGGTTTCGCTATTTCCCTTGGTGCCCGAACCGCTTAAATTTCTCAGTTGTGCACTGACCTCGTCATCATTACTGGTACGAATTGGGCGTCCCCAAATAATTTCTGGTGGATCCAGGGATTTATAGTAAAATCTCTGCATGCGTAGATCGTTCTCGGCACGCCGAAGCCCGTCTTGAACAATAACGCTTTCCATACTGCGGTCTTTATCAACGGCTTGAAAACACTTCTGCACAACGGTTAGTGGAATCTTGGAGAATTTAGCAATGATTTTGCGGACTGCGGCATGCATTTTGTCCACCATTTTGCCATAGTTTTCTTCTGGAGTGTCGAAATTTCTCCGATAGACACGGAAAATATTCTGACGCAACAGCGAAAGAGGCTTGTGTAATTCCTCTCTCCGGAATGTGCCGGTTTCATACTTTGCGTTATCGATCCTTATATCGTCAATTTCGTCAGCGATGTATTCGATCTATCATAAAATCAATGAAAAAATTACAGTGCATAGTCTATAGCTAAACCGCTGTTCTGTACAAAGTGACGGAAACCTGTTGCTTACGTACTTCTTCCTCTAATCTGTCGCATTCTGTCACAAGCCTTCCGCGCAACTCGGCTGCTGTCACAGCGTCCCTTTTCATTTTTCTCTGTAAATTCCTGCTCTCCTTTCTTAAGGCACTGACTTTAAAGCAAACGCTTTTACTCGTTCTGCACTGCAGATCCAAGCGCTGCACAATTTCCGAAGCTGTTAAGTTGGGTATTTCAGCACAAGCTCCATCATCGGTATCAATGACAGATGCTGTCTTATTAATCCCAGCAGTTAATACGACGCTTATAAACCGATCCAATAGCTTGAGATCTTCCTCCATTCGGATGTTCTCGCAACGGATGCGATAGTTCTCGTTGATCACCTTCGTAAACGCGTCGTTAGCTCTGTCTCTGTGCTCCCGCTCAATGTTAGCCGCGTGAATGGCTTTCACGGTTTCTTCGTCATTGCACCGCAGTTGTACATCCAACTGCTTAGCTTGTTCTTCGCTAGCGTGCAATGCTTCAATCATCTGGTTGTTGAGATTGCCAACTTCATCTTTCATCCGTTGGAAGTTGTACACGCGTAACGCCATCTTTTGCTCCAGTCGTTGTTGGGAGCGAGTTCGCTCGATCATATGCCATTTTCCATCTTCTTGCATCCTGTGGTTTTTCCGAACAATGGCGAGGAATTGTGATTGCAATGCCGAGTCATCATTATTCGGAGAATTTCCAACCTACCCAATAAGGCCCCTGATACAGACACATTACAGACCCTGACGTTAGCAAAGTTTTAGTACAAGCATTTGAATTTATGCTAATTCAAGACGCACCCGGTTTCCAGTCTCTTACTATCGGCTTATTTGTCACACTGTCACCGCCTCCAATCCCGGCCAGATGTTCCGGGTTATTCCTGCTAGCGTATAGTCTCTGCATAACCGACCGTTGAGCAAAGTTTAACACAGGAACATGCACAAGTTTGTCCGCGAGCCTAATAGGTTCTGTCTGAATGCGCGTCTTCCCAGCGAAAGCCATGGTCACCTTTTCGGTTTTACGAGATTTCTTGAGAAATCGCTTCAATTCGTTTAAATCAAGAGACTGCTCTGGTTTTAGATACCGGTTCCGCTTGCGAGCATTCATCGATGCCATGATAGCTAGTGGATCTGTCTCGTGCGCAGATTTCTGTATTAGATCGGCTGAATGGGAAGATGGCGCTGGACCGTAGACAGCGTAGTCGGTTCGATACTTCTCCGCCATGCGTTGGACAAATAAGGGCGTTTCGCGATGAACAACGCGAACACTGCGTCTGGAAGACCGCCCGGGTGAGATGGTCCCGTGTGCTGACAGGGATGATTTCCGGACAGCATTTCTTCGAATAGGCGACGGTCCAATAGAAAACGTCTCAGATAAGCTTTTTAGTAAACGGTTTCGATTTGGTTGGATAGCACCGTTTTTCTTGTGTGCCTGGTCGTATTTCTTGGTTTCATTGGCAAGAGCGCGAAATACTCCATTAATTTTCAGCTCATAATCCGTTGGCCTACGAGGCTTTCCCGTCGCGGCAAAAGTCACTCGCCTGGTGGAAAGTTTGGCCATTATGACCGCGGGATTAAAGCGGGATTTTCGTCACCCGCTATTGGTATTCAGCCGAAGTCTAAGCCTGGCTGTTTTTCAAACTACTGCACACCCAAATGACCGAAATGAATTTTAACTTATTTAAAGCACGCACTCTAATTGTTTTAGTTTCGTGCTTTCGCAAATTAGAGCTTACAATTAGACGAATAACTTTTATTGCCTATTGACAACGAGTATATTAACGTAAATAAGTAGCTATGACATGCACGATCTAACAGTAAGATGCGTAGAGTAGTCACCGCACAGTACCGTACATTTTGTACTTAACGTTATTTATTAAAACTTCTTTATGGCAACTGCCGTAAAATTAGTACTTAATACAAAAAATGAAATATTACAGCCTTACATTAGATTTCAGCCAAACCAGGGCGCATAGTATGGTAAATCAAATTATGTACAGTATCTACAAACGCGTAAGGCAGATTCTGTGGGGGTCGTTTTTTTACAACAATGAACACTGCTCGAATCACGATTCACTACACCGTGTATTAAGTTATATAATTTTATTGGTTTAGTTATTAGACAGTAATTTACGCATCACTTACAAAAAACATTATAACACAAAGTAAACAGCATTAAAACCATCAGAACATCACAGACAGCGCATTCCACCGCTGTATTTCAATACTAAGACGTTGCAACAAAAACTCGTATGATCGTTTTTCGCCAGAAGCATCCTTCAAGCGTTTTCCTAGCTCACGTAAAATTTCACAAGCTGGCCGCCGACGCCAAAAGTCTCGAAAGCTAAAGGACGAAGTCGTATTCCGGCGCCAGATATTCGTACTTTCGGAACTTTTCTTCTTCCGCTTTCCTGGCAGCTTCTCCGGCTTTGATGCTGCTGCTGATGACGTTAGACAAGGCCACGGTGTCAACACATGTCACGTCCCAGGCGAGTCGTAGTCCGTTTCTCCAAGGCAACTGCGACACACCATCCGGCCGGCGATCATCCTCGTCGTTGGTCCCTCTCGGTTCCAGTACGGCCGGTATATTGGCGGTAACTAGGCTTCTCCGAATTATTTCGTTCAAGGAGGAGTGACGAAGAAAACGTCCAGCGCTCTTCTTACACGAAAGTCCATGGTGGCCGTATTGGTCGACAGGCAGACGGCAGTCAGCGCAAAAGTGGGGACTGCAAATTGGCGCGCCGACACGTAGTCGAACTGCTACACGGAAACTCTCGTCTGACATCAACATTCCGAGTGAAGGTACAGGGAGGGCGTTAAGCCATTTGCCTGATTCCGGCCGCGCAACTGCAAGCAAACGCGCACAATGTGTAACATCATTTACATACAAGTTTGTGATATCTTCGCAAGCTTTTTTGACCACAGCGGCGTCCCACACTTTCTGCGTCTTTCGTTGGTTTTCTGACGGTAATTCAGCACCCGATGCTGCTTGCCACAACCGGTGCACCAAGTCAAGGCTCTCCGTTCCAGGGGCGATGCTCGAAACTAGGGACGATGTGGCATAAACTAGGGACACACCGTGTATGCCATTTAAGTATACACTGTGCTCCCGCATTGACTGCATAATTACTTCGAAATTCGAATTTATACACAAGAACAGTAGTGACAAAAAGACGACTCAGTGATACAGAGACTGATTAAAAAGCGATTTCGAGCACTTTAGATTCCCATTTAACGATATCGGTTTTCTGGCAATGGATGTTTGGTCACAGCAATGCGTCGCTTTGTACGCACATTCCCGTCGCTTCCACTTGATCTAGCGTTGTTTGCGTTATTTTTAGGCATTTTGAACATGTCACCAAACAGTCCTCTGTCTAACGGAGCTAGCCATGAATCTTCTTCCGCGTCCGCTAAGGCGTTATGCCTTACGTGTTGGTGATTCTTCAGGTGGTGCACGAAGGTAACCGGTATACCGTCTGGCGATAATCGTCCGTCAAATCTAGCGTCTTTAGGGCTCATGATAAGCTGAGCAGCTGCAATGAGAGTCTCTATACAAATATGAACTTGAAGATCGAAAAGTTTTTTTGTACAGGCAGATAACATTGTTCACTTGTTGATGATGACCGTTCGTAAACCCTGACGCTCGCATTACGCCGTGTTAACAGAATACCTGTTTGTTTACGCTTAATGAAACCCTTTATTTTTTTCGTCAAGCTTCGCGGTGATAGGGTCTTCGCTAATTTGTGGCCTTCGCGTCCAAGAGTAGGAGAAAACAAAGAATATGCATCGCCACCTGGAAGTGGAGCGATCGTCTAGATAAGTCAGTTGAGTTTGCCAAAGTTGGTTTATGCAGTCGTACCGTATTTTTGTATGATGCTTTCAAGATGATTTGACAGTTCTTTCGTTTCTTGAATATTTCTCTCGACCTGAGCGACTAATTCCATGTCGTTAGAGGCACGGTGTGGCTCGTCTGTACCTTCGATAATCACCGGCTCGTAGGTGTGAATGTCATTATTACCCGGCAGTACAAATCGTACACCATGCTTCGTTTGAAAGAAGAAGTCCTCCGACACGAAATCATCGTTATTAGGTTGAAGAAACTTTGGAATATTTAGAATCTCAAGAGTAATTTCTTCTGGATTTGCTTCCAGTGACTTCTTGTGCGAATCGCTCTGAGAAGCACCTATCGACATGGTCGACGCAGGCTCTTCTGTCAGCGATTGAAAATCCGGAGGAAGCGGAAAATTAGTGCTTCCCGTGGAATGAGAACCTGGGGGCTTTTGCGAAAGCGTATCTGTATCGGGCGCCTCAATAAAGACTGATGGTGAAGCACCGGAAAATGGGATGGTTTGCGCTGGTGAGGCCGTGCCGTTTTGTAAAGCAGAGGGCGAAATGTCGAGTGCTGAAGTGAGAACGTACATATAAATCATTTTCTACACTTCGAACATAAAAGCATCACACACTCGGGGATACTTACGCTTGTTAAGAGAAATCCTGCTTGTCGCCGTGTCAGCCGCTGTTCTTCCTAATTGCACTGGACTAGACGGTTTCGAATTGGTGAACAATACTTCTGATTGGGTTAGCACCTGAGAATTTGGTGCCTGAGAGACCCTTTTTGTTTCGGGTTGCAAAGGGTTCGGTCCCTCGCCCCGATTGTCCAGTTTTTCAGACTCCTTTCTAATTTCTTCCGCCAAAGTTTCGTTATCAGCACTTGATGTGTCATTATCAGCAGTTGTGTTGTTAACCGCAGTTGATGCTACCGATGGAACATTATCCACTGAGTTGTCCGCAAAATCTTGATCAAACACCCAGTCAGTAGTTTCGGGTGGCTCCACGTTTTTCTCCAGGGCTTCCTTGACCATTTCGTCAATAGTCTTTGCTTTGGAAGGCTTGCTCTCCCACATTATCGGCGTAACCTTCCCATCAATGGACAGCTTGGGTATTAGCAAGCGCAAACTTGGTGCTCGATCGGGTGCCATGTAAGTGACCTCGTCGCTTCTTCCCTCTATCTCCTGGAGCCTGGCTCGATCACGAGATTTTATAAAGGATTTGTACTGCACAACCAGAGAGTCTTTTTTGGCTATCTTAGCATTAAAGAGAGTGGCTGCTCTCTGTGAGGCATCAACTGAAATTCGCTTTTTGTAAGCCGGCTGCAGAGCTTCCGTCAAATACGAATCCAGCAGAAAATGCTTGCCGTTCCGAAAATGATGGTTGGAAGTGCTGGCACGATTGTGCAACGGTACCACGGTCGTAAATAACGCAGTTTCGTGATCATCATACAGGCGACTTTCCGTCTCTTCCAGTAGGTCACGAGAACGCTTGTCCGTTTGCGTCTTCTCAGAAAAAACATTTTCTGGGCTGGGCGGTCGTGGAGCGTCTTCATCACAACCCTTACAAATTCCGAAATGTCCCATTTCACCAGCGTTTTCGCACTGTTTCCGCTCATTCTCCGTCTCAGGCGCACCGTTTTGAAGGTTTTTCTGTGAAGACGAGCCAGAAGCTGCTGTATTCGAATGTGTTTGATTCTGAGCTTGTTCGTTCGTTCGTTGGCTTACAATCCTGTTTGCTCTCTTTCTGGCGCGCTTGCCGGGTTTTTGGCTGAGGGGATGCATCACTTCCAGCTTCCTCAATAACCATTGCGCCTGTTGTAACATTCCATCCTCGGAAGGCGCCGCTGTCACTCTGGCCTTACCCTCTTGCCTAACAATGTGGTTAACCGCCTTCTGCATTTCTCGAAATTGCGCATCCTGTTGGAATTTTGTTAGCCAACGTGAATGAGCTTTTTTCTCCAAGCTCTGGATACGACTCCCGAATGATGGAGCGTAGCTTTTACACACCGGTGCGTGATTCTCTTTCAGAAACTTTTGGCTGGTGTCCTGGCAGTCACGTAACAATTGTGGGTACTTTGTTTCAGGTTGCAGAGTTGCGCAAACTCCGGCGTTGTCCAATGTGCTCGAAGCATTGCGGCAAATGCGGGCTATTAACTGGTGTGCAATTCGTATGCTTTCTGTAGAAAGAGAGGAAATACTGCATCTATCATCACTTTCCGAGGGAGTTTTTGGTGTTAAACGTACCATCAACGATTCGGCATCATGTAGACGGATTGTCGATCGAACTCCAAACGGCATCTTTCTCCTAATTTCAAGATTTGTGTTCGGTGGTTGAAATTGTTTGTAAAGGCTTTCGCGAAATTTATCTGGTTTTGGATGAGCCGCTTTCTTTTTACTACTGATGATTTGCTTGCAGGGGATACCATCCTCTAATGTTGGGAGACAAATAAATTTCAATTTTTCTGGCATACTACCCTAGAAATTTACTACTTCAAATTTTTTAAGGCTTTTGCGGGTACATCAACATAGTTTGACCATTTCTTTTTACGGAAGTGTGCGGTTGCGCAGTCCGATGTACCACAGACTACGTACTTAGGCAACAATGTAACGACTAACGAGTATTATTTATTTTTTTTATAAAACATACGCGAATCAGCGACAGTTTATTTAACACGCGATTTTTACAAAGTTACCTGGATACCGCCTTTAAACATTCTGAAACGAAGTGAAAATTCAGTACGAGTACTTCAATTATATAAAAATTAAATAGATATATTTAACTGTTCACGGCTAACCTTACTTTAGTGTCGTATTTTATTCGAATAGTTATGCGACATGCCATAAAATTAGCGATTTCGTTCCTAAATCCACGCCACTAGCTTTCTAGACCGAGATTGTAAATTTTGCGAAATGCGTGAACAAACAAAAATTATTCATAGTCTCAGCGATTTCAATCGAGGATTACATACTCGTCGGTATATTAAGCCGACAATATGCAGCCGAGATTTCTTAACCGGAATTGCTTTGGACATGCGACCGGAAAAAGAGTGGGGTTACCATTTGGCAAAGGCAACGGGCATCGATGTCAGCACAATCGTCGAAATCAATCTGGAATTTTTGAGTACGGGGTTTAACTACAGCAAGTCGAAATCTTTGTGCACTGCGACAGAGATAGAAATTTTGTGCACGTCGTGCACTGCAAGTGGAACCTAATTTGTCCGATAAATATTAGCTGCATAATTTGATAACATTAACGTCCAGTCATTAAAGACTGAAATCCTGAACGCAATTAATCGCGCTGGCTAGTGTTGATTTTCCTCCTTCTGTCGCGTTGAAAACTGTCTTGACCTTAATGAATTCTTTATGGTTCCATCAGGATTACTAAAGCACTCGTTCATATATCGCTTTTCCTTATACGAAATTATTACGAATACCAAATGTATTTATAGTTACAATCTACAAGCCACTGAATTTTCAGATATCCAATCAACCTATGGCCTAGGGTACCTTAGATCTTGCCAGGTACTGAAAGTTAACAATAACATCATCAGCCGGATCATTGGGCTGGAAGATCTGACCGAACTGAAGAGCTTGGGTAAGGTAAAGTTCTGGATTTTCTTCACATTTGCATCTGCAGAATGAAAACGCTAAACAACAATTTTGTCCTTGCATTCGTGCCATTCTTCTAATTATTTTCTACTAGTGAACTACTGTTGTGCGTTTTGCGGACTGCAGCCAATAGCGTCATGATATCTGTGTCGTTTTCAGAGCAGACCTCTCGTTCAACAACATTGAAAAAATTGAAGGCTTACAAGGATGTGCAAAGCTGGAGGAGTTAATGCTTTTTCACAACACCGTTGTCACCATTGAAGGACTCGAAACGCTAGAAAAGCTTGCATTGCTGAACGTGGGATGCAACCAAATCGGCGATCTGCAGGCTACAGTAAGATTTGATTTTCATTAGAGCTCTTTTTATTAAAAGCTGTACTAAGCCTGCAATCCGCAATAGCCATGTTGAATCAAGCCGCATATGCTGTGCACCAGCTGGTCTGCCAATATGTGCTTAACTTCAACATTTTTTGGTGCTGACACTCTTGTTCACTGTTTCACAGTATTCTGTCTTACGACGAATGAACTCACTGAGAACAGTGAATCTGGAAAGAAATCCTGTGGCAAAGGTCAACCTTTACCGGGAGCATATGGTCGTTTATGTTCCTCATTTGAAGATTCTGGACTGGAAAAGAATACTGCCAAGTTTTGTAAGGAAGATTAATACTGCCTTTCATACTAATTAGGGGCTATGAATCAGAGATAGCTGAATATAAAAATTTTTTGATCTTTTTGTTTTGCTGTACATTTAGCGGGTAAAACCACTGGTTTTAGTTATACATTTACTATACAGTATGAAAATCGTGTTAATAAGTATTAATTGCGTGACCGCTGTATATGGTTTGCATTTTAGAAAAGCCAGGCTTATGAGCTGTTACGGGACGATTATCGTTCTTTTGTAACGAAAGAACGCCTGGAGGAAAAACGAAGGAAAATAAAGTCATTAACAGCGGAGAGAAAAGCACCAAAGTCAGTAAGTCAGTCCTGATGATTCGAAAACGCTTCTGAGAAAACATAAAACTGTACGTGAAAATTCGTAGATTTTCTCGGTTGAAGCAGACAACAGCTTGTACAAATTCCTCAATCAGCCGTCGGACGAAATTGAATATTTGTTTGAACTGCTTGATGGCGGAGAGACTGCACTTACTTCTTACAAAGAGCAAGTTAGCCAGGTTGGCCAGGGAATAACCGACAGGGTGCTGGTCTTGGGGAATGCGTTAACCGAGTTGGAGACCAGCTTGGACGATCAGATCAACCGCTATGTTAACGGTTATGGCACAACAGGGCGCCGGATCATGGAAGCACTTATGCTGAGAAAGGGAGATTATTTAGCTGCGATTATCCATGAAGTGGAGCAGCGAGGCAAGGATGCTCTGAAAGGTTACTGTGCCGTTTTGGACGATGTCAGCGTGGATCTGACGAGGCTGCTGATGCAGTTACAGCAACACGTTGAGGTACAGCTTGCAAGCGTATGCATATAGAAGTATCGATAAATCAGTAAATGCGTTAATGCAAGGGCTGGAAAGATTAGATTAACCTAAGACTTTCCATGGGATGTAGCTTGCAAGCTTGTTACCTTCATTCACGTGGTCAATAGAAGAGTAATCGTCATTGTAGCACACCTGCCTTCTATTTATGTAGTAAACTACTAATTTTGATATTCGTTCACTTACCAGTACACTGTTCACTTCACTAGCATACCATCTCAAGCAAAACGAAGAAGTTGGAACATCAACTAAATCATGATATCAGCTGGTTAACGCGTGAAATCGATATCCTTAAGCAGTTTGAACAGTTTCTGCAAGAGTGGGCCACAACTGCCCACAAAGACCAAAAGTTTGAAACTGTCTTACTGCCCCAAGAAGTCAAACATCTGAAAGAATTATTTGAACTGAAGCACCACAATCAGAGTACGGATTGGTTGGTACGTCGGTACTCAGTTAAGCTACGGCTTTTGTTCAGCACCGGATTTGATAGTCCTGTATTTTCTTGCAGGATGAGTTGAAATCCACAGCACTAGTACAACATTTGCAAGAACGCTTAAAGCAAAAACTTCGTCGGCTTGACCAGCTGCAATCCAAAATCACCGGAGAACAAACTGCTCGATTAGATGCCATTAAAGAGAAATTTTCTAAATATGAAATAGATATTTTCCACCAGCGGATGCGGGAGATTGTTGATCTGGTTGAGCAACATAAAGCGGAAGCGTACTTGCTACGGAAGCGGATGACGTACCGCTTGGGTCGCCACGAGGAGGAGGAACTGCACATTCAACCAGCGGTCAAGAACTTAATGAAACGACGGCACAAAACTACTGCAATGAGCATTGCCGGTTCGGGTCGACCGAGAAAGGTGGAATTCGAAAACGAAGAGCCTTTACCGGATTATGTTGTAATGAAAGACTTCAAGGAGATTGTCGATCAAATCGCAAACGTTCCCGTGGAAGAACGGGAACGCCTTTTTGAGATGAGGGTTGTGGAGATGGACGATATTGCTGACTATGTTGATATTAAGGATGAGCTGGATAAGAATGAATTTGCACAAAGTATGCAAGAGGGGATCAGTGCGGAACAAGGGGATCCGGATTTTGATTTGTAGTCTGTTCTGTGCAGTTGGAATATTAAAATAGTTATAATTTATTAACTTCCGTTTCGTTCGTTCACAGTGCGTAGACGTGCTAACGCTAATATAAAATTTGGCCAATTGCATGCACGTGGTTTGGTTGAACTTTTTTTATTTCAAGAGTAACTTAACAGTATTGTTTTAAGTACCGCTGCCAATGTTGCCACAAAGTGCACTTCAAACTGGAAAATATTTATCTACATATGTTTTGCTTTACTGTATCAGCTGATATTGTTTTTAAACAGCAATACGATTTAACCCAAATCATACTGTAGCGATTCATCCACGCAAACATGAAATCGTTTATGATTGTACTCATAGCACTAATAAAGCATGCAAATAATAAGACAGCTTCACCAATCCACTATATTTGATGAAGAATTTCGTCCAAAAATACTGGTTTTGCGTAATTCTGCAATGGGTCATCGTGGCGCACCTCTCGTTCGACGCTGGTGACCGCTTCTACAGTTTTTATAATATCCGTTTCCGGCATGTGCAGCAGATTATCTGCACTGTTTGCTCTAGCATCAATGCTGGGGACTTCTAGAAATCCTGAAGATACAGCGAGGGCCAATGGCTTTCGTTCATTAATATTGGACAGCGGGACGATTTCTTTTGTCTTAAAGATGCCGGTTCCCACAACGCACAGTCCTCCGGATTTGGCTTTCACGCACTCCATTTCCCTAATACTGATTGTAGCGGTGTCTAATGTTTTTGGAAGACAACTGCCGTTCCCCGTCTTGTCGCCAAGAGAAAGCGTCGTATTCTGCAAAATACGGGCGCTGTGTTCATAAACGGAATTAGCTAGAGCTTGTGCTCCCGCTGTTTGATGTAAAATCTTTTTCTGCAAGTAGTCCGTTTCCTGCAACAGGTCCTGGTATATTTTGTCCAATGTAGCCAACTCGGCTGTTAAAATGTCGTTGTCTTCTATCCCCTGTAGCTCTTCGGGCGGGATGCGTTCCCGCACCATGTTAACATGCCGAACACAAAGTTCATTCAAGGCCTCTTTCTCCATATCCACCGAGACCTTTTCACTAAGAATGATCAACTCGTCCGTCAACGCTAAATACCGCTCACTATCGGTTTTCTGGCCCTCGATTGATTTTGTGAGGCTTTCGATATGAGCTAAATTCTGAAGCATAGCACCGTCACGGAACGCTTCCCATACGGCTACTTCCTTCTTTATTTTCTCGGTTTCAGCATTAGCATCAGCAATCTGGTTTCGGAGACGAGCAACAGTCGCTTCAGTTTCTCTCTGCAGAATCTCTGTTTCCTTTTCGACCGCCAGGATATGATGACTCCATTCATTTTCCAATGCGACTAAGTCGGCATCATCTTGCGCCTGGTCCGATTTGACTGCTTGCGCTTCCTGATCATACCTGCAAACAAATGCGTTATATTTCTTTGTTAAATTAAATTTTCTATTGGAAAAAGCAAAGCTTTGCTCTAACTGACTAACCAGAATACTCCCGAATGACCTTTTACGTGTTTTCATAACTTGTTCGTGCAAATAATTTCCGTGCTCTGTCGCCGTTTTGTATTCCAACAAATATCGTTTCAGTCGTTCTTCTTCAATAGCAATCTGGTAATTAAGAGATGCCTCTTCGGGAGTCATAAGATCTTCCATTACTGTAGGCTTTTTATCTTTCTTTTTCTTCTTTTTCGGTTTCTTCTTTTTCTTTTTTGGAACAGCACTATTCTGGACTGCTTTCCAGATGTGCTCATTGGCGTCTTCCGAAACCCAGTCACTGGAGTCATCGAATCCTTCCAATTGAATATCCACTGAATTTGGTTCTGTTTTGGCAAAATCCTGCACTTGGATGCTATGCATAACCGTCCGCCGGAATTTGGCATCCTCTGCTATTTCCCCAATAAGCGGCAGAGGCGGTAATCGAAACTCGGCGAAAAAACCAAAATTTGCCATAATCTTATCATGCTGCTGTTTGTTTGTGGTGAGACAGTCGAGGAAAACCGATGGTTTGTGCAGCGACTCGTCATTGGTGATTCCCAAGCTTGCTAGTGGGTCTTTAAGAAATTCGGCATCCGCGCCTGGAGGCTTTGACCTTACAAAGCTCCTACTCGGTGTCGGTGGTGGGGGTTCGTCAGCAAGAAATGGGTTATCCATTAACGATCTCATTTGTGTTATTGGACCGGTCCCACTGCTTGAGATATATAATCAACTAGATCACCAGGATTCTAGCAATCGTTGGGTTATAGCTGATAGCCTTATACCATGCCGGGTTTCCACGTTACGGCTGACAAGTTTTGAAGCACTCGGTGACTCGCGTTATTAAAAATCCATGAAAATTCCTTGAGCACGATAACGTGGAACGCTTAAAAATTTAGCCAGATTTCTTATTCCTTAATTATTCGCTTTGTGGTATTCCTTGTTGTATCAACATTGTCTCGCACTCTCAACCATATGCAGGCCGACATTCGACGCAGAACGAGAATCGCAGATATCGCCACGCGTTTCTCGCCCACTCAATACGCCACTATAGAGCTCGGACAAGGAGATCGATGCGTGGATGTCGAAGATTTTCCGCACGAAAGCTATTGTCCTTTCATTCGACCAGTTTTACTCAAATGGATGATTCTCGAGCGTCAGGTGCGACAGAAAGCGTTGGAGTACGAAGAAGACGCCGAGCGATGTCAGGTCGACATAGTTAAAGAGATCTGTATTATTGCAGCGCTGGTGATACTACTGCCACCTACGTTATGGCTGTCGTGGCTTTTCATGCTACCAAAAAATGTGTATTCTGTTTTAATGCCTGTCATATCGATTGCCACATTAATGTTTTTCCGCATTATAAAACTGGTACAGCTTTTTGATTGCGAAAGCGAGTCGAAACAAGCCGCTGTTAAAGTGCAAAGAATTCTGGAGCTGGAAAGAGCACGATTGCTCCAATTATTTGATGAACTGCTCTGACAATGAGGGATAACAACTATTTGTAGTTCACTGTTCACACAATGTTGCTAATGTAAATGTTGCAATTATTTTTGTGGACATAGACCGCTATAATTTTTTGTTTTCTTAACTTGTGCCGGGTCTAGCAGATGCGACAAAATTTTTTCCTGTGCAAAACAAAGTGTCATTATTAAAATGGCGAAACATGTAGAAGCATTACATAGTACATGCTACATAGTACTACGTTTTTAGCTCATATCTTATTTTTATTGATTTTGTGGGATACATTGGTCATGTCGGCTGACAACTGAGGTTGTGGCACTCCGCTGCTCCGATCAGCGTAAGCGCTGGCAGCTGGCAACAGTTTTGGGTGTAGATGCGATAAAGCCGTGCTGCATAAGTTTACCTGAAAATACGCATGCCGTTATTATTGTTGCGTATTAAATACTCGTATTATGGGCATCAAAAACAAAACACAATTTTAGCACGTCTTCCTCGTAGCTGCATACCAAGGATATATGATCTTCCCAGATATCCTTTGCCACATTCCATCCGAAATTGGGCCTGTTTGTGTCGTAAAACTGCGAATCCTCTACCGAGCGCAAGACATGCGCGCTCTTTTCAAACAGAAGCCGAAATGCATCGACCTTTTGGCGGAACTCCAAAAATCCGCTGGTCATCCGGTCATCACCAAACCGTCTATGCAGAGGTACGCCAGCCATATTCAGCATGTTGTCGTTACTCTGCCACAGACTGGACGAACCGTTCTCGTGGAACTGAAAGTGGTCCTTTAGTGATCGATACAAATCTTTGGGAAATTCCTGCATATCCGTTTTTCCAAATGTATCGACGATTATCTGTCCGGGATTTCTCTGCAAGGTGGTGGCATACCATTTGCGCCGGGAATGATCTTCCTCCGCATGGCCAAACAGCTGAGCACGCAAGATCTCCATTTTACATGCATTTTCTTCACCGTTTCGGAAATGGCGATCAAGGACATCTTCCACTGTTGGATCATGATCAAACGCCTGCTCTCGCAGACTGTCTAAGGCCGCGCTGGTCTTAACAGCGTCTGCAAGCTTTTGCGTTAGCAAAGCATTGGATTCGCTCGTGTTCAAATCGACCTCGAGTATTTTCTTGTTTTTCCAGAATCTGCGACATAGTCGCGCTACTTGTTGGTTCTTTCGTTCAAGTAATCTTGAACGAGGAAATGTCGCACTACGAATATTTAAGGCTGAGCGAATGTCATAACCTGCGTCCGAGCTGCCGTCCTCCAAATCATCGTTGTCGAACCTAAGCGAGCAGTCGGGTATTTCCGCAGGACCATCTTTCCAGCCAACTTGAAAGGGGTTTCTAATCGAACCATCCGGGCGCAGGACGTTTAGGTCGTAATAATCTTCGTCCGACAGACCTGCGATATTTAGCGCCCCCGTTGTACTACTTTCCGTATTCCTGTGGTGCTGCATAGCTCACTGAGAGATATCAAACTTAGTGACCTTTAACAGAAAAGGATGGTATTTTATAATGCACCCTTATGAGCGTAATAGCATGGGGTGCTGGTCGCTTCCTTTTGGTTTGGTAGGAATTCTCGCGGGGAGTGTCACAAACATAGCTCCAAAAGAAATTTGTGTTACTGTATATAAATCTGTAAGTTTTAATTCTATAATTCTAAAAGCCTTTCCCTTGTACAGTAGCTGTTTGCGCGGATTTGCGTCTAAAGCTCGTTATGAGAACTGACACCGGAACTGGTCAGTAAAGTTGTAGCGACTCTTTTGCCTTAATAATAATGGCCCAGTTGATATTACTCGAGTATTGTTTATAAGGTGGAAACTCTCAGATATGACTTCTGCAATACCTAATAAATGTGAAGTTTCATTTGTAGATGTACATATGTTAACTGAAATTCTAAATATCATGAAGCAGCACTAATTACTGTATTCAAAAGTACGAGTACAGTATTTCGATTCAGTGAAAAACCCTTGAGTAAAACTGTAGTTAAAACCAAAATACAAAGATGACTTCACGCTTCTGTTGACATATCCGGGCCAGCTCGCTGGTAAGAAAAATATGGAAAGTTTTCATTCCAGCATAAACTCATCAAGCTTCCAATTGAGAAGCACCTAAAGGAAGCAAAGATCCATCAAGTGAAAGCGTAGCGCCTTATTAACCGTAACGTGTAATGTGTTACCAATCGCTAGCAGCAGAGAATGGTCCGGTTGGCGACGGAAGCGGTGCTGGTTGCGGATTCGCCGCTGGGGCTGCCTGGAATGGGTATTTAAAATATCCGTAAGGTAAATACATCGGAACGTCCGGCTTTGAATCAACTAATATGACAGTATTAGGCCATCGACTGTCTTCGACCACACTGCTTGGTGATCGCGATGTGGTCTTTTTCCGTTTTGTCGTTCTTTGCGTGGACAACTTGCTGTCATTTACGTTGGGGTGTGGTGTAATGGGAAGCGAAATTGACAGCTCCATGTAGGAGTTTAGCGGATCGACTGGAGTAAACGCAAACTGCAACAATTTTACGGTTTAACGTGTCCAAGTATCTGTAGGTAACGAAAATTGGCGCTGCTCACCCATTGTCCTGTAGTCAGACTGAGGTATGATGCATTATCTTTTAAGGGCGTAAAGGCGTCGCTTAAGTCTTCATTACAAGAGGCCTGCCTCCAGCACCAGCATTCAAAAGCGGGATATGCTTCCGCACCCACCATTACAGCATTCAGTCGTCTGCACAAGTACGTTTGATCCGCAGTAACGTTATTATATACTGCGCCTTGGAACTCGGGTGCGTAATCGGAGCACCCCCTAGTTAGTCCCACGCCTGGAAAACAGTTGAATTATTTTCTGTTTCAACCTGCAATGCTTTAAGGTTGATTACCTGCAACATATGTCACCGAACAAGTCTTTGCTGGGCACTGGACATTCTCAGCCACGTCGTCGGCCAAGGAAAGATCATTGCATGTTGGAATTTCTAAGCATTGATAACAGGATGAAGCATTGGCTTCTAAATTTTGCGGCTTCTCAGAGGCAGATGATGCTGATGGACGTTTATCTGTTGGTGATGAGCTTGTGGGGCGCAAAATCAGGTCAGGCCATTTCAAAAGAGAATCAGGTGGTGTATGACCCGGAGCGCCAGGATATACTTCGCTACCGGCAGGTGAGGACACCGGTGCGGCAAGTGTTTCGAGTGACATTGCAGATGAGTTAGACGAGCTGTCGAATGACGGATCGTAGCCAAACTGAATAATAATTATAATGATATAAGAAATAAACTAATATCAGCTTCACGATTCCAGGGCTGTTCTGTCTCGAAAGTTTCCACTTACCCACTGATTGTCTGGCATCGCGATGTAAGTTGGATCGCGGGTCAGTGCAACGAACGATGATTCTGGGTGGCCGTTGCAGTATGGATGATCGAAGCAGTGACATTCAAACGCTGTGTAAGTGTTGCCACTGAGCACAAGGATGCTCTGGAAACGTTTACATATGTATGGTAGACGTGTGGTAACGTTGCCGAATGGTACACCTTCTACACCGTAGGTGAGGAATGAACATTCTCGGGTGAGTCCAAAATCTGGTACGTCAAAATTTACAGTAGGTAATTACTGGAATTATTTGGGTGGTTGACATTACACTTGACCGACACTTTTACCTGCAATATACGTCACCGAGCAGCTTTTGGCGGCACAATGGCTGCGCTCCGCGGCAGCTGCAGCCGGATCCTGAAGATCATTGCACGCAGGGACAGTAACACAGCGGTGGCATTCGGCTGCGTTTCCTTGAAATAATGCAGCACTTGCGGTGACACTGCTGGACGGTGCAGCTGCGTTAGTCGAAGAGGAAAGCGACGGCAAATCGGTGGTTGAACCGACAGAGTTTCCTTCAACATCGGTGGAATGTGTGGCATTTGCCGGTGATGGCGTAATAAAAGGACCCAGAGGATCGTACCCGAACTAAAAACACAAAATAATTTAAGTTTTGCTTAGAACAGCTTTCACTTTGTTATACCCATTCATCCACAGGAAAGCCTTGATACATAGGTGCATTGACTAGATCCAAGAACGATGTCTCGGGATGGACGTTACAGTAAGCCTGATTAGAGCAATGGCACTCAAAGGCAACTTGGGCGTTCCCTGTGACCACTATCTCTTTTAGACGCTTGCACATGTAAGTGAGTCCGGTTGTAATATCACCAAAAGGCACATCTTCCATACCAGGATGGATATATGAGCAGTCTCGCGTCAACCCAACACCTGCGAAACACACGTTAAGACTGGTAGGATAGTACGAGGTACCGCACATGGCTACACCTTGTTTTACCTGGGAAATACGTAACCGAGCAGCTCCTAGCAGCACAACGCACAGTACTGCTTGCATTACCGGAGTGCAGAAGATCGCTGCACGTAGGAATACTCTGGCACCGGTAACATGTATCAGCGCTACCAACGTACGGAACCGACGGAAGCAGTGTGGCATAGTTTAGTCGCACTTTGGTGCTCCTTGTCCTACCCCTCGTCGTAGGCGGTGGAGAACGTGTTACTTCCCGGTGCGGCTCAAACCCAAACCACTGATCGGAAAGGAAATTCGTGTAGCCTAAGCGTTCTTTGCTTAAATCCAGGAAGGCGCTTTCCGGATGCGCATTGCAATACGTGTGATTGAAACAGTGGCACTCAAACGCCGATGCTTGATTACCGGAAATCACGAGATCTTTCAGACGTCTGCAGAGGTATGCAGAAGAAGTGGTTACATCTCCAAACGGGGTGCCTTCCATCCCAGGAACAATGTATGAACAGTCCCGAGTCAGACCGACACCTGCGTAACAACAGATTTTGCAAAAAGATGCAAACTGGAAAACGATTATGTTCCACAAAGCGCGATGTGCGTTACCGACGATCCAGGTTACGGAACAGCTCTTTGCGACGCAAGCAGCAGTTACCGGAAGCGCCGATCCCAAGGTCAGCAGATTATCGCAAAAGGGGTCAGTCGCATCGATAGAGTTGGTGCATCGATAACATTGATCTGCTTCGCGCTTAAAGCCTCCAGGAGCAATCGACGTAGCATAATCCAGCACCTTGGTGGTACCGATGACCGGTATCTCAGTGATAGCGGTTGTGACTGGCGATTTTGAATCGGGTGTATTCGCTGTCGTGGTTGAACTTCCTTGTGTGAAAGGAGGCGACTGTGTCGGCAACCATGATCGTGGTGTGAAGCCAAACTAAAGGTTTAAACGCATTCGATAGCAAAAAGCATTCGGTCAATAGAAACAAATTTCTAACGAACCCACTCGTTCCATTCGACTGATTGTACTGCTGGATTTTGCCACAAATAATCAAATGCTGCTGCAGGTTGTGAATTACAAAACCACCGATCGGAGCAATGACATTCGAAAATTGTAGCCATGGATTGTCTGAGGGGATCGTAACGCTGTCGCTTGATACAGAGATAATCATGGGGTGTGCTGATGTTCCCGTAAGGAGCGATATTTGTGGTCGTACGCGATGGGTCAGTCGAGCACCCACGAACGGTTTGTCCGTCTATATATGTACTGCTTACATCAACTGCATACTATTGTACATGTTTAAATTCCGCTTTAAATATTTTACAAATACAGTCTAGTCTGCTCACTGATCAAAACAAAATTTAAAATTACGTACCAACAGCCCAATATTCAACACGGCAGCTTTTGATCACGCATTCGATCGGCTTTTGTATCACATGGCTTGCATGCAACAAATCGTTGCAGACCGATCGATTCAAACATTCGTAGCAAAAGTCGGCCTGTAGAGGTGGGAGAAAATCTGGAGGATTTCGGGAATAAGAGTTGGCTGGGGTGGTTGGATCAATAACTGCTTCCTCAAAGCCGTTAAAGATCGAGGTGGTCGCTTGTAATGGAAACGGCATGTTGCGAGGATTATAGGCAAACTGTAGAACAATAACACAGTTAAACTGCCGCACTTGGATTAAACGCGGTTAAGATTCCGCAGAATACCCAAACATTGTCCGGATGAGCTGTAAAATTGAGATACTTGATTGTTGTTGCGCTGTCCTTATTGCAGCCATTAATCACACAATGGCAGGTGATGTATCGGACATTTGCTGCAGTCCATTTCTTGCAAAGATACCATGAATGATAATTGAACGTCTCAGGGATGGAATCCGGGATCACTATGGGACTTGTCGTATCACCGGCACATGAGCGCAAATGGCCTTCCGTTCCTGCGTTGAGAACATTTGTGACAGTGTTGAGTTACTGCTGTATAAAGTGAGGCTAACGTACTCTGTAAAGTAGAATCGTAGATTAAGAAAGCTTTACCGAGATTGGTAACGAAGTAGCGCGTCACGCTGCAACCTTGCAGGCAGTTAGACGTAAAGTTTACTCGAGGTGGTAGACGTCCCGATGTCGGATCTAGGCTAGCGTCGCACATGGAATCATGGTAGCGCGTGTGACACTTGTAGCACTGCGTGGGCACTGTCTGCCGGGCCGCCAAAGGCGTTTTAGCATGGTCACTGGGCCAAAAATCCACCTGAAACATAGTAGCAGATTGGTTATACAAAACATGTTTCTTTTCACTTTCTCGACGAGGAATAAAACAATAAAATTTCATACATAGCTGTTGGAGAGAGTGTTTTCTTGAACAAATGCCCTTTGCGCACTGTAGTTGCAATAAGACTTAGAGCAGTAACAGCGGGAACCGCCTTCAGAAAGTCGCTTGCAGCGGTACGGAGCCATGAATGCCACATGGGGCTCTTCTGATTTGTGGCAGGCGCGGCGAAAGGTGCCATCTGTTAAGCACAGGGTAAAACCGCGACAACGACTGGCAAGAGACACTATGACAATATTCGACGCACCGTGAGAAACCTCGATGCCGCAAACACCGCTGCAGCGTTGTGTTCGCGAAGTAAGAGAGCCGAAAAGGTCATCGTCGCAGCCTTTGGCAGCCGTGCCAGATATAAGCTCTTCTCTAGTATCGCAGATGTAGCACACGGTTTCATATCCATATCCTGTTCAAAATGCATGGCTGATTAATGCCATTTCACTTTGAAAATAGTGGGACGGCCAACAGAAAGCAGGGCAGCTGCACAAACACAAGTATCGTATTCGAAATTATCTAAATTACAACTTTCGTATTCGGGACAGCTCTTTGGTGCAAATACTCGTATAATCAACAGCAGGAATGCGATTTAGGTGACGGAAGCCAACGTATAACACATTTCCAAACTGCTTTCGGTGGTCTTTGCTCGTTTAGACTAGCTTGATTTTATGGCATACAACCCGCTTACATTTAGAGGTCGCCAGGTTTTGTTCAAAAACCTTTCGTAAAGTGATTTCGTTTACAAGCAGCAGTGGAAATCTACAGTAACTTCTGCATCCTCATCTCAGCTTTCACTGCATGACTCATGCAGCATGAGTATCGAGAAAGTATAGCAAGATTTAACAAAACCTGCTATCATACATATTTGTCTATGATTTTTAATGGAAATGATAAAGTAGAAAATAAAAAATAAAGAATAAAGAAAGTTTAAAAGATAATTCATAATTAGCTTTTCCATTTCAAACTTTAGGAAACTGAAAGTTTCCACGTGCTCTGGCTGTGCGCGTTTTTCGATTTACCAAAAACTGTTGTATCCGTCCAGTGAAACTGCACCAGAAAAATGGCGTATGAAAAAAGCCCTGCCGGTTTTGCTAACGAAACGACATAATAAAAAAGAAAGTCAAACGGATGAAAGTGTTCAAGCAAGATTTCTGCACCTGTCTTAATTAAGATGAGCACCGAATAAAAAAACAAACAAAAGATGATCATTGAATACGTACTGCTCAATTAAAGCAGATGGGCAAAATAGATAGATGAAACGATTGCGAGCCGCCAACCGCTAGTATGTAATCCAACCAATTACTGAATAAGCAAAGAATAAGCAACCGTAAAAGTTTTTCAATACTTGATATTCTTTGTAAGTAAATAATACGTGCTTAGTTTAACTTATTTAGCGTGCCATTGCGAAAGCGTATGCTGTAATAAATTTTATGACAACAGATTTCGTCATTGCTCCACTATGATCCATACCCTCCCTGCGACTAGAGCGACATATTTACGTACTCGTATCACATCTCACTGTAGCGAGCGAAAGCAGGCATTAGGTTGCTAAGCAAACGTTTAATGCGGAATTTGCTAGGTTTTTTCGTCGCCCTTTAATCAGACATCTGCTTACAAAAAATTTACTGATGCCGAATCTAGGCTAGCGTCGCACATGGAATCAAAATAGTGCGTGAGGCATTTGTATTTTGTAGCACTGTATATATGGGTAACGTTTCGCGGGACAGTAAAAGGCGATTTATCGTGGTCGTTGGGCCAGAAATGTGGGGCACTGACGGCAATTGCTTTACCACCTGATATTACTTGTAGTATGATTGTGTTCTTTTACCCAATTGAGTAACTCCAGACATTTTTTATCACAAGAATTTTTTGTTTTATTTTTGCTTTACCTTTGCAAGCGTTGCAAGTTTGCTTGAGTTACTCAAAGTTGAGTGTATCATCCTAATGGACTTACCATACATGGACTTAGTTCCATTCAGCAATTTCAGTATTATATTTCACAGATGTCTAGCAGCCATAGTGAATTTAATAACAGTGTACTCTGTAGTTGCAGCAGCGCCAGCCACAGTGCAAAACTTACTTTATACATTGTTGAGTGCCACACGGTGACAGAGATATACCGGTATGCGGTCTAAACAATACTCAACATACAGTTCATTGTAAGGTGTGAACAATAAGGATAAAGGGAACTTTTCAGAATCCCTTTGCAAAACTGGCTTTAACTTACAGATGTCCAAATTAAGCCGCATTTTTACGTAAGGTTAGCTACTATAATAATATAAAACCAGAGAAGATAATCAAACCAACAATAAAAGCACAAAATAACATGTAAATAACATGTAAACAGAAAATAAAACAACTGTTTGTTGTCACAAAGCCGAGTGACGGTACCGTCGCTTGTAACGGTTGTCGTTGTACGATTGGACTTTCTGACAGGAAACGGGTTGGATCCACTACGCAAATGGTCAGCTAATGGCACGGACGTATCCTCAAACCAGCCTTCTCGGTGTTGTTCATACAATACCTCTATCAGATACGGGAGGGCAAAGCGCACGTTGGCATATACACCCGGCGTGCCTGACGCGCATCCACTACAAAAGCAATCAAGAATATTTTCAAAGCTCCTAATGACTTAGCGCAAGTACACCGTAAAAAAGCTTTACATTGTACTTGCGCTCTGTCATCAGTGGCTCAAGCAGTTATCGCCTCGGTTTTTTAAAAACTTTGCTTGCGTATTTTTCAGTAAAATGACGTGTATGAAGGTAAAAAAAAGGAAACAGGAAAATCCGTACAGGCCGAAAGAGGTCAGCGCTGTCAGTTCAAACTGCGCTGAAGGCGAGCCATCTGCTGCAGGCATCCGGCAAGTTAACGGTCCGCCACTATCTCCTTGACATCTGTGAGCAAAATACCACGAATCTACTCACGTGGAATGTCTGCCGAATAATAATGCTTGCTCTAGCTTTTAGCTTGTAAACTGAGCTTTAGACTTTTAGAACGCCAAACAAGACTGACGTGTCTTTCCCGGGTCCGGTGGCACAGGTCATTTCCGGTGTCATTTGGATGTAGCTAACCGCGCATACAAACGGGTCCACGATATTCAAATCAACCTGCTGGAGCTGACGGGCGTAGACGCCTTTCGGTCTGGGTCCGCTAGCGTTGCTCGGATTCGTATAGCCGCACCCGGTGGCTGTGCACACTGTCCCCACCCTTGGTTCATCGTATGGTCGGGGCAGACAAACAGGGCTTATCTGGTTCGACCATGTTATGGGCTAAAATCGCCGCAGTACAGAAACAAATATTAGGTCCACCGTTCGACATATTTCCACAAAAACGCCTTCCGGTAAAGTACAGTACCTGCTCCAGCTCGAGAAAACAGAAGTCGTAATTTACGCCTGCCAATAGTGGGTGGAACCTGGGATGCGAATAGACTCCTTTCACTTTAACGGCGTCTGCATCAATCACCGGCCAACAGTCATGGAAGCCCATGTACAGCGTAAATTCCTCGGGTTTACGTTGCCTATAAGCAACAACTTCCGTCCATTCGTGCCGTCACACGGTTGTAAAAGTCGGCGTAAAATAAATGAAGCAGCAAGTACCTACACGCCGTCCTTCATACAGCAATGCGCAGCAGTCATAACCCATTGTTTTCCAATCTGCATCCATACACATTGCAGGTGTTATGTAAATAAAGCAGCTTAAAAATCCACAGGTTACTGCAAAGCCACTAGCTTACCACCGAAGCGCCACAGTACGTTGTTGTTAACGAAAGGTAAACCTGCCATGGCCACGAATTCTGCACCGCCTGTTGTCAAACAATTTAAAATCACCACCACAATAAAAAAGCGATCAACGATAATGACGCTATTGAAATACAGTACTTTAAAACGAACAACTGACCGTGACGCCTCCAACTATGCGCACCGGATTAGCGCTTGGCTGTACGGCTGGAAGACCACAAGTGGAACTACAGACCTCATCTTCTCCATCTGGACAGTCCGGGACCCCTGCTCATAAGCATTTATTGTCAGCTGACGCCTGAATGGCAAAAATTTGTGTTAACCACCCAGTATTTACCTTACCATCACAGATACGCTCATTCGGTACACAAATAAAGTCATCTGAAGGGCACCACAAATCACCATATCCACATTCGGATCCTGTCCAATTTATGCATATACTCTTGAACCTCGTAGACAATTCAGAACACGAAGAAATCACTAGTCCTACTTGTCACTGTGATCTTGAATCCTGAGAACTGCTGACTACCATCCGACAAAAACAACAGTGCCTACGCCAGAACGTCATCCACATTTTTTATTTGCTAATGGACTGACTGAGGTTAAAAACTTACAACTTGGTCGCTGTATGAGGTGACGCTGAAGTTACCTTTGCCGCAAGCAATCAACAAGATATTGTATGGATCTACGAAACAAATTCGGTTAATAAATGGTAGCAACAATCATACGACCATATGAATAAAGATATAATAATAAATAAACTAGAGTAGGATACTAGGATACAATGAAAGTGCTCCACACTTAAATATTACATTTTAAATCCCATATGGCCAACCGGTCTGTTAAGCATCGGTTATAGGTTCGATCTTGATCTTGTAGCTCATAAGTAGCATCAAGCTGCAATAATCCCAAAGCTAAACTAGTAAACTTGTAGAACTATAGACAAACTTGGTACAAATGAATCGACAGAATGGTGAGGATACGTACTTGAATTGGGTACTGAGATCCGTTTATATAGTAGCTCTCGTTGGCCAGCGGAGGATAATTATCCGGATAACCAGGCGAAGTGATTATAAATCCATCCGTATCCTTAACTATGTTGAGCTTATGATCGCTTTGAATTCCATCGATTACGGGTTGGTCAACTGATCTATACCATTTATTCGCTTGGCAGAAATTCAGAAAGATTAGCAGAGTACCACAGCACGAAACGATTCGCAACATTCCACAGCCAGTCTATAGGCCGACTGCATTCTACTGGTTTTTCTTGATGTTCGCGTGCTGGTCTATCTGTATAACTGTTCAGTTAAACTGGAGAAAGGTTGCTATGGTCGGATATGACATCCAGCTGATTAAAGACTATAATTTCGGCGAAACTGGAAGCATGGGAATTTAAACATACGTAATTTGTCATCTTTAGGTCCATCTTGACCTCATAACTAGCATAAGTACGGACTACGGACCTTAGCATATTTGGAATAATGATTGTTTCTCAATTGGGACGAAAAATGCGATCGGTTTATCCACAAGATGACCGACACCGACATGCACGACACCGAGTCTAAAATACCTGTGTTAACACTTGAGGAAATCTACTCGAGTTAACAGTGTTAACCGTACAATCAGTTCTCAGTAGAAACAAGTCCTAATAAATACTCAGTATACTAAGTTTTCCCAGGATGTCAGCTCGCAGTGAGGGGCGACTTATTGCTGTTCATGTGGTGCTTTGATGCATCCTGAACGTCCAGAATGCTTTTTCGTATGACGTTTAAAATCCGTGGTATCTTAAATCGGCCATACCAACCGCCCCTCTTCTTCTGGATCATTCAAAAGCTGGCTAATCAACCTCGGCATCTCCAATAATACCTTCTACAATTTCCCTCGCTTCGACAATGGTCCCTCCCGCTATGGAGCCGGTCAAACTCCACCCATCCCAGTTGGATCTCGTTCCTTTGAAGGCATGAATCGGACAGTCCTGAGTGATGACTGTAACTTTCTTTCCGGAATGCGGTACGGAATAGCGCAGACTCCGCCGTTGTCGTTTGTCATGGACAAAACAACCTTTCATACGCGGTGTCCGTTTGGCCAGCCGTACCGGATCCAGATGGCAATAAACAGGGATTTCCGTCTTCGTGCAGCAGTACTGACACACACTGGCCATTGTCAGAGGATTATCCAGGGTTTCGTGTTTTGGCAGGGCGTCGTCGTCTGTAGCACCAAGAAGCGTATGAACGCGGTCACTGATGGTCTCTTCGGTGGGACCGCAACAGGTGAAATCCTGGACAGCGCCACACGAGCGTGATCCAAATGGTGGTACGATCACCTGCAACGAGCGGCTATGGATAAAGTCTGTTTACCAAAATTGTTTCTACGTTATGTACACGTACCTGTTCGCATAAAAGCGGCCGTTTTGCTACACGACACCCAATGTCTCGGTAGCGTGTACGCAGATGGCGCTGCCAGTGCTGACGCTGCGCTTGCTTGTAAGCGTCCCTTTGACTCCGTATAAACAACAGGGCTTCACGCCGTTCCGCTTCTCGTTTGAGAAAACAGCGGAGTTGCTCCAGAACATTATTTCCGCAACTTGCGCCACAATTAGTAATGGCACAGCTGACATCTGGATCAAGAACTCTTCCGTCGTTACAGTGAAAACACGGACAACAGTCTCCTGCTTCGCACTGCTCCAAAGGCCGGGCATAAACCGGCATGATAATGTTATGATTGAACGCCGTTCTACATGCCGGTTTTTGCGTGTTTTAAATTAAATTTTCACGTTTATGGTTCGGGGAGTAAGAATTTCAGGGAGTAAGAACAGGTTTTTCCACCACAATTACGGTTGAATAGTATGACGCAAGGAATCAAACAGTTCTTGAGTACGTGAAAAGATTCGAATAAATTTTTTTTGCGTTTTTTGCTTATGTTGACGATCGGCCTATATCTGTGCTCTATAACATGGTCGTTATTTAGTTTATACTTATGGCCAACTGGCCAGTTGCTACACTGACCAGGCAAGTTTCCATGGCGTATTTTGCTTATTGCAAATGGTCATGACTCATAACGTTACATGTGGCTAAACTTTATTTTTTGAAAAAACCATTAATTTTGCTAACACTTCACAGCCGCGCTTTCCGTTGAAGCAGGCTCAGGTGGCCAGTCAGTTTCTTCTGCTCTTCGTATTAATTTGAAAATTGGATCTGACTTTCGCAAATTTGGTTTAAGACGCGTACTACGAGTACAGTAGTACGTATTTCATTAGAAGTAGATGCACGCTTTAAAAACCCTCCATTAGTTAAGAACACGCAGGAATTCTTTGCAGATGGAGGAAAGACCGCTGCAAGTTGATGCAGTTGGAGTCAAGATTTGTCTCGAAATACGTGATGGAAGTGAAGACATCGTAAAACTTAATGATGAAAATGAATTCGTTGGTGAAGCTTTGTTATGCATGACTTTCAGTGCTGCTCTACGTTTCATTAAAAGGTGCCGTTGAGTCGCCTAATTTTGGCTTCTCCTAGGTGCGCTCATCGTAATTTTCTACGATGTTCAGTTAATGTTATTTTCAGCTGCGAAAGATCAGCCGCAAACCTGGCACTGTTACTGTTTTACAATCAGGTTTTCCCTTGTTAAGGAACAGGTTTATAAATAATTATTGAGCAATAGTAGCTAGTAAACTGACGGCAAGTATTACTTTGTGTTTCGGCCACACTATGTAGCAGCCGCAACGACGTTGTAAGCGCCGTTGAGGATTAACACGCGGACAGGCGATGGCCTTATCAAAAGCACAGAACATTTCAAAAAGGCAGCAGCTTCCCGTATTCAACAATCAAGTCGGATTTAACATTCTCCAACTCACTACCTCTTGACAAAACGTCTTTTGCCACCGGCACCGCAGTGCTCCCAAACGGAACCTTGATATTAACGAACAGATCCGCGGCTAATTGTGAGACGTTTTCATATTTGCGTAATTTTTCCGCGTGCATATTGCGCTCATCCCACTGCATGTTAGGGTTTTTACCTGCAAAAACCACACTACTATCAGATTTTGTTTGCTGATAAACAGGAGGACATGGAGGATTACGTACTTTTAAGGTAATTTGCTAGGAAAATCATGGCGGATTCTTTGTAGCCGCATCGAGGATACTTGGGCCTCAGCTCGGTCACCTCGATCAGGGCCTGCATAAGGAATGGTCCCAATCGGGTTTCCAAATACGGAACAATCGACACATCCGTTCTTTCCCCGGTATCACCGGGTGGCGGTGGCCGCTTCAATGGTGCTGGTGCTGCAGTGAACTTTTGTGGCTGACTGAAAACAGTTCAAGGTCTGAAACTGATGAGAACACCCAAACTTCAAACTACAAAGTATGGCACGTACGCGATAAATCGGTCCCGGTTTGCTTTATCCACAAACATGTACACCAGTCCATGGTAATCCGCCAGAAAATGCTCGCTTCCATAGATCAGCCCATCGGATCTATTAAAAAAAGTTAAAAGCATTAAAGCACGATATCCACTGTTTATTTTATGCTCAAGATTTTCTGATAGTGCGATGAATTGCATCCACCATCATTAAGTATTAGTATGATAATTATAATTATGTTGATGTTACTAACTTGCCGATTAAATTTTGAGTCTGTAGTTTATACCAGCGCAAGCTTCAATGTCACTTACCGGTACTGCGCATCGTAGTAGGTTACAGGATCCAGGCCACTGAATCCCAACCGGAAACTCCAGTTAGACTCCATTTCATACATTTCAACTACCGCTGCACGCTGATCTTGTGGAGGTACCGTGATCTCAGCTAGCGGTGGCAGATACTGTTCCGGTCGCTCAAGAAATCTGTCCATATTCTGCTTTGTAGCGAAGAGATAGTACTTCTCCTTATACTCCACTATCAGGAGATCATTCCGAGCTTCCAAACACTCGGTCAAGATGCCTTGCTCATTCAGAGTCACGGGACAGTACGATCCGTATGCATCGGATAGTCGTGATCGCAGTTGGAAAGGTGTTACGCACAGACCGGTCAGTGGTGCAGGCAAGCCTGGAAATTTTTCGGTGTGGTTTTATGGCAGCCGATATGGACAAAGCTCCAGAGAACAGTACCTTTTTCTCGCCTTTCCACATAGTCCTGCACTAGGACATATCGTTCGGCAATGACACTCAGAGCGGAATCCCATAGTTTCCATTTGGAAGCTTCTCCGTCGTACTGTACGAGATTTCTTAAAATTCCGGATAGATAGTTGTTAATCTCGGGAAGGTTATTCTTGTAGTGCGCCAACCTCGTGGCAATGACATGGGAGTTATTGAAAACTGGGATTCGACTAAAATTGAAGAGAACGGTTCCAGCGGACATGTATAACGTAACCAATTATACGGTTATATCCTGTCGTTCAATCAGTGGCTCACGCATTTTTGGTGCTCATGTTTTCAATCACAGAGCGCAATACGCATGACTTATTGCTGGCTGTCAGTTCGAACACCACCGTGGGAATTATGAATCGCTGCATCATGATGTTTAGCTTCGCTATGGTGGTTGGATAGCCATCCAGAATCCATCTATGAGAGCGCAAGACATTGAGTGAGCATCTATTGCGGTTGCGGCTGTTCAAATCTGACATGGAAATGTTATTTTCGTGCGGTGGTAAACTTCCGAAACATTTAAAGTATCGGGAATTTCCGTTCCTGATACTAGGTAGACCGACAAAATTCTGAAAAGCTCAGAATGTCCAAGACTTTCATGAACGTAACGCATGGCATCTCCAATCGTTATCCGCGGAACGCCAATCTCCTGTGCCAGGCGTTGGCTTACTGTGAATGACAACCCGCAATTAGTTACCATACCTTTCCATTCGTTTTTAGCAGACCTTGGGCGTAGAAACGCTAAACAACGTACAGACTGTCTTGCCACCTTTCGGTGGGCCAATAACAGCGATACGGATTGGAATGCACAACCGCGGTTTCACCTGACGAACATAATGTTCCGGTCTACGAAGGAATTCTTCCCGTGCCGGCTGATCAGAACACAAGTAAATATACTGCCGGTAAACCACCGGGAACCAATCCGAACTCTGTGTAGCAGGTGGTGGAAACAGGTGACCTTTGCGAATCTACGATGATATCGAAGGAGACAACATTATTCTGGAGCCTGCTTCGCTCAGGGAAATGCGGAGCATGCTCACTTTGACGGGACACCATGTTCCAAACTTCCCCAGGCGTTTATAATGGACATCCAGCATCTGCTTGGCCATTGTGCCCGAAAGTGTGTACGCTTTTTCCATAGCATGTTCCCGAGTCTCCAGGACCGACGTTAAATGCTTCTTCCACGACCTTTCTGCCTGAGCTTCAGTCTTCATGGTGTTGACGGTAAAGGAGTGAACGTTTTGCTCTTCAAATACCTCCTAAACATCGTAGGCGTAGAATTAAGCTGTCAGATTCTGCGTTATGTGCGAATTACCATGATGCCGTCCAAGTTGCTCATGGTACTTTCGACTTTCTCCTGCAGTTCCTCGTGAAGTCTCTCGTCAGCGTCTTCTTCGGTTTCGGATTCTTCGTCACCCTTTTCGTCGTCCAGCTGCGGTTCTGGGAATTCTGCTTCTAACAGTTCTTCAATTTCTGATACCTCATCGTCTTCGGCATCCTCTTCTTGCTCGACTTCTTCGGTGTCGCCCTTTTCCTGAGCCACCAAGCGAGCACGCTCTTTTTCCTGAAATACGATTCACTTCTTTTAAAAGCACTGCCAATCAGAATTTTAATCTACACCTATGGCACACTTCGAACACGACATTTTTTTACGGCCATCCTTAGACGATGTAGTGCACCTTTCCGTTGTAGCCTATGTATTCGCAAAGGCTGTTTATACAATAATGACAAAATTTTTCCGTCATGCCCGTAGTTATCAGCATTTTCATTATTTTGTGCGGTGGCCTGTAGTAACTCGTAGTCTCGGACTCTCGGTTGTTTGCGTAGTTTTCGTTAGTCCCGGTAGTTTGTGTCGTTTTCGGTAATCTCGATAGTTTGGGTAGTTTTCAGTAGTCTCGGTAGTTTGCGTAGTTTTCTGTAGTCTCGGTAGTTTGCGTAGTCTTCGGTAGTCCCAGTAGTTTGTGTAGTTTCCTGTAGTCTCGGTAGTTTGTGCAGTCTTCATTGTAGTCTCATTGGTTGCGTAATTTTCGGTAGTCACCAGTAGTCTCGGAAGCCTGTTTTTTTGAAGTTTCCTGTAACCCTAGTTCGTGTGGTTGCGTAGTCGCCTGTAGTTTTGTAGTTTTTGTGGCTCCCAGTAGTGTCGGTAGTCTTTGTAGTATACGTAGGCGCAAAACTACCAAGACTAAAACTACATAGCTCCAGACTGAGGAGAACTACAGAAACTACGCAAACTACCGAGACTACGAAACTCACTGGAAGCTACCTGAACTGAAACTCTAGCTTCACATAGCTTCAGACTACAGGAAACTACAGAAAACTACGCAAACTACCGAGACTACAGGAAACTACAGCAAACTACGTAAACTACCGAGACTACAGGAAACTACAGAAACTGCAAACTACCAGAGACTACAAATAAACTACAGAAAACTACATGACTTCGACACTACAGAAACTGCAATGACTACCAGGACTACAATAAACTACAGAAAACCCATGAGCTACGAGGACTACAGGAACACAATGAACTACCAGGACTACAATAAACTACAGAAAACTACACCCAGCTACACTGCAGGAAACTGCATAAACTACCGAGACACAGAGCTACAGCCAGGCTACGTGAGCCACTGGGACTACAGGAAACTACAGCAAACTACGCAAACTACCGAGACTACAGAGCTACAGCAAACTACGTAAACTACCGGGACTACAGGAATAACTACCGGGACTAAAGGAAACTACAGAAAACTGCACTACCAAGACTACGAGACACAGAAAACTTTAAACCTGAGACTACAAAAAACTACAGGTTACTGCCCAGACTAAGAGTGACTACTAAGATTTTCGGAAGTCGACACACAGAATATGAAGTGTACAGGTTACTACGGTGGCTACTGGACTACGACGTGGAAGTGCGGTCATAAAAAACTGTTGTGTTCGAAGTGTGCCATATCTATAAACCTTTTGAGCAGATTATGTTGCTGATTTACCTCTTCTTTTTCCTTTTTCCGGACATCTAATTCATCTAAGAGAGCTTGCTTTTTATCACCACGCTTTTTTTCCTGTACAATAATAAGATATTATTACAAAATCCACTTCTGCTTTGTCATCAGATAATTGAAACAGAACAGAACAGTCGCATTATTATGTGGTATATCCTGCATTTACCCAGTCGCGCTTCTTCATTGCGTAGCTGTTCAGTCGCTTTTCGTCACGCTTTTTTTTCTCTTGTGTCCAGTGAGCCTTCCATTTAGGATACTCTCTTTTTATGATACCGTCAGCTGATGCGGATGTCTTAATCAGCGCATCAGGGAATATTCCACGCTCTAGTAAGAACCGGGCATCTTCAGGGTACATCGGAAAGCCGTCGAACACCAGATTGTGTTCCCTAAATCAGTAGGTGTTAAAAACAATTGTGCCATACTTTCCTGGCGATACCTACGCAAAAGGGCTTCCCTTCAACCACATATCAAACATTTCGGTCAGTACTTCAGTTGATAAACCCGTATCGCCAGAAAGGGCGTCAGCGTAGGCTTGTTCAGTGGCGGATAGTGGGATTGGGTTTTCTGGATCATCCTACAACGTATTTCATCACAGCTCACCTACAAAATTGTTATTGAAAAGACCCCCCTAAATGGGCCATACCGAAAGAAATGGCAACTTGATCTTCTCACTCCTTCGGGTAATGCTTTATCGCGCTTTGGGACATCTGACGATCCCGGTAACGCTTGCTTTGGCAGTCTCCAGTATGGAGTTGGAGGATCTAAAGTATGCGTCTCCACCGGCGATTTCTGTAGTTTTGGTGTGCAGGCTTCGATCATAAAATTCCGAATGTTTATGACGAATGCATTTGTCATGTCGGCGATTTTGCGCGCGTGGGTGGTCTTTCCCGATCCCACAGCTCCCGTGACAAATATTCGCAATGGTGGCAACTGTGATACCATAAAGCACTTTACTGGTGAGTGATGACAAGAGAACAGGAAAAACACTAGCAAATACTTTGGGAGGTTGTAAATGTGGCAAATACATCTCCGGATCTTTGGTGAACTTCTCCTTGGCCTCTGGACTGCTAAAGTAACAGATTTTGTCCTTGTACATTGAAACCCCATTCTCCGCATTGCCCGGCCATAGTGTTTCCATTTCCTTTAGCGCCACTGGACAGTAGTTGGCTGTGTCGCCAATCGGCTTAGTTTTTTCAGAATTTTCGTCTGTTTTCTGCAACATATTGTTCAACAAGCACTGCAATATGCAATGTGTTGTCGCTCTTTACTGTTTTTGCTGGCTTTGTCGTTCCATCTTCATTCTCTTCCTCCTCCTCTTCTTCGGGCTCCTCTTCCTCTTCTGGTGTTTCGTCATTGAAATCGTCAACCGAAAACCGGAATAATTCTATTAAGAAAACGTTTTAAGCAGCAATCAACCGACGACAATGTTTATAAGGACTCACTCTCGTGGGAATCTATAACGATGTTCACCCAGTTGTCCGCGCTATCTCCAACCTGAAGGTCATGTATTCGTATCCCAGCGGCACTGCCAGCTTCTTTGAGCACAGCAATTTCCTTGTAGGCTTTGCGAAACGAGGCTTGCAGGTCTTCCCATTCTGGCTCCGTCAGTCCTAGAGTATTGCGGCCCAAGGGCTGTGTTGTGGTGGAAATGAAGGGAAGCGTCTTCACTCTCTCGTAGCGCACCATTACGCTGTTGTCATTGTAATGCTTCCGCAGCAATTCATAGGTCTCCGTAGAATCGCCCAGAATAACGACATCCGTAATCCGATTGATGAGCGGCAAATCCAACAGGAGAGAAAACACGTTTGGGTGAGGAAACAGATTGTCCATAATCCACCCTTTACTGCGAAATAAGGTAATTCAAGACACAAAATACTGTAAATTATGGACTGAACCCCAATAATTACAATTGGCCGTTCTTATCCGTGACAGGCTCCATTGTGGCAGTTATTCTGTCTTTTGTCAACTGGACGTAGCGCTCGGCATCAAAGACCGACAAATCAGGAATGAAAGTTGCCATAAATCTTTCGACGTCGCTCTGCACATCCGGATGCTCATCATCCAGGGCGGTCAATCTGGATGTCAAATCTTGGAAACTGTTGAGGGTCTGGACAATTTGCTTTTCCAGCTGCTCCATGCGGTCTACCTGTTCTTCGGTGAGATGCGGTGTCAAAGTGAAACGTGGCGTTTCCGGTCGCGTGAGCGATACAGATTCTGCAAACGACGATCTCTCTTCCAACGGTGTGTCTGGTGGGGTTCGCTCTGCAGTATGCAAATAAACTTCAACGCCTTACTCACCAAAAGTGGCTTTTGAAAAAACACTGTCAACATCCGCAGCTGTAACCATACCTTCGTTTAATATATCACTAACATCCACAGGTATATCCGCGTTCGGATTGATCATCCGTAGATCTTTGACTATGTTAAGAAAAAGCGAGACATCATGACAATCTTTCCGGAAAGCTTAAAAAAGCTATCTGTAAAAAGGTAGTAAGCAAGCATGCAAGCATACCTAGGTTCCGCATTGCTTCCTTAGTTTTAAACAACTCTTCCTCTAAGTTTGATCGAACGCGCTGGATGGCCGCTGCCGTGGCTTCTGCCCGGGCAGAGGCGAGAGCTTTTGCTTTCTGTTCTGCCGTAACCAGCTCCGCCAAATCTCCCACGTCGATAACCTTGCAATTAACGAAGCATAATTACCAGTACAACCGTCAATCAAGGAGGCAAGGTGGCGTACGAGTACCATAGATTTGGTTTTGTCAGAAATCTTCTGAACCAGCGTAGTTTTGCCGCTTCCGATCGGTCCGAGAACAACTAGCCGCATCGGTACTCTGGGACTGGGCGGCAGCAGGTATAATCTGGGACAGCGGATGAATTTCTGCTGCCGTAATTCGTCCGCAAAAACGTACAACCGGTCCAGAAAGCTAAAGATATCATGGTCTACATAATTAGCAACTGCGCTAGCGAAAGCGGTTTCTTAAATGTTCTACTCACGTTGAAACGAACGGCAATTTTCCGGAAATCATTTCTCCTTCGTAAACGCTGACCGGGCACAGTATACCAAAGACACTTTTCCTCCACTTCCACCGATGCGAAATGGCGCCCACATCCAGTGCTTGATCAAACTGTTTCTCCACGTCATCTGGCACTTCTTCCATCAATGTTTGTAATGCAACCAAGTTGTTGAGAGGATGTGGAATTGGTGGCTTCTGCAGGCGCATGCATTCGAACCGCGAGAGTACCAACTGCCACGCAATTCAGAGTTATACTTCTTTTACACGTTTGCTATGCAGATACATTAAGGTTGAAATCTCATATTATACTTGCATTTGGAATTTTGTGAAGCGGCATGTTGCCATCGATTTCCACCACTCGAAGCGGGTAATAAAGGGACATAAAATTCTAAACAAAAACAAATTCAATCACTAAAGGTGACCTTTAAGATATTTCTTCCTAACCTCCAGCTCAGGCAGGAATGTCCGCTTATAGTCCAAATAATCTTCCTGCGTCCATTCTACCGAGTCTTCCAGCCGCATGTAAACTGATTCACAGGGAAACTGAATCTTCCCGTTTTCAATCGGCTGTAACACAAACCATAGTTTATAGTTTACAGTTATCATGGATGCACCACATTGCACATCACATACAGCGTTGGGAAAATATAGTTGACGAAAAAAGACCAAGTCATTCTCGATGTCCTCGATCGGCTTGTCCAGTTGAGCGACTACAAGTTCTTCCGGTGTTTTTGGTCCGGTCAGATGGGTAGGTCGTCGATGATGGCCAAACGATGTCTTGGTTTTCTTGTCAAGAATGGATGGAAGGCTCGGACCCGCTTCATCGGCGCCATCAGCGCCCTTCTTGCCCTTTTTCTTCCCCGGCTTCTTTGCTGCCGCTCCAGCTGATTCCTGCTGCATTTCCGTTTCTTCTGCTCCCACTGGTTCGGGTTCGACCTCGTCGGGTGCGTCGGTCTTCTCAGGATTGTCGTCGTCTTCCGCTTCAGAATGGTCATGGGTAGGCGTTACTAAAGCCGATTGGCCATCTACGGGCTCTCCTTCCGTGGCATACTCCTCTGGGCGCTCTGTCTAACACAATGTAGGTTTTGTAACAACAACAGGAATTCACGGTGAATGTTTCCCTCTTCAGCCGCATGTGAGAGCTCGCTCGCTTAACAAAAACCCTAAGCATACAAAACTAAACTTGAGAGATTTATGGCATAGTGCGTACTATGTTTAGTATGCAATAAATCTCCCAGGTGATACAAGTTGGTGCTTGCTGCTATTCAGAATATTATGAATATTCAATATAATTTGATACTGAATATGATTTGGTTGTCTCACTCACGTAAGATTTGGACTCTTCGAAAAAATTCTCCGGAACTAATACCCCGCTGGGACTGTGAAAGTACAACCTTTCTTTGCGGCGTACAGCATCCTCCAGAGGGAACTGCCAATGCAATCGACCGGTGAACCGACCGCAAATAGCATGTAGCACTCTGTTTCAATGAAATGTTCGTACTCTGATAATAATGACAAAATCGATCTTCAGCTCCAATCGCTTCAGTATCTCAAACTGATCTTGAACGGTCATTATGCCGATATCGGGGGCAGGAAAGTCATCCAGCACGTATCCTGCAGAAGCGAAGATCACTTGTAAAGTCAATAGTCACTTAATACAATACATTACAAATGCCTGCTACTGAAGCATGTGCATACATGATAAAAATATATACAAACACCAAATCCGAGTCCGAATGTGCAATGAACTCACCATAATGTTGCGCCTCGTCGGAGTGCACTTTGGCTCGAAATAGGTCCAGCACTACATCCTCGGGAACACCGTGTGGGGAATTGAGGTGCTCTTTCAGTCGTTCTGATGTGTCCGCGCTGGCCAGGGCTTCCGTCACCACCGTTTCCGCTGTCAGCAACAAACGGGGCTACTCACAACTGCACAAGAAGTACCAATCGATGCCCTTACGCGTCAATAAAAGGCATTTCCAAAACTGAGAGATTATCCGCGCCACAGTGCTTTTACCGGAACCTGGGGGACCGAACACCGCGAAACAAGCAGGTTTTGTAGCCAGGTACGACGCGTTGCTCTGCATAAAAGATAAAAAATGAAGCGCAGCGGGACAGCCAATGACGTATTCACTAAATCTGGATGAGCATCTTACCGCGATTTCGTCATAACAGTCGGGATCGGCTGTAATATCATACGCCTCGGCATGCGTCCGCATTTGTCTAATCTTGCAGATTCATAAATCACAGATCTGTCTTGCGATTCTTGCAGTTAGCAATAAATTCTCCAGAGCCGATGTACCATGCAAGATCCTCTGTGAAAATGCGAATGGTCGAACGGATGATGTTAGCCACAATACTGTAAAAGATACGTAGTTCCGCAGTTCTATTCCACCCCAGATTCGAAATCAACAGAAGAACCGTTTGCCGTCTAACCAATAACTGTTAAGAAAGTAATTATTAATAGTAGCAGTTATGCTGAAAGCTTAGGAACGATAAATTATTCTGCTGCAGCGAAATCGGAATTTTTTTGTTTTGACACGTATAGTTCGGTCACTGCGATGCGTTTCAACGCACGATGCCGACGATTGCATAAGCACTTTCATAAATATCTACTGTATATTAATCCGATCGATGTCGTTAATTATAATAAGTATACTAGCACAGACTTTGCAATTTTAATGCCTTGCCAGCCAACTTTTGCCAAGTGGAAACCATGAGAGTCTTGCACGCACTCACTGCCACCGGTGCTCTCTTTATGGCACAAAATTTCCAGTTTTGTTACCAGTAAGTACCTAATTCTGCAGCAGTTGTAATAAGCACAACTGGAGGTGCTTCCGGTTGCCTAACAACCAAACAGACACGTTCAGATATTAAGCCCAATGCGTCGTAATCTGCTCTGCAGTGAATCATCCACCCAGTACAGCAATAGACACGCACTAAGCGCCACAAATACTAATCCCTCCATAACATGCACCGGCGTCCTCACCCAGGTGTGCAGCAGATTCTGCACTTCATCCACACCATCCCGGAATGATACAATCATGAGCTCCTCTGATTTATATTTTTCATCACGTTCGTATGCATCCAAATCCTTCATGATCTTACGACATGCACGGCTTTCATGCGCTGCATTCATCCTGCGCTTCTTTGGTGGTGGAACGTCCATCTTGTCAATCTGGAAGTCCTTACGCACACCCGCTGTAAAATAAATAGAAGGGGTGATATACAGCGACAGCTTTATCAGTATTTGGTTGGTTTGAAGAAATCTTACGAAGAGCGATGAATTTCTTGGTTTTCCCTGTTGTAGTATGTGTAGTCGTTGTCGCAGTTGTCGTCGTTGTTGGTTTGACCGATGGTTTCTCTGAACTGCTGAATTTAATCGGGTGTGCAGTTATCACCGGGTGGACACTACCCTTATGATGTTCTTTTTCATGGTGGAACTTCTGAACTTTGGGTTTTTGATGGTGACCTTTTTCATCGTGTTTCTTGTGTACGATTTTTCCGTGATCATGGTGGATTTCGGTCTCCTCCACAACTTTTGTCGGTGCGGATTCGTGCTCTTTCGGCAGCTTTGGTTTGTGCTTGTGCCCTTTTACATGGTGCTCATGATCGTTTTTCACATCGGCCAACGCTTTGTGTATCTTCTCCGTTATCACGTGCTTGTGACGATGACGAGGGGATACCCTTTCTTCGAATTCTATGACACAAAGTTACTCTGGTCAAGCGTCGTTAAGAAAAACATAAAACCCACAATTTACGCGTAAAATTAGGTCACAGTACCTGTATCTTCTTCATCCTCGACATGCTTTTTTTGTGCTGCCCTTTTCAGCCGTCTGGAAGGTGGCTTTGGTTTCTGCACTAGAGGAAGCAGTTTTAGTACGGCATTACAGTCAGACTAACTGGCAAAAATCAGCGAAACTTACGCAGTGTTTTCCTTTGCATGGATGCACCAGCACACCTTTCTTCTCATGCTCATCGCTGGTAATAATCCGGAAGGGATTCCCAATAAAATCGTCGATATCGTCATCGTCGTCATCTTCATCCTTTTTCCGATGCTTGACCTTACGGTGCCGATGCGTGATCACTTTCGTATGGATCTTCGTCATGTTGGGCTCACTGATCTGCGCCGCCAGGATCTGATTACCGGATCCTGTGTGCAGCACAGCGACGTGCTTATCCGGCATCGGGGTGGTGGTGGTGGTATTGTAGGAGGATACATTGGAGCTGCCATTGCGGACCTGCGCTATGTAGTCCAGAGAAGCCTTGCGTGCTTCCTGTTGGGCTTTCTGGTTAGCGACGGCTACCAGTATCTCTGCGATACATAATCCTATAGCGCAACCGACAAAGAAGATTAATGCCCCTGTTTTCTTTGCCAAGGCCAGCGAATTGGCGTTCGAGGGCGCGTCCATCTTTCGCTAACAAGGATGATGCTCCCTCTGAGCATGCTCAGCCGTTGCTATGTGTCAAAACTGATTTTGAAGTTTAATACAGCGCAATGCTCACGCTAAAACAATAAACGACCTGAGTACGTAAGTTGTAAGAGTTAGTATTTTTTCTCGAAGCTGTTGGTTTTAATAAGCGCTTTCAAAAGGCTTGCTTTTCTGATTCTTGATATCCTTCCCACGAGTTTACCGAACGTTTGCAGAAAATGGCGGTAAGAAGGCTAACTTTACGTTGAATATAGTAGTTTCTTTACTTTTAAAACGTCAAGACGTTATCATAAATATTTGTTATTATTAGTATACTCGTACTGCTTTATTTTTAGAAAGGAGGCAATTCAACGTCCATAAAAGACGCGCTAGTGAAAGCGGTAATCAAAATTATGCATAATTTTAGATACCCATAAGCTTAAAATTAAAGAATTAACGATTACGAAATCTATGCAAATGTGCTTACAGCGCTTTACAGGAGGCGGCAGCAAAAGAGCGAGGTGAAGAATGGAGTTTAAAGATGATCAAGCTGAACGGTCAAATGCCACCTATTGACAAAATGGACAGCACGCTCAATATGCTCGGCGAATGTGAGTAAGTTAAGTTGTATGGCGTGTAAAAATTAACTCACCATGATATTTGGGTATACAGGTATTTGTCACTCTCCACGAACATCATCGATCGCATATCCAACCTGGGCGCGCTCAGTAAGAATGCTGCGATGAAAAAGTAAAGTGTCATGTTCCGATTGGTTATCTTGCAGAAAACCTGAAAATATTGGCCCTCGGAAGGAATTACATTAAATCCCTGGCGGGAATCGAAGCAGCGTCCGAAACGTTAGAACAACTGTGGTTATCGTACAATATGATCGATAAACTGAAAGGCATTCAAGCCATGAAAAAGTTGAAGATACTGTACATGGCGTATAATCTCGTTAAAGACTGGGCGGAGTATGCCCGACTGAATGAAGTTCCTACTTTGGAGGAAATATGTTTTTTCGGTATGTACTACAAAACCGATGTAAGATCCGTGCTGACGATTAAAGCATTGGATTTTCCTAATAGGCAACCCAGTGGCCAATGCTTTCGATGACCCGGAGGAATGGAGAAATCAAGCAAGTAAGCGAGCTCCGCGTCTCCGGAAAATAGACGGCAAACCGACCGGTTCCGCCCCATCTGGACCAGAGTAAATTCCAGCAACGTGGTGACTAGTGACACGTAATAACCACTTTCAGATCGAAGTTGTTTAATTCCGTGCAAGGACCAAACTGTTAATAAACATTCTAGCAGGGTGACAAAGCCAAAACTGTATCTTTTTAACACTATGCGTTACTGTCACACAATTAAAACGGTACGATACTTATCGTTAGTAAACGGTACTTAGTAAACAAACAACAGAAAGCCAAAAGAAGTGCTTTTATCGATAATTAAACGATTCTTGTCTCGACTGCAGCGCGATTTTATAAAAAAGCTTACGATGCAAAGCTACCACAGTGACAAGCCCAATCAGTCAACTGACATCTCATCATCATCTTTTCCCGGCGCACTGCCACTTCCGCCACCAGAACCAGGAGTCGAACTGTCCTGTCCGGTCTGTGCACCATTTCGCTGCATTGCGGCCACAAAAGCAGCAAAATCTACAAATTTAACTTTGTATTACATTACATATAAACGTTCACGAGGAGTTGTTTTGCTGCATTTGGGGGAAAATTTCAAACAAATACAGTGTACAAATGACAGCGTTAACGCATAATACAATGCTACACATACAATACAGTACAATGCTACGTACCGCCATTATTCGCAGCCTGCACAGCCTCGGCGCCCAAATTGAATTCTTGAATGAGAGGTCCTAACTGACGAGTTTCGAAAGCGGAAGTAAAAGCTTGAATAGCCTGCAAATTCACAACTGTTACATTACCAAGTACCAACACAAACAGTTATACAATGCACCGTTTATCTCCAGCTCACACTGCAATGTCATTTCCTTGAAATACTTTGTACCTGCTGAAATTGTGGGCTTTGGATAGTACTCATCACTTCCTGGGGAGTGTGCGGAATAAGTGGATCTTGCGGCAGATGTGGGACGAGACGATCGACGAAGTCCTTGTTGGATAACAGTGGCTGCAGTACAGTTCGGGTTAAGGCTGGCGTCCAATCGACCGGTGGCTGTTCTGCGGTAGCTGCAAATACAATAAACATTAATATTAGTGATTCTCTTTATATTCGAAGCATTTACGGTACAACTACGACTTAACTACTAATGTACAACGTGCAAAGACACAAAACGATTTTATTATAACTGCTAACTTTGGTATAACTGAATGAAAAACGAGTAGCAACAGTCGTCGTCAATCGTCATTAGACATCGTCTTGATCGGGAGCCACAACGCTAACAGAGGGAATTTCCGGGATGGTTTCAGGGATGCCGAACGGTAACGGGCCCTTATTCTCCGCCCTTTCCCCGCGAATCAGCTCCAGTTCTTTGGCACGCAACTCCGCTTCCAGTCTCAACTTAGCCTCCTCCTGAGCCCTGATCACCGCTTCCTTCTTCCGCTCCTCTTCCAAAATATGCATCTGTATCGACCTCTCCCGCTCTTCTCGAATGCGGTTAACCTCATCTAATTCGGCTTGAATCTCGGTTTTCTCCTGCTGCAACTGTTGATCTAGATGGCTATTCAGGGCTTCCTGCTCTAGCCAGCGACCGAGGTATTCAATCGGGTCTTCGGGACGGAGCAGAAGCGTCTCCGCAATCCCCCGCACCAGAACATCTCCAATGTGCTCTTTCATCCATTGGAAATTGGGGCGATATGCTTCATCGGATGGCGGCGCAGGCGTCTGGGCCGTCGGAGTCTCTTCCGGAAGATCCGTCAAAGAGACGGGCGACTCGAAATCTTCCGACTCGGAAGCCATTTTTTTACTTTTAAAAAAACGAGTCTCTATACTAGACACACTTCTTACGCCTTATTTGTTGCTTGGAAACTTACCAACAGCTGCAATAAATTTTTGTGCATGTTCTTATAATTTCGAATTGACTTACGCTGCACCGATCCGAGAATATTTCGCAAATCAGCCAACTGGATCTTTCCTGCAGCCGATCCGCGAGCCCCTGCAGCACGTTGCGCAGCTGGTTTAGCCGGGGCTCCGGTGGGAGCAGCGGGACGAGAGGCGGCCGGTGTCGCACCAGCGCTCACTGCAGCGGGCGTCGGCGAGCTGGGCGACGCGGCTGATCCATTGCTGGCGGGTCCCCGCAGCCCCTGCAGCAATCCAGCCCCAGCGCCGCCACCTGCACCTCCCAGTCCGAGCATCTGCAGCAACTGGTTGCGATCCACGCCCTGCAGGAGATCCTGCAGAGAACTTTCGTCTACACAACAAAAGCAAATGAATTTAACTTCCGCTAATGCTTCCGTCCCATAAAACACTGGCATAGCAAATATACGCCTAATAACTGCTTCCGTATTCTTACCGATTCCCAAAGACTGCAGATCGGGAGCGATGTTCCCGCCTTCAGTGCCAGGAGTGCGCGGAGGCGTCTTTCCAGCCAGATAATCGCTCACTTTCTTGAAAAGCTCTTCGTCCTTCGATGCATCAGGCTCCTGTTGGACCAATATTTGTCAAAGATTTTCGAAAAAGGATCTTATTCTCGAACTCTAAATGAAAACTGATTCGAATAGCATTTAGTGTACGTACAATATTCAACATTAAGCGATACAGAAAATAAGACGGAAAATTCGCAGAAAACAATTACAGAAAAAAATAATAAAACAGAAACTTCCCAACAAAAATAAATCGTCTAATGTATAATAAATAAAAAAAACAAATGCCATTTGGACCTTCGGAGGCAAAATTCGTACCTGCATCCAGTAGAACAATTTTCGACTGGACCCTTTGAACTTCAGGAGAAAAACCCGACCAGTGGTGCACTGAGGAATCTTTTTAAATTCGACCTCGTTGGGAAAAATGATCACGTCCTGGAAATAACGTTTTTTAGCGATTCAGACACCAGATTACGCTGCAACTATGGATGTTCGTACGTCTTCGGGCGTCGTTCCATTGCGCTCCTTCCAGTACAAGTGCAGAAGTTCGTCATCGCCCTTGGTGATGTAGACCAGTCCTTTGCGCGGATCAGCGTGGACGGTAGTGCCTTCCAGCTTCATGCGACCAGCCTTAAATTCCACCAGATAGCGATTGCTACCGCGCTGCTGAGCGGGACGTCCAAATAAAGCCATCTATATTAAGATTTATAACTTATAAGCGAACTAGCAAAGAACGCCGAAGACTTAGTTTTATTCATAAAATTTAAATGGTGAGACCGCTACGTTATGAACCGCGAACACTGAAAAAGGAAGAGTAGAGGAAAAGCTAAACCCGATCGAAAATCGAAAAAGAATGCCGTTGCTACCACGGTACTGAAAGATCAAAGATATCATAACTTTAAAGTGTAAACTGTAAAGTGATAAGTCATGATAACTTTAAGATAAGCACAACTTTTTTCAGCCACTCGCACGTAGTACCTAAAAATTAATCAAGAAGCTAAGCTGCTAACTCAAACTGCTAATGATACTATGCGAGCGTTTGAAATATATCCAGCATTACGTCTTACCTTGAGCTAGTCAGTTATAAACTGGTTACGGATTACCGCTTTAATAGTCTGAATATGAAAAAAATTAAAGAAAAAAGTGAATATGTCGCGAACTCTTTTCGTGAAGAGAATAAATAAAATAATCCTTTAGCAAACTGCAAAGCGCAAACACTCCGGAAGTTTGTTTTCAGCTGCAGATGCACCGTCATCCGTAGTTGCTGTACTGCGACCGCCACTGTATCAGCCGGAAGTACTTTACCACAAGTGGAATTCCATAAGCCACAGCAATTAGCGATGTGAACTCCAATCGGCGGTGGATTCCAAGTCCAAGTCGAAAGTTTTCTGGATGAGTACAAGAGTACTTACTTATCAGAAAATCAACCATTGCTCCGAGTTTTATTTCTAGGATTTTATGATTTTTATCATTAATATATTTATGCCTGATTGACTTTATTACCAATTTTGTAAGAAAGTTTCGCTCTCTAGTTTTTATATTTTAAACCTCACGAAGTCTATTAACTTTTGTACACAGCAGGAACAGTACATATTCACTTGTGAGTGAATCATTCAGTTGTTTCTTATGACTTGTCACTTATCAATTTTTCTAGTTCGAAAAATTTAGATTTTAGCCTCGAACAGTCGAACTTGAGTTTTCTCGGCTTAGTTTAACTGAAACAGTGTTCTGGCTCCTGTTGAGTTGTATTTTGTTCAGGGAAGGAATCTGCAAAAGTGTCTGTACTCAGTGTACTGCGTTATTAATGTACGAGCGAATGGCTGCAGCGCATATCGTTCCGGAACTTCTGTACACGATATGGCTGGTGATCTACTACATCCTCGAAGCCGTCGTATTATCCCTCATTCCCAATCGCATGAAAGCGCGCAAAGATATTAGCGATGAAGTGGTCCTAATTACCGGTGGCGGACATGGTATTGGGCGATCGTTGGCAGTTCGGTTCGCGCGGTTGCGCTGTCGGGTGATTATTTTGGACAACAATCAGGAATGGTTGGATGAAGCACAGCGGATTATTGCATCGGAAGGAGCGGATGTGTATGCATATTTATGCGATGTCTCCAACAGACAGAATGTTTACGAATGCGCGCGGCTGATTCAGAATGACGTGGGAGAAGTCTCCATTTTGGTAAATAATGCTGGCATCGTCTGCTCCAAGTATTTTATGGATCTCCCGGATGAAAGCATTACCGATGTTTTCCGCACTAATACGTTCGCGCATTTTTGGGTGAGTTAAATGGGTGTTGAAGTATTTATTATGATTTATTTTTTTAATAGGATCTTTTGCCCGTTAAATATCATTTGTTTGATATGCTATTCATGATTGATTATTGTAATTATTTTTAAAATTGTTATTAATTATTATGTAAAGCGTGTCGTATTTGAAAATTTTATGGATGACTTCGATGCTAAACAGCAAACTGAACTTTGCTTTGTTTTAGATTTTAGCGCTTTGCTGCTTCTGCAGTCGCTGTCGCATATTCGAATTTTGGGAATCTGACGAGCAAATTCGATTAATTTAAAGTTGTAAATGAAGAATTTGAAGTTTAAATTTTAGACTATAATTTCTTCATGTTGTAACATTGCTTTGTCTCAATAATATATGTGCAAAAAACTATTACTGTAAGTAATTAAATAAAATTGTTTGTTTGGTCTTCCGTGGCCGAACGACGGCAGTTAGTTTATTTTAAGATGGCAAGACTGCAAGAGGTACATAGTGATTAATATTGCTTTCTGTTTGTAGACGCTGAAGGCTTTCCTGCCCTCCATGATGGATCGCAATCATGGCCACATTATAACGATCGCCAGTGTAGTGGGTAAAGGGGCCGGATGCGCCGCGTCGGGCTACATCTCCAGTAAATTTGCCGCAGTGGGACTGCACGAAGCTTTAGAAATGGAGCTGAGGATGCTGAGACGAACCGGGATCCACATGACGCTGGTTTGCCCCGGCTTGGTTTCCACCGGCCTTTTCGAAGGCGCAGAATACAAGTATGCACTTTATAATATAATATGTTTCCTACAGCTGCTTTTGGAAACCTGTTAGTAATTACGAGTACTCGTTGTGAAAATTCGGAATTTCCGAGTCCATAATTGTTTTACTTCTGGCTGATTTAGTAATCCAGTCACTTGCGTTGATGATGTTATACCTGATCTTAGTAGTTTTTGTGTTCCTCGATGTTTTTAATTTTGCGATCATTATGTAGGTTTCCCCGGTTAGTTCCGGTGCTTGACGCGGATAAGCTAGCCGAAGATGTTGTTGACACTGTTTTGCGCAATGGCCATCTGGTGATTACTCCTTTCATGGCTGAACTCGGGGTTAGAGTCAAAAGGTGAGTGCCGTCCATTCACTTCGTCTGCGTCCAAAAAGTTATGTTATTGAGCGAAGTCCAAATCGCATTGCCTGCACCTTTGATTATCGTCGCGCAATGAAATGGACGCACTTTGATCACGTATGTGTATTGTGATTTTGTGCGGCACGGCGCTTCTGCTTTCAGAACACGATCTTGTAGTCATTTTGGTTATGCATTCAGTTCATCTGCTTATATTACGTATCTAAGGTGTCGTTAGTCGAATTGCTCTCATTATTGTCAGTGGCCACATCATACCAAATTAGCTTATTGTACGCTGCGTGACGCTTCCCTTTTTGTTTGTAGCCTGCTTCCGGTGAAAGCGTGCAATGCCGTTATGGACTTTGCCGGTGCCACGACAATGCTCAATACATTCCGCGGCAGACAAACCACTACCACTGCTATTTCCTGAGAATGATTCTCATAGCAGGCTCTCTGCACACCTCTGACGTTCGATAATACTGGAGGAATTCTTAATGCCTTATGCATGCGGTATTGGTTATTTTGTATGTGTTTGCTCAAACCCCAGTGATATAGAATTTTTAAACTTTTGTCGCGTAACGCATTAAGTACTTTATTGGCATTTTTTAAAGATGTATGTACGCGGATTTCCAAATTACACAGGAAGTACACATCCCCTTTTTTATTTAAAATTTTGCAAAGGCATTTCAGTTTTTATTACAAATTTTGCAAAGGCGTTGAACAATGAACAATTTTTGTTTTGGAAGTCCTCAGTCCAAGATTAAACTCGTTAACCGAATGCTTTGGAAACCAATAAGAATCAAAACTGGAAGATAAAACATGAAAGCGCTGCTTAGAACGAGATACAACAACGTACAACAACAGTAACAAACACTTGACAATCAAACAAATTTGAACAAAAATAACCAAAAGGCATGCTTCAAAAAGTTGTAAATGTGGCCATTCTGCACGACTCATGATAGGGCTCGAATCGTTTATAGTCCCTCCATGTGGAGGGCATGCCGCGATCGAGATATTTACCACATTTCCGACAGGGAAGACTGAACAATGTTGCAAGGGAATTCAACCAGATCTGAAAAGAAAGAATACGCCTGAATTTTGATTCTCCGTGTCTCCCTCAATTAATCAAAATTCAACGATACAGGACCTGTACTACACACTCACGAAATGCGTTCCAGAACATCATTAAAATTTTAATACTATTAACATCGATTATGTGTTCCCGAACTTCATTTCGTGTTTATTTCATTGCCTGTTCGGCAGTACTATACAGTGGCATATGGACTGCGTACCAGGTAAGGCTTCAACACATGATCCGGATTTAAAGGATTGCAGAAATACAGGAGAGCGGAAGTAGCGTTGTTAGTCAGAATACGGTAGACTTCAAATTCAGAGGGCGACCACAGGTCCAAAGGCCGCAAAGATTTCGGCTCAAGGTTGAAATTCTCCTCGATGCCGCGGATATTGATCGCCTCAATCATAATGCCGCGCATGAAAATCACAGCGCGGAAACTACGGTCAATAACGACCTGAAACAACCGTGACGGGTGCAGTAACTGTAAGGAACATTCTGTCATTCTATATGATTGCATCCTTCGCACAATTACTATATTAATAAATTTTTTCCTTACTGCAACAAAGAAAATCGAACAGAAGTTACCGTCAGTGTTCAAAATTTAGAAAATAGATACGATAATTGCATAAACACAACACTTATACGTATAATATCAGTAATGCCGGTATAAATGCCTGACCGTAACGCGACCAGTGTGGGCTTACTTCGATGACCGTTCCCATCGCCGGTAGAAAATTCACGGTAAAATGCAGAGCAGGTAGTTGAAGAGTGCGCATAAACTGCTCCAGCCATTTCCGTACACTAAAACAAGAACGGATGTTCGTTTTAAGCTTACGATAAGTTGGTCGAACGGACATCACCAATAGCGCTCGTCAATACAAACAGCACAAATGCAACGCTGAAGTGCACCGGTAATATCCAGCATCCTACTCCTTCCTATGTACAGTATACCAAAATACCAAACAAGAAAGACGTTCCCGAAAACTAGGGTAGAAATTCAGAGTACTTTTGGGGCGAATTTGAAATAATCAGAAATTAAATTTGAAACCGAAAAGTAATTATATAAAATTTTTCTTCGGAAATCTTCGTCGTTTTATGCAAGGAAATTAACTCCAGAAATAGAATAAGCGATGTTTTCTTCAGTTTTGAATTTATCACATCGAACTGTGCGTTGATTGATGGTTATTTCTTGACTCAAAATCACTTAAAAAAATAATTTTATTTATTAAGAAAAATAACTTGTTATTTTGACGGTTTCAAACGCAAAGGTTTGACTTGGAAATTATTAAAGATTTAAAGAATGAAATGAAGAATGTTTGATTCCAAACCTACCGAAAACTGCGTACGAAATATTACCTTGGGTACCTAATTCACTTGCAATTACCTACATAATTTCATAAAGAGCAAGCACTCCAACTACTAACATGAAGTAAGTCATTCTGCACTGCACGTACGTTTCGTTCATTAACAAGCTTCCCTTTCCCGATCGCGATCCCACCATCTGGGACGATTTGCGGAATGAGTGCGCGCTCAAAGAATTCCAGGCCGTTAACGAATACTCGCGATACTAAATTGCGAAACACAAAACAGCGGTCAACAAAAACGTGCGCCAACCAGTATTCGTACGTAACTGCGAGTCTATAGTACTGTATGTTACAATTAGACACTACAGGCATGCCGCCTTACGACCGCGATATTAAACCGTACAAACCTGCAGGCGCAGGCGCAATCGAAAAAGAACCGAAACTCATTCACGCAGACAATTTACATCCACCGTACACGATCATGTGAAGCGTAGACCGAAATCAGCTCCTCATATAAATCCTTATACACCGGATTATCCTCCGCGGAGGCGTCGTGGTCTCTCTTAATGTCGCTGGAAATCGAGGTCAGAAAGGCAGAGGTACCTAAACTGCATACGGGCGCCGCCGGGATCGCACTCAAGGATTTTTCCACGTCTCTGCAAAAGTCACGTTGATTACATCATCCACACCATTTCAAAACGTCATAATTTTGTTAAGTGTAGAGAACAAAATTATTGAAACATCTAAAAGACCACTCAGGCAAAAATTTCGAAGCGTCCAAGACGGAACGAAAATGTAAAACAATATCCACACAGTACGAAAATCATGCTCAAGCAATATATTTTTTTTCTATTCCAGAGCAATCCCCAAAAAAAGAATAAGCTTGCACATAATTCATATAATGACACTTAATCAAGAGACTAAGAGATTCAAATAATTAAGGAAAGAAAAACGGTTATATTATGACTATCAACTGATGCTCAGTTCTCCACAGATTATAAGTATTTACATGCTTCGGAAATTTATTCAACGACTTATAAATACTTGCACTTGCTGGTAACTAAAACGGGCATGCTCTAATTGCACTCTTCATATTTATGTCTGCTAATACAGTACTGCTCTAGGTGTTTCGCATCTTTAATCGCACTGACGTTTAACACTTAACATAATATATGTAGACATATTTAATTAAGTACACTTTTTTATATTAAGATAAGAACATTAAGTATACCTAATAGTGATGAGTGAAAATGAAAACTAAATGTATGTTTCAATTGAAGGAATTACAATTATTATTAGTTGTTATAGTGAAGACAAAAATTGTACAAAAGGCAGCCCAAAACAATGAATACAGATATATGAATTATTGAACATCGGAATATATAAGTGGCTTACGAAAGACTGCTTTGAATGTGCAACAAGGCATCCTGAAAGGCGCTGACAGCATCGTCAAATGGTAGATCATTTTCTCCGCTATCCACCAACAGTGTCAGCAACCGATCACTTGCGGCCGTCCGAGCAGCGATACTGCGCTCTAGTTCGGTTAAAGAGGAAAGAGCTTCGTTGAGAACTCCGGGAACCAGTTTGCTGCTTTGCTCGGACGCCATTCCACAATAATTGCTGAATTGGCATCATACCACGCTCAAAACTCGGTGTAGGTCTAACCGTAAATGGCGCCCATCCACCATATCGATAATTCGCCAATTAAGGAAATTCCCAGATGCAGGCCTTGGTGGGGTTTACTCTAATGATACGAAGTATTGATCGCCAAAAACTACATATTTAACTCTACGTCAAAGCCACAATATTCGATTCTGTCATTCATCGTTTTTAACTTGCACTTTTTTGTATCGGCCGCAGTCTGGAATTGGATTGTATTCTTGTTAGTCAGCCTCCTGGGAGGCGGTGTGATATCACCCATGAAGCAGTCCTAGCAGGGCGGCCGACTACTTCCGGTTCTAATTTGCCCAACGACCGTAAAATGTCATTGCTTCCTAATTATACAAGTAAGTTATTAACACATAATTGTGCATGTTTACTGATTTGTACGTCTTGGTCGCCTATTAATAAAGTTCCTTTCAGTAAGTACAGCAACTTGACGACTGAACAGTGGACATGGACGTAAACATGCTTTAAAATTCGCCATAACACGGCCAAAAGGTTTTTGTACGAATATAAATACTTACTACCTAGTTCATAAAAATTACTTCATGCGGAAGCGGCGCTGGGCTATCCGAAGAAAACTGATAAGCCCTCAAAACTGGGACTGCCGTTCTCAAAGCCGATACATGTATATTAGGAAGACAAGTAATGCAGATATAAGTTTACGTACTACTCTTTGATTCAGTTTTAATAATTATTAATTTTATATTTTCTAACGAGCAACGCAAATCGTGACATAATTTGACAGAAAACAGCCCCACCGGAAATCTTTGGTATGCAGACACAAAATTAACCCAAAAAGACTATAAAAAATCAAATTAAAAATCTCAGGAAAAAGTATCACTCCGCTGCTCGTTCTCCGGCGCAGACAGGGTCGAAAGAAATGAACTGTTTTTGACTAGGCGACTATTTCTTTTTGTATCCCCATCCGCCGCCATAACCGCCAAAATCGCCGAATCCACCGAATCCGAAGCCACCACCAAACCATGGGTATCCGAATCCTCCAAACCAGGGAAATCCCAGGCCCCAACCGCCCAGAAACGGATATCCCAATCCCCATCCCAAATCATAGCCGAACCCTCCGTATCCGCCACCGCCACCGTAGAAGTCACCTCCCCAGCCGCCGCCACCGCAAACCGACGCTATAAACCCAAAAATTTAAACCCAAAAATTTAAATGATTAATGCCACATTATTTAAAGTATTCTTATCCTGATCACCGGTTAAGGAGTCGCTTGTCTTACCGAGCAAAGCGCAGGCGATGACCAGCATCACGGCTACGGAACGCATCTTCTTATTCGGTGTCACACTAAACCTTGTACAGTAAATAGTGGGGATGCAGTAGAATATTGAGTCTATTCACTGGATCCTTGAACGGTTAAAGGCATTTATATACCAAAAGTCTACTGCAAAATATTGCCCTGAACTATCCGCCTGCTTTTTAAGTTTCGTAACACTGACAGTAATAATAATGTTACAAAACTACCGGATTCTCACGTAATCTTAATGATTTTACTCTTCTGAATTCATAGCGAGAATTGTGTATGTAGGTAATTGGATTTGTCATATAGTATAGTGTACAATTACATTATGTACCGGTAAATACGCGTCCCGCAGCACAGCTTCCGTAAGCAGCAATATTGTATTGTACATGTGTAAATTATCAGTGCCCATCGGGTACAACAGCAATCCACTGTGCCGCACAATATTCTTAACACTGTCCATTGCCGAACTCTGCAGACTATAAACAACTAACAGTAAGTAAGATTTTTTTTTACAATCGGAAGATTCTTTATCCGCAAATTGTTAGCGTTAAATCGAACGTGGCGCTGCATTGCACATGCCGCTTATAACTTGGTCCTAACTCCCAACATTGTACGATTACATGGTTACAGTACCGGTGTGGCGGTGTATAATGCATCAGCTACATTGTGTACATTAACTAACCAGTTATTAGTAGCTAGCAAGTAATATTAGTATTTTTATCCATTATCGTTCGCATGCTTAAATTTCAGCTTGCTGATCAAGTATGTGCGTATAATATCACAAAAATTTATATACGTAAACGTTAAACTGTTTTGTGACACTAGTCTGTACACGTATAGTCTGTTTTTACAATAGTATTCGTAATGCAGTTATGACCCTAAAATCAATGAGATGTACTTACAGAACTCCTCACGGCTAAAATGTTGCTTTAGAACTGTTAATTGGCGGCTTTCAACAGTTATTGTTGAATGCTATGTTATTTAATAACGCGCTATATTTTTATTGCTAGTGTTTTTTTCGATCACATAATCAGATTCTGAAAAATGATGCAAGATCAAGCGTAGCAAGATTGCATAAAAATTACTACTCTAGAGTATGCCTGTGGTGTATAGATTCAATATACATTCGCGCATTCAAACTTGTAAAGTTGTGCATCTGAAATTCGACCACAAAAAATATTAATAATCAGATGTATCTTGTATGTACAATGCTTTCATGGTTGGATAGGTACTACTGTGTCTAACGGTAGAAACGGCATCAGTTTTTTAGCTTGGGACTAATAGTTCCCACAATAATTATAATTATGGCGTTATGACACGCGTCCGTTGACCCATCACATTTATCAACGGCAGTAACGATCTGTTCATCGTCAGTTACCTACGCACCGTCTGCACTCTGTAGACTGTATCAGTCTGTATGTACAATATACCGTCTTACCACAAAAAATGTCTGCATGCTTACTACTGCATGCTTACTGCACAAAAAATACTACAATAATTTTATGCTGCTGCTTTTTATAGATTGCCGTTGTAGAAGGAATGATTCGAAGAGATTAATAATTGTTATTATGCACATATTTTGTCAATGATTATGTATATACTGTATAAATATCCTACATTCATGTTTGTGTACCGATCCCTGCGGGTTTTACAAAATACTTTATTGATTACACTTCAAACACGTAATTTTAAACAGAGTGACAGCTTATCATTTTTCTGCGGCGTCAACACCTGCTAGGTTAAGATTAACGGTTATCTACTCGTAGGTACCTATTACCTACAGAGTACCTCGTAGGTGTAATAGTGTTTCCTAAAACACGGATGTTTCATACGCGTACAACTTTGGGGAAATTTTGATTGCTTTGCGATGGCACTGCAGAGCGTATAGTGCAATAATATTGTAAGATGAAAATCTAACAAATCGCGGTTGATTTGTTGTAAATCAACTCGTTCAAATGCGAGTATACGTCGAGAGTTTGCTGTATTCTGACAAAAAAAAGACACGGAAAGACGCGGGAAAGTTTGGTCTCAACAGTTTTTGCAGGTTCGCACAATTTCCGGTTTCACACAGTTTGGAAGAAAACATTTGAAATAGGCTTGACCCTGCATTCAGTCCTCAGCTGCTCGGATAACGTTATTCATACTGTGTAAATTAGATAATTGTTGTATCGAAATATATTTACATAATTCCTTGTTTTAAGGCTACTCTCAGGAGGCTTTTGACTGGTCGAATGACAGTTATATTTATCTCCAGTAATCACATTCCCACAACGAGCCGGTCATCTTGTTTGCCGGCGAACAACGGACCAGTCATGTGTATTGCGAACCCAGGAATTCTAAGTGTAATAAATTATGCTTGAAGAACTGAAGTTCAGAAAAGTTTTTGATCGTTTGGATAGAACAAAATAGATTAATTCCATTGTATCGCCACAGATACGCCATAGTGTACAAAACTTGCTTATATAGATAGGTACCATATTCAGCTTACTTGTTCAGGTTATTTTTCATTACACTTACTAGTATCTGTACTAAGAAGTATATATTTACAGTTAAATCACTAAAATGGCACAACGACAGAAACAGTTCGAGCAATCCATACATCATAATAACGTATTCAACGTGCAATCGATATAATACATTTTCTCCAACAAAAAATAGAGAAACAACGAATGGAACCACCAATCCAGTTTAAAAAAATACTTGTAACAAAAAAGATTTGCTTATTACAAACTCAAAGCGCCGAAAAATTACACATACTGATAGTAAATTCGTCAACATGATCGAGTAAAGAAAAGATATACTTACATTACTCTTTAATTAGTTGTATTATTGTTAATACAGGCGAAAAGGTAGCCTGCTTTGAGGAGCGACGGCAGTGCTGCATTAGGTTTTAATCCTCTTCGAGACGTGAGCCGCTGACCTTTGTATGCTGTAATGCTTATAATTTACACGCAATCCGGAGGGTTGGGCAGATTTGGAATAGCACACGCAGTTACGCACTGAGAGCTGATGGTAACAGTGCTTTCACCGCCTGGAACAAGGTGGCCTTCACCTGCAGCACATAATAAACAGTCAGTTTTAAGTTGTCCAGCACAACTGTAGTAAATAACAAAAAATAACGTGCTCGAGCTCGTTCTAGAAAATGTTATTACGGGTACAAAAGAAGGCCATTAACGCAGTCTTGTATATTTCAGGCTTAACTACATGTACAGATAGTAAATAATTACTCATAAGTATCGTTTTTCTGTTTAATAAGCAAAGCGAAGGTTGCTAATTGCGGCCATCAATTACCAGTTAATTCACCATTGCATTGAATCTGACTGTTTAGGGTACGTTTGCAAGCACGGATAGCAAATTTTCTAAGTTTCAAAAACATCGACTTCATAATTTCACTTTAGTCAAAGACGATACCTGGAGCTTATCTGCTTTATTCTGAAAATGCCACGGAAGCTGTCGAAATTCACTGGCTAAACGGAGGCATTCGCCAACATGCTCGGGCGAAAGAAAGTCCTCTGCCACCTTGATACAACTGTATACATTCCACACCTGCAATTTTATCAATTTCAAGGGTAAAACGGACGGAAATGTAATATTAATGACCACGTACAGGCTGTCACATTGAATGCACTATTGATGTATGGTATGAATAGATGTGTTATTTTTATATTATTAAATTAAGTAAGCGTTCTCACCTGATGCAGCGCGCCAGCTGGTATGAATATAGCATCACCCGCAAACTGAACGATAGTCATGCCCTCCACACCGGTTTCCTGCAACAGACGCTGCTGGAGATCTATCGTCAGGAACTCCATCTGACTATGAAGAGGATCATCCCCTTCGTCGCAAAAATTTCCCCCGTGTTTCGTTAAGAACTGGCGAATCTTAGCCGTATCCGCCGGCTGGTAAATCTGCCACACGGCACCCGGCACAAGACCTTCGCTGAGACGTTTTCTCGTGTTGCTGTCCAATTTTAAGCCCCAAATAAAATTCTTTGCTTCTAAAAAATTTCAGATTAATTATTTATACCTTCGCTGTGGACTGTGGTTAGCTGCTAAACAAATATGAAAGATTAAGAAAATCCGTTTGCACAGAGCCAAGGTGATCGAAATAAATATATGGATAAACAGAAGAAATGAATGCCGACGTAAGTACGTATACCTAGTATCCGTAGAATAATAGCACGGGGTGCTCACCTCTCAAGTAATATGTGGTTTCGTCAGTCGGCTTGCTAACATTAACTAAAATATTCACGGCGTCACTGATGTCCACGTGAAGGTTTGTTGTTGCATGGTCTGGCTGTCCCACCATACCTAAACGCAAGGTTCAATAGCCATACTTTAACGGTAATCAAACTTTGAACCTATTGCTGGCAAGATGATAAACTAAATAAACGGCATACACTAATTGTTTTTAGAAATTAGTACTTCTGCAGCAGTCTATTTGCTCAACGCACCAACGAAAACCGTCTGCGAGGCAAGACTGTCATCGAAATACAGCCAGAAATTAGTAACTGATTAATCGGCAGAAGAATTGTACGAAAACGTTTTGACCAAAGGAAACAGCTAAGCTGCCAGCTCAGCTGACAGACCAAAGTAAACAGTTTTAGACAAAGGAGAATAGGCGAATTTTGAAAAGCTAGCAGCGAAGAAAATTAATTCATTCAGGACAATATTTCCGCTAGTATCGTTTCACAGTTTTAAAATAACATCAGTCAATGGCTGCAGTTGTTTACTTACCATAGGCAATATACATCTTTGGGCCGAGATCGGGTGGGTTAAAATGTTCCGGCAAATATGACGCCAGGTTTAGGTGACCTTTCTCGCGTGTATAATCGGCTAAAGGAAGGGCTTCACACAATGCTCGGTGATGATGTGGAAGCGACTCGCTAAACCGGCAATCTGTTGGCCAGTCCTTGATTTTAAGCAGCGATGGAATACCGTTTTTATCCGATATACGGTCTACTCAAGAAATAAAACAATAATATTATTAGAATTTCCAAATTTGACACATGACGGTAAGGCTGGATTTTACCTACGACTGCATGTACGACACATATGCTCTTTAAAAGTATGTCATTATTTTTATTTGCATACCTTTAATTACGGAAAAGCCTTTCCAAAAATCCATGTGTTTTTTTCCGGGTATCAGCTGTTGCGGTCTGGCACCACAGTCTATTAAATCAACTTTCTGGTCTCCAAATTTATTGGCAAACCAAGAGGGCTGCCACATGCCATGCAGCGGGACGTCTGCATCTGTTAGTGATTGCCCTACTTCGGCCACAACAACTGGAAGGCTTTTCGACCAATGGGCTCGAAAGGCTTTAGTATCGATTTCGTTGGTAGATTGCAACAGCAGAACCTTGCCATCACAGAGAAAATCCTGTTGATCCCAATCAATGTCATCGCCATTATTCTCTACCGACCCAGCGGCAGACATTGCCAAAAACTGGCTAATCCCAGTTTCCACCAATTGAACAGCTGAAAGAATTCAAAATAAACCTTCCGGTAGACGAAAAGTATATTAGCGTAAGATCGTTTCAGAGGTCACTGTTCGGATTTTAATGTGTATTTAAGCAACCATTTTACCTTCAGGTGGAATTAAACGTGTTGGCAAAAAATGGTGATCCGATTGTCCACCGACTGCATGGTTAGCTCTGCCCAGGACGCTTCCTGCACGCTTAGAGGGGCATAGCTGCCATCCCAAATTATCGCATGGAGCGCCCAGAACTTCCCCGTTGAGAGATCTCCGGATGCATGCGCCGGCTGATGCATCTTCGACGTGACTCCGGTCAATGTCTAGAAAAAGTAAATTTCTAGAATTTTTCAGCTAAAAGGAATATAAAGCGAGATGAGGTGAATGTTGCTGAAAGCACATCCTTAGCTAGCATACCAGCAAACTGTGTGTTCGTCGAGTAGCACTCCGGACACACACAATATCCACAATGCAAGCACACAAAATGCGCATTGAATATGGAAGCCAGGCAGACATCGCAGCATTCGCTCATACCGAAGGGAATACTTTTTATACCTACGCCTTCATTCGGCGCAGCCAGGATACTCTCATGCTGGTTCAGTATGTCCAGCAAAATTGGGCCCACTTTGGACAGCACGTACGCCGCTTGTTCCGAAGATACGCGCGGTGCATTGTGCAAAGTGCGTAGCCGCCGTCCGCTGGATCCGGGACTTCCCAGTATGGAACGTAGCGTACCGGACAACCACAACCGTTCCTCTTCACCCATGTAACGGTCTTTGATGTCTCCATCCTTTACCAAATCCAGCTTAGCAATTGGATCAGATCCTCGTGACTCGGTCACGAGGCGAATACTGTAAAACAAAAAAAAACTCTTTTGGACACACAGGCAATTCAAAACAGGACCATTTCTACGAAAAACCGTATTGCGGACAGCAATACGTACATCATAACCCAGAATAAATAGTTTGTGGGTTAATTCTGAGGTCGAAAAATTTAAACGTAAGCGCTTAAAAAATGCATTTATACACTTCGGTCGATTGTCAGTCGCTGTGAATACCGTAGGCATAATTACATATTACGATTTAATATACGATTTATTATCTGTAAATCCGCACTTATCCGTACTTATGTAAGAATAGATGTTCATCCTGGATAAGAATAACTGAAGTAGTGAAAGTATCCGATTACAGGCTTTGCCACCCAAAAAAAATTACCATCGTAGACGAGCGTTATTGAAGCGACAGTCCTTCTTTGCTTTGTTGCGATTCCGGTTGCGTTTTGTAGCAGGACCGGTTTCGTAGCAGTCAAAGCACAATGGAAGGGTTTGCACAGGATCAAACGGAACTGCATGTCTCGCCATCTCTCTTTTCATGTCATCACGCCACATCTGACAGCGCTTTTTCTGCACGAAAACTACCGGAAGCGCTGTGGAAGACTTTTTGGATGCAAAGTTGGAGGCAGAGCACTGGTTCGAAAGAGAGATTTTGCCGCTAGCACTGACGGGGACAGGGCTGGTAGTTGCGCTGCAAACTTCATCCAGTGGCAACTTATTACCTGTGGTGTACTAGGAAAACAGGAAATAAATTCAATACTTGTTGCCGATCTGTCTGTCCGTTTGTATTTTCAGTATGCTCAGTTATAGCACCGTATCAAGGAAAAGATCTATATTACAACGGAAAACCCCGTACGATCTGGTCAGAACAAACCAAAAAATTAATCGAAAAACTGCTAGCGTCATTCGATTCAGCATGTCTGGAAACTGTGTCGCATGCATTTAGTTTTGGTAATTATTCGCTCCGGCTCCCGTTCACAGACGCCGGTGCCGGTAAAGCTGAAAGATCAAGGTGACCGTGAAAATAATTTCAGAGTCCGGTTGCATAGAACAAAAACTCAGTAAATTTAAACTGGCACCTTTTTAGATCAGCAAATTAAAAAAAAGGGTTTGAACTTTTACTCCTTCCTGCAAGACTAAAACAGCCTCTCACTAGCCTGTTAGCAGTAAGACAAAGATGCTGCTAGTGGATGGCTTCGTTTCAGTAAATCGTTAACAATTTAAAGCGCTCAAAAATATGACTTAGGATTTGTTAGGAATAAGAACGCTCGTTCAAAGCAGCTGTAAAAGAAACTGAAAACAGTAATCGTCAAACGGGCTGACCTTTCATTACAGTCCGAGCAAAACTTAAGACAGTGATTAATCAGCATGTATCTGTACGGTCCATTAAATTAATCATTCCGTATAATACGGAATAAATTAGTTTCTTCAGATCAGAAAATGCCAACCCAACTGCACTGCTCGAATCGGAAAATTTATATTCCCTACACAAACACTATAAAAATAAACGGCATCCTCGTCGGCAATGAATTATAAAGGCTAATTTTATGATATTGATTATCATAATCAGTGCAAAAAGGGCTGTGCAGTGTGCACATTGAAAACAACCATACATAGAAAAAAATTTATCAATTACATAAATTACAAAGAATTACCGCTGCAGTACATCGACTCAAAGAACAGTTTAGAAAAATACAAACTGCTTCATAAACATCTATCATTTCTAAGAAAACGGGTATTAATTTGGAGACTACGGTCCCAGGGGTTCGCATACACGAATTAGCGAACTATTTCTACTATTTAGTGTACAAATCGAGTGATCAAATTACTATTCGATAGATGGGTGACTGGGTGAGTAACCGTAGTTACCGCACTACCGCTACTCTCCAGTGCACAGAGCTCGCTAGGTGATTGAGTAACCAAACGAGTGGTAACGAACCAGTAACTGAGCTACCATTACTGGAACCGCACATAACGAGTGGCCGAAGTACCACTATTCTCGTGTGCAGAAACCGGTAGGGGAGTGGTGACCTACTGAAAACAGCCATTGCTCGCTAGGTCGGTACGTAACGGATCGAGTGGTGGTGAGTAACTGAAGTACCACTACTGTTTACTGCACATAGTGAGTGACCAGTTTCCATTACTGTCCAATGCGCAGAGCCGACTGAGAGTTTGAGTAACCAAATTTCCTTTATTTTTCTGAGCGCAAATCGTGATAGGTGGTGAAGAACTGAAGTAAGACCACTGTTTAGTGCATATAGACTATAGTCATCGCAAATAGTGCACGCAGTAATACTAAATTAATCAAATCATTCGAAAAACCGACAGCAGACCACAAGAAACGCGGAGGCAAAGCCGAAGCCGTTTCTTGTAAATCATAAAGTAGGCAATGGGCACGAGAAACCATGATTTTGAAGCTGTGTAAAGGTCACTCTGACTCACCCCTATGCCGATTGGATAATCGTCTTCATCACTTTCCATCGACAACCTTGAGATAGACAGCCGGTATGGCATCGGTGCTAGCGGGATCTCCAGTGAATGCTGTGATTGAGTGGATGGCGATGGAGGCATCCGATCATTCCCGTCATCTTCGATTTCCGGAACCGGCGAAAACTGCGGCAGGGAATTCTGTTGTGGTTCGAAACGGCACGCGCCCGCAGGGGCGATCGTCTTCATACATTGTTTGTGGCGGCTTTTCTCCTCTTTGCGTTGGAGCGGCGCGGGGGGCACGACTACCATTGGCTGGACTTTCGGCTTCTTACTTGGGTTAGTGTCACTGGAACCCACGGTGTCAGGAACGTTTCCGAAGTGCTCACGGAAGTTGAATTGGGCTTGCACTGCTGGGTAATGTGGGTAATTCATAGCATTAAAACCAGGCGTTGAGAAGCAGGAGATATCGGTAACGGCTCTGGATCTTTTCGCACTTTTAACGGAAATCACAATCGGTCCTTTGCGTGCAGGTGGTAAGAACGGCTGATGACACGGGACCTTTTTCTGATCAGGAGCTCCATTGTGAACTGGCGCAGCTTGGGAAGAAGATAGCAATGCATGGCCAAGCTCACTGCTCTCCCCTATATGACGATAATAATTATTACGCTCGTGAAAATGGAATGACCGCTAAACTCTCGAGGTAACTTTTGCGAATTATTTGTAGTGGAAGTTTGGTATCACAATCCGGATATGACTAATTACTTTCATTTCTGCGCAGCTTACATTCATTACAATCTGGTATAAGTACTCGTACTGGGTTTTGCAGATGATCAGATCGGCTGCGCATTATTATGCTACAGCGTCGCTCCTCTGCTAAAGTCATGGTATAATATTGTGACTAACAACGATGCGGAGAACAGAGATTTCAGCCTGTACAGTAGGTATACCTTCTTGACATCTTCTGAACCTGATCTGCCGAAAACTCTAAATCGAGCACCCCGAGAATTCTACAATCGAAGCGTTGCAAAGATTTCGGGGAGAATATTTTACTATTCATGATTAATTTTGAGGAATAATACCCTTAGTGTTACAGTCTTGGTCGTCGTAACTTTGCAATGAATGGAAGGGTTAACCGGTCTGGAGAATCCTCCCACCAATCGCGCAGACAGTAAGGTTACGTACGCAGTCGAGATGCAGGTTCACGTCTCCGTGCTCGAATGATCATTGCATCGACCGGATCTTTGGGATGGTTTTAAGCGCGGAATTTCCGAGTTTCTTGCGCTTTAGCGTTCTGCCAGTCATCCCCGCACCGATCGCGCTTGTTTTTTAATCCATTCCCGAATACACTGGCGATCGACTTTGAACTTACTCGCAGCAGCGTGAATACTGTTCAGCTTTGCAAAGTTCGCAGTCTCAAATTTTCACAAAAATGGGATACGATCTGCGCATTTTTACAGTTAATCAATCGCATTTCAATTTCGGCAGGATGGAATACTTTGGTCTAGCTGAGTTAACGCATGCACCGTGCAACACGACATTAGAGAAATCTGTGCATGGTCAAGCAATCAGTCCGGCATCACACGGATATTCCGAGATATACCGCCGCACGCCTCAAGCCGGATATACCGAGAACTTTAGCGTAATAGCTCACTCTACTACAACCGCCGACGACCATATGTATGTGCTTCATTATGAGCTTTCAGTGCGTATTTATTAGAAACAAGCTTTAATATTCTTCTCGTGCACTCTTTATAGTACTTACTTCCCTTTCAGCTGGGATCAGCATTTAGCCCTAACTTTATTTAACTGGGCTAGGTTAAAGAAATCCACCGGTCAATTGTGCAGATTTGCGTATTTTCACAATTTGACACTCTTACAGACGCAAGCATCACAGCATGACGACATCGTACGAGCCATGCAGAACTCGATCTATAAAATTTAATTTGCTCAACAATCAGCCCTGCAAACGTAGTCCTTTTGTAGGAAAGTACTTTCGGCACCATGCTCCGTGTTGCGCTCGGTTCGGCAAAGCGCAACAGCGGTACCATCGCTTCTTATGCATTCGTCCTGCGGTACCATCGCTTCTTATGCATTCGTCCTCTGTTTTATATGTACCCATAACGCAGTTTAAAGTGGGTGATACCAAGTAATAGCCTTTGATATTCCAGTTTTATGTTCTGCGGTTAAAATGAAATTAATGATTTGAATTACGCATGAAAATTCCAAAGGGAAAAACCAACTACTTTTACTCCAAGGGCATTACTGTATCTATGCATAAACTTCCTGAGGCAGAGACTCTTGGACATCGATCGTCGAAACCACCTCAACGCAATTTTTGTACTGAACAAAATACTGTTTCCCAAATTCTCATTATATACTCGTAACTAGTTGTTACTTGTTAACCAGACCAACATTAGCGAAAGTCTGCTTCCGCTAAAAATGCTGTTGCTGCGATTATTTTAATTACAGTATTACAGTACCTTCGCCACTGCTGGCTTCCGGGACTTCTCTTCTAGCCGCAGCCTTTTCGTTGGCAGTCCTTGATCCCATAAGTTCGGCGTCTGATACCGCACTCCCCAAATCGGACAACACGTCAGATGTTACAGATGCTCGAGATGTTGGTGGAATCGAACCGGCCTGTCCGTTCTCGTTTATGGGCTTGTGCAGTGCTTCTTCTGTCCGCCGCACGAGATCGAAGCACTAATACACAATTACCATTGGGATTTTTATCGTGCCATGCAGCTCAAAGTTTCAGGCTACAGTAGTAAACGTATGGCATTAATAAATCGGTTCAGTGATTTACAGACTAACCTTTTCCAAGTGCCGGCGACCACTGACATGAGGTATCAAGTTTAAGGTTACATCCGCTCCCACCTCACATGCGCATGAGACGCAGTAGAAATGACCAGAAGGAAGTACTCTGATAGTGGAGTTGACTTCGTCTGAGTTTAGATCTTTCGGCATCAGCGAAAGGTCTAGTGGGACTTTAACAGAGGTTGGTACACCCAAATTAACAGCAGGATCGCTGCCTGTATGGACAGTATGCTGCGGCACCCCCACTGTTTCACCAGGAAGGACTGCTGCTGCATTGGCAACCAGCGCTGTGGTGTGGTTTGATTGGCCATTCAGACATGCCGAACTAGATGGTGTCGACTCGGGGACTATGTTGTCAATGAGCGGCGGGAGCAATTTCACAGTGTTACCGGTTACCACTGCTGAATTCGGTGCTTTAGCATTTTCCGCCGTCTGTGCAGCCAGCTGGGAAACCGGAACTGGAAGCTGAGAGTCCGGTGCCGGTATACCCATAGGCTCTCTGGGATCGGCGACTGCGGCTGGAGAAATATTCTGGGCACGAATTGGTTCGACGGGTCGGTAGTGGTCTTTGCGCTCACTACTTGGGGTGATTTGTGTGGATTGCCCATTCGCTGCCGGCAAGTAATTAATCAGCGGGATGGGAGCGTGGGTTGGGTGTGGCCCTGCGAATCGTTCTGGTGGTGGTGCAATTGTTGAATTCAGTGGTAAGCGGCCTTGAGATGGATTACTTGACGGTATGATAGCATGCATCAAGCATTTCAGAGTCTGATCCATTCTCATCATATGACTGAAGACAATATAATCGAAGTTATTTGACAACGTGAAACGTACTCTTTCGGGTTATTTATACGTAAACCATACATTCAGACAGCAAAAGATAAACCTGTCTGCTGGTACACTGTAGCTCTAAAGAACTTCTAACACATTTAAATGCATAATGATGCACGTCCGCTTTGAGTTCAAACGAACCTGAGCATCCCTTGCTGGACTAACCAATCCATCCCATGTGAATAAAGTCCGGCACCAAACGAGCTTCCCATCCCCTGCATGTACTCGTACGGTAATGGTCGCTGTTGGTGCGCCGTAGCATACATGGAGGAAATGCTGGCATCGCAGGTATTCTGTTGCGTTGAAAAGGGCGGGTGAAAAGAAACGTTTTGCTCCAGCGCCGGAACCGTCGACACGTACGGTGGGGCGAGTAAAACGGGTTGTGTGAACGACGGATACGGTGCACCGGGTGCGGTCGCTTGGTGCGGTGGATATTGCTGGAGCAGTTCATTTGACTGCGAAAGGAATGGCGGTGCTGCATTAACGCTCCAACCGGGTCCGTTTGACTGCGACAGTACTGGCGCTGCATTAACGCTCCACCCTGCAGGTAGATTGTTGGTCATGATGGTTTGATTGGTCTACCACAAGAGCGCCATGTTTCGAATTTGCAGGCAATACCGAGCGCGGAATCTGCAATCGGGAAAAAGGTTAGGCGAAGAGGTTTTTAATGATCAGCATTATATGTAGCGCCCAGAATATCAGGTTAAGGCCCAGAAGGTTGGACGAAGGGGTTATTGAAGATCAGCATTATGCACTTGCGCTTCAAATCATAAAATATTTCGCGTTCATTTGGTACTATTGAAGCAGTTTTGTTTTGTGCGATACTGGTGGTTCTAAAGATACTAATTATCTTCCATACCAGATCGGTACATTAATTATCTGTGGCAGTTGCAAAAATTGCAGTATTTGCAACTTTACTTTTGTTAGAATGTGGGCAGGATAACGCTTTTAAGGTTAGAACATAACCTGAAAATGCAAGCATATGTTCTTCGTCTCATGAGAAATTAACGGAAAAGCTGTGCTGCAGCTTTTAAACCGCTGCTTCAGTCATACGCTTTCCCAGGTGTTCACTAATTAATAACTTTTGAAAGTTACAATATCTGCACTAAACTACCAACTGGACTGTTTGTCCCTTCTAGTTATTACACGTACAAGTTTTCGCTAAGTAGAGTGAAACACGATCCGTATTTCCACAATATACTGTACGAGCTACATTGTGTTTACGATCTTACATTGTACTAAATCTGCACCCATAAGCTACGTTTTGAAAGATACCAGAAGTTAAAACGATATGTTAAAGCAACTATTATGCATTAAATGTATAATAGTTGCTTTAATCAATCACTATCAATCAATCCCTTTAATCACTATTTAAAATCACTAAATAAAATTTTTATTTAGTGATTTTAGATAGTTCAAAGTATCAAACTAATTACTAAATTTCAATAAGGCTAACGCACATTCGAATCTGTTTTCGTTTTCTGTGTTAGGTCGAACTAGTCGTTTTGCGACTCTAGAAAATGCACCGAAGCATTAATTTTGCCATTTTTTACAATACAATTAGTATCGTCGGTTCTATTAGAGAATATGTGCTTCGAAATACTCCACATGTAACCTAAAGGTTCAGAAAGGCATGCTAACTAATAATGTTGAGTTAAAGTTGTTAAACTAGAAACTGCAGACTTTGAAACACATGAAAGTTGAAAGGTTTTCGAAAAAATCATTCAGATAGCTTATTTTGCCATGCAATAACTTACCGCGCTGTTTTGTTGAGCAAATCACCAACAACAACTTTCCAGAAAAAGTTTATTAAGATATTATGCCAGTAATACAAAATTGTAGTTTCCGTAAACGGTTGCTACGAAGACAAAACAGTAATGATAAGCTAATTATAAGCAGACAACAAGAAAAACTTATCGATTCGGCTGCACCAGGCTTTGTAATAAATCTCCGGCACTTCCGAAAGTTCCCGGAGCCCGTCGCGAGGGTCACTATGGTTACCATGGCAATCAGTTATGCAGTGTGGTAGTATCCCTACTTTAGAACACAACTGGCATGGAAAAGCGAACTGCGACATGTAGACTGCTTTTGATAAAGTTTAGATAAAATCCACGACTAATAATTAATTATTCTTTAAGTAAGCTTTACCGGAAAAGCCACTGGAGTTACAAAAATTCAGATGAAAATATTTAAGAACAAAAACAAATTTTGAATCGCTTCGATTACAGTAGTTCTACTAGCGAAGCTTCATTAATTAGTCACTGATCATTGTCATTTGGGCTGGCTCGTGCCGAATAAAACTATGTATGTACTATGTACGTATACAAAACACAGGAAACAGCAGTTACCGGTATAGCACGTACTTACTGATTGACCTTTGTTCACTTAAAAATTCCTTTATTCACTTACTAACTGTTTCTTTGTTCGCTTAATTACTTTAAGTAGAATGATCCTCGTTGTTTTAAACTAATGTACGTGATGATTGATAAAACTGATTGATACATCTACTTTATACTGTAATGCAGTAGTACTTTATTATACCACTTTAATTGACAAAAGGAACGAAGTACGTACTACTGTACTACCTGTATTAAGGTACCAAGCAATTTTTTATCACATAAATTGATTATCATAAAATAATAATTTCGGAAGTACTTGTTCGTATTTCAGAAGTGCGAATACATACAGTAGATTGGTTAACAATAAATTTCTAGCTAACCATAAAATTAAAGAGGATCCTGAAGTCCTTTGACACAGTAAAATGCAACATGTGATCATCATGTTTACGTTACGCGCACCGTTTTTCAACTAAATATACGTATTATGGGTGTTTAATTAGAAAGCTTAATTGTGGTGTTTGTGCGTTTGTAAAAATATGACAGTGATTTTCATGGGTATATCAGTCGACTATAGATATTGGAGCTGAAATTCCACTATTCCAGATTTTCTGAGTTTTTATGGCATCGCGACGTAAATCCTCTAAGCAGAGCAGACTCGAAAGCATCAAGGAGCGAGACAGCAATTCGACTGCACGACTTAGTTCGCAAAGGAGAAGAAGTTCTGAACGGAAAAGCTCTGGCAAAAGAAAATCGTCAAGTAAATCCGGGAAAAAGTCTTCCGGACGCGCTTCGAGGGATTCGCGAATAGGTTCGAAAAAGAGTTCCACTGCTCGTAAATCCAGTGTCAGAAAAAGCAGCGCCCGCTCATCTGCCAGTGACACACAACGTCGCAGTCAGAGCAGCCGCAATACCGACGACTCTGATTTGTCACCCGATGAACATGTTTTAGTGCAACGTCCGCCTCCTGGTTCCAGAAGTGGCAGCGTTGGCTATGATGAGCACGCTGTGTCCCTGGGCGACACAGGAGACTTTAATGTCTTCCCAGAACGCCTTAAAAAAGATTCGTTTATGTCCGGATCGAAGACATCAGTGGCACTGCCTCGTGGTAGCGCATCCGTGGGCGAGCCAACGATGGGGTCACTCGTGGGATCTGCATCAAGGCAGTCAACCATGGAAGCACCACCGGGAAGCTTTTCTTCAGCTGGAACGGGCCTGCCCAGACAGCCATCTATGCCACGTCAATCAGCAATATCCGCGCCACTTCCAGGTGGTTTTGCTACCCAAGCGGGGTCAGTGAGTTCAGCACCTCGGCCGTCTTCCATACCCAGACAGTCGTCTGTGCCGCGACCGTCATCCATAAGCGCTGTAACTGCTGGAAGCGGTTCTATGGCGATGACCGGTTCAGTCAGTTCTGCTCCCCGACAGTCGGCAATAACAGCAGCCCCGTCCGGCAGTTTCTCAACGCCCCGATCATACACGGCAGCATCACTCGCAACGCCCATGATGGTGGCAAGATCAATGTCCATGGTACAGGATGCTGATGCCCAGTCAAGAGCCAGCGCCGCTCCGTCTCCATCCCTTGGTGGTGGGGACTTCCCAAGGCAGTCGTCAGTCAGCGCTGCTCCTAGAACGAGCGGCCCCGGGCGGGTAGTGGAAACGACAACAGTCACCAGAATTAGTAGTCCAAGTGGAATGGGACAAAGCAGTGGAGTCACTGCAAAAACGTCACCTTCCATGGATCTGTCTCACTCGTCACCGGAACGCGAGTCAAAAACGTCCGGTACAGCAAAAAAGTCAGGCAAGAAAGCCTCATCGGTTAGTGGCGGCAAAAAGAGTGGTGAAAAAAGCAAAGGAGGAAAAGCGAGTGGGAAATCAAAAAAGAGCTCCGGCAAAAAATCAAGTGCCAGTGAGCCGCCAAAAAAGAGTGGTAGTAAGAAAGTGACAAAGAAAAGTGGCAGTAAGAAAAGTGGGAAGGGTTCTAAAGGTGGAAGTAAGGCCGGCAGCGGAAGCAAGAAAGGTAGTAAGGGCAAAAAGAGCAGTGCTTCCAAAAAATCCAGTCGTGACAGTGAATCTCCGAAAGCTAGCAAAAAAAGTTCGACTGGTTCCGGTGGAAAAGGCTCTGGTGGATCGTCAGCAGCATTCGATATGGACGTTTTTGAGCAAGTCAGACAAAATTACGAGGCGGAACATGGAAAAATTTCCGAAGAAGAAACACGCAAGCCTTCTGATGTGGGAGGTAAAAAGGTTTCATACAACACTTTTCCTGATGATGAAATGAGACGGAGTACGCAATGGTATTCGAATCCCAATGGAGAACCGGTAGAGGTCACCACTCAGGAACGGCGAAGTTCGCAGAAGTATATGGACGATGGTGGCAGCGAAGATTACGAACCTTTTGAAGTGGTGCAGGTGCGCAAAAGTACCAGGACGTACTTGGACGAAGGGCTAACGGAGCCGGTAGAGGAGATGGAAATGCGTAAGAGCACCAAGAAGTATATCAATCCAGCTGGATCGCAGTTATTTGAAGTGCAACTACGCAAAAGCACCAGACGCAGTAAGCAGTCGAGTGTTGCCCCGGGGGCACGACCATCGAGCGCTAGCATTGCTCCCAAGGACAGTGTTGCTGGAAGTCGAGAAAGCCTGACGGGGAAGCCTCGTGCAAGTTCGGCGGGAACTGCTGCAAGGAAGAGTACAACAGGACCGAAGAAAAGTTCGGACGCAAAGAAAGGGTCAAAGGCTAGCGCGGGAAAGAAAGGCTCGAAAAAAAGCGGATCCAAAACGGGCTCGAAAGCTGGTTCGAAAGCTGGTTCGAAGGCTGGAAAGGGTTCCAAAGTTTCGGGTGCCAGTAAGAAAGAAAGTGATGCCCACGTCGGTGATGGCGACGGTCCAAAAGCCAGTGGAACGAAGAAAAGTAGTGCTAGCAGAAAAAGTAGCGCAAGCGGTTCCAAATCTAGATCCAAGTCCAAGGGAAAGAGCAGCGGATTTTTTTCTCGTTTATTTGGAAGTAAGACAAGTAAGAAGAGTTCAGTGAAAAAGAGTGGAGCGAAGAAGAGTAGCGTCAGCCGTAAAAGTACCGCTGCGAGTTCGAGGCCTAGCGAAGATATATCACCAGAGAAAGCAACGCTGTCAGTCGTACCTGCGCCCTCCATTGTTCCTGACGTTCCTGTCCGGGAATCTAACGGAGTATGCAGAGATGATTTATTGTTGGCAAAACAGACTGCCGAAGCATCAATACTTCGAGCACAGATTGCGGAAGCTGAACTGCAGCGTGCGCGATCTTCGTCTACCGGCAGCGCCAAAACGTGTGTTACGTGTAGCTCATCTGCTAGTTCAAGGTATTGTACTTGCTGCAGTTGCAGAATCAATGTGATTCACACAAAGCTTTAACTAACTTTCTCGTTCGGTGTTTCGACTGGCATAACGATCACGAAAAGTTTTTCTGCAGAAAGTCTGAACCCAGTCCGAACTCTGTTCCGGATATGCATCACAAAATCATGATGAAACTCAGCGAAATTCAGGCGGTGCGCAATGAAATCTGTTGCTTACGAGAGGAAGCGGAAAATTCGGCTGACATTCTGGAAGAGAAGCGTTGTTGTTTCGCCGAACTACGAGAGAAGCATGCTAATCTGCAAAATACCTTAACGCTGGAATTCGAGCGCGAAAAGCAGGTCAACCACGAAATTGAAGACACGGAACAGCTTGTGCACAGTCTGGAGGAAGAAACCAAAGAACGAGAACCTTTCAGTGAACGCGACCGGCATATGTACCATGTCCAGCAGTTGGCACATGAAGATTTTAGCTATATGGAGGGATACAGTGAAGTGCACAGCGTCCTGATGTTCGATAAGATCGACACCCTGAAAGTGTGGCATGAATTAGCCCAGGACTACATTGAAGAGACAACATGCATGACCGATTCACAGCAAAAAGCCAAACAGGCGTTTACGGCCGCGGCCGCTAAGTATCAGCGGCTGCGCACTAATCGTGACCATCTGTCGTCGGAACTAACAAATCTCCAGGACGAGAGCGAACGGGAGTTGCATGTAGCTACCATGGAGGATCAGGCAGAGAGGCAGATGGATCAACAGATTGTGGCGAAGTACAAAGATCATCTGCAGCGCTGTCTGATTACGCGGGATTTGAAGTACGAAACCGTGTTGGAGTCAAAGGATTTCTTAGTGGCGTCGGTAAAAGAACTGGTCGAAGGACTTTATGATCGTCATGTGGCACTGGATGCTGCTGGGATGGATACGTTAAAGACTCTCGAAGACTTACTGGAGCTGGGAGAGGTTATTATTTAATACTTTTGACTTTGAACAAATATTAACTTCTGTTAAAGGTCATTATTTTAAGCTTAGCGCGAATTGCAAAGTACCGCCTAACCGGTTCACTTGTTACAGAATCAGAGATTCACTCGCGATACAACAAAACTGATAGCAGCGTTGCCAACTGAAGCGGACTATATTGATCATTTAGAGAGGATTCAGAAAGTCCTTCAGGAATATATTTCGTGTATGAAAGAAATTGATAACCAGCGCGAAGATCTGCTAAAAGAGCGTGCGGCGTTGTTGGGTGTGGACGATTACGGTTTACAGCCAGCTGAAAACCCGGACGGTCTTCCTGATGACTACTGCGCTTGTCCGTGCCAATCAGAGTGACCTTACACCGCTTGATGGCAGTGACCGCTATGACGTTACTAGTTGCTGTTTGGCATTGCCCCCATATCTTCGGGATCTATAAAATAGTTGTTACTGGGACGCTGTTACGATTAACTACTGCTGTAGTTAGCGTTTTTATGGTTTTAAAACTTTGTTAAATTTGTTCGCCAAGCTTGCATTAGAATTTTAGTATTTGTTTTCGGGATAGAATTTTGTTTTTTTTTTCTTTAAAGCTTGTTTTATTTTTTATTTGCAACTGCAATTAATTTAGCTGCAATCTCTAAAACTGCAAGCTCATGAGCTGTATTTTGTTTATGTACAATTGTATATGAGGGACCGCGTCACCGCTGTGTTTCTTAGATACAGACGTGTGATGCGTAAGTACTGACTGCATTAAAGAATCAAATATATATTCAAAACATGTGTTGCACATAAAGTACAGTGTAGTATTAAGTACTTCCGTGTTCCACCAACAATATGTATTCACTTTCGTGACTGTGATATTCCCGCCTTCATCCTCTTTATTAGAGGATGTCTTTTGAAAATCCACGGCTTCATATTGGTGAATTGGCCCCGGATTTCACCGCCGTAGCTGTGGTTAATGGAGAGTTTACTGATGTAAAACTATCATCCTTCCATGGAAAATATGTTGTACTTTTATTCTACCCCGCTGATTTTACCTTTGTCTGCCCCACGGAACTAATAGCCTACAGCGAAAAATTAAAGGAATTTAAAAAAATTCACTGTGAACTGCTGGGAATGTCTTGTGATAGTCAATACAGTCACTTAGCTTGGTGAGACCTATTGCGTTGCAAATATCGATTTTTTGAAGATCTTACATTAATTCAGTTGTGCAAACTTCATAAACGCTTGGGTTATTACTTAAAAGTTAAAATGTACTGTTATATATATTTAAGTTAGGCTAAAGGAAAGACCAAATACTTAGAATTTCATTCAACAGTTACGAAAACACGGCTGGTAAGGCTTTGAATATTACATGTATCATTGCGCTGCATGTTTTTTGCAGGCTCAATACACCTCGGAAAGAAGGTGGTCTGGGAGGCGCAGTCAAGTATCCCCTTCTTGCTGACCACAACGCGTCCATAGCAAAAAAATACGGTTGCTACTGCTTTGCTGAGGGAAACGCATTCCGTGCATTGTACATTATTGACGGCAACGGAATGTTGCGCCACATCAGTATTAATGATATGCCTGTTGGGCGGAATGTTGAGGAAACTCTGCGTCTAGTACAGGCTTTCCAGTTTACCGATGAAAACGGCATGGTGTGTCCGGCCGGCTGGAAGCCGGGTGATGACGCAATGGACGCAGATCCAGAGAAGTCCAAAGAATATTTCGCAAGGCACTGACCATTTGTAATGAAACACTCTCTACATTATGGACAAACGATAACCATTTTCCTCTTCTTCCCTTTAGCTTCAGCCTGACGATCTGGTGTGTTTAATAGGGTTTCCACTAAGAACAGCAATCCAAAGATTGTCCACCCACCGTAAGTGCACTGAACATAATAATATTATTTTGCTCGCAAATCTTGTAGAGGCTCACATTTACAGGGATCCAGCATTTGATACGACACTTATTAAGAAACCGAGACCTTCGTATCCCCACACAGCACTGTACGTTGTCCCAATGCCGGCAGACTTTTCTTTGGTACTTTATTAGTATCGGTAATCATTAATTTTTGTTCCCGTATATTTACAGTGTCTATTCAGAAAATAGCGTTCGCTTAACCGAGGATTCCTCTCCTAAGAAAATTTACGAGAGAATGTTAACCAAGTATGTATTTGCTCGTTAATAATGTGGCTTTAGTGCAGTGTATCACTGTATCCTTTATTTTTGGGCTATAATTGTTCCGTTTATTCTAGACTTTCGTTTTAGAATTAATCGCAGCGCAAAGATGAGTTGAAAGCGTAATTCTCCAAAGAATCACGGAAAGCACCCCGCTGATTATGCGTACAGCATTTAATGGAGTTTGTGACGTAAATTGTACGAGAACTCGTTCAGTGAAGATTGCGCAGTGGGTGTACAGTAATCTAAAGTAGTTACAGTACGTACTAACTAAACAAAAGCATTGCAGGTTTAATTTTGGCTACTTCCGCTGTTGATACGGGTTGCAACATAATAATTACTATGTTGTAACCGGTAACCAAATTAAACCTGCAATGCTGCTGTTTAGTTAGCTCTTGCATTAATGCAGTTGTTTGCTTTTTCGCCATTTGGTTGCTGATTCAAAGCCAAAATTTACATTTTTCCAGGCGACAATTGAGTGTACGTTTTATCTTCGCAAAAATAACCAACGGTCAATAAAAAACGGAAAAGTGCACGATTACGTACAGTTAGCTATTTTCGATTGATTTTCGCAGGCCACATGACTTACGATGCCCAGTCACCAGTTATAGTCATGCACTTATCTTCATATTGCAGCATGCAGCTACAGTTTCTACTTTTTGTTATTTTACGCACACATGATACCTGCAGAGTGGCGGAAGTTCGAAACTTCATCGCACACCGATAAAATGCGATTGTTATAGAATACTGTGCTTCGATCCCAAACCTACATCTGTAATTCAAACAATAACGGTAGTTTTGTGCTGAAAAACATTTGCCGAACATGCCTTATCAAATCTCTGGGTTCACTGAAGCCGAAGGTCGCAAACCCTTTGTTGTTTTACCGATCACCCACTTTATTGTATGACCACAATTTGTCAGGATTTTGACGGCTTTGCGAGCGCTACTGTAGTGCCATCGTTACAACACCCAGATACCGACCGATTGTCATTATTTTAACGAAATGGATTTCTTGAACAACACTACGTTAGCGGTTGACAACACAACTTTGCCGTTGGTACCAAAATCCAAGACCTTTGTTCTCGCCACGGCCTGGTTTACCGTCATCGCGTGCGGTCTCAGTTTAACGGGAAACGGACTTGTTCTTTTTCTGTATTTAAGGATTCGTGCTCTGCGGACCAGCTTCAACATCTATATTGCCAATCTAGCTCTAGCCGAAATTCTTTTCGGAATATCAGGCATACCGGTCCAGTTTGCTAATCAGTACTATGATTACTGGCCATACGGGTTTGGTTTGTGCAGCTTTCTGGAAGGCCTGCAAACAGTGGCCGGCGCCGGTATACGTCAGGCACATCTGCTGATGACGATGAACCGTTTATGGGCAATTTTAAAACCGATCTCGTACAATCAAATACACACCTGGAGGGTCGCACTGTTTTTTATCGTGTTAAGCTGGTGTTTCGTCGCGGGATTGTATGTGCCAATTTCCGTTGCCGGACGGATGTATATAAGGCCTGATGAAAAACTATGTATTATCAATGTTAGCTTTCAGTTTACAACGCTGATTGCTGCCCGAGTTGTAGCGTATGATTTCCACTGGTGGCTCATATGATTTGCTTTCCCTTTATATCGTACTGGTTGTACAAGCGGAGTGGACAAAAGGATAGAATCCATGAGGAAGAAAGGTCACAAAACAGTGGTAAGCGATCCGTAAGGGCAAAAAATGCATGATATAAGTAAAATCGTGCTTTGTGTTTTTTATCAGTTCAGATATCGCTTTCACAGTGCGCACTGGGATTACTTTACTGTGATTAACTGTACTTTTGAGAAAGATGTGTTAGCTTGTCCTCACGTTACAGGACGACGTGACCGTAACAGTTATTTCGCTTTTTTTCAGTGTACACTAACGTCGTGAGTACTGCTGGGATTACCGGAACAAATAAAGTGTCACCGACTACTTTGGGTCAACTTTCGAGCAGGAGAAGTAGAACAAGTAGTGGAAGCAACAGAGTCTTCATTTACGTTTCCATTGCGGTGACAATCTGCTGGAGTTCCACTTCGGCTTTTTGGATCTTAGCTGACCATACCGGTTACTGGGATGATACATATTACGGTTTTCAGGCTTGCTTGACTTACGCTAACTCTTTCGTGAACCCTATTCTGTGTTTTATAGCTATGGAAAGATTCCGATCGGGTCTAAAAAAACTTGTGTCCTGTGGCTGACATACGGAAGTACTGTAATTCTAACTTTCATTCCTATAAGTGCACCTTTCATTCCTTTGCTGTTTCACCCTTTGAAAAGATAATCAGGAAAAAATGTTGAAGTGATTCTCTTATTAAAAAATTAAATGGAACTTCGCCACAAGCACACTCATACCTAACATGCTCGTGTACCTTTAAAATGATGTTTCTGATTGAGTTTGCACCAAGAAAATGTTCATGAATCATGATCATGAATACATATCTTAGTTTTGCGGCACTAGTACTAAACCTATCATGCAGTAGCTAAAACAACATTGTAGAAACGGTCGGCCATGTTTAAAACAGAAAAATAACGTACTCACGTGTTATGGTATATTACCTATCGCGACGGGTTGGGCACTGAAAAGTGATCAAATGACAAGTAGACAGACATGTGTATTTAGCCGTTGAAACTTGAAAGTGCAGAAGACACAGCTGCTTTAGGTTCATGAATGAGTAGTTACTTGAAGTTTAAACTGTCTCTCTTCAAAATATTAACTGTTTATCCGCAATTATCCTAATCTGCTATCGTGTCAAACAAGCAGACTATAATTGGCTTACATGTGTTAGTTTGGTATACCGTACGCTTGCGGAAGTTATATTGTTCATTTAAAGGTCGCGCCAGAATTAATAGTTATTCATACACGATTTCCCCATTCCAGTGCCGGATACCTACAACTGGAAAGTTGCTAATTTTGAGGCAGTTTTTATACAACACCTTTATCAATACACTGGAACCCATATGGATAACCACACCACGGTTGCCGGCAACGACACAACGTCAGTAATCCTCACTGTGAAATCAGTTTTTAATTTAGCAACCATTGCCTTCACGATTGCCTCCTGGTTTTTGAGTTTATGTGGCAATGGTCTTGTACTGTTTCTGTTTATCTGGGAAAGGACGCTCCGAACAAGTTTCAACTTCTATCTGGCCAATCTGGCTTTTGCCGACTTATTCTACTGCGTAACGTCGATCCCTGTCTATGTCATTAACCAATATTTTGGCTATTGGCCGTTTGACTCTCTACTATGTAGCGTCTTACATGGCACAACGACAATTCTGACCGTTGTTGTCCGACAGGCGCATTTTCTGCTAATCATCAATCGTTTGTGGGCGGTTTTAAAGCCTGTGTCGTACAGATTGTCTCATACAAGGAAAACCGTATCAGTTTTGATAATTTTCACCTGGATCTTTGGGTTGGCCATGTATTTGCCGATCTGTATTCTGGGGCGAAGATTCGTGACAGTTCATCATAAAAATATGTGTGTTATCGATCTTGACCATCAGATCACTCTAGTTATGGTAGCTCGCGTACTGTTTTACGACGTTCCACTGCTGGTGCACCTGTTTTGTTTTCCTTATATAACCTACCTGCTGTATAAGCGCAACGCTAGGAAAGGAATTGCCAGCACCACAATGTTCGAAAGGCAGTTCTTTATCAGTGTTCAAGAATTTGTTTTCTTGAAATAGTGCGCAACCCGCTAGCTGTTCAAGCCAAAGCCATGCCGTTTTCATCCATTAAAGCCAACAAAGGAGACCACGGGAACAGCCGGGTTTTTGTTTACCTGTCCGTTATGGTTACCGTCTGCTGGGTTGTTAACAACACCTACTGGATTTTAGTCGACCATGCGAGCTACTGGGACGATGTGTTTTACGCGATGGAAGCTTGTTTAGATTACGCAAATGCATGGGTAAATCCCATCCTTTGCTTTATCGCAATCGAAAAATTCAGAATCACATTAAGGGAATTAATGAATTCGAAACAGCATTAATGTTTTCAATATTCCGCAGGATGTCACGTGATTAAACTCACTTTTGGACCATTAGTTTCTCCCTTTGTTTAATACTTTTGATTACTGTATGAAATGAATTAAGTAAACGTGATTATTACACAGCAGCTGTGGAACACCTCTTTTATGAAGAAAAAGAACAATAAGGGCATATTTTTATTCTGATATTAAACACAGCGACAAAACGAAACCACCTGAGTAAATACAGGGCACGTTTTCGGTCCCGAGTATAACCATAGAAAGTACATTTTACCATTTTTTTAAGTAAAGGGACCGTGGTATAGCTGCTGTTAAAAAATGTTAACTGACCGTAAAACTACCGCTAGTTAAAAATCGGAATGCTCAACGTACTAGCGGTAGTTTCACGTTCAGCTAACATCTTTTATATAAGCTGTCTTGTCTTAAACGGGGGTGCATTTCGCCATTGAACAGATCACAATCCATTTTGCAACGCAAAAACAATAGCTACGTAATTATTACTTAACAGTATATTATTATTAACAGCTTTATTAATTTTGTTCGAAAGCTAAGCCGCGCAGCTGGTTAAGTAAACTGAAAATACAATTCCAGTATAGCCACCACATATTATATTTTATACATGTGTCTGTATCAAACCAAGGACAAACTAAAATGTTAAAACGTCACACACAAAAATATCACAGTCAAAGCTTTGTATGAGTATGATTAACTAGAATCAAATCCAGCTACAACAAACGATCCAGTAAAATCCAGGAGACATATCACAGTTACTGTTGCAAAACAAAGTGCCGCCAAAACGCCACAAGCCTAAAATGCATATTTTGGGGTTAATCTTGGTACACTAGAAAATGGACGGTTTTTGGAAGGTAGTGTTTTGACTTACTATGGAGGTCAAAAATAAACTTGTTTCCATATTTTTGGCAGGATAAGTCACTTTACAATTATGCACATCTGGCTCGCCCGGCAAACGGGTATTGCAAATTATTCCCAATCTGTGGCGCGCATTGACATTTTCTTGCTGCTCCGCGAGGAACACAGAGCAAGAAATAATTAAAACAACCGTCCAAAACGCCGAATTAACCAACATCTGTCAACGTAACCGGAACCGATTAAATAATCCGATACAAAATCCGATGCGTAAATGCTGTTTTCTTTCCACTTACTGTATATTTCAGATTTGGACCGCTTAACATGACATCTTCGTGAATGCTCAGTACAGTAATAGTCAAGAAAAATATAAGTAAAACAAAGCTGACGATAAGTGTTCCTTCGTGAAAAAGCAGAGCTTGACTTTTTGGACCTTTCGGCCACACATAAGAACGGGCTCCTTCCATGGTGCACAGGGATAACAATAACAGGACCTCTCAAAAAACAACACATTTTATGTTTGATAATCGCTGAAAATTCAGTAACTTCCTAACATGTGGTGTGATGTGTTTATGACTTAAATTCTTGCTTCCATTAATTTTGGAATTTCTAAGACTTTGTAAATTAACCGATTGTAAATTAACCGCTGTTAAACGGAGTTATGTAAACTCACGAAAGCTGATCCAGAAAACGCTCCGCATAAACTCCACACAAAACCTGAATTGAACCTCATCGGGCTGCTATTATCAGCAGCATGACTGGAATGATTTTATGGATGCTTCTTTTGAAAGTCATCCAACTGGCTCATCCAGGCATGGTGGTTTAACGGCCAGAAAAAACGCCGATTCAGGAGTACAACAAAACAATCAGGAACATCCATGACACTCAATTTTTTTTATGAGAAATAATGATTCCGTACAGTGCGAGTGCTTCTGCACAGTACATTGATTTCGTTAACTTTGTTAAGTACATAATAAATGTTTGGAATACGTAAAACGTGCATCATACTGCGAACAAAACAGACTCCCATATCCCCACTCCCACAAGATCTTTACGTACTTACTGAAAAACCGGCGCGCATACTATTTGACGTTCCGTAGTAACAACTCCGCAAGGTGCAAATGCGGTACGCTTATTAGTTTTATGGCTCGGTTCGATGTGCCAGTGTGCCACGCATGTTGGTTAATCGTGTTTCGTCCTATTAATTATCTGACAACCTAACCGGTCCTAACTGCACACTACCAGCTCGCTCGAGCCCAAGATAAGAACACTGAAAAGCAGAAAAAAACAGCAAAACAGTATCAAGTCATTTTAGCGAGTACTTTACTAATTTATAGTTAATGTTGGCACCTGATATTATCGCTTCCTTAACTAGATAAAACTGCATTAGTGAGTGAACTGTTAATTAAGTACAGTAAATAATTTATGGATTAATGGCTGTTTTTAAGGCGTCTGATTGTCTGTACACTGCTTGGAATATAAAGTGCGGCGGCGGAATAATCACGTTAGGCACCCTGCAGGTCACACAAACCGGGAGGGCATTATGGTTATTTTCTGCTGTGGACTAAACAATGTCGCCTGCATTAATTAGTAAAAAACTTTTGGAGTAATCCTGCGCTAAATGCTATGATTCGCGGTCTGGCAGCACTTCTGTTCGATGGGAATTATTTGATTAGTTCCGTAATTTTACGATCTACAAGCAATATGTGCCATGATAACATGGATTCGCACCCCAACGTTCTCTGCTCCGAGCGAGAATGACGACGACGAGGATGTCCTCTCGGGTACCGAGCCAGGAGATGCTCGGAGAGGCTCCCTTCAAAGTGGAACAGCCCAGTTTAGTCGCATTCAGCGGCTGCGACGCCACTTGGTTGATCCGTACTTGCAAAAACGCGCCAAATATGGAAGCCTTCAGCCATCACTAACCGGGACTGAGTTTGAATTAGTACACTTTTCGGCTGGTGGCCGGCGGTTCGCCAGCCCAGACACGATCTTAGCTAATCATCCTAATACCGTTCTGGGGGATCCAGCCAAAAGATCATTCCATTATTCGTTATCTAGGCATACACATACTTTTTCTACAGTTCTGCCTGATGTGTTCGAAGCAGTTCTTGAATTTTATGAAGGAGCCCCGCTAATACGCCCAGATCGTCTTACTGTTGATTACTTTTTGGAACAGCTGGAAATATTTGAATTTGATGCTTCGGTTATTACGCGATATTTGCGTTCAGAAGGTTTGTCGCCGAAACATGAAATTACTTTGAACAACCACAATGAATTATGAATACATTAGAGGATTTAGTAGTAAAGGGGTTTCCACTTTGTAATTCGGCTGCTGGTGTCATTTTACAAAATATAATATCTGGTATAGAACTTGCGGAGTCATGTATTCAGATATGACGTGAAAATTTCACAGTTTCCGAACTAATAAAGCTTCATTAATTTGTTTCCATTTCGGTTCAGAAATTAATGCTATGGTCAACATCTTCACGTTTTTGCAATCCACGCTGCAGGGGTCAATGGGCCGTGACCTTTTCTTTTTGTATTTAAACGACAAAACTAACTGACATCATTTTACGAAAAATATGAATCGACAGCAGATAACAGCAAGCAAGTGCATTCGTATGTTATTAGGTGTGAAGCTACCCAGGAAGCCCCCGACAAGACGAACTGACATTCAACCCGCTTGGAAAGATCGTATCTGGGATTTCTTTGTTTATCCCGAACTATCTCTGGCATCGCGCGCCTACAACGTCATATCATTAATTTTTACATGCGTTTCCATTGCGATATACGCATTAGAGACTGTTCCGGAGTTGAATGCCTTAATGGGCACGACGCAAACGCTGGGTGATGCCTTCAAAAACCCATTCTTTATTATTAACACCATTTGCTACATATTCTTCACAGTGGAGCTGGTAGGGCGATTTGTGGGCTGTCCCGACAAATTGTGGTTTTTTCGTCGTTGGTATCACTGGGTCGACTTAGTGTCAATCCTGGCGCATGTTATTGTCATGGTGGTGATGGGTACCGGCGGCTACTCAGCTGGTCAGCCTAATGTTGCGCGACAGATCGGTGTGATTCGCGCGATAAGGTTGTTTCGAATCCTGAAACCCATTGGGGCGTCCAAGACCATTGGTTCACCGAGTCAGTACTGGATTGGAATATTATGGCAGACGGTGCGCAACAACGCGTCAACGCTGCTGGTGCTGCTGTTCTTACTGCTGCTCTGCATGGTTTTGTTTGCGGGAATTCAGTATGCCATTGAAGGCGGACCAGGCCAAGCGATTCCATCAATTCCCCATGGCTTCTGGTGGGCCATTATAACAATGACAACTGTCGGGTATTTTAATTGTATGAATCGCAGTATGTGCATAGAACACTTGTAACTTTCAAAAGCGCTTAGCTAGCGAAAATGCCCGTATAAAAAATTCTGCTCTTCCATAATGCCGGTGACAAAATAATCCTCTAATAAATCATTTATGTGTTTTCGTGCCGGGTATTCATTTATGTGTGTATTCATTTTAATATGTGTTTTCGTGCCGGGTACAATGAGAAAATTCTACGTGACGACGTTTGGCGTTGAAAAGCTGAGGTGTATGAGAAAATGTATATCTATTTTTGCGCTAGTGAGTTGCTTTCGAGCATCTTGGCCAACGTGTCCGGCACGAAACATTACAATCACTAGATGACAAAAAACCACAGCAGGTCGCTACAGTGTTTAGCCCTTCGATATAAGTACTCAGACATTTAGGGGCCAACAGTTCCAACCGGCACGGTGTTTCGGGCGGGTACACGCATTTGCTTCTTAAATCAGTTTTTGTGTGCGTTCTTAATGGATGTAAGCCATTGCATAATTATCCTCACTCATCGCATATTCTTATAACCTGCGTTCTCACTTCGATGTTGCTAGTTGTTACTGTATGCTTACGTACTGTGTTTCAGATACGGGGACATTTATCCTCGCTATGCGGCCGGCCAGTTCGTAGCCGTAATATGCGGATCTGTTGGGCTAATTTTCATCGCCTTTCTTCTGCATTCGGTGTCGAGTGGATATCAGCGTTTGATGAAGAACAATGCTGAATACCGGCGCTATCTCATGCGTCAAAAGAAAAGGCGGCTATCGCAGCAGCCCAGAGAAGACTCTTTGTTTGCAAGCACTTCTTCTACGTTGGACGAGGAAAAGGCATCCCAGATGGGGGAACAAATCGTTGTGGTCAACGGAGCGGAATTCATCATTCCGGTAGAGATAGAGTATGCCAGAAATGCGTGGAACGATTAAAAATGTTTTTGTTGCAGGTGAACGAGCTGGCCTTATTCCCCGACACGTTAATAAGCAACCACGAAAAACGCACGTCCCACTTTTTGAAGGACAATAAAACGCTGTACTTTCCACGAAGCGCGAGCATATTCCCGTCATTTGCGTCATTTTATAAATCCGGAGGATTCTTACGGAGGCCTCCATTTGTTCCGATGCGCAAATTTGTAGAGGAACTGGTCTTCTATGAAATGGGCGAGAAAGCTTTAACTGATCTTTTTGCATCCGAAGGAATCAGCTTGGAACGCGAGCTGGAGCCCACAAACCGATTACAGTTGTTCTGGTATCGAGTTTGGGAGCATCCGGAATTTAACTGCATCTCCCGCACAATCGCCATCATCTCCATTCTGATCATTACGACGTCCGTAACGACTTTGATTCTAGAGACGATACCGCAGGTATTAAGCGATGAATGCATTGGGGCACACAATAATGCAAGCGCCACTAATTCGTCCGTTCCTTTATCTAAAAAACTGTTGAATCAAAGCGAGTGTGCTGAAGAATGGACATTTTTTATACTGGAGTCTGTATGCACGTCTTGGTACACGTTAGAATTAGTATCACGCTTCATTGTGGCACCCTCCAAGATCCGCTTCGCTAAAGCCATCATGAACTGGGTGGATGCCTTAACCATATTCCCGTACATATTCACACTGATAGAGATGTTCTCTGATACATCACCATCCAGCATTATTGTCAATTCGTTTGGATTCTTACGCACAATTAGGCTGATTCGTCTCATTGCACTGTTCAAGTTTTCCCGGTTCTCGAAAACCATGCAGATGATCTTAACCATTTTACGATCGGCATGGTTTGAGCTGTGCATGTCATGTTACTTTTCGTTTGTTATGGCCATCATTTTCGGAACCACAGGCTATCTATTTGAGCAAATGAGCGATAAGCCGAATATCAACAGTATTCCGCGAGGAATGTACTGGGCTTGGATTACTATGTTGACCATTGGCTATGGTGACATTGTACCGGTGACTGTTGGAGGATATATTATTGGTGGTCTGTGTGCCATTGCTGGAACACTGTTTTGGTCACTTCCAATGACGCTCGTGGCTGACCATTATGCCAAATATCGAGGATTATATAACGATCAGGAATTCATGATTGCCGTACTGGAGCGACTGGAGCGAGCGAGGAAAAAAAGAGAAGGCTCGTTAGTGCATTCTGAAGGGATCCAGCCGTTGGATTTAAGGAAAATAGAAGCTCTGTAAGCTATTATTTTCTAAACAGAAAACTGAACAGAAGAATTAAAAAATTGCAATTGCAGAACGGAGATGCCGGAAACGATGAGCGGGTTTGTTTCTTTGCCACCGTCTAAAGCTGACGATGAGCGGACTTCAGAACCCCGTATATCGGTCATGGGCGACTCAGTGGCTACCTTGCGGCCTGTTCCACGAAACCGCTCTTTAGAAATGATAATTACTTCCCCTCCAATTCCAGTATTTTCAGAATATCCTATCCCTTCCAAATCACATTTACGCCCTGTAGAGTAGGAAACGTAACGGACTGCTACTAAAATTAAGTGGTGCCAAGTTTTCGGCGGTTATAAGATTGCTTCTTTTCCTGTGGACTTTGAATATTAATGTTTTTTTGTTTGTCAATCAGCTCTTAACTCTCTTTTTTATTCTAGTCTTCTTTTCATATTCAAGCACTTCTAGTTTTTTGATTGCTAAATAGCAGAATAGATACTGTACGAGTAGTGCAGTTGTCAAGGGCTGCAGCTGAATTATGAATGTGATTATCAATATAATTTAATTATTACTATATAAAAATAAATAACCTTTCAAAAAGCTACCGGCTTGCGGCAATTTGGCATGCGACCGTTGCAGATTCCTAATGTAACAGCAGAGCATAATTAAGACGAAGACACTATCTCTGCTCTCTAATCAATCAAATCCGTTATTTATTATTTTCCAATGGGAAAAGAAGCTCCCAAAATAGCACAACAAGCGGAAGCGGCAGAAGTAGTGGAAGAAGCTCAGCCGCTTCGAAAGGGTCATCGGTCAGTGCCTATAGTGCTCGAAAGTCTTCGGAAAACGACCACGAACTGCCTGTAAAATATGGCAGCTCATCAAGTGGCCAGTCTATCGATAGCAAAAAAACAAGCCAGTTGTCGAAACGTTCGTCTGATGATGATTCTGATTTGGATGGTGATGAGGAGGAATTATTTAAAAATTCTACAAGCCATGTAGCGAAGTCCACTTATGGAATGCAATCAGCTACCTCGGATGGCAGTCAGTCTGGAGACTCGACACGAACCGGGACTGTGCAGGAATTTGACAGCCCTACTCCCGAGCGTCTTCAGAAAAGTTCCTTCATGTCTGCAACCGGCAAAATGGCTTCCGTTTCTAGTGGAAGCACTGCGCCGATGTCGCTTACCGGAATCAGCCGAAGCGGTCACTCTTCTGCCTTTACTGGAAAGAGTGACGGCAGTAGTGTTTCTGGCAGTGGAAGTTGGAAATTATCTACTGCGAGTAGGAGTACCGCTCCAAATTCGGTCACGGGGGTTAGCGGAAGTGTTCCTTCAGCGATCACTGGAACAAGTGATGACAGCAGGGCTTTTGGCAGCAAAAGTTGGAAATCCTCGAATGCTAGTAGGGGTACCGCTCCAAACTCAATAACCGGAATTAGCGGAAGCGTTCCTTCTGGGATCACTGGAACGAGTAATGTTAGCGGCAGTAAAACTTGGAAGTCATCGAATGCAAGTAGGAATACGGCTTTAGACGCGGAAACCGGGGTTGGTGGTAGCGGAGCCTCTTCTGCATTTACTAGAGCAAGTGAACGAAGTGGTTCTTTTGGTAGCGGCAGCTCGAAATCTTCGAGGTTGAGCCGGAGTGTTGTTCCAGCTTCGGTGACAGGGGTTAGCGGAAGCTTTGCACCCTCGACATTTACCGGCACTAGCAACACAAGTTCACTGACCAGTGGGGGTACCATGTCTTCAGGCGCCAGTAATCACTCGACGCCGGTTTCGTTTGCTAGCGCCAGCAAAAGGGCCTCTCCATCTTTTGTCAGTGCAAGCGGCGATTCCTCCTTCATCTCGGGCCCGGCAACCAAAAATTCTGTTCGATCGTCGTATACCGGCGGGAGTCAGCAGTCATCAATGGCGACAGCTGCCTCAACGAATATCGGCAAAGGTTCTGTACCATCGTCAGCTGGCGGCAGTAATATTAGTAGAAGTACTGCTCCGGCATCTTTTGCCCAGGGAAGCCAACAGTCCTCTTTTTCTCGAGCAAGGAGCATGCCAGTATCCCTTGCCAGTGGAAGTGGTCAATCGAACTACCTCTCCGGCAGCGCTGCTGCCTCAGATGAGTTCAGTTTCAGAAGCTCCCGTTCATCCCCTTCCAGTGCTGCTCGAGGCAGCACGGCCAAAGATATTGTGGTGGAGAATCCTTGGAACTGGAGCAGAAGCAGTACCCCATTGCGAATGGATATGATTAGACCGACTTTAGGCGGCACACTGATGTTTGAAGAAAGCCTCAAATCCGCTGGTTCTAGACATACCTCTGATGGAAGTAGCAAAATTAAACTGAGATCAAGTAATCGCACGAGTGAACGGTCCAGTGCAGCAGAAAGTACTCCGCGCAGTTCTAACAATAGCTTTCGTGCTTTAGATACTGAAAGAGAATCAGCAGGAAGTGGTTTGAGAAGTTCGGGTACAAGTGCAATGGATAGCAGTTTTAGCAGACCATCATCACTCGCAACCGGTCAGAGATCCACCCAAGCCAGCAATATGTCGTCGCTGAGTTCGGATAGTCAACGCTCTTCATGGGAATCAAGTGCAGTGGACGGGAGTTTCAGCAGGCCCTCATCACTTACAGGCGGTCAGAGATCTACTCACGCAAGCCAGGTGTCACCATTGACTTTCGACGACCAACGCGCTTCACGGTTATCTGGCACTGGATATTCAGAAGTCGATCGAAGGTCGACATTCCCGGACAGTGTAATCAGCGGCAGTATCCCGAAACAAAGCACAAGGAGGAGCATTTCACCACAAACCGGCATTGATCGATCTAGCCTTGGCGATAATTCGTCTGTTCGAGACAGTTCGTTAAGATCTGGTTCATTTCGTTCCACGCAGCACGAATTGGGCAGTATAACTGAAAGCAGCGTCGCAAGTGGTGAGACACATGCAGCTACCATGAGGTCAACGATGGGTTCTGCCAGAACAACCGGTAACTCAACAGAATATTCAGGGTCGAAAATGTCTGGTGACCTATCGGGAACGTCTCAAAGAACAAGCACAAGCAGCGCCATTAGCGAAATAGATCCGAGACATTCTACCTTCGGCACTGGAATAGTCGGCAGCGGAACAGCGGTCCGGTCTGCCGCAACTAGCGGAAGCGCTGTTAGTCGCAATTCGAGATTGTCTAGTCCTAAAGAGTCAGAAGTTATCAATGAAACACGCGACACATCAGCCACCTCAACCGTTGATAATCCTTGGAGATGGAGCAAAACTAGCAGTCCAGTGCACAAAAGCGTGATTCGTGAGACGCTTGGTGGGGAACTAGTACCTGAATACCGAGGCGACTTCCCGCCAAAACGCACATCGGTTTCCGCGGCAGAAGTACAACCTTTGTCTGAAAAAAGGATGAGTCGACAAAGCACCGTCTCGGACCGACAGAGCCGTGTTAGCATGGACACTGTGCCGCGCGGTAGCAGCGCTACTGGGCGGCAAAGTACACAGTCCAGTGGTATGGTCGACAGTCGGCAGCGCAGTTTGTCAAGTGAACATCGCGTTACCAGTGAAACTCGACAATCCAGATTTAGTGGATATGCCGACGTAGGAATGAGTTCTTTGCCAGCGAATTCAGTAGTTAGTGTCATGAACGAACCAGTTAGAGACAAATCTGTCATACCGTCACGAACCAGTACCAGTGGTGCTGGAGATGCAGAAAGCATGCGTTTTAGTGGTTCTGACTCAGCCGGAAGCGATATTTCTAGTTCACAAGAGGCCTCTAAGCTGTCCAGTGAAAGCTTTAAAGATTCATTCAGGAAATCTCATGGCATAGCACCCGCAGGTGATGGAGTAACTGAGCCCGGAAGGCTATTAAGGTATCGCGTGTAAATCAATTCACGATGTTTTCATTACAATGATTAAAATAAAACTGCTCAGGTTCAAATGCTACTTTAAAATTATTGCGATACATAAGTGGTCGACATACTTAAAAAATGCTCTTCAATACAGTACAGATCTAAGCAAAATGTTTTTCCAGCTCCTTTTCCCCTGGAGCTCCACTTAGTGCTTTTGATCAGGCCACCACCATGAGCATCTTCCAGAAAGCAGATGCCACAACAAGTATCGCTCCTTCTATTGAGATGGGGGATAATTTGACCGAAAAATCTACACAACGGTTATCCACAGCAACGGGCGAACCGGTAGAGGTCACAACAGAAGTTCGCCGGACAACGGAAAATTTTATTGATGCCGACGGCCAGATTAATTACAACTATGAGCCGTTAGAAGTGGTGAGAGTTAGAAAACATACTAAAACGTACTCCGATGAGCAATCAACTGAACCTATCGAGGAAATGGAACTTCGTAAAACGTCAAAGAAATATATTAACCCAGCCGGCTCACAGTTATTTGAGATTCAAATAAAGAAGAACGTACGCCGCAGTAAAAGTAGCAATGGCAACGCCTCGTTCACCGCTCTGGGACCCACCCCAGCGAAACCGCGAAGCAAAAGTGTAGGTGAAGAAGATACTGAAGAAGAACCATTACAACGGCGACAGTCCGGCAATGCAAATACCGAAGGGAAACGGGGCACGGATGGCAAGGCGGCTACAGCCGGTAAGAAAAAGAGCAAAAGGAAAACAGATACGGATGCAAAGGGTGACAAAGACGAAACTCCAAAGAAGGGGAAAAAAGGGCGAAAAAGCACGAAGCCGACAGGAAAAGGAAAGGGAGATGGTATGGACTTTGACGATGGTGACGATTGTACTATAAAACCTAAGGAACGGGAGCCTAGTTTCATATCGTGGTTATTGGGAAGAAACAAGAAGAAACCGAAAAACGTCGTGAAGAAGAAGGTGCGAGATGCTGACGGGCAAGCTACTCCTCGTACCGCGCAGGAAAAAGTGGGAACTTCTGGGCCATCGTGTCAACTGGAACTGGCTGAAGTACGAAGAGAAGCTGAGGCAGCTAAGCAGGCAGCCGAAAGGGCACAAGCAGAACTGCACAAGCTGGCCAGTGCCAGAGCGCCGGGATGGCCGACCGCCGGACCGGTATGTAGACTCGGCCAGCGACGAACAGTCGACGAAGTGCATATGCGTGCCGATGACCAGTACGATGCCTGCGCACTGCCGGTTGCCAGATTGAAACCGGATCATCCCACCCTGACCAGACCGATGACTGCGGAAGAACAAAAGTGTGAATTCCGTAGGAGAAGGGAGGAGTGTGAAAGAGCCGGCGGCATGTGGTAAGTGTTGCTATTGATGGTGCTGCAAAAGTTCCGCATGGCTAAGGTGTAGATATCACAGGCTTCCTTTATGTGGCGCAGATGAACCCGTATGCGATGCCCGAGCACAGGTAGCTGAAATAAAGGATCGCATTATGATGAAGTTGAGCGAGATCCAGAGTGTGATGAACGAGACATGCGAACTGCGTATGGAATGCCAACAAATATGTGAGATACTGAGCGAAAAACGCTGTTGTTACGAGGAGCTTGTAGGAAGACATGCAAAGGTCAACGATATTCTATCACGTGAATTCGCACACAAAGATGAGGTTCAGATGGAAATGGATGATTGCGAAACGCTGTTGCTGCGACTTGAAAGCTGTCATCCGGAACTCGAATGCCCACCGAGCTGGCAACGGCAAGAGTTGGATTACCGGGATCGCTATTTGTACCACATGCAGCGGCTGGCACACGAAGGATTCGAATCATTAGAAGGATACGCACAACTTCATGACGCAATGTTATACGACAAAATCAGCATTCTGAAAAACTGGCATCAGCTAGCGCAGGATTACTTAGAAGAAACACAGTGCTTGACAGAATCCCAGAATAAAGCGAAGCAAGCATTTATCGCCGCGACCGCAAAATACAATCGGAATAAAACAGTCCGCGATCAGCTTTCCTCGGATTTGGTATCTTTGCAAGATCAAACGCAACGGGAGATCGCTTTGGCTACTATGGAAGACCAGAACGAACGCCAGGAAGATCAGAACCGGTTGACCAAATACAGAGACCATTTGCAGCGGTGTTTAATCACCCGAGATTTGAAATATGAAGCAGTGCTGGACGCCAAAGACACCTTAGTCACCTGCATGAAGGAGATCATTCAGACTTTGCAGGTATCCCACCTTTCTCTGGACGCGTCAGGAATGGATGCAATGAAAACCTTTGATGACCTCTTGGAACTAGGGAAAGATCGGCGATTGTCACACGGTACAAGCAAACTGCTGGCTGCGTTACCCCCGGAGTCAGATTACGCCGACCATTTAGAGCGGATTCAAAAAGTCTTGACTGATTACGTTGACTGTATGAAAAAGATCGAGGCACGCCGAGAAGAATTGTTAAGGCAACGGACAGAGCTGGTTGGTGACCCGGATCCGTTGGTCCTACGCAGTAGTTCATCCGATTATCAATGTCAATGCCCTTGTCCAGAGGAGTAAACGGTTTGCGCATCAGGTGGACATCTTGCTTACCTATATGTGCACTTTTAACTGTTTTGACTTTTGCTTGCTCGTTTTCTTTGTTTGTTTTTGAAGTTTACGCGTTCATAACTCGATCTGGTTTCATTAGATTTTATTTTAATATTTCTTACTTTTCGTTATATTAAGATAGTTATTAGATACCTTAATGTTTTTTTTCGCATACTCTTTAATGTGTTTTAAGTGACGGGATTGTTTTTGTGAGACAAGATTCGGTATCATGACTGACAATCACTGTATCCTTAGTCTGAAGGTTAAAGTACTTAATGTGCAACTCAAGCATAAAATGCCACGATAGCGGCACTCCGTGCATGCTAAAATGTAAATGCAGATTTTGTGGGTACTAGTTCTACTAAACCGTATTTCCAGGCGGTTATCTATAATTGTACGGGTAGCCAGCCAAAGGCCCAAAGCTGAATACAAAGGTAGACGTGCAGCAACAAAATGTCCGAAATTATTGGGTTGGTTTACTTGAGAGTATCAAGGGCAGATATGCGATCACACACAGCTGGTGTTTCGTTCATAGAACGAATTCTCCCAGCCACAAACATCTGATCCATAATAGCGTACAGTTTCTGGAACTGAAATGTCAGCATAAGATCAGTCGGTGTAGAAAGCAGTTTAAAACAAGCCATAATTGCCGCTATGGATTCATATAAGGCATCCAGATAAACAAAAGGTGACGCTTGAGCATCACTAAGAAGAATAAAAATATTTTCCGGTGTGCACAGATAGACAGCATTGAGAAGAGTTCTAGTCGATTCCATACTGGAGACTTCGTGGTTCAGCACAAAATAGCCTTCGCTTTCTGCAGCTCTTTTCTCCGCAGCATATGTTATGGAGCCCGGTTCTTGTTTGGACGGACTTGCAGGTCGTTGATTTTCTAAAGGTTTACCGGTAGCTCGTGACTGAATTTCTATCAGCAAATTAGCAATCAACTTTCGACGTTCCTCCATTTGGGTCGGCATTATCTTCGTATCAAACCAGCGAATGTATCGCATCTGTCCGTTCCGAAGGCTGCAGATCATTATCATATAAATCATGCTATATCACGGCGTTGCGAAAACTTGGGAAGCCGTTATTCTGCAACATGCCTGGTCTTCATTGTATTCTTTTGGTAATATGAAGATATGTTTTTTTCGCGATGGAACATCTACCGAACAGGGTTGCTACGATTACTGGTGGAATCCTATATTTAATAATACGAATTTATTATTAACATAAGTAATATATGCGCTTATATAGATGTCGGTATCATGCCGGCATCGGCTGAAATACTGTACATCGAATGAATGAATTGGTTACGTACTTGAATGTACATCAAAAGGAAAATTGATTTAAGCAGGAGTTGATAAAGATTAATTTAGTGCTCAAATTTGTCCATAAACGGTCAGATAAGTATTTAATATTTAGCGTTAAATTAATAATAGTAGAAGTATATGCGTTGTTCTAATTCGTAGGGAGTTCATTGCATATCGATCTGGGTAAATGTATTCTCCATCTCGTCAAAGATAACAGAGTGATTTTCGATTCCGTAGACAACTGCAGCATTGCGACACTTTATAGCTGTATCTCTCCTATTAAATTTAACGTTGACCATTGCTAAATATGCCCATACAGCCGAATTCTTATTATCAAGAAAATTAGCTTCTTGCAGTGCAATTTCGCACTCGCTATACATTTCCAGGTGGTAGCATGCCCAGCCTACTCCAAGCCAAGTCTTGCAGCTCGCTTGAAGCCGTGCTGCCGCAAAGTACATTTCGTACGCTTTTTCATAATTCCGATTCCGTTGTGACAATCGGCCGTAGCGAAAATAGAGTGGAAAAGGATCAGATACTTCCGTTGACAACGACAGGGCTCGGTCGTAATTGTCAGCTGCTTCTACGTCATTTTTTTGTAAGTACATGATGTGTCCCATAAATGCAAAGACATCAGCGGTTTCGACATCCTTTGCCATTATACCCATCAAAACACTTTCCGCCTCTGTAAGTTTTTTCTGGGTAATGTTCAGCAACACAGCCGCTCTCCATAACACTGGATCAGCAGTATCACAGGAGCCTGTTAAGTGCTCGCTGATACAAAGTTCAGCAAGTTGATGCAGTTCCAGACCCACCAAACCTCCCAAGGCTGTCCAAAATATATTGTCAACGGGGATGTGCTGCTTAGGTCCCACCGACGCCATGTTGGAGATGGGACTGAAGTTGCTTTCCGGTTTGCTCGGTTCCCGGGTTTTGTCAGAGTCTGCTTGGCTTACGCCCGATAAAAGACCCTTATTGTCTTTCTTGGATCCGCCTTTTGGTGCCGTCGATGGCACGATCTTGGCGTCCATATCTGATTTAGGGCGGCTTGTTGGACTGCTTGGAACCAAGCGGGTTGGATCGCCGGTACCAGTCGCCGCTTCTGTGCTGCGTTGCTCTTCCACTATCCTAAGAAATTCTTGATAGTTTTGGCGCTTTTTGTCGTCTACTCCGAGCTTCTCATTGGCTCGATGATAGGCAAGATCTTGCAAAACACCGCGCATGCCGGAGGAATCTTGACCGCAATATTCGTAGAATAACCCCAAAATCGTCCAGGCCAAGGGGGAATCCGGATACAAAATGGAAATGGATTCGAAGATGATTGAAGCTTCTTTCAGTTGTTCATCGAGGAGCTTCAAGTGACCTAAGCATACGAGCCCTTCGAAGTTCGAGTAGTCATCCAGCAAGCATTCTATGAATGCTTGATCGGCTTTTCTGATGTCCCCATGCCGGCAATAAAACATTCCAAGCTCCTTCCATGCACTGCTGTCTTTTGGGAAGAGTCTGGTTCTCTCTCGCATAAGCTTCTCTGCTTCCTCTAATTCTTCATCCATTTCGGATTCCAGGGCCACCATACGCAGGCCTTCCAGTGTTTTTGTAGTTGTTTCGCTAACCACAGAGCGATAGCCGGAGCGTCTTACCGCCGCAAAAGCCACTCGAGACTGCCGTATGAGATCGCAGTATAGCGTCGACAGAAATCTGTGAAACGATGGTCTGTCATTCGTGATTGATGGCTGCAAATCATACTTGTTTCGTACCAGCTGGATAATATGCAGCTTCAGCTCTTCTTTAAAAGCATGAAAATCCCCGCTTTCGCACATACGTTCCTGAATAAAGCGCACACTCTTGTCGATATCGTTTCTTTTTGCGTCAGAGGTCACACAGCTCTGATAGAATTTAGCAACCTGGTTATGCATCCTCTCCATTTGTGAATGGACCGATAGCTCCGCTAACCGAGCATTTTCTTGTGGACGTTTTATCTCAGCTGATTGTTTCAGTGGCTTGATGAGCTGCTTCAAGCGATCAATTATGGGTTTCTTTGGCGTCTCCAAAATTAGCGGCTTTTCGACTTTCATCTCCAAGTACACATATGTCATACTCTCCTCGTACTTTCTTTGCTCGACATTTTGAGTGCCACCATGAGGCGGTATATCAGGGTTTGATTTGGGATTGTTAGACCCTACGTGTAGTGAAACCAGTGCAAATACATAACATTAAATGAAATCGGTTGTGAAACTGTTTAGTGTACCGTATTTTCAAGTGAGATTGATGTTTATGGTGCGATAGTACGATATTCGTACCTGATTTGTCAGGAGATATATGTAAAACGCCCATGTCACTGCGATTCCTCGAGCCCACACTTAAACGCGTGTCTTTGGTATCCAACGAAATAGTCGTCGATGGTTCTCCAGCAGCTTTCGCAACATCAGCGCCTATGCTGACGCGATGAGTCCTTTCTGCAAACTCATTCGGATCGTAGGCTTTGATCGGAAATGCTCCCTGGATCCGGGTTGCTCCAGGAAACAAAAGCGGTTTTACATCGACATATGCTACACCGTGACGACTGACCACAGGTTCATCGGGATTTGTCGCTTCAACATTGGCTTTCTTTTTTCCTCCGGGATGTTTTTCAGGCAGTGTGAGCTCGAATAGCTCAAATGGCCAGATTTTTCGTGCCATCGCTTTTGCACGAAAAGCTTCTTCTCCATCACTCGGCAGTATGCAGCGAAATTCTGTATTGACAACAATACACGGATTCTGCCGCTCCACCACGTCCCGGTGCAACCAGTCGGTTGAGGCACACATACTGCCTGTTTCTACAGCATAATTTTTCTCGTTAAGCTTCTGAGTCATGTAGATGGCGTCGGTAACAATGAGTGGATGGGATGGCCATTTTTTAAAGACGTTCTTCTGACTCGGTCTCTGAATGATGGTCTTATTGCTGGCGAGCAGTGTACGCTCTACAGCGCCATTTCTGGGAAAAGCCGTCGCAAAAGTGAATCCCGAACTAGAGGCATTAGCAGCGCTCTTTTGCGCCCCATGCGTTGGGACTGGTGGCAGCCATGTTTCTGGTAGCGAATAACACGAATGTACTGTCAAGGTGAGCAGGTTAAACTGCTGCTCGAAGACGGGTGGAATTAGCGGGGTCAAAAGCCTGATTGAGATTTTACACTCCGGACTATCTGGATGCGCAGCATTAGACTCTATTCCACTAGGAGAAAAGATCGTAGTGGTACTTTGAATCTCCTTCACACCGTTGAGAAATGGTAGGGTGTCGATCGAGCACTGACCCAAAAGGTCAAGCTTATCTTCCGTTGGTTTCTTCTTATCTTTTGGTGGAATGGCCGTAATTTCGTAGAAATTTAATAGTAACGGATAATGAACGAAATCATCTAGGTCCTGATAAGACTGGACTGTGACAGGAAGAATGATCTTCTGGTTCAGATTTTCGGTAAGGGAAACGATCTGCAACTTCGGTGTCTCGACCGCAGCATTCCCAATTGTCAGCGCACGAATAACTAAGCTCCAACCGCTATCCTTACACTTTGCACGATTAAGGTTAGACAGTTGCAGCAAACTAATCTCCAGTTCGGATTTCCATGGTTCTGTTGGTGGTGCTTGAGGCACAGTCAAACTCATGCTAGTTAAATGGCAGTTCAGTTGCACTTAAAGCAGGTTCTGGTGTGGACTGGAAAAATTACTGATTGCAGGATCTAGACCGGAGCACAACGCTAAGTGGCATTTGCTGAAAAGCATTCAAAAGCACTGTATTTTATGTTAACTGTTAACATAAGGTCTACTAATTACGCATTTTGTGCAGGAGATTTGCGTAAGTACTTTCTCGTAAGCGAAAGTCAGAATTCTGCCATCGTCATTGCAGTATTAAAATGAATTACTTAGGTATACGTCGTATGCAGATGCTCAATTTAAAAACCTCAGAAAGTGCGAGAACACTTTTACTATGCGAGAATGCTCCAAATGTCTAGGATGATGTCATAATGGTAATCTTGATAACTCACGGCACTGTTCACGAGATTTCCCCAAAAAGCATGAAACGGTTGGCCAGTTCCTTAGTTACCGATTAGTCTGTTTAGCGTTTGAACATCACTCACGCAGGTTCAGTTGTCAGGTTTCGTTTTTGCTAATCTAAAATTGATTTTGAGAAACATTAGCAAGCTTTAAAGCCGACAAACCGACTTTACCATGCAGGCATTTGCCGTGATCTGTGCGTTCGCCATGCTGGTTGCGGGTGCCAGCGCCATCCGATACGCCAACGATTACATTTTTGATCAGCCCCGCCCCATGCCCGGTGGATATCCCATGCCAAATCCAGCCAGCGGATACGCCCAAATGGCTCAGCAGATGGAAGAGCCAGCCATGGCCCGTCAGCAGTACTACGAGCAGAACCTGGATCGCCAGAAGCGAGGTTATAGGCCCAACTGTCAAATCTACCCTGAATTGTGCGTCCAGTATTAATGCGTGCTATGCTGTTACACACTTTTCATTTGAATTAGCGTGCACCGAACCGAGGTCGTGCAAATTACTATTAGTGAAGCTCGGGTATATTCTGTGATTAATTTTGTTGCATTTGTACTTATTTATCTGGGTTTTCTTAATGCTTACAGCAGGAAGCTACCGCTATGTCGTACAAAGTGATCATTTGCAAATTACCGGTTGACAAGACACCGGCAAATAAGCCATTCTTATTATTACAGTATGAAAATCATCTGTTAGTACCGCTCCAAAACGCAAAGAAACTGTTGGGTCGACTAATTGTTAACGTAAACACAATGCCTTCTCAAAACCAAGTGGGTTCCTGTCAAAATTTAAATAGTATGGCATGCTGTAATAATAAACAGGCACCACCAAATTCCGTTTTTTCACAGATGACAGTAAGTACTTTTTAAATTTCTCGAATAAAAACACCAGACAAACGGAAAAAGCATTTGTGCAAAGCAATTCACCTGTATATTGACATTAAAACAGTATATTGACATATACTAGCAATTCACCTGTATATTAACATTGAAACAGCGATGCACCAATAAAACAATTTTTAAATACGAAATGAGAGAGCTGTCAAAGGTCAAGTTTCGGCAGTATGACATAACTAAACGACGCGTGACAAACTCGCGGACACGAAGCAGTATTGTTGCAGCAGATCATGCAAAACAGGAAATCCGCACCATATCTGCAGTCTGTGCGTTGATGGGGAGCCAAAGTTAGTTGATTCCCGTTTAACTTCCAGTTCCCGTCAATTTGGCTGTGGAGACTGCAAAATGAAGACCAACCTTTAATTTTAATTTATAAGCTGTTGCCAAAAAAAACAAACGATGGTAAGTTCTAGTACATAATATCGGCTGGTATAACTACATCGACAATGATTATGACGTCATGGTTTTACCGCACGGAGTGCTGATTGAGCGCGCCTTTTCATACCTGATGAATATGGATGGCTCCACCATAAAGCATATTCAGTAAATCCTGCGCTATAACCTTTTCATGTTTAGTCATGGCTTCGCGGCAGTGATGCTCTACTTTAGCGATAATTTGTTCAGCTGCATCCCTTTCTTCTTTGATTAACAGGAGCTCTTCCCTGAGAAATTTGTTCTGCAAAACACATGTTGAAGTTTCCAGACATACGCCGCTCCTATTCAGAATCAGCACGTGAGCGTCGAAGAAAGCGATTATGACCTTAGCTACTCACAATTTCTAGAAGCGTTTGAGTTTGAGTTTCCATCAGAGTTATTAGTTCTTCGTCATCATCACCGCGTATCGCCCGCAATCTCTTCGTTCGGCTACCGTCGGGAGCTTCTGTCTCTTCCAGAACAGGAAAGATTGTCGTAATAAACGCCACAAGAGGGTTCAACAGGACATGTAGAATCTGCCATCCGTAGTGACACAAAGCCGAGACAATGGCAAAGAGACCATTGGCTATCCAATTAAGGAGACGATTGCGTGTAGCAAAACGGTCAAATTCACTCTTGCCCTCTGCGCCATTGACAAAAAACGGATGAGAATTGGTTCGGTGTAGCGCAGCTTCGCGTAACTTTTGCGGGGAATTCGTATAAGAATCACCGGCCAGCGTATCTTTGCCATGTTTACCCTGACCACCTACCATTTCGAAATCAGTCATTAAACTCGGTGCCGTCAAGGAGCTATCTTTCTGAAGATTCAAGACGGCTTCTAATGATACGCAAAATATTCCCGATTTGTGGACTAAAAAGTAGGCAAGATGAGCCTAATTAAAAGACTACGTTTTAGTACCGGTAGAGGGATTCGCGCTTGCGGACTCCGTGTTTTCCATCGCAGACTAAATAAGTTATTTTTAAACCGGGGATGTTCGACCCGGTATACCAGAATTAAATACTACAGTTTTTTGGCATGTTGTTATAAAATATTTGCGGCTACTTTCTACATATATAACTGTAAGATCAACTTTTTTGTTGTGACCGTATAACGTAAACACAATAATACTGGTATAAATAAAGTTGCTAAGGATGAACAAGGGATATATATCTTACTTGTACACGAACCAACAATGATTAAAAACAATTAACCATAAAACAAGCTTTAAACACTAACAAAAGAACCTCAGGAGGCCAGAAATATGAACAAACTAACGGCAACAACAAGAAAACCGGTGACACGGGGCATGTGTGCACTTAATACCGTGGATCCTCATATCGGCTCAAAATAAGGGTTTGGACAGCAACAACCCGGAGTACTAATCGCATGGGTGGTTCCTTCTGTATTCGGCCTTCATGCGCTCTACAATACCCCGTCGATGATCTTGAACCCATGCAGCGATTCTTGGCCCAAATATAGGCCATGAACTCCATGGCACGTCCCGGTTGGGATCATGGCAGCGGCACGGACAGGACAAGGAAGGACTCCATGGTGATCGGCAGTTGGTGGAGCATGTTGGTAGTTCACCTGTTTTATCAAAAAAGCCGAACTGTGAAGGGTGTACGTTACGAACGAGCAAGCAAAATGGCCTCAGTATCAAGACTGTGCATTTACATTGTGATGTTGATGCTATGTTGGTAGCTGCGTGGCCGTCCTCATCACAGGGTTCCGGTGGTCTGTGCCGACTGCGTTTCCTGCTTCGGCTCCGCGACCTTGAGCAAGAACGTGATCGCCGGCTGCAGCTCCTTCGATCACTGGTGGAAGTGGCTTGTTCCTGTCGTAGCCTACTGACAGAGGCAGAAAGCGCTGGGAGATCACAAGATGTAGCGGTGTCTCGGGAGGGACCGCTTGGTTGGACGCATGGCAGGGAATGGGAAAAGTTGACTTCGGTACCATCCAGAAGATCAATACACTCATTCGACGTCTTCTCACCCGCGATGTCCGTCTCATCCTGGTCATCACATGTGTCGGTCCCCTGATCGTAGCACGTGACAGCTGGCTGTTTGGCGGAATTAAAAACGATTTCCACGCCGGTGGCTAGATCCTTCGCATTAACTGGAACTTCACGGCAGTCTGATGGTGGATCGCCGCCATAAACCCGAGATGCGCTTTTGAGCAGAAGGGAACCGGCGGGCGTTTGCTGTACCACGATCACGGGATGACTAGCATCACCCATGCTTGCCTGCCTATCCCAGCCGCAGACATTAGCAGGCTTTGGCTCCGAAGGGGTTTTCGCCTTAACGCACTGACATAAGTCTTCGTCGCCCTCCGGAGAACTGCATCTACTACCGCGGGGCTCTTCATCAAGACAGACGCTCTTCCGCTTGGAGTTACGGAGTCGGTCTCGGGAATGTCGTTTTCGCCGTTTCTGTCGAGGCGATAAAAGCACTATATTAAAAAAGACAATTTGTCACTGATTGCAGACAAGAGTTACTCGTTCAATATAAGACTAAAATAATGGAAATTCGAAAATTTCGACTATTTTATCTAAGTTACTGCCGTTCAAAAATTTGAAATATATCAACGGTTCGAATAGGGAAGCGCTTGTCTGAACAATGTGCGTCAAAGCAGCGCATCAATTTCTTTAGCCTTAAGCAGTACCCTAATCTTTAGCAGAGGTTACAGTTAAGGGTATCAAATGTTAATTTTGATTCAAAATCACCTTCTGGTAGCCGATTTTGAAAAGCGAGCGTATACTCTGTTGTCAGTACTTCTATTGATGATTCTAATTCTATGTACATGCGTTCGCAATAATTAATATCTTTGCAGGAAGACATCTTACAGGATAATTAAATACCATTGAACGACGTATTACTGTTTACTTTATGAAACATGCCGCATGAGCATTATATGTATAAGTTCGGAATTATTGGCTAGTGCAACCCCAGTTGCCCAACTATGCTTACAGTTTTCGTGCCTTTTGCGGATGGACTATGGGAATCACAGCTCTCGCAATGACAAGTCGACTCGCTGGTGCTACGACCTCGTGATTTTGAATGTTTCTTCGCGGCGGAGGCAATACTTCCTCCGCTAGTGCTTCGGCAGACATTCCGCAAAGAGTTTCTTCTACTTCGTTCCACCGAAGAACAATGCGATCGTCTACCGCCCGGAGATCGGCGTGGCAAATCGATTTTACTCTTTGAGCAAGTGGTTTTGCAAGTATCCTTCGGTGTCTCGCATTGCTGCTGGCGATAGCGGTTCCGAGTGCGGCTGCCATGGGATGAATCAGGAGAACCATTACGGTCGGTACTGTGATCCCGATCACGCGATCTAGCTCTTCGCTTGGACTGGTGATGACGACCAGGGCAGGACGTGGACGAAGAACTCTGGCAAGGTAATTGAGCGAGCTGATCTGGAAGGTTATCGCAGGATGAATGCCGTGAGCGGTGATGTCGATTCGTACTACTCCGTTTATCCTATGACAATAAAGGAATTAAGTATATTCTACTGCAGTTTGATGGGACAGTGACACTTCCGAAAATAAGTCGATAGAAAACTCATTTTCGTCGTTAACAATCGGATTACTGTATACAGTAAAGAGCAGGAAACCCAAACAATTATGTCGAACATCCTTATTCTTTCAAATTTTAAGCAAGCTTCTCTTAGTTTCCTTGGTTTAGAGGCGTTTTTTTTTGTTTTTTCGAAAACTTTTGTGAAATCGAATCCTTTGCATGAAACAAAAAAAACCAAAAAAAAACAGAAGGGTTTAAGCGTTGCATTGCTTACCCTGGAAGATGTTGCCTTTGTACACTTAGTCGCGGTAGTTGCAATATTCCGAGAGCAGCTAGGTTTTCCTCTCCCTAGATTATCATCTGAAGGGAAAACTCATAATAAGATAACAACATAGTGATTATTCGCTATAACATTTTGAGGTCGCCGATAAGCCACTTACGGCGATCATCCATAACAGAAACATATGAGCATTCATAAAAAGCGTCTGCTTTATGGCGGCATGCATTGGTATCAAAATTTTTCGTTTAACTGCATTGAGATGAAAATCCAACAAAGCGAAAAACTTTCAGCGGCTTTAATTATACCAATAGGTAAATAAGTACTTAATTTCGCTGTGCTGATATTGTTTGGGCTTTGATACATATTGTGGAGTACTGTACCATCGGGTTCTCTACCTTGTATCAAAGAGCTGCCTTGCAGGCTCTAGGTTAGCATAGCAAAAGCACGCAATGGTTGCCAAGTAACCCGAATGAATACAAAGCCGTTAGCGCTACAAGTGGTATCAGATGAATATTCTGCTTTGTATGTTGTTTGCCGTTTGCGTCTTTTTGTGATGATGGTGCATCCAGAAAGCACTTAAATGTACGAGATCTTATGTCGTAATTTATACAAGCAAGTCGTGATGGGTCATCCGAATCACCAGACAGAATAACCACTATCACAAGCACCGCATTGTACATTCACCTTCTAGCCGACACTACTAGTAAACATGGTGATTACAGTGAACCATAGACTGAACAGTCAGTAAAAGCGCACCGATTAGGCTAAAATGACCGCTTATCTTTTCCCTTATCTTTGCTCTTTTCCCATCCCGACAATCTGAGCTCTTTTCCATCTGGGAGCACACTGCTCAGCGATTCCCCGCCCACAGTAATGTATTTCTTCATTGGTGCATCCAGCTTCAGGGACGGAGGCACTTTGTCTCTGAAGATCGCTAGCAACCGTTCTGCCTTGGCCACTTGCGCTTTCACATCGATGCCCGGATATTTCGTACTCCTGACCGTTGTTTTCTTTTTGACAACGGGAGCACCTCTGGATTTTGGTTGGACCGTTCCAACGGCTTCCTCTTGGGTTTCGATTTTTCTTAGGTTGGGGCTCAGCTTGAATATCTGCACCGATCCAGACTGATCGCTGATCAGTACATACGGACCCCAGTTGTTAAAGCGTATCCGCTCCAGGTCGGCTTTTTGACGTTACAGCTACCGCCTGAGAACAAATAGGTGTGTACTTGGAATAAGCCAGATCATACATCAGAAACTGCCCATCGGTCAAGAGTGTGGCAAATATCATTGAATTGTAGGGCGCCCACTGAACATCTCGTACACCGACGTCGAAATTCCATTTCAAGATTGGGCCTTCTTTAATGTTTGCCAAATCGTAGATCTGGATCTTGTAATCGTAACCGCAGGTCATGAAAATGTCTTTATGGAAAGGGTTCCATCGGACAGCAGCAACAGGGAGTTCATGTGCCCGCCACGAATGTTGTATGTGTTGAAAGACGTCATAATGGCAAAGATGTACAAACCCGAATAATGTCCCAACCAAAAACAAATGTTTCTGAAGAGGACTGAAAGCGACAGTATGGGGCTGATCTACAGAACGCATGTCAGTTATGCTATAACTGTGGCACACAGAGGAGGTAGAGAATTTAATATTTACCTAGATACCAGTTTGGATTATGGAAAAAGCCTGGCATGTTGGAGGACAGAATCAATCGCAGTGGCAGAATCGTGTGCTAAAAGATTCAGAATAAGTATACTGTAGTGCCATCAAAATAGCACTTTTTTAAAAATATTGGGAGACAGAATTACGGTACCTTCTCAATAGTCCACTCTCTATAGTTTCCTTCCAAACCAACGGTAAAAAACCGCATATCGCCTTCGATATTTTCCGATAGAAATTTAACCTAAATCGCACAAAATTACTCTTAATACAAAAGGTCGGATTAATTTCTCGGATAAAACACTGCGATCCCGTACAGCGACAATTGTCCGAGTATGAATTTCGTCAAAGGAATTTGTCTCCGCTACGGGACCGTCGCTGCGTATGCCCATGTTGAAGTACATGATGTTCCCGTCGTTTGTACCGGCCGCCATTATATATCCTTTCGGATGAATATCGAAGGTCATCACCGGCTTTGCCACGTACTGAAGGTATTCGGGATAAATGGGATTGCGAAGTGAGAACCAACAAACAAAACCCACAGTCTGCCCAGGCCCAACCAATGGATCCCACACTGCAAGGAGGACTCCTGTCTTTAGAATATTCAGCTCTTAAACCGGTTGAAATGTTTACCCTCGTCTCTTCCGCCGCTGCACACAAACATGTCCGGGTAACGTGGATGCCATACAGCGAATTCCAGCTTAACATCCTTCAGTCGGGGATGGTGGATGTTCCACAACGGCATCAGTGATCCTGTCTTCCGACCGTTATCCAGTAAGTCCTCAAAATAACGGTAATCAACAGAAATAGGCCGATGGAAAGCTTGAAGAATAATCTTCTCCACCAGTTTCAACCCACGGAAGATGTGCTGTATACTTCGCTGCTTTTGCAACCCAATCAGCTTCGTTGGCGCAATGTGTACCGGCCATTCTGCTCCGTCGGCCACCTTTCGTTTCGTATCCTCAATATCGTGATGCATCGGAACAAGAACTAATTTATACGCGGCCTGGTAATCGCTCTTGGCCTTTTCCAATCTTTCCGCATCGGACAAAGTAACCATTGCGATACTGGACTGCTGTGTGGGATCGCCCTTTCCGTGTTCCGTATCACCGGTTTTCTTACGCTTCAGGTCAGCTGCGTAGAGATCGTTGATAGCATACGTGCGTACTTTAACACGAAAACTGCCAATCGGCATTGATTCCGTTTGGCTGGCGATTTCCTGCAATACTGCTATTACTTAATGACGACTACACTGTTCATAACGACAAAACATTATCCCTTACATAATTGTGGCGCGGCCAGATTTGCTGGGGACGGAAAATGGATTCAATGAAATTGTACCGACGCTTCGGTCCCGACGTGGGCAGTCCATCGACTCCTGGCGGATATCGTTGCGCTCTTTCCTCTATTAAATGTGCACCTTTTGTTGACGTCTTGTGAATTTTCGATCCTTTTTGATAGAATACTATTTCCGATTGGCTGATATCGTACAATTCCACTACGACACCTGCCTAAATAAAGAGCGAGAGTTTTTACTTCAGTGACTGACATTACATTAAAAATGTCACCTACCTTGGCAGTAAACTTGAGTACATTGACTGGCGAGTTCGGATTGTGATCCTCAACAGCAACATTCACCATGTCTCTTAAAATCTGCTGGTTCTCAACCACCAGCTGATCTACAGGAGCGACTTTCTTCCCCCGTGGAACTTGCCCGAACCCTACCGAGCGAATTCTTTTCTGATCGAGATTTCTGGTGCTGGGTGCCTTCTGGGGAAGCGACAGGCGACGCTGGCCAGTGCCAAATATTGATAGGCGGGGCTTCTGTGGGGGAGTTGGCTGAGCGGTAAAGGCTTTCGCAGGAAGTCGTTGCAAGGCTCGGGTGTAGTAGATCTCGGCGCTGAGGATCTGGCGAGCGTATACGCGAATGCATTTTGTAAGGTCCTCGAACTGGTTGGCAGTGCACGTCCGCTTTTTCGCGGCTGGTGCACGAACAGTCAGACGTTCGACAAACTCAGAACCAAATATTTGTTCGAGGATTCGCTTAGGCAGTGAGGGAGCAGTGCGTTCTCGCCGATAAAAGAATTCCACTGCCTCACGCTCAGCACTGAACGGAGGTAACCCGGGTTTGACTGATACGGCGTGCAGACGGCCTGGAATCACGACTCTTAGCTGCCAAAGACTACAAATTCCAATCTTTTATTTCAAAATGTTGCAAATTTTCTAAAGTCGAGCTGGTTCTATAGCAGAACGGGACCTACATGTCGTCTTATTTGCTCCGCCATCTTTTAACAGAACTGCACGACTGCGTACAGCATTAAGAGCAGAAGGCTATTCCAGAGAGGGAATTGCCCATAGATATCATTTCTCCCAATCGCAACCTCACAATCGCAAAACCTCACAATCGCAAAACAAGTGGGTGATCATTCTTGGGGATTGGTTTCGTATCGTGCTATTCCATTAACATTTGGCTGCGAAGATTTGACACATCATGATTGTCCAGTCTGCTGTGCTTGCGGATTAGGCATGTGTATGGTACGTACTGTACAGCTCCTTAACAACACACTGACGATGACAGCAGGGCGATTGTACCGCAGCAGTACTAGTAATATCTCTGCGCTTGTTGCTGTATTGTGACTTCCTCCTTAAGAGTACAACACGAGCGAAACTGTAAAAAGCGGCTATGGTTAATAATGGTTATCATCCCCGTTGGGCGTGTGTCACATGGCAAAGTAGCGGTGAATTAATAATAAGTGCTACCTAGTACTAGCAGCTTTCCCTGGTCGGCATGTAAGACGAGCTCTCGTTGGCTCTGGTAATCTAACTTAGGTATAGTTTGTTTTACTGAAAACTCCAAAAGTTTCTCTCTTAACTGTGTAATTCAAGTAATAAACAAATACGGAATCAGCCGAATCACCAGTGTGGAGCTTTGAAAAACACATCAATGCGGAAAGTGACCTGGTCAACCCATCCCAGCGATGAGAAGAGATTATCAAACGCTGCAAGCAACCCAACCAATAAAAATGAAACGAACAAATCAGGAAAAAAAGGCTAAGGAAAGCCTGACCCAGCAGATCACGAAGAATGCGGATCCCAGCATCCCTACGGACACCGGAGAAATGGCCGTCCAAAAGTCCTCCGTTCCGGCAAGCCGAAGGAGTTCGTCCAAACGCCGAGTGCGTAAATTTCTGTCATTCCCTTTACGGAGAAAAGTCGACTTTTTTTATTTAATTGTGGAAGCTAACCTGTATTTTATTTAATCTGTATTTTATTTTTCTTATTTACGTTTAGTCAACTACCGCAAAAAGGAGCAGTGTAAAGGAAATTGAAAAGGTCATGCCGGAAACAATCCAGGTATGTATAAAACATTGTACGGTGTACGCACACCCCTAAACCTATTATACGTAATACGTCCATTTTAAAAAAGTGTAAAACAAAAAACAAATTTCGATATTATGCTCATTTTCAGGGAGCGGCATCAGTTAACGAGGCGGCGCGGTATCGTACATATACGCTGGTGCAGGACCCAATGAGAAACCACGAACAGTACCTGAAGACCCATTACGATCGTATTCGGCGAATACATGCGGTACACAAAAAAGGTAAGTTTTTCGTGAACAGAACTGCTTACCCTTTGGATAAGGGCTTTTCGTGTAGGTACGGTGGACTGTGGACCGCCATACAGTATGGGTAAATACCTTAGGTAGGCTTACGCGGATGTCATATTATATGGAACTCGCGAACAACTTATACGGGCACAGCAGCACTTAATATTATTATGATATTGTAACCAGTCAAACATACCGCAAAATTACATTGTAATCTGATCGTTTTCCAGCCGCTTCGAAGTTTTACAACGATGGGCGAAGGTCAACTTAGACAGAGCAAATTACACTCTTTTTGAGCTGTTCTCGACAGCGGAATCTCATTATGATGTTCGGGAGTGGATGCGCTCGTACAATGTCGGTCTTGGCTTCTATTCTGTGGCATTCGTGCCGTACGCTGTTTTCGTGTAAACAGTATCCAACGAATAAACCTTTTTCAGATGCGCCGAGCTGCAATGGATGAAAAGGTCAAACACGCCAAAATATACCCCAGGAATCGCCAAGATCATGCTAAACACCATTCACTACGCCCAAAAGCTCGACAAGCAGAAGAGTTTTACCGTAGCCGTCGAAACGGACTGAATTAAACAAGGTGTTTCCCATTTGTGATATAACTACGCATGATATTACTAAACCTTAAGGTTTAGTAATACTAGAGTATGGATTATGTTACTTATTATCGCGCTTGATGCTGTCATCAGATACGTAATTGCTGATATCAGTTAAATAGTACGAGTACTGTACATTAGGCGCATCAGATTGTTGTAGGAAGACATTACTTACTTAATTCACAGCCAAAACCGTGGAAATTTACACTACGCAGTGTCTTTTATGCAAGCTTAAGGTCGTCTGACCGTAAGAGCTGTACAACTTCACCTTGGCATTCTTTTCAGACTGAAATTTATGTTGGAGTTTACTCTGTTCTAGCTCTACATGAAGTAAATCAAAGTTATTTTTACCACACAACTTGTTACTGACCTACAGTAACATACCGTAAAATCGTAGCTCGTTTACGATCTGATTCCGAAAAACAGTCTTACTACAGAACTACGCGTATTCCCAGCTCTTTTTGAATAAGGCTTTTGCATTACCCAGATGGTTAACGTTGTCGTTACCTAACTGTTCCGATGGCAGGATTCGACTCCGCTTTTGTTAGATCTCCAACCGGGATCACTTTAATTGCTGCTACGGTAAGCCAGGTCATAGCATTCCTTTAAATGCCAGAAAATCTATAGTTACTGACGAGTACGTACCGCAAATTGCAGATATTGGCTCTCATATCCTTTGTACTATTTCAAATCGGAGTTGCAGCATACACAACATATGTCTTTTATCATTTCGCGACTTGTGCCAGTTGGTTGATCAGCTTAATACTTCTTCTCTGTTCTGCCTTTGGGTTGTGGAATAATTGCGCTCCTGGAGGCAGGTCGTACCTCTTCGTAAGTAATCTGAAATGACTGCAGTACATTACGAGTTGTGATTTCCCGTTTGTTTGCTCCCTAGCGTTAGCGTTTCAACGAATTTCTAACGACTATGACATAAAACATAAATAAGCAGCTTAAATAAGCGTAACGCTTTCATCTTCCATATCTCTGAAACAAGACAAACTACAACGGAATAAAGTTAATTGGTTGGTTAGTTGTGATTTCCCGTTTGTTTGCTCCCTAGCGTTTCAACGAATTTCTAACGACTATGACATAAAACATAAATAAGCAGCTTAAACAAGCGTAACGCTTTCATCTTCCATATCTCTGAAACAAGACAAACTACAACGGAATAAAGTTAATTGGTTGGGTCTTCTGTAGCTGGCAATAAATGGATTCCTTTGGGGAATTTTGCTTATCATCTCAGCCGCAATGTTGATCAAATTTTTCATCTACGTTAATAGCGTCACCGCTGTACCGCAGTCAAGAGTTCCGCAACAACGACTGCAAGTGCCATTTTTTCCGGATGTGTGGCCTGCATCCACGGTAAAGTCATTTAACGGTTTTCTATAAGTGCAGCATGGAGAAAACACCGTGTGTTAACTAATCTGTGCAAAGTTAATGCCAGCATGGCCATTCAGCATAAAAGTTTGGTAGTAGCCGTTTGTAAACCTTAGCTATGCTTTTTTTCATAGGCGGTTGCGCTGTTGGCGGCATTGCTGTTCTTTATTCACGCTATCCTGGCCTATAAAAGCATGAAAGCCGTGACAGCAACACCCGTTATTATAACCCCTTTGCAGCCTGCAGGGCCAGCCCCAAGCAGTCCTGCGTATTTTACTGGAAGATAACTGCCATGTCGGCTTTATTGCGCACACGAATTGCAAAAGAAATGCTGTCGAGAACTGATATTAAAGTAGCTGTGGCAAAGCTAATAAAGGCACCGACAGCCCACGCGCACAGCACTGATCCCTGCTTCGGAAAGTAATATATTATCAAACTGAAGGTTTTGGAATAGCTGTCGATGTTCTTGGGTATAGGTAACAATAACACGAAACAATACAGCAGCTTAAAAAAACCATCCTAGATGAAGCTCTATACAGCACTGAATATCAGACGCTACTTTAGTGCCACTGTCACTGCCACATACGTTTGTTTCAATCTTCAGACTCCATTTTTTAACAATCCAACTTCTGCTCACCCGTCGGAGTGAAATACAAACATGAAAAAAAATTTTCGATTGCTATAAATATGGAGAAGGCGATTGCAGAGTACGAGGTAAAACCCGGACTCCGGTTGTGGTAGTATGGCCTTTCGGTATGGATAAGAGGTCACAAACACCAAACAGGTACGGTGGTCTCACTTATGTAGGCTGCTTATAAAGAGTGGGCCGAGACTGCGGAAAGGAATCTAGGAATTCAATCCCTTGTGGCTGCGTACTACCAGGCATGGGTTAGTACTAATAATCACCTGCATTCTATGGGGAAAACAATCTAATTCTCATTATTGCAACCATCAGGAAACTCCGGCCGCATCTGCGGATGGCGGCACTTCATCGAAGCATCGGACGAGTTACGGCGTGGAGGCAGAAAGACAGCACTATCAGGAACAATTAGGTACGGCAATCCTGACTTGAAGCATGTCTGACAGTTTCCTGCATAATTATATCTGTGGTTAATCATACATTCTTCTTTAGAGAAGCTGATTCAAATCAAAGTCGTTAAGCAAACTGCCAAAGAGGAAGCGCAAAAGCTGTACCAGGTTACTCAAACTCAGACGGAGCAAATGGAGAAATCTGCCGTTAAGGCGTGGGATAAATTTGAAAGACTGCAGATCGACACAGCGCAAAAAGCTCTCAGCAGAAATAAAGAACCGTTTGACGAAGCAGTCAGCAGTACAAATACTGAATTAAAAGTTATGCAAGTTATAAAGAGCTGCTTAAAAATGCATTAACTACAGGTTCTGCAAGAGGTTCTACGAAATGTGAAAGCGAAATTAGAAACATGGAGGAATGAAAAATTCGCAAGCATTAAAGCCAAGTACAAAAAAGAACGGCTGCATAGCCAACTGGAAAGGCAGGTACGTCATAAAAAACCTTCCTCTGCGTGCTATCAACAATTCGTGAGTTAGAGATGATTGGTAGATGATTATGGCTGGAAATCTGGATGCTACGTTACCATTCGACGAATATCGCACAAATTTGCGAAACTATCAAGCCAAACTACAAGAAAAAGAACGGCACAGCAACATGCTGTTCGATAAACAAAAGGTCACAGTCAATGAACTAGCTCACATGCGCGAGAAACTCGAATACCTCCAAAGTCTGGGACTGCAACTTCACGATAAAGTACAAGAAGCAACCAACAAAACGGCACAAAAAAAAGAAGAGCTCCATCAAGCCAATTTACGACGAGTTGTGATTAAAAAACAAAATATGTCGCTGAAGAAGCGAGCTGGAATGTTGTCGAGAACTGCGCTATTGGACGATATGGCCAACAAAATCATATGTAGAAATGACCTTCTTCGACAAATAATGGCAGCTAAAGAACAGTTCCAGAAATCAGCTCCCAAAATCACAGAGAATGATCTGTGGCTTATCCAAAGAAATGCGTTTCCTTTGCTACCCGAAAGCTTCGTGGATGAAAGAACCATTCAAGCTATTGTCGACTACGCTGACCACAAAGACCAGGATTTAGAAGGTCATGCTCCAGCTATGGGCATGGACTACTGCAAGAATCGCAGACACTGGCATTATGATTAAGAAAGCAATTTTTTTCTGGTCATTGCGGTTTGCAGTTTCGCCGTCTTAGTTAGATCTTCTATCCCTGTGTTTAATAGAAATTCGGCATGAAGGATGCTGTGGATTGATCAAAATTAGCATGCTGTTGCTACGTATGGTTACATCTTCATGGCGTGAAACAGTCCCGCTTGGGTGCTTTTCTTTAAGACGACGTACTGGTGTTCCACGAAAATTTCCACGTATTCCCGCCTTACTGGATAGTTTCTCATCACATGTGTGACTTGTAACACGTACTCAATGACTTTACATCTATCGGGCCGAAAATGGTAGCTGTCGCCAAAGAAAAGATTCTTTGCATCGTCGGAGTGGGCGTTATATTACCCATCGCCACGGTATAATCTTGTTGTAGTTGTAGAAAGGACTAACGGTAAACCCAAAAAACTATAGATTGTTTGTTTGTTTTGTAGATCACAGCATTGATCTCTTTGGCGACCTACGAAGCGGCACTCTCAGATTTATTTCCAGGAGAAGATAAAGCCAAGATTAGCGCCAAATTACCAGCGTCAATGGTGTTTCACGAAGTGGCCACAGCCATGTCTTTTACACTTTCTTTGGCGCTCTGCCTAATTAATCTTGTAGCAGACAAGATACAGCAGTTTGTTACCCAGGAAAAATTAAGGCTAGCGGTAAGGTCTGCTGATCCTTTATCGAAAGTTACTTACTCGTATTTTACGAGCCCAGTACACTGTACAGATACTTAACTGATTCCGTGGGAACTATGCAGTCCTCTGGTTGGGTAGATGTTGCTATGTGGATGCTCGTGGACTGTTCTGCTACTGGCATCGTCAGCGGCCGTAACAGCCGAGCCGTCTGTAAAACAACATTTACGAAACCTCAAGGATCCACAGCTCGTTGACCCTGTTACAGCTTATGGAGAACAGGAACTGCTAATTACGGTGGTGAGCAGCTATTCAAAAATTATTGCAGAAACGCAAATAATGCAAACTTTTCAGGTCTGTGGTTTTTTGTCAGCTTTCTTTTTTGCACTACACGCCATTATCGTGTGGAACTGGAATTCAAACCCCACGGCATCACAGGCAGCCCCTGCTTCGACCTCTAAGCCAGAACAGAAAACAGAAAAGGGTGGTGGGGGATTGGCATCCCTTTTTACAAATAAATCTGGGAAAGATCCCACCGCGAAGTAACTGTGAGAGAAGGAACGAGATTAAAGCTGCTTATTCTATCAGTTTAGCTAGGTTGCTCCAGAGGGTAATCTGACTGCCCTCTGCGTACTCCACGCAGATAACGTTCAAAGACATATTTTGGCCATGAGAACAGAAATCCGTCAAAGCGCAACAACAGCTGATTCACTGGGCTAAACATCAGCACCAGTTTCGACATCAGAAATAAAACTAGTTGTGATAAAATGATAAGCTTCGTCTTGATAGTCCGAGTACCGATATGAAATGGTAGAAGGAAACTGAAAAGCGTTTTCTGAATACTGGTTGCGGACTTCCGGGGTCGCTAGTTCACCTCCTTCGGGTGTTTGCGGGATGTTTCCTTGGACATTTTCGTTTTCAAGAATCTCGTTGGCCGTCGTCTCTGGTAGGTTACTCTGTTGAGCGGTTAAACCCACATTACCATTATCATCTTTCTCTAGTGATTTTGGTTCGATAACTTTGGTCTGTTTGCTTTGTTGCAAAAGATATTCAGCAAGGAAATCAACAGGGTCGGCCGGTACGATTCTGGCGCACTTGAGCAATCCGACATGAACCGTCGGCAGGACATACTTGAGTAAATACGTATGAGCCGGCATGGCAAGTAGTTCCCGTCGGCCGTAATCTTCTAGTTGTAGTACCTCCAGCAATTCTGCCCACTTCTTTTCTTCTTGCTGCCTTTGTGGTTTGGTTTCTTCGTCCACCAGTAATTTCCGTTTCCGTTCATCTGCATCCTTCCGACTTTGTTCGACCGCTTTCTTCTCGGCTTCGAGCTGCTTCTCAACGTCAGAAAGTCCGTAGTTGTGGGGCTTCCCGACTTTTCTCAAAGTTGCAGAAAACGCACTGTCCAGCTGTGGCACTTCATCAGCGGTAATTTTTAGCCACTGCGCATGATTGCCAATATCATCGAAAAAATTGAGAACATTTTCTTCTTCGCTGGTCTGACGATTGTAGTCCACATATCGCTGCATAAAAATATCTTCCAGTGAGTCACGGCTGCCGGCAATTTCGGTTTCGGCCATTTTATGCTAAAGGAAAACGTCTGTAAAGCAAACATTTACGGTTCGTCAAATATCGAAACAAAGATTCTATTTTGTAGCCAGCCCCATTAAGCTAGAAGATAACATTAAAACGAATACGCGGCGTGGATTACGCAGCACCGTATTACGGTATTACAGTACTGGTAAGAACTGACCGGCTAAAGCCGATCTCATGTTAAAGACTTACTCTTTTTGCCATATCCACCGAAATATCCAAATAAAAAACATAATCTAAAAACAGCAGCAACACACAAGGGTTCAGTTTACTGTGTGTGATTTGCATCTGAGGGAAGCGTGGTACATAACGAAGAAACTTAATAGTCTAACCTGGAGCAATGTTTTTATTGGTTAGTACTTTTTCGGCGTCGTCCTCATCCTTCTCCACTGGCTCGGTCTCGTTATTTTCACCCTCCTCGTCATCTTGCTCATGGCCATCCTCCGCTTGTGCGAACAACTGTTTTGCTTCTTGGTAGACTGTCGGATATCCATCCAATACATATCCTTGATTTTGACACGGTTTACTCAATAATTTTTCACGCATTAAACGGAGTAAAAGTTCAGAAGAAATCTGGCCAGCGTTCTGGGTTTTACTGGTATTGATATCAGCAAGTAACTGTTCAGCATCTGCAATACTGTTCCGTGCCTTTTCCTCGGCCTCGCCCTCGTTTCCTTCGTCCTCACCATTTTCCGTTGCCGGTTTATCTTCTTTTGGTGTGGTGCGCGTAATTCTATCCGAAAGTTCTTGTTCTTTCTCCAAGACAGTTTGTGATGCTTCCACGTAATGCAGTTTGTAGAATGCAGCTATACGTTTTGCTAGAGTGGTTTTGCCCGAGAACGACGGACCAGTGATGATGACCTTTATAGGAAACAGATTCCTCAAAACCCGATATTCTTTAATTACGCCTGTTATTGCGCTTTTAAAGCCTTCTTCAGCTGTCCACTCAATTTTCATGCCTTCTTTGACGGTGGTCCTTGAAATCGTAGATCACTGACTAAGACGTCGATCGCCAATTGATCAAGAGAATACGAACGCACAACATCATCCACAGGGGATTTCGTAACTCCACCGCCGCTTAGTACTTTACTGATTTCCGATGCGATCTGCTGAAGCGTCATGTTTCCATCATCCACGGCTACAATGTATCGCGATGTCGGTTTATTTTCAAACACGTTTTGTACAACTTGACAAAGATCTTTAGCATGAATCATGGGGATAACGTTCTTTCCATCACTTGGTATTTGCAGCGCTGATGAATTATGCCAAGCCTCTTTGAACATCCAGTGCAAACTGCTTTCACCACAGCCATAAATCAAGCCTGCCCCGATTACAGTTGCAGTGATGCGCCGCTTCGATTCTTTTGCCGCCTGGATCAACAGCTTTTCAAGATCGTAATGCTTTTTGAAATCTGGGTGGGGTTTGCGTCTTCGAAACGTATCTTCTGTGAAGATTTTCTTTTCTTCCTCTTCATCCTCTTCCGCATCTTTGGGCTTTTTTGGCCTGCCTAGTCTTGGTTGCTGCCCACGTCATTAAGCTTGAGACCAGTACAACCGTCTTTTTCTGCTTGCTAACCTTTGATCTGGATTGAATCAGACCTATAAGTTGTTCGGTTTGACTAAATAATTGGTTGGTGCCATCGTCGTCCACCAAATGCAGCACATAAATGTCGGCAGCATCTAAGGCATTATTTACGTCATCTGGGTTATCCGATGGATACAAATTATCCACCACAGGAACTTTAGGCAAGATTGCGGGATAGTCATACTTCTCTGCTAGTGCTGGTCGCGGCCAGTATGTGCCGATGATCCGGTAAAAATCTTTCGATTTTACAGCCTGAAGAAATGCTGTATCAAAGCGTCTGCTTGGAGCTTTAGTTCCACCAGAATCAGGAAATAAGCTCTGTCCAAGATGTTGAGCCAAAACTTTTCCAAGAAAGGTGTCGACCCGATGAACAAATACCGTTGGAGCGGGAACCTCAACCGATTCGTTCACCTCCATCTACGATGGTACTGTCTGAAGCGGAACTAATCAGTGCAGTGGTGTTCACGTTATGCGGTTGATACTGACAAATTTGTAGGCATCAAGCATTATTATGTGGTCGTGGTCATGCCTGATAAAGGGCGAACGCAATGAAATGAATTTATATTAAGCATAATAGAAAACGTTATTTCTTAGAAAAGATTCATTCAGTTAATAAATATAATATAACTGAAACAGCTAAAAAAAATGGTAAATGCAAAATTTTAAAAACACGTGGGCAGTTTTAAGTTAACAAGAAAGACAATAAAATGAAATACTGTAAGTAATTACATAATTTGTGTCTGGTCCTTTTCTAAACAACAGTTTTCTTTGCTTAGCAACAAAAACGAGTGTAAAACGTTTGAACGTATTAATTCATAATATCAGAACTGCATAAAGAAAATCCAACGACGTGTGTTAACTAGGGCAAGGCTACTTTTGACGGCCATAACTCAGTGTGTTTTCACCAACATTAAAAATTGAGTAAAGTGGTGCACACAGTACCACTGTTAAGTGCTAACCATGAAAAACTTTTGTTTCTTTGGTTATATCACGGTCCTTCCTGTATATAACCTGTCCTTCTAAGTAGTCCTTCTTCTTCTTCTAGTCCTTCTTCTTCTTCGGCTTGTACTTTCTGTGGTTATATAATGCATTCCGTTTATTAGAAAATTTTCCTTTCGTTACAGCTATCATAAATGCCACCGAAGGATGCAGCCAAAAAAGGCAAGGCAGGAAAAGGCAAAGGAGCTGACCAATCAGCAGAATCTGCTCCACCGTTCGTTATTCTCAAAGAGAAACTCCCCAATGCAAACTGGTGGCCAACACTGCATCTTGTGGTTGAAAACAGCCCGGTTGAAACTTTGTTGGTAGACTTGATGGCTGAAGGCTTAGCAGGCAACGGTGTAGTGACTATACAGAAACATGACCTTATTCGGGAGACTGAGCTGCTTGTGAACGAGCACAGAAATGTTCGGCAGGAGCCCAAGCTTAGCAGAAGAGAAAAAGACAAAATTGCAAAAAAGAAAGCGGAAGAAGAAGAGCAACGGAGAAAAGAAGCCGAGGAACGCGAGAAGGAAATGGAGCGACAGCGACAAGCGGCAGAAAAGGAAGCACAAGAAAAGGGAACGACGGGGAAAGCGAGCACAGCGCTGCTGAAACAGTCAAAAATTACTGTCCGGCTGAGCAGCGAAAAAACCGGTATTAAGCCAGATTCCACGCCCGTCACAGAAGCTCCGCCACCACAGCCGCGTACTTTGCTGCACGAGTTGATTGATGAGCTGCAGTTTCTCAATAAAGATGTCCCACTCAGCCAAGTCTTTAAGAACCCGACAATGCCTAGCTTGGTCTTGATGGTGAAGTACAAAGTTATGATGTTAAAGCGATCGGACATTGATCTTTTCAAGATTTCGTATCCAAAGCACATAAAACTGGAATCTGTCAAACCAGCACCGGAACCGCTGGCTTCTACGGATCACAAGAAGGGCAAAACGAAAGAACCGCAATCTAAGGTGGGAGATACAACGAGTAAAGCCCCTGTCGAAAAGGCATCAGTCATGCCAAAAGATCAGAAAGCGAACAACACTTCCTTGCCTAAAGGAAAACCTGGTGGAGGAAAAGGTAAAGGTCAAGCTGACGATGCTTCCGATAGTCCGGAACCGCCGCCACTGAAAAACGGCGAAAAGGTTGTAGTGCCGTTTCACATTAAATGCGTTCAGCCAGCTGATCCAATCGGGAATGCCCAGGAACGGGTGCGGGAAGAAATTCCAGACAACATTCAGCGTATCGTACGAAAAATTCAAGAAGGCGAGAAACAGACGGACGGTGAGGGACAAGAAAGCCAGGATCCAGAGTTGGTGCCGAATGCAACGCCTCATGACATGAATGATGATACTGGAGGTGTTACAAGCTTTTTCCGGGAGCTTTTTGTGTGCAGTGCGATAGGAACGGAAGGACTGCCGGTTCTGAATCACTCGAAAAGTCTGCTGTACGCGTAAGTAACAATTCTGTGGCATTGTGTGCAGTCATGTTTCGCAATCCTGTAAGTGGCCTTTGTAGATTGCGCAAATTGCAGAACATATGGAACCCCGGCTTTTCCAGTCACCAAGTACCAAATGGTTCGCTATATTGTTTTGTTCGGGATCAAAGATGTTTCATTTCTGTCTGAAGCTGAACGACAGAAGCTGCCTGTCACCAGTGTCATCAGCGTGCATTGCCTTCGTCATCGAAATCTACCTCCCGTAAGGGCTAGTGACCTTTCATGGATAAAACAACCCAGCGCGCTCCTCGAAAATTTGGACATGTTTTGGCAAAACACTCGCGATCTGATCCAACAGAAGCTTGCTAAGCCTGAATCGGGCGCTTCTGGCTTGGTTGTGGCCGTGAAGCATGACGTTAAGCCATGTACTACATCGGCGGAGTACAAGGAAACGGCGATGGCAGCTGGATGTCTGTTAGTTGAACTGCTGCACCGCCTGGTTCATGCCAAAGTACTTTTCAAGATGTATAATGAAAGCCTCGATCTGCAACACATACCCAAATGCAAGATGAGGCGGACGGATAACCACGAGAATTTTCGAGCAAAGGAAGGTGCAGAGTTCTTAGACAAAGTGCAAAAACGATTGCTGGAGCAAAGAAATACTAATCCCGAAGAAAGTCTAGCACTGCAGAATTTGACAAAAAATTTCATAGAAGACCTTAGGCTGGATTTGCAGATTACAGGTGTGATCAGCGAAACGAAATTCATAGATCCAGCCCCGGAAGACGACATGAGTTCTTGGTAAATTTTCACAACGTAGCAGCGGTGGAATCGATTCTTGAGAGCGGAGTGCTTTGTTTGATTATCTTTTACCAATAAACTGGCTTAAAACGCATCTCGTTATGCTTTCCAGGCAGGCGATGGAAGTTTTATCAAGGCTGTCGAAGCCGGCTATTCCTGAAGAGTTTCCCTTCACAGGGTCTTTGAAGACCCTGCTCAAACAGAAAGCGTTTGCACTCCAGTATAATAAGCGCTGGATTGAAACTATCTTGCACAGACTGGAAGCTGACGCTCGCCAAGATAGGAGAAACTCACTGGCGAATCAAACTCCGAATTCCCTTGCCGAAAGTATGAAAGCCTGGAATTTAGGTACCGCAAAGGAAATCAAGATCCCTCTAAAAGCTGTATGTATTTTATTGACATTTGCAGTATTTTCCCGGAACGTTACAACATCGCTTGGGAGTGGTGTAAATTTGTCAGTTTCGTTTAACCCGTTTTTTACGACATTTTAGAGGACGAGTGGAGGTTTATCGCCCCGGCGTACAGTGCAGAGCACGACGAGGATACAGAATTGTCAGACAACGAGAACTTCACCGAACTTTGCAAGATGCGGAATTTTTATGCTGTTGTGTCTTATTCCCAAAAGCAGCTGTCGACAGAATTGGCGCTCGCCAATGAACAGTATTTCCATCACTGTGTCCGCAGAGATACGGTGACCGGCAATGTATTTATCATATTTTACGCTGTCAGCAACGGATATCCTGCCACACACATCAGAATCTCCGAAACACGTCTACACTGCACGGTAGATTTTCCAACGTTCTGCTGCAACATCATGGATGAAGTACAAAGTGAGATGGAGAAGCATGTAGACCAAACATACCGCTGTTCAGGGCAACCGGCCATAAATCAGCGTTTCCCCTACGGCTGTCAAACACAATTTGCTTATGATGCGGACTGTGCCGAAAAGCTGGGCACTGAAACGGTTGATCACTTATCGAATTATGAACGTAAAGGCTGTCTGAAGGCTTTCATACGTTCGAATAAAGAGCACTTCGCTAGACGCCAAGGATGGAAGCTGAAGCCCGAAGAGACCGTTGTGATGCCTCCAACTATACCGCTTATACCGACACCGGAACCACAGACTACCTTACTGACACCGGATGTGAAACGAAAGGGGCAAAACCGTCTGCGAAGAAAACTCCCGCCGCTGGTCAGAAGCATGAAACCGACAAACTACCTCCTTGTCCGGTCCCAAAGAAAACACCTCAAGACGAGCCATTTATATGGAACAGGGCGCTGGCACCACCAAAACCATCGTGTGAATTTGCGCATCCTTCAAAAATTCCCGCTTACCTTTTATCAAATTCGCTATCGAAAATTAAAAGAGAGGAACGTCGCATATACTGCTGCAACACCGTCGTCTCGATTGATCGTCATGAATTTCACGATGGAAAGAGTGCCCTTTATATTTCCGCTAGTAATATTTATGGAATGAATGCTTTTGTGTGCATATCGGAACAGGAAAGGTCGCTGCACTTGGAGTACGAGGATAAAACTAGGATTTCCGTTACCATTGTGAATGACAAACCACAATTGCAGATTCTTGATCCGCTTGGAACGAAGACAGTTATTGGGGAGAACGACCGTTGGTACTGTACAATGAGCTCCTGCGTAAAAGACGCCGAAGATGCAGTTTCTGTTACTTTGTTTGAAAACAAGGCTGTTGGACTGATTGGCGGAAAACGTGAAGAAGCGGTATTTCTGTCACCGAATGGAAATTTGATTACTCATATAGATCAGCCAGAGGACGAAATTACAAAATCGATGCCGGACACTAGCAAAAGATTCCACACGAAATTCGATCATCTTGGGCACCGTATCGGTGTCACCATTGACGAGAATGCGACTGTCCTGGTACGTGACGAATCACCAAGATCTTTGACAAAGTGTACGCAGCTGCGTTCGGGGTTGCGGATGCAGACATCGCATCTGCTGGAGGGCAACGGTGAAGACAGAATGACTTCGCACACATATGAATACCCTGGGTTTCCTCGTGTGTACTGCAATAGTTCGCAGTTCGAAACGTGGTCGTTACATAATGGGATTCTTGTGTCAACCATGGACTACATGAATTATGTAATCCTGGCGGGGGTCAACGTGGTTATTGTTGACGCGAGTGGCGCTGTTTCGCTTACAACTCTGCCGGAGTGTTCTCAAGCGTTCCATTTGGAAGGTCGGTATTTCTTTGCGGATTTGTGCATATTGAACTTCATTGATTTTTTTTAAAGGCAGATATCCTAAGCCTAAAGGGAAATTGATTAATGCATCAGTATACCTATGCAGGACCAGAAAAATGTCCATCTGACCATAAAAGTATATATGAAGTTTGAGTGAAATGTCTTTCCAGGTGGTCCGGGCCTGATTGGTTATCCATCGCACAGTCAGATTTCTTTTGCAAAACAAGTTTGTGCGGCAATAAAGGAAAATCTGAACTGGCATAGGACGTGCTCGTGGACGAGATTTATTTGTTGTGGCGAACGAGTGGCTGAGGTTTGGGATCTTTCTGGTGCAAAATATACGGTTTCTGAAAGCGGTGAAACGAAAACAGAGTCCGCGCAAAACACGAAAGACGGAAACGATCTACCGGCTCCGAGAATGTTTATTGTGAGTGAAGCAAACCGATCTGGGAGTGAATTCGTTTTTGGAGAGGAAGCAATAAGCCTCAAATACAAAGTCCTGCATCTTAATTCTGGGGACAGGGTCAGAGTTTCTGGTAATGCTACCCAGAATATCCAAGGCAGTTTTGAATGTGAGATAACGGACGAAGTACAAACGGAATGGGAATACGAGAAACCGCATCTGTTGCCGGAAGAATTGTTGTCCGATGTCAGAGCGCTGGCTGGCGCATGGAAGAAAAATGTAGCGGAATCGAAGGATGTACGTTTTCGATTTCATACTACGAAGTCTAGTGCGCGGTCCGAGCAATGGAAGAAAGTTTTATTTGTTTCAGAAGCCGCAAACTCTAATCAAAAGTCGTAAATTCTTTAGTATTACTTGCGCAATGCTCATATCGAAAAAATCCCGTGTAACTAACATAATAGAGTGCAGATAAAAAATATAAAGGTCGCAAACTATTTATAATTTAAGGTTTTTGCTTTGTCGACGTAAGCAATTGATCTTTGTAAAGTGGTGTTATATGCACGTATTAAATATGACCGACTAGTTTGACCGGACACATGGTAATCTTCGGTCTGTCTACAGACCATTTATGTGCGTATATTCACTCACATGGTATTCCGCTCATAATTATTATATAGGCTCTGTAATAGTAGTTATTGCCTCAGCAACTTGCCGATCGTTGAGTTGACACACTTCATTAGCACATTCACACAGGCCACACAAAAGCCTCGTACGCATCGTACAGATATTCGACTACGCGTGCTAGGTTTAGGAAAGTAGTAATGACAGAGAGCTGTTATCTTCTGCTGAAAAGCATTGGAGCCATGTGGGCTGACGAAATGGCTGGATGCATCACAAAATGCTCCTCGTGCGCATGTTGGGTGGTTTCGTGCTGACGATTACCTGGCCAGTGCTGATTGGGGTGGGCGTTGTGATGTCCATAGTGGAATCCATTCTGATGATGGTTGTAACGGTGACCATGGTGTCTGCGTCGCCAGTGGTGATTGTTATGGCCATAAGGCCAGTACGCGTTCCGGCGGCTACGCAACTGCGAGTGGGGTGGTAGAGCAACAATCACACCACCGGATCCACTTCCGCCTCCTCCGAACGCTTCTTCACATAGTAGTAGACACGGTTAAAATTTTTTACGACAAGGCAAATGGTTTTAAACATATCGAGCTTAAAAGGCAGTTGAATATTTAACTGTTATTAACGCAAGCTGAATTATAGTAATTTAAAACAACATTATAAAGGCGTGAGTTTAAATGGGGCGTGCTATGATGAGACTAGCACACGAGTAAGTAACAGGTTGCTTACAACTGGTAACCTTTATACCATGGTCCGTACCTGCAAGATGGAGAGAGACAATGCCGGTCAGCGCCAACAGGCAACAAACTGTGCCGAACATTTTCGGGTTCATTGTATAAATTATAGATATCAGAAATGGACGGACACAGAGTTGGTGTTTGTGTAAACAATGCACAATGGTTGGTCTGATTAAAACTTGGACCAACTCGATATCGAATATTGTGCGGTATGTCTCTCATTAAATTCTGCGTTATATAGGTGACGATCGTAAAAACATTTTCCAGATGTGCCATTGCTGGAAATCAGCGTTTCACCTACGGTTACTGCAAAACCGGAAGAACGTTTACAAAGGCACGTCAGTACATGCTTGTACTCAACTTGCTGCTGTATAACTGCATGGAGGTCGCAGAATGAATACATGCTTTGAAAAGCGGTGTGCGTGGGTAGCTAATTAACAAAACTACGGGCACACTTCTCATGAAACGATCAACTTCCTGGTAGATAACTGTCTTCGCCGGTGGTAAACCAAGGGAATAAACCGGATGTGAACTTCTTTGAATGCGACATGTCACATGCCGAATAAAAGTCAGTTAAGACAGTTAATGAATCCATGTTTTTCCATCATGGTCTATTCAAAGAAAACAAGTTTTCATGCTGTATGGATATTTGTGCTTTTAGAAGCACCAGGTAAAACAACCAAAATTGAAGCAGCAAAGCCGTCCGTTAGCACGACTTGAACGCAAATTTCAACTCAATACGGTTATTCTCACGGATGTGGTTCCGTGGAAGCGATTGGTGATCATGCGATCCCATGGTCACTTCGTTGCTGAGAAATGTTTACAAGTGACATACAACGTAGTGATCACCTGCTCTTTTCAATACCGGTAAAATCTATGGGAATACCAAATATATGTCGGTTACGCTTACCTTTGGGTACAGTACTTATCTGCCTTAATTACTGTAGTTTGGTTCACTAGTATTCACTCCAAAAAAAAATCGTCACACATGTTGGCCTCGATCAAGTCTGTCGATTACTTTTGTCAAGTTTTGCCGTAACAGTTTTCTGGGTGACATAATTTCGCCAGCTAGTTCATGCAGACTCGCGCAGAATCGACATACGGAACATACAGAAATCCAGTTACCCCTGGTCTACCTGTGAGGGGAAATTGTTGTATCACTGCTTCACACAAAAGTTGAACCTACAGTATTTGTTATCAGCCACCGTCGCTCTTTGGACACGACGGATGAATACTTCGCCTGGTTCCGCTGTCATCATTCCGGGCGGTTTGGCAACCATTTCTGCCACCGTATCTATAGAATGTCGTTCTCCGTTAGGAATAAAGCGAATAACAGTCTACAGAAAACGGGATCAGCCGACCGCAGAAAAGAGTCTGGGCCGCTTAACCTTACAAAGAATGGCAGAAAGATACCCATGTGACGCTGTCAGCAGGTGCTGTCCCTACCACCATGTGCGCCACATCGCGACAAAAGGCAGTTTTGGCAAGTGCTGTGCACAATCCATTACATGTTTTCCCCATCTTGTTCACAATACTCATCCTTCTCACAGAAGCATTGTAAAATGGCACTTCTAGCTATTGCGATCAAAGAAAGGTGATAAATGAATCGGATAGTAATCTCACAATTCTTAGTGACCTTTCAAACGCGATACTCGAAGAACCGTTGATTAATCAAATTACGTTAAACAAAACAGGTGGTCCGTGGTGATGATGCTGCTTTGATCTGCAACGCGATAACTAAGCATATCAATGTTGTTGTCAACGCCACATTACGGGATTCCGGCCCAAGGTAAGCAAATAAGTGCTACGCTGCAAAACAACGGCAAGTTTTGAAAATTCCAAATTTCTTTCATTATAATCGAGGGCGGTGGAAAAAGCCGTTAAGGGAAAGGAGTTTTCATAAAGAAGCTTCAAGACGACGGCCCGTAATGATAAGTACTCGTATCGAAAACTAAGTGAGCAACGGCCCACGTGGCGCATCTCCAAGCAACATCCTTTTTGACCTCTTCATACTAACAGTTTTGACACTTGCCAAATTCACGGTACAACGATGGCCCGTGAATGTAGTATGTGACTGGACATTAATCAAGTATTCCTTAAACACCGCAACTATCTGACGGTGATTGGCAAATCCAACACAAACCATGACGAGTTTCGGGAGCGGAACACCTGCAGCTCCGAGCGGAGATGATAATTTTGTCTGTGCATTACCGTCAAAGGGGATCAGTCGGCGGTTTCGGTGGCCGAGAGCATGCGATCGACGGCCGGAGGTAATGTGGCACAATTCGTGCGTGCACTTCCGCAGAACGCTGACTTTACGCGTTGACCAGGTGTAGTTGTTCCTAACCGACTAACGGATACGGAAACCCAGCTGAAGATCTCCGAAGGACTTCCCTTATGGTTCAATCAGAAAAAGAGAAAGTATCTCAAGCACATGTTGCACCTCTTCAATACGGGAATTGCGATGTTTGTAAGTTTGAACATGTAGCAATCGTTACTCCAGTCTTTGCTTATAGATGATTGTTGCCGCTTTTGCGCTCTGTTATTCCGATAGCTATTGCCTACTAAATTTATTTTGTAAGAGGCATAAGGTATTCGCCTTTCACGGAAACCATACAGCGCAAAATTACGAAAATATGTCTGTAGGGTGCTAAGTAGTTTTGCGCGGTAATTTTTTGCGCTGTTTGATGTTTCCAGCTAGATGAGACGTTTGCGATACATTTCCCATTTTACATCCTTTAACAATTATATAATTTCTAGTTAGCCTCCGCTATAGGCTAGATAGGCGTTTTTTTTGCTAGCTCAAGCTCATAATTTCTTTGGTTGACAAAATAGCTAACAGCTAGCTCATAGCTAACGACGGATGCATTTCCTCTTGGTGACCCTTTAGTAACAGTATCAATAGAATCGTTGTTAAAGCCCTGGGAATGTTTTTTATAGGTTGGCGATACTCATGCATACCTCATAAAGATTAAAACAGTGGAAATAGGCGAAACACCAAAGCACATTGAAATGAGGTATCTTTCGTCAATGATAGTGAAACTGGATGCCGAGCAGGAGGGCGGGATTACGTACTTCAGCTCGGACGAAGGGTTGAGTATGCTAAAAACCGGCAATAAAGGGGAGACACACGTACTGCTGGATCATTTTGCAAATCAAAAACTCCAACCACAGAACTGCAAATGCCAGGAGAAGGTGTCGCCTTGTAAGTGCTACATGGAGCCGCGGAAACTGCTCATGGCGGATCCTTCGGTGTTCCAGCAGTTCACCGGGACAACGGGCGGCTGCTAGAACAGCAGCGCACCAATCGCTGTATGGTTGTGTACAGGACGGTATGACTGCACACTGGTTGTTTTCCTCGCTGTTCTTGGATGCGCACATATTTGTTCTTACCGTTTTACATGTTTTCTTCGCTGGTTGCCGTTTGCTCTGCTTTCTGGCTGGCACGCTAGAAACCTGAGTGAGCTTTACTTCTTCCTGCTAATAAACAAAATGATTATCACACCCGTGTTATTGATTACATACGATTAGTTAACTATCTACATAATATCTAATAACCACTCTTCGGTTACACGTTGTTGTGCATGGTACGCTGTCCCACACAAAAAAACCAGCAAACAAATACACAGGTATGCTAGCTTAAATGTATGACACACTGAGAAGTGCGTGGTGTCATTCATTTAATAATTTAACTTCTGAAAATTTGTATAACTTTGTTTAATTTGTATAAATTTGTATAACAATTTTTGCTGGTGCATGTGCTTTATGATAGCCAGTCTAACAGGCCTTACAAACCATAAACATTACACATTCACGTGCGAAACAGGAATAATGTTGGAACAGATAGTTTTAATTTAATTTAAGTTCAACGGAGTTAAAGCAGATAGAACTCGTTTCCGGCAAGAGTGAAACTGCTAAAATTACTCGGGACATGGCGCAGCATGATGCATGTTACGAGTACAGTACAAAACATAAAAATCACAAGCAAGATAACAACACGTTATAGCACGATACAAATGATGCAGTTTACACTTTACAAGCCAGTAATAAGTAGTATGTAGCCAGATAATCAATGATCCACTTGCAATGGTCTATTAACTAGCTCAGTAGAAAATCTAATAATACTCGTATTATTATTGGCGAAGCATCGAGTGCCGGCGTAGCCACCTGTGCTTATTTGCTTGTTTCGTTACTTCCGTTCTGACTTGGGAGATGAATTGCTCAAATAATGGGATTTGTAACTATTATAGTGCACATTTAGTTTGGATGGCAATAAGCTGCACCAGGTGCAACGTGACCCGAAAACTAACTTGGAAACTACTGCTGAACGTGAATTCACTGGAGATGAACTGATTACGGTAATAAATCTGACGATAAGTTGCTAGAGGGTCTGTTTGCGAACTTTCTCGAAATTTTGCTGACTTCCAAATTATCATTTGCAGACTTTGCGCGCCGGAGACGTTACTAGTGTGCGCAAATACAAGAAAGTGGTACCGTAATAAGGAATTTGATCGAGCGTGTGTTCCGCTGATCTGTGCCGGTTCTGTTGGATTAACAGCTGTGATGGAACTGCAAGACTTCCCGAACGATTTAATCTTCCAAAAATACTTGATGTTTTCTTTGTTATTATTGTGAAGCTGTAATGGTTTTCATAATGCTTTGGATGTTTGGACTTAACGCATTTTTTTGGTTTGATCCTGTCTCACCATTTCATCCGTACCCGGTCTAAACCTTTACGCCGGTTTTGTTAAATTGTTTTAATTTGCGTGTGTTGTTTTTATTGGGTTTGCTAATGAATAATTAATTACACGTTACGGGGTGCCAGAATAACCATACTACCAAGTCCATTTTAGTTATATCATGCTTTAATTTGTTTTTGAGCAACTTAAATTTACATAATTACTACCAAGTATTAGTCATCGTCCCATTCTCCCTTCGGTGATGTACCATTGTACAGTGTAACAGATTTTCGTTTGGAATGAATATAGATATGATGCTCAATACGACAGAATGTGCCAGAAACATAAGGTATACGTACTCACATTTTTTAATAATTTATTGAACTATTAAGATTATTAACATCAAAGGTTTTATACGTGATCCAAGATGACACGCGAAACTTTGCCGGGTTAGTGCCTTAACTATAAAGAGCTCACAACTATGCAAAAGTGCAAAACTATTGCTGGATTTCTTAAAACTTGCAAGATACATGTACAGACAAGCTGTAGTGCATAGATCAGTGCCATTGTGCCTTATGGTAGTGTTATGGGCTTATGGTAGTGTTGATGTTGACATACCACTTTATTTTCATTCAGCCTGCGTATAGCTGGGGACTGCGCCCGAAAAATGCTGTTGACAAAATAAACTTTTCCTATTTCTGTTGAAATTCTTCTCTATTCTCTCCAAAAGCGTGAAATCCCTTTTATATAACTTCCGGTATCAAAAAGCCACCCGCCCAGAAGCAACATTACGTTGGAATGGTTGAATTTTCTACGAGATAGGCTGCTGGTACACAAGCTGCACCAACAAAAATAAAAAGTATACATGAAAACTCAAAACGTTTCACATTCTTCATCAATATTTTCCAAGGGTCCTTTCTTAAACTAGAAAATTTGTTACCTGTGGATGGTTGCCTTTTTCCCCGGAGTATTTGTTTACCATTTTGATTTCGTGTTGAATTCTTCGCTAGATGGCAACTTTTCAGTAAATAACGATTGTCTCGGATTGTGGCTGCAAAATGTGAAGGGATCATGCGCGCGTAGTTCTGCCCAGGTTGAAGTCTGTACGATTGCACCCTGTGCTGATATTTTAATAATCATGTCGCGGACCCGAAACACCCCTCGCGAAACACTGAAACTAATCGGGACGGTGGAAAATCTTTCCGCGGTGTGGGATGCCTTGGGATTCAGTACTGCAACACGGGTCTCTTCTCCGAAACCCTTCCCAGTTCCCCTTCGCGGGGTATGTTGCATTTTCTTCACTTTCTTCCTGGATTTATCTTTTCGATGCCTGATTTATGCTAATTTATATAATTAATCGAATTTCTTCTTTATTCAATTTTTGTATATTATTTTGTGGCTAAAGTGTTGCTGCAAAAGTAGCAAAACATGAAAACAAATTTAGTTTCTATTTAATCTGTTAATACGAGTATGATTATAGTAGTTGTATGTATGTATACATACTTTGCGATTTTTTACAGTAATTTTTATCCCCAAAATAAAACAAATTATGCATAAATAATAAATAATCGCATATAATTAGTATAAGCAGTTATTTTTGAATAATCATGTTATTGTTGTGTGATTGATTAATTGATTGTTTATTGAGTGGCTAAAAATTCGTAAACGGGCGCTCTGACATATCCGAAATCACGAAGAACATCCTATGCTAAAACATTTATTCGACGCACTTAATGTACTGTAATTGTACTCTGCAGACCAGTCGCCCCTGAAGAATCCCTCCAAGCAGTCGGACGACGAAGCCACCTCCACCGACGAGTCAGAGGAACAGCGGCGTCTGTGGACGCAGCATGTGCTGGCCGACATCAGCTGCGATGGCAAGTTTCTGGTGCTGGCGTCGCAACGGGAAATCTCCATTCTGACGTCCAAGTGGCGGAGCGATAAGTTGGTCTTCACCAAGCTGTGGAACGGACAGCTGGCAGGGGCCGGTGAGTGAGATTTGCGACAAGTGAGGTAACATTGGCGAGTTTTTCACTGTGTCGACTTGAAAACATCTAATTTCCCTGTATTTTTGTTCCTCTCATATTATTTTTCTTGGATGTTTATTTTGCTTCGTGTATGATTTTTGATAGTGCGTTCTGAGGAAAATATTTTTAAAAAGACCCATTACTTTACCTGCCACCTTGAAAGCATTTGTGACTTTTTTGGATGTTTAGTTTCCGGAATGTAATTAATTTTCTGTTGATTTTCGTTTTTGAAATTGTTTTTATATAGCTGTCGTTTCAAAAACGCGATCAACGATTTTTTCCTAAATGATTGGCGTGTTTCGTAGATACGGATGCCGAGGTGCTCACTTGTTGCATCGCACTGCCGCTCAGCTCCCGGCAGCGCACTTCCGATGGGCTTCCGGACTGGACCTGTGTGATTTACGGTTTCAGGAGCGGTTATGTGGCATTCCACACGGAAAGCGGCTACACGGTGCACCGGCAGAAGTTCGATGCCAGTCCCGTGCGACTGATCAAAATCCATTCTCCGCAGTATACACGTGTCGGGGATGCGCAGAGTGTGCAGGAGTTGATCATCTTGTACGAGAACGGCGCTGTGGTTTTTATTAACGGGCTGCATTTGTATTCGTCCCTCCAGGTGAGAGTGGGTTTTATCCGCATGTTATTCATTTCCGCGGTTGAAGATCACAATTATTGCGCAATAGACATCTGTCCGAATTTTCTGCTGATTTTTTTATTTTAATTGTTAAATTTTAACTGTGGAGTAGAGAGTCCGCGTTTGCAGTTTACACTTTACACTACTTTTTACCTGATGGCTATTGCTTGGTAAAATTTTTTTGTTTTTGATTTTAGATTTTTCACATGCTTGAACTACTGTTTCAAACGGATATGTGTAGACTTTACTTTGTTAGCGCCTCAAAGTCTGCTACACAATTATTGTATTGTAGAAATCCCGTTCCTATACATAACGCCATAATTTCATATTTTTAATTTCGTAGAATTTTAAATTGGCGGCGGCGAATGCTACCGCAAAGGGCAAGGGTGAAGACGATGATCTGGACTTCAACTCCATTCCCCATGAGAAATTCCAGCTGGATTCCCAGCAAGATATTCGTGATATCATTTCGCTGGGATCCGTGCGGATTAACCTGTTTGATCAGCTGCTCAACGCGTCTGTAATGGGCGGCAGCTCGGCAGCGATCAAGACGCCGCTGCCCACTTACCGCCGCTTCATATCCGTTGGGACGAAGCCGTTTTATGCCAGTTACTTCGTGATGGAAGGCGAAACGCCACTGGTTATCGGTCAGATGGCCAGAGATATCGCTGGCCGAGTGTCGCAGGCAGTTACGTCACGCATCACTGCCACGGCAAACCGGTTCGGATTAGGGGTAAAAAAAAGCAGAAATAATTCATTTTCCATTAATACTGATTGTCAAATTCAGTGTGAACGTTGTACATTGCTGGGACACTCCGTGCCATTTTTTGTTTGGTATTATTTAATGATTCGAATATTTCAGGGCTTGCTGAGTCGAGCGATGCCCGCGGCCAAGGAGACTGTCGAGAAAAAGACCATTTTTGTGCCAAAAGCCGGAAGAGATGTGGATGCAAGATTTTCTTTATTAGACGCTCGTCGTATCGCGACGAATGTCGTGTTGTCGGATAAGAGCAGGCTAGCCGCTCTAACGGACAACTTTGGACGGGTTCTGTTGATGGACTGCTCGACCGGTGTCATCATCCGAATGTGGAAGGGTTATCGTGCCGCCGAAGTGGCTTGGATAACTGTCGCTGATCCCAAGAGTTCTGCCGACTCCAAGTGCGTATTAATAACGGTATTATCACTTATTCGTCTCGTAAAACGCACCAATTATCCTTAAATATTTGTAACCGGTTTTTATTAAAACTAGAATTGAAAATTTTGTTTAAAAGATTAACACCAGTCTCGTTTTCACCGATTTTAGCACAGACGTAATCGGTCTTTTTTCTAAGTATGTGTCACTGTAGGGGTAAACTAGGTAATGAAAGTTTTTGTGTAGCATATTTAAGCCACACCAGTTAAATTTCAAAAATATTAAAATTCTATAATGTCTTTCGTCTTTTGCGTTACATAGAGGTTATTTAGGTACGTGGAGTGTCTCGTGATATACGCTCCCCGGCGGCACTTGCTGGAGGTGTGGTCCCCTCTGTCATTCCGCCGTTTAATCGCCATCCATGTCAGCCAAGGTCTGCGCTTGCTCCCCGTGGGAACCGGAACGCTGTCGCCCACGTTCGAAGTCTTCCATCGGCCCAGTGAATGCTACTTTCTGGATCTGACGGGCAATGTGTACATTCTCAACGTTCCCTTCTATCTGACTGAAGAGGGGATCGATGAGGCCAACGCCCAGGATCTGCAGACTGTGCAGCAAGCCAAGGAAATGGTGATGTATGGGAAGAATGTCAGTACGGAGAAAATTGTGGAGTTGTTCGGGGAGATTGCGTCCATTGAGGTCAAAGATCAGCTGGTGCAGTTTTTCTGTATGGAGGGCATTGCCGGTAAACAGGATGGCCTGATGCGAGTGTTAAGATCAGCGTTAGAGGATAGTGGTAAAGTGAAATTAGACGAAAAGGAGAAAAACATTGTGAGAGAGTGGAAAGTCAACCTGCGCGTTCTGGAGTGGTACGAGCAGATGATTGGACAGTGGATGGAATATGATGACGCAAATCCTTTGACTACCGGTAAGTGTACCACTGTGTACTGCGTGTCTGTTGGAATAAGGATTTCTTCTTGCAATTGTTTTTGTGAAATTAAATTTCATAATTTCGTGATTGTGTTTATCGAATCGCTTATTATTTATCAATTTTAATCATTTAATTCAGAATTGTATTCCCCAGATATAAACTTATGTACGAGTAATATTTTCATCGACCTTCTTTCGCACTTTTTCATAATGCTTCTAACATGACGCAGTGTAAAATAATGTAAAATCAGAATGAAATTATCTGTAAAACGGAATAAGTAAAGCAGAGTGGTCAAACTTATCCAAAACATCCTGGGTGTGGCTGGGTTAGAACTTAGAAGTAAGCATGTGTAAGGACTTCAGAAACTTGATTTCTGTCTTTTTTTGATTTTGTTTTATAAACTTATCCGGAGATTGGGGTTTTCTCAGGTGAGGGCGATACCTCGAATATCTTTGGTGATCTGGATACCAGCAACCTGTTCTCCCTGATGCACGCGGTTAGTGCGTCAGCGTTATGGAAAAGCAGCATACAGAGTCGCCATTGGGACTACGACTGGCGCACTGTGTTGTATCTGCTGGATCCTCTCCCTGGTGACAGTGGAGCCCAGCTGCATTTTACCGTCAACCCGGAAGCGATCCAGGATGAGCGTTTGTTTCTAGCGGATATTCTATACCGCCTCTATTTCCTGGGTAAAATGCCTTTGTCGGAACTTATGGAGAAAGTCGGTATCCTCCACGAAGACGATCTTTCCAAACTTCTGCTGGAATACTGGCTCGTTTTTGCCAGCGAACATTTCGGTAATCTTCTTTCTTACTTTCTTATGCGTTTTCTGACTTTAAACTTTAAGTGTGTTTCTTTCTTTGTAGAAATTCGCATCAGTGGTTTGCGCATGCTGGCGGAATTATTCCATACATTGCTGGCTAAACGCCAACCAAGTGAACTGCGCTCGTTCCGGCACACCGTTGAGGATTCGACTAAGCTGGCCGCTGCCATAACCGCTTGCTTGGCGATTCTAAACACCAGTTTTCCCGGACCGACGGAGGACCTGACGGAAGTGGACGATTGGGAAACTGTGTGTAAAGAAAAGATCGAATGGGCGCGATTGTCCCAGCGTCTGGAAAGTCTTCTTGCCTTACAAGTACGCACCATCGTATCGTAGGAGACCGTGGTTATTATTAATAATGTCATCTTATTTTAATAAGTATTTCAGCAGTGGTTATTACACTGCTGAAATGTATATATCTAGACCGGTTGTTATTTATTTTTAACTTTATTTATTATCTTTATTAAATGTTTTAACTGTAATGTAGTGTATCTGCGTTTGATTTTATTGCCTGATAATTGTTGCCTAAAAAAACATTATTCAAATATAACTCAATTTCAGGCTTTTATTTGCCGATTTGCCACTGTTGATAACACTCAAAGCAGCCATCCGGAGTTTCCTAACACATCCGTGACGTCCTTCCTCCAACACGGCAAATCCGCGGCAGCGGAATATCTCTCCGGGGCGGCGGCAGCCAGCATCCTGTCTCTCCCTCCGGCGGTTATACTGAAAGCATTCTATCACACTGATGTGGAGATGCATTTTGCCTCCACGGAGCTGGAGGAGAACAACGATCGCCCATTGCGATTTCTGCACATTCCGGACGTCGCCTTGGAAGAACAGGAGATAACCGACGCGTTGAAGTCCATCCAGACGGTGTTCCCTAAAAGTCTGACGGCGGATATGCTGCTGGCCAATTGTGCCTGGGAGATGGCGGTCGCATGGAATAAGCACCCGGAAAATTGTCGCGCACTGGAGCAGTCGGTGGAGTATTTGAAAGATGTTGTCCGTCCGGAATTACGGCACGGTATCAAATTTTCTGACCAAATATTCCGCTGAAAATCAGTTTTGCCTTCTTACATTTTTTGTTTTTATGCAGGCGTGGCTGTGCTAATGTGGAAGACATTTCTCGTGGAAAAAATTAATTCCTGCACGAATTTGCTGGAAAAGGTGGGAAAGGCCCCAAAAGAACGTGCGTATTTGAAAGAAATCGGAATGGAGGAGAGCGATGTTGAGCTCCTTCTATTGTTGACACACAGGATTTTATCCGTCATTTTCACGTAAGTCTTCGTGTTGACTGTTTGTACAGTTAACAAGTTCATCAAATTTTGATTTTAATTTAAAGAAATTCATCAAATTTTTATTTTAATATTTGCAGGCTGAATTTGATAGCACGGTAGCGACTGTCACGTGCGATGAGTTGTGGATGAACGAGAACACCGCTGCGTCTAAAAGCTCTTTAGCGGAACTGGCGCTCTGCCAACCCATGTCCAATGCGGCGTTGGTTCAGCATCACATGATCCTAGTGACGGTTCTGCAGGCCATTATCCGCTACAACGTGAAAACCATTAAGCCGATGGCGTTGTTCGATTTCAAGGCGCAGGAAGCCTTTTACAAGGAACTGACGCAGTTCCCGTTATTGTCCGTCGTGGCGATTGACCAGAACATCGTAAAAGCGCGAAATCAGGTGAGCCGAAATGTGTACAAAAATGAAGTATACATTTTTAAATGAAATTGTATTTGTTTCGGCTTGTTTAGTTTCTGATTCGCTGTTTATCGGCGATGGTGCGAACAGCGGCTGACCATGTGACCCGACCGGATGTGGCGTGGTTAGAGCGCATTCTGGAGGTGGCACATTACTGGGGCCTGTCCGGGGATACGGTGCGCACGCTTTACGTCTGTGAACTGTATTCGCATGGGCTGGATGAACTGGGGGAGGAGGCGTACAAGACCGTCACCGATAAAGGCCCGCTGCAGTCCAAATTGCTGTCTTTAGCGGGACAACGACTGAAAAGCTTACTGGCTAACACGCTATCGCAGACCGATTATGCCAACTATCTGTCGTCAATGTCGCCGTTTTTGATGTCCTGGATTAAATCTTTGGTACGGGAAGTATATTGAGAATTTTTATTCTGCTACTATCCTTTCATTTATACACGAATTATCAACATTAGTGTTTTGAAATCGACGGTTAACAGTGATGTTGCGCATAGGTAGCATCGATGTAGAAATTACTTGCACCAAGAACTATAGTAAGTACTTGCTTCGCAGTTCGCACTATACTTACTGTAGTAAGTACTCTCTTATACATACCTATTTTGGAATTTTAAGAAAATTTTGTGCGCTTAATTGATTTGTTTTTTCTTAGTCAGTTTTATTTATGTACTCTCTGGTTATTGCTGCGGTTATGGTTAACCGAACTTTTGTTCAACCATTTAAAAGCTGAATATTCATGCGCATTGCCCGATTAAGCTGTCGCATATTCCCAGCGTTCATAGAAATCTGAATTGTTTTGCGTTGTCTGTATAATTTGTCTGTTGCAGGAGGGACGGAATATTTCGGATTCCAGCGTTGACTGGGAGAAATGCCAGCTGCTTCTGCGAAATATCAGCCACGATCTGCGCTCGAATCATCCTGACAGTAAAATATGCGTGGAGGCACTGGAATGGATGCAGAATCATAGACCACAAAGCCAGAGTTGATGGAGCTTGCCGTGATCGGTTATTTATCTGTGATAAGAGTTTTTCTAACGATCAGTCAGCTTGTATCTTCAGTACCTGTACAGATACTTGCCGAAAAGTTGATTTTCCCAGTGTTTCTTGTGCAATTGTCAGGAGCCATATAGTGTTTTCCTCGCAGTTGTTTTGGGTCTGGGGGTTGCAGAGAGCTATACCTATTTTAGGATTTGGCATAGAAAATTTTAGTTGTAATAAAATTTTTCGTTCACTAATGTCGAGAACTCAAAATACCGGTAAATACAGTAAATTAAACAATTTATATCGTGGAGTGCAAAATCATTGTACGCAGAAACCCTTTCTGTGTATAACCATTGCTGTGTACACATACAACAGCCAGAATGCGGCTTTCCGATTATTTCTACCTGGATTTTAGTCACCAGACCAAAACAGCCTACCGAACATGTAGATGTCTAAACAATATTAATAACATCACTGTGAAATCGTCATTATTTATCAAAAACTTTGTACTTCCTCCACGTTACATTTTTGCCTTGGCGGAACAATATTTGCACTTCATCATCATCGGGTTCATCAACGCGTTCCGGCAGTTCAACCAGGTGAAAGTGCTTGCCAAACTTCATTTTGATGTACTTCCCGGATGCTTGGCACGGGTCGGGTATGCGATGCTCCATCACCGGATCCGCTGCTTTCCGGCAGTCGGGCTTCGGGGAACAATGCGGCTGCCGCCACGTCACCTTCCGCGGGGGTGGTCGGCAGGGTGAGCGAGCCTTCCGGGGCGGCGTCGACCGGCAGCTGTCACCGTCCTTGTTGTCCCGTTTCCCGCCCACGAACGTCGGCTCCGTGGCTTCGAACATGGTTTGCCAAATCTTTTTGCCGACTTCCGAATAGTCTGTCTTCCCGGGGTCGTTGTTCATCGGATTGCCATGCTTTCTATTAGGATACCTGTCTAAAATTATGCTGATGCCATATCGCTGAAAATGCTGAAAAGATGCTGTGCGCTATTATGTTAACCTTTGGAGCACGAGGAGTCTTCTGATTGGGACCGGTTTTCATGATTGGGCGCACACGGACTAACGCTGGATGCGCCCTTTTTCGGGTTTCCACAAGGAATTCGTATCACGTGCCGATGACGTGCGTGCTTTCGACAAGGACTGGAGGTCATACTTTGGACGGATCTTCGCCGTTGTTTCTGGGAACAGGGCTCCAGAACCAGGCTGACCTTTTTGTTGAGGGCATCAATAGCCAGTTCACACTGTACTTTGGTGTCATTGCGGCGATTTTGATGGTGACAGTGCTTAGAACATTGCGTCACTTTGTCACACTGTTGCAAACAACACCGAAATGTACTTTTGCTTTCGGAATATCTTTTTTCGAACGCATATATTACAGAGAAGGTTGGTAAATGTGATTACGTATAACGAAAAGACAGTTTACCGTTTCTTCGTGTGCAACTGCAGGTTTACGTGGTGGCTGTATGTTCGGTTCCCGGCATTTTTTTGTGTAGTCGGTAAATTCATCTCTCGGACATGCCGTGGTGTTTGGAAAACTGTCAGTAACAAAATCACCGCAATTCTGTATTGGATTTCCGCGCTCTTCCGCTTCTGCAATTAGACGCTTCCGTTTTCCGCACTATGAAACAGCTAAACGATTATGCGCCTTGTAACAACGTTTTTAATTGATCATTGTGTAATTCGTATTACGGTCAGTACGAGTACAATTACCAAGTGCCCTGTATATTCCGAACACTGCTCGACAGAAGCGGATCGTGTAAAAATGCGTAGGAATACCTTGGAACAACAGGTCGCTGACCGTTTAATTTTGGCGGTATTGCTTCGTGGATCCTCGCAAGGTATAGCGCTCTTGGACTGTGCGGGCACGCGGTAATGCCTGCCAAGTCTGTCCAGATTTTCAAAACAGGGCTCGTCCGTTCTGGCCATTAGGTTGGAAAAAAGTAGCCAATGGAGATGGAGTCATTTCCTGCTCCAGCCACAGTAATATTATACAATTTTGTCTATGACTGACTGTGAATGTGATCACGTTATCGCTGTATTCTTGCGAATTTAGGTACGGATTCTGGCAAGGGAAAGAATATTCGAAAAACTAGCACGTAATACCACTGTAGCGCCTGAAAACTGCTAACTGCTGTATTGTACTTCTTTGTACGGGATAATGTTTCGCCTTTAGCTACGTAGTAACCAGGATACATGCAGATAGATCTGATCTAAAGACGCCACAATTTGCACAAAAAGGATTATGAGGCAAGTGGAAGCGTTGATGCAGGAAGAGCAATTTCCATCAAGAAACCATGTTCTACCTGACCGGTGAATACTGGAAGACGTGTCCTGGGCCAAGCATAACTACATGGAATCCGTTTTACAGGACATCAGCATGTTTCTTTGTTCTGTGCATATTAAGTCATGAGAAAAAAGACGTTTCGCACCTACAGAATATAGCGCGACTTTTGACGATAGACACTGATTGGCATGCGATTCAACATGGTTTACTCGAAAAAAAAGAAAATGGCCGTTGCGTTTTAGTGTGTTACATTCAAGCAAGCAAACTGTTGATTGCTTTGTGAGCAAGTACTAACCCGACCAACGTTCACTTGCAACTTTTTACTGTGAAGATTGTTTTATGCATTGGTGCGTTCCACTTAAGACAACACAATTAAATTTTATCGTTAATAGGTTAGTTGTACCTATTATGAGCACTACCTCCCACAAGACCCATATTGTACTACATTAAAGGCAAAATCACAGAACTGTGCTATCTGAATAACCATTCAGGTAATTCATAAATGCACTGCCCAGCACAGCAAGAGCACGTCATCCTGCAAGGGTTTCATTTAGGCTTGTCCTTATCGTAAGTTCCTGCGCCCTTGTAATTCCCAACATAGCCATCATTCTTTGCAACTTCTTCTCTTCCAGCAATTCCTTTGCCTTTTCCTTCGGCATCAAATCGCTCCTTGTGACTGCCGGTGTACTTGCTCGTATCGGTCATGCGATCAACACCGCCGACGTCACTTACGGTCTGTAAAAGAGTTCATACGTACTTGCTGTATAAAAAGTGTGTAACGAAATCATTTGAGCAACAAATAAAAAATATTCCTTGTTGCTCAATTGCTAACGCATCAGCTGACGCACAGTAGTATTAGTGGTTCCCGGACTCGAACGGCTCTGGAGCTTTCCGACGATCTTTTGCAGTTCACCAGTAGGATCGTCTTTGTTAGCGGTTTCTGCCAGTATTCCAAGAAACTGCTTGAATTTGTCAAAGGTCATCGTTTTTTCAGAGTTCCTAGGAAAAACTTTCGTTAAGACAAGCAGTAAAGCAGTCGTTTCGACTTAAAATCAGTCACGAAACAATTCGTACAATTATGAATCTTTAAAAAGCGGTGAACTCGATCCAACTGTGTCATGTGATTTACAATTACCACAGTCATTTACCCAACAACTTTTTTAAACGTTATACTGGTATCGGTTGTCGTGATTTTCTTTCCCAAAACATCAGCTTCCTTCAACCATTTATCCGCATTTTTTAGAGCCATATTGTTTCCGCTGAAATTCTTGTCTCCAAATTTTCCATACGCATCAAAACCGGGTTTAAGGGCCCCGTCGTCTATCTTAGACAGATCAGCTGGCATTTCTTAATCGCTGAACACGACGAGCTGAATAACTGAAAAACAGACGTCGAGAGTAGTTTAGTACAGACTGCACATTACATCATACTTTGGTTTTCAGTAATTATACGCACTGAGTACAAACGATTCAGTACTGGATTTATCTCTGAACACTCGCTAAACAAAACTTTGAAGTCTATTTTACTACTTATTTTTCCATTTTTTACCTATAGTTATAAGTGGTCGCTGTTACGATGGCGACATTTTGGCGGGAAGTTGGCAAAGATATCAAACAACAACCAACCTGTCACTGGTTCAAATGAAATTTAAAAAAAACAAAGCCAAGAAGTTTTTAACATTTTTTAACGTTATTTTTATCTCTGACTCTAGTACAAAACCGGCAACAGGTAAGAAAAAGGTGGTTAACTTTGTAGATGCAGCTTCTGTCATTTTATGGCAAGCCGCATTTTCGTATCATTCTGACTTGACTCGTCAATTTTCTGACTGCGGTCGCATCGCTCTTACGTTTTTGTTAAATGAGAATAACCGTGCGAATTTACAGAAATTGGAACTGCCAACGCATTTTTGTACGCCAATAAAGCATGTATATCACTCCAGTCAGTAGTGGTAGGTTACAGTTGAGCTGATGGTTATTATAAATGCAAAGTTAGACCTGGATTGCTTTTAAAAGTTTCAATCATAGTTCGAAACGCGAACTTCGTATTTGCGCACATAAACCACTTTATGCTATGCATGTTTTCTTGTAAGCAGAGAAATATAGTTGTCAAAACATCGCTTCTGTATCTTATAAATATGGCAACCAAGAAAAAAGAGGTTCCTGTAACGAGGAAGCCATCAGGTAACAACAAAGCACGCTGCGCAGGAGATTCTTGCCAATCTGAATCCGCTATAAACTCCAAAGCAGCCGGAGCCGTACCTAAAGGTCATGATGAAAGCCTTTCGCCTGGACAAATTCGGGTTTCTCGAAGGACGGAAATCGATGACACGTACTCGTCCAAAACCGATACTCTTCATGCTGCGGAAGAGTCTCTGCGAAGACTACGAGCTTTAGAAGATGCCGTGAACAAGGCTAGCAAAATCGTGCCTCTTCGTGTTTTTCCCACACGCACTGCGCGTGCTGGGAAAAGATCGGAAGCATTTTGCATTCCTCAGAGCCCGCTTGGCCGACTACACAAAGTTCAAAGACTGCTGAACAATAGTATGCAGGAGTATACTCTCGCAGTCTTTGCAGAACAAGCAAAGTTTCACAAAGCAGCCGCAAAACTGTTTCAAGCGCGATTTTTACTGATCTCGGAGAACCCCAATCCAGAAGCCATCACAATGGACAGTAATTGGGAAGACAATATACTGTGCCACTACTGGTTGAAAATTCTTTTCCAAAATGACCAGCTCAGAAATATGATCCAGAAGCACGACATTACCCCTTTGTCATACCTGAATGACATTCGCTGTGTCCATGAAAACACTGGATTCGTATTAGAATTTTATTTTTCTCCGAATCCCTGCTTCGTAAACTCCGTCCTAAGAAAGTCTTATTGTTTGGGAAACGATTTGCCGAGCGAACGTCCAGAGCTCAGCCTGTCTGCATTTGTACTGAGCTGTTCGGGAAGCGAAATTTGCTGGACGTCAGAATTCTTGAAGAAGCAGGCAGATCGACGAGTGGCTTCGTTTTTCCGCTTCTTTACACCGTGTGTCACAAGCAGGCAGCAAATACGCTCGTGTAAAGATTCAGACCAAAGCGCACTGACTGCAATTCTGCTGGCGGATTTTGAAATCGGGCAGTTACTCCGCATGGACGTTATTCCCAATGCGATCCATATCTTCGATGAGTGGCGTTGTCAAGCAGAATTTGCACGGAATCATGACTACTGCGACAGGGTAACGCTTCTAATCAACAGATCAAAAACAGCGGTTGACAAATTGAAAAGACCCAAATCCAAGCTAAGAGCTAAAGGTTCAAAGAAATCGGTAAACGACGAAGTCAACCTGCATGTACGTCTCGCACTGAAGAAAGCCGGTTATAAAGTGCGGCATGGGCGTGCCTACCCTGCAGGCGACGGTACGACGAGTGGGGACAGTACAACCGATTCGCACAGCGCAGCGGATGGTGATGACGACCATACAGCTGCACGCAAAAGCTTTCGTGGATTGCTGGAGACTAATACTGTGCCGCGGCATCGAAAGCATCGCGGTATTCGGCTGAAGGAACTGCGGGCGGTAGCCGATCAACCGGACAGTGGCGATGATGTAGCTGCTCTGTTCGATCTACAAAGTGAAAGCGAGAGTGGTTCACTGGCGTCACTTTTAGATGCGGATAACGAAGTTCACCTTCCTACTAAGATCACAAAAAAGGCAGCGCCGAAGGCAACCCTAAAAACCAAGAAACCACCCGACAAATGACGCTCACCGATCGACACTGTAAAACGCACCTGCGCAATAAGAACATTTCGATATGCAAACACTAATGAACTAACGCCCCTGTAGCGACCATAAGGGACCCAAGGCATTTTACACTACGCCGTGCTCTAGGTGCTGGGATAATGCGAAGCACATGTCTCTGGCACAGTGAAAAGTAGTTGCACTTCGCCGGCAAAATTGCTTTTTACTGGCGATCAGCACGCGTTACCAAAACTTTGGTAGCGGCAACAAATAAAATGTGTAAAAAGTAAAACAAAACATTAACCCGTTTCAGCGTTTGTTATCATTTCTTCTTTTTTGTGTTTGGTTTGGCTGGCTTTGGCTTATTTCCCGACGTTTTGCTCGATCCTGATGTCTTGCTTTTGCTTTTTCCCGGCTTATCTGTTACTGCGGAGGAACCTGATTTCTTGGATTTGCCCGTTTTGCCAGTGGACGTGCCAGATTTCTTTGGCTTATCCGAGCCAGTGGTTTTTGTGGGCTTCTTAGATCCTGATCCAGATTCTAATAAAATTTCATCGTAAGATAATAAATCGTAAACGAACCAGTAATCCGGACCGTTGCCGGAGTATTAAAGCATTTTATGATTTTGTAAAGGTGAAACAATTACTCGTGGACTGCAATAATTAGTGCACAAATAGTGCGAACGATAAAATAAGAAAATCACAAGTTATTTATCAGTATTATCTCGTTAAGTACAGAGTATGTATTCCTTTGTCACGGTTAGAGATGCGACACCTTAGCCGTGACGGTGCATGTAAAATAGTTCTATGCGAAGGAATTACGCATACATTTAGACGGTAAATGTTGGGCAGTGACTATGCCGCTTACTTTTACTGGACTTCCCTGATGATCCAGAAGACTTGCTAGGCTTTTTGGATGGCTTGTCCTTGGAGGGTGCCTTACTCACCTTATCAGAGGATTTCTTTTTCGGTTTATCTGTACCGCTAGGCTTCTTGCTAGCCTTATCTTTCTTCGAAGAACCGCCTGTTTTACTGGGCTTCTTCTTTGAATCGCCTTTGGAAACCGACGATCCACTTGATTTACTTGGCTTCTTTGAAGGTTTGTCTTTAGAGGAGCCTTTGCCAGAGCTGCCACCCGATTTTGAAGGTTTTTTAGACGCTGAACCTCCTTTGCTTGCAGGTTTTTTGGACTTGTCACCGGACCCCTTGGAAGACGATCCACTGGGCTTCTTAGTGGGCTTTTTGCTTGAACCTGAATTGGTGTCTTTTGCGAATAAAAGCGTTGGTGGCGGTTGGTTGGTTAACGACCATATCAAGGTCTGCACGCATCGCGGCGACAACTGTGGACATAAATCACCCGTAGGCGGTAGGAAATATCTCAATGGGAACTGCAGTGGAGGCGGAATGGGTCCCGAACGCCATCCCTGTGGGTATGTGCAAAATTTTCCTGCAATGTAGCAACAAGTTCATGAATAAACGGAACCAGTTATCGAATTGCTAATGTGGTTCCACTCTCCATGGAACAAATAAACCCCTGAATCGGAGTTTAAAATTTAACCAGCACTGACCTTTCGGTGGTCTTATCAATAACGGGATCGCGCGAGTCTGGAGTACGGCGGAAAGAGTTCTATGCATTACGCTTATTCCAAAGTAGGGTTGGCCAAAATAGTACTACTGTCATCTTTCGGGACTTTCGTTCAATGAAAGCACATGTTAGGAAATGCGCGGTACAAGCGGTGCCGGTTACCAAGCAAATGACTGTAGATCTTAAGCTTAGTCAAGAGAAAAATTGGCTCGGACGGTCTCCCGATGTGTTGGCACCCACGGTATTCGATGCTGTAGCATTCCCAACTTGCTAATGTTTTGTTAAATATTACGTTCGCAGTACAATACTCGATTTTTCACGATTGCAACTGCAGCTGTTTCAAGTAAATCGAATTATTGCAGTTCACTAAACTAGTTCGCAAAGTTCTTTACGCAATGACAGATTTTTCCAATATTCGTTCGCTGTATGAAATCGAGCCCGTCGATAATCTCCCAAGTGTCGATAATCAGAATGTCGATCAATCAGCATACAACATGTATTCTGAGCTATTTCGCGCGAAAATCTATCAGCATTTTCTGCTGCTGGAAGCCAGTGGTACGGGCGGCTTGGCCGGTGGTCTCGTCGAAAATCCTAAATGTTCCCCTATGGATTTTGAGGATTCTGAGAAACGGCGAATAGTAATGCGGGAGAAGCCCTTTGCGATTGTTACCAGTGATCCTTTCCCTGAAGACAAGCAAGACTTATTATTCCAGACATACGGGGACGTCAGAGTTCGCATCCGCCGCAATCTGCGCGCGCGCATCAGTCGCATCCCGTCTCTGGACGTTTTTTCCAGATGGCTTGTGGAGAACGAGACATTTCAGAAATTTATCCTGTTGGTAATAGCGTACAACTGCGTGACCTTAGGCCTACAGGCAGAATACGGAGACCGGCCGGGAGCGAATGCCGCTTTTGTGCGCTCCATTCTGGATTGTTTAGATATTTTAGCGCTGACAATCTTTATGTTTGAAATCTTGCTGAAATGGATGGTCAGTTTCCGGGATTTTTGGGATAACCCATGGAATACGTTCGACTTTGCCATAACGCTGTTTACCTTCGTTACGACGGTGATCGGTATTATAGGGCATTTGGATCCGTCTAATAAGCAGTTGTCGCAAGTGGAGAAAACGATGCGGGCATTTCAGGTGCTGCGAGTGATGCGGGTGCTGACCCGGAGTCAGGGCATCAAAGTAATCGTTTTTACTGTCACCAAATCCTTGTCGGATATGGGTTCCATTTTGGTTCTATTTATTCTATTTATGTATATCTTCCTTATTGCCGGCGTAATTTGTATGAGCGATTTGAAAAATATTGCCAGTCAAATGAGCAGCAAAAATATTACGGATCCAACTGTGCTTTTGTACGGATATCGATTTCAGTAAGTACGGTAAAGTACGCAATTATTGGAGCGGCGAAACATTATGAACAAACAATCTTTTTCAGGAATCTGTACTGGGGATTTTTAACGCTTTATCAAATCTTCACAATTGATCATTGGTATGCAATGCTACATGGTTCATGGTGTCAATTGCTGCCGGACTGCACCTTTGCCACAATTTACATGATGTTATGGTTGCTGATTGGATCGCTGATTTTCCGTAATATTTTTGCTGGAGTAGTGGTCAACACGTTCCAGAATTTACGCAAAACGGTTTCCAGCGAAGAAGAAGAAGAGCAGAAAGAAGTTCCCGATACCGCCCTCAGCGAATTTAAGGAGTTCATTGACGTAAAGATCACGGAGGAGACTGACCAACTGACTTCCAGTAAGTCCGTTTCTAAAGCAGGCGAATTCGCGATGTGGAGCAGTGGATGCATAACTTTCTTGTTTGCAGGAGAGAATCTCGTAATCCATACAATGGAAGGTGCAGATACCGGAGAAGATCATCACAGCGCAGACGATCCGCTTGTGAAGCTTAACCGCGACGGAGCGCGGTTTCTGTCGGACTACAAGAAGCAGTTACGTTTGCTGGACAAACTGGTGCAGATGAAGTCGACAGAGTGGACGAAGGAATTAATGTTTCGCTATTTTGAACTTATGGAAAAACTGCAGGAAAATGTGCATGCCAGACAGGAGATCATTAAATTAATGGATGAATGGCTGATGGGACTATTAAATAAGAGCGATCCGGAGGAAGAGCCAAGTATGAATGACCGCACGAAACAGCTGAAGCAAATGCTACGAAATCGACTGCATGGAAAAGAAAAATCTTCGTGATAACAGCCGAGGTGTTTTGGTAAACTCCAGGATGCAAATCAAATTCCAGACGCCAGGCAAAGGACCAATAATTGTTAAACACAGCAACACAGTTATTGGCACTCGTATCCCTGCCTTTGGAATCAGCTGTGAGTGGATACAGCACTTTTGGGAAATGACTGGCTGTACACTGCGTGCACTTTTGCCAGAATGTAGAGGACAAAATGTTCAGATACACCACACCTGCCTGAGAAAACATTTCAGAAATACAGAGTACAGTAGGAAAAGATTGGTTGCGCTGGAAGGAGCTTGTTGTAGTTATGCTTACTGCACCCGATCGTGAAGCCGGCAGTGGACATTGTGGTTGCGGTTAGTCTGGAGCAATTCGGATCAAATAGCGGTTGTCCGTCTACAACTACGAAACCACTAACCAGGATTTTGTTGTTTAGTATCTCTGGTTGAAAATTAGATTTTGTGCTCAACCAGAACGGTGTGAATGTTGTTTTGTGCTGTCCGGCTACGTTTCCTTGGCAACTTTCATTAACTTAATGTACAGTAGTTATACTGTGTTTATGTACTGTGTATTACCTACTTAACTAACAAACAAGGATGCACGAATGCTTTGATTGGAAAGCCCCTTTCTAATATTGCTGAATAATGATATTCCAACGCTGCTAGTGTTGGCTTGAACCGGTTGCAGAATTGTCAGAGTTCGTATGGCTTCGAACACCGTCAATGCTGACGATTCAGTGTCGAATTTGAGTGATATACCTTCTTCGAGCAGATCAGAAAATAAAATCAAAAAGTCTGTACGCTTTCGAGATCCATCTGATCAAAACAGCGGTGCTCACACTCCCAGTGATCTAAGCGGTGATGTCGGTGACAAATCTGCGCAAATGGAACGGGCAGCGAAAGAGGCTGCGTACAAGGACTCCAAAACCAAATTTCCACAAAAAGGTTCAGCTATATCGGTTAGAATGGAGGATCTTGAATTGGATAACGAAACAGAAGATGATCTGTCGGATACCCAAGAAAAAACTGGAAAGGAATTCGAAAGGGATTTGTTGGGCGAACAGCCGAAATCTGGTGAGTTATTAACGTTTGTGAAGGCCAAAATCACGAAATGCTTGTTAATTCTGTGCTAAGAGTCCGAGACAAATTCTCCAGAATACGCGTAAACTGTCAGATAAAGTGTTATTTAAACGAGGCAACCGTACTGTATTATGGTCGAGGTGACAATGCTTCCATTTGCTGTTTCCTTGTTATCTACACAGTATCTCTTGGTTGTGCATGAAAATGTCGTGGTCTTTTGCAGATTCCGCAGAGCATTCTCTTACTAAGAGAAGTGAAAGTCAGTTTGCAAGGCCAGTGCAGCCACTGCAACATGCATCGAAATTAGTTGAGAAACCTAGCACGAACGACAGCAAGAAACAGCTAAGCGATGCAAAGCCGAGTTCACCATTAAACTTCCGCGATGGCTCCAAGACCAAAGACTCTGAGAGGCAGAAGCCAAAAGCCGATAATACGGAGAAGACTTGTTACATTGATAAACGGCGTCTGTCGGAAGTACGTCCCGCAGATGAAATTCGCTGCACCTGTGAAGACTTTGAAAAGTATCCTGAGCACATTCGAAGCGAGAGTCGAGAGAAAAAAGAGCGCCCAACTGAAAATGGAACCAAACCGTCGGAAGCGAAACCGCAAGTGTCCGACAAACAAGATATACAAGAGTCAAAGCCGCCGGCACGGGAAAAACCGCAATCGCTCCAACCGAAACCGGAGCAGACCGAAAAGCCGGAAACACCGGTGTCAAAACCGGAGACCAGTAAATCCTCGCAACAGAAAACCGAAAAAGATGAATATGACAGATTAAATGTCACGAAAAAGGATTCATCTACGCTGGGAAAGTTATGGGATAACCTCAAGAGTGCAACCAATAATTTGGCCAAAAAGCCTTCAACGGATATTCAACAGCTACCACAGCAAAAACCAACTGCATTCAGGGACACTCAGTCGTTGAGTTCTGTTCCCGCCAGTGGGTTACCGGACTTCATTCAGCGGTTTTCATCGGCTTCGAAACTTGCCGATCTGGTGAAACCAGAAAGCGTGCAAAAAGCGGCACCTATCAGCACTGCTTATCAGACGAATCCTCACATTAAAATACATGCCAAAATTGACGTTGGAACTGGCAAAATCGAAAAGATAGTGCTTGAGAATACCGAAAGCGATAACGTTACCGGTACGAAAGAACCTAAATTCGAATTCTTGCCGGTTGAGCAAGCTGCGGCCACAAATGCAGGAACGCCCAACGAAGGTGCCCCAAGCAGTTCACAAAATAAACAGCAAGAGCAACAAAAGCTTGCTGACGAGCCTGTAGAAGATACGCAAATGCCGACTTCAAATTCACAAGCAAGCGCGTCACATGATGCGAACGATGTACCGGAAGCGCTTAACTCTCCACCAGCACCATACAATGCCAACACCGTCAGCGAGTTTCTCATGGAGAGACCTATCACCGATGCTTTGTTCAGCCGACCGGCTGTGGGACGGAAAAAGTCACAAGGTCGAGCCAGTGAGAAGCGGCTTCACATGAAATCCAATCCAGTTCCGTTCAATAAAAGCCACGAAAGCCTTTCGGACAATGAATCGAAAAGGAAGCGCAAGCGGGTGAGGTTTGCTGATTCCGACGAACTGATTGACGTAAAGGTGTCGGAGCTTTCGGACAGCGCAAGCGAAAATGAAGATACAGGAACAGGGGAAACATCCAGCGGTATCAAGGATAAAATTATGGACCAGGCAAAGCAGTTGTGCGATTCGGCGAAAGACACGATTGTGTCGTTTGTCCATCCAACAGCCAACTCAAATAAACAAAACCAACAGCAAGAAATCAACCCACAAAACGATGTTGCAAGTGAAAACAGTTCAGACATGAAGAGCCAGAAAACGTCGGACAAAGAGTCAGAAAGCTCGGATCATGAGAATGCATCCGGATTTCAGATTATATCTAAACTGGAGGCTACCAAAAACGTACTGGAAGAAAAGGCTAAGAGTGTTACTGGAACAGTGATAGAGAAAGTGAATGATCTGGTGCCCTCGCTTCGAACAGCCAATGCAGAAGCAGAGGCCGGAAATACTGAAACAGAAAAAACCCAGGATAATGCAGTTAACAAGGCTAAGCTGATTTATGATAAAGTAAAAACGGGATTATTGAACCAATCGAACAACCTGGTCGGCGCAGCGAAAGACACAGCTTCCAGTTTTTTCGAAGACTCACAGAAACACAACGATGCCACAAATGCCGGTTCCACGCATTCTCTGGAAAAGCCGAATGATTCTGGGCAAAACGATAGTGCAAGCCTAATTGATAACATTCGAACCGATGGCTTCGGGAAAGCTGTAAAGGATGCTGTTGCTAATGTGTTTTCTTCCGGCGAGAACGTGTCCAAGGAAGAAACGCGGGAGGATATACCGTCGCAAGATATAAAATCGGAAGCACGAGTGGGGAAAGCTAGTGAATCAACAAAACAAGCATCGAATCCACAGGAAAGCCAAATATCTGACACCGAAAATGTCCTAGACAAACCTGACGAAAACTTGTCGTTTCTCGGAAAAGTAAAGGACCAGATATTGGACCAAGCTGGACATGCGTACGACTCGGCTAAAGAGGTTGCTGGAAAAACTGTTGGGACCGCAAGCGACCCTGCAGCAGATACTCGCTCTCTTGTCGAACCTAGTGAAAACTCCGGTTCACAGCAGAAAGGCGCTTCACAAACTGGTAAAACCATCGGGAGCATTGTAGAAAAAGTAAAAGACCAGTTGCTGAATCAAGCGGAGCATACGTATGATTCTGTAAAGAACGTTGCTGGGAAGATTGTTGGAACAACCACTGAGGAGGCTTCCGCTTCTAGTCCTCCGGACATATCTGACAAAAAGGAAGATCTTTCGGAAGACGAAAAGAAATCTGCAGAAACTACCGATAAGGCCACTGCAAACGTTTTGGTAAAAGCCAAGGATCAACTCGTTCATCAAGCTGAACAAGTTTACGACTCAGCAAAAGAGACTGCTGGGAAAATTGTAGGCGCGGCAACCGAAAAGCTTTCACTGATTAGTCACCAGTCTCCTGAGCCACAAAAGGCCAAAGCTCCTGATACCAGCAGTGCGCATGAAAACGCGCGCGATACAGTGGAATCCTCAAATAAATCGGGGTACAAAGAGTCTGAGAAAGCCCAGGCTCGCGGCAAAGGCTCGTTTATTGATCTGTTAAAATCTGAGGGATTAGGCCCGGCTCTCAGATCAATAGTATCCAACACCTTTGTCGGCTCATCTGATTCTGAAAAGAAAAACGAAGCTACCGAAAAAGGCGACGACCTTCCGACCCACGCACTAAACGTAAAAAGTAAGAAAGCCGATGCCGACAAAGAAAATGACACAGAAATACTGCAGAACTCCGACATCCTTACTGAGGAAAGCGAGGACGAACTATCTTCCAAAGGTATATACATTTTAAGCCATCGGGCAGCAAATATCTACACGAACTGAGTTGTACATAGGTGCACTAATATGTGTTACCCTTTAATGTACTGTTTCTTTGCAAAATTGGCACAACTTGCAGTTGCAGTTTTTGTAGCGAGCCATCGTTCATCCAGTATTTATTTCCCTGCATCGGAATATTTTTGGTTGCAGACTTGAAAAATCGCCGATTAAGCCCTACTGACAGTGACGAAATGGATGCCCAACCCAATCCTATACATGCCACCAGAAGTCTGACCGACTTAAAGGATGACCACAGTAGTCGCACATTAGAGCAACAGCAGCAGAAGGCGGACGAGGATGATAGCAGCACAAAATTAGCAGATGAGTCGCCAGCGCAACACCAAGACCACCCACAAGAACATGAGGGGCTTTTCGACCGGTTCAAGCATATGATCTTGCATGCGCTCGAACACCATCCCGAGCAACAGACGCCGAATCCCGCAGTTCCTCAAACCAAAGCCAGTTTGCCTTCTTCTTGCAACGAGAATTGTGTGGATTATTGTGTCAAGCATTCGGGAGAGTTCCTTATTGCCGACCCAGATCGGCATATGACCCGATCACGAACTAACCTCACTTCACAACACGACCTGTCGGAGCCGGTGAGGGAAACGGAGAACAACACGAAAGAAATTAACCAGTCACGAGAAGCCTCCAGCGCGGAACACGGAATGCTGAACAATGTTTATGGAACAGTAAAGGAAATGCTGAGCTTTATTTTTGTCGCGGAACACGGGGAATCACCGAATGAAGGAACTACCAAAGACGTACAGAATTCAGAGGAATCAAATGGAGAAAACAAAAACAGCAAAACGTTCCACAATACAGATCAAAATACGTCCGAAAGCGAAGGTATGCTTTACACGATATCACCAGCTAAATAAATTCTGGGCATTTTAATGTAGCGCGAACTGTAGCTGTTCTATTGTAATTGCAGATGCGGAAGACGAAGTACAACAGAGACAAGCCAATAACGAGCAGGCCAGAAACGAAGCGACCCTCGACGAAAGTATCCTTCGAACGCGTCGTGCACGTCGGAAGAAGCCGCCCAGTGGCATCGAGACAGGCACCTTCTCCATGCCGTACTCTTTCAACCAACAGGGCCCTCCCATATCCGTTGATCTGAATGATGATTCGGAAAGTGATGCACACACTTTACCCGACCACATGTTCCGCCCACCCGGAGCTGTGCGATACGCTGCATACATCATTGGCGGCTGTATGGTGTCCATGGTGCTGTTGGCTCTGCAGGAACGCGTTACCGAATCAGTGTGGATACGACCGGAAGTGTGGATACCGCGGCTAGCAGTGACGGTGTTGGTGACCTTAATGATTGGTTTGGTATATGGATTCGTCACCAAAACGGACTTTGTGCGGAAACCAAATAGTAATAGTCGTTTGAATTCAGACAGTGACCGTGTTAAAAATAAAACTTGATCTAATTTTAGTCATTATTTTTATTGGTTGACGAGATTCAGGGCAGGTACAGTGCACACTTGATCAGTACAACTGCAGTCTGTTTGTCTATAGTGTTTTGTGGTAATTGCCACGACACTTGTATCGCTGGCGTTTTAACTGTTTGAATTATGTCGCTGACATTTTGCGCATATCGCAAGCCGTGCTTTTTTAAATTAAACATTGAAGTGAAAACCAAACGGACCAATGAGGTTTTTCACCAAAAGCTAAGGTTGCGTTTTCGTAGCCATTTCTGAATACCATCACTGTTCCATATCTTGCTGCCGTGGTCTCTAAGCGTTGGATAATCATCCAGAATTCCTTTCTTAAATCTTTCTAAAGTGTAGAAATAGTACGCCACTGAGATATCCACCAGGCTTGTTTGGGTGCCCACTAAAACCCCGTGCTTGGTAGCAGCCAAAATTTCTTCCAACTTCTTCAGGGTAAGCGGGGCTTGGTCAATGTAGTCTGCCTTTGCCTGAGCGGCCATTTCCGGTTGGTTCTCAAAAAATACCGCTTGGACATATCGCGGATATGCTGCTCTGCGATCTATAAGCATACCTTTCGTTAACCAGCTATTGCCTTCACTTCCGGTTTGCACTGTTATCAGTGTTACTTGCGTTACCTTTAACGAAGTCCATTATCTCATCGATCCTTGCTTCTTCCCATGGATTTTGCCCATACAAGTTAAATCTTCGGGCTAAAAAGCGCAGTATGGTGCCTAATTCGCCTAGCACTTGTCCGTCTACTTCAACGTATGGTAGCGTGCCGAACGGTGTTTTAGGCTTCATTAATGGCCATTCTCTGAGTTCAATGCGGTTATCCACGAAATCTTGGCCGGCATAAGCAAACAACCACCGAATGGGTTCACCTCGGCCTCCACCATCAAAATAGTGGAGAATATACGTAGAACTCATTTTATAATATTTTCTTATTTTGTAATAAACGCAAATCGAGTTCTGCTGCAGTGCTGTTCAGAGTACGACAACTGAATACGGCATGCTGAGTTCTTAGCAATGAAAATCGTGGAGGACTACTCTAGTCAGATTCCACCGTATGGTATATCATTCAGTTACTCTAAGTAAAACGTCGCATTACTTAAATTATAAATGCACATTACTACAAGTATTAATCGAAGCCGGTTTTCTAACGGCAGAGTGTAAAGAACATACAAGAATAATATCTATTGTTCGAATTCTTTGCATTAAAATTTCTATTCAAAAGCACCGGTAGTTTACAGAGCGTTTTTACATGCTAGTAGACCGAATGATTTTAACTCCCTCACTGCACAGTGCAAACTTCGAAAACCAGTTTCTCGGTCAACGTATTCCTCGGTTCTGTGGCAATAACTTCGAATGAAAAAGGTATGGAGCATTATCGGCAGAAATTAACAGACCTGAGCCAGCGTATTAGACGGTAGACATTTATTTGGACTTTGCAGTGGAGATCATAGTGCACACTGCACGGTTGTACGGTAACAACGCTCTAAATCCGGTTCCGGGTTATACCACTCCGGACTTTCATGTACACGTACAAAGAATTTTATGCGATTGACAGGTAATTACAGTCGAGTCTAAGCGTTCACTTTATATGGCAGCAACTAACATCTGTTGGCAGTCTGCTATAAACAGATTAAGAGTTTTCCAACCATGGCTACCAAGTATGTGTATCATTATTTTAATGGACAGGGTCGTGGGGAAGCTGTCCGTTGGATCTTCGCTTTAGCCGGTGAGGATTTTGTGGATCATCGTATTGACGCAGCCGAATGGCCCGAGTTCAGATCGCAAACTCCTTTCGGAACATTACCGTTCTTGGAAGTGGATGGTAAAATTCTGGGAGAAAGTCTGACCATTCAGCGTTTTCTTGCACGCCGATTTGGCCTGGTTGGGAGCAACGAATGGGAGCACGCCAGAGTTGATGAACTGGTCGATTATGTTACCGGTATGTTGGCCACCTTTAATACTACTAACTTGCTCGAAATTATGAGAATTATTGCTGTATCACGGCTTAGTGTATATATACACGTATATAAGTACCTACTGTATGCTGTATACATACATACATTAACAGTATGCGTACTTCTATATATACAGTACTAATATATGGTTGTCCATGCAGTACTACGTATTCTGTAATTACGCGCCCACTTTTGAACAGATTGTCGAAAGACATATCCGGATTGGGTTTACGCTCGCTTTTTCCACAATGACATGCAAAAGCGGAGCAGGTGCGGGAACATTACTTGAAAGCCGCTGAAACGCCATTAACGAAATTGCAAGACATGTTAGCGCAGAATGACAAAGGAGAAGGGTATTTTGTCGGACAAGCACCAACTTGGGCGGATATTGCGATCACCTGCTATCTGGACACCATTGAAAACTTTGAGCAAGGCTTCCTGGCGAAATATCCAACACTGAAAGCCTATCGAGAACGTGTTCGCAATTATAAAGGAATTAAAGACTGGATAGCAAAGCGACCAAAAACAGCGTGGTGATCTTTTTTTCTCTGTTTAGACTGCAATTAAGAGTATAACCGTACGTATCTTGCCGCATATTGTCGACATTTCTTGCTTGTTTACCGTGTATCTTTGAGAATAACTGAGATTTATGCTCTGACATTTTTAGAGTAATTCAATATCTTAAAGTTAAATTTAACAAAGTTTTGAATGTAGTGATTTGCTGCAGTTATTTTAGTTTTCCGGGATCGATGTAACACATCGTAAAATGTACTCTGTAGTGACCGTAGTTTCATAATATGGTTGTAATGAGTGTTTTATCATAAGTTTCTCACATATTCTGTGCTTCTAGTTTTGTCGAAAACTGCGGTCACCAAAATAGCACTGGAGGACAAAACCAGAAGGAATAGCTTGAAGAATTTCTTTTTGATGCAGACTGATTAAATAAAGATAAAGCATATCGATGACCGTCACAAACGCATGATCGATTATCAATTTTTTCTTGTTATGCATCCATACTTGGGCCACAATATGAAAGTAGCGGGTAATTTTGCGATATTGCATCCGTTTGCTCAATAACTCAATGAAAAGCGGGGTCGGGTGGTTTGTTAGTTGTTCAAGGCAGCGCAATTTTGACAGGATTGAATTTTATCAAGCCAAGTGGCTACAAGGACCCTCCACACTACAAGCTGTTCGTATGTTGTTGCTTTTTGTTATCACGTTTCTTTTGTACTACGGGTGAGCAGACCCTTGAGTTGAATGAGCGAAGCACGGCCCACAGCGCCCGCTACTGCATCTGCAGACCGGCATAGCCGAGCCATAGCAGCGGAAAGGATCGGAGCATCCGATGCTGACCGGATCGTTTATCGTTTCTGGTCTGCAGATTAAAATGGATGGAATTAGATTTGCGCCGGATGGAATGGATATCGGATGGAATTGTTAGCCTCCGGGAGGCCTTTTACGGTGGGATCGATTGACTCTAGACGCCCTTGCACAGGCGAAAACGGCATAATGTGTAAAGTGTGGAAATGTCCGTTTGCTAACACGGAACATCGTAGATAGTACTAGATAGTGATACGGTTCATTACAGTACATGTTACAGTAAACATTATGCAGCCTGCGCGCGGAAGCTAACGAACGCTTGCTACAGTGCAACACATAAAATTAAAACCAACAGTACAAATGTTCTATGTACACGGAACACTCCACGTGTTAGTATAAATGAATGTATTATAAAACAATCATATTAAACGTAATTATTATAGAACATTCTGTTTATTATGTATTTTACAAAATTAAATTATTACTGAGCGCGGTGTACTTTATAGGCAGATTGAATCCACAGTACCGCTGCCAGAGTAGAAAAACGATTTACACACAACTATGCAATTATTATGTGACTTAAGTGCACGGGTACTAATTATTCATGAGTTAGTAATAATTTTATGGTGCACACTTCTGCACTGCAGCAACGGAGTAATCTTCCATATAATGACGTGAGCAGCATAAGCAATTCCGTTGTTTCTAATTAATGTTCGGTTACACTGGAGTTCCACGAGCTTTTTTCCCTTGTCCATTATCGAATCAATAATGCAAGTGATTTTGCCGGTTCAGACTGGGTTGCAGTATGTGCTGACTGAAGGATCGATAGCAAAGTGAGTTAGCAAAGTCCCTATTCTGTAAACGGTTACCAGTTGGGTTAGTGAAAGAGACAGCATAATCTGACACCAGTGACACTTTAAGGCCTGTTCTATCAAACAACGGCGCTAACTAAATTTATGATCCCCTTATACGGACCCCGCTGCGGGCGATGGGCACAAGGCACTGCAGCAGCAGCTCCGGAAACAGGCACTTAGATACGCTGAGCTGTCTTTTACGCTCCACAGAGCTGTTAGAAATGCCGAATAGGTGCACCGCCACTCTGTAAGATGACAACTGAAGCAGATGTGCTTCAGATGGAGGAAGTGCAGAAAAGTTGCCAACCATTTCTGTGGGTCAGTACTGAGATGAGGAAAATGGAAATGGCGTTGTCGGCAAGTTGGCAGCCCATTGACAGGGCGTTATTGTAACGGCTCCAGGCAGTTATCGCCGCAATAAAAAAGGCGCTAGTTTCCGGCCATTGATTTGCGCCTGTCTTGCCATTCATGCCTGGGACCGGGAGTTGTTAGTAAATTAAAGATCCTGCCATATTGCTGTTGCTCCACACAAAGAAAACACGTCATGTTACTGCGCTGGACAGTCGATGTCTGCTAGTGTTTCCTTTTTGTACCAAGAATGCGGGATAAGCACTGTTGAGTCGCAATTGGTTGCAGTGCGCCAGCCACAGCCCCATTTGGCGGATGTGTGTGCATACATGCTCCTGCGTGTACTGCACATATGTGTGTGCGTCGTGGATAAAAAGCAATCAGTCAGCAACTGTCAGGGCATTGATTGCACACTACTCATGGAAGATGGCAGATAATTACAAAGATTTAACACGCAAACTGGATGTCCCGCTGTACAATGCCGGCAATGTTGTGTAATCGATTTTGGTCACATTGGGCTTGGTGTGTGTATGTGTGCTTGTGTGAAATGGTGTGAAAGTTATAATTTGTGACGGGACTAACATGTTCGTTGTGTTGTGGAGATCAGCCGCGAAAGTGCTACGTTATGGCGTATGGGATGTGTAATAACATAGTACTGTGATAATACCGCAACTTGCCACAAATGATGCTGTTTTTAGCGTGTCTTGACCTCACATTTGCCTTTGTTTTGACCTTAAACATGTTCCCGCCGGCGGTCAAGCCCAACATCAGCAAACCGCATAAGATCCGTCTGCATACCATGGAACAATGTAATGAGCAATTCGGCACGTGCTTCGCACTTTTATCCAAAGACGGCGGATTTCTGGGTCAAGTTCTGTACGGAAGAGGCGATCTACCGGGGAACGTAAGGACACGCTTCCCCGAGACCATTAACCTGTATTGCAAGTATGTACTTATGGATTAATTATAAGTTTTAATTTTCACACCTCATGGTACAATCCACGACCAAAATAGCAGCCACATTTAGGTACATCGTACTGGGCATTGTAAAAATCCAGAGTAGTATGTTCAAATCTTCAACATGTTACTTAATGTTACAGAATTTGAAGCGTGCAGCGTTTTATGATAGCTTCCTGTTATGTTCGGTACAAAGAGTTACTGTAAATTACCACCTGTCTCCCGTGACAAGAATGCTCGCAAAAATCACAAATATAAAAACTAGAAGCCGCCGCAATTTCCGGTACTATTTGCGTAAGGGACCTGTCAATACTTTCTGTAGTGATTGGACAACGAACATGTAATTTTGTCCAAGTAATCAAAAACTGCTCACCTGCTTCCCCGATAGGAAAGGTGTAACGGTACCAAATTACAGTGTCATGTAAGTCACTTTTGACCGCACTTTGATACTAGCGGTGAGAGCTTCGAAATATGCGGCCATAAACTACGAGTATGGTCATATTGTGCATAATTATATAATACGGCTAAACAATTCCTGTCCTATGCACAGTATTAAAATTTCACATTGTGAAGTGGATAGCTTTGCTTGCAGTTACTAGAGAATTACAATACCAGTTTTGCGATAAATGATCAACGGGGACAAAATTTTGAGATAGGTTCTACCGGTGTAAGAGACTACGTTTACTCGGATAGGTATATATGAAAGCATTGTATTAAATTCTTTAAATAACAGTAGCAGTGTTACGCAGTGCTCACTGTGGAACAAAAACTTGAATTGACTATTCATATATTTTCATTATTATTAAACTTAAACATAAAGCTTACTTAAAATGGAGTTTGATTTCGATTATACAAACAAAATGCAAATTATTAGAAACGAACTGAGAGAGTAATGCAGAACCCTAAGGTTATAAGCGAATTAGCAGATGAAGTAACGAGCTAGAGCAGGATTTTAGCAGGACAAGTAACGTTACAAGTTAACTTAAATCGCTGTAATAAAGTTTTGCGGTTATATTATTTAACCTCTAAAGTTTACGATGAGACAAGTCACAAAAGGGTTAAATCTGCAGACGTCTTCACAGCGTAAAGGTATTTGAGCGAATACTTATTGATTATTGTGTAAACTGCTTAGCACCATTTTAATTTTCTACAGGTCACTCGGAGCCGGTTTAAGTTGCGTGGATGATGCACTACGTGGGTGCTCGTCCTTAATTGAGAAGCCAGTTATCAAGAAAGTACGCGCATTTATGCGCTCCTTTCGCCAGATCGATCTATGTACGAAGGATACTTATCGGGAAGGTAAGGTCAATAATATTATAATCAGCGATAGTGCTGCACTGTCAAGTTGAAGAAGTCAGCATTGAATATCTATGCCGTATGTGTAACTAGCAATTTTTCATGTGTATTGGGCGCGGTCACTAGGGAAATATTGCACCTCGCAAAACTTACGCTGTTGGGGTATCAGATTTCATGGCATAAATGGATGATTTAATCGCAGCGAATCAATAATCGATTGATGGAAATTGCCTAGATTAAGTGTTTCTAATACTCTCAACCGATCTTTTATCGTATACAATCACAGTACTGCCATGGATTACTTTTAGTCAAGGGTTTTTTGCCCGAGCGGTTTTCTAAGCTCTGCAGTGGCCGATAGTTAGAGCCTCATTACGCAAAACAAAAACGTAAAGCGGTGCATCTTTAAAAATAATCACGACGCTTTAACCAATAAAAACAGCACTTACTAGGCCAATAATTAATGCATTACACAAAGGTGCTTCATAGTAATAATTATATGCTTTAATATGCAAAATAACTTATGACATTTATTTTCTCTAATATGACGTTAACTATTGTTTGACAGCCTTTATTGACCAAGATGAATGTTTCTTTGGGCTCCGGAGTGATCCCGTTCGTTCCCAGTGCGTGCACGCACTCGTGTCTAAAATGAATGCCGCCCAACAAAATGTTCTAGCGGTAGACGGAAATGTGGACTCGTTATTTGGAGAATATTGCCGGTTAGTATTGTAAATACATTTACCCAGCTAATATTCTGAAAGTGCTCCTGTACGTGAAAATTTTCCAAATGGTGCACTCAGCACTCAGCACTGCCTTGTTTGCTGTTATTGTTTCAAAAACCCTGAGCAGTGACATAAAAAATTTTGTTTATATTTTTTCATATAGCGCTTATCAGATATTCACTGACTGCATCTCCGATGACTTGCGCCATGACTGCGGACTGCGTGGGCGGGACATAATATTGCACAATTTCTACCAAGTAATGGGATTTCAAGGGCGGAAGCGAGTTTGCAATGCCCCAGTGCGCTCCAATGAGGTGCCTATCATGAACAATGATGTCTACCTGAATTCCGCCTTTTCGCATAATTATATTTTATAACGAAATCAAATATAATGCATTCACACGTATTTATTGATTAGTCATAATTTTTCGTAAATACCTATAGAAAATCACAGAAAAATCATAGATAAAGCCTGATTGGAAGCAATAACGAAAGTTCTGGGAATGAATGTTGTGAATAAACGATTGTCAAATAATGCTGAACGTGCGCAATCAGTAACCATTCAGTAGTGTGCTTTAAATGATTACCAACTATAACGTCACGTGGGAATTAACGTGGACGTTTTAGACAAACCAAGAACTGCAAGCAGCTGCTCAATACTAATTGCTAGCGACGGTCACAGAAAAAATAATTATCCTGCGCCAGAACCGCCGTACTGCACTGCAACTGCCAGTAGTGCTAAAAGTACATATTCATCTCTTTTCAAACTGTCCACTGGTCATTCGAATTGATGATTAATAACTTCTGGTTAATCCATTTAATTTGGTGAGTTGTTGTTGTTGTTGCATAAACATACAGCGCAGTCCTTTCAAGGACCATTGCTCCAACAAATATAAAATTATTAGAATTGCGAAGGTAACAGAATAAGCATATGACAGTAAAAACTAGTCGCTTATCATTGGATCACCGAAATCTGTTTGAGAACTCCAAAACTTTAGAAAGCAGCGGCAACATCCACTTTATTTTAAGAAAACCCAATTCTGTAAAGCCAGCATGTTATAGGAAAGTTCGCAATACAGTAAACGAGGGGTGCTTATAAATAGCGCAATGATAGAAAAAGTGATGTTGTTTCCGGCGCATAACCACGAGAGCACAAAGATGGATTCCCATATATCTGAGAAGGTCGAGACCCGTTTAGTCTAGAATGATCCATTCGAAGTTGGGTCAGAAATGCTTGAATATTTCGTGTGACCGGTACTGGCTTTCTCCATATCGAGTAAGACACATTCGGTTGGACATTGTATAGTGCTCTCCCTTTTTGAGATGCTGACCAATTTTTCTGCCATTCGGCAGAAATGGTAGTGCTTAAAAGTTGTTTGGTTTGAACGACGCTTTTGACAACGGCAGTTGCAAACCTTCGTTTTCCGGTACTTGAAGGGGCTAAATGAGCGTGCAAGAGCGATGTTATAGTGCAATTAAACTGGGCTCCCTTTTTTGCCGCCAAATTGGTGAGTACATTTACGAAGTAAGTGCAGTATACAGGTTATTTAAAAAGTGACCTTCCGTTGCTTAGCAACTAAAAGGGGCACAGTAGCATGGTCATCAGCGTAGTGTTAGAAAGGATCACTTCGCCCTCTAGCATCTTAACTTGTATAGTATGAACTGTATTATGGAGGCTCGTGTGGTGTTGGATTTTGCTGGTGCACAGTAAACATGAACAGTAAAAGATATGAAAATTTTACTGAATGCTTAAGCCATGTTACATGGAAGTCCATTCGCACTTCGCCCACGAATACGTTTTTTGCCTTCGTTAAAAATTATGCCTTGAGGAAATTTTATTTTATTCGACTGGGTACTGGCCCATATTATAACATTCCAAAACAAACACCTGCGAGCTTACATTGTAGAATGGTAAGAGAAACAAAGGTCTTCCCGTTCGCGAGCAATGGGGCATCGAATCAGAAACTTTTTCCACCGTAACCGAATAGCTCCGGAGCATCAAGGAACGTCAGCTGATGAAAAGGTAATGAGTAGTATTTTAAACTGGTCCCTTCAAATGAATTTTTTTATTACGTTGCAACGGTTCGATTTTTTAATGCGCTTTATGCCTTAGGGCAGAGCCTGCACCGGTGAATCCGTAGAATGTCAGGAGGAGCCAGGTGTGCCATTTCGCCACTCCAGTCTTCATATTTTATACGTCGCGGATGAGCAGATCAGCAAATTTTCTGCGACGATTTTCAATTTATTTTTGAAGTACTTTAAAACTTCGTGGCTCTTTAATCATGTACGCTGGACAAATCTTGCGGTTCCACCAGTGCTTCCGCGTAAAAAGCCGTTAATGGAACTTCCAACGGCTGTGCTTTTAATCATCAACAATATCGGCGATCTCGATAACAAGAGACTGTTGGTTATGCGGAAGCTGCTTTTGCAGATTCATTCAAAGTGCCCGTTTCTGATCTTGCTTAATCTGCCACGGGTTCAGCGACTGCTTCCACAGCGGCTTTTTAAAGGTCAGCGGTTGCAGATTGAACAGATGCACAAGGAATTTTTCATGGATTTCCTTCCGGCGAACGTTAAGGATTTATTGAATGTCCGGGTATGGGCATGCCCTAAATGCACTGGAAAAAAAGTGGTAAAAAAGTGCATCGAGTGGTTGAAAATGTACAACCATCCGCTGGCCCCACTGCCACCCCTTCCATTCGGACCCGCACCCGCAAAACCAGTCCGGTCTGTTACCATTCCGAGAGCTGTGCCAAAAAGGCGGGCTCAAGAGTTCGAAGATCTTCCTCAGTATTCCCCTGTCAAACGCATTATGAGACTGACGCAATCATTAAGCGATACAAAACTCACCGCGATGCTTGCAAAGAATCCCCAGCACCGTCCCGAGGAACCGCGATACGATGCCGAATACGAGGATTTCCGATCCCGCCGGGAAATGCGCCGGTTTGTTCGGCGATTGCGGGAGGCCCTGCGACTGCGACAGCTGGATGCTGCACGTTCGCCCACGGATGTCGCCGATTCCGCGTACCATATTGAGATAACGTCGGTATCCGGCCTGACGTCCGTTACCAATGTGGACGCCAGAAGCGAAGACTACGACGGGGACGAGGAAGACACAGACGAGGAAACCAGTGGTCTAACGGGTTACACCATCATTAACGGACACGTCAGTGCGATCGGTCAGCCACCCAGCGAAGTGGAACCAGTTGTACTTAGGATGGGAGCGGAACCGACAAACATGGTAGCAGCAGCGGTGCACGCAGAACGGATAAGGCCACCGCTGCCCGTTGACAGTTTTGAGACGATGTTCCACAGTCCTACCTTTATGGCGCGTCCGGCGCAACACAACGACGACACTGTACGCTTAATTAGTGCTCGGACGACTACGGATGATAACTGATCTGTTTTCTGGACGTGTAGCAGGTCTCTTACTACATATGGCGCTGTTCTTGTATTATTATTTAAAAGATTAAAATGTAAGAATACTGTAATTCAAACACAACAATACATTCTGATTTACGGGAATGCTTCGTATCTGGCTTACGTCAGATTTTGGCTGGACTTAGATAAACTGAAGTTGTTGCTGCGTAAATAAGTTGTTGTTGCCGTAGTTTATGAATTTTTCAACCACGGCCGTTAGAACTTACGTAAAATCAGGTAGAGTAGAATCAGGTAGGTTAAATCATCAAGAATAATTAAAAATACCCATAGCGCTCAATACTGGTGCGGTGGCTGTATCACAGCTCAGTACTTCCCGAAAGGCACATTGATCTGTGTCTGTACCAAAAAGGCCTTTACATAAGTAATTAATTTATGCAGCACAACCTTTGAAGTAGTTTTTATAAAGTGCACTGTACGTATAATGCCGATGCTAATGTACGTATGATGTACACTGTACGTATGATGCCGATGTTATGTTATATCATAACTCCCCACTATTGGGGGAAAACTAATTAGCATAAAGGCAAAATTTTAAGAATCTATGCTTCCGAAACACGAATGACAGATAAGCTTTGCTTCCAAACGTCCGCAGAGGATGCCAAAACATGTGGAGCCACTGCTACATGCAGGTCATTGACCACTACTCTACATGTTTGGGCATCTTCTGCGGACGTTTGGATAGCAAATAAGCTAGAAAAGGCAATACACATGCCTGAGCGGCCATCCAGGAAAGCGCGTTACCCTCCACATTTGCTTACCGATCGCTGCAAAAAGATTAGCCAATTTTAGTACCTACACTGCGATGAACAACATTTTTTGAATATCAGTTACTAGAGCACAATGAATATCTGCATCGTCACAAACACGTAGCAACGTAATATTTTCAACAACGCTCACCTTCTTCGATCCACAACGTGGACGTGATCGGCTTTTGGCCTTGCACGAAGACTTCTTTGGACGGCTGGACGACTTTTTGGGGCGGCACGAAGATTTCTTGGATGACTTTCGCTTTTTCATGCCACAAGAAGATCGCTTGGATGACTTTCGCTTTTTCATGCCGCAAGAAGATCGCTTGGATGACTTTCGCTTTTTCATGCCGCAAGAAGATCGCTTGGATGACCTTCGCTTTTTCATGCCACAAGAAGATCTTTTGGAAGACTTTCGGTTTTTCATGCCACAAGAAGATCTTTTGGATGACTTTCGCTTTTTCATTCCGCAAGAAGATCTCTTGGATGACTTTCGCTTTTTCATGCCGCAAGAAGATCTCTTGGATGACTTTCGCTTTTTCATGCCGCAAGAAGATTTCTTGGAGGACCTCCGCTTTTTCATGCCGCATTTAGACTTTGATTTCTTCTTCAAACCGCATCGGTTCTGGACATGATCAGATCCAGAGATTATACAGCAGCAGCTAGTATGCCTAACTGGTGGCTTTCTATTGCAGTACCAAACCGCTTACCTTTTTCTTCTTGCAGCCTCCGCCCTTTGGTCTGGCAAAGAATGATACCATCTCGCCTTTGCATGTCCGGAAGCATACGAGTTTCTTTCCGCCAACTACTTGTTTACTTAGTACCATTGTGTCTCAGAAAAAGTACAGCAAAGCTAATAATCAGGAGTTTGACATAATACAGAAAGTCGCTCAACAAAAATTACAAAAACTAAATTTAGAAAAGCTAACTAAGACTCCAGATCATCCTACATTTCGTACCGCTAAGCAACCGGTTGCATCGCAAACATTTTCTCGTGACCTCGTTGACCTTTTTTGTAACAAGTGCCAAGTGGAACCGTATTCCTTTGTCTACCGTTTACAGCGTAACATATTAAACAGTACAGTACCTGTTTTACAATTTGCTACGATTTGCACTGTACTCTATCGTAGTAATGTACTTTACTTTAGTTTAGCGTGTTTAAATCACGCGCAGCTTTACTGTACATACAACATATTTAATTTTTATGGCTGCAAGAATACCGGACGTACAGATATTAAATACAAAATCATACTTACGTATTCCTGTCACGTAATAAACATTAATAATCATTTTATTATTATTACCTAATTTTGTTGCCGTAATTTATTTTCAGCGGTTTCTTATTCTGTCATTCATGCCGGCTGTAGAAAAAAATTTTAAATCTCGTTAAATACATGAACTACATACATACTCAATACATGAACTGTAAAGCTAGTTTACCACTGCTTAAAGTATTAACTGAACTGCATAAAAATCGGAAGTTTTCGCGCATTTTTGTTCAAAATAACAATTTCCTTCGAAAATCGAAAATTGCAGCTCCATATACAATTCTCGAACAGAAATGATAACTAACAAAATTCTAAGGATGGATTTAAGTCATGCCATTTTAAAAAGAAACGATGGCCTTTTAACAACGGCAGTTTTCATGGGATTATGTATGGCAAAAAGCTCGAGCACTGCATCCATAGAACCATGTAACCAATATCCATCAATGTGCCTGTCCTTGTACGGTATGGGACCACGATGTTCTACCACAAAATCGCTACGCTGCAGTAACTCTCTCGTATATCCGCTGATCTGAATTCCAGGATCTGCATTAATTAATGCATAATTATCTTTGTTTCGTCCCGAATCTTACTGTGACATAAATGTTTGAGGTACGTAGACTTCGCGCTTACAGTTGCCAATGGAGTGCAGCATTCTAAGAGCAATCAGCACTGCTTCGCCGTAAATAAAGAACCTTGGTATTTTTGTGCTCAGAACGCCTCCAACCACTGCACCTAAAAATTTAAGAGAAACAAAAAATGTTTTTATTCAGTAGTGATGGACTCCAAGTCATGATACATATGCTATGTAGATCTACCTGAACTAATTCCCACTCGCGGCTTGAACCGGTAGTCCGGTTTGTAAGGAATAACGAAGCTCTCCAGGGCGGATACCAGGCGCAACGCGTACTTTACGGCATCTGTTGCGTGGTTTGACGATTCCACTGGAACGCCAGAAGCAGCCTGTTAGAAGAGTTTTCCAACCGTTTTACAACACCTTTTACTGAACAAAAGCGAGATAAAATTTCACAGCAAGCCTCCACACAAAAGATGTTTTGTGTGGACACCCCCTACATATTTTATCGTGGAATTCAGCTGTCTATAATCTATGTTCTACAGTTTTATAATGTCTTCCATATCCGGAAGTTAAGTGCACAGACAGCATAGTTATTTGATTTATGCTACCAATCGCACCGAAAGTAGCAACAGTTAATAAAACGTTCACTGAACTTGAGAAAATTTTTGAAAAACAATCATGGCCAAGATTAGGTAAAAAGTAAAAAGTTGTCTAATTTTTGCTCGCGAGTAAAGTAGGGAGCGGAAAGAGAAGTAAAGAGAATTTTAGAACTGAAGCCGAACTACAGAGTAGCCATGGTCTTAAAGGTTCACCCAGTGAAAAGTTATGCACGAAGTGGCTCCCAGTAATGTACTGGTATCTAAGGTAATTTGGCGATTGCTCACCGACTGTCCAGCAATCAAATCTGCATGCGGTAAAGAGTAAAAGTGTGACTTGCATAGAAAAGTTAGGGCTACTTACGATGACTGTGTCCTGAAAATGCGATACTCTGCTCATCCCAGATGTTTCCAGTACATCGCCCACTAATTGTCCAAGCTTTTCCAAACAGTCGATCACTTGAACTGGTGAACTTTGAGCTCGGATAACAGACGGTGTTAAGACATCGGAACAAACTACTGTTACGTGGTCGTAAACTTTGGTGCACGAAGTGGACATATTGTCGCCGTAGCCCGCAACAGCCCTGCAATGTTTCAGCTAGCTTTACGTATGTTACCACCAGGTAGCTGAATCCCCGCATCAAATAATAAAATTGTTGATGCAATGATGCTGAATTCGCTTTTACCTGGGTATGTACACATATAACATGGCATTCTTTTTCTGTTGGTCAACGTAGGCTTGAAAGTCCAGTTTATGTACGACATTTTCGAGGCTGTTTGTCAGATTTTCCATCTGAGCCATCAGCGCATCGGCCAGACTACCGCCTGATTTTGTACACCTGCAAGTATAAGTTGTGCGCCCCATCTCGTAACATATTTGCTGCTTCAAGTACTTACTATAGTGTGATTGTAACAGCTAGTACTAGAAATACCAGCTAGTACCAGAAGCCTATACTACTGTAGAGCGGCACTGGTACAGCTAAAGTATATTAAGCTGCCAGCCTTCCACAACCACTTACTACAGCTACAGTAAATTGTTGGCTACAAGTATCGACGAAGCCTACATTTTTGTCGCTACACGAGAAATCTCCCCTCTGACAAAACTCCAGTCAGGTCTTTCGTGCTGAGATTCATTCCAGCATATTTGCACCAGTTCCAGTAACTGTGTATCGCAGTCCACATCCAATGTGAACTTTGGTCGCATTGGTATGCCTTCAGGCGTTTGTCCATAACGAACATACGAAACGATTTCTGTACATATAACGAAGAACAGCTCGCATATTATTATTTCAAACAATGCTTATTTAAACTGCCCAATATTTAAAAGCACTAACCAGTCGGCGTGTAATCGAACATGCAGTACGGACGATCCCATAAAATAAGTTCTTGCATGATTATGCCATAACTGTAAATGTCCACTGACCGATTCATCAAATTGGCACTTCTTTGGTTGCTGTCGTTGCTGCGTAAAACCTCAGGTGATGTCCACAAAAGTGATTGACTGAATCCAGGGCACTTTTTGGCAAACCAGTATTCCACCATGTTCAAATCCAGAAAACTTGGCAGACCGTAATCACTGATTTTGACGACGAATTTTTCATCAATCCACAGACAAAACGAGGTCAACCGACCATGGCATTGCAGCCATTTGAAATACAGATGCAGCAGACCGTGAATGATGTCACTGGCGAAGGAGAATCGAACTTCCCAGTCCATCTTCGGCTTCATATGTATAAGATCCTAAAACAAAGCACATTATTTTGAGCTAATTATACAGATTGCTTCTTGACTGGTTTCTCACAATCAAGCGTCCCCGATTTCCAATTTCCTCATACAACACGGCAACATGGTTAATGTCGATTGAAGCACCAAGGAATTTCAGCACATTATCATGGTCAATCTTTCTTGCCCATTCTACTTCCTGAAGAAGCCGGAAATGCTTGACAACGTATTTTTTGTAGCAATGTCTAACAGCCGTCATTTTTCGCTTCCATCTACCCAAGACGGTAGATATCTCTGGCATTAGCGGTTCAGGAAAAACGTCCTCCGATTGCCATCCCTTCATAAACAAACTCAATTAACCAAGTACACGCAGAATTTACGTTACGATAAACGGATACCTGATGGCGAGCGTTTAAACTTGGTTCCTGTAGAAGAAAAACAGGTACAGAAACAGCAAAAACAGTTTCTTTTTCGGGAGAGCTTACTATGCTGGCATTGTCTTCTATATCAATGGGCACGGCGCTGTTGGGCCATGATACTCGCACATCACTGGGGTGTACAATCCAGTTCCAAGCCGAACGATAATATCTGAAGCCCTTCCAAGTAGCAATGGCGCAGCCAATAAGAATAATGGGAAGGAAGAAGGCACCGATTCCAATCATAATGTAAGTGGGTAAGTAATCTGCAAGCAGTTCGAAACAAAAAAGCTTACATTTCACTACTGCAGGTACTTCCGGGAGGGATTTTTTTGCTTGCTTACCGTACGGAGGACACTTTTCATCGAGATATCCACAAACGGGTTCGTTAACTGGTGGTGTGTTATTTGCATTGGGCCAGACGATCGCTCGTATAACGCTGGGTGTCGTGGGACAAAGCTCAACCGTTGTGTCGGTAATGTTCGGATCACTAGAAGCGTTATACGCTCGCAGCAGTTGAAGTACTCCGTTGCTGGCGTTCGACATGCCGTATAAATTAAAACTGTCACACACTTCCCGAGTTTTGGTTGTTAACAACTTTTCCGACAAACGCAAACCGCTTTTCGAGTAGTTCCAAGTGATCTGCTGCATCGCGGATGTTAGAAGACTGGTATTGAACACCACTGGCGCGTCACCTGAATAAAGGTCTGGATAACACACTGGTGCGGGGTTAAATCAAGTCGTAAGTTTACCAAACGAGTAACTCGGGAGTACGGCCAGTGGAAGTGCTGACTGTTGAATTTCGTGATAGAAGCCCACGCCGGCCGCTGGTAAAAGGACTGCATCATGATAGCTTATCATGTAATAGTCTGGAGCGCTTAATAGGTCTGGCCTGGTGTACTGATTGGTTCTTCCCCATTCCTTTAGTTCGTCCACAAACTTTAAGTACGATGGATCGGCTGAACGGTCTCGTAGACCGATTACTAACAGCGAACGGTATGCGTCTTTAGCCTTTTCGTCGTTTCCGTCACCTAACAAGTATTGTATGACCGAATGGTTTTTTATACGTAAGTAATCATCAGCCATAAGTGCGGCCATAAACCATTACCATAAAGACTCGTTTAATGTGCGGATGCCGTGACAGTGTGTTATAAATCAATTATAAATCATGCGTATACTTCCATTTACAGTAGTTTAACCTTTCTATAAAATACAGGCACGGTTCCATCAATACCGGAATGTATTTTGTAAAGGTACATACCTCGTTTCCAGCCAGTCTCTTTTGTAGGTTTTATAATGGTATCGCGATGGAAGTCTGGCGCAAAATACATATGCTCGCCATTGGTCATTCCTAGGTCATGTGCTCCCACAAGATACTGTCGAACCATTTCGGCATCTCCGACTAGTACGTGGACTGCAAAAACAGTATTTTAGACAAACTGCAAAGACAAACTCCAGTCTTCCAGAGCATGCGAATGTTGCCTTACTTACTTCGCCCTCTACTGTAAGCACTCAATAGGTTTCTTGACACATTGGAACTGGTGTCATGACGAATGGGGAAAAAGCTAATGGCTGTTGCGTATGGATTTGAGTTATAAAGACCTAAATAGGAAATTGTCCATTGAATTCATGAAAAATGCAAGCACGAAAATTAATATGAAAATTAACCATTGGCAATACTTCGACATTTTCGCAATAGGGATTTGCGTACGGGACAAGAGAGACACGGTAATCTTCGCGTTGTTCCACATGACAAAATCTTTTCAAACACATACGGGACAATTTAGTGTTTTCATTACAAACTTGTACACCAGATTAATAAAATTATCAAGCTTTCTAATGTTAAGCATGAAGTTAAAGAATATGTATATCTCACAAAATCAAAAGCAGGAAAGGAAAACATGAATAAAAGACATACACAGCCTATGACAAAAATACTTCTGCTATGTTTTCTGCTCTCCGGTAACGTGCCCATTACACACAGCGCTTTTCTCTTTGAATCTGGATCGACAATCGCTGCCGGAGCAACTGTGGCGCAACGCAGAGAATACCTGTCTCTGCTGTCCTGTACGCGAAACCGTATTGCGAAAATGTCCGGAATGCGATGGACGTCGCAGTGCAAATACTTAATATTCCTCTACATGCGCGGAACTATTCTCTGTTTAAGATCAGAATCAATACCAGTAGCCATGCCGTACCAGAGCTGACTACCAGGACTGGTTGTAGAGGCATCTGTATCATTGTCTTGAAAATATATAACGTTGACGTTGGTCCAGTTAAACTCGCGGCACAGATCTACCAGGGGAATCCAGAATGTGAAGGCGGAAAAGGTCATGCGGAAGCCATTCATGACGCTGAAGCTTCCGCGAAACGGCGAATTAGCCGCAATAAGTGGGCCGATACCGTAATGGCTCATCATAGCGCACGCCGCATCTAAATCAGCTGGACAACTCGGTCCCAGCACAACAACAACTTTCTTACTGAACCAGGTACTTTTAATCACGTAGAGCAGATTAGTTAGCCCGTCGCCGAACGCATCATCGCGACAAGTGCCACAAAAGGTTGTCGGCAGTGTGTAGTTAACGTTGAACATATCGGCAGCCTTTTTCATGGCGATATCGATTCCTGGCTGCATTAGGTCGGAATTGCACGGGATGCCACTGTCGTCGGAATGCATGATCATTAGCCGAAAAACTTCGGGTGGCTGGATAGAAGGATTCGAGGTAGTGGGTGGGGGGGTGAAGGCCATCCAAGGCATTGCAAAACTGGGCATTGTTGTCGTTTCACTGTTTTCAGCTGCGCTTGTATCTAGCTCTAAAATTTCTTGCAGCAGAGACAAATAAATTCTGCTTAGCAAAACTAGTGTAGTCAACAGCATAAGAAAGTGTTTCTGGAAAAATGATATAGAAAAAAAATATCAAAAATGTTTGCGGAGAATGGTGTAGTGTTAAAGAATGTTTTAAAATAAACTGTTAGTGATGTGGATTTAGGAGTCTTGTGAACTGTTTGGCAAGCTGATAAACCCGTCTGCTTTTCTGCGTTGTCGCTGTGCGAAGTTACTTAAGTAGTTGTTTACAGTACGTCAGTATCTGCAGGTATTGTACGCATTTGTACAATTGTACACCAATAGCGATCTAATGCTGCCCGTAGCAATAAATATTTGAACCTCGAACACAAGCTAGCAGCCTAATATTCCGAGCATGAACTTTAAAATAGTAAGTACTCTTTTCATTAATACAGGCGTTTTCAATAATGCTCACGTGTTAATTACTGTACACTGTACAGTGTTGTGACACTAGGCAATGTATGGGTAGTACAGTACTTTAGGGTAGTACTTCTGCTGGATTAAGAGTGTGTACATCCACACTCGACATGACAACAAATTCGTCGAAGTTATGTTTATAAGCTGTCTTCAAAAAATTGTCATGTTGCAGTAATACTCGTATCAGTATAGTGTAGCTGTGGCAGCAGTGTCTCCACGCTTAGAACTCGCTAAATCTTCAGTTTGGAGCCATTAGCTGATTTATAACAATCAACGGTGCGTTCCCAGAGCAAATAACAATATTTACGACCGTACATTTGAAAAAACAAAATCAGCATTAATACGAGATTCCACTATGTGCCATCAAAAATGATGCGCTCCATTTTGGAGGCCTTTCGGGCTAATCTTGCTGCTTTAGCGACATGTTTCCGCGGGACTACGCGCAGTTCCAGTTTAGGCGATGCGAATTTCTGACGTAATTTTTCGACGGCTTCTTGACAGTCAGACACCACCAGGACTCTATCAAGCGCATCCTGACATTTCCTCATACCAACCAGGATACCGAGCATGATAGCCTTTTCTTTGACCTCAGTGACGGAAGTCGAGCTGGATACATCCAGGAGGGGTAAGGCAGTGTTGGCCGTATCATTCGGCCCCAGATAAACGGCGATACCGGCACGAGCGTCCCGGAAAAGACCAAATGTTTTCAGAGAGCCGGTGGTTTGTACAGTGTACAACTGGAGAACGGCACTGGTGCGATGGAGTTTAGCAAGTGGAAACGGGAACAAAGGAAACGGGACGGATCGATTGATTGGTCTTGCGGCAGTACGTCCGATATTACGAAGAAGAAACATACCTTATTACGAAATTAAATATCGATAAATTCTTCTCTAGGGGCATCTTCGATTTTTTTATAGAAATAGCTCCATAGAAACATTATACGCGGAAGCGATAATAATAATTACTTGTATTACACATTTATAGTTAGTAAAAACTTTATTGGTAAGTGATAATTATACGTTGTTCTTACAAATCGTAGCAATGTCGTAAGTACGTTGTGGATATTTCTGCTTATTAAGTTTTATTCTTCAGTAGGACATGGTGCCGTCGCAATTTAAGTCGATTAACGCAATTTAAGCGTCGTCGATTAACGCAATTTAAGCGTGAAGACTGTATTTCTGTTTTGTATAATGATCTGTCAAAAGTATAATAATATATTTATATTTTAAATGTACATTCTGTACCATAAAATACGTATACTATAATTAAAGTACAGAGTACTTGCATTGTACTCTGTAGTCTTCAGTAAGGTATATCGAACATTGGTTCTGAAAAATGTTTATTTAAGAAATTTATTCACACCCGGCTTTCAAATTTAAAATTAGCCAACGCTAACTTTCGGCTATTGGATACCCAGAACTCATGTTAACTCATGTTACGTGCCCAGTACGGCTATAACGGACAAGTTCGAAAGAAAATATCTAATTGTTTTGCTTTTAAATGAATAAAATATTCCTGGCTCAGCTATGCAGCCGGTGTACCTGATCTAGCACAGTAAAAGACCAAAGTTCCGGGAGCGCCGCGCTCACCCTCAGTAGTGACGATAAAGTGGCAGTCAGCATCATTTAGGGAATCTAAATAAGCATAAAATTAAGCCCACATCTACTCTCCTGCTTTGGTCAAAATTGTAACTAGCGCACATTGCAGCTCGGTTCTAAGTCCAAATACGTAATAGTTCAGTCAAAGATCAGACCCTGACTCAAACAAGCGCTTCCCTTTTCCCCATGGTGCCCGGCAAGCATCGCTTTATCTCACGCATTGGATCCAGATTAACGCGGCTGGGAGAACGTATTTACGCAATGTGACCAACAAATTAGGCAAAATTCCTTTTGAACCACCGCTTGTCTGACAACAAGAGCTAATTATTCTGTAAAGTTTAACGGCAACGAAGGTATTTAACGGCATCGGCATATAAACGCCGACATGACGGTTTGGTTTCTGTCGATCTTCCGAACACTCAGCGCACGAAGTCATCAGCGGTTTTTCGGTTTTTTACACTTTTTATTCCATTCTCTTGTCATGGAGAAATTTATCTTATCCGTTACTCTGTTGTTGACCATGCTGTCCTTCTCCGTTGCCCAACAATTCCAGTTCAGCAAGGTAAAGTACTATGGCGTAAAGGTAATCGTTTTGTGTCATCTCATAGTTAGGTGAGCGAGAAGCTAATACTCCAGGCACAATGACAATGCTGCATATTTTCCAGGGCTGGACGCCAGGCAAGCGTAGCGGCCTCCCGCAACCCGGTAAGCCAGCAAAAAGATCTCGATGTAGATGTTTAATTGCCGCGCAATGTATTCTGTATCTGTGTTTTCACGAGTTTAAGGGACACAAAATCCCCCTGGGCCGCCGCACTAGGCGTCGGCTTCTTTAACATCACAGAAGCCGACGCCTAGTGCGGGCGGTCCAGGGAGATTTTGTGTCCCTTACACTCGTGAAAATACAGTAAGTACATGTGCCACTCAACAGGCCCTCCCATAGCGGTGATGCCGACTGGAGAAAACGCTTTAGTGGATGCCAGTTTGTTCACCAATACCAGACTGCAAATGGACACCGATGAGCTTTTGGGCTTGTGGGCCATTCTGAAGCCCAATATCATTGACCAGAATATGGGAATTTCGGCAAGTGGAATTTTTTGCTCTCTGCTGTATTCATGGTGGCCAGTAGTAACATTCGGTAATCTCGGTAGGTGTTGCCGCCTTCAGGCATTAAGGGAGACTTCAAATCTAGGATGTTGGCCCGGAAATAGCTGGATAATGCGCTTGTCATCAATAAGTCCGCACTATGTAGAATGTTTAGACTTTTAAACTGCTAAGTTCTGTATATGTTAGCATTATATTAATATTGCACTGTATCTTTCAACAACTGCCCTGCTGCTGCTGTTATTTGTCGATGCTTCGGGAACGTGCGTAATCAGAATAAATACCACCGGCTCATCAAGTATGTTCGAATTGGGTTCTTTGAGCTAAAATTATGTACCATGCAAATTTCGACATTTACATATATTTAGAAAAACAATATAGGCATTTGCAATTCAGCTCCAGCGCATTTGTGACGTGTTGACATGTAAACCGATCGACTGGTTGAGAGAATGCGCTTATGCAGTTGCACGCCTTTTTGACAAACCTATGTTTTTAATGGCTTTTACTGTGGTCTTCAGCAATAAATGACAAAATGATAAATGATAGCATGATAAAATTTGCGAGAAAATTAATGAGGTAGTCAATCAGATTAATTCCAGTTAAATTAATTCTTCGTCACTCTTTTCCCCAGACGCCAGCCACCGTATGCTCTGGCAACAAAGTGTACAACAGTAAAAAACGCAGACATTTGTGCTAGGAAAACATTATCAGTGCGTGAAAAACCTTACAACAGACACTCATAAAAGCAGTTAAAATTCAGAGCATTAGTGAATCACATTTATTATAAGCACGATTCTGACCTACGAACAACTACTACAATTTTACGTTCAAATTGTCACCCAAAGCGCAAACACGCTAGCCATTAGCGTTACAAAAAGAAGGCCAGGGCGGCTAAATATTATATGGTCAGCTCCGTTACAAAGTTCGGTTGTGCACATGCACACCGTTGCACCTTTTTCCGATCGGCATTCATTGATGTTTGTTCCAGGGACACCGCAAGCGCGAATCACATTCCCACTGACCTTAGCCTTCACACAGGTGTTAATCGCGCCGAGAGGACTAGAGCACTTCTGTTTCATTTGTTCAGTAATGTCTTCGCACGCTTCCCCATTTTGGCAGGTGTAACATGAAAATCCGTTGGCCACTATAAAGCCGAAACAGTGGCGTTACTGTCTGTCACTTCCCCAGTTCAGGTAAATTAGTAGCTTACCCGTAATAAAACCTAGTATAATCAGAATGATTCCGCTTGTGGTGATAACCAGCTTTGCCTGTAGTTTCGGCATTGCAATGATAAACTATTTTTACTGTTCCCAATGCGGAACTTCAAGTTTTGTGTAGAACGTCTTATACAACCTACAAGCGCGGTCGGAAGATAACAGATTAACAGTGCGTATGTTCCTGTGGTAACTCAAATATTACTAGTAATGATAATGTTTTCAATACAAATTACTGCATGTAGACGTAAAAGTAATGTAAGCATTAATTTGTAGAACTGCATTTAAATGGCAGAGGATAGTTTAATTATCAGCGTACAATGCGAAAATTCACCTGAAGGATTACATATAAGCATTTTACGCTTTTTACATAGCTTTTTTACATAGACAAAAATTGGGGTACAATACACAGCTACTTTACGTATTTAATACAAATTACGATGGAAGCTGCAAAGGAATTTTCTTTCCCGTATGCGGCGTTTACCCAGTGTAAGCGGATTGGCAAGGCAAAGAATCAGGCGAAAACAACATCTTCCGTGGGAAATACGGGCAGCTCCGTTGGGATTATTTCTAGCGCGTATAACGAACCGGAACTGCACGAACAGCTGCAATTAAAAATCGGCAAGCTCTCCGTGGAAAAGGCTAATTTATTGAACAGAGTTGCATCCTTGGAAAATGAGGTGGATTTACTAATTACCGAGCGAGAAACTGCTGCCCACGCACATGGTCAGCGTATTGAACTGTTGGAATGTAGTCTTGATTTGCGACAGAAAGATTTGGAGAATAGTATGATACAACGTTCAGAGCTCGAATCGTTTTTAGTGGAATCCCAAGGAAAGTTTAGTCAACTGGAAAAAGTCTCCCAGAAGGATGCTCAAGATTATCAAAACGGAATACGGGAAAAAGATAATTACTGCGAAAGGTTAGAGCAAAAGGTTACGCAACTACAACTGGAGATTCAAGAAAAGGAAAACTGCTACAAAGAATTGATTCTGCCAAAAATTATACCAGAGGTTAAAGAAAGATATCCTACGGATGCTGATTGCGGTGATTGTCAGAAACGGAAAACTGAGACTGAGCGAACGCGCGAAGAAAAAGAAATTCTCCAATTAAACATTCAAAAGCTAATGGATGAAGTTGTAAACGTTCGCAGAGAGTCCCAAGCCAGAGTCGAGCACTACGAATCAAATGCAAAGTTTTTAATCGAGAGCGTAAAAACAAAGGAATCTGCAGTTGTGGAGCTGGAAAGGTCACTAGAATCCAACAGGCAGGAGAACTGCGGTCTGATGACAGAAAAAGCCATGTTAAAAGCACAGATGGATAATATTCTGCGTCAGCTGGAAGAAACACAATTAAAGCTGTCTTCCCTGCAAACTGAAAAAGAAGCCATACAGAGTGACCTTTGCCGTAAACTTGAAAAGATGGCTGGCGAACTGAACGCAGTAAGGTTTAATGCCGTTAATACAATCTCAGAATCCAAATCAGAACTAGAGCGCCGGTTACGTGAAGCCGAGCAGAAATACGCTTCTATGGAAAAGGAATTTGAAATGCAGCTGTCAAAACTTCAGTCAGAAAAAAGTGCTCTTAAGGAAGAGTTCGATAAACGATTAGCAGAGAATGGTACACAGACAGAAGAAGAAGGGAAGCGCAGAATGCGAGCACTGGAAGAACGGCTACAAAATGAAGTTCAAGAATGGAAGCAGGAATACGAGAAAATGAAGGACAGCCACCAGCAGTATACTAAAATTGTCAACGAACGTTTGGAACAGCACAGTGCAACATTGAAAGAACGTTATGCTTCGGAAATCAACGAACTTCAAGAACGTGTAAAATTACATTTAGTTACGCAAAAAGAAAAGGATAAAGAGGTGACAAAACTGAAGCAGACGATTTCCCACAAAGAAATCGACTTAAAAAGCGCCAATTCACGAATTAATGCGCTCCAGAAGGAAATCAAAGATTTAGCTGAAAAGGTCACGAGTTTGGATAAAGCGGACAAGGAGAACGAGATTTTAACTGCGGAGGTTAATCGTTTAAAAATGCAGAAGGATCCGGCGACCATCACTCAAACGGTCATCAGAGTGGAACGAGAAATTCTCGAGGAAAGGTTGCAGGAGGAATACGCAGAGAAACTCAACAAATCTAAGGACAATCTAAAACAGGAGTGGTATAATCAAATCAAAGAGATTAATTCTAGACATGAACAGGAATTGTACGCAGTGTCTGGCCAGATTTCACAACTGCAGCATGAACGGAACGAAGAACGATTACAGATGGCCAAATGTCGCAGTGATTTTGTTGAGAAAAAACGGCATTTGGAAGAACAAATTACGGCATTGGCCACACAAAGTGCCCATGACAGCAAATCTATACAACAGAAATATGAAATGGAGATGAAGCGCATGGCCAAACTCCACGACCAGATTGTAAAGAAAATAAAAACGGAAAATGTTGAGTCGATAAAAACTCTTCAGAAAGAGCATAAACATGAGATGGAAGATGCCGAAGAAAGGCTGAGAATGGAGCGAAATGTTTTGTTAAGGCAGCACCGAGAAGAACAGCGGAATTTACTGGCAAAGTTAGGTGCAACGGTGCAACACTGCGCCGACAAGGAGCAGATTCAAGAAATTCAATATCTACGTAATCAGAGCGCACAAATGGATTTCGAGCACCGAAAAATTTGCAGCGAGATGCAGCAGGACTTTGATCGGGTGTTGGATCGGTACAAAGTTGACTACAAAACAACGGTCGAGGCGCTGGAAAGACGAATTAAGGACAATAATAATCAAGCGCAGCAGGAAATTGTGCAGTTAAGAAATGCTCTGACGGATGCCGAGATTCATAACCAACACTTAGAAGAGCATCATCAAATCGAAATCCAAAGGATTCTTCGAAATCGCGATACCGAACTGGAGGAGGCGTTGGTTGCACAGGAGGATAGCTTAATGCGGGAGAACGATGCCAAGTTAGAGAAGTACCAGAAGCAATCCGATCTGCAGATCCAACAGCTGGACAGTCAAATGCGCGAGCTGTACAAAGCGTTTGAGCGCAACACCAGTGTGCAGCACGAGACGCATGCTAAACTCAGAACGGCACTGGATCGCAATGATGCACTGGAAACCAAGCATGCCTTCCTTCATAGAAAGCTGCGTCAGTCAACTGACCACTGTCCTAGAGTAGTAGCCAGTGCAGAGTCTTTGGCGCGAAAAAAGCGATGAATGGAATGCAGCTGCTTCCTCCACTATAAAGATGGAAACACCAGTTATTTAGCCACTGCTGAACTGGACGAACACCTCAAGTTCCTAACAACGGAACTTAGTTGTTCCTAACAACGGTCTGGCTTGTTAATCCAAACGTCGATCGAGAATGGAAACAAAGGATACCGATATATCTATATACATTTTTTGCGCGAGGTTTGTCGAACAAAATATTGTATTAGTATAAGACCTTGCAGACACTTTAAAACGAGACCTACTCTGTATTAGTTACAGATTATAGTTCGGAAAAGTAGCCTTTTTTATTTTCAGCAATGCTGCTGCTCTGACTAAAAATTAATGTGACAACAACGCAGTTAAGGTCTACATTTTACCATGAAGTACAACACTTGTCGAAATTGCTGTGGGGCGTGAAGTACTTACTGTATATCAAATTTAAATAACCATAATTTTAATTTCAATCATAATTTTAATTTGCACAGGACTCGGAAATTACGAGCCACGAAAAACTAATGATTTGGTTTTTCAAAACTTTTTCAAAATTTTTAAATAATTTAATAGCAGAATTGTATATAATTGGTTGTTGACTTTTTGTTACTGTGTGGCAATGTGTTAATTGTTTTGCTTGTAGCCAAGTCAGGGATCCAAGAAAATTGAAGAAATTTAATGGGAAAACGAAAACGGAGCCGTGGCCGATGCGGCACTCCATAATCTACACTCTGTAGTCTAGATCGGGTGAGTCATTGCATGTGACTGGTTCAAATGAATCCATCCCATCCAATGAGTGCCGACTTGTAATGAAGCCAGCCATTGTATCTTGATTCCCGGTGTTCGCATAAGCATTAACTGAGATAATGACAGGAACCTAACCGTATGAGTATAATTTAGTCAGGTAACTACAGACAGGCATCGCAAATCCGCATTGTTGCGGATTCTGCACTGCAGGTTGCTTTCATCCACCATTTTGGCATTTTTGACCAGTTTGTATTTTACGATCTACCATCTACCCGAGTTTATTGTTTCAGCTGTTTTTAAAATTTCACTTTGCTATCTTGTTGTAAATCGTAACAGCATTTTTCGCAGATTCAGTGCTTCACTAAATATCAGGTTTCAGTTGTTTCACGCAGACAGAGCTGCACTTGGCCCTGCGAAAGAGTGTGTTCACTGTGTTGATGCCTGTAAGTCTCCGCAGCGATAGCAGTTTCCTTGTCACCTTGTCCTTGGGTTTCTTCCTCATTTCAAGTCATTTTCACTTGATCCCTTTATTTAGTGATAACAACCAGATAGTCCTTGCTTGATAGCTGACTTTCTTTTGAAAGGAAGGTGTTTTCGGGTTGTCAGTGAAGTGCAATAGTTCACTGGCAGTTTTGTGATTATTTACTTCGTGCTTGCAGTTAGCTGTCTGCTGCAAAGATGGGCAATCCCAGTATTCCTGAGGATTATGCGAGGCTGTTTGTTCGTAACCTTCCTTCGACGTTTAGCAGTGAGGTACGTCATTCTTACAAGTTTACAAGCATTTCTAGCATCAGCATAATCGTCTTTTAAACCTGTAGTTTTTTCGCCCGACAGTTCTTCCGTCTTGTTTGGGTATCTGTCATCACATGAAATTGAAATCAGCTGACGACTGACGTGTTGTTGAATAAAATTGTTTATCTACAGGATAAAGTTCGTGAGTATTTTGGCCAATGTGGATTTATACGACGGTGTTTCCTGTTGTCCGCCAGGCGTGACGATTCCAACCGAGCAGCGTAAGAGCAGTAATTTTGGGAAATGAAAATGCATCTGGTCAACAGGGCAGATGGGCCATTACACCGTTTTCGATTATGAAACAGGTACATCTCGTTTCGACATCATAAGGAGGCCGTGGATGCGATTGCCACGTTGGACAAGCAGAATGTGGACGGGTCAGAGATCATGGTTGACTGGGATTACGAAAAAGTGGTCAGTGTGTCTTGCTAATCGCCCTGTAGAAATTGTTTATGCATTTAATTCAGGTAATATTCAAAAGGGACCCATGATCTGCCACGAATATCTGTTCAGTTTAATCGGCAAATTTTGGAATTGGCTGCAAATTGTTGGAACTTTGCAAATTTTATAAAATTTGCCGCTTTTGGCTGACCGAATTGTTAAGTATTTTGGATCACGTTTTGTTTTCGAACTACGGTACAACGCTCTGCATAATCATTAATATTAATTCATCATGCAGGTATTTTTTAACAGATTTCCCGAAATGTTGTTGTTTCAATTTCTAAGAAAACCTTGACTTAATAAAAGAAAATGGACCTTTTTGTGCGACTGTAATTTATTTGATTTTGGTATTGGAAGTTAGGTTATGCAGTGTATTGTTGAATATTTTGTGCACTTTTTCCCGCCAACTGGTGATAACTCCATTTTTCTCTACCTTTTTGATTATGTTATCTGCTCCTTCTGTTAACCAATAACGAAATGATTGTTTTCGATTCTTGGACACTTGTTGATAAATTAATTTCTACCACAGGATACGCATATCACTGAGCGCGGGCGACGGGTCAACGACCCGGAAGTGAATGGGGCACATGGTCCTCCTCGAACGCAGTCAGCTGGCGATTCAGGTGAATGCCGAATACAGTTGGTTAATTTCTATAAAATTTAGCTGATGTGTGCGCTGATTTTTAAGGTATTTTCTCAGACCAAGATCAGGAACTTCCGTTCTTTTGTGAAAAAAACGGACGGCAAGTATGCGTCGGCAAATTGAACGCTGAAGGGTTGGCCAGCCTGCTGGGCGGTGGTTGGACAGCCGCACGCGTACCTTCATCTCCTGGCGGACGGCCGAGTGCGTATTATATTACTTGCTTAAATTAGCAGTTAAATCAAAGGAAAAACATAATATTACTTTAGAAAGAAATGAGATGTTGTTTTTATTAGGGTTTGGACCACAAGAAGCGAAGCGACTGAGTGAGCCGCCTTGATTTTATTTTGATTTCTTTATGGGTACTTCGTACAGTTAGCTCAGATAGATTCGGCAGCAGCCAGTACATATCAATACGCCTGCGCAGATTTCCACTAATTAAAATCGCTTGACGCGTAGCATTGATTTCTTTATACGATCTTTCTTTTACACTCTGACTGAATGCTCTGTAGGCTTCTCCTCGACGGATGATTCAAATGGCGCATCTACGAAGCCATCGTTAGCGTTTCCGTCAAAATTTTCGTCTGGTTACAGACAGAACGGTTGTAATTCTCCCTTTGCAACAGTATACCCGCCCATTGATGCCGCAACAAATGATTCCTCAGCCTGCCCCGCGGCTTCCGCCGTAGATGAAGTGAAAAAAGAGGTAGCCGCTGAAAACACGCGGACTTCGTTTAGCCAGTCAAATACCAGCTGTACCTCACCCTTGATGAAAAGTTCCGCGCCGCATAAAAGCAGATTTGGCTACGTTTCTCCTGTTCCTGTGGTCTTGGACTCCGCTGCTCACCATGAGAGTTCGGAGCTTTCAAACGCGACGGCGCAGAGACCAGCGCGGGGTAAGCCATTTACTACTGAAAAAATTTAAAGTTTTGTTGTAAATCTTGGTTATTTTGTACTTACCGGTAAGGCCGACCGAATGGGGCTTTTATTTTTCGATTTTATTTTAAAACGCTACTCCCGATTTTGCTTTTATATGCTTTTGTTGCAGATACGAAACGCATTAATATTCTGAGAAGCTCTCGCTATATCGCTCCTGTTCCCTCGACTCGAGAAACGTTGAAAACGGAGACTGCGAAGGTTCATAAAATTAGCCCAGCAAGTGCAATAACCTCTAACACGTACGTATAATTACTTCATTGCAGTTTTTATTTCTAAAAACATTGGTTGACTTTTGCGTGCATTATAGGATTTGGACACATGGGCACATGCGTGGATGGGAGACTGAAAAGACGTTCATGGTTCAAGCGCTTTTCCTGGAGGCCATTGCTCCCACGGGCCGATTTTGGGTTGGACAAGAGATGCTGGGTGGTGTGCCGGAAACCGTTGCAAGAATAGCGAAAGAAATGACCGGCTTCTATTCTTCTGTTGTTATACAAGAAGACTTCTACCCCAGCAGAGTGAAACAGCCCGTGGCCGTGCTGTTGGACGTGTGCGAAGGTTATCCGCAGCTGAATGGCATGTGGCATCGCGGCGTTGTTGTGGAAATCCAAACCAAAGGCGATCACATCGTCTTTGTGGAACTGATTGATATTGGCTACGATGAAGCTGTAGAAATGCAATCGCCAAAATGTATTATTCAGCCGCTGTATGAGCGGTTCGCCCAGGAAATTCCGCAAGTCTTTCGGGCGTTGGTTGGAGGGATTTCCCTGGATTCATATGACACACGGATGGGCGATTGTATTCGTAAAGCAGTAAAATTGAACAATCAGCTACTGACAGCCACGCTGGAAACACAGAAACCGTTTCCAATCATCAGACTGTTTGATATGACGTGGTCTATTCCGGTGGATATCACTTGCTTGGTGGTGCAGTTTATGGAAGCTGAAAAGAGTGGTAAGGACAACGTTCGGATTGGAATGCCGGTGTGTGCTAACAATGACCTTAAAGACGACTCGTACGATTTGCTGCTGTGCGACATGGAGGATATGGAGCAGTTCCAGGTATAAAATCGATTTTAAAACTATATAAATAATAAAATAACTGCAGTTTGAAAAATCGTGATGATAAACAGTCTCGCCCATTTGGAAAATAAAAAAATTTACCGCTTTTTCTTTAAATGACTTGGGCAGCTTTTTTTAACGAATCAGAAGTTTTCATTATTATTCTAACAGAAATTAATAAAAAACTCAATAAAATTTAAAAAAATGTCTAATTAATTAAATTAAAAAATTAATCGATTTCAGTAAATTTTTTGTAAATCACGTGATCACTTTTGAAATGAATGGACAGGCTAGAAGAACAGCAAGAATTATACGAAATGATTACATTTCCTCCAGTTTTCTTAATCAGGGATGCTTCCCATAATAGAAATTTCGGACGTATCGGTTTGTGCAAGGGGATCCTTGCTGTAGTGAATCTAAAAGAGGCTGCTACAAGGGGTTCTTCAATGAAAAAATATGCGGTCAGTAAAAATTAATTTGTTAGCTGGCCTTGTCCGCATTAGGTGCGCATGGTTTATGGAAATTTGTAAGCGTTACGAAGGAGATCTGATAATCTCAAATATTTATTCTTTTTCTTTTATCGTAAATGAAAATTGATAGTTCTGTCACTCAAGAAAGTTCATCATTTGCGAATTGCAGGTAACACAGAGTGCAGTGGCTAAGGCTATGGATATCTCAAAGCCACCGGCAAATTTGGTGAGGGGTCAGGTGAACGCGACGTACATCAAGAAAGAACAAGCGTTTAGACGGTGTCTTATCGATCTTGGCGGTAAATTTCCTGACTCTAACGGCAATGTTACTGTGGAACTCCTTGATGTTGGTGGAGTGAATATTGTTCCTCTTCATGCAGTTCACGCTTTGCCGGAAGATCTTCAAACGGAGACTGTGGTGAAGATGTGCCAGCTGGGCCTGGACGATTTGCCGGATGTTGAGCGGATGACCGTCAGAGAAGAGTTGCGAGCCTTAGTGGGCAAGCCATGTGCATACCGAATGCTCACCGAAACTGCCAATGTGTGCCAGATAATGATGTGGAATGTGAATACCATGGCCGTGGTTGGCGAAGGTTTCACTGCTGAGGAGGCGGCGGGTAAGGACGAAAAGGAGACTGGAGACGAAAACATCGCTCATGTATCGGAACTGAAATGCTCCAAAACTTTGAAGCCCGGAGTGGTGGTGGATGTGGCACCATTGGAAGTTCTGACTGGGGAAATTTTTACGGCAGTGGTGGATCAGGCAATTCATAAGGGTAGGTTTATTGGTTATACAGTTGCTGGAGGTCCTTGAGGTCATAGAGTGGCGGTTGCGTCACTTGCCGGGTTGTAGGTTTTTAAGAGTTTGTTATCTTCACGTAGATCTCGCGTTCCGCACCATGCAAGAGACCATTCAGAAAGAGTGTGAAGCGGCATCAGCGCCGGACGCCTTCCCGGAGAAGTATTCCGTGGTTTTCGCTCGCTTCGCCGTGGATAACGGATGGTATCGCGCTGTCATTGAGGCCCACAAGGATAAGACCGCGGAAGTACGGGTGCTGTTTATTGACTATGGAAATCAGGAATGGAAAACTCTGAAGGATATTCGACTGATGGATCGCAAATGGCTGGCCGTTCCACGAGCCACGATTCTGCTGTGTGATGCAAGTACGTACCGAATCCTGGTGTATTGCTGTTTTGACGGCGTTCAGTACCCACCGATTCACTGTGTTTTCCAGATTATATGCCGGCCGTGGAAGAAGAGTGGACCGATGAGGATATAAAGGATATTCGTGGGCTGATTATCGGGAAAGCGTGCCGCTTTGAGCCGGAGCGATGGGATGAAAAGATCGGTGTGTGGTTGGGCCGGATGATGGTTCCCAAGAAGAGTGGTTACGAATACTTGGCCGATGTGCTGGTGGCAGCCGGCATTGCTGCATCGGGCAACAGCCAGGCGTACCAGCAGTTGATTCATCGTTAACCTACCAAACGGTGGACCTTCGCGCACATGACAGAATTTGCTTCCGTTAATGGGGACCGCGTGCTGCTCCTGTCCACTTGTGGTTAATACTTAACACTGGCGGATGTGTTCAGTTTATAACATTATTGTCGTTCTGGACAGACGTTTTGTATTGTTTTTATTGTGTTACAGAGTTCTGTGCTGCCAGTATTGTTATTGGCTTTTTGCCTTTCGTTGTGTTGCCTTTAGTGATAAGGGAAGACTTTTGTTGCACTTTTATGTATAAGCGGAGTATCGTTTTCGGTTTTATTTTGGTTGTCGGATTGTTGGAAAATAATACGGTATTTCGATTTAAAATTTCTTGGTTTTGTTGTACAGAATGGCTACCGGCGCTTGCAGTCATTGCTACAATAAATGGTTATTTCACTGTCATCACTGACAACTGAACCAAAGTACGTACAGCAGAATGAGGCGACACAGTTAATTTTAATGCAACCGTCGACAATTACAAAGACGCAAATATCGGTAAGCCGGAGTGGTACTGTACTGGTTATTATTGGACATAATATTGCGCACATATGCTTCGTTTGGTCATGATCCTAGTCCTATGCACCGCTTTCAAGTTTTTATAGTTCGTCTTTCTTTGCCTGCTCAGCCGTGCTTTCCCTGTTTGGCCTTCTCACCGCGCGTTTTGACAAAATCCGCAAGCTTTTTAAACGTCTGACCTTCTCGAAATACAACCGGCACTTTCTCACCTCTGCGATACAGATGTATTGTTGGGTAATTAGAAATCTCGACGTTGTCCAAATCATTTTCGGTAACATCCAGCTTAGCAATTATGATGCTTTCATCATTCTGGAATTTTTCGGCTAAGAAATTGTAGATCGGCTCCAATGCTTGACAGGCTCCACAGTGAGGAGAATAGAATTCCACGAGAACATCTTTTTGTGACTCGGAAAATAACCTTTTCAAAGTTCACTCGCGTTAATACTTTAACCGGCCTTTTGTCCCAGTTTTTTGGCAGCTTTTGAGTTTTCTTGAATTCCTCAGTTTTTCCGTCTAAAACCTCTTGAATCATTTCTCGCAGTTGATCGGTTGTTGTTGTATTGTCCACCTTTAAGTTGATATCTGACCCATTTGTCCATCTCAGTTTCTCCAGCCTGGAAAATTCGAACCGCAACCTTTTCTTGGTCGGCTTTAATGCCCAGTTTACTGTTCATGTAAGCATGCGTCTTATTTTTGGGGTTTCGCTAAAGATAAACCGCAGTGTTCCGTGGAACTCAGGAGATAACTTCTTGGTAGCTCGCTTTAAACGCTTATACGCGGCATCTTCGGGAGATCCCGTGAAGAAGAAGAATTTACGAATTTTGCCAGCCAGTAAAGTCCGAACATTCGTGTCCTTTAATTCGGACACAGGATCAATAGTTGCTTCGCGTATGAATTCAGCCAGTTGGCTGCTGTTGTACACATCACCACTGTACATAACTGGAGGCTTTCTGCCGTTGGCCACAGCCACAATGTCATCCGTTTGATCAATGTCCTGAAGCGCCGCTGCTCCAGCCATTCCGAAATAGACACCATCCACCATACGCGCGGCTTTCTCGAAGGCGGTACTATAATTATTATAAAAAAATTACTATTTGTCCTTTTAAAATGCGAGCTTTTGATATTAAGCGCAAAAACGAGACCGGCGTAATAATCGTTTTTGGACCATACGGTGTACACCGCATTGTTTACCTGCATAATCAAAAAAGGAGTCGCCGAAGCTGGCGCATGCAGAGTTATGTACTGTACCTGTTGCCAGATGGAAACGAACCAATTGCACGCCACCCCGGAATGTCATGCACCGCCCTCTGCTCTTCCATTGTGTTCAGAATCACCACCGGTTTCACAGCTCGGATGCCGAAGTCGTACAGCGCTTCACTCGTCTGTTCACCAGAATAATGTGCCAGAAATTCTCCGTCGTGGAAGTACTTTATGGTGGGGAATGCTTTGATGCCGTGTTTCTTGGACAGCTCTTTATCGGCTGTGGCATCAACTTTTGCCAGAACTGTGCTTATTGCGTTTTCTCGAAGTTTCGTCGCTGCTTGAGCATACAAAGGTGCCAGCTTCTTGCAATGACCACACCAAGGAGCGTAGAATTCAACAATAAGATCAGGAAACGTGGCGACAGCGGTGTCAAAATTGCTTGCATTTAGAACCAACACGCCTTTTTCTTCCGGAAGTTCATTGAGTAGTTTCTCTACTGCCGCTCGGCGCTTTTCTTGCGCTAAATACGCTTCTGCCTCTTTTCGAGCGGCACTTTTCGGCTTTTTGCTTGATGTCGTGCTGTCTTCGGTTTCGGATGAGGAAGGATGATTGCTGCTGTTTTCTTCGAAAAGGTCAGGGTTTTCTCCAAGTGTTTTATCTTTCAGAGCATCAGCGGAACATCCCGTGCGTTGCGGGAAAAGGTCGCTTTCAACGGTCACATCGTCATGATCTTCCGCGGTAGTAGCAAATGCGGACAATGAAAGAAGCAATAGCAGAACCAAAAACCGTAGCGTAGCCGCCATGTTTACTTACAGTCTTGAACAAAAAGGATTAAAATTTTAAAACATAAAAGTAACGTAATTATCGGATGTTGAAAAGTTTGTGTAAGAAATACTACCTACTACTTCCAGAATAAAAATGACTGACTTCGCAATAATATCACATACTAATACCATTGAGTACTGACAGATGAAACGGTCAAAAAGAGTTTATCTGACCAACAAATACTTAAGCACACAAATACAAATTGCATTAACTATGCAATTAATTTTCCTCGATTATAATGCGATTCTTTAACACATGTTGACTGTTGCTCAGTAAATACTAAGGACACAGAGCACTTGTTAGTTCAATGTCTTAGAAAATTGATATTGACGTACAGTACATTAACATAGCGTTCTCAGACTTTTAATGTGCCCAAATTTTCATTTAAACTTTTATGCATTCGTTTAGTTTGAGAAAGTATCGCTTTAACATTGTGTACATAGCGTGCGCTTTATGAAGATAGGATCAGCGGAGTAAACTCGTAATTGGTCCACGATTATCAGCAGTGCAAGATGATGTGTGTAACAGATTGTGGCGATGGAAGCACGGCAGTGCGAGGTAAATAGCGTGTGAAATTTTTGTTTACACTGTCACCTTTCTATAGATGAGCATTTTTATCAGGAGCGGGATTTAAAATGCGAGATCCAACTGGCAAACTTCAGAAAACTAAAGGCTGTTCGGTCAGGGAAGACTTGGCCGTGGTCCGCAATATTACTCCTCCACGAGATCCTGCGTTATGTGAATCAAGAATACGCGATCAACATACGTAAAACTAAAACTAGTATAGAGCTAAAAATTATTAACGACTTTGTATAATTTGTGCTTTTGTTGCAGATGTCCAGCACCAAAAACCTCACGCATATGCAAACTCCTACAAGAACTTTATCATCATGAACTTGTTTCGCAAAGATTATATCCTTTTCTACAATTTAAACATATATTTATATTTTCTAGTTCTGAAAAGCGACGGCTTCCTTATCTATTGCTTTTGTGTGTACAAAACAGGCAGCGATCAAACCATATCCATCCACTGTCGAACGGAAGATACAGGCCGTTAGAGAGCAAGTTAATGTGGGTACAAACAGATAACCTTTTCCTGTGCACTGGAATAATTTTATCTGCCTTTTCGTATCAATCCTTAGTAGTCTTTTAGTCTATACTTAATTGACGTATTAGGCAGCCATGCAAGAGTTATCCAAACTGCGCGAAGCAATCACGTACTGTGACGAACAAGCAGCTCTACTGCATCAACAAAGAAAAGATTTGACAGACGAAATTAAGCAAGCCGAAGGTTCGCGTTGACACTGTTTGCTAAAGGTCAAGGAACTCAGTTCTGCTTCATTATTATTTTCCATCGTATACAGAGCAGCATAAGTGTGATCTGGATTCTGCCATGAAAGAATATATCTTCTATCGAAAAGAAGTTGATTCCTTCCATGAGGAGGCAGACGGAAGTGTTGTTGATTTGGGACAAATATCTGCAGAAGTGGAACAATGGAAAACGACCCGCAACCAATGGAAAAGCGATCAACTTGCCATTGAACCGGAATATTACCGGTTATCTGCCGAATCCCAGCGATTAGAATGCAAACGGTCGTATCTTGATCGGGCACTGCTGCTAATCGGCAAATCTATTGAACGAATGGAACTGGCGATCGGTTTGTGCGAAGAAGAGTATAATGAAAGTCCTATTCAGAAAGGTGTCAACCAGGTAAGTGAAACATTCGACAGCTTTAAGCGCTTGTTTATTTCTTGTTTCGCGCAGGTAGAGCGCACTTGCCAGTGCAGTGCTTGAAAAAGGATACTTGACATTTCAGTTACAACGGCTTTGCCAAGCAGCTCTATTGGTACGTATTTTGCTGACGTTTTGCTTATATAAAAGTGCCCCCGAAATGACAATGATAGAGAAAAAGCCAACTGGACGATGCCTTGACACATCGTTACCTTGCCGAAGACGACTCCCACAATATGCGAAACGCCGTGGTGCATGCCGAAAGGACTTACCCGGTAAAAGGTCTCAGTAATACCGATGCGTATGCGAGCGTGGCGGAACAACAGTTGCAACTTGATCGTACCAGTCTTCAGTTAATACTCCAGCAAGCGGAAATCGTGCAACTGACCGCTAAAGAGGAAAAGCTTTTGCAAAAAGTTGGTACTTAAAAGCGGAAAAGCTAAAAGTTGGTACAGAAAAGGTCCACTTAAAATTGTTACGATATTAGTGCATCAGTCGCAAATTGCGATCCAGTTGCCACATACATTGTACAGTGGCGAAGGCCGTATAGCTTTGACATTGTCGGTTGTAATATTCTATAACGATCTTCCAGTCGGTCAACTTGCTTTTTTGATAGAGAGCCAAACTAGACAAACAACAAGTGGATATAATATTCAAGTTAGATCCGGAAAGTGACTTCGCTGTAGAAGGCAGAAGGCTTCATAACAATTTGGATACCGCAATGGATCGCTACGGGAGCCTCCAGGATGATATATTCAGAACCAATAATGACGTCCACCAAAACACCATGGCGGTGAGCTGAGCTTTACTTCTCAGCGATTTTATCACGCAGTCTTGAAGTGTTGGTACATGTTACTTTCAGCTTCGAGAACGGGAGCACCACATTGAGGAGGCGGAAATATACATAACTTCTTTGAAAACTAAAATACTGAAGGAGGAAGAACAAATAGACAACATAAAAAAGCGGACTACAGAAACATTCCAGACAACGGTTACCGACTTACGACAACAAGTGCAGCATTTGTTACGACAAGCCGAGCAAGAGTTCGAATCTAACAAACCTTGCAAATCAATTTTGGATTTGACGTAACGAATAAAATACTTACGTAATAGGCAAAGTTAGTTCGAGGGCGCAAGTGAGTTCGTTCTCTGTACCGATCATTGAATACTACACAAGTGCATGCGACAGTTTTGACAACATTACATTTTTAATGCGGTACATATGCTGGAGCCTATTATGGTCATACGACTGCCAAAATAAATATACAAGATAAAAAGAAACCAGATTAAAAGTACATGAGGAGTTAAACAGAAACCAAGAAATGTAAATAAACACGATTATTTTAAAGTAGAAGAAAACAGGAAAATAGTTATCACAGTACAAAAACATAAATGCCAACAGTGAAAGCTGCGGAACATTTCACTTGGACTTCCAGGAGCGCATATATAGACTATTGGAAACCTGTATGTAATACGATTCATGGGGAGAGGCTTTGACGTCGACCTTAGCTGAAAGATGGGTGGGATTATTAGTGTCTGACCCGGGCGCCACTCGATTGGAAAAAAAGCGCCGGAATCGCCCACCTGTAAAGGCCGTCTTCTCAGGGGGCCTTTCTTCGGCTACGACTGGCGGGGGCGGCTTGACGACCTGTCCCTCGTGGAAGTCATATGTCACTCGTCTGACCGACTTCGTGTCGTGTTTCCGCTTCTTCGATTGGGAGCGCAGCAAACTTTGCACGACCACCCCACCAATGCTCTCTTCCCCAGGCATAGAGCTGTGTCGACCGGCCCCGCTGTTGCCGAATATTCTTTCATGGGTGGCTTGTCCGAAAGCAGTTCGCGTATGACCATGAGCACGATGGTTATCATGTAACGTGTGTATCGTTGTTAGTTCTTCCGCTTCGTTTAAGTCAACTTGGTACAAAGCAAAGGCTCTCCAGTTACACGATAAAAGCCAGAACGCTGAAACATAGAAATCATATTTGGATTGTAGTGTTATTGCCCTTCTTATTGTTTCTTACTTTTCATCTTGCCCTTTCCCTTGACGTCGAACGTTCCGGCCGGCTTTGTCTCGAAGTTGGGGGATACAATCTCATAGGCGGTCTCGCTCAGAAGAATTCGATAAGGTCGACTTTTAGAATTCATCCGGGATGCTGTATTCACCGTGTCACCCAGCATGGTGAATAAAGGGAATTTGAGGCTTAAAATTGCACCCGCTACCGAACCGGTATGCATGCCTGCTTTGACAAGTGGCAGTCGCGAGTTATGAGGTGGAGGGAGGAAACTGTCTTTTGCCATGGTCATCAGCCGCAGCATCGCGAGAGCAACATTCTGGGCGTGGTAAGCATGCGTTCCAGCCAGTAAGCAATAGTGACCAGCCGTGGCGACAACACTGCAGTTGAATCCCTTAACAGCATTTGAAACCTGGGAAGTAATAAAGTAAACATATTAATAAACCAGATCAGTAATCAAAGAAAATAGCTTGAAAAAACTGTTGAAATATTATGGATGTTGAAACATATAATGTTAATGAAAATAAGAGCAAAAGCTGTTTTCGTACTTCGAGCTTACAAGGTGGTAATACCAATCCAGCAAGGCAACATGTTCCGCGGTATTGTAAATCTTGCATAGCTCTTCGTACTGCATTAGCTCCACAAATGCCACCGTGGCTTCACTGTAGAGAACAACCGGCGGCAATGTCCCTTCATACAGGTACTTGAAATTAACCTCAAAAAACATTTCGGACACAATCTTGTCGGAGCGGAGCTTTTCCTTCTCAATAGCTCGCCTTCGGCACAGCTGAATCCACTGAAAACGGTAAGATTCCGAGAAGATGCTCATGAGGCTTGTTCCAAAAAGTCCAAGCAGATTAATCAACACGAAGACCATTAACAACAGCAATAGCAGAGTGATGACAAAGATCAATATTGCGTCGTGCAAGTCAATGCGGAATTTCTCGGTGACAAACGCTTTACAGTGTGACTGGGCTCTGTCGGCGGCATAAAACCCATCCACCAAAACCTGACTGAAGAGAACATGCGTAGGGGAATCGCTGCGTAAATCCGAAACTCCGGCATTGAGGGCACGCTGACGCGCAAGATTTAAGATTGTAGTGTTGTCCAAACTTATCAAGGCGAACATCTCTTGCAACCAGAACTCTTTGCTTCGGTACCGGAAACCGGTCCATTCGCAGTCGCTGCATGATTCCTTTATTCCTGACAGCTTGAACTGAGGGTACGCGTACCGTTCGTGCATTTCCATGGCCCGAATGATCCGCATGTACCGCCGAACGACGGTCAACCGGAGACGCTCGGTGATTGGTGGTCCGTCATAAGCGAATTTACCGAATGATAGCGTATCGTTCAGTCGGTAAACTAGTTCATTTTGAACTAGTTCCTGAAGTATATTGTTCCATGTTGGCCCGCCACGTACATTAGTAACATGGTGAGCTGCAAAGAATTCGCGAAGATTCCGAATAATAGTAGAAATGTTAGTTGAAATCGAATCGGGGTCCACAATTGTTTGGGAAGTACTCAACCGTGTTTTCCATCTTTGGAGCGCTTTGATTTGCCGCTGAGGAGTGTTGCGTTTATGTTGCTCTCGTAACTCTGGGTAATCTTCATCAAGCTTTTGCAGTTTTTGCACGGCTTCGTTGTAACCATCATCGTCGAACTCCACTGACTTTCCCGGGGTAAAAGCTAACAATCCGCGCAGTAAACTTTCTTGCACATGCGTCAAAGAATCCACAATAGCCTGCACATCGCGAACACGATGCTGGAAATTCCTGACATCAACAACAATTTTCAGATTTTCTGACACTTCTTCGAATCCATAGACGTTAAATGCCACACCAAGTAAAACTGGCCATGTTATCAGCACCGCAACACCCAGTACTTGACGAAAGTCGACGTAGGGAATGACCTTAATGTCTTCAGATTTGTGTGGTGCGACGCTGGGGCGTTTCTGGAAAGCGGTGCGCATATGCTCTTGAATGGATTGTCTGGCCGAATTTCCGCGAGGAACAATGACAGCCTCTTCCGACGGAGCGTGAAAAACCGCCACATGATCGCGCTCGCCTGGCACTGGATGGAAAGGGTTATCGTGAAATTCGTGGAGTTCCGGGACATGCAGCATAAGATCGGATTCTTACACCATGAGAAACTGAAACTTCATGTGCTGCACGTTATCATCAGTTCGTAATTGTAATCATTTAGCTGATGCAACGGGCAAATAGGTTTCTCAAAAACGGTGTATTTCACAATCTGGGTGGTTTAAACTTTTTTTTTACTGGCCCGTTTAGTTGCAAGTTTCGACGAAGGCGCCAAGTGTCATCACATTGTCGCTATTGATAAATTAATCAAGATTATTGTCTGCTTTTACAGTAAAAGTTTTACTGACGACACAAGTCATAAGTACTTGCTTTACGTTCACCGTTCACGTAACACTGTGCTGGTGAATCGACGGGAGTTCGTACGGTTCTGCGCTAGTCATCCAATGTATTTCGGGTGTGTTGCCACAGCAACCTTTATATACGCCGCCTAATTGCTGTTAAGTATACAACAGCGCTTTGGTAGCACTACGGCTTGGCTTCTCGGTTTATTCAAATAGAGAAGCTTCGATTGATTGTAGTTCATTCATCATCGTATTAATACAGCATGGACGAAACAGGTGGTATTCCTAGAAGAAACAGTCGCCGCGATAGCGGAAGACCCGACGCAGTGATCGGCGATTCGCAACCGACCGAAGTTCCGGAATCACAGACTGATAGTGCGAAAAAGACCTACTCGGTTCCAGCATCCCAGTTTGCCCGGCCAGCAGCACGCGAAACAGGCCGTTATAATGGGCGCTCCAGTCCAATTTATTTCGACATTACGTCGCACCAGGAACTTCCTGAAACAACGCATGATTTCCGTGCGCACTCTGTCAATGAATTTAGACAAGCAGATTTACGGCCGTTGGATTTGTTCATGTCGAACATCGAGGACAACGAACCCGCGACATTCCTCGACATGTCGGATAAATCTTTTGCTGACCTCACACAGGTACGCGCATCGAATACGGCGGCAGAAGCAGGACGAGATATCAATGATAGTGATTCGGAGATACCCGATAACACTCATTTGATTCGTCCGACCTTAGTTGAAATGGCTATGGCAGAGCAGAGAGCCAAAGAAGCGTTGAGAGAAGATATTGAGGAAGTGGCAAATCCCTTGCACGATATAGTTGATTCATTAAGCCGTCTAAGTGAAGCTTTGCTTTTTCGGCCGGCTCCCTTGGACATGTTTGCACCAACGCAGCAGTGGGATTACGCTCACCATTCCCAGTATGAAATGCGGGAGAATAGTCCTGGTCAAGAACCAGCGCAGCTGGAATCTTGGTCTGAACTGTCTAATGCGCCAGTAGGAGAGATGCCAATGGAGGAAGAGCTTGTCGGAGATTCAACTGCACCAAAGTTCGAAAAGCCGGAGGTTCGGCTTCAAATTCAGTCTGCTAATACGGCAACAGATATTTCAGGAGGATTTATCAAACCCTCTTCAAAAACTAGTGGTGATGACGCTGCTCTTGAAGAGAAACCAAACGTTCAGTTGGTTGTGGCTGGGGAAACGAAATCCGATAAACAAGAAATGCAGTCGCCTTCCGACGCTTCCGCTGGTGTTGCACCTGCCGATGATTCACTTGTCGAGCTAATGAAGCACCGACCCGCACCACTGCCGCTTTTTAAGAGTGAACCGGATAGCGAAGTTTCCGACTTTGTAGACGACATTGAGGGTGCAAAAGCAGAACGGGGCATCAGTGATAACGATTCCGAGATACCTGATAACACTCATTTGATTCGGCAGACACTGGTTGACATAGCTATGGCAGAGCAGAGAGCCAAAGAAGCTACGGGTATCCCATCCGAGACAGTCGCACAAGGTGAGGGCAAGTGACGCAAGCGCTGCACAAATGAGCATCTGCTCCTTTAGGCTTTAACTACTTACCAACAGCGAACGTCGCGGAATTATTCGAGTTTTCTTAAGTGCATATTTTAATTTTCTTGCTGCATATACACGCAAAACCAGTTCTTTTTCGGGAAATGTTCTGCTTGCATATCTATATGTTTAGCTTGCATATGTTGTACTTGTGCTTGCATATGTTTGCTTGCAAGCGGCGGTCTGAATAATCGAGGCTTTGGAGACTGCGAATTTGTGAAACTCGGTTTTATTTTGTGTTAATTTTGCAGAAGCGGAAGCATCCCCTACAACGCAGCCGGAAACAGAGAAGTCCGTATTCCAAAAACTCGGTGACATGATTCTGCACCCCATTCAGTCTATTGTCGAACCAGCCATTGAAATGCTAGTCGGTCCGATATCAACAGAATCAAAAGGGGAACCGGCTCCGGGGGCAACAGATGGTAACACGGCGGATTTCTGTTATGAGTAAAAATTATGTAATGGTGATTATTATGGTCCTCTGATAAACTGTTTACGCTTTTTAGCCGATTTCAAACCCGATTCACCTTCCGAGGCAATGCTAATGGGCACGGTCAGCCAACAGAGCGGAATGTTGTTACGGGACATGCCGGATTCGGCACTGACTCCTCACAGTTACGAATACTGCTATCCGCGCGTGGCATACTCGGAGTTTCTGGATGAACTAGCCAAAGAAAAAGCCAGGCGAGAAGCAAAAAAATTGGCTGACGAATCAGAGAGCGTCGTTTCTGTTGATTCGGCATCCGTAAGCGAACTGCAGCGCGTTGGGTCAGGTGGATTTGAGCCATCCGACAGCGGTGTCCAGGATGAATTCTTCAATGCCGCTCCAGACCTTCAGAAGTACCGCGCAAAGATTCACGCTATGTTTCCGAAAAAAGACAAGACGGCTTCGCCGCAACCAGTCAATAAAGACCCCTCGGATGCTGGTCCGAGTTCTGGCGCCGACGCTCGCATGAGTACATTGAATGACAAGTCTGCTGGTCTTAGTGCCTTATTTTCACCAAAGCATGCAGCGGAACCTGAGGTCTTCTTATGTTCCATGAGCGGACACATGCATCCCGAAACCGATCTGGATGGAGAACTGGAGCTGGGACCGAGAAGTCCGTCCGGACATGAACTTTGTTATACGGAATCGGTGGAATGTTTGTGCAAAGATGCGACGGAACCAATGCACTGCGTTCACTCTGACCCAAGTTTCGAGTCGAAGAGCGCAACTTTCATCGAGCGCTCCATGGTATCACGGCAGCCGTTCGGAGATGGAGTGAGAATGCCCGCTGGGCTGGGTGCTGACGCACATTTGGCCAGGATTAAAGAGATCAGAGTCAAAAGCGCCATTGAAAAAGCAGAAGCATTACTTGCGACACTTTGCGGGAAACCTGTTGCGAAAGACTCGCAGCCGCTGACCTTAGGTCCGTATAATTGTCACACTGTTGAATCCGCGGAGGTCTTTGAACGCCTTATGCAGTATGGGGCAGACCCACAAGATATGTCCTTCGACTCGAAATCACAAAGCCTAATGCACGAATTTGAAAGCAGCTTAAATTTGCCTTCCGGAAAAGCCACTGGTGTGTCGGATCAGCCCGGCAGAGCTGTGAAAAAGCGTAGACTGACTGAGCGTTTAAGTTTGTTCTTCGAAGAAGAAAAGCGATTGAATCTGGAAGATGCGGAAATTCTAATGCGACAGGATATGTACCAAGAAATGTCCGGGGTACCAGTGGAGAGTTCCCCGGTCAAACGAAAATCCGGGTTTCTGGCCACCATACGTAAACTGTTCCGTCGCAAGGAAAATGGTAAAAAAGAGGCGAATTCTGCTCGTTCTTCTGAACAGGATGTTGCAACATCAGCTGAGGCCTTGCATACTGCTAAACCTGGTGTTGAGGAAGACATCGATGACCTGGAACCATTGGGAATGCCCTTGCGTAGTTGTCCAGCGATGATCTCATTTCCAAATCTTGTAACGTTGCACCTGGATGACGATACAAAACGCAAGCGGAAGTCCGTTGAAAAGTTGTCATCAGCAAAGCCTGGCGAATTCGGTGCGTCATGGCCAACCGAGGATGCATCAACTCTGCGCTCAGGTACTGATTTGACTATGTAGTGGAACTAATGCGTAAGAAATTAACTGTATCAGTTCTCAGTTCTCTTTTTTTGTAGCTAACACAACATCTGAGGGTGAGCATTGTCCACTCTTTATCTGCTGCATGTGACAGGCCACATGTTCGGCATTGTATCGGCATGTCTTTCCTTGAGGTTATTACAGCCGGCCATTTGCAGCATCGCGCTGGGATCGCTCGGCAGTCGGCATGGAGCCAGGAATGACCGACTCGGTGCAGATTGACCGGACTGGCATTGCGCACATGGATTTATCCTACTATGAGCCGAGTAATCATAGCGGAGATGCGGGAGAGTCCGGATTCCGTGGTGGAACGGTTATGCCCGGGGGACCGTCTAATTTGCCTAGTAAGAATGGCCAATGGGGCATCACAACACCTACTGTATTACTTTTGGAATTTAGTCGATATGGATGCTGTACATCCCTTTAAGAAAGTAATGGAGTACGGTGGACTGTATGAAGATCATTGTTCCATTATCCTCTTTTGGGCGTGCTATCTTCCTTCTCGTCTGGGCACTAACTACACTCATACGATGGAGCATCTGTACAGGTACTTGTACTTAAACGCTGGCATTCTTAAACGAATATCCATCTTGCTGTCAAAGCTGTTGAGGCTGCACTGCCAACTACAGTGTAAATTTGCTTGTGACAGATATGTGGCAACCTGTCTGGACTTGTTGGCGGATAAAAACTATAAGCTTGTCTTCTTTAACGGAGCTACAGCTCATGAATGCGAACCACCGCTCCCATGGCTGCGCGATGTTTTTGCTCTGATGAATCACGAGTAAGAAAACCTTTAATTGAGTTTCGCTTGCTTTTTTTCACGAACTGTCCTTTCAGCAACTCAAAGAAAATGTTGGAAAAGATCTTAATTGTACATCCTGACGATCATCTAAGAAATCAACTGAAGTTTATTGATAGCACTGGTTTCAGGTAAGTGCTTAATTGTCACGAGCCAGGTTACGCACCTGTTAACCAGTTAACCGTACGTACCGGTTAACCTTATTTACTGCGGTATATGTTAGTCTTTTCACTTTTGTTGTAATTATTCTCTTAAATCCATCATACATAGTCACAATTTCTTGTTAATGAGTTCATTTCAGCAAAGCGTTTACCGGCAAGATTGAGTATGTAAACAATTTGGCATCCCTTGAAGAATCCATCTCACCGGAAGCTATGGTAAAGCTTTGTCGAACGATGTCGACTACTTTTGTGCTTGCGATTTTTAGCGTTTCTCGAATAATACCTCTATTTCAAAGCGATAATCACAATAAATTCCTAATTAGACACATGGCAAAACTTAAGAATAATTTTTCATCATGCATGATACAATAAGTTGATAACATAATGGCCCGGTTAAATCTAAAAAATGTATTTCAACGTTTGTGATTGTAGGAATTTATGACGATTCCGGATCACATTCGGGCCTACGATACGGAGCTTGCTAATGGAGTAGTCCCACCCGGTCGTACAGTTTATCATCCAATGTCAATGCAGTTTAGAGGAACTTCGGCATAATGTGCACATATATAGTGAAACAATTGTGCCGTTGTGTATGTCAACCGATGTTACTTGTAGTTTTGTGGTTTTACGGTTTTATCTTTTTAATCAAGCAGTGCTGCTGTTTGTTGCTGTTTTTTGTGGTGGCATGATGCCAACTTCCCAGATAAAAATGGACTGCTTCGAACCTCATCGTTTTTATAGTCAGTTCGAACAACGAGGTTGCTCGTCCGACTGGTGCAATAAGATGCATCCTCACACTCAGGCCTTCGTTTTTGTTGCTCCTCTGGTTTCCCTGCACTTCCCGACAACATCACCAGCGGGGCAGCAGATTTTTAGTAACTAATTTCCAAGAAAACTAGTTGTGAAAAAAGTACGTACTACGTACAGAATCAACTTGTCACAATAAAACCACATTGGCGCTACCGCATTGGCACATTACAGTAGCGCATTGGCGCCGGTGACGTAAATATTGATGAAAAGCATGGATACATCTCAGGATCTGCGGGTTACCGGAAGGCTCGGGAAGAGTGATGGGTATAATGGTGCAAGCCACAAAGGGACACTGCACGCCTTCCAGCAAGTCGAATACTGCTTGGCAACTATTGAAAGACACGGTACAGCTAAGACCGTTCGGAAAACTCATTTTAGTTTGTCGATCGTACGAAAAGATGGGAAAGATATCGTAGAATATTGTAAGTTCTGATGCACATGCTGTTTATCACTTAATGATAATGGATGCATTTTTAACCCATTACATTCCGTGTTTTGCAGACTTCTGACAGCGTAATATAACAAAATCCAAAAAGAGGTCTTATTAAGAAAAGGATAAAAATTTCGTACTAGTACCGAAACCTGATACGGGACGCTGACGTAAATATTGATGAAAAGCATGGATACATCTCAGGACGCCAATGTGGACTACAAGCAGCTCTTAGAACAACAGATTAAAACTAATGCTGAACTGACAAGTGTGAGTAACTGATCTGTTTACGCTTCTGATAATACATGTAAAACTTGCGAATAACGATTTGGAGGTTGACTTAGGCTTTGGAAAGACTTACTCTGGGAGGACGCCTTCAGTTCATCCCACCTGCTCGTTTTATCAAACCCGAACCCAAGCCACCCACCCCAGCAGTTTTGCCTCCGCGTCCTCCTGCTGCTACCGCCGAGCCTGTAGCTGTGGAAACACCTAAAGATATTGAACTGCATCGCGTCAGAAGCTGTCCCGTTAATCTGGACCACGCCCGCTCAGCCTTGGCTTTAGTATGTGTGAAAGTTTCGTTAAGTGATTCTTGAGAGGTCGTCAGATTGGTTCGCTATTTAATCTGGGTCTTTTTCTTGTAGCATGGCAACCAGTCGCAAAAGCAGCGTCAACTGGACAATTACTGTAAGCAAAAACGACTTGATTTTTGCGAAATTACTTGCATGTTGCAAGCGCAGGCAGGCTTAGGAGGCGGCAAAAAAGTGACCTTTAAAAAAAGTTAAAAAAACCTTTAAAAAAGCATTTTTTTTGGCTTGGTTGATGCCTTGTTTGAACATACAGGGGTGCCGCGCCAAATTCGGACAGTTGCGTAAATTAATTTAAAAATATTCCTTTACTTGGTTTTACTCTTCTTCTTGCCTTTTTCTAGTGTAACTTTTTATTGCGGATCCAAATATGCTAAAATTTGAAATGCTGGATGGGACATTACGCAGCCGACCGGTTAAAACCAGGATGGGGTAGTGGTCATTTCCAGAGGGCTTATAACTGACCTTCTAGAAAATTCCCCAAGTGACATTTTTTCATAAAGATTTTTATAAACTGTTGAGTGGCCCTAAAGGTATGTGGTATGGGTCAGCGAAAACTTTCCCGTGATTGGTGCTCGAGGTGACTCAGAAAGAAGGTGCACCTCCCATAGACTTGAATGTTAAAAGGTGCTTCCGGAAGAATGTGGTTGCCTAGCACGCAGAGATACATAACTTCGAGATGATGTTTTTGAAGAATGAGAGATGCATTAAGGTAGAGGATTTTTGTATTCTATCTGTTTTCTACCAAGCATGCGATAAGACAGAGCAGGCAGAAGGATCAAAGAAAACACCGACAAATCAGTGGCCAAATAAATAATGCGCTGGTGCGAAAATGTGTTGAAACGGGATGTCTCGGGCCTTTTGGTCATAAACAAGAGCTTAAAGTGTTGCTCAGTGCTTAGTCACAGAGTTTTTTTACATAGTACACACATCCGACCTTCCGCGATTTCTGTGCGAGCTTTTAAAGGGCACCGTCCACCATTCTGACAATGCCTCCAGTAATATTGCAAAGGTCATGTCCCTGTCATTGGAATAGAATGAACTCAGCCGAATTTAGTAAGGGCATTAAATGGCAAACAGCCCAGCGTAAACATTTTTGGACTGTAGCATCAGTGGAATTTCTTAACAAATTTTAAATGAGAGGGAGACTAGGATGGTCTTTGGGTCGAACCACATTTTTATTCGGGTCTGCTTTAGTTTAAATGTTGCTGTATTGCAAGCCACGCCCTCAACCTCGCGACCCATAGTGAAAAACATGCATAAAGCATACAGTAATAATAAAAAATTGAATAACTAACAATTTATTAGTGGGTGGCCTACAGTGATTTTTAAGAGAAACTGTCCGAACTTGGCGCGGCACCCCTGTAGTATTCGGGTTTCAGTGAATTAAAATAGTTAGAACTTCCTTTTACTGATCCTTTCTGTTTGTTTTTATGGCACAACCATTTAATTCGAATCTGTTGAAATGCTAGTTGCTTTAATTTGAATTCATCCCCACATCCAGTAATTATTTTCATAAGTAACTCGGTTTGCAAATCTTTTTTTAGCAATAAAATATAATGATCTAGAACACGAATTATAGTTTTGTTGTGAAGCACTTAAAACACGTGGCAGGGGTTCGCAAACTTCATATTCATATAGGCGAGAAATGGTGAATTCTAAGATGAAGATCATCTTATAATTTTCAAAGTCTGCTACCTATGCTAAAATACAACTTATTTCTATCAAAATTTAATCCCATTTCCTAGACAAATAAAACATTTTCCACCCACTTTGATGTGGTTAGTCTCCCACGGAGGCACGCCCTTTATGGTATACTTTTTTATATTGTTCATGCTCATACCCGATCACGAAATTTGTTCACTATTTTTATTTGATTGTTTAGGCGAAACCTACTTGCACCGTATTGGGCGTGCTGCGGACGGGCAGACCATGTTTAGCGTTGGAGTCATTGCTCAGCCCTGCGCCGCCGATCGCTTTGGAGTAATATCGGCGAAACTGCCTAACGGGTGGGGTACCTGGACATGATTTCTTTTGCAGCAGCCATTTCTACTCTAATGCTAAAATTTATAGTGATATCGGGGAATATACGTATAACGAAAGTGATCTAATGGGCAAACCATATGCTGCACCGAACATTGGGGATTTGGTCTACTTTGTGTATCCAAATCGTGGACCGAAGGATGTCCGTACGGCAGCGTTTGTTATGCCCATGAAGTTGCAAAGTGCGAGCTGGTATCGTGCGCCAAACCACCGTGAACGTGTACGTAGCTTTAATGTTGCTGATATTCCAATATTTCCAAGTAACTGATTCGCAAAATTTTATAGGGAATCGTCCTGCGAGTGATGCGTCATCAAGGAGGAGTATACATTGGCACGGCATATAACAATGTTGTAATGTTCGCTCCTTTTCGGGCTGTGGTTCATCCATGCCAGTACACGCGCCGCGGCGATCATGTCGAATTCAACATTCCGCCAAATTACGTGCCCCCAAAGGTGATGCCAAATACAGCTGAAATAGAAATACTTCGTCCAAATGAATATGGTTTTTTTAAGGACACGAACGCCTTCAGCTTCACGGAAGGTCTGATCAATGTTTGTGTGGTGCCAGCCGGTAGTTTATGGGAAGGTTCTCTGAGTGAGGAGAAGATTGTGGGATACGTTAGTCGAGTTCCGTCCCAACAGAACAACAATACCGGTTTAATCCAGTTCATGGATGAAAAGAAGATTAATCCGGATCAAACTCTGAAGATGTCCTATATTGCTTTTAACCCGAAGGATGTTAACTACGACCACAGCTCGTTGGTGAAAATGAATCACAAGGTGAGCAAATGGTTTTCAGTGCTGTTGCGCAATTACATCAAGGGTTCTGGATTTCTAGGTTAGTTTTAGAATTCTCGCCTGTGGTGAAAAGCGAGCTCCAATAGCTGTCAATATTGGCATCGAGGAAGGTCTGGAGAAGTTCCGCGGTCATATTGTAGCCGTGTGCAACGGATATGGATTCATTGAGCATGAGCATTTGACCGATATCTGGTTTCACTTTACGTACGCTGCTTAAAAATGATCACTTGCAAATTTTACATGAGAGCTGTACGGAAACTTTTTATTTCTTTGCATCTGCAGTCGTTTACGCCCGGGTGTGGACGGCAGAAAACTGCGCATTGGATGTTTAGTTGAGTATTCGCTGCTACCGCAAAAGCCGGATAGGAGTGGCTTGCAAGCCTGTCAAGTGCAGCCGCTGTTGCATCAGTATCTTCCGGGATATCAGGTAAACATTACGGTTTTCCGATTCTACTACAATTTTAGTTTGCTTACTAAAACTATAATTAAAAAAAATTAGGATGATGGTCACTTTCTCGATACCATTTTCGACTAAAACCATGGTACCATTATTACAGAGACTGGAGGACGATGCATGGCACGTGGGAGTTGTGGAGCGTGCACTGCGAAACACTAACCCAGCACAAAGCCAGTACCATGGTTTAATTCGAACTCGCATTAACGGTAATGGTTAACTCTGTATTGCCTCCATATTAACGATATTTTTAGTTTTGCGGTCGTTTGGCTTTTAGATCAAGAAGAGGTGTATTTATTCTCCATGAGTGGTATCGTGCGGAAATACGAAGCGCTGCAGGTTGGAGATCGAGTGAAGTTTCAAGTTGGACTTGACGGACAAACTACGCTCCGTAGAGCGGTTAATATAATTCGCACGGCGTATGTGCTACAAGTGAAGACTTTGCGAGCCGATGGCGAGGTGCGTCCCCTCATTAGTAGAAGTCTTTAAATGCAGATCACATGGACGGTATCGAATACGCGTTGCAGTTTGGATTCTTATACTTTGGAGGACAGGACTTGTTTTTCCACTCTAGCCAAATTAGAAATCGCATGCGACCACATCAGGGTGACTGGGTAGAGTGTGCTTTGGCTAAAGACCGACATGGAAGATTGTGTGCATCTAGTGTGCGGATTCTGCATCCACGGTACGGTTTTACTCTTTCAGTTTACAAATAATAATTGCCTGGAAAGCGGACATTATTCCAACATGAGAAGATTGGATAAAACTTTCCTTGACTACTCTGTACATACAATCAGAATCAATACACTGATTTGTAGCGAAATGACACGAGAAAACTATGAGAAAGCGATGACACTGAATCCACGGGTAGAAGGTGATTTCCCTCGTCCGCACATCCAACCGCGTAATGGAGGCATGAGTGATAAAGACTACAGTAATATGGAGGACTTTGATTTGGATCATGGTTATGGGTAAAGTCAGACCTAACTCTACAGTAACGAAATGAAATTCACTGAATAGTGATGGTAAACTGTCTGCATATACGTGCAGCCTGCATAGAGTGATTTCGTTTTGGACGCTTCGTTTTTAAAGACCTTCAACTTTTTTCAGAAGCTCCGGGCAACCGCGCAGCCATAATGTTCCCCGAGAGCCCTATTGGCTGGTTGTCGTGCCGGATATGTTCCGTGACAGCTGTAAAGCTAAGGCTAGTCAGATTAAGGTGCCTAAGCATCTGCATGACGCTTGGCTTAACGGAATGTCTACCACCATCAACTTCAAGCCACCGGACGTTCCCGCCTCCGTGGCAACTAATTCAACGTCCAAGTATAACGGTGAACTGGGCGATTTTGAGCGAACGAAGGCTAGCGAAATTTCAATTCAGGATCTGGTTAAGGCGCAGCAGGAGTTCAAGCAAATGCGCTCGAGCACCGGTGAAAAGGGTGACAGCAACGAACTGCCCAGTATACTTCGGGGAGCAATTACTACACCGCGTACTAGCAACTGGTTGGTTGAGAGTTCCAACACTGTACGGGCTTTGCAGCCGGATCCGCGAAACTTTGTGCGCGCCACAAAGTCACACGAGTTTCATATGGGTCGTGGCCGCGCTTTAAGCCGTTATTGACGCAACTGGCATCAAATTTTAGTAGCAGTACCGGTAGGCTGCAACCCATCAGCAGTTGCATTTACCGCTCGTTAAAATTATATTGCTATCGATGTTATAATTATTAATCTTATTCTTAGCATGAACGCTCGCATCAGAGATAGATAGATATGCGAGATATGTGCTGTTATTTTGCGCTGCGCTCCCAGTGAAATAGATATCAGAAACTAATTTTCACATTTCTTTGTCTATTATTTATTATGGTCTTTTCTGGTATTCTGGTTTCTGGTGGTGGGATATTCCTGTTTCTATTGTTAATAAATACATTTAATATTTATTTCTATAAAAAATCTTAATGTTATTGCTGCGTGACCTTTATATAAATCATATTGAAGTGCTACCGTAGGCCGTAAATGTAAAAGCGTAGACGCCAAAGGGTACGGTACGGTGGCATTCCACTACAGGAACTGAAGAAACTAATTTGCTTTCCAATTATAAACTAACAGCTGGAGACAGGCCAAAGCTGTTTCTTTTACTGCCGAACCCGGAAAGCCGTTGCAAATACGGAAACATGGGAGAAGTTTTTTGTTGACTCTATTGTATTTTACTTCAGAATGTTTGTTAAAAACACACCACCATTGCTTTGCAATGCTCTTTTTGCCTTTTCAAACCCAATAAATAACCTTCATAATATCGAACACTGCAAAATAGGGGCAAAATTATATCGCAGTATTAATCTCCTTAGTGCTTGTCATTAGAAGCTCAAAATACAGATCACGGTTGTTAACAAAACAATTCTGGCGATGTACAGCTATAAATTTTGTTGCGAGATCGTTAGCTACACCAGCTATTCCGCGGTGGCCATTTTCTCCATCCCGTGGACATTAAGAGCCGAGGGTGATTCCGATGGCTTCAGCACCTTTCTTTCCACTGAAACAACCTCTTCTGGTTTATTCACTGCTTTATCCTTCTTTTTTTTCGATTTCAACCAGAATTCCAAGGACATATATTCGTCAGGCAGTATCAGCACAAGAAATGATATCGCTGTCATGACACTCCCAGCAATCTGAGCAGCATGCAAGCGCACACCGCGAAAGGTCACGTCAATCGCTACAAACATGCAACAGAACAATCGATCTCTTGGCGTCAGGTTCGGTTACTTAAGTTAAAAATCTTCGAGCCGAAACAACAGTGCATCATATTATTTTTGTTTCGGATTGATACGTACTCGTATTCGTCGCCAGAATCAAAAGCTCGGATATGGACATGAAAAAGGGATTCGATAACACCAATCCGTAACCGGCCGCAATGGAACTAACTGAAAATAACCAATATCCACAAACCAGGTTTTACAAAGTGCGTTTAGCTGTGGAGTACCGGATGACGCTATCCATGCTCCGAACAGCAAGCCGTAAGGCATGTTATGTGAGTTGAACTTTTCCACATTAAAATAAGACAGCACAATTGGGACAGGCCAGATTACGAGGCAATTAAATATGTACATGTTGGTTACAACATAAGACGTTTGTCCGAGATCCAATTCCGAAAATGCTTTCTTAAAGGCAATCTAATGTAAAGAGTCATTCAGTTTATTTTGCAGTTTAAAAGGAAAAGGTCCTGTTAATTGTACCAGATGTAGCGCATCAAAGAGCGCTGCTGCAAGTACCGCGACGATGCCGATGATAATGAAAGCGTTGATACCATTGGCAAAATTACCGTAAACTATAAGACATACTCCACCGAACGCCATGGCTACAAACAGGCTCTGAAACGGACATAGGTTGATACGTTCATCAACTGTTAACAGATTTGCCAGCTTCTTTACCCACTTTGGTCACCAGACACGCTTGAGCCATACAGCAAGTGGTGAAGAGATAGGCAAAGGCCACTGCAGAACTGGGAATACGTCAGTAAATTGATCGTGATTTTTCAAAGCTGAAACTGCAAGGTGTAAAGTGGGCTCCACTTTACACCTTGAGCTTTTGCATTTGATAAACCAGGCCACTGGTGTCTAGGCCCTGATGAAGGTTTTAACGAGCAAAGCAAAGTTTACCAGATTATCGCTGTCGCAACGGATGTCGACAGGTGCGCTAGGCCTAATATCCAGCCAATTTGCGTCGCCAGAACGGTCACAGCTGAAGGAACCATGCATGTGCCAAACTGTTTCCACGTGAAACCTCCTGGCCCATAAATGTCGGCGCAGTGTCTAACAGGCAGAAAGTTCAGAACCAAAGTTAGCTGTAGGTCAACTGCAAGCAAGGATCGATTAAGGATGTCACCTGATGTTTTCTTTAACATCGGCTTCTCGACCACGGAGCTTTCTTGTAATGCTGCTGATGAGCAAATATACGGGAAATGTGAAGATCCGAAAGGACATTTTAATAAGCAGAAACAGAAATGGCGCATGGAATTTCAGATCGGGATCGGTAAAGGCGATATTACTGAGCTGAGACGACAGCGTTATGAGGGTCACCACAATCAAAAGCATGGCGCATGCCAGCAGCCAGTTGCGTCTTCGTGCTCGCCTCTGCAGCAGGGATATCTCTGACGGCGACTGGTCCCCATTGATGCCTTTTGATATCTACTCTGCAGCAATGAACTAGTTGATATTCTTTAATGTCGAAAATTAGGAGCTACGGTAAAAAATTACTCGTTCGTCAGCAGCGTACATATCCATGTACACCAATTCCCTGCTGGATAGGCTTGGTGTAATTGGCTTTCCGCGTCGCTTGCTTGAGTCATCGTCGTCGGTAGCCATCAAACATGCTCTATTCTTCTATGACGGCTATAAGGAGCGCGGCCATTAAATATGAGGAAACGAAGAAATACTGCATCATGAGGTCAGCGCATCAAGAGACCCGAAAGCCTCCTTCCTCTATTTTCAGCTTCGCTATATAATGAGTCATAACTTTACTTAGCAACGACTAAAAGCTGGTTATTAAACAAGGTGTAAGCGCAGTATTTATAATTAATGCGCAAATACCAAAAACTTGGATATTATTGCAGTAATAACCGTGACAGTGTAATCGTCGATGCATCATGCATCCATAGTTTCTCCAGCAATGTACGATGTACATGTAAGGTGTACAACAGTACAACAGTACATGTTAAACAAGTAAGGGGGCATCCATAAATTACGTACGCAGAAAACCACGTTTTTTTCACTAAATTGTGGCAGCAGCGTTTTCATCTTGCGTACAGTATTTTATTAATACTTACTGAAACGTACAGGGTTGGTGTTAGTTAAAGAATGCATATGCAACAGCAAAAATCTGATATTAAACACTAAATAATGTACTGGTATACTAGTAACAATACTAGTACCAATACCACTACTGTACGAGTACTATAATTATGATAATGTACCAATGTTAACGTTTTTGCTGGTCGTTATGAACGGACACCTTTTGCAGCAGAGAGCTTGGGGACCTCTGGTTCTGTCAAAAGTTACGCAACTTCGGTGACAACAAACCGTTGCCTATCAGTGAATTTTAAAACTAGCATAGACTCGTTCTCTGCTCGTGATAGGTATAATTTGGTAATCACTTGACGATCAGTTAACTGGTTGATGCACCAAGTTTCTGCAATTTTTCATCAAGGTGCAGAAGATGCGCATGTTGCTACTGCGCATTTACATCACGTTCTACAGCATGCCCATCAGCAGCTAGAACCTCCAAAACAAGCCTCGGCTACACTCCTACCCGTAAAGACACTCAGCGAACTCGAATACTATAGCCAGTCTGCCATATTCCATGATTTGCATCCTGTCGAACAAAAGCTTGATCTGACTCTTGCATACGCTGCTGTTGAGCAAGCATTCGACAAGCGTTTTCTGTCGTACAGCCAAGCAGCAAACCTACGTAACAAAATTTCTGTGCTGCTTGACATCTACGGGCAACGCTTCAAATTTCAAAAGAATCTCCAGGAATTAGTCACTGGGCAGGTCAGGTACTATCAAGATCATTTTGAAGAGGTGCACGAGGCGGAAAATTTACCATGGCTAATGAAACAACAGCTTCAAGGGCTTCGTGGCGATGCGCAACGGCTCAACGAAGAACTTATCCGATCGAAAGCACATCTGGAACAACTGGAACAAGAAATTCATAGGTAAGGAGGCGACAAGCTCGAGGGTACTGTAGAGCCGCTAGTACGAGAGTACGGAGCTCTTCGTTTTTTGCAGACTGGATAACGAAAAAAAGCATCTTAACGATGCCCTGGAGATCATTCCTACGGCGAACGAATACCAGCAGTTTGTGCAGCTCATGAATATCGATCAGGAGAACGCACAGCAACAGCTAGACAAATACAAACTGGTCATCAACCGAACAGAGGAGAGCAAAAGAAGCAACGAAGCAGCCATTGTTCGATTGCACGCACGATGTCAAATGGTGAGCGAGGAGGTGGCCATCAAGCATAAGGAGCTGTCGGTCATCACGAATAAAATTCCGCATATACATAAAGAGTGTGGAGCACTGCAGTCTGAACTTCAGTAAGTTTCCTAGCGTCACCGACAAAGGCAAGAAAATTTACTTTTCCCAAGAAAACTTGCAAATCTCTTAAGAAAACATACTTTTTCCTGATCCCAGACGGTGTACAGAAGAACTACACTTGCTCAACGTAGCCAGGCATAAGCTGGAGCACAGTATGAAAACCCTTATCGAAGTCGCTGCGGAGCTTGCTAACGACATTGCGGCAGCTACTGCTGAAAAGGTCAGCTTGGAGATATTGACGGAGCATCGGTTGTATGATTTTCATGAACTGCTGAAATCCGTGGAAATGTACGACGCAACAGAAATGCACCATCGAGCAGAAAAGTAAATTGTTTATGAGCATGTGTTCGGCTCGGTGTACGTTGTACTCGTAGACCGCCGGTGACATGATCTTGCTAGAGCAGCTCTGGAGTGCGAACTAGCCAATGTTATTGCCACCTGCAAAACTTTACAAACAAACCGGTTACAAATTCTGCGTGAGCGAGATCATCTTACGCTAAAAAAGGTCAATCTGGAAAATGAAATAAGGCGTTTACGGAATGGCAATGCCAACGAACGGGAAAATATGCAGCGACTTGAAAAAAAGGTTGTGAAAAGATGTATTTGAATGGCAATGGCGCGTCTTTTTAGCGTTCTTGATATCCCTAGTTTGACGAAAAGGAAGAAAGGATAACGGATTACCGAGAGGATCTGAAAACTGTCGAGGGTGATGTGTCACAATACGGAGTTCAGACTCAGGCGAAAAAGGAAGCTGTTTCGACCCTGAGGAGGACAAAGCGAGACCGCAAAAGGAGGATGTTCTTTTCGTTTGTGGAATATAAACAGAAGAGCAAAGAGCTTCGGAAATTAAGAGATGAAAAATATAAGATGGTCTGAGCAACACACTGAAATGTTCGCTTAGTGGTTACCCCACTTTAAAACAGATTGGTAATTTAACAGGAAGCGCACCAGCGGATCTTTAACAGCGAATGGTCCAAATTGCGGCAAAAGCTTTCATCGCTCAATGAAGAATATGAATACAAGCGAGTTTCTCTGAGATTTCTGGAATCAGTTACTCTAGGGAAACGAGACCGGCTGGCTGATCTTCAGGAGCAAGGATTGCAAACTGAAAAGGAACGTCAGCGTTTCGATGATCTAAGCCGCGTAGTCAAAGGTTTTGTACACCAAAATAAAGATCGGACCATGTACATCGAAGACGAGTTGCGGCAGGTGGAGCAGACTTACCGCAAAGTTGAACTGTGAGTAATGCGATTTACGGTTAGATATCAAATAAATATGCAGTTGCCGTTTCAACTTTCACCGTACATATTACAGGAACCTGGAGAGAATAGCGGTAGAAAGGAAGCGCGAAATGGTCGCCTTACAACAGCTGGAAAAAGCGCATTTTTCGGAGAAACTTGTTCTAAAGGAGCTAGAGGATAAATATGAAAGGGAATTTACGAAAGTACTGCTGTAAGTGCAATTATGAAACAATAAAGATAAGTGATGTGTATACCGTCTGGATTGACCGCAGATTACGTCGGGAATTGGATGTAAACTTGTTGCACTGTGAAATGTTTACCGACACGTTTGAAGTTATTTCGGAGCTTCGCGCGTGTGAAGCAGCACTATTTATTGATGTGACGACTCAGTTCATGCTTCGGCTGATGGAAAAAAATCAAATTGGTAGGTCCGATTTGCTCCTTTTTTGCTTTCGCTCTAACCATCATTGCTGTTGTCTGAGGTAGAAAAGCATACACACGAGACGGATTTAAAGCACCGTGCCCTGGATGGATGCATCACATGGCTACAGAAGACTGCCGAAACAGATATCAAATTATTGTACAAGCGTTTGAAGTGGAGAAGTTCCCTTATGGAAATCTGTGTCTCTACCAGAGACAATTTAAACCGAGAGGTTGGTCATGAATGCGTACCGTTGGACTTGCTTTGGGCCTTAAATCTACTTAATTCCAATTGGTGATCAGCTAGTGGCGACATCATTGCGACGAATGCAGTTAATCAATCGCGTAGTGGGTGTACGTGAAAAAGAATTCCTTCAGCAAATCCAGATGAGACTTACTGATGAGGAAGTGCAAGATTTAATCAGGAAGGAAGAACAGGTATGAGTTGTAACCAAATGGGGACAGCCTTTATTCTCGGTGTAAAGGTAATAACGGTTTAGTTTGTAGTTAGTCGGCTTGCTGGTGAGAATGGACCAAAAGAGCTTTAGCAGTCATATAAGATGTGCTTTTCTCAATGACATTTGCAAACAAATATCGGAAGGAGTCCAGGAAAAAAGGAGTACATTTGCTGCTGTTCAAAAGGCAACGTTAGTAAAACGCAATCGGCTCCGAAAAGCAGAAAGGAACAGAAAATTGGCCCTGTTGGATATCGCAGCCGTAAAAACGAAGTAACCTATCACAAGAAAAGTTGAAAAAGCACTACAAAAACGTTTTACTTCTCCTTAATGCATAATCCTTCGTGATCGTATAGGTTATGCAACGAGCTGGTATTGTCGGAAAATCTTCAAAGCGTACACAAGCTGGCCATTGAAAAGTATGGAAAGCCTGCATTAGCAATTGAATACCCACATTATTAACCTTAAATTATGGGAAAGCTGGCAGCCGAACAGTAGTTATATGCCGGACATACAGTATTTCTGCGAAAAGCGTTCTAAGTATTTATAATATTTCGTACTGTAAACTACGTACTGTCATTTTTAAGTACTTATACGTTTAACGTTCCGTACTGTAGAATATTATCTACCTTGTGTTCACACGTTTCCCGCTTCAGCGTTTTTTGCAAACTGTGATTGCTGTGGTCTTTGTTCTGAATACTTGCAGCAATAAGCAATTCTGGAGAAAGTAAGCAGCGATGGAAGTGTCAATGGTAAATAATTATGTGCTGAGACAAACAAACAATGCCGTATAGGACCGCAACTCAACCTGGATTGCCCAAACCAAAACAAAGTCGAACAGTACACCTTCATAGGAACAGAGCACCCGTGCCGTGAAGGTCCAGTAATTCATCTGTAATGTCCGATGTTTCGCGTTGCAGCGTTCTTTCTGAATGGTGCATGTTCATATTCCGATTGCTACGCCTGTACATATCGGCTGCGCTATTTACACCGGAAAATCCTGATGTTGTTGGCCGCTGAGTATAGGCAGACCTTCTGACATCTGGCGGATCAGGGCTGCTTTCTTTTGGGCTTCCAGGACGCTGATTGGTAAACAGTTTTTCTCGAGCTGATTCTCCCAGTTCGCGGTGCTGACTTACGGATGGAAGGTTGGGCTGACCTTTCGCACGTATCGATGATTGAGGTTGTTGTGAAAGCTCACTAAACACAATGCCAAGCTCGTCAGCCAGTACCGCTCGGGCGATTTCTTCTTCTTCGGTGCCGGATAGAATAGACTCGGACGTCGTGGCCTGGTGATAAGAGCTTGGGGTGGCGTTCGGTGTTGATGTTAAAGAGGACAACATGTTAAACACCGAAAGTATGCTTCGAATAAAGAACCCCAAGATGGCAGACAGCATCTCCCTTAGTTCACCGTAGCGGTCTGCATGCCTGCTAGAATAGCGTGCAATGTTAAGGAAACTTGAGTTGATGAGGTTTTTATGGGGTTCGTTGCGCCACAGCGTCCACAGCCATTGATCCACATGGCTTGAATAACCGTCAGCTCTCAGCATCTCAATATAATTGGGGAAAACCAAAGAGAGTTCTTGGTTGGCTTCTTCTCTCTGCACTAAATAAAAGCTTAATTTGTGTTCAAATGTTTTTCGAACAATCGCTGATTGGCAATACAGTTTTCAGGCGGCTGTAACGTACCAGTCACGTACAAGAACAATGTAGACCATTCTCGGAGAGTCTATTCCCACCGAAACGCGCTCTCAAAGAAGCTGGATGGCTTCGACGGGCGATCTGTGGATCAGCGGGACCTAAAAGCTCCCGTAATTTTTGACCAGCTTCCGTTCCAGCAACCAACACAGCTTCAGATGGTCCTTCTAAAAGTGATTCCAGGGTCGCCGCATGCTCTTCCACGTCTAACGGGGTTCCCTTTGCTTGAGCACGTATAATGGCAAATCGAACAGCTTCGGGTCGATCGAACACATGCTTTTCCCTTGTCACTATTCGAAGCCCCTCGTTTTTAACCAACTCCACTACGTCGTCTTTCTTGTGTAAACAAAAATTTTTTATCAAAAGTAAGACGAAATCATAAACGCCCATGAGGTCCATATCCTGTTGGAAAGTGTTCTTAAGTCTGTCGTACGTTGAACGATCAAGATTAAGCAGGCGTAATGTTGCATCGGACACCCCGCCATTGTCCGGCATCGCCATATTGAAGGTAGTTTATGCAATGGCATCATGGAGCCGTTCTGCTCGACTGGTATGCTCTACGACTTCCCTCTTCGTAAAGGCATTGTTGTTAAGGGAACTTGGGTTGAAGAGGTAAACCGGAAGTTGAATGGTTTCTTGGTTTGCAAAAAAAATTGTTTGAATTTTTTTATTTTAAGCATATTCTAGAATTTGCCGTATTTCCTACACAATGAACATGGACTATTTGGATTTCGAAGATAACGAGGCGGATCGCTGCGGATTATCAGATATTGAGATTACTATTGTGAACGGCAACCCACCTGACTGGTGGACGCGCTCGTCCAATTGGCCACCGCCTAACGGTTCCATGAGCTTAATGACCAGGCTAAGGGTTAATTATAAGAATCTCCCGGAGGCACTAAAAACCGATTTGCGCAGTGATTATCCAGATTCGAGTAATGGACCAATACTGCGAGTGGGACCACCGTTGCATTTTGGTATAACTGGCGCGTATGCGGTGGAAAACGATTCCGTACGTTAATGATAGGTAAAGTATGCTTTGGAGAAGTTCATATTAGCAGTCAAATGCCGGTACATACTGTAAACTTTGCGGTCTTTTACGTTTTTAAAATTTCAGATGTTGTACCGATCCTTTCCCGCCTCAGATATCGAGAGCTGCACTCAATGTCCAGTGGAGAATACTGATCAAGTGGTGACCGGTCTCCGCAACCGGATTGTAAACAATATTTTGACCAACAGTCAAAATGAAGTGAACTTTTACGTCAGCTCCGTAAATTCTCAGGTACAAATACCGAATCCACAGGACGATCAACAGGATCCGGTTGACGTTACCCCGGCGAAGGAACCGGAGCGACTTTCAGCTAGGTGCGACTGCGAACAGCATTCTGATGGGAAGAACGGGCAATGATAACTGAGTGTTGATAAACGATTTTTACACACTAGTGAGGGCTTCAGTTAATGTGGGACTAATGCTGTGATAAAACGGTTTCTTTTAAAGGCTTTGATTTTTTACAACAAAAAAATAATATTTGTTGGTGCTGAAATTTATGCAAGAAACGATATTAAAAGAGACGAGATTGTTTGAAAGTATGGTACTAGTTTACAAAGTACTAGTTTACAAAGTATGGTACTTGTTAGTATGGTATGGTACTTGTTAGCAAAATACAGGAAACAACTTTGGCTCCGCGTTTCTTCTCGTTCTCGGCCGGCTTGATCAAATGATTTAGATTTTTAATAGCACCCGGCGTCATGGAGTATCGTCGGCTGCACCTGGTAAATGCTCCGCACATGTGAATCCGGTGATTAAGTTCCGTCCGAGGTTTTGGGGTAATGTGCAGCCCACATCTCGTTTATCTACATGTTTATTGTATTGTACAAGTACAAATTTCCTGTTCGATGCACAGCAAAACGTATGGCGCCGTATAAAAATATAAAAGCTTAAAAAACCAAGCTCGCTAATTGCGAAATATAAAAAGAGAGATCATGGAAAATTAAGGTACTAGCACACATTTGACAGTGTATGACCCCTATAGACGGCTCAGCAAATCAAATCCTTCAAACGACCAGTTCGAAAGATTTTCCGTCAACATCGCAAAGCCGTAATATTTATAGCTGCTCCTGTCCGGTGACTGTCCTTTTGAGCTGGATCCAACCTACAATAAATCAGAGAAAGTCTTACCCTACGCCATGAATAGATTCCACTTCAAGGCTTGCATTCGGGTTACTCCTCGTCAGTATCAAATAGACTCTTTGTCGAAAATCAAATTACGAGAGTAACAAAAGCAACATGTTACGTCAAATTTATATATTTAGTAAAAATATTACGTATATGATTTCGGTTATGAGGCGCAAACTAGACAACTAGCGTAACGAATCAATAATACTGGATTAAATAAGTTCGAAGAGTGACAAGAGACTGTCAGCTATGTAGACTGCACGAATTAATTGACAGCTGTGCTTCTAAAATTGGCGTTTAGATGGTCGGCAAACTATAGTATATCTGTCCACTGAGCAGCTGGATCACAAAAGACCGGAAATCATAACACAGGTACGAGCTAATTGCACCGGTAAACATGCAATTTTTTCTTTGAATATCCATAATTATGCTATACAGTAAATGCGACTATGCTATACTATAGACTATGTTACCCATAAGAGCCATAATTATGCTATACCTCAGGTAACACATGTGATATAAAGTGATGTGATTACAAATTTTAAGTAGCAGAATTCAGTTAACTGCACAATTAGTACGTGTTTAATAAAATTTTGAACAAAAGTAAAAATGCGGGGTTGTTTAATTACAATTTAAATGTGATCTTGTAATCTTAATGTAAGATTTTTTTGCAGAGAAAGTTGTTTAATTTCCTCTGCATCAACCAACGTAGGGAGTATCATGGTTAATCATTCTAAGGAGGTTTTGTGTGCGAATGAATTCCCAGCACGAAACGTTACTTACATCAATAACGCTCCGTGCATCAAGGACCATATCCCTTCCCGCAACTTGACATAAATTTGACAAACTTCCACCGGCGCCAAACTCGGTTGTCAGGAACAGCCACAAAGAGTTTCTAGTTGGGCTACATCAGCGGTTTGTCCCACCGAGAATTGGCATACCATAAGTTTACGGGATTTCTCCATACCGACGCCGCATACGGTGGCCGATATAAGGAAGGGTTCCCCGGTCGTAGTCGAAAGTTATGGTCATAACTGCCACTGTACACGGAATTGCCGCTGCCGTCATAATTTACAACAGAACCTGGTGAATTTTCATCAGTATTGCTACTGTAAACCGGCCAGCGGTTATTATGGACTGCGTTGACATCGTTGTTTCCGTATAAGGCTGGACGTGATGCAGTTATTTCATCCGCGACATTCTCATCCATGCCGGTGCCCGCCACAGCAGACGGGTTCGCAAGTGCCGATTCGCTGCCAAATAATTGCACTACATTCGGTGGCAGAGAGGGTGCAACAAAATCCATGTCCCTGATGTGAAGAAGATAATCTTCATTCAGCAGCCCGTTGTTCCAGTCCTCCGTCTGCCCAGTCGCCGGCACCGGAGTTACAGGGTTCCATGTGAAGAAATCCGTAAACGGTTCCGACGTACTGAACTGATAGGGCCGACTGATTGTATCGCACTTCAGAATCAAAATCCATGCAGCACAACAAGTGCGCATGAAGGGCACCGTGGCGTGGTACTGATCCCATTTATGCGTAACGTCATCGCAGAAGTTCTTCACAGTTTCATTGGCCACATCGAGGAAGTATCCGCAGACGATACCGTTCTGTACAGGACCAGATAAAAGGCTCATATCGGATGTAGGCTCCGGGCAGCGCTTTATCGGTGTCGGCTTTGGTGTGTCTGTTGATGGCTTTGTTGTTGACGCGGCCGGGTTTGGAATTGTCTCCGTGTTCCAGGTGAATGGTTTCACAAACCAATCGGACGCGCCTGTAGTAGTGCTTGTATCTACTGGATTTATTACGGGTGCAACGGTAATCGGCGCATTATATGGAGGCGACAGCGTTGATTGTGTCAAGGGTGACGAGTCCCAATTCGGTCGCCAAGTCCAAAAAATCTCCGTTGGCGCATTGCTAAGTGTCGTCGTGGAATCAACCGCTTGGCTGGGTGAATCGGTAACCGGGCGAGTTGGGACACTGGCCGCAGCTGGCTGCGAAGAATTCTGATTTGGATCATTACTTGTGGCCGCAGATCCATTGCTGCCGGCAGCGGTCGCAGCGACCGATGGAACCCTGGGTTGAAGGTGAAAATTTTGGCTAATGTTGAAACCCACATCCGCTGTCAGATTGCCCCCGGGATAATGATTGTTTGATTGTACAACTGAAATCTTAAAATTCCCCGACAGAGATGCCACGGCGTTGTGTGTGTCGTTAACAGTGTCGAGACTCAGATTAATGAGATTACCCAGGAACGGTAGACTGTTCAGATTGTTCAGACCGTTGACAGGGCGATTATTCGGGTTTACCATGGGATAATACGCACTGCCCATGTGACCATGGGATGGGACGAATGCGCTGATTGGTGTCGTCGTGAGTGGCGGGCGTCGTGTAGGGAGTGTCAAGATAGTAGAATAGTTTATAGCGGGAATAGTAAACAGAATTCTTATATCAGGCAGCGGATCGCGGCAGACGGGGACATTCGGAACTGGCTCCGAGCCCGGTAGACGATAAAACGCTAAATTGCCATCATCGGCTATGGGATAAAATACTGGTAGACTAGGAAGTTCCACTTCTTGACACACCAAAACTCGATGGTTTCGGCGACGGCTATCAACCACTGGTAGCGGAAACGACACAATTAGGCAAAACAGATATACACAGCATGAAGCGCAGTTAATAAGCATTTGTGAGTACGGCGGCTGAAATGGATATTACCCATATTATAGTGCTTGTGTCATCACATTCCCGTAGTACAACACTACCATGACCCCGAGCACAGCCATGTTCTAGATGATTATGCAAGTAGTAAGGCAAGTAACAGTACTTAGCTGTAACTTAATACTGATTTAGGAATGTACGTTTGCAAGCGTACTTTATCTGTTTTCCGTGCAAGCGTTGCCGGGAGAATGAGAATTGGATTATTAAACATGCATTTACAGTCATAGTTCAGGCACACAGCCCTGCTGCCTGGAGGTTCTAGTTTTCATGGTCGAATGGTCATGAGTGGAAATACGGAGCTGAATTCGGAATTTTGTAAGTAGTAAGTACTGCATTTCTACTACTATCTGACCTGATTCAGTAGAAGTACTGACAATCCAGTGCGGTATTGCAGCATCGCATTTGCTATCTATATACATAGGCAAGAGTGCATCCTGCATCCAGTTCGTGAGAAACATGGCTCGCAATGTTTTATACTGTGAACTCAATCGGAAATTCTGGATATGAGTACTGGTTAATTTGCCGCTCAGATCGTATGGCATTTTCCTTATGTTTGACTTATTTTTAAAAAGGTCATTAACTCTAATTTTGAACTTTGTGTTTTCGACGCAGCAACAGTAATATCAACTAATTTCTGTTAGCCAATACTGCTTGAGTAAATCATTTTAAGACTGAAGTCTCTACTATAAGAATTTTAACCATTTCTTGATTTTTCTAATTTTCAGTTCACGTGATTAAACATTGCTTAACAGGCGTGAAAAAAGGCGTGAAAACAGCGCGAGTTCCACCGAAGTGCGAGAAGAGGCTACCCTTAGCGAGAAAAAATGGCCTTTCAGCTCGTTGACTGTGCTGTACGTTACCGTTTCCAGTAGTTACACAAGTTAAAAACAATCTTTGGCCAGAAAATTTTCCCACGGTCATCACCGCGCAGCAGAGGAATATTTCTTTTCGGTGCCGGCAAGTTGTCTGCAGCCGCAGGTGAACACAAGTTGCACGCGCATTTCGAGCTTAATTGGTATACTGTAGTTGTTCAATGTTTTGAGCGGAGCCAATTTTCCATTACAGGCGAACCCAATTTACATCCACAAACAGAAAACCAAATCTTTGAAGGTTTTTATGGTCTACTTTGGGTGGAAACTCACCTAAATGAATTAATATTGCTCTGAAATTTTTCTGCTGACGTTTTGGCGTAGTCGAACCAGTTCCCCGCGCCCGTTTTGGCGTTTGAAACAAGAGCTGTTTTGAGAGCAGTGCATGAATACTATATCCGCGTTTCGGACTATGGGCTTTCAGAATATACGGCTTTCGTATTACTGATTTTGGTAGGTTTCCTCTGGTATGGTGGCCCTTGATGTACAGTATCGCACACGGGGCAATACACAAAATCTGTTTCTGGAGAATCTGGATAGAACTTTTGTATTAATTTTTACGCTTTCTATCTGTCGGCAGCACAAAAACACACAAGCTAATTAAAAGCTTTAGGATCTGAAATTTCTTTAAGAACAGTGTTTTTATATAGCATTATTATATCTTTGAGGTAAATAAATTGAAACGCCCGCACTTAACATTTGATAGGGTTGCAAACTAAATTCGTTTTCCTTCAATAAATATTCGCACAAGCGTAACGCCTGCCAGAAATACCACAATATACGGTACTTGTACGAGTATTTATGATAATAAAACTGAGTGGTCAAAGGTTAGTCGGTTGAGCTTGAGCAGGCGCGTGGGGTTCGGGGGGAGGAGCGGTCGGTTGCGCTTGGTTCTGTGTGACGTAATCTGGCTGTCGTCGAACTGGAACATATAACTTAAATTCATGTGGCACTTCCTCTTCTGAATACAACCGGTCTGCGAAATAGATACGGCGAAGGCGGCAGTTGGCGTGGACCTACAGACAAAGTGGTTTATTGCGCTGATTAACCGAAAATTTCAAGGATGGAAGAGAGGCCTTACAGTTATCCTAAGAGTTTCCACATAGTTTGTTCCATATGCTCTTCGAACGAAATCCGACAAATTAAACTGGACTTGGTTCCATCCATCATCTAGTCGCAAGGGCATCGTACATATGAATGGCTTTACCCGGGTGGCGGTTTGGTAGTTGCTAGCACGAAAACGTCTCCGTACGTTTTTGTCATCGATAACCTGAAGGAAAGGATAAATTCAGCTACACGAAGATGCACTGTATTCCAACGCTGATATTTTGATTTTACCTGAATTTCAAACGTAAAATATTTCTTCAGATTTTTGACAATCATGACCAAAAACGGCAGCTTGATCGCCAAAACCTGTTTCTTTTCTGGAGGGCATGTTATCCACGTTGTGCTGCGAAACACAATTTTTTATGCAATGATACTCCTACCGAAGTGCATGAAATGGTACCTTACGTTACTGCTCAGCAGCTCCAAAACAAGGCTTTGCACGTCCGCATCCGTAATTCGTTTGATGTGGCCGTTGTGAACCTTGAATGATTTTTTAATTTAACACAGTTTTCGGCTTCCGGCGCAAGGGCAACATAACAAAAAATATCCGCGATTATTATGCATTCCCTCTTCAGCCGTACCTCTGTTGACCATAGTTTTAAGGGTTTGCTGCCCACGCTGTACAAAACGGACATAAAACCGCTTTGAAATGTATTTCTGAACATGCTGTCGGGTTTTGCAAAAACGTTAACTTTTCAGAACGCAAACACTGTGAAAAGCAGCTTTACGGCCTCATATTTTCATGTACACACTACTTTTGTTCTTACTGCCAGTAGTTGTGGATTTCTCACCGTTGCTAACTTACTGGACCAGTAGCGTCATGCCGCACGTTCACGAACATCTCTGGTTTTTGCAATTTTGTTTCAAGCTTAATCTTATTTCACCTATATACAAAGCAAAAGCCATGTTTGAGAGCAAGTGCAGAACAAATACAGAATAACACAAAAACCACTAAACAAATATAACACTGTCGTCTGCCGCGATTGGCGAAACAACAGTGTCCTAATTATTTAATACGGTTTCATAATTATTATAAATTATTACAGTGTTATTTTCCTCTTATGCAAAACATTTTGGTGCATCATTGTCTTCCGTGATCCGTCCACAACCTGCATCCAACCATCCCTCCCGAAAGAAAATCAATCACGACTGAAAATGTTTATGTCTTCCAAAAACGAAACATTTCCCTTCGCCATTGACGGGGTTCTTGGCGTTCCCAAAATATTATTTTGTATAAATTCTATCAAAAGCTTCACTGAGTATTTTGTAGGTATCTTTTCCGCCGTTTTTCGTAATCAGAGAACCGTTCTCATTAAAGGTCATCTGGCTAAAGTTTGCTACGCTGGAACAATGGGATCGTGCGCTGTTCTGTCTGGTGGGCTCCTGAGGTATCCTCGAAATTAAGTTGTCAGCTGTAGTGCGAGTTAGCGAATGTTGAACGGCAGTGATATCCTTTCTGATGATGAATGCCTTGTTAGCTTCGGGCTTAGCATCCTCGGTAATTTCATGGACATCAGCCAAAGTGCCGAAATCCGGACCGTCTCCAGATATTATTGTAGGAAGATCTCTGACATATTTGGTGTCAACCCGCGCGACAGCTTTTCGGGAATCTGGGAAAATGTTCGGCTCTGTTATAAGGCATGATCCGTTGCTCTTTTCTTTGAATGTTGTAAAATGTTTCAAGATATCTGAATTCCTTGGCGCAGAAAGCTCGAAACGCTCGCAGAACTCCGTATCGTTCTCCAGGATAAACGGACGCGCCATGTAGGCCAGCGCAATGGTATCCGCTACCGGTTTGCAAGTCGAAAACATGGGGTCTTTGTTTTGGCATTTTGCAAGTTCTCGCGGTGTCATGTAGTGGAATCGGACACAAGTCATTAATCTGGAAAAATGGATTAATCTGGTTGGGCGGTCCGCATTCACCCACTGATAGCAAGCTTTAAGCACATCGTATTCGGTTGGGAGGTTAAGGCCGTCTGATGACATTATCTGGCACATTTCTGCCAGCTCCAGTGCAACAAAATCTCCTTTTTCAAGCAGGACGGAGATGCGATCGAGAAGTTTGACCCACGCCAGTTCTTTTACAGGATGATCACAATCGCCGTGGAAGATTATAGGAAACAGGTGGTCATCGCACAGCAGGTCTTCGACACTTTCCTGAATTTCTTCATTTAATGTGGTCAGTCCAAAAAACTCTCCTGCCGCAATGATTTCCGCCAAGTATTCATAGGGCACCTGGAACAGTGTAAAATTAGGGCAAGCACACGTTTTCTAGTAGGGTCGAGCAAAACAGTAATGTTCGATGTTTAATAGTGCCCCTTATTCCCTATACCAGGCAGGACAGTTCGTCAAAGGTCAAGAATCAGACAGAAGCCTGATTAAATTTGGCTTCAATAGCAGTAGCCATAAACCAACACTCTTAACCCAAAATTATCGGACAGTAGGTACAAAAACAACTATATCGTCCATTTGCTTGCCTTTGGCGTACTTCGCTCTGCCCTTCATAAACATAATCCATCACAGCGCGAAAAGCAGTCGGACTGATTTCTCCATAGAGATCTAGTTGGAGGGGCTTTTTCACATCTCCGGGATTTTTGGGGCACAACTCTGGGAATCTACTGCAAAATTCCGAGTGCGCTTTGAACATCATAGCATGCGCTGGGGTAGCAGAACGTCCAAAGAGGAAAGATAGATCACACAGTTCCATACTTTCAAGTGCTTTCTTGATGTATTTAATGCGCTTCTGAATATGCAGCCGAGAACAGATTTTCTGACGATCAAGATCAAGCTCCGGCGGCTCCGCTATGGAGAAAATACTGTCATGTCTTTGAGATACAACGTGTAAGGTTTCGGTGTCATCCTTGGCGGGGCTATCAGGCTGACCAACCAGGACCCAGTTGACTCCAACGGATTTCTCGTCAGGACTCTGGTAAGAGTCTGGGTGCAGGGTCACACCGTCGAGAGACTTCAGCGAAATAGTATCCGCTGTTGACGCCGCTTCTGGGACAACGTCCTCGCCTCCGTTCTCCGATTCCGAGGATGAGAATGTCGCAGTTGGTTTGCTGGGTGGAGGCTCCGTCTTGCTCCTGCTTGTTTTCGTGCGGTTGGTTTTAGATATGGACATTTTAATGTTTAAAAGTCGACAAAGTACACGTTATGGATTGATGAGAGGTTTCCGATGACAATTTTGTTTATCCAGCCAGCACAAAATTGATTGTGGTCCGTTTTGCCGAATTCAGTTAACACTTTTGCAAACACATTGTCAACCGAAACCAGTTTAAAAATTTTGATTCTTGCACAAGAAATACGCAGCTATTCCATCATACTGATCAGTTTGTAAAAGTACAGTACTTTCGGGTTTTTTTTACAAATTATTCAATCTTATATTCAAATGCTTATATTCAAATACTTCTATTCAATCTGGTACTTTAACTAACTATAAACATTAAATATTTTAGGAGTCTATCTGTACGACAAGTTAGCGCAACGCTCGCCAATTGATTGTTATTGAGACTGGCAGATTGCAGTAAGGTATATGTAAAAACAACTTTGGCCGTCTGCAAGGATACTTAGGATAGTATCAGCCATTACGCACTCAAAAACAATTGCATCAGTTTTTTTACAGAGGTGTCATCTTGATGAAGTTATGTGAAAATGATGTGAAGAACAGGTTCTTGACCTTTAAACTGATTTCCTTTATTCTCGAATTGTTCGTGATGAAGTTCGCTTCTGGGTTTAGGTTATCCAGCTGTTGCTCCCATTAATTTACAGCGTCAAAGCAATCTCGTCAATCAAATCCAAGACTGGAGAACATATGATAATCATCTACTGCACCACAACATTATTGCCCTGCTACATCGGATATGGGATAGCTCCATGAACTTGATGATAGCGCTCTTCTAATTCAGTGTTATGCGTTTATTGGGCTGTTTATTTATTGTTGTATCCTTCGTCGATATCGTGCAGTGTGACAACAAACGCGCATTCTCTGGTAGGGCAAGAAACCTCGGTCGGAGGATTGTCAGGACCGAAAACGATTTTCCTATTACAGTGAAACCCCTCGTAACGTACACCCTTTTATAACGTTCACCCCTGTATTATGTGCATACAGCGGGGAACCAGACTATCCGGCATGTTATAACAAAGGGGAAGTTCTCTTTATAACGTTCACCCCTCTACAAGTATAACGTACACCTATCATGGAACGGCAGACCATATTTAAGGTGCATGCAACCCCTGTGTTACGTACAGCTGGCTAAGAACGAGAAACAACAATTTCAAAGAAACCTCCGGCTTCTGGGTTTAAGTCTGCCCAATGCCGGATCTTGCGATGCAGAACAGCGAAATCATAAAAAAAAACAACATTTACATACGTAGATGGGAACTTACCTTGTCAGTTACGGTACTGTAGCTGTTTAAAAATGGACGCAAAACGTAATCGTCAGAGTTTTTCTTTGGAGAAAAAATGGAAATCAGTAAAGGCGTTACGTTGAGAGGTCAATAATTCTTACGTTCCACAACATACACGGCGCCGCCTCAGGTTGCTGACCCAAATATATAACTCCCCCCTGGGAGCGTTATTATGCTAAAAACGGAGGGTGTACGTAGTAGAGAAGTTTCACTGTACCTACTTTAATTGTACAGTATTGTAATTTCAGATGGCCTAAAACTGGTTAAACGCGCCGCGGTTGCCGCTGCGGTTCAAAAACCAACAACTCGAACAACCCACGCCCCGGCAGACAACGCAACTGTTGCGAACACCGCGCATCATGAAGAAGAGATGCATGGGGAAGAATCCGAACTGGAAGCACCGGCCATTTTTTTCATCACGGTGACCCTAGTAATCGGGGCCATCGCTCAGCTGTTGCTGCATTTGGTGCACCAGTACATCACGATTCCGTATCCGGTCTTCCTTTTGGTCTTGGGTTTCGCGTATGGAATTACAACCAGCAAACATGTGGGCATTGCATCGTTCACCTGTGTGGCGGCCACGAATCCCGAGGTGCTGCTGCTTGTCTTCCTTCCCATTCTGATTTTCGAAGCGGCCGTTTCTATGCCCACTCACCTGTTTCAAAAACTTTTCCCACACATGCTGATAATTGGCACCATTGGAATGGGTAAAAAAACACACTTTCTAAGTTTCCTCGAAGAGTTTTTTCCGAATCCTAACCTAATGGGTTTATTCCAGCAATATGCCTGGTGTCAACTGCTTACGTCAGTGTCGGCCTATTTCAGTCAAACTACGACTACAGCAATGTTGGGCCAGATCTGTTAGGAGATCCGGATAGTCCGGAAGAGACTGTAACCCTGTACTCCCATGCCACTGATTTGCACGAAGCGACTGAGCATGGCATCCAACAAACAGCAGCCCCTAAGTCAGCATCAAATGACGAAGCGGCTCAGAGTGGCAATGGAGATGCTGATTACCACCTGGCCAATCAGTTCCCACCGTTAAGTGAAATGCTCAAAAACGATGACGACAGTGCTGATCATGATGTGCCGCGAGGTCTGAAAATTACTGTAATCACTCTAGCGTTGTGGTAAACAAGTATGAAGACACATTTTATTTGTACATACTTGGGTTTTACTTTTTTAATTTCTTCTTTTTTTATAATTAAATTTACAGTTTTCACGCTTTTACTTGCAGCGCGGCGCAGTGCAACCGTTGAATCCAGTCATGGTGCAAAAGTATCCAACAGTAGTTCAGAACTGGCACATGGCGGCAATGATGATGACAAGTGGACCATCCAAGTGGGATTACTGTTTGCTGCTGTGATCAGCGTGACCGACCCTGTCGCCGCCGTTGATTTGTTAAGACATTGCGGTTAGCATCACGTTTTTATTGTGGACTTATTCAATGAGAAAGCTGCGCTATATTGTTTTTCTAGGTTCCGCCAAAAGCTTAACGATTGTGTTAGAAGGGACATCCTTGTTGAGCGAAGCGACCGGGATTGTATTGTTCAACATTATTGCCAGAGTTATTGATCCCGACACCGAAGTAGTTGCATCATACGAAACCGGTTACATTTTTCAAGTTATCCTGGGCGGACCCGCATGGGGTAATTATGAGCCATTGCAGTTTACGAGTTCAGCAGCTATTCCGAAATTTTCACGGGTTCAGGACTCTTGATGGGATTCATCGTCACTCAGCTTATATCGCGCATGTCAAACATGTGGGAAGCGGAAGCCATCCTAATTATAAGTGCACCATATGTCACCTTTTGGTGTGCTGACGCGGTTTTTCATGTGAGCGGCGCTCTGGCCGTTATGGTGCTCGGATTATATATTAGCTCCCATCGGGCTTGTATGAATCCGGAAGTGGAAGATTTCATTCACAAGTAATTTGCCATCTACTCCGAGTTTAGAGCAAATACCTAACAATGGTTTTCGGGACGTTTCAGAATGTGGGAGATCTTGCAGCTGATAGCCGACACGCTGATTTTTAGCATTTATGGCATCTTGATTTCCCAGATTGCCCTTAGAGGCGTGCCTGCCGATGATTGGTGGAAGCTGCTTGTGGTTAACATTTTCATTTTGTTTATTCGGTAATTTATTAGTGGTATTCTGCCAAATTGCCAACACAGCTGCAGTTCTGCTTGTTTAGCGGCTTCTCATTTTGCCTGCTGAAACCAGTATTATCATCAAATGGCCTGGGTGCAAAAACGTTCACCTGGCCCCACACCGGTGTTCTGGTATGGACAGGGTTTCGTGGAGCGGTAACACTTGCGCTCGCAGCGCATGCCGCTGAAATGCCCTACCTGGAACATCGTCCGGCCCTGGCAGAAAAGATGGTCTTCCATTCAGCTGGGGTCGTCAGTTTCACACTGTTAATCAATGCCACAACGCTGCGAATGCTTTTGCGATTTCTTGGTAACACCTAGTTTTTTGTCATGTCTAAAAGGTGAATAAATGGCTTCTTTAGGCATGCTGGAAATGCCCCTGTCAAAGCTCATTGGATTGAATATGGCATTTCAACATTTGCAGCACGTGAGACGACTGGATATGGACAGTATGGCAATGGACAAATATATGGCTGATGCCGATTGGAAAATGGTCGACACTTACACAAAAGCTGACGGTCACGAATTCGGGCTCAAACAGTCCGATGCAGTATGGTTTAGTAATTTCCGCTTACTTATGAGATTGCTCAAGAGATAGTTTTCTTGTGTTAGTGTAGCCTTAATTTTACCCTATTACTTTAAGAGCAGTTAACGATTTTGCAGAAAATGGTATGGGCATCGCAATACTTGAACCATGCTTACCATTGTGAAGAAGCCAACAAAGAAAAATGTGGGGAGGTAACACCACAAGAATTAGCAGAGATGGAGAATATCGCCAGACTTCGTTTAGTAAAAGCAAAAAAGGTAATGTAAATGTTCTCTTAAACTAAAAGTTGCACGAGCACACAAACTTTACACCTTTACACGAACATTGTTGTGGTAGACAGCTTACTGGAAACAGTTTGCCGAAGGGACCTTAAGCGGGAAAGGGGTGGAACATCTGGACGATCTCACGGACATCGTCTTGCACAGCGATAGCGGAGTTATATCAGCGGACGATATTCGGTTCTACTTAGAAAATGAACAGTGGACCAACTTCGTGAGTTATTTAGGTACTGATACGTTCTTCTTCTTGGGAAACTCAAATAACCTGATCACCACAACAACACACTGTGACTTATATCTGTAGAGACGACGATTCTCCTCTATTCAAAAGTGGATTGACCGGCGCAGATCCGATATTTTCGAAAGTCCAATAGAACCACACCGGCTGGTGTGCTTTAAAATCGCAACCTCGAGATGGTTTGATGTTCTTATTTACGTAGTAATCCTTTTGAACTGTGTGGAGACTATCACAGACTGGTCTCTGACCGGAACAACAACTGCGGAAACCAACACGCGAGTGCTGTTTCTGTATACCAACTTTACTTTTATGATGTTGTACACCGCTGAAGTTTTGATCAAGGTAAGTACGAGGCGTTCGCTTCAACATTAATGAAAGAAACAGTCATCGGTGATTCGGTGGCATGACTTCAGGTTGTCGGATTCGGATGGAGTGGCTACTGGGGTCACACGTGGTTATCCTTCAATCGGCTAAACCTATTCATTTTGTGCGTGACGTACATTGACCTTATCATTGATTTCGTGATCGTATACAGCGCTGTGGGAAACAACATCGATGCACAGACTTTGTCAAATGTACGGATCATTAGGTTCTTCCGGTTAGTTCGATTCGGGCGTGCTTTCCGTTTATTGAAGGTAATCGCAGTTGCATAAAACGTGCAGTATCTGATTGAGTATTGTGAAATAATGATCATGGTAGGCATTTTAGCCAACGGTTCCGTACGTCGTGGAATTTTTGGATAACCGCATCAGCGCGCACTTGTACTACGGATATGATATTGCCCGCGCTTACGTTATCGGGCAAGAAGAATGCAGTGGACTGGTCAGCCATATCATTGGCTACACTCCGTTGGTGCTACAATTCAAAACGCAAATTGAGAGCGATGGAAAGACAATTGCCAAAGAGATCGGCCTTCTGAACGAAACTCGGCCGGATATCGCGACGGCAGTAAAGACACGACAGGCAGCGCGGTGCATTTTGAATTACATGATCAAATGTTACCAAGATTTTCGAAGAAAAGGTTTGCTTGAAGAAGACGATGTTGAACACTTGATGCACGTAAGTAGCGCATTCGGTTTACAAAAAGACTGGCGTGCTTGCGATAATCATGATTGTTTAGACCGTGGAAGAGCAACTGAAAAAGATCCGTGACCTTCCGTATACCGTTTGTGTGCTCGGTGACCGAGATCGTTTGTGGAATGTACCATGGATCAACGGAAACAAACAAGTGCTGGAAATTGTCAAATCTCTTTTCATCGAAAAAAGCTATGAGAAGAACGATATTTTTCTTCCCATTAAGAGCCAGCCCGATGGGATCTTTTTCGTCACCAGTGGAGTCGTGTCGTTGGAGTATTCCGAGCTGTTTAATGACTCTGTGGAATTAGGTGAAGTTTACAACTCGGATAACATGGAGATATCAGCAGACTATGATTTGGCATTTGCCCATCATATGCCGGTGAAGATTGATTATGCATTGGCGGGAACCATGCTCAATGTGCAGAGCGTGCTGCTCGACTTACCCAGGCGCTCTCAAGGAAAATGTGAGACCGGCGTGTCGGTAAGTCGGTAGAAAATTAACCAAGACAAAGATTCCCAAACTTGCAAGAGTATGATAGGCACTGTACATGGATGCCGTATCGCTGTTCAAAGCAATGGGAACCGTGCCCGCGCTGGAAGATGGTCTGTGGAGGCGGATATGTACCAGTGTGGCTTTGAATATAATAATAAAGAGTGGCACAATCATGGTTTGTAAAGCATGAGGAAGTTTGACGATCCCCAGAGTTTTAAAACGAATAAGTTTCTGATGTCCAGGACTATGAAACTTTGGACGAGCAAAAAGCTCGGCTTTCTCGCGGAGCGGTGCGTCTAGTGAGACCTGGTGTGAAGATTAAAGGTCTGGATAAATTTCCGGAGACTTACCTGATTTCCGGCTCAGTGTTCATTCCGGGTGGACGACGGAAAACTATCGTGCACATTCATCGGGATAACCCAAGTCAACGCTCAGTGCTAAGCCCTGTTCTGAGCCAGGGTACAAAACCGATTAGCAGCAGACTGAGCAAAAGCAGTAAACACAGCAAAACCAGTAAAGATAGCGCTGCTCTTGTTCCGCGCAATGTCACCTCTCGACACAGCGATATTCCCGGAGAAACATTACATGCCCCAAGAAGACTACATGCTTCCATACAGGAAATCGAGATTCATAAAGGGCGAAATGCAGTTGTCGATGAGGTGAAACGAGCATCTGGGATAGATTAAAACTGGAAGAGCATATATCGACAGTGATTTCTGTTTTCTAGACTGGATGGACAATCTATCCTGAGTATGCGGTATTGTTACTTATTCCGCCAGGAGAGCACGACCTTAGCACCATCAATATTCATGACAGTCAGCTGTTCTCCGCCGAGCCGGAGCCACAACACCATCTCGGCCACATTGAAAGTCATGAGCGACGAGATGCTGTACTTGCAACAAGCGCCCATTCCGAAAAGACGCATGAGACTCACCAAGACACGCCTCACCAGCGACACCAGAGCGACGTCGGGGAAATTGTGACAATCGTTAAGCAAGAAGAGAGAAGAAGGTCCAGATTGTCGTACACTGCTTTTATGCAACATCGGCGATTTTCTCAGGTTTAAAATTATTTGTTTTAAAATTATTTTGAATTACAGCCGTGTGTGTTAAAGCACTCAAGCTTAAAAAATGTTTTTGATTGTCTATATAGCAAATGAAGCGAAATAATTTTCGTTTTCTTCAGCAGCTTTTCCGCCTGCTGCTCTTATCAGATAAGCTTTATCAAAATTTGAAACTATGTAGCAGCTTGAATTGCATGCTTGAACGCGAATATATATTTTTCTTTTATTTTGGTTGGGATGTTGATGCCGTACAAAAATGTGCCAGCTCTGTAGCGCACTGTCTTTTTACATGGGACATACTCTACTTTGGAAACATTCACCTAAATTTGTTGCTGCTTAAAGCACAGTACTTAACCAAAAGCTGATCCTAGCAACGTATATGACATACTTACTTGATTATTAGGCTATAATTAATCAGTTTAAAATGAAAAATTGCTTACTGTAATGAAACGCTCGCTGTAAGCCTGTAATTAACATGTTCAGTTCGGCCACAGCGGAAGTGCATCATCGACAGTTTTCTAGACAGCCGCCCGTATTCCGAAAATTGTTTCATGGATCCCGAGAATGCAGCCCTCGGATTTGTAGACTTTGTGCCGCAAATTACCGACCGAGTCGCCTTAGAAGGACGATTTAAATACGAAAAATTACCAGCCCTGCTGCAGCGCATTAATAAGTGGTTTCTGAAACGACCGAAATTGGAAATAATTTCTGTCGAATCGATTCAGATCAGTCCTGGTCACCCTGTACCCGAGTCAGCTTTTCCATCGGTCAAGACGGAATTCGTTACCGCATATCCGTTCTCGCCAACTTGTCCGGTAGTAATTAAGAGAGGCGTACGAGTTTGGATACGCTCACGAGAAACGACATCTAAAGTGCATCACGAAATTCTGAAATATATTACGGTTGTACCGAATCTGAAAATAAACTGTGCAGAAGACGGTCTCCAAAATTATCTAACTGTTCCTTACCAATCTCTTTTAATGCGTTTGAACGACTATATTCGAGCCAAAAAACTTACTGGACGGGTGCTTTCAGTAGAAATGGTACCAGTGTATATTACGTCGGATCGAATTTTGCCGGACTTATGCGCTTGGACGCCTTCTGGTCGTATTCAAAGATACTTTGACGTTATGCGATTATTTTACATAGCTGACGAATTTTCACTCTTACCTTGCAACCTGGATTGCTATCAGTTTTGCGCGGATCCTACAAGTTCTTGCCATTGCTTGGATATCTTGTACGAAGCCTTAACACAGTGGTGCAAAAGTCAGCCGCATGCTCAAATTCTTCGCATACAAACCGTACAAAAGATGGATGACCTTTGTGAGATGCAGGCCAAGTGGCCGAGAAAGATTGATAGCGTTATGCAGAAGATCAGCGGAATACGAGTATTTTATTACCATGTGGATGGCGTTAACCCATTTTCAAGCTCGACATTACACTCGCAAACTTTCAGCCCTAAAATTTGTTATTCTGACTCGCTGTTTTCTGGTGTAGTTGTCCGTCATGAATCACAGAGAGATCTTTCCAAACGAATTGATGATTGGTTTAACAGTCAAAATCCTGAAACTGCTGTTTTGCAAATTCTTGCTGTGGAAACCTTTTTAGTAGTTGTGCCGACTGGTGGTCGCTTCAAATGGTTTTTTGCTTTTATGGATTGGTGGTGGCGGCGACAAAGGCGGATTACAGATTCTGTTGTACTCAAGTGTTGCAGAGTTTACTATTACATATCAAACAAACTGTCTTTCCTTTTCATTGCTGCTTTGAAATCACCCGGTTTTTGGCAGGAAGCTTTTTCATTCGATAGTAAAATACAATGGGATGTTTCATATTGTTTAGTAATTGTACCATGCATACGCTGTATAACCCAACCGTTTCAAAACTGTCATTATGTAATTGTTTACAAACGGAACATAAGCGCATGTAATCACAAACGTATCAACACCGGGGGAGGAGGAGGAATTTTGGAAAACAAATCCTTTTGAAATGTATCTAACTCCCAATCCAAAGAAAAATTAATATTGTATTCCATATATGTCAGATCATCTCGCTGTTTGCTTAGCGCACTTAATTTCTCGCCGATCCAACAAGGTTCCGAATTAATGTGCAGCTGCACACAAGTAAATGTGGTTGGTACAGCCATTTCCCTAGCTGCGTGTTCCAGAACGCTTAAGAGGGGAAGCATGCCAAAGGTCATGCCGATCATGATGACATTACGGTATGACTTAGTAACGATTTCTTTAGTGGGCTCCTGCATAAAGGAAAACCATCCCAAGCCGCGATACAGTATACTTCCAAATGGGCCGTCAACACTTAACGAATCATGACTAGCGAAGTGTTCCAGACAGAAACCAAATCGGTCTTGACAAACAATCACATCGGAACGCTGCTTAATGCTGCATCGATTTAGCCATAAAAAATCGACGAAGCCCAATGCATCACAGCCGCTAACGGGAAAAACTGGCCTGGAAATTCGAAACGTTCCAGCAAGACCTCCCACCTCTGATAACTGGCTCTTGCATCCACATTTGATACATGCAGTGAGTACCACAAATTGACCAGGAGGTACGCCGAAGATCGGTGTCTCTTCCGGTAAACGTAAGCGCAGGTGAATCCATCCACCATCCGTTGGCGTTATTTGCAGATTTTCGGAGCACACGCTGAACAAAGTGCTTTCCTTTAATCTGGATTGCACAAAAATCTGGGAAGGGTTATAGCAGTATGGTAGAGGACTGGGAACAGGAGGATGGAACCGTGGAATGTTTTGCGCTCGCTTCGACGAACCTGGAGCAACTTCTTGCCAAATGTCGTACTGCTTCGGTTCTGGGTCATCATCTGTTTGTGCAATCGCACAATGGCAGTTAGAGAGTTCGTCATATGCAGACGGCGTCGACTCGGTTCCGCCTTCCACTCCTCCCATACCAACACATTTTACAGTTTGTGCCGGATAACTATTTTTCCTGTCGTCACCTTTTTCTTTGCTCCAAAATCTGCAGCTTGCGTGTTTCGGAATCACAGTGCTCTCAGCACATTTAACCGCTGCTCCCGCGTTCGATTTTTCCTTGGAATCTATCATGTTGAAACCAAATATGACACCACAACGTGCGTGACTTCACTGGTGCACTTGTGATATATCGTTTGTGCTACTAACCAATCAGATCCGAAACGATGGTCTTTACTTCTCTCTGTAGCGCAATGGCATCTTCCTCCCTCGCACAGTTGCCGGTATTCTCGACCAGGTCTGATAAAGCATGATTCGATCCTTGTAGGGCTTTAAATACAGACTCAAAACTCGGCTGATAAGGTGCTGTGTGCAGCGAAACGGGAGTAAACTCGTTTAAGATTTCTGATCGCGTATCCAGAACCTTGTGGGTAACGCTCGAAACCAGGTGATTGCTGTCCGGTAGGAAGCAAGACCGCAATTTCTCTGTCCATTCATAACTGGTATCTGAGCTAACTACCCATTTCTTGGACAAGGCGAGAATGTTCGAAAAGTTATCTGCATCACTGCTGCCCGCTTTATCATTTTCAAGAGAGACCGTCTGCCGTACATCTGTAGCGTCCGGCGCATCGGTAGCTTCCAAACGAGTGCTTATGGGCTCATCAAGAACTGAAAAATCGTAGAAAATCTCTTGTGGCGGAGAGGCCGCAAATCCAAACAGCTCAGAAAATGGGCGTAAGTCAACGAGGCCAGCAGACTTCGAGTGCGGGAACTTAATGTCTTGTGGGAGCATTTACGATACGCTTTTGCACAGAAAATGTCACACCCCGAAATACGAATACCCATTGCAGTACAGATGTATTGCACACTTTTCAGTTAGTTCGCAGAACACATAGCCAATACCAGTAGGCTAGATATTGTATACTGGATGCCACGAATACTATAGTGCAAAAATGTGGTGGTTCTTATATAGGGGGACAAACAAGTCTACTCGGCCCGTTTCCCTGTACTGCTGCCGTCACCCGCCTGGAGTGTGACGTTACGGCAGTACATACGGTTAAATCAAGCGCGGTACATAAGCACCATGTATAGCGGCTACTATAGCGACAAAGTAAAACACCAGCCGGTTGACATCAGAAGTACAGGAGACTGGTTCGGCTAGACTCATTTTTCCCCCTATATACCAAAATAATTTATCATATAGTATATGAGCATTTACTTATTTTATGCGTGCTTTGAGCAAGCCTTCCTCTGGTGCCAGGTATTCGTTCCTATTCGTTCCTTCCTTTTGATGCCATGTGTGCTATTAAGATATACCATTATTTCCGTGTTCAGTTGGTCTTGGTTAGCGGTTACAATCTTAAAAAATATTATTTAACACGATTGCAGAAAAGATGATTTAGTTAAGATGCCGAGCTTTAATTGCATCCGACCAAAGTCCACCTTTTAAAATTAGTGCGCCACCGAACAAGTGACCGCTAAAATAGTCAAAAAATCAAAAACCACGAAAAGCGAAAGTTTTACGAAGTCGGATAAGTATCAACTATCAAGAACACCGGTTTAATGATCGATAAATCGGACAGTATCGGTCGACCGCGACACGGGTAACACTTGTAAAATTCCGTACGCCCACATGATTTTTAAATCAAATGAAAGTTTTTCTCCTTGGCCATTTTCGACTAAAATAAAGAAAACCAAGTTAAAGCGCTTCTAAATGAATCACGAGGGAGTTGTTCTTACAAATCCGCAGGGATCCCTCTCTCGAAATAGTCATCCGCGTGGTCACTTTCAGGTAGAATTGTTAACTGCCGGCTCAGAAGCGTGGCCAGTATACAAGCGGGAGCAAACGTCAGTCCAGCAGCAACCAGTGTAAAGCCCAAAAGCAACTGTTATACAAACCGCTTCTTAAGGCAAAACGTTCAGCCTTAGGATAGTTGAAATGTATGGGCTTACCATATTACCAATTATACAGTGACATAGGAGACGGGTGAATTGCCCCATGGCCTTTTGAATAGGTCCACATTCTCTAGTGCGGTTCGCCATAACATGTAAAAAAATAACATAACATGAAAATCACGGTAAGGTAGCAATTATGGCAACAGTGTCACAATCCTACGTAATTTCATTACGAGCGAAGCAAAAAGCGAGAGAAGAACATTCTGCATACTTTTTCCCCAACAAAAGTGGAATAATGCTCCAAATATCCAGGAATCCGGTTAATAAAATGCATAGTGTGCTGTAGTAAACAAGTCTAACAATGCAAGCTACCGACGAAAAAGTGGCTGCTTTCGGCATACATTTAACGTATTACGGTACATATTTTGTTTGGCATAGTTCTCAATAGCTTGTTTGCTTTCGGAAAATCGTTTGGGTGTGCGTTCGTAAACGGTCATTTTTCTTTCGACATCGTCAATCTCCTGCATTAGCTGCACTTGAGTAGAATGAGCAGGAAACAACCTAGTCTGGTATTCACGATCCAGTGCCGTCAAAATGCGATCAATAGCCTCCTGTTCACCCGGTTTTGATATAAGACCATGCCTGACTTTTGATAATTCCTTCATATAATCATAAATAGGGACTTTTGTAATTGATAAGCCTAGCTAAAAATCAAGGCACCACTTGTTGCACGGGCATTAACGACTGCCAATAAAATCGAAGATAAATACCTGGGTCCTTTGGTCTTGCAGGTTAAAGTGCGTAAGGTTACTTTGATAGGCAGCCAAGAGGCTGACCAGTTCATCCGGGAAATACTTGAATGTCGGAATTGTCGTTACCGGTTCAGGCTCCACTGTGATGCTTTCTGGTGCCGTAAATTCAAGTACTACATCGTCCGTCGTGCTTGCGGTAGTTTCTGCAGTAGTTCTCACAGTGATGTCCTCAGCAGGAGTTTCCGTCCAGCTTATGTACGGCAGCATTTGATTCATAACGCTTACAATTTCGGAATCATCGGCAACAGAAAATAACTGCACAATACGAAATTCCAAGCTGTGATCAACATCCTGCACTTCCGAACCAGTCTGAGACAGGAAACTTAAAATCTCCAGGAAGCTGTAATTCTTGGCGCAATCCCTGTTAACATAATAAAACAGTGTCGCTCAATTTTTACAGTAAGTCTGCGGACAGTTCCCAACCGCAGTTCTTACTCCAAGATACGGCCAATGCTAATGCCGGTGCTGGCTGGAGTGGAATCGTTTGAGGCAATCGATATGTTAAAAGGTTGTGGGACATCGGAAACCGGATTGTTGTCTTCAAGAAGTCCTACGATAAGCTGTACCAATGGTCAACGGCTTTTTCTGAAGGTCAATCAATAACTTGATTGTCGAGATTCCCAAATGGTTTATAACAGCACGCGCCAGCAAACAAGTACTGTACACTCTTTGTGCTACCAGACTTTTACTTCCCGCAAGTTTTGATAGACCGTTTTACTTCCGACCGGCTAACCATTCCACTGACATAATTTACAAGTAATTCTTGTAATACAATTTTCAATACATCTCTTAACAATAATTCGTGCCCAACGCTTTCGCCATAATTTATTAAGGACGTACCTGATCGGTTTCTTGGTAGGGATACCGCCCATTCTCCAAGAGGGGACACATTGCAGCGCGGGCAATACTGGCACCTGCTACCACGCCGACACCAATGACTAGGATTAAGCTCGACAGAAAAGCTGAGCAGTACATCACGCTAAAAAGACAAACCAGCGTAATTATTCAATGTATAGCTTGTGCTATTTAGCGGATGTACCCCATTAATACCAATCCAGCACAATCGGAAGACAAAGAACGCGTTGAAGGTAGTACGATCGGTTCGTAGCAACAAATTCCGCAAGTATTCGCCACGACCCACCAGCACACCACCGCGGCTAAGATCAGTTGCAGAATATACAGTCCGTATTCACTGAAAAACTTATTACTATTATTATCATGCAGAATAAAAATTTTATTAAGAAAGAACAGAAAATATTATGCGTATTCGGCTCTATGAGTGTTCACGATTAAAATTCGTGTTACCCAACGTACGGCGACCGTGTTTCATATACCGAAAAACATACAAACCGGGGAAGGATAAGGGTATTCGAGTATAAACAGCGTTTTGCATATGAATATAAGAATCATACTAGCAAAATTAAACAAACGAGGAAAGCAAACTATATATACAGTAGATACATTAAGCAATACTGCAATTAGTCCTTTGCTTACACAAGAAAAATAGATACTCCGCCAATTTTTGAGGGCAGCTGGCGAAACTTGTCACGGGAACGGGTTACTTCCTCTAAAGTGGGTTTGCTTACGTTCAGCAAGGGGTCCAGGAGTCGGAATACTTGGCCGCTCCACGTTTTGATGCTCTCCGTAGATTCTGCATAAGGTTCCGCGTTATTCAAAATGGGCAATCCGCAATACCAACACAAAAATACTTAAGCCGAACCGACCTGTGGATGCGCTCACCTTGCAAAATGTGATTTGTTTTCGCCGCTAAAATATGGCCAGTTTTATTGAAACGCTCGCAGGCTTGTCGAATCAAGGCTGGAAACCCAGAAAGAATAATTGCTTCTGTTGCATTGGCTTCCCTGGATACGTCAAGCTGTTCGGGAATCGAATTAGTGGCAGGGGATTATTTATTTTAGTGTCAACTACGTATACGAAATGTACGTACGACGACAGTTTCAAGTGCCACCTCCAAGCCAGCCGGGTCAATTCGCTCGCAAAAATACGGCGTGGTACATGTCTCTTTCAAGTTCCAGAGATTCTGCTGTTGTTTGCGCAGAAATATGTCCGCCTTTTCGGTGTTAACATTAATCTGATGGAGCTTTTCGTCCAGATCAAAAAGTCCATCTCGGATGGCATCCGATTCTGAAATTAAGTTTTCTTCAGGCTATTTGCCACTGCAAGTTGATCTCTGCATTCTGCCTGTTGTGACGAGTTCTGTACATTTACCGTTGATCAGTGAGCCAAGTGTCTCAATGCCAGATTGAACGAAATCAGGCAGTCCTCGCCAGACACTGTCACTGATCAGTACATCCATCCAGTCGAAATTCCCAAAGATGGTGCTGACAGTTCGATCCAACGCGACACCACTTAAATGCAAAAGAGCCTGCTTCACATTCCACGCAGCCACTTCGATATCCCCGAAAAACTGCTCCGCCGTTTTATCAAACTGCTTCAGACCATGCACGAAACCGGAAGTGGCTATGAAGGCCAGCGCGGTACAAGAGCTGCAAAAAAGTAACGTCTTCTCTGTGGCTTCCTTTGGAGTTTATACTGTTGGTCGGGGTACTTACATCAGAATTATCACGATGAGAAATAAACCGGCGCATAGCCCTATCCAAACAATACGATAAAGGAGGACGTTGTATGGCTGATAACTGGCACCGCACCAGCCAAGGTGAACGCGAATGAACATCAAAGAAATCCCTGGTATAGTGATGGCATAAAAAAGCGTTTGCACATGAACAAATTGGTAAAGCAGCAAATATAGACGCATTACTGCAAACTTGAAGGACTGAAACTAATAGTACTAATAGCACTTATGCTTTATTACCCGAGAATGGCATCATAATTGCTGGTATGAATAGTGCTATGGCAAACTTCTTCAGTCGGTCGCATTCCTGAATAAAGAAAGATTATTGTTGACCTAATTTGTACTCTATAGACTCTGCACACCAAACCACAAATAATTTACCTATTTAGTTAAAACTGATATCAAACTCCTGCATTACCGAATATTCCAGCATATGCTTTAGGCTATCCAACGGTTTCGTTTGGTCGGTGCGCAGTAGCTCAAGTTGTCGGTAGAAAGCAGTAACAAATTCTATAATCAAGAAATACTAAGATTTGAAAAATTGATCCAAAAATGCACGTCAAATGTGTGTGCAATTTATTCGTCTCCAAAAAATTTTTCATGTTTACCTTGAGTGGGAGCTGGTACAGAACTATTCGTGTCACTCATCAGAGCGTCGCTAATAGCTGTGGCCAGTGATTCCCATTTCTGCACTACTGCCCATGTTTCAGCTGAGCAGTCACCTTCCGTGTACACAAAAGGCCTGATTTCGACCGGTTGGCCAAAGTCTATGACTTCCCCGGTAGCCGTCCATAGTGCATATTCCTGCAGATCCAGTGGCCTACGTGGGCGTTGCTCGGGATCTTCGTCCGGCTGCACAGGGGCTGCTGTCGCTATGTCCAGATCGATAGTTGTCTCGTCCTCAGTCTGACCTTTACACTGTTGCCAGTGCACTGCAAGCAGTACCAACAGCTGCTTGCTGAATGCTGTGTAATGCATAGTTGGACGCAAACGGATATTTTTTTGTCCGGCACTTTCATAACGACCGGCAATGCGGGAAGAAAGTCAAAACGTCAAGAACAGAACTTCGGAAACAGTAATTATAGCAGCAAAGCCTGCTGAAGGTAAGTATTATTATTAGTGGTTGGCTGGATAATCCGAAAAAGCAGCAGGCTCCAACGCGGTAGGAAAAGGTGCATCAGCCACGTCGAAGTGTTACACTTTTAACCGGATCCTTTGCGGCTCCGGAATCTGAGAAGTGCCTAAGCAACGTCGTGGAGCTATGGCCATAATAAAATGAAAGCCAACTAAAAACGCTTATCGTGCGATACATTGTGGGTTACGGCATAACATTGTAAGTAAGTCCTTAACGCTTAACCGAACAAAGTGCGCCCGAAAGGTGCAGTGAGTTACAGCTTTTTAGTAGCTCAGTTTTCCAAATAATAATCATTTTTCTGGTCCGTAAAATTTTCAAAACTTATTATGTTTCGTACAAAAAATGTCCACCGCATTTCTTGATGGCATTTGCATATCTGAACTTAAAAATGCTGTTGACTTCGCCAGCGAACGAATGGAAAAGTGTTTTTTCCTGATCTCTTTATTTCCTGTTTTAGCCATGCTAATTTTTGTACACAGTGTAGACACTTCAAATCGTCGCAAATTTCTCAAAATTCCCAAAGGCAGGTCGTCATCTGCCAGAGATGCTAGGACCTATTATGATCTCAGCCAAACTTATGATGATGTGGAGCGTTTTTCTCCGGGCGCACATCATGAAGCAAATACTCAACTACGAAAGCAGAAGAAAATTGAAAACAATCGCTTCCGGAAAGAACAGACCACAGAACTGCTACCTAGAATTTCATCGGACCAAAGTAATTTGGAGAAAAAGATGGACAAATTTCGTTTACATCAAAAACCAGCTCTGAGGCCTCGACAGTTTGAAGATGACGACGAGGATGATGACGAAAAAAGCGATGTATCAGGCGAACATTCCAATGCCCAGTTAACAAAGGAAATTAGAGCACTGGAAAAGGAAGTGAGAAGGCTCGAAGGTCTGAAATCGGGCAAGGGCAGCCCAGATGACAGTACTATCCATGCGAACCTGACCTTTAATCTAAGATGGAAGAAATACAGGAATTTGTCTGACGGTATGTCGGCACTGATTTTGCTTGCGAGCCACTCAGTTGTATCAATTTAAGCGAGTTGCAGAAGATACAATGGAGCTGAAATACGAAGTAGTCGGCAAATCAAAAGAGGCGTATGCCATACAGGTGCTAGTGTACATTGTCATTCCATGTCTTGCGCTGATCCTCCTAATCTACACTGCTGTCTCCCTTTACTGGACAAAGGTATGATGACTAATTCAATTGTTTTGAACGCATAACTAAGCCCGCTGCCCGTGACCTACTTCCAACGTGTAAAACTTGGCCAGATCAGTTAAACTCCGACAGTACTAAACTAAAAAAAGGACTTCAGCCTGTCCTGCCGTTGGAATATGAATATTATACAGTAGTTCTTCTCATTTGGATAGTGTTGGTTCTGGAAAGTTGTCCCTCCCGACAGATATTACAGATTTGAACGGTTTGAAATCGACCAGGATGATGAGCCAGCAGATATTGCGTAAGTTCAACATGTACAGCAACCCAGTAATATAAACAGAAGTCCAAACTAATCAAGCACTTAGTCGGTGATTGCAGACCGCTTATACGGACACCTGCAGAAGTCGCGGTAAGCAGTTTGCTTTTAGGATTTAAAAATTTTTTCCAGCGTTAACTGTCCACCTGTCCACGTAGGGAACGCCGGAACCCAGGCTGTCAAGCCCGGATAACAACGTAAGGACAGCTTAAAGACATCATTGCATTCTTCGCATGACCGAGCATGTTGTAAAATGGCGCCGCCTGTGCTTTTTAGTATCCTAAAAAAGAGCCGAGAGTGCGCTCACGATCACGCAGTCGTAATCGTGACCGTGACCGTGGAGCGACGGATGAAGCCTTCGCCATGTCAGCCTTCGATTATGATGCGAAGCCAGCATCAGCCAGAAGCCCACAGCGAGATTACTATCGCGGAAAGCGATGAAAATGGATGGGAGGTCAAGAGGAATATTGTTTCATCTCCAGTACGGATAAGTGAACAAGATGTGTACTTATTCCTCAATAAAATCCCGCAAAGCCACAGGGGGAACCAGACTGTGTAGCAGAGTTACTGTGTGTTATGTTAACGAAAATTTTGTAATCTTTGTTGATACGATTGTTATTGGGTGTTGTTGTTCGAACGGGAGGTTGCCTAGCATAATGTGTGTGCAAGTGGGGTCCAAGCAAAGTATTAAGTATTTTCGAGTTGTATATTAGTGATAATTTCCTATATAATAATGTTATTCCGTATGCAATAAAGTTGCGTTACACTGAGCGATAATATAAACGGTGCTGTCGATATACATATTGACGAAATTCATAACTTCGATCAAATGGATTAATACCTTTGGAAACTCTGTTAAACTTGAGATATGATCCGCGCTTAAAAACCTGACATGGTTGTTAAAAGCTGTTACCGCATAGGGAATAGTGATGGCCTTTATTTAATTCCCAGTTTTACTCGACATAGAACTCTGTTCTGCTGACTGGTAATGGCGCTGCACCAGTTTTGTTGTGGGCTGCTGTGTTTGGCTAGTGCCACCTTTGGTTTTTGTTAAGCTCTACATTCCGAAGTCATAATGAGCAAAGAACAAAATGAGCAGCTGGTCAACATTTCCAGTGAACTGCTGAAACTTAAGCCAGATAAAACTGCCAAGGCCTTCGCTTCAGATGCCGCTGCTGCCTCAGTTAAAGCGTTCTTATCGAAAGAGCAACCATTCCTGGTTGTTTCTCCTGGATTACAGGGCATCATAAACGTGGAAAACTCCTTTCCCGGGAAGACTAAAGGCCGACAACTCATTATGTATTTGAAAGGAAATTCTTCCAACGAGATTGCTAATATTCAGACGATGGTGCTTGAGGCTAACCCCTGCACTAATCTGCTGTTTTATTATGACCTGGTAAGCAAGTGAACTGCACAGTGCATGTTAAACGACATGTTGAATTCGACGTCGTACGCCGACGTATTCCATTTCCCTGAAAAATTAAAGCTTTAATTGATCGCTGTTTTGCTTCCGATCTAACTGTGAATTTTTTTCCTCCAGTCTTACTTTTTCTTAAAATACTAATTTGGTTGGCACTGCACTATCGACAGTCTTGCAGAAATTCGTTCCAGTAGTCGGTAGCGAGCAAAGGGAATAACTTCACCAAAATTACTGCATCTCCTAACGATGCAGTAGTTCACAAGGGGGAATTATTGTACAAACGGTATATTAAAAGCTCGTTTTGACTTTCTTGCGCAAGCGCCATCGGTAACGTGAATAAATCATAAATATTAAAAACATAAATGCTATAATAAGAATAGCAATGGTAAGTATTTTCTGCCACATTCATTGATTATACACAACACTCTATGGGACGCTATTGCTGCTTTCAGTGATACCTTGAACCTTCTGCCGCAGCTAACTAAAACAAATGCACGTTTTTTCTAGCTTAAATTGTTTACTTCGACCTTAAACCTGTATCTTTACCTCATTTTGTATTGCCCATAATCTTTTGTGTTTTTATTTTTGTGTTTGACAATTAATGACATTTCAACCTAATCGCTTCGTGCTGAAGCACATTTTATGAAACAATATTGTTTCACAAAATGTGCTTCAGCACGAAGCGAGCTGTATTAATACAGCTTATCTGAAGCTGTGAATTAAGATTAAACATTACCCGAATCCCATTTCTATAAATTTTTTAGTTAATTTAGCTCCTGATAAAATAATCAATTTAAGAATTAAATATTTTTAATGTCTGGTTTTTTGGAGCCACCTTTTAACTAATTTTCGCTAACTGGTTGGAATGTTTGGAGAAAATTAGGGATGCTACGATATTTTCTTTGCAACAGATCGATGAAATGGCGAGAAGGCAAAGTCAAGAAGACACACTTCCATTTAATGTTGTGAAAGAAACAGAAAATCGTCTCAGTCGTTGCAAATTTGACACAGTTCAACTGGCATCCCAGTTTGATTCAATGGTGGCGATGCCGATGCCTACCCTTGTCAAATCGCCTTTTCCTCGACATCAAAAGAATCGCAATATATTGCAAATGGGGTAAGCAGCACACTTAAGCGTTTTTTGAATGTGGTTGTGAATGGTTTAATTTTGCATTTCTTCGTTTAGTTTAGCCACGGTGGACAGAAACACTATGACAGAATTAAAACAGTGTATTTTGAAATGGTGCACCATAATACAAGAACTGTACGATCAGAAAGAATTTGCTGATACGGACGAGGAAACCGGTGCAGGAGCGGAAATTCGGTCTCTCCATCGAAGGGTGGAAAACTTCGAATCTGCATTAGTGCAGGTATACCGACAAATCGGCATTTAAGTAAAAGCCCAAATGTTTCCGATGCCGAAAATCGCACAGTACTTTGTTTGTAGATAACAGTACCTTTGATCCGAATTTTACTAGAAGATATGGACGAAGAATACTTCAGCGTTTCTGATATCTACGTGGATTTGATAGATTTATTGTCATACGGTAAAACACAAACACAAACGCTGTCTATGCAAACACTTTCTCAATGTCATGTTTTGCCTGACCGATGCCGGTAACACATTTCTGTTACTGTGTCTGACAGGTTATGACGAAACCCGAACTATTCTTAAGGACTTTCGACCTGTAGCTCGTTTTGCGAAGTTCGTCGCTGATCAAGATATGAACCACACAAAGCCTTACATTCAGCCGCTGTTTGATGTCGTGGCTAAATTACTGCAAGAATACAAGGAATACTTCAAAGGTCAAAAAGCGGCCAAAGTGCTGGAAGATGTTGGGAAATACCTCATCGAAGTGGTATGTCGGTTACCATATAGCCAACGGTCATAAAAATATGATTGTTCCTGATGAGACAAAAAAAAACGGAAGAACTACGTGAACATATAAACAAATTAGCGAAATTATCATCCTAAGACACCGAGCCCCTACTTATTTTAACTACATCTGTACCATAATAAGTATTTCGTTATGGCTGTCCCCGCTTAAATTATTGTTGTGTGATTTACATAACACACTTCGTTTCTTTACGAAAGCTTTGTAGTGCCACAGTGCCACTCGTATCAGTACTTCTACAACGTAGTTAATTTCAGATCAAAAATAAATTCGAAGCAGCCGATGTGTTCAAAGCAGATACGGCCGAGAATCTCCAGCGGACAAACGAGTGGCTGGCTATCTGGGATGAGCAAGTACGCAGCCTGGTAGCGATTTGCCAAGCCAACGAGGCCATCGACATGAAACTAACGCCCTCGGAAGGCGAGAAGGATTCCAAACGTCACAACGATATCAGCGAATTTTCAGGACGATTAGCTAAAATAAAGGTGTGTCTGCAGTATTGACACTTGACAGTAAAATGTATTGGTCATCCGCATCCGGTCACTCGCGATAAGGTGCAGCATACCACAATTTAATATATCATTGTGTAGGTAAATGTGTTATGCTGTAGTAACAATATTACCCGCAAACTATTATGCTGTAATTTGCCTTTTTATTTCTTGAGGCTACCTAGTAAATGTTGCTCTTACAATTAATGTTGATCAAGGAGTATCATCGATTACTTGCATTTTTAGCACATACTGCAACGTCAGCTGGAATTTCAAAGGTTGGAAAAAGTCGAAATTGGTGGAAGGTGTGGGAAAACCTTATCAACCGATGTAGTGCAGCTGCACACTAAATTTACCGATGAATCATCGTTGTTTTCGGGAAAGTCATTTGATCCACTTGATCTTTCGACACAGGTACTAATTTGATGTTTTATTGGGCTATTCACCAATAGCATACTGTACGTGCATGTCAGCATGTGCGTTAGTTGAAAGTTCATGTTAGTTTATTAATTATGCGCTAGAGCTGGGAGCATACCGTAATCTGTTATCTGTTGACTGTTGTGCACGATGCGCAGGAATTCGAACAAGCTGCTGAAGCCTTCCTTGCAGTTATCCAGCAAATGGATGATCACTTGCTGAATGTGGTGTGGACCGATCTGGAAGCCTGCCTCGGTAACACTCCGACTACCGTTAAAGTAGGACCGCAAAATGTGGTAGATAGCACACTGAAATGGCTAGAATGTGATTGCTCGCGTTGCAGCACATGGATATGCTGAACAGCGTCATCTACGATAAAGCCACCAAAGCGAGCAACGAGCTGTCCATGTTCAACATTTTGGAATCGCTGAATAGCTATCTGGTCCATTTCGAAGCGATCATCGCCGAAGCCAGCATGCAGGACGATCATAAATGTGCCGAAATCTTCACATATCCGCGTCTGTACTCGGTTCTGAAATGGTCGTATGGTGTGGAGAAATTCCTAATGGAGACTTACGCACGCTTCGCTAAACTCATCGTTCCACATTCTTCCGCCAAGACGTACGAGAATTTGCTGGATGGCTATATTCGAATCGCTGGCAAAATTGCTCGGTTAGTTATCCAATAGAACAAATACAGTGTGAATTCTGGAAATGGAGACGGTAAACATAAACAGGTTGCTTGCAGGTTGCAGAGCGACGCGCGCGCTGTGGTTGAGCGTCTGAATGCGCAGACAGACCAGAATCTGCAGCATTACTCGCTGGTTACGCGGAATGCCTCTGAACGCGAGCAGCTAACATGCAACCTGACTAACCAGGTGGGTGCCAGTGGATCTAGTGCGCGCAGAACATTGCGAATATTCTTTCTGTGCAGTTGGAAGAGTATTTGGAATTAACTGGAGAAAACCAGGGTACGCCGGCGGAAAAATTGCCGCCTGAAATTGCAGCCGTTACTGACAAATTTCGCGATCTCATCTATAAACTCCAAAGCGCCGTGCGATTGTTCAATAAAATAAAGCAAAGCTCCGTTGGACCGGAGAAGGAGCTGCTCGGCGCCGAGTTTGAGGCTACGCAGGCCATTCTAGCACGCGCGGAGAATAAGATAACGTGGGGCAGCGCAGGTAAACGACTGTTAGCGATGTATCATCTTCATAGTTCTGTATAACTGTCACGCTGCGAGCTATACTTTTGCATCAGTTTTTGGAAGCCGGCGGAAAATGTCTTTTCATTGTAATATTTTAAAATATTTTGGATACTTACGCATATCGTTGTTGTTAATACTGTCGTTTAGCAAATAACAAGTCTAGTATTGTTTAGTAAGCTAGATATTGATTGCTGAACGCTATGTTTTCTTAAAGCATTCGATTCTGTATTCGTTAAAACCGGTACTTGATCCATATTCCATACATGCATTTTTAATACAGTATAAATTTTTAATTGAGTTAATTTTAACCAGCTCCGATCCACAGTGAGCGGTAATTATGCATTTTGTTCGGTTGTAGATGCTCCAGAGACCGTGGAGAAACTCTTCACTGCTGTGTTCGATCTGTCCAACCGACTGAAGAAGGCGCAGCGCAATCTGTTTCTCATTTCGAAGAATCTGCAGCAGTGGCAACGAATGGCCACCTTCAGTGTGGATCCGCAGCAGCCCAATTATCTCCGCTTCGCTATTCCGGACGCCACGCGCAAAGAACGAACAGCATTCATGAAAACCGCCGGCGAAGCCATCCAGTTTCTCTTCCAGACGGTGGCCTATCTGTTCCATGCTAACCGCACTGATAAAGAATGGATGAAGTACGCCGACTATGTGGACGGTTTGGTGTTGGATGGCCTCATCGCCGCGGCGGCCAATAATCTGGAATACATCTTGGATCACATGTCCTACGATCATGAATCACCGCCGTTTATCAAGGTCATCCTGACGCTCAAAGATAATCCGGGGCTGGCGTACATCCCCGGAATTGGCAATGATGCGGCACCCGATTCTCTCTACAGCGAGATCAACAGTGTCATCAGCGATGTGTTCAATATCGGCACGTATGTGCAGCGTTTGTCCGTGGAAAAGAGCAGCGATACTTTTCTGGGTCCCCTTTCCCAGATCAAAGAATTACAGGCGATGAAAGCGGAAATCCTGCGGAGGATCACGGAAATGATGCCGAGATTGCTGGGTTTTAAAGAGGCCTACCAGAAATACAGCAGGATCTGGGAGATGGACAAACAGGTCCAGCTGACGACGTTCCAAATCAAGAATGCGAATGCCGCGCCACAAGATACCGAGAACGCTGAAGGTGTGAGCAGTATTCCGCCCCTGATTGACGTGGGAAAAATTGAGGAAGAGGTATGCACGTGACCTCTGCACAATGTATGTGGTCTGTTCACTAAGACAGTTTACTTAGATAGAAAACAACACAACGACTATTGAGGAGATTGAGAAGTCGGCGGATTACGAAACACTGGATACGTGGTTGCGGGTAGATTTCTCCACACTGAAGCAGAAAGTCGTTCAGCATTTGCACGAATATACGGAAATGCTCAAAGACTTTGTTTTCACTTTCGTCACAACGAGGTACTTGGACAGTGCTTTGACCCAGTTCACCTGACATGCATTCGCATAAAATTTCTTTTATGCAGTGCTGTTGAGTTCGAAAAGTTTACGAAAGCCTGTCTGGATGTATTTGCTCGTTCGAGAAGCGGGGTTGATCGAAAAACACTAGTGGTCATCTTGAAACAACTGGCACAACTGCGGGAACGTCAGTCGTACAGCGATGAACTGTTCGAGCCGCTAAACCAGAGCCGGAAACTTCTGAAACAGCACGGTGTGGAAATACCAGAGGATATGCAAAAGAAGCTGCAGGTAATCGTCATCGTAAGTTCTGCTTTCAGGAGAATCCATTAGTAACAGCTATTTTATGTTTGATGGATTAGGGATTACAACAGCAATGGATAGATACCAAGAATTCGGCAGTGAGAACGAAGCAAGATATTGCTACAATCTTGGCACAGGAAGTTGATAATCTGAGGAAAGCCGTAGTCCGCTTCGAAGTATGTCAGTTTTATACTTCATACTCGTATTATGACAGTACGCAGACAATCATGCCATAATTGTTATTTACTGCCAGATGAAACAGCATGAATTCCGCGAGCAGTTTCGAAGCAAAAAGTTTTCAGGATTTCCTTCGAAGATCGGTTATGTTGAACTAGACAAGGTGCGTCTCATTGTCACAGAGCCTAATTTACTAATCGGTGATAGCTGCGAATGAATTGTGAAGTGTTCTCTTTATATAATTGTAGTCTCAAGCGGAAATAACAGCGCTAGAAGCGGAAATGGATGTGCTGATAAAAGACTGCCAGCTGTTCGACGTCCCCGCGCCCGATTTCAAGCAACTACGCACTTGCCGCCGCGAGGTTAAGTTAATCAAACAACTGTGGGATTATGCATCCGTCGTTGCCAGCCAGATACAGGAATGGCGAAAAACGCCATGGGCCGGTGCTAATATCGAAAGCATGGACGGTGACTGCAAATTCTTTCTGAAAGAGCTTCGAGGTAAAATGATACTGGTTAAATATTTTTATTTTTGGGCTTTTTTTGACAACACGTGGAATTGTGCGGTTTAGGTCTGGATAAGGAAAGCCGTCAGTATGATGTGTTCGTCAATACGGAAAACGACGTCAAGAATATGATTACATCTTTACGGGCTGTATCTGAATTACAGAGTCCGGCTGTACGACCTCGGTAAGCCCTACCGACGAGGGGTACTTAACTGCAGATAATACAAAAATAATTTGGGCAGGCATTGGGAACAGCTCATGCAGACTTGCGGTGCAACATTCGAGATGAGTCCCAATACGAAACTTGGTGATCTGCTTAATCTTCAACTGCATAAGTTTGAAGACGAAGTTAAAAGTATAGTCGACCGCGCTGGAAAAGAAACTGGTAACTGTTATTATGGTGCCTGCATTAATTGACGGAACCATGTATCAGAATTCTGTGCACAGGCATGGAAAAAACACTGCGAGACCTCAACACGACATGGACCGATTTGCAGTTTGAAATAGAGGTGCATCATCGCACGGGAACGCAGTTAGTGAAAATGAGCGATGAATTAGTGGAAACATTGGAAGAAAACCAGGTGGGAAAATTCATTGCTATGATATGCTATTGCAGTTTTACAGTTCTCGTACGTGTACCGCTTTGAAATAATTTTAATATGGACATATATAGTATTGAAAGAATGATTCAGTGTACAGTAAATAGAATGATTGACTTGTTGCTACTATGATCATATTTGTCACTTACTTGGGATGCTATTTAGATAACGTTTTAGATTCTGCTGCTGGGTCGTATTGATCTGGTGTAATGCGGAGCAGCAGTATGATGGCGATTGCCAAAGATTAAGTATCTGTGCATCTTTAATTTTCACAAATGTTCTTACTGGTTAGATGCAACTTCAAGCGCTGTTAGCGTCCAAATATGTGGATTTCTTCCGCGTCCAAGTCACCGAATGGCAAAAGAAGCTGGCCCAAGCCGATCAGGTTTCCAGTATATTCCAGGAGGTTCAGAAAACGTGGACGTATTTGGAAACAATCTTCATTGGATCAGAAGATATCAGACGACAACTTCCCGATGATGCAGCACTGTTTGACAGCATCGATAAGGAATTTAAGGTAAGGCACAGCCTGCGCTGGGTCCGCAGTTGCAATTCTGAAGCGCTAAATTTTACAGGTTATAGCAGCTCAGTTAGCAGAGAACAGGAATGTGCTCATTGCCACTGCCATTTCAAAACTGTACGAACGCCTGGAGCATCTGCAGACTGGTTTAGGGCGGTGCGAGCAAGCTCTATCTGAGTACCTGGAGAAGAAACGCCTCGCGTTCCCAAGATTTTACTTTGTTTCGAACACTGACCTTTTGGACATTCTGTCCAACGGCAACAGTCCCGATAAAGTCGCTAAACATTTCATCAAGTTGTTCGACTCTTTGGCCGCTCTAACCTTTAAACCATCGGAGAAAGGAGATTTCCTAATTGCAACGGAAATGAAAGCGAAAGACGGGGAAGTCGTTAAACTCAAAGGAGTTTGCAATTGTGACGGACAGGTACTTAATTAACTGCATCAGTTAGTGCATCTTACTCACGAGGTACATGTGCAAAGCTTCAAAATTTTCAGGTAGAAAGCTGGCTGAATAATGTCTTGGATATTCACCGGAAAACTATCCAGGGATACTTGAAAGAAGCGGTGACCGCTTATGAGGACAAACCCCGAGAACAATGGATCTTCGATTACCCAGCCCAGGTGGCTTTAGCGGGATCACAGATTTGGTGGACCAGTGACGTCAATCTGGCGTTCAGCCGTTTGGAAGAAGGCATGGACACAGCAATGAAAGACTTTCTCAAGAAACTGGTTCAACAACTGAACACGCTTGTCAGTCTATTGCTGAATGATCTAACGTTTCAGCAGCGGCAGTGTATTGAGACGATTGCCACGCTGTAAGTTATAATGAGCAGTCGAATGTTTGAGACTTTTCCTTTATGTCCACGCCAGATCTTTCTGTGTTAATGCTGTTTATTCTATGTTTACTACAACTCGTTTATGCTGTTAACTGTTTATTTTAGTGATGTGCACAATCGCGACACCGTGGGCAAGCTCGTCACCGGAAAAGTTGATCACGGAAATGCTTTTGCGTGGCAGTCACAGCTGCGCCATCGCTGGGACTTCAAGAACGGCCATTGTTACGCGAACATCTGTGATGCGCAGTTCCAATACGTATGTAAAATTAATTCGTTCCAAATAATACCGGCAAATGCAGATGTCTGAGTTTCAGGACTACGAATATCTTGGAAATGGTCCCCGTTTGGTGGTTACTCCCCTAACCGATCGCTGCTACATCACTCTAACACAATCCCTTCATTTAATCTTGGGAGGAGCACCGGCCGGCCCAGCAGGGACCGGTAAAACCGAGACCACCAAAGATTTAGGGAAAGCACTAGGAATAATGGTGTACGTGTTCAACTGCTCTGAACAGATGGACTATAAGGTGCAGTAACCGTAATATTGACAACTCTAGTTGATTTGCTAATTGTAGCGTTTAACTGTGTTGGTTTTTGTTAGTCAGTTGGCAATATCTACAAGGGCCTTTCACAAACCGGAGCCTGGGGATGTTTTGATGAATTCAATCGCATTTCGGTGGAGGTGTTATCCGTAGTGGCCGTGCAAGTCAAGTGCGTCCTCGATGCCATCCGGGCCCGGAAGAAGAAATTCAACTTCCTGGGCGAAGATATCGTTCTTAGACCGAGTGTGGTCAGTGTGACCCTTATCAATGCTTATCCTAAATAAACTTCGCCCTAAAGACTTTATTTTTCAGGGATTTTTCATCACTATGAATCCCGGATATGCCGGCCGTGCCGGTAATACAGACAGTTCTACTGTAAAAACCGGGAAGCCGTTATGCGACATTTGTTCTTACTTTCCTTATTCTTTCAGAGCTACCGGAAAATTTGAAAGCATTGTTTCGACCGTGTGCTATGGTCGTACCGGTATGTAACACACTTTTTTGTAGGGCTTAAAAACCGAAAATGTTCTTTTACCTTTTAATAAGCGTTGTTTGGTTTGACAGGACTTCGAACTTATCGCGGAGATCAACTTGGTATCCAAAGGATTTATAAACGCAAAATTACTAGCACGGAAGTTCGTCACACTTTACGGACTGTGCAAGGAATTGCTCTCCAAACAGGCTCATTATGATTGTAAATGCTCTGAGAAATAGGGATTTCTGACATTGTTAACAACCGCTTTTTTTGCAGGGGGCTTGCGTGCGATCAAATCTGTCCTCGTGGTGGCCGGCGTGTTGAAACGAGCAGACAAGGATCGTTCGGAAGATCAAGTTCGTAATTTGTTGCAATAAAATGCTGCCCACCTGGTAACGCAGTATTTATAGGTTCTTATGCGAGCACTGCGAGACTTCAACATTCCCAAAATTGTTACCGATGACATACCGGTCTTCATGGGATTGATCAGTGATTTGTTTCCATCGATTAATGTCCCGCGTAAGCGTGACCGAGAATTCGAGAGTAACATCCGCAAAGCTACTCTCGATTTGAAACTACAGCCGGAAGACATGTTTGTCTTGAAAGTTGTGCAGTTTCAAGAGCTTTTGGATGTCAGGCACAGTGTGTTTATATTGGGAAATGCCGGAACCGGTAAGACGCAAGTTTGGAAAACGTTATACAAGACTTACCAGAACGCGCGCCGAAAACCGATGTACTCCGATCTGAATCCGAAGGCGGTCACCAATGATGAGTTATTTGGCATTATTAATCCATCCACTCGAGAATGGAAAGACGGTAACTCATCTATTGTACTTACTGTTATAACATTTCTTGCACTATTATTCATCTTTCCAGGGTTATTTGCGGTCATCATGCGTGACCTGGCCAATGCTACCGGCGAAGGTCCGAAATGGATCGTTCTGGATGGAGATATTGATCCGATGTGGATCGAAAGCTTGAACACGGTCATGGACGATAACAAGGTATAGAAAACGCTCAAATAAAAAGCATTTATGATTTCGGGGAATGGTAGCTGTTGTTTTGTAGGTGCTCACGTTAGCCAGTAATGAACGGATAGCATTGTCACCCAACATGAGACTGGTCTTCGAAATCAGCCATCTGAAGACAGCCACACCGGCAACAGTGTCTCGAGCCGGTATTCTGTTTCTCAACGTGACGGACATAGGCTGGATGCCGTAAGTCAACCGTTAAGCAAAGTACAGAGTAAATATTATAAGTTGACTGAATGCTTTCTACAGATTTGTCTCCTCGTGGATGAACGCCAAGGAAAACCCATCGGAGAAACAACTTTTAGGGCAATTGTTTGACCGGCACCTACCACTACTCCTGGATGCATATAAGACCAAACTGAAGACAATCACTCCTCTTCCCGACATCAGCCTGATTCAGACGCTATGTGCTCTGTTGGATGCTACTTTACCACAGGATCCGCAGGGTGAACTGAATAAGGACGCATATGAAACGATGTTCCATTTCGCTTGCATATGGGCCTTCGGTGGGCCATTATTACAGGATCAGGTATCACGATATGACTTAGCTGGTTAAATTTTTGGATGGATATAAATGATTCATGTCCGTGTTGTTATGTAGACATCGGATATGAAAGTCGAGTTTAATTCCATTTGGAACCAGGAATTCAAAAACTCCCGATTTTCCAGTCCGGATGCGTCGGTTTTTGATTTTTACTACGATTCCAAGGAGAAACAGATATTTCCATGGACCAACATTGTTTCTCCGTTCGTTCTGGATGGTTCGTTGCCCGTTCAGGTAACAGCCGCGTTTACTACCGCCTTGCTAATTGTAAGAAACATTGCGATCTCATTGATATTCGTAGGCACAATTGGTACAAACGGCCGATACAGTGCGTATCCGGTATTTACTGAACCTTCTGATCTCGGTACGGAAGCCGGCGATGTTGGTCGGGCCAGCTGGATCCGGCAAGTCTGTCATCATGGCCGATGTCCTGCGCCGACTGCCAGCCGATGATTACGCCATAACCCAGATTGCCTTCAACTTTTACACAACCTCCCTGATGCTGCAGAACATGATGGAGAAGCCACTGGAAAAAAAGTCGGGGCGCAGTTATGGTCCGGTCGGAAACAAGCGAATGATATACTTCATCGACGATATGAACATGCCAGAAGTGAATGATTTTCTTGTGATTGTGAGGAATCCCGTGTTTAACGATTAGTATGTTTCAGGTCGACAAATATTTCACTGTTCAGCCGCATACCATAATCAAGCAGCATATCGATTACGGACATTGGTACGACCGACAGAAATTGTTTGCAAAAGACATCATTAACTGCCAATATCTATCCTGCATGAATCCGGCAGCCGGAAGTTTTACGATCACGCCTCGCTTACAAGTTAGTCAATGGATATACAAATGCAAAAAAGTTGGTCTAGATCTAGACCAAATCCGACATATACACAAAACAATCAGGCTAGTTAAAATGCTGTACAACCTAACTCTCTTCGGCACAATAAGCAACTCGTTATATTTGGCTTTTTATGGTTTTAAGTTATTAAAATAATGTGGCGTATTAATTTCAGTAAATTGTTAAAATAATTCTAATAAGTTACTAAAATTTTATTTCTCATGAAATTTGTTACTCCACTATGGTAGTCATTTGCTTATAAAAATGAGTGACATGGTATTCACCTGATTTATTAAAATGCGTTTAGCGTTCCTAATTAAGCTTTTGTATCCTTTTAGAGACACTTCTCCGTGTTCACAATTGGATTTCCCTCGGCTGACAGTGTGCAGAAAATTTACGGCTCATTTGCCATGCAGCATTTTGAAAGAGGCTTTACTGATCCGGTTAAAAATGTGCTGCCCACTATCGTCCAAGCCGCTATGGCGCTGCATAATAAAGTTGCCAGCAGCTTCCTCCCGACGGCTGTGAAATTTCATTATCTCTTCAACTTGAGAGATCTGTCTACAGTATTCCAGGTAGGATATGTTGATTTGATCTTACTGCGCTGACACAGTGACAATGAATATATACAGTATATTGTATTACTTGGTTTTACAGGGATTGCTCTTCAGTCGACCCGATATTATGCGCACTAAGGACGACATGGTCAAAGTTTGGATGCATGAAAGCCTGCGTGTCTATCAAGACAAACTGATAGCAAAAAAAGACAGCGACTTGTTCACAAAAATCCTTGGCGACATCGGGATGAAGTACAAGCTGCTGACCGAGGCGGAGTTCGGTCAGATTAAATTCCTTCCGCACTGCCATTTTGCTAACGGCCTGGGAGATCCGAAATACGCTGCCGTGAAGAGTTATCCGGCCGTGCAGAAAGTGCTGACCGACGCTTTGGCCGCATTATAACGAGGAACTTCCGGCAATGAATTTGGTGCTGTTTCAAGATGCTATCGAACACATGTATGAACAGTCTCACCAATATTTCACGTGGAACAAAGCTTGCGGTTTTAACTAACTGATTTACAGCTGCCGTATCAATCGCATATTGGAACTTCCGCGCGCCAATGCGTTACTTGTGGGCGTCGGTGGTAGCGGAAAGCAAAGCCTCGCTCGGCTGGCTGCCTACATCAGTGGCATGCAAGTAGTGCAGATTACTTTGCGAAAAGGTTATGCGATCAATGACCTTAAGGTAACTATTACGGTGATCCTGGTTTCATTCTGACAAGCTCATTAGCTGTAAAGGGACTGTTTTAGGCTGATTTTGCTGATGTCTTCCGTCGGTGTGGCGTCAAAAATGAGAATATCGTCTTTCTGATGACCGATAGCCAAGTTCCGGAAGAAAACTTCCTGGTGCTGATCAACGATCTGTTGGCATCGGGAGAAATACCGGACTTGTTTCCGGCCGATGCCATTGAGGACATTATTGGGGCTTTACGAAACGAAGTCAAAGCAAATGGTTTGAACGATGACAATTCGGGAGTGTGGCGATATTTCTTGGATCGCGTCAGGCGTAACCTCAAAGTAAGTTGCGTATTTTATTAGAACTACACTCTTTGCAATTCGGTTTGTAAACTGAATACGTTCCTTCGCTTAGGTCATCCTTTGTTTTTCGCCAGTCGGACCGACTTTGCGTATGCGCAGCCGGAAATTTCCCGCAGTGACTAACTGCACATCTATCGATTGGTTCCATGATTGGCCACAAGAAGCTTTGATATCCGTCAGCAAGACGTTTTTACAGACGGTTGAAGTTTTACCGGTTAGTGGTTGCATTTGCCGAGCTCCGAAATACCTATTACAGTACTGTTGATTTTCAGGCACATCTTCGTGAATCGATTGCTCAGTTTATGGCCTTCGTTCATTCCACTGTCAACGATATCAGCGTCACATACCTGCAGAACGAACGTCGACATAACTACACCACTCCGAAGAGTTTCCTGGAACACATTCGATTGTACAGTACTCTTCTAACCAGGAAAGTGCAGGAACTCCAAAGCAGTATGAACCGCTTGGAAAACGGTCTGCAAAAGATCCGCAGTACGGCTACTCAGGTGGATGACATGAAAGCCAAACTGGCATCTAAGGAGAAGGAACTGGCTATCAAAAATGAAGAAACCAACCGTCTGATCGAAGTGGCGGAGAAAGAGAGCGCCAAGGTGGCGAAGGAGAAGGAAATCGCTAGTAACGAAGAGAAAGCGGTGGCTGTGGTGGCCAAGGAGGTCGAGAAGAAACAAAAAGACTGCGAGAAGGATTTGGCGTTGGCGGAGCCAAGTTTACGGAAGGCTTTGGCTGCTTTGGATACTCTTGACAAGGTTTGGCTAAACCTAAAGGTCATGTGATAGGTGTTTTGGCAATATTTTATATTGTAGAATAACCTAACGGAGTTGAAATCATTCGGTTCGCCTCCTCCGATTTGCGTGGACATCGCCGCAGCCGTTATGATTTTATTAGCACCGAACGGACGCGTGCCGAAAGACAAATCTTGGAAAGCTTCCAAAGTTATGATGGCCAAAGTGGATTTGTTTTTAGAACAGCTGAAAACGTACGATAAGGAGCATATTCATGAAAATTGCCTAAAGGCAGTGGATCCGTTTTTGAAAAAGCCGGAATTTCAGGATCCGGCGTCGGTCGAATCCAAGTCTCGAGCGGCTGCTGGTTTATGTGCTTGGGTAGTGAAGTAAGTGCTAAAAACCGCCGTGAAGTTGGTAACATAGATGAAAGTGTGTTTCTTCAGTATCGTGAATTATTACCGTGTCTACTGTGACGTTGAACCGAAACGTATTACCCTGCAACAAGCAAACGCTGAGTTGACCGAGAAGATGAACCGGCTGGCGGAAGTCCGGCATAAAGTTGCGAAACTGGAGTCGGAACGCGATAAACTCCTAGCGCAGCTCAAGTCGGCTGTTGATGAGAGAAATAAGACCATGAAGGAAACGGAAGCCACGAGCAGAATTATTGTATTAGCCAACCGGCTCAGTAAGTGTCCCGTATAATCGAAAACCAATACAGTACCGTCTAACCGACAGCATCCTTTTCATAGTGGGAGGATTGGCATCCGAGAATGTTCGATGGGCTAATCAGGTTCAGCAGTTTAAGAAATCTGAAGAGTCGTTACCGGGAGACGTGCTCCTGGTGTCGGCGTTCGTTTCGTACGTTGGTACTTTTACGCGAAAGTACCGGCAGATCTTGATGGAGGACAAGTGGAAGCCGTACATGAACACAGTTCAGGTGCGCACTAACGAAATTTTATGAGATTTGGTTTTGAAGCTGATTCTAACGACTAATTTCTTACGTTAGCCGAAAATTCCAACAACATCGGGAATTGATTTCCTCACGGTTTTGACGGACGATGCCATAATCGCCAACTGGCAAAATCAGGGTTTACCGGCGGATCGCATGTCAACCGAGAATGCCGTTATCCTGACGATTTCCGAACGTTGGCCACTTATTATTGATCCACAGCTACAGGGTTCGAAATGGATCAAGGGAATGTATGCGGAAGAGTTGCAACTCATACGACTGGGACAGAAAGGGTAAGCAAACCAAAGTTAATTTTACTGTACAAGCATCCATGTCCTTGCATTGCAAGGGAGTAGGAGGAAATGGTCAGAATTACTGACGGTTTGAAAACAAATTTAGGTACCTTGACCAGCTGGAGTTCAGCTTATCGTCTGGATCACCTTGCTTTCTGGAGAACATTGGAGAAACCGTTGACCCCATCCTTGATCCGTTGATTTCGCGTAACACGGTTAAAAAGGGCAGGTAGGACGTGCACAGTTCATTATCTTTTACGTTATCTGCACAATGAATGTCCACTTTTAGAGCTATCAAAATGGGTGAAAAGGAGGTAGAATATAATCCCAAATTTCGGTTGATACTGCACACCAAACTGGCCAATCCGCACTACCGACCAGAGATGCAGGCCCAATGCGCGTGCGTACCTAGTAATGAGAAGAAAACGATATAAATTTGGGGCTAAAATGACTGGGGACGTGTGCGCATGTTGGATGGCAATTGCAGGATAATTAACTTTACGGTAACGCGCAGCGGATTGGAAGACCAGTTGCTCGCCGCCGTAGTGCGCACTGAACGACCGGATCTCGAGCAGCTCAAATCGGACTTGACTAAACAACAAAATGACTTCAAAATAACGCTGAAGAGACTGGAAGACAGCTTGCTGAAACAGCTGTCAGCAGCGGAAGGCAACTTTTTGGGAAACGTGGAGCTTGTGGAGAGCCTGGAGCTGAACAAGCGGACTGCCATTGAAGTTGAGCGAAAAGTTGCCGAAGCGCAAATAACCGAACAGCAGATAAATACGGCGCGTGAAACCTACCGTCCAGCTGCTGCGCGGGCGTCGTTATTGTATTTCATTTTGAACGAAATGAACAAGGTTATTGAATCATTTATAACATCATTTTCTGCCTGGTTATCTATGTGACGTTTGAAAACGAATACATGTACCGTTGAAATTCTTTGCAGATCAATCCGATTTACCAGTTTTCGCTGGAAGCATTTAATACAGTGTTCCGCACAGCTATCGCTAGAGCGACGCAGTCCGAAGATCCAAAAGAACGCGTTAAAGCCTTAATAGATTCCATTACGTATTGTGTATTCATCTACACAACGAGAGGTTTATTTGAACGCGATAAGATTATATTCACCGCACTGATGGCATTCCAGGTGAGTAGACATGTGCTTTCTTTAGATTATGGCATCGAATTGACATTATGGCACCTTTGTGACAGGTCCTTCAACAAACCAAAGAGATCACTGCCACTGAGCTGGACTTCTTTCTGCGTTTGCCAAGTGATCCCTCTGTGACATCGCCAGTGGATTTCCTTAGCGATGCATGTTGGGGAACAGTTAAAGTATGAAATACAGAATTTCTGACATTCGAATAGCTCGATTGTTATTTACCGGTATTTACATGTTCTCTTGTTTAAAGATTGACCTTTGTAAAATCTGTCTGGTTAGGTTTTGGCTGCCACAGAAGAGTTTAAAAATCTGGATAAAGATATAGAAGGCAGTGCTAAGCGTTGGAAGAAAATCGTGGAAAGCGATAATCCAGAACGCGAAAAATTGCCACAAGAATGGAAAGGCAAATCGGCTCTGCAACGCATGATGATTATGCGAGCGCTCCGCCCCGATCGCATGGTTTACGCAGTTCGGTAATCATACCTCATTTTAGCTCGCGTTGCCATTTAGGTATTCGTTAAAATTGTCAGACAAAATACATGACGGCCAAAACTCTTAGGGTCTTTGTGGAAGAAAAACTGGGTGAGCGCTACGTGGAGAACCGGGCCGTTGAGTTTGGTCGATCTTTTGAGGAGTCCGGTCCGAGTACCCCGATGTTTTTTGTTCTGTCTCCGGGTGTGGATCCACTGAAAGATGTGGAAGCCTTAGGACGAAAGCTGGGATTCACCTTCGAGAACCAGAAATTCCACAACGTGTCACTCGGACAAGGCCAGGAGCCGGTTGCCGACAGAGCGTTGGAGATCGCCGCAGAGAAGGGTCACTGGGTTATCCTTCAGGTTAACACCTATCGACATTTTAGTTTTAGTTGTGTAAATTGTAATAAAATCTACTAAATTCATGTGCAGAACATCCACCTTGTTAAGAACTGGCTGCCAAAGCTGGAGAAAAATCTAGACAGATTGTACGAAGGCGCACACAACGATTTTCGGGTGTTTATGAGTGCTGAACCTGCAGCACACCCCAGCGGACACATTCTCCCACAGGGCTTGCTGGAAAATTCCATTAAAATCACCAACGAACCGCCAGTAATTCCACCGTTTTGTTTTCCTGTGATAATTCTTACCAGCCAGCTATTTTATTTTCTTATAGACCGGTATGTTGGCCAATCTGCATAAAGCGCTGGACTACTTCAACCAGGAAACTCTCGAGATGTGCAGCCGCGAAACAGAATTCAAGTGTATCCTCTTTGCATTATGTTACTTCCACGCTGTGGTGGCAGAGAGACGGAAATTCGGTCCACAGGGATGGAATCGGTAAGCGCTGGTGGTGCTACGATGTCACACATTTGTGTCAGATTATGCGCATTACAGGTCGTATCCGTTCAATGCTGGTGACTTAGTGATTAGTTCTAATGTGCTGTTCAACTATCTCGAGAACAATGCCAAAGTACCATGGACTGATCTGCGGTACCTGTTTGGAGAGATCATGTACGGCGGACACATTACCGATGACTGGGATCGTCGGCTCTGTCGGGCGTACTTGGAAGAGTTTCTTAAACCGGAAATGGTATTCATAACATTATCGTACTATTGAATAGCAATAGTTGGTGATAAGATTCGTGCTATTAGATTGACGGTGATTTTTACCTTGCCCCCGGATTCCGCCTGCCGCCGCCCACTGATTATAAAGCCTACCATGCCTATATTGACGAATCCCTACCCAACGAATCTCCGTACCTGTATGGTCTCCATCCCAACGCCGAAATCGGCTTCTTAACAGCGACATCCGAGAATCTCTTCCGCACTGTCCTGGAAATGCAGCCACGCGACACCAGTGAAGGAGGTGGCGCGGGTGGTTCACGCGATGAGAAACTGAACGCCACCATCGAGTCGATACTGTCGAAACTCAGCCCGCCGTTCAGCATTGTCGATTTGTACGCGAAAGCGGAGGATCGTACACCGTATACGGTTGTCGCTCTGCAGGAGTGTGAGCGGATGAACACCTTGACACAAGAAATGAAACGCTCTCTGAAGGAACTGAAGCTCGGTCTGAAAGGCGAACTCACGATTTCGGCCGCGATGGATGAACTGTCAGGAGCGCTGTTTCTGGATCAGATACCACAAGCGTGGGCTAAATTTGCGTATCCGTCGTTGCGACCGCTGTCGTCGTGGTCTGTTGATTTGCAGAACCGCGTTAAAGAACTTGAACGTAAGGTTAAAAGGCATACAGAACTTTGCGCGCACGGCTCTTTTTTTTAGCCGTAACAACAATATCGATAGACCGATTTTAAAACGAATTGTTATGAGAAGCATTCGATCTTCGTCAAAAGACTGCAAGTCACAGAAGTACCAGTGCTTGCTGATTTTATTTTTCATCTGCTACCATTTAGGCAATTATTTGGTCATCAGTTGAAATCGTTCGGTCGGTCTGCCCTTGGTACCTAATTTTTAGTTCTCAGTTCTGTACAATGTTTGTTCTTCGATAGAATGGACGACCGACTTCAAAGTTCCCTGCTCGGTGTGGCTAGGCGGCCTGTTCAATCCGCAGTCTTTCCTGACAGCCATCATGCAGGTGACGGCCCGCAAAAACGAATGGCCGCTGGATCGGATGACGCTGCAGATTGAAATCACCAAAAAGCAGAAGGACGAGTGTCAGTATTCCACACGTGATGGTTCGTACATTCATGGTCTGTACATGGAAGGGGCCCGGTGGGATATGCAAATGGGTTCGATTACCGATTCGAAAATGAAGGAACTCTTTTGTCCCATGCCGGTGATTTTTGTCAAGGCTATCCCGGCTGACAAAGAAGATTCCCGGTCCATGTACGACTGTCCGGTGTACAAAATTAAAACGCGTGGACCAGACTACGTTGTGGCGTTCAAAATCAAGGTAACAAACATTATTAATATTACTAACAAACATTGTTAATATTGCGTTATGTATAACTGCAATATGACGTTTGCTCCAAACGTGAGCCGTACCAGGATTTCAGACGCTTACGGGAACGGTAGTGGAAACGTTCTAATGCTGACTTGATTTACTTGATTGCAGGCAAAAGATCGCGCAACGAAGTGGATTTTAGCGGGCGTGGCGTTGCTGTTGGAAGTGTGATCTAGGCTAAACCTGTGAATCTAGAGTTTTATTTCAGAAATTATATTTATGCTGTGTCCAGATATTTGAAACCAAAAAGTTATTTGACCCATAAAGCTTCACCCGGTGTTCTGCTCGACGCTGTACGCAAAAGTGTGTACAAACATGTTCCAAAGTGTAGCATTTTTCAATGACAACTGTGTGGTTTGAAAAATAATGAATCATAATGATAATACTCGTAATTATGATTTGTTTGAGTAGAATATGTTTAGGACCTTCATGCAAATGCATGATGATTCCGTCGTATCGCGATCTCCATCCGACTGCCAGCCGAAAAGGAGAATTAACACTTAACGTACCACAAAAACAAACGAAATGCCATAATATTATCGTCTGGTCGTTATCAGTACGCCGTTTCTGCGGGCTTCCTAATGAGTGAAATGCATGGTCTACCGCTGGTAATACGGCTATTAAAGCGCATTGGTTGACTAATAGCTAGTAATAATTATTAGCAACTCGTACTTACTAGTTTGTCATAATTATTATTTTATTGTTTAATAATGCAACAAAGTCGCTGAACAAAAAATGGTAAATCCGGTAAAAAACACCAGGACAAATATGAAGTTTGTGATTTCCCAACGTTTTACATTTCCAAAATTAATAAAATCCTAAAATTTAAGAACAAATTAACTAAATTTGCTAGTTACTCTCATCGAAATCCTGTTAGTTGTCCGTGCAACGGAAGTCGCAACTCAAGACCGAGCTAATGCGAGACGGAATGCAGGACAACAAGCTCGGCGTTGGCTGTCTATTGCTTCGGGTGTTCTTTAGATATTATAAAGGTCACAAAAAGGAAACACAAGACAAGTCCAACTCCGATTTTGATTGAAGATGCTCCGTCGCAGCCTCGGGAACCCGGTGCAGGGAATTCTGCAAACACAAAGCACCAATAATTCAGAGGTGATGCAAATTCAATGATTCTGTTTCAGCGTAAGCTAGTGCAAAGAGCGGATTCGCAAGCAATAGAGACAATTAAAGAATAAAAGGAGCAAGTCAAGTTTGATTTAGAACATCAAATAATGCTGTACGACAAACAAATTACAAATATAAGCGGATATTGTACTCATGTACTGTACTTTGTAAAGTTGAAACGCCGTTGCAGTAATCACCGCCTTCCAATCTCCCGCAAATACAAACAGTTTTACCGCCTCCTAAGCCAGGACCACCTTTATAATCACAGCCTGGTTCCTCACTCCAGTCCTCTACACAGCCTCTTCTCAATGGGATCCCTGAAAAACTCTTTGTTTTGGGCAAAGAAAACTTCTTGAAGTTTATTTTACCTACCACCAGGATCGTTGCCCTCAAATTCGGTTTGACATTTGTGCTCTTTTGAGCATGATACGATAGTCATGTTTGCCGCCCGTGCGCACTGGTCGGCACCCTCACATTTTACACACATTATCGATAGCACCGGTTCCACCACTATTAGCAAAAAGGAGGTAAGGGCGGAAATAATCCCGCCCAGAAGCATTGATGATGTTTACAAAGATTTCGTATCACATCCAGATTTGTTGTGGATAACCATATCTGGATAAAGAGATACAGTACTATTGCGTTTTCATCGCATTGTCAGCTGACTTTCCTTTCTCGTTAATACTTTTTCGGTGCTTTCGGAAAGTAGTACTTAATTCTGCGTTGCTATGGAAGCTAGCGCTATCCACGAAACAACCAAATAGCTACGACGAATCGCTCAGAAAATGAAAACGGCAAGTGGCTGAAGTGAGTAAGTATACAATTTGATAGAAGTCCGGTGACGTATGCTATGTTAAGTCTCAGTAAAAACCAAAACAGCCAGCGTTAATAGTGGAAAGCGGTGCAATAAATTAGCAGATATGAGAAAAAGGAATTCTTGTTATTTGGCGTGCTCGACTTGGTGTACACAGTACTTGTATATTAATTTGTCAAGAGTTACTGTATTTCTGTATTATTTGTATGAAGAGCAAATCCGTTCCAGTTACATACCTTTTCTTTGCTCGTTAAAAATCTATTTGGTCAACAGTTGAGTCCCTGAAACCGCGCACCCAAAATAATTGTGCACACCGGTTGTGATGTTCTACATTTCGAAGCGACACTATTTTTTTGGTATGAGTTAGTTTAATGTGTTATTAGTTCTAGTACTTGTCGTCTACCATAACATGGCGGATCCTCATGACCTTTCTAAAAGGGAACTTGCCAATGCCTGACAGTCTCATGAAAGTGTGCACATCGTGTTCCTATTTGTTTTCAGTTCATTTTCGCCAAGAGTAAATGCCGAAGTGACATGGGCGAGAATTAATAATGTGGGGTTGTGTTAACTTGGATTAACCATGCAGTATTTTATTCTGGCATGCCTAATACTTTTGGTCTTCGTGATTACTGCAAGTTTACTTTACCAATATGGAAGTTGGCGGAAACAGCACATTTGTGTAACTGCAACCGTATTCCTGGCGTGGTACTTTTCATTCCTTATCATCTTTATCATTCCGACTGACGTATCCACCGTAAGTAAAAAAAAGCTTGCGATTTGATAAGCTCTTATACACATCAATTTCTCCGCTTCATAGACTGTTTACGAGCATTGCGTGAAAAATGCAACTTACCTGATGAATACTACGGCAGAGGACTATCACATTGATTCCGAATCGAACGCGGATGTCAGTATCACAGGTTTTAAAAATCATTCGTTAAGTCATATTGGCATGCTGAACTGGAATATAGCAAAAGACCCAAACGCCCCGCAGTACTTATCGCAGTCCCAGGCAGATTGTCTGCCACCGTGGTCATACTTTAACGGCGACGACCTTCCGCACCTTTGGCTGGTGCTGTATTGGTCTACGCAAGTGCTCACATGGTGCGTCGATTTACTTGTTCTTATTCACTGGCAGGTTCACCTAATCAAGAGTTACTTTTGGTCAACGCAGGTTGGTACTGCCTTTAATGCAAACGTACGCTCTGGCCGGAGAATTCAGTTTCTACGGCAAAATTACCACATCCATTAAAAGAAATGTGATAAGTTACGGAACGTATACAGCAGTATTTGCCATTCTACTTATCTACGTGGCGATGAAGCCTGGCAAACAGTTGAATTGGTGAGATGAATGTTATTGACTTTCGTGTATTTATTCCATACAAATATTTCGACATGGGATATAGTGTGCAGGGAAAAGGTGTATACGATAATGACCTCCGCCAGCAACTCTCTGGGCCTTTTTATGTTAATTCTGCTGCTGGGATATGGATTGGTTGAGTTTCCTAGAAATTTTTGGAAAGCATCAGATCTGGAATACCAGCTGGCGTTTACTCAGTTTAAACTGGCAAAGGTCAGGGCTGAAAAAGCCGATGCCGAAGAAGAAACGGAAACGGTTCTGGAGGCATGTGCGATCACCTCATCATAAGTTATTTGAAGCTTTGAATAATAATTACTAGAATTTAGAAAATGTAGTTACTTTTCTGCTTAGGATATACGGCAAGCCGTCGAAAAGGCTCCAGTGAGCACCCGCTTACGAAAAGATTTGAATGTCATCGTTGCCAAAGTACGTGATATCCCTGATAGGTAAATGAGATGTAATTAATTATACATACATGGAGATGTAGTTAATTCAATCTGTTGACTTTTCCACCATTTTTGCTGTGCATAACATCCAATGTTACAACCAGTGTCCTGAAGAATTCCGTCTGCGTGTGCTTAACCCGAACAAAATCGGTCCACCGCCATCTAACCGTTTTGTGCGCATTTCGACGACGACACCGGATTTAGTCGTCAACAATGCTCTTCTCGTTTCGCTGCATACGCGTCTAATATCGGCACTGCACAAGCAGTTTAAAATAACCAGTGTCTGGTATGGCCTACTGGAAAACGGATTCGAGTATGAAGACTGCTTGCATAATTTGTGGAGTCCCGATAAAACCTTCCGGGCATCCTATCCAATAATTCGTAGCAAATGGATGTCGAAACTCGTAACCCCCAGGATAGGTAAAACTGGAATTTTACAATCCACTAGTTACGTTGAATTTACTCTGGGTGTGTATACAGAATGGTTTTGGAAATGTAAAGCGCGACAGTGGACCCTCAAAATATTTTCGGTTTGCCTTTCATGTTGCTCTTTGGTGGTTGTGTGGTCGGAGTGCACCTTTTTTGTTCAGGAGCCGGTACTGTCCACTTTTGCCATTTTAGTTAAAGTGGCAGCAAGCCATAAAACTTATGTGAATGTAGAGGTAAGTCGAGTTTTGTGACACTATTTCATTACGTAATATGTTCTTTCAGTTGTAAACTCGTTTTAAGAACTTCAGCTTCAGTTATTTTTGTTTCAGTTGGTCTCGTTTTGTATTATCGCCTACATGTCGGTATGTGCATATTACACGGTTTTCCATATTCGGATCTTCGATTACTACAATCTGTCACTTCGTCATCAAACCGATGAGAATTCTCTGATTTTCTGTGGAATGTAAGTCTTATAAAATATCAAACGGTTCACTTGTAAGCGAATAACTGAGTTTTCCGAATCTGATGAATCGATCCACCCATCAGCTGATTTTTTTGTTCAGTTTGCTGTGCCGCCTAACGCCGCCTCTATGCTTGAATTTTCTTGGCTTGATTCATATGGACAGCCACATCATTCCGACAAGAACAGCCGAAACCGCCTTTACCAGAGTACTTAACTAATCGTAAAAAAATTCATTAAAATTTCATTACAGCAGATGAATGTTGCACAATACTTATAAACTGATGTGTGTATACCGCGAAAATATTTTTATATTTTAGAAGTAGTCATCGAGCTTCGTTTTGCAGATTATGGGCCACATGACGCTCCTGCCCATCATTAGCCGTGGATTGAATATTTACTTCCCTATTTTTGTGGTCTTATTGTGTGGGTGCACGTTTCTCCGCTTGGAACGGAAGCTGTTGAACTTTTTTGGATATCAGCAGTACACATCCGTTGGAAAAATGACAACGTACTTTATTCTGGAAGGCAGGAAAATTATGGAAGCCGGTAAGTTATTCCTGCAATACGATGTTTTAATTATAAGTGGTGTATATACAAAGTATTACGCCGTTATCATCAGCAGTGCTGCTGAAATCTGCCTTATTCAACAACCATAGCGATTGCCTCATACTAAAGCAGCTGTAATACTATTCACGGTACAATTTTTTAAATTGTTTTCTCAGTGAGGAGCGACAGGCGAGTAACTCAGAAACTGGAAGAAACTCGCGCAGTACGCGATGAACTGTTGCAGCTTGTGAATAACACCTCAAATTTTGGACATATCAGCAACGAAGAGTCCGAAACGGAAATGGACAAGATATTTCTGGAACGAGACAAACCATTAGTTGTCGCATAATTGCTTTTTCGGTAAAATATTAAAGAAAGCTTTCTGCCAGAAATAAAGTGCGTTTACTTCAAAGTTCATTAGTGTTACACGTGTATGTTACATTTTCCTGGTCCTAAATTCTTAGCTGAGGTGAAATCCTCATAAAATGGTTACGCAGTGCGAAACAAATTCTTCGCTTTGATTGTCTGTCCCAAGGGTTTCAGAAAAGTTGCGCTGTTATTATATTGTATTTAAAATAGTTAATCCTCGAAGAAAATTTCCATTTCGTAGAAATTATAGCAGTCAGTCGTTTGCAAATATTATATTTTTACAGATAGCACAAAAAGGCGTTCTGCAAGAAACTATGTAACTTTATAATAAAAAAATGTTCACTGAGTACTACAAGAATTTATTACAGTAATTCTAACTAGCGCAAGCGTAGGTACAGTATGCAGGTACGCCATTGTATTTGTTGTACCGTTACGTACAGCAGCGCCTGTAACATTTATGTATTGCACCAGGCCGTATAAATGCACCCGCGGAGCCATTTGCATAATAATTTTTAGAAGCAGCCCATCCAGAAACAAGAGCATAAAATAATGTCAGCGGGAAAAATAACACGCGTGGGCTTGGGCCATTAGACAAACTATTGGTTGTGCATTATACAGCGACGTACACACATTCGGAGCTTGTATACTGCCTACATTTATTTCACTTTGAAGAAATTTATATACTGTGAAGTAGCAATATCTACCCTAGATTTGTATGAAGTCCGTCACAGTATAAAAACATGTTTGTTCCAAACCAAAATAATTGGGTTTTGCCATCCCTGAGCGTATTTACTTGTATAACCGCAATTTCTCGATGCATCCTGCTGTTGCACTGCTTCGCAAACGTACGGAAATGGGAATACACAAAGCTGTTATGACGGATGAATGATAATTTCAGTGATGTATTTCAACTACTTATCTCGCGCTTTTTCCCGTCCATCGCTCTTTTATGGAGTTTTGAGTTAGATCAAGCCCTTACAATGTTCAATGTCTTGGACCGTCTTCGCACGCTCAGGAGCGAGGAACCTTTGAAATATCAACGCATTTGCAGCAGGTTGCTAGAAATCCAAGGAACTGGTCAAACGCGAGATATCAATGACGAGGGAAGTAGCAGAGACCACATCGAGCGAACTATCGAGATCAGGAAAGCCACAGACGATTTCTTCTCTCGCTTGGCTACTATCGATCGTACAAATGAGCATTTCTGGAAAACAATTGGAAATCGCTGGTACGGTCAAGCCGAAGAGAGCGATCTTCCGCAATCCGAACATTCCATTAGCAGAAAAGGCAAAGCGAAACGACGCAGAGGTCAAGAGCAGCTAATCAGAAGCATTCTTCTATCTACGCATCCACCAGAAACCCTGCGACTTATTCTCGAGCACAACCATCCGCAGCGTGTCCTAAAGAAGCTGCTGCTGAACCGCAATAAACGTTCCGTGTTATATGGCATACGCATGAAATACGGACTGCCGCTACCCGCATATCTGATTCCAAAGCAGGAATTCCAGACTCGTGGAAATATACAAACGAGTGCCTCAGACGAGGACAGGGTGCGCATACGAAAAAGGCAGAGGAAAAGTAGGCAGTCATCTTCCAGCGAAGGGCGGCGGCGCTCGTCTGTCGTAGAAGAACTACTCACTATCGCTCCTGATCCACCTGCATCGGTTTCAATGCAGCAGTTAACCGAAGAATTATACTATCCTAATAAAGACCGGAAAAGGCGCAGAAGCAGCCGTGGAAGGTATGGATTGACGGAATCTCATTCAGCTGGCAATATTTTTTAACGGGTGTCTCTTTACAGAAGACACTCTCGTGGCGGTAGATATTCTGCTGAAAGGAACGTCAGTGATGAAAATGAACCATCGGAGAATGATGTTCTTAATCCATTTGGACTGAACGATGATTTTCTCCCCGATGTATCGGAAACGATTAGTGAGGATAACGGAAAAAATCAACTCAGTAAATCCAAAAGTGCCGCTGATACACTAAAAGTGGATTTTGAGAATCAGGACATGCCGGCACAAGGTCGCACGTCTTCGACCGCAGTGCTCGAGGATACCAGCGGAGGCATGGATCAGTACCGATTGCAGCGGCTGAAGATAATTTTTGAGGAATCCGACACGGACGACGAACCAGGGTTGGACATCAATGAATTCAAGCAGGCTATGAAGAAGATCATTGGGGAGAGTGTGCCCGAAAGGGAAATTGAACTAATCTTCATGAAAGTGGATGCTAACTGTGATGGAAATGTGGATTGGAATGAGTTTTTAGAATACACATTGCGCGAATTCCAGGAAAGGGACCTCATGACACAGTTAACAAGAGACGCGTTCTTCGAAAAGCATCCTACGGTCATTCCGGGTTCTAGAAATCAGCGGGAGATAAGGGCCGTCGTTTACGCGTCACCACACGGCACTAGCAGAGCAGCCAGGGACTTGGGGAACGGGCGGTACTTTTCCATGAATCGGTAAGTGTATTTTTTAGAGAAATATTATTGCAAAACGTGTATGTCTGTGACCGGCAAACATTACCCCTAGTCTTATACGAAATATTTATTATCGCGGTTCGACAATAATGTTTCCCATACCAACATTTAATATGCCACCCTGGCAAAACTGCCTCCATTCTTTTTTTGGATTTTTGAATTTATAAACGTGTTGGTAACACTGATAGCTTTAAAAGGTCACGAATTCACCAGGAAATTTTACCGAGAAATTTTATCGATTTATGCACAGGGTGTGTACTTCAAACTTATTTATTGTATCCCAGTTTATAATTATTGTATCGTATTACTCGTACTTATTGTATCCCGGTTTTTAAAGGGAAGGTGAGGTCATCTGCTGGTCCACTGAATTCAAAAAAATCGCAAGACACGATTTAATTCCGGACATTCGAGGCCGCAATGTGTATATACGAGCCAATGATATGTGCGTTATGCCGGAAATCAAAACACTGGTGGTCAGTAAGCATAGCAAAATAGCTAGTCTTGTGTACCAGCATAGTAGCGCTCCTATTAAAGCCAGTCTTGAACTGCAGGTCTTACCACCGGCGACGTGGAATTTTACGCATACGATGATAACAAGCTTGAACTTTATTTTCGCATCAGCAGCCTGAAGAGTCCAGTGCTATGTATGCATTACCATTACCAGGAAAATGACAGTCTGCTTCTGCTTGGTGATCAAGCCGGCATGGTCAGCGCTATACGATTTCGTAATTTGTTTTATGATGGTCTATGGGGAAGTCTGCAGCTACGGCACTCACACGATCCAAGAGTTACCTGGGATTTCCTAGTAAAGAAAGGCAAAGCGTACCATATTAAAGGGCAGTTTGGTAAAGACTGGATTAGTCAAGTTCGATTCTTTTCTGGATTGAACGCGGTATTCTTAATCACGGTGAGATTACGCTTGAGTTTACCTAAATTTGTTTTCTTGAAGGTTGTCGCATGCAGTGAAGATCCGCAATATTCAATGGCGGTCATCCCGCTCGGCAAGCAGCGTGAGCCAACTTATTTCAGTCAGAAATACGGATTTAGCTGCTTCGATTACAGGTTCGTGCAGCCGTTACAAGATCAGAACACTTTAGCATTGTAAAAGGGCGGTTACAAAGTTATAATGCACCACGGAAAACTGTAGTGATTTTCTGAATGTAATCGCCACCGGCTCGAAGAATCGCTCGGTGCAAGTATGGAATCCGGATAATCCTCTGACTTCCACTATGCATTTTGACGGGCACGAAGCGGGTGTCGACAAAGTTGTTGTTTGCCGAGATGCGGATTTCCTCGTGGCAATCAGCCTTGATTCTAACCAAACCGTCAAAGTGTGGGATTTTAAGGATCAATCCTGTCTACAAACATTCAGCGCCAAAGATCTCACCATTCCTCATTATGTTGGGACATTTCTGACATATAATCCCATGCTAGAACATCTTGTATACGGATCGCGTGATATGCTGATGCTGAAGCGAGTCGATCTGCACAAGCAGGGTCCAGTAGACCGTTTCCAGAAGACTCACGACGAACCAATAGTGGCGGCACTGTACAACGATTTGTTTGAGTGTATTGTGACGGCCTGTCAGGAATCAACGATTATGGTGTGGAACTTTCTTACTGGCGATAAAATTATACAGTTCCGCAATGCACATACCGTCGTACACAACGGCAACACCGTACAAGTGCCGATTAAAAGCATGTGCTTTGATGCAAACCAACGCCGATTGCTGAGCTGCGGATCGGTTTGTAGTGTGACCTTCCCCCGACTGCCTAGAGCATGCTGCAAAGCTGATTTTTAACTGTTTTATTATAGGACGGAATTATTAAAATCTGGAATTTCAATAACGGCGCATGCTTATCGTCATTTGACCATTTGTCGGGCGCCGACCTGAACGTCGTACGCTACCAAAAAAACCGTGATCTGGTAATGTCAACCGGGTGGAATCAGTATGTGTTCATGGTGCGGGACACCCGAGGGGAGGATGAGGTCGACGAGACTGTTTATGAATGGGAAAAAATTCACCGATCAGACATCACGGTGATGGAAATAATATATTCTTCGGACGATGTTGATTTGACATTGAGTAAAACAGCTTCCGACGAATATCTAGAGCCGGAAATTAGGCCATCTAGTCAGGCGTCCTATATTCCGTCCAAAATTAAAAGGAAAAGTTTCGAAGACCTGCAATTTCTGGACAAAGAACCCGAGATTTCTTCGGGGCATTCAACGAACGGCAGCAACAGACAACTGCCGAAAGTGAGTAAGGAAGAAATCTTTGCGGTGGCTAGCGTTCACGATGAAGAGGAACAGACAGAACAAAATAAGGAAACTGGCGCATCTGAGAGTGGGGTGGAGGACATTAGTGAAAGCGACGATAGCGAAGCCAGCAGCGCCGCTGAACGACGAAAGCTGTCTGATGATGGCTCGTACGCAGTTACTGGCAGTTCAGATGGAGAACTGATTGTCTGGCATCTCTTCAGCGGGCAACCCATCTGCTGCCTGAATACCGATGGCAACCCATTAGCCTTGTCAAGAATGGCCAGAAATACTCATGCCGGTCTGCTGATTAACGATTTCCCAAAAGTGGAGCTCAAAGATAGCGGCAGCTTAGAAGTACGCAATAAAATTTTCCGCCAAAATCCATGATAAAAATTCGTTCTATTTTATGTTACTAATTATGGTTATTATTATCGCACTGTTGAATGCTTTATTGTAGGATCTTAATCAGAAAGATTTTTTATTATTTTAGACATTTTTGAATTTGCAAACAGCACAGCATACTACACCACTGCGCAAAAATCTTATGGTGAGCCCAGACGATGCCATCAGTATTCCTAAAACAGCATTGCAGTCCAGGACTACAGTGACTGCTATCCTGATTTTGGAAAAGCGACCACTCAATGATGGGCACACAGCTTGTCTCATCACTGCATCCACCGATGGATTTATAAGGGCGTGGTCGATTCACCACACAAACGGAGGACTAAAAGCTCTGTTTTTTGCTGGTCATCGTATAGGCTCATTCGTTCAAACAATGACCACCGATCCGGAAAACGAGCTTCTGTTCACCGGTGACACCAATGGTTACGTGAAGGTTTGGCTGTTGTGTGAATGGGCTCAATCGGACAAGCATTTATTCCACCACCGGCATGGTTTTGATCCGCGGCATTTCCCGTTCATCAAGCGACACAAGTTCTTCTCGCCGGTTATAGCATTTCGAGCCAATCATATCATGCAGCAAACCGTATCTACCCTGCCCTCATCCCAACGTGGATATTATCAGCAACCATACTTACTGAACTCGTACCAAGCACATCTTCTTCGCATAACGCAAATTCAGATTGTGCCAGGAAAATCTGTGATTATTACCGGCTCCGCGGACTGTTCAGTACGTTTGTGGCATTTTTCTGGTTTGTATCTGGGAACACTCGGCCAACCGCTTGATTTCGGGCATGAAGTTGGCAGATCGTCACAGACACTGCCGGAGATTACATCGACAACCGATCTCGACGACGAAAACTTTCTTAATGAGGACGAAGACCCCGATGAGATCGTACTGAAACCGAAAGTTATTGTCCCAGTGGATCTTGCCGTACGTGGAAGCGCGGTCACTCTCAATGTTCTTCACACTACTCAGCATAAGCGTACCATTGTCCCGGAGAGTGCACTGAGGGAGTTAAACGAAAGTGAACCGGCTTCTGGGCATGACTTGCACCCTCGAGCGGACTACATCGCGGCACTTGGCGAACTGCAAATAAAAAAGCAACCGACTAAAGACGTCCCGTTAGAAGCGGTGACCTATCCAAGCTTTCGGGAGAATGAGAAAGGACAAGAAGACCTAGTCTTTTCTCATGTACCTCTGAAGAACATCGTGCATGTTGGCGGGCTAAAAGATGTTGTTCCGGAAAAGCTGTTCCAGTTTAATTTGGGAAATACGCAGGCTGCACTGTTAGAGAAATTGCCACCTGATCTCAAACAGCCGTTTCTCAGTCTATACAAAGCTGGACATCTCACTGGCAATGCTCTAAATGATCTTGCGCAGCTGGTGATTACACGGGAAAATGGCCTTAGAGTACCCAGAGCCACTAACCAGCTACGCTTGCGGGTGGAGAAAAAGGTCCGACTACGCGAAGGCCGGCGCTCCCGCTCGACACAGAATCATGAAAAGACTCCTACAGGAAAGCAACGGCAACCGTCTGGTGCGAGACCGAATACTACGTCTTCAGCTACTCCCCATGAAAAACATACCAAGGGAAGGGGTGACAGATCATCCAGTCAAGGCACCCCCGAAAAGAGCGAACATGATCGCGAAGTGCCGATGCGAAATTATGGGATTCATGCCTCCGCACTAAAGGAAGGCAAAGTGCCTGCAAAGAAACTATTGAAAGTTAAGAGTAAGTGGCAGAAAGTTGTGCCATTGATTCGCGCTGTCACACTGGTCAAGTCAACGGTCAGCATTGAGTCCTCGGAAGAATCGATGGGACTAGTAACAGGAAGGCCTTCCGAGCTTAACCGTACATTACTGACCAGAATGCGCGAATCAGAGCAAGAGTTCGTTGAGCCCCTGGCCAACGAGCAGCGGCGGAATGCGAAATTTGAATATTTAGATATAGTGGAGCACGGCGGCTCCGATACTGAACAAGCACGACCATATCTTCCGACTATAAGAAGAGATGCCGATTTCTACAAGGAACTCACGCAGGCAGATGCCGCGCGAATACTGGTTACCATTGGTGGAAAAAAGAAAACAATCATCAAGAAAGTACGGAGCAACGCATCTATGGACCAGATTCAGAGAGTTTACAAAATGGTGGATTTTGGTTCCGGAAGAAAGAGTGATACGAAGCGAGGTGCGCTCGGGCTTATGGTGCCGCCCGAACCGCGACGCTTGCCCAGTATTATCAAAGGTCAAATCAATAGTTCGGGAAAGCGAAGTCTTGCGGAGATTGATCTGTTGGCGCATGAAGAAGATGCTGGTGTTAAAAATCAGAATATCTGGGGTGATCAAGAGTCTTTACCCATATTCCAAACAAAGATCAGCACACTGAGCGTACATGGGAAACGAAAATCCATCCAGCATGCAACCCGAACAGAGATGTTGAAAGAAGCTGGCGAACGTCTGGGATACTACATAGAGAAGTCTCCGGGACTTAAATCAAAGGTTCATCGCACCACTGCAGCAATTGTTTCAAGGTTAAAGCAGCGAGGCGGAGTGTTTCCCAAACAGCGACCATTTACAAACCGGTATCTGTACCGACAGCTTTCTGATTCGGTGCTGCTGCCGCATGATCCGTATCGAAAAGACGATCACTCACCGCCAAGGACACTTGAGGACTACCTGCGTTATGAACTGGAGCAAACTGTGGCTCAAAATGCCATAAAGAGTTAGCTTCAACCTAGCTCCTAAAAGATTAAGTGAAGCCAGCAACGAAGATTTTGGCGAAAGACCCTGAGAAGTACAACATAGTTCAGCCAGACAGTTGTTCCACTTTTAGCTTACACAATTTTTACAAGTGGGCCTTTTAGATGGCTATTCTGAGCTTTGTACGCTTAAGCTTGCCGCTAATTTGTTAAAATGTCGGGTTTGCAAGAGCACGGATAATCTAAGCCCAATATACAGTATCGCTGACCGCTGGACAAAAGAAAATCAGATGTTTCCATAGCGTTAAACTTCATTCAATAAACAGTAAAGCTCTCTGAATGGCGCTCAGAAATATCTGTCCAGTATTTGCGCTTTGAGATTGAGATTCGGAAAATTGTAAGATATATTCCAAAAACAGCCGCACTGCCATGAAAACGTTCTACGAAGCAATCCTCTGCGTACTACCAGCTCTGATTATTATAAGCAATGCTGATTTGTTCCCACATTCTCGGTTGAGACGCTCAGTAGAAATCGAGCGTCAAGTTGCTGTAGACCATCAACCCTTCCATCAATTCGCTAAGCGAGAAGAAGACGAAATTCCGGAACGACAATCTGTCTCCAGTGGAATGCAAAATGGCGCCGTTGTGCCGGAAAACGATGCGCCTTTGGCATTTTCCGATGGACAGCATTTCCATCCCGCTCCAATGGAAGCATTCCTCGTGAACAACAAGGTCAAAATGGGCAATAATACGGGTGCCTATACCAAGAAGCAAGCCATGGACATCTGCAATCTCTACTTTGCTCAGCTGGCAACTCAACGGCAGCTGACTACAGCCTGGTTAGCCGGAGCCGAGTGGTGCTGGTATGGACATGTTGTGGAAGCGCTGTTGGCTCTCCCCATTAATTCCCCCGACATGATGTCAAAATGCCCGGGTCATGATGGGAAAAAAGGCCCCCGTGTAGTTGAGTATGTTACAGAGGGACTTTCTGGTGCCACTTGCTACGGAGTCAAGCCGCCGCGCAACTTTACGAAAACATACGGAGATGAGATGTTAACCGTGCTGCCATTTAATCCCAAAAGATGGAGCCAGTTCAGTGGTATTAGTCGAGCTCAGAAGCAAACTGCAACACAGTGATGGTGAAAATCGTTTCCTAAACTTTTAATTGTTTCTGATACGATCGCTGTCAGACTCCTTGTCGTGACGAAAAATAACAAATGAAATGCTGAGCAATTTCCCACATAATACGTAACTGTAGTTTGTAGGTAACCCACCCAGCTTATTAACGAATGCAAATTCAATGGTATCTGACCCTAGCCTAGAACGGGCGCGGGGCAAACTTCCAATTAAGGCTCTTTTTTAAGGCCTTGTAAACGAAGAAACCGTAACACAATGCAGTTATATATTTTTAACGAGTAGAGAAACCTTTGCTGTTGCTCTGTAGATGGAAAGTCAAAGTCACTGCCAACGATTTTCATTGGCAACAACTGCCCGCCAGCGTTTTGGATCAAACTTTTTAATTCATGCCCAGCCTTTTTATCAGCATTATTTTCTGTGAAGATAAAAACCTAATTTAAATTTATAGGGTTTGTAAATTAAATTAATGGGTCTGGGTTTGAGCTTTCCCATATCTCGTCAACCAGTCTCCTACGTTTTGCCAGAGAAGTTTAATACGCTGGGTAATCATCCGCTTTAATATAAAATTTAATATGCTTTGAGTGACTTTCTGAACAGCATAGGTTTTGATACAGATTTTGGTATCCATCAGGCGAACTGAGAAATACGGAAGATGCGGCTGAAGATGAAGAGCAAGGCGAAAGTATTTACGACGGTAATTACTTTGTTTTACTATTAACCAGAGAAATTATTTGTCAAACACCTGCCCGAAAACATAATCTTTTCCATTCAGAAGAACTTGCAAGTAAATATTGAAAATGCGCTTTACTATGAATGTGCAGCAAACCACAACCTAGCAGGTGCTCAAAACCATATTATAAAATTACACAGGCGTTCACGAGGCCCATCTTAGTGAACATCACGAGGAAAGAGACCGCATCAACATCTGCGTCCGGAAATATATTGGTAAACGTAATTCATAAACATACTAGTATTTAAAAGTTTTTATGCCGCCTCTGCAAATTTCACTTCATGCAGCTGTGGATTACGAAGAGATTATGAAGAAATATCCTAAACTCACCAGAGAGGATATCAAAGATTATCAAATAGAGTTTAAACTGTTGGACCTAAACCAGGACGGTTTACTCGACTTCGATGAATTGTGAGTTCACATTCTCAATCGTATCACAAATCCGCAATACAAACGTGTGACCTTTAACCTAGACCTTAAATTATGCAGGTCTCAACTGCTAGACAACATTGGCGATAATTCCAATCGTGAGAAAAGACAACTGCTCTTCCAGGAGATCGACGTTGACAATTCGGGTTTATTGGACTTTGACGAATTTCTGACTTTAATGGACATCTTAGCAGGGAAACCCAAGACTGATCAACCGGAGGAAGGATCTCTCGGCGCTAGGCAGAACATGATGGCCGAATACTTTATGAGAGCGGGCGAAATTAATCGGAGAATTCGTCGAATGAATTTATTCGATCAGATAACTAACAAGTTATTTTAGTTATCCGTGGCCTATTTACTGTTAACAACGTAACTTTAGAGGATATTTTTGTAAGTTTACTCTTGACGGCATGTGTTTTACTGTAAGGCGTAAGCTTTTGGGAAATGTCCATGGCTGACTTGTGACTTTTGGAGCATTGCTTATTATAACTATCTATAATGTAATAATAATCAGGCAGTACCGTCAATTTTCCCAAAGACGTGTACCAAGACGTGTTCCAAAAAATGAAGAAAAAACTGGGTCCATATAATAGTAAAGTTTGTTTAACCAATCTTTCTGTTTAATTTTATTCAGACAAAACCACGGCACCTTGAAAGACAACAGGTAACCAGATTTTTTAGCGAATTAGTAATAGAAGTAAAGCGTGAAACAGTAACGAACTCAACAGCGAAATTTGTTTTCCCTTAGCGCCGGAATCATCACCTGCCTCCAGTACAATTTCGGAAGCCGTTCTGTTGTTGCAGTAGTCAGTATCGCAAATGCAGTAATAACTGGTGGCACCGGGGGCATCCCTATAACACCCCATACCAGTCCTTTCTGGATATACGTCGCTCAAGTCCTGACATCCTTTAATTCTCATTTCAGCACGCTTCTCTGACGTTCCGTTTTTGTCTTTTACGACTAAACGTTCGTCAACAGCCGCCCTTTCAGCACAGTTTCCCGGACAATTAACAGGTTTGTATAGAGATACATTTTGCTTTCCTCCGCGCCACCACTGCCAGCAATCATTCAAGGGGCTTTTTTCGCTTTTGAATTTGCATTCATAGCACATAGTTGCGATTCCGTGTGACGCATAGTTGACAATTGTTAATATGATAAGCGCAACAATTCCGCAAAGCGAATACATGCCTCTTTATGACAAACGAGATAAATAAATTTCTGCAGGAGAAAACGAGAACACATTGATTGTGGTGAAACTGGAGCTTCACTTCAGATGATTTCATTGCCAGCGACTTTGGCGAGCTAAATGGATGCCTGCATGAACGAAATGTTCATCGAATATCCCTCGACAAAATCATGATCGCAGCAGCTAGCAGCTCTTGTTTTGAAAATGTTTGTTGGGCCCCACTGTAACCGTACGGGACTTTTAAAGTCCGCAATCAGAGCTTACTAATAGGAAATGGCTCTGAATCAATCCAACTGTCATAAAACTGTTCGTCCGATACAATGGACTAATCGAGTAAGGGACAGAGATTATTTACTTATTATCGGTAATTACCGGTAATTTTGGTTTTAGCTAGTTTTAGTTGAATGAGGTACGGAGTTGGAAAAGGCAAAAGCGCTAAGCATGCCGTGGACGGTATCTATGTATTCGAACACATCATGCCACTGTAAATTCTTTATATTAAACTGCGCGCATGTGTACGGGCAGTCTGGTACTGTACTAACGATAAATTCCGAATGAGGAAGCACTGTAAATGAGTATGCACGCCAGTATTCCTACGCAGCCTTGATGTACACCAGCACATCTCACATTGATGTAAATTGTAACTAGTATGTAATCTGACCATCTTGATGTATACCTTATCATCTTACTCATGCTACTCGGTAAGCCATCTTACTCGAATGTACATATTATTGGTGACTTTGGTTGTGTTTAAATTTTAGGGGGGCTTATTTTTTAGGTGGGTAATCAGAATCTGCAATTAAAACCAGAACCCGAAAATTCGTATCAGAAACTCAGAAAGACTGCAAAATGCTGACCCCATTGGAGCAGACTCAGCAGAGTCTTGTCGATCTGACTTACTGTAATTTCTACCATTTTTCAGAATTATGCCAGCTGTAGTAAGCCGAACAAAAAATCCGGTTGACCCGGAAAGACTTCGTCAAGATTTGTCCGACCCTCACTTTGATGTAGACGAATTCCTGGAAAACTTTATCAAGCAGAGTGCCATACAGCCTGCCACAACAGCGTTGCAAAACGTACAAGCACAACAGAATCCTTTGATTAGTGATCTGAATAAGGAATACTTATTCACACTTAACAATGCCGCAGAATACGGAGCAGACATGGATCACACTTTGCAGAAATTGGATGACCTTTTTGAAGCCTGCGTTCACCTTAATGCAAAAGCACTTATGCAACACAGAAATGCGGAATCGACCCTAATTAGTGCGGAAGACAACGCCGTGGAGCAGTTGGAGCGGCGCGGAGATATGGTTAAACGAAGGCTGGGAGAAATTGATGGGCTAGAGCACGAGTTGGCTAACTTGACAGAAAAGCTGAGCAATTTGGGCGGAATACTGATCTCTGTGGTGGAGCCAAACGAAAAGTTGAAAAAAGTGCACAAACTTCTTTCGCATTTTGTTGACCTGAATGCAGTGGGAATCAGCGATCTTACCTATCCGGAGCTGGTGGAGCGCAGAAATACCATGGAAGATTATCAAGATGCAGCAGAAATCCTGCTCGTGCTTAAGTCCATATCGGGAACGTTAGAATTAGCCAAAGAAAATCCTTATAAAAGGGCATGTGTCAAGATAAGCGCTCTATATGAAGACATAGAAAATGACCTGGTTGCTCTGTTTTTGCGAGCATTCAAAGAGAACCCAATGGACAAAAACCTTATGCAACAAACCGCATCTGTCCTACAAAATTTTTCAACCGGTTATATGAGGGTTATCAATGAATTTATCCAGTGGATAATTAATTCCAGCGCTAATAGTCCCGATGATCCCTTCAATAAGATTATTCATGCTTGCGACATGACCTACAAATTGGTTTTCGAAATTTTTCCCTCGCCTGAAACGGTTATGGATAAATTCATTACGTACTTAGCCTGTGCAGAGCTAGAAGAGGTGATTCATACGTCGTTAGCAAGCTGTGGGAATACACTGGAAGGACGAGAGCTGTACCTGACAAAGGTAGCGGAATATTACAGGCGTATCATGCAGCTACAAGGCCCACTGTCAAAATTTTGCAGTGTACGGATGCATAATATCCTTAAAATATTACTGAGCACCCATTTGGATACATACGGGAAAGCAGAAAGCCGCTTTTTTCGCAGCCGTTGCAACCTTATTGTGCAGCAGTATTACGACGTACTTGCAATGGATTTTGGATCCATTAAGCTCGGACCAATACAAATGCGAGCCGAAGGGAAAGACGTGGCTTCGACTGTTCCGATTGGTAGCGCGGCTCCAGCGAAAGCGATACCGACTATAATTGGAGATTATTTACAGAACAAGGAAATCGCGTATGAGTCAAGAATTCTCAGCCACTCTTTGGCGCTGAACATTCTTCACGAGCTGCAAAAATCCGCCAGTCGTGCACACGCACTGCTGAGTCGCAACGAGCTAGCCAGTTGCTTGCTGGAGATGGGACAGACAGCTATTCGACATATTCTGTTTGTGCATGCTGAATACGGGCTGGACGCTGGTTTGCGCATGCTGCCTCTGCCGGAGCCCAAAACCGAGCCAAAGTTGGCGTTTTTTAGATTGATCCCGTTGGCTATCAGGATTTGTGACTTAGTGCATCATGATCTTCCAGTCTGCTTACATGGTATGCAGCGATCAAAAGGTCACTCCGCTAAACTCTCTGCCACACTTACGGCAGCGCGCGATAGGCTAGAACAGAAGATCACAGCCGGGATCGAGTACTGTCTGAATTCAGCGATGCACTGGGTGCAAGTGATGCTATCCCAGCAGAAAAAAGCTGAATACATTCAAGTGAATCCTGCAACCACCCCGACGGCAAAACGCGTGGTGGCATTTTTCACGAAAGTCTGCTCTCTCGTTACTGATTTCGTCAACAACCAGAATCGCGAAAACATCAGAAGGGAGATGGGTTTGCGATTTCATCGAGAAATTCTGGACCATTTCGAAGTGTTCAAGTACTCCACGCAAGAGGGAATGGTCTGCCTCTGTGAGCTAAAAGAGTATAAGGAGTGTGTACTGCAGCTCAAGCAAGACTCTATAACCAGGTTGTTTGAGGATATGCTTTTGGTGGGAAATCTTCTGGTTTGCAGTAAATCAAGTCTGTCGAAGATCAGTTCTGAAATCTCTTCGGAAGTGGACAGTGCAAGTTCACTTCAGTATTTTCTTAGGTTACGTGAGGATTATCAACCCCCTAAAGATCGTCCCTCTACTGTTTCTTTGACGGGCTTGTCCCGAAGTAAATCTCTGATCAACTAAATAACAAACGTTTTTGGCAAGACTGCAGAAAAGAAACTGCTACCACGCGCACCCGGACAACTGGGAGTGTGACATTTCGCCGCACTCAAACTCGACGCGCGACTTTTCGCCGCGAAGACAATTCGTTGCCGGACATTCGGACGCTGGGACACTTCGGTTTGGGATTTTATGTTTTCAGACATTTTAACTTTGCGACATTTCGACGCAAGACGTCTTGCCGCGGACAATTCGTCTTGGGACTTTTCAAACGATGCCACTTATCACCGCAAACGCGTCCGATCACTTCGGCCGCGTTACATTTCGGCCGAGGCTCACTTCGGCCAGCACTCATTTCGGCCACTGCTTATTTCGGCATCATCACATTTAGCCGCCTCCAAGTTTTCAAGTTTTCCTAGTTTTTGTTGTTTCTTTGGCTTTCTTAGGTTTCTATAACCGCAAAAAACCGCAAAAAACTAGTTTTTGGGTAAGTATTTGATTGAACTGCTTCGTTGCAGGGCTGCTTTATAATAAAGCCTTTATTATTTTTAGGATTTCTTGGGTTATTCTGAGGCTTCTCAGGTTTTCTTAGATTATTCTTAGGTTTCTTAGGTTTTCTTAGGTTTCTTAGGTTTTCTTAGGTTGTTCGTTTGGTTTTGTTTACCAGTTCTAACTTTTCTGACTCTTCTAGTTAGCTTAGTAAATCATTTATCTGAAATCCGAAATGTCGCTTCGTCGAGGTGTCCTTTCGACGAAATTTCTTTGCGTCGAAACGGCTGTGCGACGGAAAGTCTCGCGGCGCGAATTCTAGTGACGAAATGTCCTGCGACGAAACGTCGCCCGGCGAGATGGCCTTGCGGTGAAATGTCTGCGACCAAAAGTCCTGCGACTAGTTGTCCGCGGCGAAATGTCGCGGTGCCGCTACCATGCCATTTCGTATTAATTTACACGGTTTTAGTAATGCGCAATTAACCGACCATGACAACACCAGCAGTTGGAATCGTTATCGTTTTGGCCTACCAAAAAGTGAGCTCCTGTACTGCAAATTTGTGTACGAACCTGTCATGCAATACCCAGAAAATAATCTTTTGCGTACTCTATTTGAATACATTAAACACAGGGACATAAAAAACATTAAGAAATTCCGACAGCATGGCTTCAAAGGGATATTTCGACAACATGATGAAGAAAATGGGGACACCGTTATGCACCTGGCAGCATTTAAAAGTGATTTGGAACTGCTGGAATTATTCTTGGACGAAGGAGCAGAAGTTGATGCCAAGAATCATGGGGTACATACTACAATGTATCTGTACATGCTCTCGCATATATTATACATGTAATTTCGCAGCTTCGTTTACTGTACTTATAATTCCCTGAATGTATCGATTTTAAATTTCTGTTTTTAATGTAAAGCGCTAAATGTTTACGCTTTTAAGAAAATCACACCGTTGATGGTTGCCGCGCACCATGGCTTTGTTGAAGTGGTTAAATTTTTGATTAATCGAAACGCAGACGTAAATGCTGTGGATACCTTTTGGCAAAATGCACTGTGGTACTGTTTTGGTGGAACGGAGCGCCATGTGGAGGTGGCAAGGATTCTATTGGAGAAAGATGCGCGACTGGAGCTTAACCAAATGGGCAAATCACTGCTTATCCGGGCATGCGAGAAGGGCAATAAAGCTACAGATTTGGTTAGCCTTTTGATTGCGAATGGTGCCGATGTAAACGAAGCAGTGACGGCAACGGGGCGAACGCCGTTGATTGAAGCTGCCAGGCGCGGAGCAGCCCAATCTGTCAAGCTCCTTCTGGAAGAAAACGCTTCTCCTGATAGTGTCGACGTTCGTGGAGTAAGACTGCGTTCCTTCAACTTCCCGTTAATGTATATATATTATATTATTAACATCCATCTAGCGCCATCTCAGAATTTTGAAAAGCCGAAAGCTCGGATGGGCTACAATTTTTTATAATTTCTGTAGGTTACCGCTGCCCATGAATCAGCGTACCACGGTCATGTCGCCGTGCTGCAAATATTGGCAGGGTACGGCAGTAACCTCGATGTGCCAGCTTACAATGGGAACACTCCCCTGCATTTGGCTGTATCATCACAGCAACTTCTGGCAGTGCGCTATTTATGCCAACATGGTATGTCGTTTTATCATCAGATAACCCAACTCATGCCTTATGTTTACAAAGAAGGGAAAATTTCTACCGCACAGGCTCGAATTCCAACATGAAGAACAATTTGGGATTGACCCCCAAACTTTTGTGTAAGAAATACAGCCTTAAAGCAGCAGCAAAAGAAATGAAGAAAGCCGAAAAACAGTATAACAGCGTCAAGGACAAGATGCATTTGTTGAATGCCTATGAGTGGATTCAAAGCAACAAGGATAAATTGCAAATGTCTTTAGTAGTCAACATGACACCCGACGGGCTGATATCCCGTGAGGATGCCCTAGTGGCCTGTGAAATCCTGCATATACCGATGGATCCGGCGAATGTCGAAAAGGTCTTTGATGTTATTGATGCACAAAAGACCGGAAAAATGAGTGCAAAAGAATTATTAGGCGATAAATACGTTCCAAAGCCGTTCACAAGAGCTACCTATGAGAAAGAGGATCCCAGGGGATTGAAGAAAGGCGGTAAAGGGGCCAAGAAAAAGAAGAAGCCGAAGAAGCCTAAGCTGAAGCTTCCAAAAGAGGTGAAAATTACCATTTCCTGTGGAGAGGAAGAAACACATCCGAAAAGTTTCTCGGATAACCCGTTTGTCAATGTCCACATAATACCTAATGACAACCTGGCGTACGCGAAGAATGATGGACGACTTCCTACACCGTTCTCGGATGATAAAGTATGGATATTGGATAATATCACTTTGGACGTTTCCCATATTAATTCGCTTTGCCAGTCCGGAGACTACGACAGTATCGCTCGGGCGTGCAGGAACGGGATCAACGTCAACTTGTGTGACGCTTGCTACAAAACGCCCCTGATGTGTGTGCACTAACGGTTAGAAGTTAGAACACCATTAATTTGTTATTTTCTCATGTTTTAATGTAACAGTTTATTCCAAAATGGGTTTATGACCTAATGTTTTCAGGAATGCCGCATCTGCCGGACACTGGGATGTGGTGCAGCTGCTGTTAACTTATGGGTAAATGAAATAGCACTATAGTTTTCATGGCATAATGTTTATTTAATTGGTCATTCTGCGATTCTCAGGGCGAATCCGTGTGCAGTTGACAATTTTGGCTGGTCAGCTCTGCATTACGCCTGCCGAAATGGACATGCTGAGATTGTAAACGAATTACTGCAGAATGGAGCTTTGGTTAACGCCCATACGCTCAGCGGAGCAAGCCCGTTAATGAAGGCCATAGAAAGCAACGATGTTGAATCGGTTATCTGCTGCGTGACACACGGGGCCAGTTTGAAAGCGAAAACCGTTTGCGGCCTTTCAGTTAAGGACTACGCAAGGACGTTTGGAGACTTTGCGGTTTACAAAGCCATCTCTCGATTCCTTAAGGCATATAAAGGTGGAAGAAATCTTACCAACGATATGGCAGCAGTCGACCCAGATACTGAACTGTTTTTTGGGAACAGAGTTTCGCCGAACCTTTACGGTAAAACCACCCGTGAACTGTTTCGGAAAAAAAAGGACTTGTTGCGTGAAAGTTTTGTCCGGCAAATGCAAGCGGACCAGTTACCGTTACGCGCTGTCAAACCCAAAGCTGTGAAAGCGGTAATTTCACCTATTCCAGGTACAGAGCAAAGAAATTTATATACGAGTATTAAACGTTTGATATAATAATAATTTTATGCAGGTTCAAATTCGCCAGAAAACACCGTACGTTTCAGTAGGTATACAAACATGCCACTACCACCTGACCGCATTCCTGTGTCTGTGATCGGAAAACCGCTGGGCGCAGTTGTTCCTGCCACTGAATCACAAGACAAAGGTCAAGCCGGCCCAACTCCGGCGGTAATGATAGGAGACAACAAGGAAGAAAAAAACGAGCAAAGCAAATTAAGTATGGGCTCTCACGATGACGGAGACGCGAAGCCGGTAGTTTCCCACCGCAATCCTTTCACCGACTCGCAGACGCCATACTTAATACACAGCTCTCAAGACTTCATTCCTCCAAGCACGGATGAGAATGATCCGAAGCTGCAAGCAAAAATAGACCAAGCCAGAAAGCTTTTCGCCCTGGCAGCAAAAAGATTCGAGGTGACCATTGGTGAGCATTGCACCAATAACGCTATTAATCCACATGACGTCTTTGCAATGGAACTGACAAAGTATGGACGTAGCGGACATAGCCACGCTCTGGCGAAGAGGACCGAGATGGAAAAAGCAGCGTGGGCTTTCAAAAACCATGTCGACGTGCAACGTGGTACTGATCCAGTTTTTTATGCGCCAGCACCGGAAGATTGGTATGTACCGACACGAAGCGAAATGGCTGTGCGCTACCACATGCAACCTGGACTTTTTGATCGTGTCATCAAAGCCAATTCAGAAGAAGATCCTCTAAAAAAGTTTGCCAGACAAGCCGAGTCATTATTACTGCTAGCGGATCCCAAATCTAAAACTGCCACCTCGCAGTCTATGGGTCAACTTTCGAGAACCACAGGACCGAAACGCTTCTCGGTTGCACAGGAACTGCAGCGTATACGTAAACTGCATCCACAAGCGTCCGAAGATCAAGATCAATTGCCGCGCATGAGCTTAATGCATCGCTATCTCGGTGATCGCAAGCAAAAAGCGGCGAAGCGGTCAATAGCAAACACACTGGGGACAGGGCCTGATTTATTTAAACCCAATGCAAGCCCTAATGGATTTTCTTGATCGTTCATTGTCCGACGAAACACACTGTCACCAAACTGACCAACGGCACGATCCGGTTAGGAGCAACTGAGCAGGGCCGCCAGGGCGGGTTATTAGTTTACGTTTACAATCGAAAGGCAAACTATACGGCTTCCATTCGTTAATTAGACAAGTTACAATATAAACACAGAAAATTACTAAACGCTATGATGTTTTATATGCTCTCATATCGTACGATTTAAGTCCCGATTATGTGTGAACTGACAACGCTCAACGAAAACTGCAAAACAAACGATTTGCTACTCTAGGTTTAAGGTTAATAACGAACGCAGTAGAGGTGCCTTCTGGCTGCACGCGTGTTAGCATTGTTGCCCTCCGTGCCCTCCACAAATGCAAGTTAACAAGCGCATTGCAATAATTCTCCCCCCAAAGGCAGGGGGAGTACGAATCCTTAACGCAAGCTCTGGACGAAAAACGCAGCACTCTTGCGGAGATAATTCTACTGATGCGCCATCTTAACATCTTTGTTTGATATCAGCACGGTATTAGTATCTGCACGTCTTTAATTGTGAGGTCGAGGTGTCTTTAATTGTGAGACCGAGGTGAATCAGGGTTGACCGTCTGGTCACTGAGGGCTTTGCTGCGCTTATGATTAGCCGCGATTGGATCAACAGTTCTATCGTGCAAGCTTTTAGGGGCGTTCAAGATATCTGAATCTCTGATTCTGCGATTGCAATAATTGCGTTCTGATTTCATTGTGTAATCAGCGATACAGAGGAGGCTAGACATATTATGCCTGTTCAGAACTCGAGATCTGATCAGGGTATGTCCAAATATAGAACTAAACGCAATTCTCTCAATTCCCCTTGTGGCTAGAGCAGTAGCAGCTGTCCTCGTCGCAGCACGGCTGCATGCTGCGACGCTATCCAACCATACTGATCGTAATATGACTATATGAGTACAACACCCGTGACCAGTGCTTTATGGAGTTAATTTTGTTGAACACCAGACCTTTTGAGTTATTGTTATCGTCCATCGCATAAACCTAAATGATTTATGATTTAAATTTGGAATCATATAACCTTCATAAAGGAAAGGAAAACATCTCTGTACCATGGAAAAGCGGAAGAACCAAAATGATGAACCCACCAAATCGGAAACAAGAAGTGCGGATACGGACGTCGGGAATAAAAAAGCTCGCTGCAGCCCGGATAAGAATTTCGAGGACGTGGAACCCGATGGATCACGTAAAATGGACGAACAAAGTTCCGAGGAAGGTAGCAGTGCAACTGACTCTGGCAATGAAGTGTCTGACAGAAGTGAAGATTACGGAGACCTGGATTACGAAGGCTGTTTCTACGGCTCATTTCAAAGTGCCTACGAGGAAGAGTGTCCATCTCAAGTTAGTATTCCCAGATGGCTCCAATTTCCTCCTTATTCCTCGGATATGGTTACCGGGAAGTGGAAAATGACGTTTTCTTCTGACATTGTCGATTTTCGGTGGCAAGAAGTTAAGCAGTTGTTTCGAGAAAGAAAACTGCCGCCTGCTGTCACCAAAGTGGTGGTAGCGACCCTAGGTGCTTACAGCGAAGAACACAATGCGCATTATATGTTGTTCTGCTGTGCTCCGGCCAGTCGAGAGGCGGCCATAAATATTGCTGTAAACCTCGTCCGTGTTTTCCCCCCTAGTGAGGATGTAATTTTTTACAAGGACGATAATGCTGCACCGGGAACAAGCCAGTGGCACTTCAGCTGCGAAAGTGAGTATCGTGTGAATTTGTCACTCAATAGCGGAATGAATGGCGTGACGTCCAAAATACCAGTCGACCATATTCTTCCTCGCGAAAACACGAAAACGAAGTGGATGAGCATTGCAGTAAACAGCAACTGCTACGGTGGTGGAAAGTGGATGTACCATTTTGACGAAGAAGAAATTGATGAAAAGTGGATTCGTATTAAAGAACTGGTTGCGGCGGGCGGTTTAACGGGCGTCAAGAAAGTTGTAGTTAGCACCCGGCGGAGCATTGTAGAGGGAAACTTCACTGAATATGTTTTGCTCTTCATATGCGGACCAGCAGAAGAAGAAGATACAGTAACAGCGGTTGGAAAGCAACTACTCCGCGTTCTTCCCCCGCGTTCTTGTGATGGCGGAATATACTATAAATCAACGGAGCAATCGGAAAGGGGAAACCAGAAAAGCGGCCAAGACGTGAATCATCTTTATTTTTTGCGCTCTACTGAAGGTTTCGAGCAGAATCTAAAAACTGAGTGATAGTGCAGGCTTAGATTGCTATCATTTTTGGATAATTTACTTATATACGCATTTCCATATAATCGTGCTTGGTGTTTGTCCAACACGCGCTAACAGTTGCATAACCACCATGCGCTACTTAAGACATTGCACTACAACGTTGTACTGTTCTTCCAGTCAGTGTGTTGAGTGGTTTTTTACTTACAGTTAGTTTTTGTTTCGTTAAGAACTATTGGGATCCTGTCATAATGGCTGTAGGTTCGGCCACATTGTGTGAATACTTCAGCACGGTTTTCTGTGTTTCAAACTTTAACTTTGGCTTTCCGGTAAAAGTGCATTAACGCTTGTTTTTATTGCATGGCAACAATTGCCGTTTTTCCGTTTTATTTACCTATATATTCTAAACTATAGTAATTAAAGATATATATATATATATAATCGAACAACACTAACACGCAAAACCGGAATAGTAAATGTTAGGATCAACAAGAATAACATGATTACTTGTTCTGGCTCTACCACTGCCTTGTATGAACACTATCAACAGCTGATTTTTGAATCGGTATAAACAAAGACGTTTACTGGCTACAACCACAACCCTTTACACATTATGTTAAAAATGATTTTACTGATTACGAAATCTAAGATACCTATCCCGCATGCGGGTACGTGCAATAAGTACGAGTAGTATTTTTATCAAAGCTCAGATTGTGCTGCGTTTGGGGCGGTGACATTTGTTCAGCTGCTTCATATTGAGTCACTTACGTTACATAATCGGAATGCCACCAGTTTTCAAATCTCTGGTTCGGTTAGAATTCACTCAACTTGCGGCGCTACAAAAATTGAGGCCCTTGAAGGACTCGGCCGAATGGACACTAGTCATCAGATGTTTTTCGACTGCCGACAAAGTTCTTGCCACAAGCGAAAGCATCGTGCTCGCCCCCGACTCTTCTGCTGGCGCAAAAGTATTGTTAAGTGTCCCACTGGAGTTTTCGACCTGGGGTGACCTGGACAATATTGTGCACTCTCCCATAGCCATTAATTTTAATGAAATCGAATTCATAAAAGATAAGAAAAAGCCAGTACCCGATGAGAAATCTGATCTTCTGGGACAAGTCTTGCTCGATCTGTTGCCTTTAGTATTAGGAAGAACGGAAATAGCTCCGACATTGCCCGTTTTCGTTCCTAAAAGAGACGGTGCCGACAATCAGTCAGGCGCAAGCGCAGCGCTGGGCGATGAGGTTACCATAAGTGTTCTTGCCAAGTTAGAAAAACCTCTTGTTCCTGACGAATACCAGAAGTCGTTTAACATCGTACAAATTTTTATAGATGGATGTTACGGTATGCCCCCTGCTTGGACAGGGAATGCGAGCGCGAGCAGTTCTTTTACCATAGCTGGCGCTATGTGCACATCTAGCACCCATATGCGTGTTCTGGCGGTTACCAATAAATCACTCCAAGAAAGCGTGGATTCCACCGCGATTAGATGGCCTTCGCAGAGCTGCTTTGTAACAGAGAGTGTTTACAAGGGACTGCATACCTTCGAATCTCAGTGTGCCTTATCGGATACCGATTTCCAACGAAGAGGCCCGCTTCTACCATCCAGCGTACTGTTTCGTTGTGTTTTGCCCTTCGACGCGGAAGACTGTTTCAAAGCCAGGTTAATGGCCACCAAAACGTGGCCTTTGGAGATTGTGAATGTGACATATCCGGAGAAACATCTCGGAGTCAAGCCAAAGAAAGCGGCTGACATACTACCCAGTGCACCGGAAGAGCCAGTGTTGACTAAACATGGCGCTGCATACGTTGACCTGGAACCACTATTGCGCCCTGGAATGTGTGAAGTGTCCGGCTCTTATGCATTTCGTCCCTTCAGTCTGGCAGAATTCTCTGCAAAAACAGGAACCAAAAGCGCCGTGTACGAATTGTACCCTGGAGGGAACAATGTAAACACTGACAGCGAAAAGAAAACCGTTACAGCGAGTTCGAAAAAAGTGGGGGAGCATCATTCGACACTTACTTTAAGAAAATCGATGGCTCCTTCTGCCACCCCTTCTCAAGAAATTGTTCCCCAGCTTAATCCACGATCACAAAATGATGCCGATTTGTACCTTACCCACAATTCATTTGTTCGGGTAAAGGTAGCATTATTGAAGCCGTTTGTGCCTAAAACAGTACGAACTTTTTCCGTGGAAGATCGATCGCTGTATTTGCATTCACTACCCCGTCGATCTGGTTCTGAATGGCCCAACGATAACGGCATAGCGGCTACTAAAGCGCTACAGGAGGATGTTAAAAACATCAAGGATTATCTGGCAGCTCTGTATCAACAACATCCAACAGAAAACTGGAGTGAGTATTATCGGGCTGCTTTGCAAACAACCGATAAATCTGAACCGATGGTTTTGCTCCATCGAACGCTTTACGACCACATTCTCCGTTTTGTGCGAGATCGGTTTTATCGAATTAAGCCATTTAAAGACCGTTCGGAATATGAGCGTTATGTTCGTACAGTTTATGCAAGTTTGGCACGTGAAGTCAGCGATGCCCTGAAAGGTCAGTCAATGCAACGTACCGAAATTTCGCAAACAAAATCATCGCCAGAAGCGCGAGCAAATCTCCGGACAGACACGGATTTGAAAGTCCTATCAATGCAAGAAGATTTGGACGGAAATTTTAGTAAAGCCGAGCATTTCCTTGGACTTAGAGTGATAAGTAAAGGGGGCAGTGCTTCAGCCTGGAAGGACATCGGGATGTTTCAGCTACGCTTTAGAAAATTAGACCAAGCCGTACAGTCGTTTTCGCGGTGGTTGTCAAAAGAAGAACTTAATCCGGATGCATTGTTGGTTTTGGGTGAGTTAGGTCACACGAAAAAAGTTTCTAGAATTCACTGCAATACGTTGCTGGGAAATTCACTTAATATGCACGTTGTCGGCGAATTCCCTTATTGTACTCTTATTTTACCAACAAAAAATGGTATTGCTAAATATTAACACACATACGTACAGTATGTACACGCCTGTATATACTACTTACTTTAATATTATGTCGCAGAAATAAATCAATAGCTGCGTAAAAATTATTTCACAAGTTTCGTTATTACAACAGGATATGCATTTTGCGAACTTGGAAAACTAAATTGGGCGCAGACCATATTTGAATGCGTCGCATCTCTTTGTCCGAAGAATCCGCTACCTGCAACCATTCTTGGATTGTTCTATGAGCATCTGGCAAGTGACCATTCTTCAGAGGTGTACACGTTTCTAATGGAAAAATCATACCATGAAGGTCGTATTGCGCTTGGTCTACATGGTGCTGTGTTGGAAGCTGCCGATAATTCTTTACGGCAACGAAGAATATCTGTCGGGTGCGAACTGGAAACAATGCCAAAAGGTGACGCGGCTGTAGCGGAATGCCGGCGTTTATTGGTGAACCTCATTGATTCACGTGAATCAGCCCTGGAATACACTAATAGAGAAAGTGAGCCCCATGAAAAAACTGAAACTGAAAGTCTCTTCTCACCAGTGACCGGCTGTCAGACTTACCAGGAAGACATGAGATCCCTGATAAACAGCACGAACATGCAATTTGCTACCAATATCTTCTGGTACTGTTTACCTTACTTGAGCAGAAATGGCTTACTGCGGTTTCTACAAATGTCTGTTGCGAAATTAGCTGGCTTATGCCCCATGAACGAGACATTATTCTGGACATGCAGTATACAGAGTTTCTTGGCTCACCGGAAGTACGATCATGCCGAAATCCTTTTAACCGAACTTGATCGTCTCGGAGAAAGTAGCGCCCGGTTTTATGCTTACTGTGGACATCTGAACTATCTGCAAGGACGAAGTAGTAGTGCGGTACTGGCCTACGAGAAAGCGCTTAAGCAACACGATTGCCTTAAGAAATGGGAGCTGTTTCCGTTGTATTATCGCTCCGGTACCCTGTTCGAACAAATGGAGATTTACTTTGAAGCAAAGAAAGCGTTTCATGAGGCCGCTAAAATTTACGGGACATGTCGAACGTGGATCGGATGTGGCACTGCAAGCTACAAGCTCAACGATTTGGTACATGCTGAATACGCTTTCCGACAAGCTTTAGCTGTGGACAACGGGAACCCCTTGTCAAAAAAATATTTGTCTGACATTCGCCAACGGAGCAGACAAACTATGATGAAGTAGAAGGCCTGAAACCCGGCCGTGCTATGGTGATCAGCACGATTCCGAAGAAATCGAAACTCACATTGCCTGTAAATCTGCTTTGTGGCATCCGAATTTCAAAATGGCTATGTCTAGCTTTCAGGAACCTGGAGGCGCTTATTAAGGAGAAAAAATTACGGAGAAATTCACGCATTTAGACTTCATGTATTTTTTGTAATTCATTTTATGTATTTAGAATGAGATCAGTGCAGTCGAGCTTTGCCCATGTGTTTAACCAGAAGGTCATGCTGAGTGAAATATGTCAAAAATCCGACCAAATTTCTTTAGTTCGCGCATAATTGTTGTTAGTCGAGACTGCTTAAGTAAACCATAGAACGCTTTAATATTTTTAACGAAGATAACCAACTGTTCCTCTTGCTGTAAATGTGGCAGTCATGAATGAACACCAATCCTGGTACCCTTTTAACTAAAAGATATCTATGTTAATAACAAAACATTGGCAAATTATATTGTAAAAGCCTGTTTTTTCGGCATAACAGTCACTGTCAGACGCGTTTCCTGAAAGTCACAGGTACAACTTTAGGGCTTATCCAAAGTACGGCCATCTTCCATATCCTCCGTAATTGTAACCAACTCCCATGCAACATTCGGCCATGAAAGTAGTGCACATGCATCCTCCGTACACGCGTTTAGCGCGTTCTAATTGTTGAAGCGCGTTTGGGGTTTGGTCAAGATCATACTTTGGGTAAAAGTTTAATTGGGCCTTAACAGCAGTCACCAACACCACTCCCATGAGTAAAACACACCAAGATCTCATTTTAGTCCGTATATGCTTAGTCCTTGATTAAATTCGCTCTTCTAGCACAGGGCTCCTCTTACTTTCCTCTGCAGCGTTGAATATTACAGAGACGGCCAAGTACCGCACCGCTTAATTTGGAGATAGTACAAGTGTGCAGATAATTTCTTACTACTACTAAAAAAACTGAAGAAGGTGCTACAAAACACTAATTCAGCTTAAGTTCTGTGAGTTTGTTGGTGTTGCTAAGAATTACAAAATCATCAGCAATAATTACGTGGATTAGGACAACAAGTCATAGCTATTGGAGGTTACTTTATTTATGTGTTATACGCACATTGTGCACTTGTCTAGTTCATCCAAGCCCGGAAGCATTTCGGTCAAGCCAGCGACAAAAGAAACGATTTGCAAAGTGCAAACTTTACTCTCGTGCCGTCATGCACTAATCTGAAAGGATGCTTTAAGTTCAAGTAATTGTTTACTTACAGTACTGTCCAGAAACTAATTTACCATAAACTCAAAGTTATCATAAACCGGTTTTTTCTTCAGTAAATTGTTGAATAAGAAAAATGGTTTTGTCCAGTTTTCAGTGCCGTCGACCTAAGTCATGGGAACTATTGGACTCGAGAGTTCGAAGAGTGGAATCGCTTGGCATAGTGGATAGCTGCCAAAACACACAAACAAAACAGATAAAAATAAGAGACAAAACAGATAAATAACTAACCAAATACATTTCCAATGAAAAATGTCAGGAGTAGGATCATTAAGTTTGCAGTGGACTGCAAAACTGACCTAACTTCGGAGCGAACCAGCTTCGCAATTCGCTTTTGGGTCAGTGTTGAGTTACTTTTGCAGTCCATTATATGTACGAGTACTTTACTTTATGATGAAACTGGATTACCGGAATACAGAAATTTGCCAGGCCACTTACGCTTGATGTGCTGCGTGAAGTAGTAGTCGTAATAGTAGTTGCCGATTCGAACTTCCGCGACGCACTCTTCTTCACAGCAAGATTACCAGATTTCTTCACTTGCACTTTACTCAACAGGAAGTCACTTCCAGGAACAAGCCATTTTGCGTCACTCCAGAAAATAGCAATTAGCGATACGAAGTATATACAAAGGACATGCAGATCTGCGGATTCAAACAGCTGGGGCATAGTGCCTACTTCGGTGATAAGAATGGCAGGTATGGCTGCGGCTATAAGCGAGATGAATGTATGTTGCGACATGGCGGCTGCGTCTTTGGTTACCATCAAAACGATTCCGCACCTACAAACAAATGCGAGGAACAGTAAAATTTTGTCGAATTGGGCCTATAAGTTCTCATATACAGTACAGCGGATAACTGCAACAAAGAACTCGAATGAAGACAGAATACAACGGTTCAAAACCTTAGAAGTGGTTCGAGCCAAATTCAGCCTATAGTTTATGGCTGTGAGACCAACATCCATAAATCTTTGTTATGCACTTTTACCATTGCTTTAACGGTTTTAATAACTGTAAAATAATAGCAAGAAAAATAGGATTTTTGAAGGCAATAGACCCAGAAGTGACGAATAAAAATAAAAATTTAATTATCGACTGTATTATTTGCCTTTGTATTAGTTAGTAGGTGTTGTACTCTTCAAATGTCCACAAAAAAGAGAAACAATTCAACATTGACCCGCAGTTTTGCGCTCAAAATCGGGTGAACAGTGCCTGTCTACAAACTTAAAAGAGTCCATTTACGCTTACGTAATGACGGTTGGTACTAGCCAATAAATCGGAGGTTCGGGGATCCCGGGTTCTTTTATTTCTTGGAACACGAAATCGATACATAGTCCGGCTAAATGTATGGCTTGTAGAATAAAGAGCACTTTTAGCGTTCCTATCGCAATGGCCGATGTTTTGACGCTGGGCCGATCGAATAAAGCAGTCCATGAATATTGCTGCACGGGTAAACTTAAGATTAAGGTCAGCACTGTGTACAGTCCTGCTTGTGGCAGCTGTTCCGACAGGATGGTGCTATCCCGTTGTGCAGGATCCACATCGCCCATTTATACGGAATAGTTTACTCCAATTACTGACTTTCAGGAATACGTATGAGGATGAGAAACGTAATGTTATTACAGATAATCCATATTAGAATTCTTAAGCGCCATTTTATCGCAAGGATTTTTAGGAGTAAGACATGGTTTTTTAAGTAAATGCGATGGGCAAAAAACCAAGTGTATCAGCGATAAAAACTTTGCATTTTTAAGCTACGGTAAGTAGTACTAAACGAGAATTATTATAATGCTGTGTGTTACTAAGCAACCAGCAAACAGTCTTTGGGCAAGGCCCAAAAGGTATAACAATTACAGTAATGTCTTGAGGCAAGGTTATGCTTTCCAGGAAACATTCAGATGGCCGCGTATTACAGTATCATGTTTGCCGCTTTGAATTTGGTTGAGGCGATCGTGCGGTCAAGTGCACTGGGCGGAGCGATCGGCGTAATTTGTTGCGATGGTAGTCGCCTAAGGTTGTTCCATGATATGCGCTGTCCGATAAAGCGTCTGCAGTAGCTGCCAGTCGTCGTCGCCCAGGTGTTAACCGTACGGCAGATCGGGCTTCTGCCATGAATCCAGGCTGATATCCAGTTGTTCGTCTTTCGTTAATCAGTGCAAATATTGGCTTGGACTGGACAATTATGGAGTCACCTCTACCCGGGCGCAGGAACGGTTTATCATAAGGAAGGCCACGAAATTTATAACAGCGGCTTATAAGGTCATCCGGTCCACTGAAAATTTCTCGCAAAACGAACTACAAGCAGTAAATCTGTTAATATAGCCCGTTAGTCATGTTTCCGCACGGAAAAAGCCGTATCCTTAGCTTGCAAGGTATTCCTAATGGCACTGGTTAAGGTATTTCCTAATGCTTACTCTAGCCGCCGCTTGCAGCTGATAGTCCAGGAGATCGGATCCCGGAAGGGAGCACAGCACGAGTGCATAACGCTCTAACGCAAAATTAAAATGGTCCCATGGGATCTTGGAGAACCGTTCCACGTAACGTGTAGTTTTGGTGCTCCCCATTACAAGTCTGCACTGGTCTTTAAGGTCCTCGAACCTATGAAAAGCATGATTATACCTGTTTTATGGAACTTCGACCAAGCAGATTATTATCCTTTATCAAATTTTATGATACAGAAGTATCGAACGCGACACCTCTCCTCTACTCGACAAAACCCTGGCTACTAAACTGTTCGCCAACGCTTACCACGTATTAACCCTAAGTTTATCCTTGGACTGTTGAAAGTTGTCCTGCATCTTTTCCCTGCTGGTCCGCAACTTCTTTTGCTGTTGCTTTGGATTTCTTAGTGTAGCAAACACAGACCTGCACCAAAAACGTTTCTTTTATGGCGCTCTCCTGATCTATGTTGTCGCATGATAAGCTATTCGCTAAACGTACGTACTCTTTTTTGCGATCCAGGAATTTTTCATATTTCACACGTTTTGCGCGTTCGGCTTTTAACCATCGTTCATGCATTGCGCGAATCAAATCTTCCGCGTTATCTTCGTTGACCTTACGTTGGGTTCTGCGGTAGGGACCACTAATTATTAGTTTTTCAGTATTTGCATCACAACATCACAATAACTACCGCTAAAACATACTTCTTGGCCAACGTCTGCAGGCTTATTTCACTTTTAACGGCCTGAAATCGAGTTTGTACTTTAGACATGCTTTCCAGCCATGGCGGATAACTTTTGAAGCGCCACTCATTCACTCCATCACTAAAGATGAAAAGCATAAGTTACAGTACACCGTAAACGCAGAAATCTTGCTGTATTGCAGACCTTGATGGACAGTGCCGATCGAAGCGCCCAGCGAGCTTATTCCTGTGAAATTTTCTCCAAAGCAGCTGTTGCTGTTAGATAAAACACGAGTCAATTACGATGGAATCAAAGTTGCCAGTTTTCGACAACTACCACCATTACAGTTATCTATGGACAAACTTAAACCGTACCTGCTCTTTTGCGTTCATGTTCGAAGGACCGGTTTTTGAAAGGGTATCTGATCCCGATCCGTCACCGTCTTCTTGTCTTTGTGAGCGAAATTTTGGATTGAAGGTTACGCTGTAACAGGATGAATTTTTGACAGCTGGTTGAAGGAACTGGTTACTGAAGACTTTGTACCTCGGTGACCGGCTTAGAGCTTCCATATCAAAGTGATGTCGCAGTTCCTCCAAGCGATCAAAAGACAAAGGATGCTGGAATTATTAGTTTACTGTAAATGTAGAGCTCACTTGTCAGTCACCGCCTCAAATCTGACAGACCGGCTTACCCACGAAAGAATTTCTCTGAGACGAACATTGCTTAATGATGTGAGGATGATGTCAATCCATCGGATGTATCTTGAAAAACAAGTGCGCTCAATTTGCTTCGTTGGCTCATCTCTGAAAAATGCGAGGTACACAGACAAGGCAGAATTACTTTAGTACGGAACAAAAGGGATAAAAAGATTGTTATTTGATTCGATAAAGTTTTACATACCGCATACGTTGAGTCAAACAGTTTCTCCAACTGCTGAATGGAATAGACAAGGTGGTGAACCGTTCCCAGGTGTGGCGAATCGTGCATCAGCGCCACAATGCTCTGGAGTTTCATTTTTTGTAAAGCTGCCATAACGAACTAAAAATATTTTACTCACTTTATTCCCAACACAACAGTGTCCTATCAACGGTGTCTGAGTTGTGGTATTAATTGACCTGGTCACTCTGGTCTAGAAAGTCTCCCAGCTCGCGCCCTTTCACAACTTTGTTCACACATCGGCGCATTTCTTTCATAAACATCTTCCAGGAAATGAAGCCGCCATCGCTTTTGGTACGCAAGCTGCCAGTTGGACGAAAAGGTTGATTGAGTAACTGGGGCAGATTTGATCGCGTAACAGATTCTTGGTCCAATGCATCTTCGTCTGCAGTATGTATAAGCAAACTCACTAGAAGTTGGAACGATACTTACAACATTCCAGCGTCGAACGAACGCCGACCATGAAAGTTTGATGAAGGATGCAGCTGAGTGAAACGTAATATTAATTTTTATTATTGATTAATGAACGTAACTGCTAGCGTCCGGACGGATACCATGCGTCCCGTGTTGTCCATCCGTCTGCTGACGCATCAGCCTGTAGCGGGTGCGAGGTCGCATGTTTTCCATGGACAACAACAGATCCGGCTATAAGAGGACATAGTTTTCAGTCTTCCTCAATGTTTATGAACAGATTTTTGGGTCCAAGAGGGCTTACAATATGGCTGTTTAAGGCTTTCCTGATTAAGAGTTCGTCGAATACGGTTAAAGAACCCAGTGCCTTATATGGATCCGTCAGAGGAGTAAAATCTCCTCTCTGGGCCGCGATTTGCTTCATTTCTTCAGATTTTTGTAGATATTCCGGGACTTTCCGCGGGTAAGCCGCGGGGACATGATGATCGTTCGTAGCTGCATTATGTGAGGGGATTTCATCAGCATGTGTAGTTAGACCGAGACGAGCTAGGAAACATTATCTTTAACAGAAAATCAAATCTTCAACAGTGGTTTTTAGCTTAGAAGTGACATTGTCGTACAAGGATTCTCCACAAGATCACTGAGGACTTCCGTGTTCTTCAACTGCACTAGTTTGCGGAACTGGTAGCTGGATAGTCCTTTGGGAATATCCCACCATTTCCCAGCTCTGCAGGAAATACAACAAAACAGATCTATGTCTATTTTAAAAAAAAATATCTCCAGTTTAAATACGCGATCGGACAGATTAGAAACGAATAGCTTGACTCACTTCTTCCCCATTTCAGGTGAAAACATGCCCCTGTCCGAGCTGCGTAACTCTTCAGCGTGCAAAACAGTTTTATTTTTGCCGTTGTATTTTTTACGGTGTGGATGGCATTACAAACTTGCCGCTGAGTACAGTATAGTATCAAAAAAGTCTCATGCTTATTCGTGATTTAATCACTGTAGCAGCGAGCATTTATTAATTATTGCCAAGAGACGGATTCTATTGCAAACAAAAGTTCTATCCCAACCACCAGGATTTAGTACTCGACCTAACAATGTTTATGTATGTAATTATGTGAAAAGATGACACATTAATTATTGTTCTTGCATTGTAAAAATGCTTGCGTACGAACATCGTAACCGGTAATCTGGTACTGCTTAGCGTTGTTTGATAATATTATTATTAATTTTAGTATGCAGCTGAGCTATTTAGTTTCATGCGTGCCCTCATCTCGTTTTCTCGTGATTTTAATATGTTATTTAAATAGCTTCAAATATATCGCAGGTTTTATACTTTGTATCTCGTATCTCACCATCAGTAAAACCATGCCTATGAAGGTCGCAGCAGGTAATGATAATTTCTAGCTCCGTAACTCTTAAGACATTCGGATCGTTCTGGATTACAGTGTGCGTTAATATTAGATTGTACGCGTTACAGAAAGTGCCCAATGCCTAGGTACATTTTCATATTGTAATATAAATTGTATAGGAGTACGAAGTACTCGTACTTAATCCTATATATTAATAAAATAAGCCTTAGCGAATTCCATTTCTGTCACCCTTTTTTGAGCGATCCACTGAACCAAACTTTGATGTCTATATGTCATTCAATAGCCGCGAGTTTGCAGATTTGCAGAAACCAGTTAGTTTTTTGAAAGTATGTGAAGTTTTAGAGAAAATCTTAAAAGAACTTAACATACAAAGTCTACGGGAAAAGTGCAGAACCCACCACTGCAAACCCACCCAAGCCACCACTGTCACGAACAGCACAGGAAAAGACATCTACACTTGATGGAACTTTGGTGTCCGTTAGTTATCGGACTGCCTTTAGTTCATAAGATTTTTATTAAGAGTTAGTTTTTAAAATATGTAGGCTCGGAAAGTGATGTTTCTTAAAGACTGAACATGCAGAATCTCCTGGAAAGTGGGAGCGACCCAAATTCCAAAGATAAAGTAGTTGCCTTTCGCAACGGGTTGATTAGATGTATTATTAAAATTTAAAACTGCTTCCAAAGGGCGGTTGGCTTTTGCTGCCGTGCCAATAAAGTGGAATATTTTATCCTTTTTTTCAAATCTCAAATAAACATCATTTTGTGAGAGACTGAAAGTCGATTTTGAGAATTTTGGTGTTCGACTGGAAATGATGTGGACTACTCGAGCAAAACAGCGAGTCCCAGTCCCACCGGGCGTACGCACTAGGATTCGAGTCTAACCGCCGCCCGGGGAGAAAGCGGCCCAAGGCAAATCTTTTCACGGCGACCTAAATGAGGAGCGCGAGCCTCCAGCAGGGGAAGGTAGAGAAGGTAAAAATATTTTTCAGAAGGGATATTTTTCCGCTAAGGAACGTAGACAAAAACGGTTTTATAAAAACAAAACCGCATTTTAGCATTCAAAAATTTAAAATAAACAGAAAATTTAAAAGCGAAGCTTATCCGCATTCTAATCTATGTTTCCGCCAGCTATAAAGCATTCCGTCAGATCAGCTCCCATCAAAGGTCAAAACAAAAAATTAGGGAATACCCTCTCCGGTGCGCCTGGGTGCGACAAGCTACATTAATGAACCATCTGTGAGGACGTAAGCGTGAAGCGACAATGCGTTTAATGGGTTGGGGATGTTGTTGGCGTTAAATGGGTTGGGTTTGGGATGGGTTGGGGTTGGGATTGGGAGGCGACAATGCGTTGGGGATGTACTATACAAATGCATAGATTTTTGCCAAACTTGAAACAAATTTTATAAGCACGTAACAGAAAGCGGAATCATAGGCGGCGCCTATCTGCAGCGGGGTCGCAAGCAAGACACTGTGCTTAAGTTGTCGACGTTAATCAATAAAAATTCACCAAAGAACACAACGAAATTTTGAAGTCTTCATCAGGTTTAAATTGTCTGTGTGTAAACAGTTGGAGGAAACTGGAAAGTATTTTTATTCTAAGTGGTCTAAAGGTTGACATCGGTGGTCGTACGGTCGCATCACTGGATTGTTTTGTCGGGACGCACTAACTAAAATTTAACGAAGCTCCGAATGGTATCTGAACCAGTAGAAGTACTGAAATACGGCTACAAAAATTTCAGTAATTATGGAGCTTTTTTTATTTGTAGTTCTTGACAACTGACCGGCATATGCTGCTGATTGATTTGCGAGAAGCTTAAAAACTTTGTTTTATAATTGCAAACAAAAAGGACATATTCCTGGAAATTTTCTAATTTTTCGGGTCTAATTTCGGGTTAAGTCAGCGGAACGCGACAATGTTTTCTCAAAACGGCCTTAAACATTTAATTATTAAACTGTGATACATTCTAACTGCTACCAATCTGTCAGTCAACTATGGTCAAAGGCCCAAAATAAAGAATAAGTTACGACATTAGTTATGATAAGCATAACCAAACAGGTATTGAGCAAATACCGTTTGTCTCTGCCAATGAAACTAATCAAACTATATTATTATTAATATTCTTATACGCTCCGCTCAATAAAACTAAATTTGCAGTCATGGGTTTGTACTTTGTAGCTTTCCATAAATAACAATTTATCGCCGATTTATTCCGCGCAGTTTGCGCGGGGTCTACTAGTATATCTATATTGCGCGAGCTGATTGTGTCTTCTACCGCCCCATGCTACGCGCACCAGGTCAGCAGAATGAATTATCCTTACTTTACCATTACAACACCACTGGCTTAATCGAAAACAGGTTTTGAACCTTGATCAGACGTACGAATGGAAAGATATCGCAAGCCGGTTGCAAACGTGCAGGACCTGAATGTGCTTGTTGGAATGAGAATACGGTATGTGTACGTATGTTTTGCTGCAAAGTCTAACGAAGAAGCTGCGGTAACTTTCACCACGCGGACACGTTTATGTAGTTTCATCTTCTCAGCTTCTCTATGCTGCAAGTTGGTTTGCTGTACTTGTACTGTATAATTATAGTCTTACAATGCATTCGCCCATTCAAAAAATATCGCTATCTGTCATAGCGTTAAGCGTCCTCGTTTTGGTAGTTTCGAGGGCGGATGATACACAATCGTGCAGTGCCTCCAGCAAGCCAGGCGAAAGCAAATCATGCGGATGTGGTTCCGACGCACTCAACCGGGCGCCGAAGGAAACGGTTAACAATCCCGTAACCGACGACGATATTATTGTCGAGGACGATAGCTCCAATACTATCGACGCCAAGTCCGTGAAAGCACAGCCCCGCACCGACTCTACAACACAACATGCTAATATGGTGAAATTAGCCGGAGGAAAATTCACGATGGGCACGGATGAGGCGCATTTCCACGAAGACGGAGAAGGGCCAGCGAGACCGGTTATCATCTACCCTTTCTGGATGGATGTGATGGAGGTGTCCAATAAGGAATTTGCAGAATTTACCCGGGATGCTAGTTATGTGACGGAAGCGGAGAAATTTGGCAATTCGTTTGTGTTTTTTGATATGATGACGGAAGAGCAGCAAGAACCGGTGCAGGAGTCAGTGGCTGCTGCTCCCTGGTGGTATAAGACTCCCAACGCTAACTGGAGGGAACCGGAAGGCATCAATTCCAACCTCGACGAGCGGTGAGTAAAAAATTAATAACATTATGAGGCAATGTGGAACAGCAGTATAGTTTGATGATGGTTAGGCTTTTACGGTCTGCTTGTAAAAATTACGCAGAAAATCGTGGTGTTAGTATCGGTTATTTCTTCGTACAGCCGTACGCGTCGAATTTGATTGCACTAAAGCTTAAGTATAACAACACCACTATGATTTCTTTTTGATAAATAGTTCATCGAAAAAAATGCTAACTAAATGGCGTTGCAGTTTTTAATAGTAGAACCTCGAATGTGGTTAACAATATGAAATTACTGTTCTGGTTACTGTTTTTAGAAAGTTTCGTGGCAGTTGACAACACCACACACAGCCTTTGATAGTCCTGCGTGATGGTAACCGAATTCAAAATTTGCAGATGGGACCACCCTGTGACGCATGTGTCATGGAATGATGCCGTTGCGTATTGCAAGTGGAAAGGGAAGCGTTTGCCGACGGAAGCTGAATGGGAGTACGCGTGCCGGGCCGGTCTGGAAGACCGTTTGTATCCGTGGGGAAATGTGCTGCTACCGAATGGTGAACACATGGCGAATATCTGGCAGGGAGAATTTCCTCTCAACAATACGGCGGATGATGGTTATAAATGGACGGCACCGGTGGACTTGTACAAGCCTAATAATTTTGGCCTCAAGCAAATGGTAAGCAACAACTGCAAGAAATTAATTTGATAATATAGGCTATTTCACTTTTGGTCATCTACACGGCAGTTGACACGTATCTTTACTGCATTGCCACATAAAATGCTTGAGTTTATTTTCTACCGAAGGCAGATGAAATTTTTAATTGTTTCGTTTAAGCAACTAAACTTGTATCGATTTTTTTGTGTCTGAAAAATGTGATTCTGCCATTGATATTGTGATCATACTGTCCAGTTTTTTTGCATTTTCGCAAAAGCGCAGATAAGAACCGTATAAATCTTTTATAGGCTGGAAATGTTTGGGAATGGGTTGCCGATTATTGGTCTATACATCACATGCAAGAACTGAAAAAGAATCCTACAGGTCCAAAGAAAGGCACTGAGCGCACAAAAAAAGGCGGATCTTTTCTGTAAGTGAACTTAAGTAATATATGGGGATGTTTTTAGTGAAAAAATTAATTATAGTCAAACTGTTGAATTAAGGGAAATGGTACCCGATACATAGTATGAAACATCTGTATACTTAGCTTACGGTTTTCACGCCACTGTGTACAAATCAGCTATCTACAGATACCACAAAACAATGCAAAAAAAGTGTCCATTTATCATTTTCTGAAAAGCAGCATTTTTCTTGCGACTACTTGAAGACGATAAAACACTGCCATATTGCTATCTACCATAACTGATGCAAATTAAAAAAATTAACAGTGCAGAAAGATGGGTAGATTTATTAAGTGTGCTAATGGTAAGTGGGACAGTTTCTTACTATAAGCACGAGCAAAATAAATCATGGGCACTTCAGCATTTTTGCTTTTTAAAATTGAATACTTGAATAATCTTTTGCTAGACTAAGCAAGTTACTCAATAACTTGTACTTGTTATTCAACAGCATATTATTAAAACTACCCTTTGGTTGCAGCTGTCATAAAAGCTACTGTTATCGGTACCGGTGTGCCGCCCGGAGTAACAACGGCGCTGATTCTTCGGCATCGAATCTCGGATTTCGCTGCGCTTCCGACATTGACACAGAAAGCTGACCTGTTTCTTTCATACTCAATATTTGACCAAATAACTGATCTCGTTGAGTAAAAGTAGCGTAACGCTGCACTAACGTCTTGCTTTGTACTTCTGTTTGGTAGCTATCTCATTAATTAATGTCCGTTTTTTGTTTCTGCATTTGTAACGATCACTATGATATTACTGAATAATAATATTACACAGATTCACTGAGGCGCTTACATCATAAACAATCATAAAGCGGTGTTCATAACAAACAATGTGACAATGAATTACAATTAACAAGGAACATACTCTGCATGCGGAGACATCAATAATGTTAACGTTGAAATAATGTGCAGATTACTTTACACTGATAGTCAAGAATTTTTTGCATCAGTATTATGTGAGTTTAGTGTTACCATAATTCGTTGAAGCATACAAATCGCTTCTACAACCTTATTAATAACATTTACATGGAAAGAGAGTTTCATATGTTCAGATGAGTGGCTCGCAAAAAAACGGCATGTGATGGTAACACCTACGTAGTGCATTATAGTGTTACCATGGAGTTACTGGAGAAAGAGAAATCTTAATAAATAACTATGTATGCGTGGGCGTGGTTTTCGGAGGGATGTAACCTGCAGTATTTTCATTGCACTCCAACATGCTGGTCGATCGCTGTTTCTAGTTTTTTCACCATATGCCGGACTGGCAGATGCCGAATCTAGGGCCAGGATTTAGATCCTGTCATGTTAAAATTTAGACCTATGTCTGACCGACTATGAGTTTTGCTCTCGATACTACTTTTATCACGAATATTTTTAGTGATTAAATTAAAGAATAAAAAATTTGCTACTTACAGTTTTGTTAAACACCGGAATGCCGGCACTTCCAAACTGGCCATCATATCCATGAGATACGATGTACACCGAGCGCTCTAACATTATTCTGAAACATCATAAGCGAGAAACTGATGTTGCGAATCGGCTAGTGGCAATTCACAGTCGACTGGACCGCTATGGTTATGATGTCAACATCAAGTCTGCTCTCGAGGGACAGCTGAATCAGTTTTTTCCTAATAAACTAGCGCACAAAGCCACACAAGTCAAGGCGGTAGGCTTAACAAAAATTAGTGCCAAAAGTAGTTACAATATTTGCAGTTTCACTCTCATTCCGAAGCTTAAAGCTTTGTATATACATTTCCCCGTTATATGTTTCTGAAAATAAAATTTCAGAAACTGCGCAACTTAGGCTACGATGAAATTCCGCCGCATCTTGACCGTAAGAGCGCAATTCCTGCGTCCACCCTTTTAATTTGACGCCAGTATGCTCACTGTATTCAGAATGGAACCATTTGGTGTACCCTAAATTTGTGATTGCGTTCGGCGCGAGAGGACCTGCATGGAAGGAACGCCTGAAGATACAGCAGTATGACATGGACTGCTCACGTCATGGCATCGAATTTCCAACAGCGGCTCCGCCTGCTTTCGCCAAACAGTTTGCACCGCTACTAGGTCCAGATGTACGAGGTGATACTAGCCGGCGATAATAACCCCACAATAATATTGATTTCCATTTCATCGTGTCAGCAAAATACCTCAGTTTTTTTGCTTTTTAGCAATACGGAAATATTGAACTATTCAACAGGCGACCGCGTTCCACCATCGGTTACCAAGCACTAGCTTCTCGGACCGTTCGTTGGCCAGTTCGTGGGCAGTCCATGGTAGGCATTGCACTGCCTTTTGCAGTGAATGTTGTGAACAAAAAATAAATTGGTCGCTTCAAGCGGCCTTACCAACAAGGCAGATGCTAAAATTTATTAGATGTTAAATTTTGCTGAATTTATCATTGCTTGATTACTGATGCCACAATTTTCAACAAATCCTGTAGTCGTCCTTCACCTCAGTAATAATTCTCAAAACTTTCACGACCGAAGATTATCTGAATATGTATGCTGCTTTAATCCGTCTAATTAATATTTTCGAATAACGTTTCGTTTTGCTTTCTGCCGATCCAGGTACCACAACAAAATAAAAAGGTACCCAAAAAGGTTTTCATCATGCGACCAGCTGCCGGCTCGAAAAAAGCTTCCACATGCGCGTCTAACGATAAAACTGACCGGTGAAGTAACTTTTTGTGCTGTTGCGGTAAATTTAATGTAAATGCGATGTTGGTCTTTTCAAGATCTCGTACGAGATCTAAGTATTGGGCGTTTGCAACATATTTATTTTAAAATAGGATCACCTTTGAATAGTTTCGGTTTAAACAAAAATGTTGTACTACGGTATAGTCTATGAGTACTGCTGACATTGTGAGTCATAAAATTCTTATCATTTACCATTATTGCAGGAATAAAGCAGAACCGTTGGTGAGATTCGTGCAGTCACCCACATTCGCGAGTAACCGTCCATGACTTTTTGTTATTTTCTGTTTACATCAGCGAGCTAGTGTGCAAACTTTGGGTTCTTTTGTGGCCGCCCAAGCGTTGCCGAATACCGTAAAACCATGTCCGAAATCAAGCCCGTTTTATGTGTCGGGTCCGCGCTTTCCTGAATCTTCCGACATCACCGTTCCAGGGTACACCGTATATGTACCTAGTACATGCTGTAATCATGGCAGATTTAGAAAGTGTTGATCCAGTGTGGCATTAATCATCTTAGCTTTGTGATTTAACGACAGACCTGGGTCGTATAACACTCACGAAATGCGTATTGGACGCCGAATATCTGCGCAGCACAAGTTGGGACATGGTGGTTTTATTCCCCCTCCATTTCATGTTCGCTGTTCTCATCGGAAGAAAGAAAAGGTCAGTGAATAAAAGTTTATAACGCAAAAGCACCAGCTGGTTTGCAAAAGATATTACTTTTTGTAGTGTCACATGTGCCAAATGGAAGTGTGGTGCCTTCCGACATTTTACGCCTTGCCGAAACGGAAGGTGTACCTCTGTCCACTTTGTTACCATGTACAACGGAAGAAAGCAGTCACACTGAAGCCGCGGTAATTTAAGAAGTTAGTGTTCAGAATAACTGCCCTTCGAATGATAATTTTTTTCTGCCAGTACCGTTGCACGAATGCGAAGAGTGGTTGATTGCGGATGGCTGCACACACATAAACATTTTCCGGACTCCGACCGCATACTAACGGTACTCGTACTCCATTCTCTGTAGTACTTGTACTCGTACTTGCTGTGGTTTCTCGATAGCTGTCTAACTTTTCACCCTACTGCACGCGGCACAGTCAGAAGTTCCGTTGACTTAAGAGGGCCCGGGCTGCCTTTACCAGGTCTAGGAAATCCCTGTACTTGCTGCCGTCAACCGGCTGGAGTGTGACGTTGCGGCAGTACTTATGGCTAAATCTGGCGCGCTACATAAGCACCATGTAGGGTCCACAACGTCAACGGCAGCAAGTATAGAGAGTGCCTAGATAAGTTGTTGACATCCCTCGGATTGATAGTGCCGGCGAAGTGCAGTAGGGTAAAAACAATTGCTGTGAATATTAAGCAAAAAGTTACTGCAAAATTTGATGTGTAGAAGTGTGTAGAAGTACAATAACTGCATACTGCAGTATCACAAGATATTTTAAATGTACTGTATGTATGTTCTCCTGTACAATACCGGGTGCAGTAAAACTGCAGGTGTGCATAAGTCCAGCACAATATCTGCACAAATGTAATGACCGTATGAGTACCGTTAACAAAACTGTAAATGTGGATTTTCAGCATGCAACCTTGGCGGAAGTAAAGTGGCTCGCACGGAAGGAACTTTACATGCATCTACATTTTCCAAAACGTAGAGATGCGATACCACAGAAGGGCGTACGACGTTACGCGGCACCATGAGACATCACCGGAAGAATGCATGGTTACCATCCAGAACAAAAGATGCCTCCAATACTATCGCTTACAACCAGCTAGGTTTCCTGTTAAGATGACCTATTAACGTAACCGCCCGGCTATGGGCAGATGTAGTGCGTATATAGTACTATATACGCGGAAGGAACCATGTGGCCTTTCATATGCATGAAACTGCTTGCTAATTTGTGAAGGAGATAATTACAGTGAGTTGCAACAAAATGCTACTAATGAAGCGCGACTGGTACAATCATCACGAATAAACATCCTCGCACACTTGCACTGACCATGGAGATCGTTATGGTTGCTTCCTGCTGCGCTTTATTATACTTCTGGGGCTTTTTAACGGCTCTGCCCCGAAATTGGTTACAACTGAACTTGGTCTCCATCCCAGTGCTGGTGTCGCCAGTTCTTTTATTGTTTGTGCATAATGCAAAAATTTGACAAACCCGTCTTCAAAAGGTTCGATCAAGTCCCTCCTATGTAAACCAGTACTATTTTCTTGTTGGTAGTTTTGATATCTCTCTAAAGTCCTTCGCAGTTTATCCAGCTGACCATTTAATTGCTGGCCGCTTGTTGTTTCAGTTTCCATGTTTTGCTGAATTTTTTCTATCTCCTTTCGCAAAGCTGACCGGAGATTGTCGAAGATTGCATTCTTTTTCCTTAGTTTAACCAGCTTCTGATGCTTTAATAGCGAGTGTTCGTCCGTTGAAATTGTCGTATCCAAGAGCTCCAAAACACAGTCCTTCTTGTGGGCTAACTTAGCCGTGTAAGCCCATTCTTTGTCCCTGATATTGCCTTCCTGGAGGGAAACAGTCAGCAACTGGGTCTGCAAAGCCGTTTCGTGCTGGAGTCGGTTTGCCTGATCGTTGGTGTGCTGAAACGCTTTAATAGACCGAATGGCTTTCTTGGAGAATTCTCTAGCTTTCTGGCAGGAGGTGACGTGCTCACAACAAGCTTCCTGCAGATTATCGTTCATGCTTAACATGAGCGCTCGTTGGTACTCCAGAAAAACTTGGGCAAGTTTTCGTTCATAATTGCGGAACAGCTTGTTGCGCAGTTTTGCGGTGTTCAAAATCAGTTTGGATAATCGACTCGTATATAAATTTTTTTCTCGGATGGCTTGTCTTTTGAGAAGAGCAATTTCTGCCTCCATCCGGCGCTGTTTATCCACATTTTCGCGGAGAGTATAAATTTTGTACTGCAAGTCAACCTTTCGCTCCTGACAAAGTTTCTTCAGCTTTTCTCTCTCGCCTTCCAACCAGTTGATTGTCACTGTATTATGTACTACAATCTCATCCAGTTGCCCTTTTAGTTGCTGAAATTTATTTTTCAGTATTGCTGCTCTAGTGATTTCGTAATCGTTCTGATCAAGCAGGAAGTTGATGAACTGGTCTAGATCAGATAACTCAAATCTGGATTTTGTGCTCAGTTCATGGTGATCAAGTTCCAGCTCAATCCACTGTTTACGTTTTAGCTCGATCTGATGTTCAAGATTATGAATCTGGACTTGATAATACGCCGGAGTCTTTTCGTATTCGAGCACAGCTTCCATGGATTTCCATCCTTGATTGCTGGAGTTTTCTTCCAAATACAACTCCGACCACTGTAGTTTAAGCTCCCGGCGAAGTTCGCTAGGCGGCATATGCAGGTCGTGTGCCAGAGCATACAGATCATCGATTGGTGAAGACTTACTTTTTTTCAGCTTCGCAGGTTTCTCCTGCAACATCATAGCAAGTAAATTTTTTTGAAGTTTTTTGAAGAAATATTCGTACAAAATACAACCATGACAAAGTTATATCAAAATCATCTAACTGTAGATCGTAATGTAGATCGTAATAGATGCACGAGCACATAAACCGGTTTGCGATTTCCAGTAGAAGTAGTGATCATGAAGGGTCCTTACTTTTAATTTTATCAAGCAGGTGATCATGCGAAAGAAGATCTAAGAAATCTTACCTTGGACGAACCTTAGTAAAACCATTTTCCTTTCCCTTGTTGTAAGTTTTTGAGAATTCCTCATCAGCGGATTCCCATTCACTTGAACTACGGCCCGACTCATAATAGTTATAGAGGTCATCCTCGTGGACGGGTAACTTCACCTTGTAAGGATCTTTAAAGACAGTTTCTTTTCGTAGTCCCATTGCGATAGATGTTTTAACTGATTTTTCAAACGCTTGGACCGCCTGCTTTTTCAGATTATCGGCCGTAGTATTGCGGCTCGGTTCCTCTTCGTTGGAGGATGTATCTTCGTCATTTGGATCTTCGATTTGATTAACCTTTGTGGGTACAAGAGGGTTTTTCGGCTGGTCCACCTGATGGGGCTGTCCATTGACGTAGCCGGCGGACAAAGGGGGCCTTCCTGGGCTTTGAGCGCTGTTAACGTTAATTGAGTTCAAAGCTTTTATTGCTTGGGTTTCCGCTATTAACTCCATTGCATAATCGGCAACTCCTACTGGAACCGGCTGTTTGCCCAGTACCTGCTCGCGGCGATATTCCATAAATGCCAAGTCCTCGGCGCTTTCTACAAGCCATTTGTCTTGCTGGCTGTTAGTCATAAAAAGCTCATTTTGAGTAAAATATGGATTTTGAAGAGGCGTGGTACGCAAATCCTCTCTGTAACGCTCCGCTGGGTATTTTCTGTGGTACGCCTTTGGCTTTGTCTTCTGTGGAAGTGCAAGGGGTTCATCAGTTTTATTTGCGTCTTTCTCTGGTTTTGGCTTACTTTTCTTATCTTTGTTTATTTCCTCTTCTAATGGTGGAGCAGGTGGCAGTTGAACCTTGTCTTGGTAAAGGTTACCAACCGACGAGGCGGCAGAAGATGACGCGGTTTCGAAATCGTTTGACCTTTGCCCAACAGACCCAGGGCTCGAACTCCTCTCTGCCATTTTCTTTAATTTCGCCATTACATCAGGGCCAAGATTTTCGAAATCTAAGTTTGTTTCTAGTAAATCGTCAACCGTGAGTTGCGATAGGCTTGTCTTGGTAGTATCATCATTTAAGATGTCAACGAAAGTTTTGGTTATCCAATCCTCTTTTGACTGGGTTATCTCAGATGCGGGTTTGAAATGCATGCCACCAAACCGGGAAACTGTGTGGTCATTTTCCGGTTTCTCAGACAGTAGCCTACGTGTTGAGGCTCCCAAAAGCTCATTATCTGAATCACTGCTAGTAGATTCGGATTCGGTTTGAGCAGAATCAATACTAAGATCTGAAGCTACTGCTTCGTCGAGGTTTTCTGTGGCACTACTCAGTGATTCAACGTCGTCACTGTTTTCCTCGGCTAGAGTAAATGCGTTGAGCGCATCTACACTAGGCTGTTCTTCCAGATCAAAAATAAGCTCCGCAGGAATATCCCCCAACGATGATTTCTCGTCTGGTGGCTCGTCCTCGGCTTGCGGGGGTCGAAAATTGCCGACATTCTGGCCAAACTGTATGACATCGTCTTCCGAATATCTGAACACAGGGCGTAAAAGCTCTGGTCCCGGAAGTGGATCAAGGGCGATCCCGCGCTCTTTCTTCCCTTTTTTGCCTTTTGGAGGCATTGCCCGCTAATCATATAATAATATCTCGGAAAAACGCTTAACTCATCACGATTTCCGTTTTTATTATGGTATTAATCCATTTAAATGCGACAAACATTTGGCATCACAGTATCTACAAGATCGCCAAACTCCACATAAGTCATTGTTCTGAAAATTTCGAACTGAAAGTTTATAACATTTCTGAAATAAGTGTTGATGTAATAACATGTTACAACCTGGAATTTTTTGTACCTGCTCGCAGCTTCTGCAGAACTCACATGTCAGTAATGCGGTATTCTATGTCGTTACTAGGGCTTCTGCGCTGCCGAGGCGAGCATACTTAGATTTTCTTTGCAACAGGGCCATAATTTTTTACATTGAAGAAGCAGAAAATGATAATGATTTAGAAAGCGTTTTTGTGAAACCTCAGCTGTAGTATTTCGACTTACGATGCGAATTCGCTTGTAATCTCTGCAGTATTTCAATCTTGGACAATGAAGCAGACTGATAGTGATGCGAGCGGAGGGTGTTCGGTGGACAAACACCATGGATGCAACAGCTGTCATTCGATGTCGTCCACATCGTCCACTGGGTCGGGCCAAGGTAGTGATCACGATCATGAACATCATTCAGCATCTCACCATAAGAAGGGTGGCAGCGTCAGGTTTAGCGGTTTGGATAATATGGACGACGATGATGCAACCCCTGGCGATAGTGGTGGGAGCAAAAACTCAAAGTGTTGTCATATTTACCGCGGCCCAGCTGCGTTTATGTCACCTGGTGGTAATGCAAGTGACAACAAGTATCGCTTTGGCAAAATAAATCCTATATCTGGACACTGTTTCGTCTGCTTCTGAGAACGACCATTCAAAATAAATACTGTTAGCGAATAGTTGTTTTCAACAAACATGAACGTTTTTAGGACGACATCACAGCTTTGAGGATGAGTTGAACATGGATATCGAAGAATCTCAACGTCATCAGCACGGCGGATGTGGTGACGAAAATTGCGGATGTCAAAAGAAGCGCAAGCGTTCCGGTTGTGCAAAGAAGAAACCACCCTGCCCTAAAAAGAAGAAAAGTGCGTGCCCCAAGAAGAAAGCCAAAAAGGTCAATGAGTGCAAAAAAGCTGATCCATGCAAAAGCAAGACAAAGGTGGACAAATGCGATAAGTGCCAAAAACCTAAGCCCAAATGTGGATGCAAGCCTAAGAAGGGTCCGTTTATACTATAGATCATCCGATAACAGAGAATAAGATGAATAGCCCACCGCAATTTTAGTTTTAACATGGGCATCTAAGCAGTTGGCGTATGGGGACGTAAACAGCCTTATGCCTAATTACTGTTGTGGCAGTTTGAACTTTGGACTTGAGTAGACTAAGACCATCTGTAGCGTAATTACGCTGAAGCCAAATGCTTCATGTTTTTCCAAGCAAAGAAATTCTATCTCAAAATAATTATCGCTTTGCAGATAAGTGCAGCAAATCTGATATATGTGAGCACGGTCGACCAGCGGAAGATCCATGCAGTAAGTGCCACAAGCCCGCTTCTGATGGATGCCACAAACTGAAAGAAGGTACGTACGCGAGGCAGTTGAGTTGCTTATTACATACTATCTTAAAGACTGATATCCTCAGTCATACAGTAGAAACAGTTTTAACGTTTATGCATAATACATTTCCTCAGATAAATGCAGCAAACCTGGTAAGCCCGACCCATGTGGCCATCGTCCTAAGCAAAGCGCAAAACCTGCCTGTGAGTGCCAGAACGACTGCTGCGCGAACCACAAGGAAGAAAAGCACTGCAATCATCAGTGATAAATATTTTGTTTGATTTGTTTGCCCTTTGCCGAAAAATATGAAAGTAAAGTAACTCTGTCAAACTATTTTCCCTAATTTCTGCTTTCAAAAATTCACCACGACCTATGTCCACAGAAGTGAAGTAAGCAATAAAGGTTAATGACATATGTGTACGAGGAAAGTGTTTTATTCATTTTATTATTATAATCTTGGTAAATGTGTCTGTGATTTATTTATGTGTCTGTGATTTATTTTGGTAAATGTGTCTGTCCGTTACGAAAGGGCGTTACGAAACTGTTGCTGGCTAATATTGTTGCGTAGTTTAAATTAATATTAACCGTTAGGAGTGCTACTGGTAGGACGTTAAAAATTAATTATCACTCAAACGAGCGACAAGCTACGCTCCGGTCTGCCAAATGCACGCCAACGTGCATTTTTCCTAGTTATTGTAATTTTGGTAAATGTGTCTGTGATTTATTTTATAAATTTTTCGGTGTTAATTAGACGAAAAAATAAAAAGTTAAAAAATGCATAAATTCATGACATTAAAGAAGCTGAAATCGGGGAAGCGACCATGAAAAGTGTGTGCTCAGAGAATTTATCAGTCTTAGGAATACGTATGATTCAGCCATAACAGCAGCGCAATCCTGTTAATGCATACACATCTACAGGCTTACAGCAGTAAAACACCTATTAGCGTTCTAATTAAGGCACAAAATCTGAAGTGATGCTCAACATTACAAGCCAGAGCATAAAAAGGTCAACAAATGGCATATCTCTCGCATTCTGAAGGTCAGGTATACCGTCCTTTACCTGGTTACACACTAGCTTTTGTGGAGCGTAACAAAGCAGCAGCGTCAGGACAAATAAACACAGCAGGTTTGACCTATTTAGTATCGCATAGAAGGGCCACTCCTCGCAGTGTCCATAAGTCAGGTGTTAAGGAACCAGGCTCCAACCACAATCCGGTTATAAAAGTTAAATCGGTTCGTCTGGGTTTTTTATATACGGGACACCGGTACAGCGGTGTCTTCAGTCCTTTAAGTGGATCACCGTTGACAGCAAAAACGTAAGCCACCGGCAAAGCAGTGAAAAGTACTTTAGGCGCTGATTCAACTAGCCGGGCATTCTTCTTGTCCCAGGATGCGCCGTCCAGAAAGAGCCCATACACGTACACTCCCGACTGTAGATATTAGAGCAATTAGCCATAGAACACAGTACATATATCTATCGTGTTCTGAACTTACATCTGGCCCGCTTTTGACATCCTCTTTGTACAGTTTCGTAATTTCATTGTGGAGCACGACAGTATCGAGGGCCCAGCCCTTATTAGCACGAGCCACTTCTTGACGCATGGCTGTAAGGAATCCTTGAGGGTTAAAAAAACCCGTCATCCAGAATACCGACGGTCGGGCTTCAAACAGCCAAGACACAAACTGCACATTGCGTTCCAGTAGTTCAGCAAACCAGAAGGACAGTGTCGTAGCCTCCCACGAAAGTTTCTTCCACAAGGCAGGAACACGGCCGTCGAACATGTTATCCAAAGCGTCGCGTAAAATCTGCAGTCATATTCTTGCATATTTTTCTGGTTTGAAGAAGAAAAAAACTGTAACTAGATTGTGATTACTCAGTCACACTCGTACCTCGTTCATGATGATTGTGCCGTCGATGGCCAGCTTCAAGTCCTGCAATGTCGTTCGTACGGCTGAAATGATCTTCTGCATGCGATCGACTTCCTGTCGCAGAAAGATATTCATGGGCATATTTTTCCCCATTTTCTCCAGTCTCTCCCGCATCTATAAAAATGCGCTGCATTTGTACTGCGCTGCATGCGCTGCATTTAGAAATGCGCTGCATTTAGAAATAATCGAAACTAATCGGAAACAGTCTGTATTATGTCGCATACTTCAAACTGATTATAATCTTTGGGCAACTGTTGGAGCATTTCCTCGGATTTTTCTCGCACAATCTCTTCTCTCGTTTTCCCAGCTCCACCCGAACTTTCCTTGGGCTGTATGCTGATTATTGTGTCGAATATATCGATAGCAAATGACGTCTGATACGTGATATCGGCATTGCGATGAAGCCCAAATGCTAAAGGGCTGTCAACCGGCGGCAGTTGTTCGATGGCCTCCAAATATTCTTGAACAGTTCTACATCGAGGAATTTTGTAGCCAGTACTGAATGCAAATTTGGTATCGAACATTTCCTCGCCAAACCACACTCGTGCAAATGTGTTCAACAGTCGCTTGTCAAAATCATCGGTTACGCGGCCACCGTACTGAACTTCTCCGAGCATATATCGGACGGTTTGGAAGGACACTGGCTAAAATACACGCAGATTATGCAGCAGATGAAAACGTAAGAGCGAGCAGATATCTAGGTAATGGGCAAGCAAGAAAAAGCAATGTACCTTTTTGGGATCCAAATCTTCAAGATGATGTTGAACAAACAAACAACTGGCATACCAGTCGGCGGAATTGAATTCGTAGGGAATACACCAGCCCAATGGTCCAAACTTGCGCCGCTCTTGTACAACCGAGTGCAAATAAGAGACTCCATAGATGAGTGGCTTCCAGTAAGGGGACGCTAGCAAATCCAACCAGTCCTGCGACACTCCAGCGTACGTACGCTTCAAACCGGCTTTAAGACCGGCCGGTGGATCATTTGTAAACTTTATTGAGGCCTAAACCGAAGCCACAAATTTTTTTTATTGAAAGCCGGCCACAGCCTAAAAAGTTTTGGCAAAGCTATCGCAAAGCTCGTGCAAATATACTTGTTTGTACAAATTTTTACTGTACTAATATAATTTATACTGATTACTCACATCACTGTACTGATATCTACTGATTACTCTGATTACTCACATCCAAATTCACCCGTGTGATTTACCTGAAGTAATGTTATAGAAAATCTTGAATGTGGTTCGGTAGTAATCCATAAACGAAAAGTTGGGAAGGATTTTTCTGCCAATACCACCGTTTCTACCAGTTCGTCCATGAAATCCAACCCCAAATGACAGTTTTGCAGTAACACCCATCCACCCTATTACATGAATGGCTTTCAGTAAACTCAGTCGAAGCAGCATTAAGTACTGTTAACGTTGACATACATGTTCTAGTGAATGCCGCAGAAGAGCACGGGCATGTATCTCTTGCCCTTGTCCCATGGATATGGCTGCAAAAGGAACTTCCAGCTTTTTGGACAGTGCTTCGATTTGATTCGTTGGATCTGATCCCATGGATAAGAAGCAAATCAACGGAACTCGAGGATCACTTTCAGCCCATGTTGCTTCGAGATTCAGCACCACCGGATCTGCAAACGCTCGGCCCAAACTATCGGCTATGTACTTCCTAGCCATGGCGATAGTGCGATCTGGGCAAAAGCTCCTGTTTCAAATAAAACAAAATACTTCACCAGTGATTAGACAGTGTATTAGCAGAAACTTTACCTGATCAGCAAAAACTTTTTGAAAACATCTAAACCGTTGTAGTTTTCATGTGGAAAGCTTTCGTTCTCGGGCGCCTCTTTGTCAAACCATCCCCGCCACTGCTTCTCGTGTTCCGCAACATGTCGGACAACGTCTCGATAAAAAGAGAGTTTGACAAGAGCCTGCAAATTGCTCCATGTAACGGGAATTATCCATTTGGGACGCAGCTTCTCGATCTGAGGATCAGGAGTAACCGTCGCACCACCTATCAAAGTGACAAATGCATCTTTTGCGCGTGTGCAGGTACTTACGGTCTTCCTGGTTACCTTTGATGAAGACTTGGAATTCATCGTATGTAACAGCTCCTTTTTGTAGATCGGTTTTAAGAGCCAGTAATATTGTGAAGAGGAATTTGTGTCGCTCGTACAGACCACGGCACGTATATCGGAATGTGGTGAGGGTTAAAGTCTCTATAATGGCTTGCACGCGAGCTGACACATTGGTGGATTTTTGGGCTCTACCAATAGACAGCTGATCATGTAAATATATTTCAGTTATAGGTGATTAACATTTTTTTGCCAAGATGGCGATGCTATAGTTAATTTATTCCCAGCTCGTTATGAGGTGGGACTCACTTCGCCATTGAAAGGTCGAAAAGTCCCAGAAACTGTTTCAGCGACACCTGATACATGACGTTAACCATGGTCATTTCCGAAATAAGGAAGTACAGGATACTTCCGCGGGAAGCGACGGGCCGGTATTCTTCTCTGGCGTTGTTGATTTTCTTTCTGGTTTGATCGGCAATAATCAGTTTGGCCGATACTTCTGAGGCTGTTTGCTTGGTGATCTTCAGCACATCGATGAGTGTGGGATCGTCAACAAGAGAACCCTTAATGCTAGTCAGCTTGTAAAGCAGATTCTCTTCCAGCTTCAGCTGCTTATTTTTGTTAGCGGCAACGTCCTCCATTAGCTTAGTCCGCTCTGCTTCCAGTTCTTTCTTTTCGGTTAGGATTACACGACCCAAAAGCTGATCTTCCAGACCTTTGGACGTGACGGTGAAGTCAATAATGGCACTGCGTGCAGACATTTCCGGAGTGTAGGATGGATTTGGTAGTTTTGTTGTGATGTACATTTTAAAACCGGCCATAACATCCACTTCTTTGTCCCCGATTTTCACTTTGTAAGTGGTACCAGATTTAATATAGTTTTTGTCTAGTACATTGTCCAAAACCGGATCGAATTCTTCTTCAACATCTTCCAGAAGCATGGGCTTTCCCAACGATAAGGCATCCTCCAGATGTTGTCGGAAGTACTTGTGGTTGAGAGTCGATACAACCAAGTTATTTTCTTTTTCCCGGTTCTTAATCCAGTTTTTGCCTTGCTGTTGCGGATCAATTAACAGAGGATACCGAGAGGACTGTGTGACAATAATGCCATTTTGGACGGAAAGGTCATCGTTTGGGAGGCCTTGCAAAGCCCAGAATTCAATCTGTATATGAAAATGATTAATTTTTAAACTCATAAAGATGAATATAAAAATTCAGACCATCTCTTTCATGTAAATCATGCAACACTGACGAAAACCGAGACATACCGTTGCCTCATCAATCAACATTGTTGTAATATTCAGGTCGTCGCTCAATGGGATTTTCCGTACTTCTATATCTTTCTGCCATTGTCGGCGCAGGATTTGTCGAAACTCTTGATTAAAGGGACCGGCGTAAGAAAGGAAAGCCGTGCAGATCAACACATCCCCAACGAGTCTAGTACGGAAACAGTACTGAATATTGTCATCAACATCAGAGATTTGTAATGTATCACGTACCGCTCAATTTGTGCCCGATACTCTTTGCTTTGCGATGTCCACCGAACCCGTTCACCACCCAGCATACCAATTAGCGTATTAGCAGCTGACATTTTCAGGCGACATAACGCAGCATCGTCCATTAAAGCTTTCTTCTCGCCCATGGCTTTGTCGTACACCGTTTGCACTACATCTAGTTCGGCTTGCTTTTCATCAAGCTTCTTCTGGGCTTCCTCCAACTGTTGGGTCGCTTCATTAAGTTTGCGTTCTTTTAGTACCAAAGCAGCTTTCAAAGGGAGCACTTTTCGATTGATCCAGTAGAAATCAGACATGGCCACCGTCCACAATAGTAGACCGACGACATCACCGGCGGATCGCATGGCTTCTGCTTTGTTATAGTTTGAACTGTTTATGTAAGGGGCCATCAAATCGACGGTTTCTTCGTTTATCAAATCGCGATCAAAGTTTTGAAGCATCCCAAGGAAGTTGCCGCTCATGACCTTATTTAAACGTCCGTCGGTTAGAACTTAGAATGCATGTCAGCACGTAATCACTTGCATAATCTGCATTCGTACCTTCAGCGCTTCTCCCCATGAAGGTTTAATGAACTGCTTCTCTGCATCCCAAGCCACTGGATCCAGTCGCTTTTGGAAGAGAATAAGACAACAGTCCATAATCTTCATCACCAAGAATGGCGGCTTGGCTAACTTTCGCACGGTTGCAATTGCAGCAGGTGCGATAGTCTGGAATCACGTTTGTCTATTACGGCTGACATTTGTGTTAAAATATTTGTCAAACCTTAAGGGCCTCCTCAGCCCGTTCCAAAAGAGGTTTGGCCTCCTCCAACATCTTTTCAGCCGCAGCTTTTTCGACAGAGATGACGTCTTTAATGACCTGCGCTTTATCTTTCTGCTCTTGCACAGCAACTTTGACCTTGTTGGCCGATTCTGCTTTGATGGCCACTTCAGAAAGCACCTGTTCAAGTGTCAGACATTTAAAACTTTACAGAACCAGCTACGGAATAAAGGTGTTCAGCCCAACAGATAACAATATGCAAACAAACCTTTTCTGCTTTTGCGCTAGCAACCGCCAAGTCGCGCTCTTTCAGGACCAAATCTTTGCTCAGCTGCGCCACTGATTCGCCAGCTTCGATAAGTTTCTCTAAGCCCAGCTTCATGCGATCGGCCAAATCAAGAAAAAGGGCAACTTTGCTTTTGTATACTAATTTGTAGATGTCCACAAAAGACAAGAAGCTCTTTGGGGTCACATGGGTCGCGCGACGGAAGCTGCATTTAACAAAATTAATGTTTCTAAAGAGTGATCGTTTCCGTACTACGGTAGCCCACATCAGGCCATCGCAAACACATACCGTTGGAAGTACTCCGTGCACGTCTGCGATACGGCATCGTGAATAGCTCCCATGGCTTCGATGACCTGCTGCTTTACTGCCGGAGTGCATTCAATAGGGAACGCTGAAATGAAATGCTTGCTGACCGCCACAAGTGCATCCCGCGGCCACTTGGTGAACCAGTTGATTGTGCAACCGGAAATCAGTCCCGGAAACTTCAGCGATCTGGCTCGGAATTTGCCACCGACAGGTGAAAAGCAAAGCACAACATGCAAATTCTTCTTAGCTCGGCTGGAAAAATATTCGTAGAGATTTTCGCCAGATGGGGGTCGTTTTGGGAACTCTTTCTTCATGGTGGCTACCAGCTCTTGACAGATTTCATCCAGTTCTTCGCGAGAAAACAGCTGTGATGGTTCACCGCCCTTCAGAATGTTATTCAGATATTCCAAAAAGCTTTCGTCCTTGACGTCATTGTCGGTGAAAATGAAAGAAATGCCTTTTCCGGCAGGTCCGCCGCTCATACGGTATAGCTGTTTAAGGTCGTCCATAAGATTTGTTACATTGTAGGATCTGAAAGACAAAACTGTATTGTGATTCTGAAGCTCAGTTCGTTACTCTTTATATATCAGGGCTATGGTCACGATACAGGCTTTGCACAAGTGATTGTTTAGAAACACCGCCAAAGTAGGCGCCTACACATTTGACTACTGCGCCCATAGTATGACTCGTATCGCAGAGTTTGCCGGTATCTCTTCCACCAGATTTTACGCCCCTGTAGCCGACAGCAGTAATGTTCCGATAAGCAATTGGAAGTACTCTCTATAATGTAAGAAGCTTCTACCGCTTAGATCATGTACCTCGTCAATGTTATTTGGAAGACCGAATACCCGGCAATGAAGGAAGCCAGTTTGGTTAGAGACTGCTTGCCAGATCCACCAACGCCGACCAGCAATGCATGTCCTCCCGGAGTATTGATGATACGAGAAATCTGAAGTTCACAGTTTTGATGTTCAACACATATGTGACGTAAGGTTGAATAAAAGATTGCCTCACCTTCACTAAATTAATTATAGCGTCTTCGAAGAACACCAAATCCAACCTCCCTCCTCTCACGTTCTCGTTATACATTCTCATGAAGTACATTAACCGTTCGCGTGCTTCGCCAAGCCCTTTGACTTGTTCATACAACTTCGGTGCTTCCAGTACCGCTCCTTCTGCTTCTTCTCCCGTTGGTTCTGGAGCATCGCGTAAAAAGTTGACAAAATACGGCTGATATCCTGCCAAGAAGTTGGAAATTCGGTCACCCAGTTTAGTTTGAGCGATGGACACCAGTTTCTGTTCGAACCAGGTTTTGTCTTCCTGAGTTATAAACCTGTAATAAAGATATAAATGTTGGCGGCTTTGCTTATTTTAAGATGCTTTTTTAAGGGTTGTGGAAATAAGCTACAATCGGATACTGCGCAAGTGTTGCAAGTGGAAAGCCTTTTAATTTCCTGTGCACCAGCTACTGATGACCTCTTTATCACTCTCGTAATTCAAGTATTGCACTAACGCAGTTTAATTACCGGTCAGCAATAACGCGAGTACACTCAAACTTCCAAAGGGCAGCCAGATCTTCAACGCTGTTCAGCTGCTCATAGGTAACTTTCAGAATGCCTTCCCAAATTCGAGATAAATCGCGCAGATTGAATACATAGTGAAATTTGGCCGGTGTAGGCAACATCTTCGCCTTGGTGGCTTGCCATAGCATTCTTGTGGCAGGAACAAGCTGTTTCAGCGTATCGCTCCATATGTCAAGATTAGGATAACGTGCACGACAGAAGTGACCTCCAGATATCACACCGAAGATTTTATCCATAGAGGAATCCGTAGGAATTGTGCAGTTGAAAATAGAAAACTGCCGCTTCAAACGCGGGGGGATATCGTTCCTCCCTCCACCCGGATGGTTCATTCCAGCGACATATTGCAAATCTAAAATTGTTGTGAACTCTCCTGGTTTATCCAAGCTGTAGAATCCCTTCATTTCAATAAGTTGCCGGACGATTTCATTAGTAACTTGATCACCCCATTCGTTCACAACAGGCATGCTGACATCGTCTATGAATACCGTCAGTTTTTTCCCACCCGGCGGTCCGTAAATCGTACCAATGCGTTTATCAACATAACTTTCAATGATCCTCTGCAAAAGAGCAAATAAAATAAGTGTCCTTTAAAGAAACAACAAAAAACTTGTGAAAGTACCTGAAACATCATTGGAGTCGTTGCAGAAGAGAAGTTCAGGCTTTTGAATGAGTGGACTTCCGGATCATACTGCTTCATGTAGCTCATTACCATGACGGTTTTGGCTGTGCCTTGTTCACCGATAAGAAGAACTGATTTACTCTGCTTAGCCAGCAGATCCATCATAAAGGTCGTGCGTACGTTGTCCACATTGGGCACAAGTATATTTCGGTATTCGGGTATACTGTCTTCGGGATACATGTACTCTTCTACCCGGGCACTCCATGGTTGCCAGTTTCCTATATAGCGAACCGTTAGTGCTGACTGTTGACCGGTGAGCGTAAAAATATGTTAACGTAATTTTCACTATTTTTATTCTCGCTGACCTTGCTTATCGACGATAAGGTCGAATAACTGCCGCATTTCACCGACAGTGCTTTGCAAACCCCATGCTGAAACTTTGCTCGCAAAGAATTCTTGCAGTTTGGTGCGGTCATTCAGTTCCATGATTGCTCCAAAGCTCCAGAGGACTGACAGCAGGACCATTTTCTCAGTGTGAGAAATCTGTGTATTTTCTTGTTTCAGCAAAGACGCATAAGACAACTTAGATTGCAGGCCGCGAATTTGTATTAGCCCGAGAAGGATGTCCAGTGCCTACAAGGAAGTTTGTTATTGCTATCCATTATAGGACTCTCGAACGCCGATTTCCAAACCTGCTTAATGAAGTTGCATTCCAGCACTTTGATTTTTGGCACGGTTTTCGAGGCAACAAAATCTTTAACGTCGTCAAAGATCTTCTCAAAGAATCCCATTAAGGTTGGTACATCTCCTTTGAACTGGCTTTTCAGCCACGCTTGCATGATGGGCTTCCACGTCAGAACTGAGGAACTCATGAAAACCATACCGTTCCGCGACACTGTGGCCGGGGATGCGTTGTTGACATTATCGGGTTCAAAGACGATCTTACAGGTCGGTGACATAGGAATTCGATCCCCGTTAGCCAGCGTTAGTGTCTGCGAAAACAATCGTGCTCTCTACTCAGTCAAGCCCGTTAAGCATGCTCATTTGCACAATGTTCCTCAGTCTTACTTTGTTGTCATCTAAAACAGAGTTCAGGTTTTCGATCCAAATGGCATCAATCGGTCCATCAAGAACGATCCAGACGTGTTCGTTCTTTTTGGCCTTAAGCGAACGTCGCCACAAAGTGGAAAAGATGCCATCAGTCCAGTCGTTCGTGGCCACATCCAAACGTCCAAACATCTGTTGAATGCAATTTTTAATGCTCAAATATTGCGGTTTCGTATTTACGACACAGAAAGATTCCCAGATACCGCAGATTACCTGGCTGGCAGTTATAGCTTTCGGATTCATGCGCATTTCTTTGTGTGGATTTCCCATTTCGGTCATGGCTTTCATTAGCACGGTTATACAGGTGGTCTTGCCCGAACCACTGGGCCCAAGCGCCATCATTCCATGTCGAACACGCTGGGTTTCAAACAACTGTACAACCTTTAGGTTCCAAGGAGGGTGATTAACCAAATTGGCTTGTTCACACTATGGATGTGGAAGCTCACAAATGTCAACAAAAGGTCAATCCAAAATCGAAATCATAGTGCAGCAAAAACAGCTGTACCTGATTAGCGATTGCTTTCTGCAGATCCACATAGGTATTGCTGTCCAGATTGAAACCGGGAAAGAGATCATTGATAAGGCTGTTAAATAACGGCTCATCTTCGTCCACAAGTTTAGACAGGTTCATGTCTCGCAGAACTCGCATGACAATAGCTTGCTCTGTGTCCTGTGGTCTGCTGCGCTTCTGGGCTCCGAGTGTGCGCAACACAGACAAAATATTGCGCAAGCCCCTAGAGCAATTTTGACCTGGAGTTTCGCATTGAAACAAGAGATGTACAAAGGTAGCACTTACCAATCGTAATGCACTTGCTTGCTGAGTTGTTCTTCGCACAGTTTGTACAGCACATAAAACTTTTGTGCCAAGATAACATTTTCCTGGAAACCACAGCTGGCCAGTTTGACGCGCATAATAATCTGACGATCAGGCACCATCATGGCCACGGTGCGAAACTGGATCTTCAAATTTTCCGGTAGCTCTTGACGCCCGGCGTATCCAGGGTTCATGGTCAAGAAACTGTCAAAATGTTTCCAATTTAGCGTTGTGTACAACGGTAAATCTAACAGACATTTTTTTAGAAAAAACACGAACATTCCAAATTCCGGGTTTAAAGGAACGCGATCGCCGTCGGAAAATATGAATTCCTTTTTCTTCTCCTTTTTGGCGGACAAAACAATATATATTTGTTGAGCAGCCACCGAAAGCACCGGGAGTTCAATTCGATTGAATTCATCGAAACATCCCCATGACCCAGATTGCGCAAGTCCTGAACCAAAATGGTCGTTAGTTTCATACTCCTACTGCATTTTAAAACGTTTTGCACTGTAAGCCATCAGAATTAACCTTTGTAGATGCGTCCAAGTCCGCGAAAATCCATTTGGTCTGAGCAGTTAAAGACCACAACGTACTTCCCCAGAGCTTTCCCCATATCTTTGGTTGTTTCAGTTTTACCTGTTCCAGCTGGCCCGGCAGGAGCACCACCCATGTGCATGCCAAGCGCTTGCGCAAGCGTGATGTAGCACCTGCCATGCAGTTGCAGTTAAATGGTCCATCACGAAAAACGTAAACTCAGTTTTGAACCTGTCGGTAAGAGGCGTAATGACCAATCGATCTGTGCATCCCAGAAACTCGTTCTGATAGATAAAATCAACATCGGTAATGGAAACAATGGTCTGGTCCACATCGTCTTGGAAGTAAAAGCGAGCTTGTTTTAGCCAAGCAAAGTCTGAGACCGAGCGGCAGTCCAATCGTACCTTGCGATTAAGTCAAGAAAATGCGTGGGCAGTCAAACGGAATAGGATATCATAGAACTAACCAGTTCATCGAAGATGTCTCGCTGATGCACGTGGATGGTAATCAAGGTTTCAAACTTGATGCGTTCATTCTTTGTCAAGTTGTGGGTGGTCTTCTCGATAAGTTTGTTGAGCATCGTGAGAAAGAGAGTGTTCGTCGTTTTCATGATCATTTTATCCACACGAGCGTTTTTCAGCGCAGCTTCGGCCATTCGGGTCCAGTAAAGCTGGATTCCGAGCAAACCAACCTAAAACAGTTATTGTAATTGGTGTACCAGTTTTTTTGTTTCGGATAATGCAAGTAAGTACTGTTATGCACCTGCGCTATGAACGCCTGTTGAAACGACATGAGTTCATAACTTGGTAGTGTCATAGCACGATTGGCATCCCGTATAACGCCGTGCAACGATCGCATCTGTTCTTTCAACAGTTCACCGAGCCACATCTCCACACCGCCACGTGCCAGCACATCTTGTTCTAACTACACAAAAATTAGTAGTTTAACAGTTAACCAAAATTCACTTATTCACTTAGTGCAGCGCAATTTACCGCGACTCTTTCGCCTTCTCTGGAAATGACTGTGGTGATTCGGTCATACTCTCGATCGCTAAATGCCACCTCATTGACGTTATCGAAGCAACTCAATAAATATGGTTGAATAGTATGAGAATCGCTGGCCTGTCCAAGAATTTCCAAAAGTACGGGATCCGAAACAAAGAAAAACCGTGGGAATACCAGCCGTTTGGCTTCCAGGTACCTGGAGGAAGAAAGGTCAGGACGCTATCACTATACCGAAGAAAACCATTCCGTACCCGGTTAGTGATTTTTGACAAAGCTCAAGCTGCTCCATCAACTGGGGCAACGTCTCTTGCATTGTTTCGTCGCCGACACAACACGGTATAACGCTAGGGTTTTCTTTGGCTCGCTGCATAATTTTCTGCCAAGTCTTGTCGATGCTCTGGAACCGCTTGGCTTCTTTTGGCAGCTGCTTAGCAATGTCACCGCCCACAAATACAGCCTCCAGATATACCCAAAGATTTTGAACAGCCAGCCATGTTTCCACGATTTCCGATGTGGTAGACAGCTTCTGAACCCATGACTGGATCTCCTTTTTGAATGGTACGTTGTACCTTGATCACATACAACAATCAAGCATTTAAAAAAGAATGCATGTAGTGGACCATGGCGGTACTAAAGAGAAGGCGTACGCGCGCCGTTTGTGACGTCACAGTAAGGCAAGCAGCCCGCTAGCGCAGTGCTTTAAGGCTCGTAGGCTCCATAGACTGCTATGGTGGACGCATTTTCACTTCCCGTGCTGTGGGATCACCGAGTTATAGTTCAAAAGAAAGAGAAAAAATTTCAAGTTTTATGATGCAAACGTCTTCAGTTATAAAAGCTAAGTGAGATTTCTAGAACGTCTCGAAAGTAAGCCGAGTTAGCGCACAAAGTCGATGCAACGGTCGGTCCAGACCGCGCGACCGTTGTGTGCCAATTGCAAACATTTTGAAACCTTTTTACAACATGTAATCGGCTTGAATTGCACACATATTATACACCGAAAATCTTAAAATTTTATTCTCTTTCTTTCAAGCTATAGGCCGCTCATTTTAAACTTTTAAAACTTAAAATCACTTAACAGGGCAACCAATGGAGCCTACAAACCATGAAGCATTGTGCAGATGGCTGGCTTGCCTTCTCATGACGTAGCACCGGAAGTAGGCGTGTCGCGCTAATGCCTTCTATTTAGTACTGCCATGAGTGGACACAACAAATTAGTATTATGTTTGTCAGAGTAGTTTACAGTTCTCTGTAAACTTGATTTGTGAGAAGTACCGGCTGCTATATTAAACGGCTCCTGCCATAAACATTTCGTTCTTATTACGGAGTGAACATACCGATTAGTCATTAAGGACCCAAGCACCATCAGACTGTCTTCCAGCATTGTGATAATTTCTACCATATCTCCACCTTTAACCAAGGCATCAGCCTTCCCTTTATACGGTGCAAATTTGATACTCTGGCCGGACCACATATCAATGACACCTTTCAATTTTGCCTCGATGTCCTTTTCCTTTGTTGCGGATATGCAAATATCCTGCAACCCAGACGAACATTTACATTCCAATACTTCTAATATGTATAATCGATTCTAATATTTTACTTCGATCTCATCTTTGTATTTAAGGATGGGAGCCTTCATGATATCTTTCAGCAGAAGATTCTTGCTGTCCATTTCCATGTCAAAGTGATGACCAGTCAGTGTAGATATGCGCACCCAGTGCCGATCCTTCATAGCTTTGTTGGTCATGGCTTCCAACGTTGGTACGACCTCCGTAAAGTCATCAATTTTTTTCTTTAGATCTTCGAACGCTTTCCAGTCCTTCATACCCTTTGGTAGTTTCTTGCAACGGGCCTGTAGGTCTTGCAGTTCTTGATTGATGGCATCCAGATTTAAGTTTTCCCAGGGAATTTCAAAATAATTATTAATCCGTTGCATTACCAAATTATACAGTCCGTATAGTTTCTGGAGAAGGAACAACTCTTTTTTGATTCGTTGCAGCTCAGGATATTCGCTGGTTTCCTGACCGAAGACTTCCAAACCTCCTGAATAGATCACATATCGCCGATAGAGGTCATCAAAGCGTGTTTGATAAATGTTCAGTCGTTCGCTGGCTTCTGCTGGCGTCAGCCCAGGTTGCATTGGACCATTCTACCACGGTGAACCATCAGTTACTATTGCTAAGAGTGGACCAAATTGAAATAAGTAAGCCTTTTACCTGATCATAATCCGACACGTATTCTATCGAATCATAGTGGAACTTTTTGAACCCATCAACCACTTCCGTTTTTAGGATCGGCTGCATACTAAGAAGCTCCGTTTGCATTTCATGGGATTTTTCGATAACTTTGGCAAAGTTATAGCGTAGTGTATCGACCGCTTCGATTTCAGCCTTCGGTAGCGCTATTCCAAAACTTTGAATAGTATAGAAAGCCTCCTAGAAACAGATACTACATAATAGCCGAAGTTAGAAAACATGGTTTGATACTGATGAACAACTTCCGTGCGCACCTCTATAGGACTTATTAGACTGTCGACATCCACTTCCTTGTCACGAATAAGATCCAGAGCAACAAGAATTTTCTTCGCGCTTTCTACATCTTTGGCCGGTGTCTGGAGTACCTTTGCCTGTTCGTCGAGGAAATTAGTTATTTCTTTTAAACTTCCACTAGACTGTGTTTTCAGAGCACGAGCAACAGAAGCACGCCATTCTTGAATTTCCTTCTGGGCCGACTGTTTTAAGAAGTGAGTGTCAACAGCAATGCAGTAAACAATTTCATAAGAATTCAGTTCATCAATCTTTTCCTCCAGCGAGCGCAGATAATCCAGCAGATGTCGGTAGTCACTCATTGTCGGCTTCTTGCTTTGAAAATCCTAACGATTCAAAATGTGACACATGCAGACCTTATAAAATTGTATAATACTTTTCGTCGGCAAAATATTTTTGTTTATGTCACTCGTATTTACCCGAACTATAACGTCTTTATGGCTGGAAAACAAGGGAGCCAAAAATTCGTATTTTTCCAGATATAGTGCCACACATTCAGGTAACAGCTTATACGTTTCCTCGACGGAAGAAATGAACGAATCGCAAACCATCATATAGTCACGGACGACATATTGCTTTTGCCGGGTTTCGGCTTTTTCCGCTAGAAGATTAACGTATTATTTATGTTTCACAAGAGTTTCCGGACCAGTCAAACCTTTGACAGTTTCGTCCAGCTTAATAATATCCTCAAGAAATGTTGCCTGATCAGCCGGCGCCCGTTCCAGATATCCATCATTACTTGGATCCTTAAAGACGGCGTCAATTGTTCCGTCCATGTGCCGCTTCCCCCAGCTCGTTATCTGGTCACGAATTTTTACTACTGACAGCGTAGCTAGCTGCGCCGCTCTTTGTGCCTCGGAAACTGGAGGAACTGTTGTCTGTGAAATCAGCAACGCTGCCGCTTACTTGACGAATTATACAGAACTGAGCCTAAGCTATACAGCGCTCTTCTTTAGGGAGAGTGATAAATCCCGTACTGTTCACAATGAACTTACCACTTTTCCATTCACAACCGCAACGCTGACTTGGAAAAACGGCATGGGCACCGGACCGGCATGAGGTTCGTCATGATGGGAACCATGAGGATGCTTTTCGTTGTCTTGTCTAGGTTCTTTGTGCCCAAAAAGCTTTTGCCACCACGGCAGCTGGAATCCTCTGTTAAGCATAAATTTCGGTTTAGTGACTAACCATACGGTGCGACCATATTTACTTTACATTTAAAGGTGCCAAATAAAAAAATTATTTTAACAACATGGTGAAACAAAAACCGGAAGCTCCAGTAGCGCAGAAAAATTTAAAAACTTACAATGAAAACGACGACAAAGTGCAAGGATGGTAAAGTAACACGTTGTACTCTTTATGCCTACTGTCTTGTTGCAAATACACTACTGCTTCGGCATTAGTCAGCAACCGTTGTGAACATCTGTGAACTTTCAATAGACATTTCGAACAAGCGGCCTGGCGGTCCCCATGTGGTTATTGCGCAGTTAACTGCTGAACGCAACCGAATCAGGGAGCGGCGATACAGGACAGAAAGATAGTGACCGGTTGTTTAAAATGCATAGTCAAAGAGACCGGCTGTTTCGAAAAGCCGAAGCAGTCATAGATCCAGTAGCTGTGATTGCGAAAGATGTTCCGCAACCTTACCGGTGAAACGGAACAAGCTTATCCAGAAGGAACTGGACAGCGGATATCGTAACACGTTCCAAGATGTGGAAGATCAGCTGATCGTAGGATATGAGAGCACTGGAAGCTGCCACATGAAAAGCTTCGCCAATTTTTCCGTCTTCTTCGGCTTCTTCCCATACGGAATGGCGCGAGTGGGAGGAGCGTGGCACAATAGGGACATTCCATCGGGGCGGGATGCGCTTGTCCCATTCAACACGTTTCGGTGCAGCGATCGTGGCGCACAAATGACTAGCGTGGCATAATGCTAATTCCGCCGTGGCACTGGCATGTTCCAAATGGTGCACGATATGCGAAAACCAAATCTAGTCCAGAAACCACTGAGTTATGCTAACGGTATGTACTGTACCAAATCAGGAAATACTTCATACAGGTAGAATATCTGAAAATTCTGCTGCATCCCACGAGCCAATTTCAGGGAAACAGGAAACATTTAATTCCGCCAAATGATGGCAGACACTTTCCACTTTGGAGTGATAGGTGATCACCGCCTATCATGATGCTAGTTGAAAGATTTTGTGAACAAGCAACGTCACAGCAAGGATCTCACTTTGGCATGCAGATATTCAGCGATCCGCAAGTCACGCATAATTTTGGGGAATAAGTCCGTGAATTCACTCATAACGTTCTTCCATTTAAAGCGAGTCAGCCCCAAATGCAACACCGCATTCACCTTACTGGAGCCCACCAACAAGACATCTTTCATAGTTGCAGGCCCCCTCGATTGCAGATTTACTAGTCTTCGAACAAATTCCTAAATTAATGTAATCCAAATTAACTTGAATTATGCTGCTGTTCTGCAGTATGTGACCGTTTTAAACGATAACTTTTAACCTACCTCCATCATTCTGCTCAGTTCCGTCGGATGGACGCTAAGAAAGTAGTTTAAGGCACTCTCCGGTTGGGCTGGAAGTTTGTTTTGTGTTATAAAACGCTGATCGTCCAAAACCTGAAGTAGCTCGTTATTCAAATTAAGCCGCATTCCTTTGGCTGGATTCAGCTTTTCCAATGATGTCGTACGGACAAAAATGCTGGTTCGCAGTGCTGTGATTCGAAACGACCATCGACTATAACATTATGTTTTGCTTCTTATTTCTGCATTGTTACCATCAACTAATCCCCGTGTCATCCAGTACGTTCTGCGGGTCCAGTAGGTTTCGCAGAGACCCTTATAGGATGTTAATTTATGCATGTAGGCAGCGTGTTCATCAGCAAACGCGCTTAGTTGGCACATTTTATCCACAATCTGCAGGTTCAAGCCTTTGACCACCATGGACATTTCATACCGTACCCAGTAAGATACTCTACACAAGCATGTTTGGCTTAATGATTTCACAGAAACAAACCTCTAAACAGTTTAAATGGTGTCGCGCCAGGGCCGCGTTGAATTCGCAGTACCATGCGAAGTTCGCATTGGTGGCAGAATATTTAGGCATTTTCTTTCCTATATCCCCGCTCTACACTTTGTGACAAAAAGGTCAACTCACATATGCAAATCTTTTGCGCTGGTGACAGCCAACGGTTTACCTCAAAAGCAAGAGTGGTTCCATTTAAACGAATAACTTGTGAAGGATCCCAGTACTGCATCAACAGCAGCCGTTGATGCTTGCTCAACGTGCGTATCCTACAATACAAATCATCAGTTATGTATAACCATGGCAGTACTCTACTATTAAGGCAAAAAAGCGACACGCCTACTTCGGGTGCTACGTCACGATAAGGCAAGCCATCCAACAGCGCAATGCTTTACGGCTCGTGGGCTCCATAGGTTGCTATGTTAAGCGCTTCGAGGTTTGCTCAAATTCAAAACGAGTGACCTACAGCTTAGAAGATAGACAAAAAATTTTAAGATTTCTGATTTTAAGATTTAAGTTTGTGTGGAGTTTGGGCTGACTAGAGGTTTCACAAAGGTTCTGGAGTATATGCAGTTTGCTCACAACGGTCGTGCGGTCTGGACCGACCGTTCTATTGACTTTGTACTGTATGCTAACTCGATTTGCTTTCGAAGCATTTTAAAAACCTCGGTTCGCCTTTTTTATTGAAAACGTTTGCATAAAAAAACGTAAAATTTTTTGGGCTTTCTTTTGAGCTATGCCAGGATGATTTTGTTGCACGATAAAGCGAAATACGTTTACCAAACCACCAATAGAAGTATGTGGCGTATACACAAGCGGCTTGCCTTAGTATTGCGCAATCGAATTCGCTTTGCTGCCTTAATAGTATAGTACTGCCATGGTATAACGCATGCTCAGCCGGAAAGCAGCTCAGCACGGCGTATTCTTGATTTTATTTACCTTGTTCCTAGATCTAGACTTTCAGAAGTTGTGCGAGAACTCTCGAAAATTGCCGAAAACAATTTCCAGGCGTGAATCTAAATAGTGAAGTTGCAATAGCGCACGCAATATTTTTTCGTATGCGTAAGAAATTAGTAAGAATACGTGGAATACCTACGCTAGCAACATGGAAAAAATTGCTAAATTCCTTCGAATCGTTCATGAAATCCTGGTTTTCGACATTGAAAATTTCCTTCAGCCTTTGTTTGAGCTGATAAAAGGCACTTTCCATCCAGTGCAGCGCTGGATCCATGCCCACAACGTGCATGTTCCAGAGCTTAAGATAGTCAACGAAATGCTGGAATATTCTTGCTACCTAACCACCGCAATCCTTTAACTGTCTGCAGTACAAAAATTGCCATGATTTACCTTTGCCTAACCTTTTTGATGCGAACACCAAGTAGCCTTAGCTGATCAAAATTGTGACTGCTGAAAATCAGGTTGCCAAACTGGGCTGTAGTCTGTAAGTACAGCTGTACAGCGGTATCACATTCGCGAAGAATTTCCACTGCCGACAAGTAGTCCTGGTCGAACAACTGATCTTTGCCTTCTGGCAGCAAAGCGTTGCTGATGCGGCCCATCAACATGCTAGAAAGCTGTTAAATTTGCATAAAGCCAGTTACATGAACTTGCTAGATTTGGCGATTTACTTTCACTAAAGCGGACACCCGCCAGTTATCTCCAAAGGTCTTGCACTGGAAATCTGTGGTGCATATCCAGGAAATCAGTTCCGGCATGTGCTGATTAATTTCTTTCTGAAACAATATAAATAAAATAAAGAGTTAAGCCATCACCGTAGTCAAAGAGCTATCGCGGTACCATTGTCGGATAAAAAAGAATCGAGAATTTGTCAGCACAATCCAGCAGTTGGCTGTACACCTTTCTAACGTCGCCATAAATTTCGGTCGTGCGTTTTACTAGCCGGGTGCATAAATCCTGCAAACACGAAAATGAAAATTACGGTTCAGAATTTCAAATCAGTTAACTTACAAAAACTTTCTGTCGTTTTTCTTCATCTGGCTGCATTCTCAAGAATAAAGTGATGGCATTTTGAAAAATATCAGAACGAAGCATATGCAGAACTCGATAGAATTTGATTGTTGCTGCTCGCCAAATCTGCACTTCGTCCATAATGTCGTTGCCTTTGTTAGCTATTTGTGCATTGTTGCTGACAAACGTCTCAACATCAAAGATGTGGGCGTCCATCTTGTTGAGGACAAAACAACCGGATAATGAAAGGTAGCAATATATAAAGAAGCAAAGCAAATCAGAACATACATTTGACACGAGCCTAAGCATTTGCGTAACCACATCGTACGCCAAGTGGTTTACAGCGTCGGGTGCTCGTTCTGCAGTCGACACCTCCATTGGAATTGTGCAGCATGCTTTCCAAAGTCAAGGTGAGGAGTATCGTTCACAGCTTGTTCAGTTTCTGCAAAACAGTTTACGTTTCACATTAGAGGTACGAAATTGGAATATGGGGTTCTACCTTTAAAATCACGCATTGATTCTTCCAGTACGCGGAAAAAAAACTGTTTTCTCTCGGGGCTGAGGAGGAAGTTCTCGGCGGGAACGGGATGATTCCATGCTCGCAATACTGCAGCGACTTTGGCTAACCGGTCAGCAATGCAAGCCTGTACGCCGGGATATTGCGAAATGTTCAGTGTTCCGAAGGATGTTTCCTTTCGAGAAGAAACATAACCCAGCATTACTATCAGCTTGGGGAGGCTCGTGGCAAACCAGCTCTAGTGGATAATGCTTACATCGACAATGTTTTTTTCGGTTAATGTGGTCTGCTTGGACAGTTTAACCAAGTACATCGTTTCCGCTTTCAGTTCACCCGAATCAGGCGTTAACGTCGTAAAGGGCGAAATACCTGGTGTTGTGTAATTGTGTAAATAAAATGGCGCTGATGTACTGTAAACAAATAAAGCGTCTGGCCACCAGCTATGAACATTTCGCTGCAATACCTTTGACAGTTCCGTGATAAGTTGTAAAAAAAACCATCTCTCCGTCCGCGCGAACGAAATCATCATACGCGGCAATAACCTTAAAATATCCGTTTTTTAGTTTATTTTAAACGTGCTTGCGCCTTGCTATGCCACCTCTCGTGCTATATATGGCAGCATACGTATGTACAAGCCCATCCGGAAACAAGAGCATCACTATACGTGAGTAATCACCGTAGAGATCGGCTTAAGCTATTAGCGCGGCATGCGGTGATTTATCGCATATAGTGCTCTTGTTTCCGGATGGGCTCGTAACAAAGTAAAAAATTGGAACGCTCTTTTTCAGTTCGTTATGGTAGTCACCTGTAGGCTGTAGAGTGGAGACATTACAGTAGTCATTGTCATTACACCCTGTAGCGGCCCACGGTCAAACTCTGACTTAGATTTTGACCGCTCAAACTCTTACTCTGACTGCTCAAACTCTGACTCTTACTGCTTGAAGTGTGACTCTGTCTGCTCAAACTTTGACTCTGACCGCAACACTTTGACAACCAAAACTGATTAAAAGAAGCAGTTCTTAGATTTCTTAGGTTATTCCTAGCTTTGTTATTTTTTCCAAGAATAATCTGAGAAATCTTAAAGTAACTTAAACAAGCCAAAAAATAAAACCTAGGGATAAAACCTAAGAAATTTAAGAAACATAAGAACAGAAGTTGAAAAACCTAAGAAACCTTCGAATAACCTGAGAAAGTCATATTTCGAGCAGTAAAGAGCCACGGTTTTGTACTCAAAGTAGTAATCAAGAGTTTTAGAAGTGAGAGTCAGAGTCAGACTTTGAGCGGTCAAAGTCTGAGTCAGAGCTTGAGCTTGAGGTCCCCTGTGACCCGTGACGGCACATGGTCTCTGCCGATGTCTATAGACAGAGCGCCCAGACGAGTCAGCCTGGGCATTTGGATTTCTGCCGGTACTACGACTTTTCGCAACAACAAGTTATTTTTTACATTTCGCACATTTCGTACAATGGGTTATCCATGTTTTACGTAGTAACGTAGTTACCGCTCCATGAGCTCATGGAGCAGTGACTATGGAGCGGTAATTATGATGGAGGCTCGATCGTTGCCTTCATCACAATTTTTGCACATAAAATTTAATATGCAAGCCACAAGTCTTGATTTCACACACTCTTGCGTTATAAACTGCTGATCGCAGCTTTGCTCGAACAGAGGCAGCACGATGATCGGTTGTTCAAAACATACGTATAGTGAAAGCGACCGTTTTTGAGAAATATCGAAATACCCGAAGAAAATAAATATGACGTTTTTAATACTTACGTGCGAAACGTGTGTTCACATTATTTTCATTGGTGTTTCGTTGGTTGTTTTTGAAAAACGATTAGTTGCGTGAGTACTCACATCAGAACACGCTCCCAAAAGCTCTTCTGCCACTTCATTCGCTAGCGAAAACGCGATGGATAAACGGCGGCAGAGGAACTTGTACACGCCAGATTGCAGTTTTTGGCGTACTGTGTCATCCATTCTGTTTCTCCGTTAGTATGGTTGATAAAGTGGCTTCGTCCGTGCTCTCAAATACGATTCATTATTCTGAATGCTGACAGCGGAACTTACTTATTTATTATCGTTTTTTTTGACATCAGTTACAAGGACTTATGGCAACACGAATAGGCAGGACAACAATCAAATCAAATTAGCCCGCCCGCCAATCACAACTTCTTCGTTGTATGAACCACTTCGCAAAACAGATCTAAGTTTTCGAACATGCCAAAATATTTTATGAACTAGACCAGGATAAAATGTAATATCTATGTCTAATATAATATCTATGTCTTTTTGTAACATACAAAATGCAAAAACAATTTTTCGAGTTATTAATTCATTCTGCGAAGGTTGCAAGGCCGTACACGTACTGTCCAACCGACATAAATCATTCACTGGTGTACGAATTGATCAACATCAAACTTGCGCCACTCGGTCAACTGGTACCCGTGGCAACAGGGCTTACCGGTTAACTTCAAAAAACTTTACGGTGAGTACGAGTACGGTTTGAAAAACTTGGTTAAAGCGTATTATTCTAAGCAAAAACCGAGCATGGATGAATTCTGGCTATCGACTACTACTTTGATCTGAGCAACTAAATATTATGGCAATCCTTGTTATTACTTGTTAGCGCAACGGTGTAACATACGGTATAACAGGCATCTGTAACCGACCAAAACGCCCGGACGACCAAGACGTCCGACGGATGTTGTGGTCACCGACTATACTGTCCGGGAGTAAAAAACCGTCCGCCGTAAATTTTGCCCTCCTCCAGTTTTTTCGCTTTCTCGGTGCAGCCTAGTGCTTCTTGCTTTTTTTTCGAGCCGGACACTTTGATCAGTGCACTATTAAAGCCGGGACACTTTGGTTGCAGCACGATTTTGCAGTTAAAACGGGTGCGTTTAAACGGAGCGATAACACAGGTGTGGTCCGTGTGGAAATTAAACCAAGGCGGCTTTAGAAAATACCAAGACTGCGGTTTACGTAGCGTCTGCCCGGTAATACTTTTTGCTTAGTTTGTGGGAGGTATGAGTACAATCAAGCTCAATATTTCGCATAGAAACCGATGTACCAAAAGCTGCATTCGGAATTCGTTGTTCAGAAAATAGTGGGAGGAGTACAAGGTGGCCCAAACGTGGTGTGATGCTGGGCCTGCAACCACACCGGCACACATAGCAGACGTTTCTGCATTTCAGTTTTAAAAGGTCTTATTTTCGGGTGTATTGTTTTTCAGTAACGCCATACGAGCTACCAAAAAAAGTAGTTATTGCGTGGCTATCTCATCCACAATGGACAACTGAGAATACGAAGAGCGGTTACCCGCTCTTGGTTCCGTATTCTCCCGTCACTGAGTCCCGTCCCGTGGCATTAGTTAGTTAAACTATGACGTCATTCGTGAGCTTTACTTCCGTAACAAACAGACGGACGGACAGGCAGACAGAAAGGCAGACACTTTTTATTTCGCCGCCTACCCAGGACCTTATATACGTATAAAGCTGTTATGTATAAACTTTTTCCCGGTTTATATATATAATATTATATATAAACCGGGAAAAAGAATTTCTACGCCTACTCCGTAGTTGTGTACGTACAAGGATAAACTCTAAGTAAAGCAAAATTCTCTTTTAGCTTGAGCCTTGTGCGTTTTGCACATAATAATAATGCTTTTTATACATTCCCAGTCCGCACACGTATGGGCGTAGTCGGCATGTGAAACTTTTTTGTCCCTTTTTTGTCTCTTTTTTACCATTAAGTCGTTAACGGACTTAAAAAAAAGCATTTGTCAGTTTCTCTCTTAAAGTGCATCAGAATCATCAAAATCCATTTCCCATTGTTCAAGCAGAGTACGTTCGTGTGATTCCATTGGCAGCCACATTTGTTTCAAAGAATCTGCCGCGTCAGAAGTACAACCAAACGATGAAATTCGGTCAGGGGGGTTTGCAACTGATTGTTTTTCATTTCGTCCGTCTTCGTGCCAGTCCAATTTGAGTCGGTTCCAGTCCAAAGGACATTCATCTGTTTCATCTTTCTGCATTTTAAACTGTTTTGATGAGTGACCCTTTGACGGTAAGCAGCAGAATAGCAGAAAATACTGCAAGATACGTACCATCTCCCGCACAAGTCGTGCAGTTGTAAGCGGATCACGACTTTGCTTTTTCAACTGATCTGACTGCCGTTCGTTTGAGTTAGCTGTGATTTCGGTTTTATTATTTTTCCCTTCAGCCTTGGCGATGAGACCAGAAGAAGGTGCCAAAGATGCCTTCTCTTTTCCGGGATGCGGCCATTGAGAATTTCTCATCTGCTCTGGTGCAGGTTTTTCTGCTTCTCTGCGCGCTACCGCTGCACCAGCCGCAGTCATTTCTTTTTCAATGAATGCAGCCAGACGTTGAATAGACTGTTCTTGGTAGGGTGAAAGATCCATTGATGATGTAACGCTGACTGATTCGCTACTTTGAATGTGCTTCTCGGTTTTGACAGTGCTGTCCGCGGCAGAGTTCGGTCTTTCTAAGGCAGTTCCTAGAAGCTCCATAACTGTTTGGTTAGGGCTAACGGTGTTCATGCGTAGTTCTTGCCAAACACGGTGCTGAGCGAGTTCTGACGCTTTCTGCTCGCAAGCTGAAGGACTGTTCGCCACGCGATAAGGAGTGAAAGTGCTGCAGTCAGCCGAAACGTAAGCTTCTCCTTCGGGTGAATCGCGCATTATTAATTTTCCCGGCACATAGATCAAGTCGACGATGTAATTTGCTTCAAGACTGACTTCATTCCAACAACAATTGTCTTTGCGATGCAGCGATACGGGTAAAAGAAACTGGTCTACCAGATACTTGAACAAAATAGCACGGTAATAGCAACTTCTGCTTAAAATTTGTCCCAGGGGCACGCACCTGTTATCCAACATATTATCTGACAGGGTTCGAACAGGGCCTGCATAGCTTTCTGGATCCATACAGCTCATATGGGAAGCCACGAGTTTAGCTAAAATCGACATCTCTTCCCTGATCGAGCGACTTCCTTTCAATGCATCCGTCGCCTCACTTACCATTTTTACAAGATTCTGGTCGGCCGGAATTTTCGAGTGATCCTTGCTGAGCTTTATAGAAACAGTCGACGAATCGGGCGACTCTTCCAATCGAGAAGATGTGGCGCCATTGTCAATTCCGAGCTGTCCGTTTTCTGTGTCTGCTGCACCACCACGTGCCGGGACTGCAAAATCTCTGACGCAGATGTAAACAACTGGTGACATTTCTGGCGAATGCTTGTTTTGTAGAAATTCTTCGAAGCTCCAAAATCCTGATTCTTTAATTCCCGCTCGCATATCATAAAAGCCATGTTCAATGCGATCGTCGGAGCTAAGCGTATCTAACAGAGCGAATTTGAATGAAGTGTTCCAGTCAGCAAGACGCCGAAGCGCCGTCACTGCGCTCTGCTGATTGACAGGATTCATACAGCGCTGTGCTGTAAGCAGCCGTTGAATACAGCCAGCAGACGCCAGCTTAAATACAGCATCCTTCGTTATAGCCAGCACGGAGATTGCAAAGGTCACTTTGCGAAACACCTCTTCACTGCACGGATTGTCCATCATCGCGGTCAAGAGAGCGTAACCGTTCATTTTGGTGAACTCTGTCTTGCCCAAATCAGATTTTGTAAAAATGACGGCGCATGCAACAGCTGGAATGCGTACTGTTTCATCCGGATGGGTTAACCATGTAGACAAACTACGAAATACAAGTCCTTCCAAAGCGCGCTTCGTATCTTCTCGATCGCAAATGTTTGTGATGCAAGAAATTATGTTTCCCAGTAAGCCTGCGTTTTGGACCGAAATTATATCACTGAACGATGCATCGATTATGTCAGCTAACTTTTCCTTATGAAATTCGTTCTGAAATTGCTGGTCTCGTAGCACAAAATTATTGACTGCGAAAAACGCCCATTCGCGTACACATGCGTGTTTGGATTTCAGTAGCAGGATAAGTCGAGCTGGCACGGATTGATCTTGGAAATTCTTCCGGCAAACGTCGTTTACAGCAAGCTTTCCGATAACTTGCAAAACGACGGATTGAACTTGTGGTGAACTTGCTTCTAGTATTCGCATCAGTTTTTTGGCTACCCCGCTACTGCTCATTAACAAACATTCTTCTGGATAAGAAGCTGCATTTGAAATGCATCGCAAAGCAAAGATTTGAACGTTGTCGGCCTCGGCGTAATCAATCGATAGTGCCATATCAAGCAGGCAGTCATAGATACGTTGCTTTCCTAGTTCATGTGTAATACTTGGGATACCCAGTAGATTGCATAGAATCTCCAGAGTTTGGGCATGGAGAAATTGGAATTCCTTCGAGCTGAAGATCGACAGTATTGTGGACATACCTCCTGCTTCGCGAAACCGATCAATTGCTTTCTCGACTGGTGCGGTCAATAAACGATGCATAAGCTTCAAAGCAATACACTGGATGGTGGGAATCTCGCTGACTGCCTGTTGACATGCGGCTTCAAATCCACCTTGCAGAATCAACCATTTTTGAATGTCCTCATTAGCGCTCAGTCTTTCCAGAGCCTCAAGAACGTTCTCAATTACATCAGGATCCTGAGCATCAAGCAACACTATCTGTAAAAGGTTTTCCAACAAGCCAAGTTCGAGTACTGAATGCTGAACACTATGTATAACGGCAAGGTTGCGCAAAGCATAGGTTAGTGGATCCAGCAGCAGCGAACGCGTGCGAACGGTAAAAAGTTTTTCCACTTCGGCAATCCACGAAATACGCTCCAGCTCTGCCACGCAAACGCTGGACTGCGACAAACTCGCAAATAGAATTGCCGCTCGAAGTTGGATACTGGAACAATCACTTGATAAAAGCTGAATAATTCTTGCCACAGCCATTGATACATGCAGAAGTGCGGCTTTAACGTAGCCGTTGCCTCCTTCGTCGGGGCCATAAACAACATTTTTGGAAGAAAATTGCAACCGATCCTCACAACAGGCGATTAGAATGTCTAAGGCCTGAAGCAGGACACTCCTTTCACAACTTCGCAATAATATGACGGCATCCAAAGGGTTGTCAATGCTGAACTGCAGAGGATAAGTTACTTCGCAATTGAATTTTTGAACTTTAGCAGATGTTGTGACCAGATCTAACGGAATACTATTTGCACTTAAGGCCACAATTTGACGTTTGTTATAAATTTCATCGAAAATTGTTTCATTTAAAATTCCCGCACGCTGGAATAATTCCACTCCTTCAATAATTACATTTCTAAAGTGATGCTGTGAGTTCTTGCCATTTTTCGAAGAACTACCGTTGCCCGAATTCTTAAGTTCTTTCATATTCGCAACTCTTGCAGTGTCTTTCTTAAACTTAACAAAATTAGCAAAGGAATTAGAACGAAGTACCGTTGCCAGGTGACAAAAAAAGGAACACATAATTTTAAGGAAGTAACAACATAATTGTTTATGCCTGAATGTACAACGGTCGCTTGTGACCACCTACAACATCCTTATCAATTCTAACAGCGTGGATCTGAGATCCTGGCGCGTCAAACATCGCGTCTAGAAGGAGAGACTCTAGAATTGCCCGCAGACCGCGAGCGCCAGTTTTTCTGCCAAGTGCTTTTTCTGCAATGGCCACCACTGCATCGTGTGTGAACTGTAAATCCACCTGCAATGTATTAGAGTACTGTAACTCCTTGTCTGCATACTCGATATACGCTGCGTACTCGATCCACTCCAACAGTTTACATGAAATTTAAGCCGTACTCACGTTATCCATTTGAAAGAGCTTTTGGTATTGAGGAATAACAGCATTTCGTGGCTCGGTTAAGATTTGGACCAACATCTCTACTGTCAGGTTATGGAAGGGCACTACAACCGGCAAACGACCAATAAATTCCGGAATCAAGCCGAATTCCACAAGATCGCGGGCTTCCACACACTCGATCAGCGCATCTTTCACAGCGTTTTCTTCCGCCACACTTCTGGCTCGTTCGCAGCTTTGCGCGAATGCCTTCGCTGCAGTCTGGCTCTTCGCCAGAATTGAATGTTCGTTTTTCCGTGATCCAAATCCCAAAATCTACCAAATTCGGCACGGGCATCATAATAAGTACTTTAGGGCGAAACGAAAGTTATTAGGAAGAAGTATGAAGTTATGAAGAAGGGAAGTCAGGCACATACACGTTCATTGTTTCGATTACTGATTATCTTATCCAATCCAATAAACGCTCCCGATGCTATAAATAAGATATTGGTCGTGTCAACCGCTACGTTATTTTTTCGTCCTCCCGATGACTGTTGCACACTGACAGTTGTTCCCTCCAATAGTTTCAATAGCCCTTGTTGGACACCTTCTCCACCAACATCCCGCATTTGCTGTCCAGAGCTGGCTGCGCTGATTTTGTCTACCTCATCCAAGAAGACAATGCCTTGCTCGGCATATGGTACATTACCGTGTGCATCTGCCAAGAGTTTCCCTATTACCGACTCGATGTCTTCGCCAACATAACCGGCTTGAGTAAGAGCGGTACAATCACAAATGGCAATGGGAACGTCCAGGCAACGGGCGATGCTTTGTGCTAGGAGAGTTTTCCCAGAACCGGTTGGGCCGAGCATAAGTATGTTAGATTTCTCTAAGCGAACGTCGTGTGCACCATTGACAGGCTCTTCGTCTAAGAAACTGCGACGCGGAGGGGCAGTTCGAATTGATTCTCCTCCGTTAATGTTTTGCGGCGATCCTGCTGCAAACGTTTTTCTGTTATGTATGTTATTGTAAAGAGGTTAGAGGCTCGGTAAAGAGCATATGAAGCCGACTTGCCTAGCAAAAGTATTGGACTTTGGTCGTGGGGTGTCAGTGGCTTGCCGGTCACTTGCAGATAATTAGGAATGTTTTTATGAAGTCGTTTGTAATGATTGTATACGGCCACTGATAACACCTTTTTGGCATGCGTTTGTCCGATGACGTACTTTTCCAGATAATCAAATATCTGAAAATATTGGTCATGTTCTTGTAGCTCAGGTGAATTAATCTATCTCAGCTCTCAGGGCGTTTTTAGTAAAGTAAGGAGTTGATCTTGCGTCTGCTCCTGTAGGTCTGAGATTCTGAGTGTATGCAAATGTAACTGCAACCCTTTGATCTTATACCGCTGTCATTTTTACATACAACTTTTGGGGGCGGCGGAGGTTTACGGACTGCTTGTTGCGGTTGTTCGGCAAGCGGAGGAACGGGGACTGGCTGTGGTGCAGCGGAAACTGATTGCGAAATTGGATGGTCCGGATTCAGTTTAGGTACCTTACCTAAGTCAGCACTTGTGCTGACGCCGTTAGATTTGGTTATCATCATAAACAGATGATTGCATGAGCGGCAGTTAGCAAATTTTGGAGACGCTGAAGTTGTAAAAATGACACGGAATCAAAACGTGGTGAATATTGCGTCATGAGCTGATGTTTCACCTGGAGGCATGTCTAGCATGATACATGGTCCACCACACCTGGGACAGTTGATGATTTCACGGTCACTACCGGCTCCAGATCTCCCAACTGAGCCTGACCCCGTTACGTGACTGCCGCTACCAGTCGATGATGATGGAATACTGGGGCCACTGTTCGATGCACCTTGTAAAAGTGTGCCATTTGAGTTTTCGCTGGCAAAGCTGTAATTTCTGAGTGAATTATGTAATCCAGGTCTGCCGTTGTGGGTTTCAGTCCAGTGAAACGTTCCAGTGGACCAACTGCTTCGATATGGCGGATAAGTTTTAAGTCGCCGTTGAATGTTGCATCGCTTCTTTTTCTTTCTTTTAGCCAAAGGTGATTTAGAAGTTTCCTCACGGTTTTTCCCCTGGCATTCATGGGCGCCGGTCTCATTTTTCCCGCATTTCAAACAAAGTGGCGATGATAAGGAACTGCGGTAATCTTTTGTGACGGAAGTGCCAATGCTTCGGTACAATGTTCCCGGAGTGATAACATGTTGTGAACCGAATGATGATGCTGGCCACAAGAAAGCTGGAGCGCGATTGAGAATCTGCAAGGATCTAACAGCTATCGATCCCCAGGCCATTGCGTGACATGAGTGAGTAAGAAATACTACAGGCGCATTTTGAACCTTTTATATGTAATCCGTGTCGTTCATGGCGATAAGCTCCTTCTGGGAGCGGTGTCCTCCCACTTGCGGTTCGCTCTCCGTGTACGACTGCATACAGACGCATTTTAACTATACGCTCGAACTAGACTCACGGGAATTTTTTTCGTTGCTCAGAGACCTGAGGCCAGTCTTGAGCTAACAGATAACAGCGCCAAGAGATTAGGTGCTTGGGCGTTGACGGTTTTTGGCGTCTGACGACCCGTGGGCAAGCAGGTTAGGCGTGCTATGTTGTGCTTTTAATATCAATAGCGCGATAACAATATCAAGATCTAGTTAAACAAAACAACATTTTCAACCGTACCCCTTACAGAAGCGGCAGTACCACGTTGAATTGCTAAAGAGATGTTTTTTTCAAATACTCAAGGCTACGAATGTCTCCGGTTTGTAGTGAAACCCTCTTTCCAATCTCATTAACAAATCTTTTGGCCGATGTACCGAAACTGACGAATGTTTCGAAGCCGACAGACGTAAACTCGTATCGCCCCGATGTGCTTGGTGTCCTAGGGCCATCATGATAACGTAATCAGTAATGCAACCCCTTATTTATAAATTGTGATCATACGACCCCTCAAAGGGTTTATTGAAAAGCATTCAGAACGAAACATCCCAAAGCAAGATGGCCCGCCGCGCAGGGAAATTATGAACGTAACAGAAAAATGTCGCGGATTGGAACAGACAGGAAGACAATGCAAGGCTGTAAAATGAGCATGAGGGAGCATTGTATCCATACAGTATTATAATAATAAGGGATTTAGTGTCTTCGTGCGAGGGTCGTGCCCTTTTACAGCAGTGGACAGTGCAGCAATTTTGCATATAAGAACAAACGTGATGGAAAGTGATATAAAAATGCAAACAACAGCGGAAAAAAAAAAAAGACAAAAACGTTGGTGTTGGACTGAGTGCAGTGATATGAATGCAGTGAGTGCGATGGTTTGGACTGATAGTGGAAAAAAGGTGAGTTAGACGATTGTACTGGTGTCCATGCATAAAACCAAAAACCCGCCTAAGAAGAAAAATATCCGTAAAAAAATTAAGGTCAAAATTTTCACAATTTCAAAACATTTAATTAAACTTGTAGGAGAAATGGATAGCATGGACACTGGTGTCCATGCATAAAACCAAAAACCCGCCTAAGAAGAAAAATATTCGCAAAAAAATTAAGGTCAAAATTTTCACAATTTCAAAACATTTAATTAAACTTGTAGGAGAAATGGAAAGCATGGACACTGGTGTCCATGCATAAAACCAAAAACCCGCCTAAGAAGAAAATTATTCGCAAAAAAATTAAGGTCAAAATTTTCACAATTTCAAAACATTTAATTAAACTTGCAGGAGAAATGGAAAGCATGGACGCTAATGTACTGATCGTCTGTGTACTGAGACAACGAGCAAAATTACAAGCAGTAACATAACGATTTGATTGCATATGGGGGAACACTTTATTGCATATGCAAGAATTTCTTTGACCATTTCAGTTCTTTCCAATTGACGTCATCCAGAGCTTGACGGAACGTTCGGAGAAATTTGTAGGAGGATAGTGGTAAGGAGACTTCATTCCACAGAGGTGTTATTCTGTCACTGAAACCGCCGGAAACAGGGAGGACCGTAACGCGACATGCAGTTGTCGGTGCTGGCGAAATTGGTAAATAATGGTTTTCAAGCCACCGGATACTTCGCGCGTTTCCAGAAACAGATTGAGACAAGACAGCAGACACTGTGTGCTTTTGTAAAAACTTGTCACATAAAGGTGTAATTTCAAAAAGAAGCTTGTAAATAAAAATCAATAATTTTTTGGCATTTCGTATTCTGAAATTGTCCGAGTGGAGTTCTTCCAGCCTGAGCCGATATTCACAAGTTTCGTTGCCGAGACGCACCGAGGACACAAACTTTTCGATACAACGCTCAACTTTATCCTTGGAAGTTTTAAGCAGTGGAAAAACGACAGGCGCACAATAATCCATAACAGGAAAAACCAGTGATTTAAATAAAGAAATTCGTGCGGCAGAATCGCGAAAGCGAAACAATGAATTAATATACCAAATTCTTTTTTTGCATTTTAAAGAAACATTGCCTGCATGGGGTTTAAAACAAAGTTCACGATCAATTTCAACGCCTAAATATTTAACTTTTTCGCGATAGCTAATCAGCACTCCGTTTAGACGAAATTCACCCTTCATATCAACAAAACGTTTTTTGGAAAACTGCATATGAACGGACTTATCAGCTTTAAAGCATAAACCATTAGATGCCGCCCAATAGAAGAGAGAATTTATGTCTTCCTGCAAAAGGTCACTGCTGTTTTCGGCAACAAGAGGACGTAGTAAAACAATGTCATCAGCGAAAATCAATACGATGCTGTTATTAAGTAGTATCAACGGCACTTTGTTTAATATACAAATGAACAGTAACGGTCCCAAAATTGAGCCCAGAGGTACACCACTTGTAACTGCTGATATTTGAGAACAGAACTCGCCAAGAGAAACACACTGGGTACGACCTTTAAGGTAATCGTAGATTAAATGGACTATTTGACTGGGTACACTTAGCTCGATTAACGATGTGATGATGCTAAGGTGGTCGCACTTGTCAAAGGCTTTAGAACAGTTGAGAAAAACCGCAGCGACATCTATTCCATTACCAATAAAATCCGAAACAATTTTCACAAAGTAACAAATTTGCAATTCCGTGGAGCGTTTACGGCGATAAGCAAATTGGTGGTTGCCGAGAGCGTCGTTCGTGCGTAAACAATCATTTAAAACTTCGGATAAACAGCGCTCAAAAATTTTCGAAATCGGGTTAAGCAAAGATATTGGGCGGTGGCTGCTGGGAAGGGTCAAATCACATCCTTTTTTGGGAATGGGCACAACGTACGACTTTTTCCACACTTGTGGATATGTACCTTCATTGAGCGCTGCATTAAAAATTAGGCTCAATGGAAAAACGATTGGTTCACCCGCTGCTTTCAGCAACTTATTTGTCACTTCAAACTAACCACTTGACGTACTCGTACAAATTAACGACAACTGCAACAATATGGTAGAAATGTCGACAGTGACCCTAGAAGTGTTGCTGCATACCAAATCCGAAGGGGCGATACGACAATTTTGGAGACAGGCAGAATGAAATGCACAAAAAACAGTATTTAGCACCTCGGCTTTTTCACGATCCGTACAGGCAAGAGCTGGGCCGTCAGTTTTAAGGGGGGCAATGGACTGTACACAATTTCTGGTTTTCATGAACTGCCAAAATTTCGTCGGATTATTTCGATAACTTAATGCACTTTCCGTTATTCGATGGCTTTCGAACTTTTTCACTACTTCCTCTGCATTACGGGATAACACTAGCCATTCTTCCCTCCTCTTAGCACGCAAGGTAGAGACAGCTTGGCGATAGCGCCTAAATGCTTTATCGCGAGCACGTATCGCTTTTTTAACGGGGAGCGGATATGCAGGCATGCCAGTTTTTATTTTACCCGCTTTAAGAAGAAATACAGATTTTGCAATACTTAAGAATTTTTCTTCAAAGGCAACAGCTCGTTCTTCAGCGCTAGAATTATTAAACATAGTTACCCAGTCAACATTATTTAAAATCTCTTGAAAAGCGATAAATTTATTAGACGCAAGAAACCATTTTTTTACTGTGAGTACTACAGCCCTTTTGACTTTCGCTTTCATATCAATTTGCAAACCGATGTGGTCATTAGATACGGATGGAGGGGCAATTTGGCTGACGTTTCTACACAAAGTATTCGTGGAGAAAAAGCACAGATCGAGACAGTTTTGTTTTCTAGTGGGAAATTTAATCAGTTGCTGTGAATTAAACAGTTTGAGAGAAAACAAAAGATATTTAACACCAGCAGACCGAGCACAAAGCGAAAGCCAATCTATGTCAGGCAAATTGAAGTCGCCCATAAGAACAGTTTTTGCTAGCATTTCTGTAGAGAAATTATCATGCAGGTGTTCAAGGTTAGGTAAGATTCACATAATCATAATCATAAAACATAACTCATAAAACATAAACATAAAACATAATTCATAAGCATAATCATAAACACAACTCATAATTTTACTCATAAAAGTGTTCTTGCTCATAAAGAACGATAGCGCGCTTAATAAATGCTTTATACCGATAACATCTACATATATACACTACAGTACGTATTCTAAAAGTATGAAATAATTTTACCGACTGTTGCTTACACTAGTAAGCTGACACGGTAACTATGATACAGTACTGTGGTTTAATAAGACTTATTAAGGCTTAGTACTGTACTGTTACCCTGCACTTGCCGAAATTTCGTACAGTGTGCGCAGTTAGGTGCTGTATGCCGTCTATGACAATAGACAACTTTATTCCCCCAGATTTCTTCTGGCAGAGGCACACCATGCGTTGTGCCGTATGCTCAAGCATAAACAAGCATAAACAATTATGTGATTTTGCAACACACACTGAAGATGTCAAGGAAATAATATTAAGCATAACAAGTTAGAGATGCAAAAAACCTCATGCAAAATTAAACAAAAATGAATTTATGGATTTGACTACATTTTAGTTATACCGTGCACAATTTAAGGCTTTACGTAGGCAACAGTACTAATTCGCCGCTAAATACTTTGCGGCTATCTATCAAAACCTGGTTAAAAAAGTTGCTTAAACAAAAGAACAATGTTTTCTCGTACTCCATCGGCGTCTCCTTTCTTCGTAGTAAAGTCTGCATTGTTTCCACTAGTCCGCCGTCCTGTATTGAATGGTCATGGGCAGCTAGCCGCTCCTGCAGTTTCTGTCTGTGTGGAAAATACGCAGGACATTCATTCAGAGCATGATACTCGTCCTCCACAACCCCATAGAAGTTACATATCCGCTCCTCTCGGGGCAAAGCGTTCCATCTTCCTGTCTCCACAGCAAAGTAGTGGCCGGAAGTCAACATTTTCATCCAGTTTCCGCTTGTCATTGCAGGCATCGTTTTCAATAGGTGCACTTCTCCGCTTTCTGGTAGACACTGAAACAAGAACGCAACCTGCTGCTCCTGGCAGCATTATCCTGTACCGACTTAAATAGATTCATCCGGAATGTTTTCTCGAGCCTCGACATTATGTCAACTGAACTCAGCTTTGCTAGCTGAATACGAATATCTTGGACGGTATTTGTTAAGTTAATTTCGATTTCTTCCGGTAATTGCCTAAGCGCGTTTTTTAGCCAACATCGCGTTCTCTTTTTGCCAACCGAAATGCTTTCCTCAAATGCTGCTCGAAGAAGAGTGCCTGAGTTTGCGTGACTGAGCTTTTCGATGAAGCGCATCTGCTGTCTTACTTGTCTTAAACTTAGTGGTAAGAGATTCAAAAGGTATACAATAGCATCAGTGCTCGTAGTGCTTCGGAGGCTAAAAATCCGTTTGGCAAAGTTTATTTGCACTTTGTCAATTTCGCTGTTTTTCCCGCATAATTCCGACCCATTATTTTACTACGCTTCCTACAATTGCTTCGAAAATTGTTTGCGCAGTCTTCCACGTAAACCCGGTTTTTAACCCTGACAATTTCTGTACTGCCATGTTATATCCCACTTTGACTCGCTCCGTTAAATGTTCAGCTGATTTTTCAGATCACACTGTTCGTTTAACACAAAACCCAGGTACCTAAATTCTTCAACCTGTTTCAGTTGTCGCCCATCGATCTCAATGTGGCAGGAAATCTGCCTTCGCATACCACCTTTCGCTACCATACAGAAAGACTTCGCGTAATTTATTATCAGCTCATGATCCAGCGCAAACTTACTTAATCGTTCTACCGAAACCAACAACTCATCTTTGTTTCCGCTTTTCAATACAATATCGTCGGCAAATTTTAGGAGGTACACTGGTAGTTCGCCAAGTGTAATATCGGTTGTACGCCCCTCTCTCACATATTTTGTTAAAAGGTCAACGTATATATCGAATAGCATTCCTGAGGACGGATCTCCCTGTCTAACACCTTTTTCTAACGGGAAAAATTTTGAAAACTGGTTATTCCATTTCACACAATTTTTTGCTTTTTTTTTTTTTAAAAAAAAATGCAGCATTTTTGATGAAATTCCTAACTCAATTAAGCGTTCCCACAATTTTTGGTGGCACACTGTGTCAAATGCACTCGTAAAATCGATAAAAGCAAGGAAAACCGGCTTTTTCTGGAAAGCATATTTCTCACAGATTATATGTAATACGAACACCTGATCCATTGTGCTCCTGCCTTCTCGAAACCCACCTTGATCATCTTCAATGTTTGCCTAGAGCTCAATCCTTTTTGCTATAACTGACGATAACAGACGCATTGGTAACGGTTCTACGACAACTGGTCGACAATTTTCAGGACAATACGTTCTTGCTGGTTTCGGTACCGGCGTCAACGTGCCATTTAGCCAATCTTGTGGGATAAATCCCGTGTCAAGCACATAATTAAATGTATCTGCCAAAATTTGCAAAAACTGGTTGTTTGCACACATTTGTTTGAACGTTTCAGTGCGTAGCGGAAACGCACCGCTGCTGCTTCCGCCGCTTATTTTTTGAACAACTCTTTCAATTTCTGAAACAGTGATTTTAGAGTCTAATACCGGTATCGAGGGGGAAAGGTTCTCGTTTTGTTTTGTGGTTACCGCTGGAACATAGGCTGCCTGCTGTCTAAAATTTTCGTATAGGTCATTCAAGTTGAGAGGAACGGCAGAGTCACATTTGACTTCGTTTCCCCTGAAGCCTAATATGTTCCAAAACATTTTCGGGTTTTCGTGTTGTAAACGCTTTACTCGATTCCAGTACTCTTGCTCATAAATGGTATTGTACTGCCTTACCTTTTTCTGAAATTGGTTTCTCGCCGACCAAAAGACCTCCCGCGTTTCTTCAGTGTTCTTCGCATTCATTTTTTTCCAACATTGTATTTTGATGTTTTTTAGTTCGAAAATTTTGTTCTGCATTACCTGAAGTTGTGGTGTAAAAGGGTCAAAAGGTATCCGTCGTTTTCTGGTGTTCAGTCTTACATATTCGACCACGCTGTCAAACAAAGTTGTACCCAGATTTCTCATATACTGGGCTTTATTCCCGCTGAGAAAAAACACAACATGCTGTCAATCTTCGGCGTTATCAGCGAATTCTTGTCATTAAACTTTGTACCGTTATTTTTGGATGACCTTGCGATGTCCATGTTTACCACTATTTTGAGCGGTAAATGATCTGAAAAATCAGAATTTTCAAAATATCAAACTTTAAAACTTTTTCAACTGCCTGCTGAAAAATTATCATATAATCTACGACTGATTGACCATTGTAATGTATACACGTATACTTAGATGGGAAGGATTTTCCAAAAGACATTAAGCCATTTACCGGTATCATACCGTTCACGTTACAAAACTCAATTAGTTTTTTCCCTCGTGCTGTCGGACGACTATGCTGATTATCCACATTCTGCAGATGAACATATTCAATAATTCCCGACTCATTTTCCAGGAGAGAATCTTCCTGCCACGCTTTTGGCTCTAAATCTGCTATGCGTGCATTAAAATCACCGCATAACAAAACGTAGCCATCGGACTTTGCGCGCTGAACTATTTCTGTAAGTTTTTCGAAAGTTTCTTTATCATCAACGTTCACTACAGAGTTGTACGGGGCGAGGTAGGCACATACCATGACAACATTTTCTTTTTCAGAAACATTTATTTTTACTGCTAAAACATCGCAACTAGCTTCTTGGTCGTATACAATGCTACACTTGAACTTATTTTTTAAGTATACTGTAATGCCGCCTCCAGCAAATGTCGTTCGCACCTTTGACACCGTTTGATAGCCAGCCACTTGTTTTATTTCGTATTCGCTTTTCAGATGTGTTTCAACAAGTGCAACAATATCATGTTTCTTGATGAATTCAGTGAAATCTTTTTCGAACAAATTAAACACTCTTTTTAAACCGTTAACGTTCAGATAGACTATCGATAACTTCGTGTGCAAATTTTCGGTTATACACGTATTCCTGCTGTTACCGCTCTCTTCCGTTGACCACTTGAGTAGCCCGACAGATGGTTCCATACTAAGATTACGTTCCGTTGACACATTTGGTAGCCCGACAAATTTTTCGTTAATATCGCACTGCTCCGTTAAGCTCAGCCGATCGTTAAGTCGAAATTCCGATTGACGCCATCTCTGTTTAGCTTTAGTATCCATTAGTACAAAATAGTCCCGATTGACGCTCATGTGGTTCAGCTAGTGGAGTATCGGTACACTGTCCACCATTTTTTATAAAACCAGCACACGAGTTATTCAGCTCGCTGTCTATCATGTTGGCCCTTCCGACCGTATCTTTTTCGATTATGTATACTTTCAATACAGTACATTCTGTTTGGTCTTCCAGTGACGGGCTATCAACCCGGATATCAATGTGCTCGATCATTTGCGAGGTCCGGCAGCCTGATCTACGGATAATTCCGGTCTGGTTTTGTGTATTCATCTTGCTTTCATGACAGTAATCCGCAAACGTTTTACAAAAAGAACTTTCAGCATTTTTACACAAATAATATGGATCAGGGTCATTCGTTGTCAGGGCTAGTTTTTTGAAAAAGTTCGGGTTTTTAGAATTTTACTGACCTTTATTTTAGTATCGTGATAAACAGGACACCGCTTATGGTCAAACGCATGATGTTGGTTTTCTCCTGGCTGTCTTCCCGAGCTGATGCAATTAATGCATTTAGGAGCATCGTCCCAGTTGCAATTACAGTTTTCAAAACGATGTGATTCATTACAAAACCCGCAGTGTGTTGCAAAAGTGCATGTTTCTTTTCGATGGCCGTACCGACAGCAATTCCCGCACTGAATTATGTGAAAATGTTCTTCAACTGGACATATTTCAAAATCGACTGTAACCTTTCCCCTTCTCAGTAAAGATTCCGCAGTATCAGCGCTAACTTCAACTACAAAAGCACACGTTTTTATGTTTTCGTTTCCGCTCTCGAGCTTCACAACCACTTTGATATTTTCCTGAAACTTCTCCAGCGAATTTTGACTGATAAGCTTTTCCAGAAATTCAGCTTTAGAGACGACCTTGCTAACTTTACGGATAATTAACCGAGGCAATTTCTGTTTAGGTTCAGACACAGAACATTTCAGACTGTCGCTGCGTTTAGTGATTTCCGCCTTACCTTTTTCGTAGTCCGCTCGAGTTGGAAACGTCATGATCACTGACTTCCCGTGGCCCGCTTTCACATTTTTCAGTGCGAATGTCCGGCTTTCGGGTGGGATATGGTCCTGAAGAGAAGCTTTGAATGATCGTATGGTTTGTGGGTCTGGCTTCGCGGGTGTGTTGGTGTTACCGGCTTTTTCCACATCTGTTGGTCGAATACTTAGCACATGATCTGACTGCACATTTTCCCTGTTTGCGCTCCAAAATTCACGTCGGTTATGGGGTGCACCGGCATTATTGTGTTTGATATGAGCCGGTTGCGTGTACATTCTGCTATGTCCGGGTGCGCCGCCATCTTGGATTTCGATTATCTCAGGTTTTTCACTGCCGGCTTCTTTCCATGCTTGTAAATCTTTTCACAGTTACGATCGCTATGTGAATCGTGATAGCGATCGTACAACGTACGCCTGGCTGCACTAGTGACTTTCGGCAAGTGCAGGGTACAGTACAGTAGGTAGCAGTACAGTACTTTACAGTATCGCTGTACAAAGACGTCACAAAATTAAGATATAAATGCATGTCACAAAAACACGAAATAACAAAATCTTAAAGCATGGAAACTGCCATAAAGTGGCTCGTGCACGGTAACATGAATCTTATGTCATTCAAAAGAAGTTTAATTGTAACTATTTTCTTGAAAAACAAAGATCAACGCAAAGCCATAAACTCATCGCTATTCAACTGGCGAGTTTCTATTGTTCTCATACTGTGGCGAAAAAATCGGCAATCTCCTGTAACTCAGTTTGCGAAAACAAAATCGCTTTATCCATTTGGCACTGCTTCGGAGAGAATTTTGGATGGCGTTTTCGGACACAAGCAACCTGCATGCAGTATCTTCTTTTTCGAGGTACACTGATTATGGACTTTCCTCCCGTTCCGTTTTGGTAGTCAAACTCCTCCCTCGCGACGAATAACTGTGACCCTGTCCTGTTCTTCAGGATAGTTTTACAACCTGGGCAGCAACATTGAGCGTGGACCTGGTTTTGTTTAGAAATAACGAATGGTTCCGAGGCCTCCGTTTTTCGGGTCTTTGAAACATGTGATACATCTTGCTGAAAAAAAAAGATCTTATAGTCTTAATAATACCTTACAAGACTCAGAAAAATGAGAGCACCTGTCAATAACATTTGCCGGCGTACACGCCCCCGTTAATTTACCAGTTCAGGAAAACTGACCTTGTCCAAATCTTTCCAACGGCTGTTTCAGTAGTGCCCGATTTTATACGCTCTTTATTGCCCCTGGCAAACAAGATATACGGTTCCGGATACAGATCCACGACCGAATGTTCAGAATGCTCATCAGCTGACAATATTTCGGAGATGTCGTGCTCGGAACTGACAGAGTCCAGCGAAACTTACATGTCAGGAAAGCTCAAGCTCGGTGATGGAGATCTAAGTTCTACGGACCTGTACAACGAAGTTCGCCATGCATGACGTGTATAACCTGATATACAAAGAATTTACCTCTTTCGCTTTCTTGCCGGGTGCTCTTCGATGTCCATCGATGAGGCTGCTCTATCCATGGTGCCAAGAACGTCCATATTTATACTTAGCACGAAAACGTTCGGCGCATGTCAAAGAGCTGAACGCAGGTCAAATTAAGCATACATCCTGCATAATCGAGTAAACATGGGAAGACACATTGTCTTTGGTAGCGGCACGGGCTTTGTTACAAGCAGCGGTGCTGCCATCGCCTGCCACAAGAGCGGCACGGGCGCTATCAGCCTCAGCCTGGATAACGGGGGCAAACTGGTGCATGGGGTTAGATGGCGATTGTATTGCCTCCTCGGCGGCACACTGAACTGCTGGGTCAGTACTAGAGATTAGACAATCAACAATAAGACCACTTCTAGCTTGGTAACAGATGTTTTCAGTGGCGCGTTTAGGGGGGTGCCAGAGGAGCCATGGCTCCCCGTAACTTGAAGATTCGGGGTACTCCAAAAATGGCAATGGTACCCCCTTGACAAATTTTCGGCTAATTTTAAAACTGGCGCACAATACAAAAAAAACCATGTTTTTGATAGATTTAAAGTTATCGCCCTGCGGTAGAAACAAGGAATCAGTTGTTGTCTTGACCACTGGCATTTAACTGGAATTTGGAATTTATGAGTTAATTTTTATGAGCGTAGTTTATGATTATGTTTATGAATTATGTTTAATGTTTATGAATTATGGTTTATGATTATGATTATGTGAATCTTACCTAACCGGTGTTCAATCAGAACGAACATGTCAGAATGAGATTTGTCAGGGGAGGAGAGTAATATACAATAAAGAATTTATCTAGGTCAGCCGAATGCACACAAATTGCTTCAATGCTTAATGGCTCTCGTTCAGGGCATCGGTACGCTGTGTACCGTTTGCGTATAACCAGAGCAACACCACCACCCGTATCATAAGACCTTCTTCTTCGAAAGACGTTAAAAGACCGTTGATCAGCGAAGAGAGAATCAGTGTAGGGCTCTTTATCCCTGGTTTCGACAAGTCCAGTTATGTCTGATTCGGAACAAAACAGCTTGACCTGTGCCATTTTAATACAAATGCCATTAATAGTACAGAAACGGATACGCACGTATTGCCGATTGCGCTTACGCGCGACACATTTTTTGGTAAAATATAACAACAACTTTTAGTTGAATAATCAGTTAATTTTGCCGGTTTTTTTAATAATTTCGGTTGAAAAAGTAACGTGAATTTCGAACTTCTGCAAAAGAGTGACACGTCGACTGATCAAAAGCAGAGTGTTGATTTTCTGGTGCCGGCACACCATTAGCAACACAGTTCACACAAACACAAGCATAATTCTCATTTTCCGGGCAATCGGAGGCTTTATGCGGCTTAGTACAGTATGCACAACGCGGAGCGTTCTGACATTTCGATACAGTGTGGCCATACGCACAACAACGCCTGCACTGCGGAACGTAAAAGTGATCTTCACTGGGACAAACAAACCAGCGAATCAAAAGGGACTTTTTCGTTAGCAAGGAATTGCGACTTGCCTGATCAACATCCAAAACATAAGCGCACGTAGTTACATTTTCGCGATAGCTAGCACCCGTGCTCCATTCCTCATTCAACTACGGATACGGCCGAACGATACGGACCTTGTTGTCTATAGCGTTTAGTCTGCGTGCTTTATACACGTTTATGTCAATGCTTAGCCATTGTTTAGTGTGCCAGTGCATGGGTCTAATAATGCTTGCAATTCTGAGCTGTGTTGTATCACATGCCTTCTGTAGCGGAGTTTGATAATGAGCGTGTGTTGTGTTCGGCCAGGTTTAAATTCCCATGCTGTATGCAAAACACAGCAGGTTAATGGGTTACCTGCTACCAAGAAGAAACTATTAAACTATTAAACTATAGCTTTTAAGTTTGGTAACAACCTTTAGTATGCATTCATCGGAAAGATTATTTTTTGTGCGAATATCATTTAAGACGACATCTTCCGCTAAATCAACAGGAACACGGCGCACAATAATTCTGTTCAAGCGAACTTTAGTTTCGACTACCTCAAGCCCAATGGTATTAGCATGTTTACTCAAGATTTCTTTACCTTTCTGGGCGCTTTCGATGTCGTTGAACTCCAAAAGAACTCCTTTTCCATGGATAGGCCGCATATGGGATACAGTCAGGTCAACGGTATCGGGAGGTAGTGCGTTATTCAGGGCGTTGGAGATCTTTGCCATTTCAGCAACGGTGGTGCGTGAACGGTCACCAGTCGGAGGGGACGTAGGCTTCAGGATAAGTGCCGGTGGCTTCGGAGTGGCATTATTGGACAGACCGCGGCTTTCTTCCAGAATGGGACGATGTACAACGGGATTGATTTGGCAATGGACGCGAAAGAAGGCTTGAAGACAGCGGTTGGGAAGCTGACTGTTGACGTGGAAGCGCGAGATTCACTGAGTTTCTGTACTGTTTGTTCATGAAGTTCGGCCAATCGATCAGTCCATTTATGAAGAAGTCCAGCACTTTCACCAAGGAGACCATACTGAGCAGTAATGTTACACTGAACAAGCTTCGTAATAAATTTGTCGATCGTATTCTTCACTTTAGCAAAACCAAGATTAGATGGATCGGTAGATTTAAGAGATTCAACAAAATCAGCTATCTCATCCCCCATTTTGGGGATAAGTTTAAACGTAAAGGTCACCCAGTTATTACGTGCAGTTTGTAGACCATCAGAAAGTCTAAATTTATTACCCAGTTGATAGAGCTGCAGAGGCAAGAAAAAATATATATAACAGATGTGTAGTCGTACGCAGTCTGTAGTTTTGACCTTCGCACTATGCTGTAAACATAAAGCAGGCAAAGCGCACGCCTAAGCAGAGCAGATCAATCATCAGAGAGAAAGGAAAGAACCGCCGCAACCTGGCCTATATAGACGCGGTCCCTGATAAAATATTATCTTTTGTCACAGCCAGCACTAATAAAACTTAAAAATATTAGTTCTTTTTATGAGACAGATACTGTATGTACAGACGTACTGTTTTTACTTGGTAAGATGAGTATCTACTTGTATGTTAGATTGTTCTTCTATTTTTTAAGCATAGGCCGCTAAAAGCATAGAAATTAATCAGAAAGAGAAACCCATTACGAAGTTGCTAGCAGTCAATAATATTTTTCTTCGTTTTTGTCTCGGGAAGTTTGTAAGGGTTGGCTTGAATTTGTGCACGATTCTCGACAGCATTCTGTACAGGAGAAAGTTGAAATTTCTTTAGCTGGCGCGGAGTGTGGGGAAGGCCTTATTGATTCAGTAAATTATGCCCGGTTCCCTTAAACGCAGTAAAGGAAGAACTTTTCTGCAAGTAAAAACAACCATTGAGACCGTGCAGCTTTAAAGAACTGGAAACAGAAGAACTTTTGGGACGACCAAGTTGCTTTCGCAACAATGTTTGTATATCTTGATAGTATTTCGTTATTTGAAACTGATAAAGGCCAAATAAACCAAATTAATCCCCATAGTGCAAAAGCCAGACCCTGCTGTCCCAGCAGTACTTACGGTTAGTACTCACTATAAATCATGTTAGTACTCACTCACTCACTACTGTGATTCTACACGGTCTCAACACACGTTTAGAAAGCTCTTGATAAAGCGACATTCTTGCCTGCTCTGGGAGCTCTGACTTTTGCATGCAACGTCGAAAGGTCAACAATCCAGGTCTCCAGTTATAATTTGGAATCCCGCTAAAAGCACATTTCGAATAAAATTTAGTTACATACTCAACAGTCAACACAGTTGAAAATAAAAAAGTTTAAGTACAATGATTAACTATTTCACAGGTCAGAAATCGACATTTGCAAACCGTTGCACTCGTATGGGCAAGTAATTTTTTTTCCAGCCACCTAGTGTACTGGCACCACTGGTATCGTGCTTGTGCCATGCACTAGTATGGGATTTACCGGATGCTTATGGTGGCGACATCAACCATGCGGGCAGTGTTGAGCAGATCTTGGGCTGTTTCCAGATTATTCTTTCGTTTCGTGCCCCCTAAACGCCTGCCCGCGCCTTCAAACGGCTGTAAATCGGATTTATTGCTGGCGCACTATCGAAATATTTACTCGAAACTTACCAAAAATTTCAGAACTCCAGGAATATCATTTGCATCAATTAGGATTGGCTAACATTAAGTAGATAAGTTAAAGAGTTCGGTTCATGATGCACTCGCTAATGTTACTAGTAATCAATGGTTTTTGATACTGCTAATTTTTTTACCTTCTCCTTAGCCGAAGAATTTTTTACTACACTTTTCGGCTCTTTATAATCCAGCGGTGCGACAAAATCCACTTGCATATCGCATTCAATTATGGATACGGCCTCTGCCGGCTGTGTTTCTAATACTATCAGTTCGAAAATCTGTAAAATGCATTTTGATGTGATAACAGGACTTTTAAAATTTGAAGGTGACAAGTAAAGTCGCAGATAGTAAGCATCACCTTCTCGTTGTATTCAATCGCTACCGCATCCCCGGACGTTAGACAAGCAAATCCTCGCAAGCCGCGCTCAAGTCTGCTCGCATAGGGAATTTAGCACATTAAGAAAGCTCACGCAATTCCCCTTATATGCGGGCATATAGCAGAAATCGTAAAATAATTATTAAACAGTGACGATTTACTTGACAATAAATTATCACTTAAAAGACGAGATTTATTATACAAAAGATTTATTGTAACAAGATTTATTATTGATTTATTATTGATTTATTATTATTATTACGAGATTTATTGTAACAAAGTTCCGACATACACAGCTCGGGGGTCAGTAATATCCAAAAAATCAGAAGACACAGGCTGAAACTTGGAAAACGTTGCAATCGGTAAGGTACAGCTTTCAACTGATAAGACATCGCCATCGTTGAGGCATAAGTTTTTCATCATCTATGGGGGTAAACTTTATGACACCCGATTATGTAGTGGCATATTTTTTTTACTGCCGTTATGTCACTTATATGCTTGCGTCCGTATTTTACAGAAGGCTTTGTTAACGTCGAAAATGTAGCGCTGGTCACACACCATGTGCCATAAGAGCAGTTTAGTACCCAAGACGGCAAATAAATCCGGCCTTCTTCAGCAACGAACTCGAGGACTCCACAATGAGATGACTTTGCTTTTGCGCTGTTGGTAATTTTGAACAGCATGGGAAACTGCACATTCATGCGGCTCAAGATGTCCAGAGCGGACGATGGAAGTATCACTTTGCCACCATGTTCCACGTTCTTCCGATTGGAAGGGCATGAATAACATCGGTAATCGCGACGAAATTTACCAGACCCACCAAAGTATTCCACAAAAGGAAACTGTCATAAAGCGATTGTTAACAACTGTTAGTCCGTTTTTTTTAATTGTTCTACCATACTAAGGGTGCTACTAAGTGGTTAACAGATTTTGTCTTTTCATTACTTACCATTGTGTTTTCGTGAGGACAGCGTGTAGTACTCTTACTTTCTTGTGTCAAATATAAAAAAATATTAATATTATTTACGTTTAAAGTGTGACCTTTTGGTCACTTGAACGGCCTTTGGGTTCTGTGACAACCGCGTGCTGTTGACAAGGTGGTTCATACGCGATTAGACCTGTTAAAACATCAATCAACGTGAACCAACACAAGTTATCACAAAGACTGTGGCAAAATAGTTACTTTAATTTTTTCATTCCTGTCATCAAAGAGCACTTTACTGTACGTCAAATGGATCACGCAACAAACAGCGTCAGATCAACAGATACGTAACGCGCCACAAGAAGGTAGATGCGCTGTTAGGTGAACCGTAAAGTAAAAAGTGCGGATCAGCTAACGGATAACCAGACGCCTCATGTGACGCGCTACATGTCTGGTCATTTAATATCTTGTGTTGAACCGTCAAGTCAATGTGCTGAACCGTAAAGTGCAGATGACCATTGTGCGAGTGGAACCGTACCGTACCGTAATTTTTGTTACCGTAGTACGTGCTGTAGCCGTTAGATGAATGGCACCACAGAGTCCGGTGTTCGGAAAACACCGCACACCCTGCTCGACGTTCGACGTAACGTGTGCGCTGTCCGGCAGGGACAGGCAGCGGCCGGATCTAAAAGCGGTGCCATTCCAATTAGCGGCTACAGTAGTCTTTTGCAGTACCTTTGAACTTCGCCGTCGATTACAGTACTGCTACAGTACGAATAATCGTTAATGAAAGATAAGTACTTTATAGTTTATTTACGTACTTTATAGTACTTCATTTAAGCACTTTATAGTACTTTATATTACACGTATGTTGTTGTACTTTCGATGAACTGTTGTCAACTCATCGAAAGTTCGATAGCACACACAAACAAAAATGGCGAAGCAAAATCTAAAGAACTATTATTAACGAAATAAAATGCATTTAAGCAGTGCGGTATTTGTTCCCCAATAAAATCGTCTCCGAAAGTTATAATTTGCACCGAGCGCGAAGCGCGAGATGCTGCAATAAGTCTTCGTCAAGAGCATATAATTCGTCTGACGCCACGAAGAGAGTACGTCACGCTTTTCCAATTCCACAATCCCAATACCATTTTGCAGTGGTACTGGCGTTCGCGCTCGTGCAGTAATGTGGTTCGCAACCACCGCTAGTAATAATTATAGTCGTATGCCAATATGTATCCGTGCTCAGCTTGTACTTAAACCAAGTAGTGTTGAATACAGTACGTAGTACTCTTCACAACCTTCCATTAATTTTATTTCACTGTTATAAAGCTGTTCAGATCGGTACTGTACAGTACATGCTAAAACGCGTATTGGAATTCGTTTTCCACTTTTCGGCAGTAAGCTGACTGCGAGCTAACTTATCGAAAGAAGCTAATGCGTTATTAAAAATACGAGCTGCTCGTATAGACGGTTGCGCTTCTTAAATGCGCAGGAGTACAACGGCAGAGCAAAGGTTGCCATGGTAGCATTTAAAATCAATCAATTGATTTTTCAGTACGCAGTAATTGCAGTAGTATTGTTCCATTGAACTAAGTCCTTTTTATGCTAACTTGATAGAATGCTAAGTAAAATTTCGGCACTTTGCTGAGTTCTTGAATTACCAATGCATGGAAAATGAATGATATCAATCGAGGGAGATTACCGTCGTACACCGAAGCTGGACAGGCTGGTAGTGTACCTGGAGCACCGGGTGATGCATTGCGAGATGGTTACGCTGCAGTTTTGACAGCAGACGAACGATCAAATGACCCTTGGATTGAGGGCGAAATCTACAATCCTTTGTTAGCTGACGCTGTTGAACCGCTGGACGATGGAAGCAAACGTCTGGTAAAGAGCGCATAATAAGAGATTAAATAAAATAATAACAGTATTATCAATGGATAAATGTCTTTAGGAATAGAGCCTGCAGTTTTCAGATTCGTAGGTAATTACGTACTTACTTAAAAAAAATTAACGCTTGCAGGACCATGAAGTGCTGTTTTTCATGCAAGCTCTCAAAGTGCCTGACCCGCAGACCATGCGTCGCTTTATTGCAGCTTGCATGGAAAAGAATGTAAATGAGAAAGATCTCATCTGGCTGTATCATATGCGCGATTTGTCGCAAACGGGAACGCTCCCCAAAAAAGTGTTTATAGAAATTACAAAGCAACAGCTTAGCGGAAATTCTCAACTGACACGCCACGAGGACTATGACTTATTGGCCACTTCTTATCGAGCATTTGGCAGCGACTATGTGCGTTACGTTCAGATATGCAACCATCTGCATGCATGGAGGATCAAGTTCAGCAATTACAAAGAATTCCCGCAAAAGCAGCTGTACCCACCGTATAGGTAGCGTACGACAAAATAGCGTTTAATAACGCCCAGTTTTGAATTTTCGCAAACTCTTCGATTCTTTCGCAAACTATATCCCCACTATCACGCCGTTCGTGGACGTGCGTGCTAAATTTTGTAATAATTCTCTTTTATTTGGATAGATATCCTCTGAAGGAAATGTTTCCTCTACAGCGACCCAGTCAGGGTACATGGCAGGTGGATGCACGTCGCCGTGCGTCTCATTGCCTCCCGACGATGACAGCCGACGAGATAAATGATGTACCAAGAATAGTGCAGAATATGGCCAGAGCTTTATCAGATCACCAGTGTTCCCAGATTCTGGAGCACTTCTTATTCCAGCAAGAGCAACTGAAGGTGCGAAATGCCTCTTAGCAAGCGATCAGGTGAACAATCAAAACACTTCAACAACAGAATTTCTTTCTTAACATAAGCTGCGGACTTTGAACCAGCTGAGTACACAAGTAGCGGCTTCGTATTTCGCAGCCTTAATCGTTTGCTTGAAACTGAGATCATGGTTTAAAATCAAATTTACTGTATAAAATTAAATTTACTGTACTCTTCTTTGACGCGAATACGGGACGATTTGCATAAAACGATCAAGTGGACTGCAGACCGTGGTATAACATGCAATAAAAATAACGATTTTCTTACGATAAAACTCGAAGTGGCACGTGTACTACAGTAGAAGTGGCACGTCCTCGTGTGGGCACATGTAAGTTACAAATCTGTTTCAAAAAACAAAAGCGCTCGCTTACTCTCGCAGGCTGGAATAAACCACCATTAAATTTTTCTCGCAAATTGTACTTTTGCTTCAGATTTGTAAAATATAAGCTGAAATGTTGACTGTAGCGCAACCAATTTTGCCAAATTGACAGGAGGACAAAAGTATTGAATGTGGATTGATGCCTCATGACTACGCAAAAAGCATTATCCGGGAGCACATTCCGTATTCGACTGATGACAAGGAGCTGGAATTATTATGTCTTTATTACGAGCACCCGTTCATTTTGCATTTTTTTCGCTACAAGGATTTTCTAAGGGACCTGACATACGGTAAACTAATCGTAAAAGTGTTTTGGTAAACTTAACCACGTTCTAACCACGCCACCTTTGACAATCCACAGAAATGGGCGAAATCAACGAACAGTTTAAAGAACGTCCGGAACATACTCGCTTGCAGATAATTCTGAGCCGAATCAAACGTTACCTGCATGAACATGGCATCAATTTAATCGAACCACTGAAAGATTTTGATAGGTTTGGGGAAGGTCGACTTAACAAATCGCAAATGCAAAGGGCGCTCCACATTCTGAAGATTGGTTTTGGCCAGCGGTGTCATATTAGCAATGACGACATGGAATTTCTTCTGAATGCATTCAGCAGTGATGGGATAAATGTTGACTACAGAAGTATGGTTGCGGACATGATGCAAGGTTAGTAAACAAATGACTTGTAAAAATCCAGGTGAAGTAATTTTGACCTGGAATATACAAAATTTTATTTGTGGTGTAAAACATTATGTTAGGGTGCGAGACCAGACGCAGCATTCACGTTCGATCTGATCGTTATTTAAACGGTATCGTCATTTCCAGTTTTTGTGGAGCAATTTCAACCCGGAAAGCGGCTGAGTATGGTGATGGAGAGTTTCGAGCAAGATTTGTCTCTTGGTCCATTTTATCCACCACGCACACCTCTGCTGACGAAAGAGCAAATCCTTACCAAACCATCCAACAATCAGCAGTTTTTAGGCCTCGTTCTGAATCGGTTGAAGATGCTCATTGCGCAGCGCCGAATAAATCTGGAATCGGTATTCCGGTCCTTTGATCCGTAAGTATGTGAACCATTATTGTGTATTAAAGTGCAAACATCGCTCGCAGACGTGTACGCCCGCAGAAGCTCCATGGCTTGGTTGTTTTTACAGACACCACATCAGACATATCCAAAGTCCCCAAGTCAGGTTCCCAGAATTCTCCAACTTTGTGGTCTCCCGGTTTCGCCGCACGAAAGCGATGTCATAACGGAACGGTAATCTTTCAAAGCCGTAAATTTAGTAATATAATAGACTAGTTTCGTGCATCGGCATTGCTGGTTCCCTGTCTGTACTTGTAGCTTTTGTGACGAGAAAGGGTTTCGATATATGGACTTCCTGGAAGCTATTGATACACAATCGTACGGGCACTGGCTCCCCAGCTACCCTTTATCGCTTGCCACAATGGAAAAGTGGAAAGCCCATCGTGCGTGGTATTCGGAAGTTCTTCCACAAGATCCATACCAGGAATATCAAGGCCCAGATGAAATCGTGGAGAAATGCCGAAGAATTGTAAAGACTAACCGACTGCGAGTACGCGATTTTTTTACTGATCAGGATTTTCATCATCGTGGAACCGTCAGTCGAAAGCAGTTTCGGAGAGCGACTACCGCCATGCACTTAGGACTATCTCCCATAGAGAACCTGCTGTTAGAAGACCGGTACTCATTAACAAAAAAAAATTGCTTACCTGCTGCAGCATAATACTGCAATTTACGCAGATGCAGATATAACAAGTTATGCAGATTTAACACGTTCCTTACGGAAAGTAATAAGGCTATAAAACTTGTCGCTGAAGTCTTTCTTAGTTCATCGGGGCGTACTAAAGTGCACTTTGAAGTATTCATGTCTTCCTGTGCAGATTGCAGCTTTCAAAGCCTACTAGTTGCAGTAAACACGGCTGCTGTATTAGTATTCAGTCGCTTACCTGCGAAATAATATTCATACTTGTGAAAATATCTGACGTTGTACCTTCTGACAATTGAATTCACGCAGATACGCTTATGCTCCGGATGTGTCTCATATCGATTTTATAAAATTCGTTGCGGATATGGATGTCGTATTTGTCTCGAAAGGAGCGCACGACGCTCCTGCGCTAACACCAGTGCCGTATGTTCTAAGTGCTTCCCATGACCGGGGCCCGATTGAGGAGGGAAACATAAAACTGGCTCAAGAAGCGTTCAGAAAGATTGCCGAAAAGGTAAGTATATTCGAAATTAACCCCTTTTCCGGTGGGTACACCTAAAACTGTCTGCAGGTGTTAGAGCTGCGCATCCACATTCTTCCGTATTTTCAAGACTTCGATAAATGGCGACATGGGGGAATAACTCCGGGAAGATTCCGCAGAATTTTTAGCGACCTTGGATTAGACATTCTAACCGAATTTGAATGGGTAATAAGAGGCTGAACAGCTGATTTTAGACTACAGCAGTGACTAGCTGTGCTACATTCTCCGGATTTGTGGATGTTTTGCAGAGAGCCTTATTCAAATACTTCACAAGGAAATCTAAAGGATTCTTTGACTACGAGGCCTTTTTGTCTGCCATCTCAGACGTAAAAACGAACCGCAGCACCACAGCAGCTATCGATCCGCGTTGTGTTCCGCTTGCTGCAGCTGAGAAATGAGACACTCTGTCGGTGCAATTTATCTCATGTTTTTCGCCATGGGCGACTGCAAAACTTGGAAATTTGTAGCATGCGTAGAATGCGCCACCTTTGTACGTTGTTTCAGATAAAACTGTGCCTTTGGGGTCGCTGTCAAGTTAACCGAACGGCATTGCTTGCGAGATTAGAAGTGACTAAATCACAAGCTCCCTCTGAGGCTCCAGATCGACACAAATGTTGTGGTGTAATACTGAAATGTTGTGGTGTAATACTGGTGTGTTTGACACACTGAAAATCGCTTCCGGAAGTGGTTTGCAGCAGGCCGAGAGTACTAAGCGATTCATGAAACATGTTTCGCTATTTCCCGAAAATTACTTCAGGTTTCAGTGTTTCGTGCTTTATTGTTTCACAATACATGTTTATCATTGTTCGTGGGTTCCGAGCTTTACAACTTTAAGTTTCTTAGGTTACTTTTCTTAGGTTTCTTAGATTTTCTTAGGTTTTTTTTTGGTTTTCGAGGTATTTCTTAGCCTTCGCTCCCGCGACGGTAGGCTTCGTTTGTTCTCCTAATTTTTCTTGGATGTTTTATGGTGGTGCGCATAACCCATTGTTGCGAGCTTCTGATGGAGGCTTCAGTCAGTTTCCGCGATAAATTGGCAATATTTAATGATAAAAATGGTTTCCTTTGTTCTGTTTAATTTTTAAGTTTTCCAGGACTGGATGTTAATCCAAGGTCAGTTGCTAACGCATTTTTTAATTTAAGTTATTGGCATATCCGTTTTCTTGCACAAATCAAACGAAAATGGCCAAATGCACTCTGGCTGAAGTGATCAGTAACCGAAAAGCTATTGCCGAAATGAAAGCGGCGAGTACCGAAAGGTCGTGAAGTTGGTAGATGTTGAAGATAGGTTAGTCTGGTTCGTGCTATACAAGTAGAATGTTTAGCGAGTCCCTGGAGCCATCAAGTTGATACATGGTTGTTTGCGTAAGCCTTTATTCCATATATTGCTTAGTCGTAGAATATGTTAGACCAGTGAAAATAAAAGTCTTATATAGCAAAATGTATACAGGAGATGACAACGTTTGTAAGAGATTACGCTTCTACCGTTCGTAGGCTTTTCGCATTTCGGATAATTGTAAAATGTTACGTAAGTAAGGTAAACACGGATCTGCTATGGGGGTCTCGGAGAAGCGTCTACGCTGTACAGAGAAACGACAACGGAAACAACATCTCCTCGAGAAATAACCTTTATTTCGATAGAAATCAAAGGGCAATCACAAAATCTAGCAAGAAAAAGAGCATGAAATCAGAATATGCTAGGAATCGATGTTGACGGTTCCGTAGCTGGCACTCGAATGGCAAAACATGCTTTAGCATGTGCGCAGAATGGCGAATGGTGAGCCGATCCAGTGATGGTGAGGCGAACACGCCAATATCCTGTGCACTACGCACAACACTCTGACATGCCACGGGACGGGACGCCGAAGCCCCTTGAGGCTCAAAACAGGAATGAGAAATGAAAAAACGCATCTTATATGCAACATAATGAGGAACTCTTATTAAAAAAAATGTGCCAATTATTTCATCACAGTTAGTGAGAACAAGACGCGGCAAAATGCGGCGTAAATTTAATCAAAACGAGTTTATACTCGTAACAGAATCCGTTAAATTCCCATTCCGATTAGTTCCAAAATCGCGCACGTTAATCCGTGTTAATTTTGCAGGTTCCATTCCGGAGTTTTTCCTCCAATTATACGCTTTGTAGCGTCGATCCACGACATATGTGCAACATAGTGCATCTACGGCGATTTTATTTATCCGTTTTCCTGCAATTAATGCACTACGGCAGTTCTTTAACCAAGTATTATGCACTGATTTGTGCGTCTACGGCGATTCATTTGTAAGGATTGAAATAAATTCAATCTGGTGCACTCGTTGGGCGTTACGGCCATTTCGTTTTGCACTCGTTGTACTGTACGGCGATTTAATAACGTTAATTTTGCGATTCATTGCGCACTACGGCGATTAATATGAAGTTGTGTACTCATAGTACAATACGGCGATTTCAATAAAATTAAGTCTGCAATTCGTTGTGCATTACGGCGATTTAATTTTAGCAGTACTTAGTACAATACGGCAATTGGTGCATTTAATGCTTTTACGGCGGTTTTACCTGCAATTCTCCATTTAATGCGTTAAGAGCGTCGCTCAATACGGCAGACGTAGCCTTAACTTCGGTGCTATCCTCCAGCAAGTCCACTTCATCGTTTCCACCCGGGTAGTAAAGTGGATCGGTGTCGTTATCGGGAATATGCACCGCGAAGATCAAATGATCCACTTCGGTGAAGGTTTCACTCTGTCCCATCGCTTCCAGCTCCATTTGCCGGTCTCGAAGGGCTTGTCTCGTCGGATAGAGGAAGTTGTTCCTAATTGACGGTTCCGATCCCGTCATCTCATCGTCCGCCTCTGCGGCGGGTTGCTGCTCCAATATCGGCAGAGTTTCCGCGATCGTCAGTGCTTCCACTGACGCCACAACTTCTGTTTGCGGAATTCCGCTAGACGGCGCAGTGATCACTGCAGATTGAGTATTCGCAGTTGGCGCTGCGGTTGCAGTGTTAGCTGCGATTACGGTTGCAGCATTAGCTGTATCCGGCGTTTCCTCAGGTTCTGTTGTGTCCATTAACACTACTGTTTTCTTCGGTTCTGGTTGTACTGTTTGACTCGCTATTGGAGTATCGGGTGAATTCGGAGCGACTTTGCGCTTCCCCTGACGCTCCGCAAATCTTTTGACGAGATCATAGATCCCATCATAATGTCCATTATGGATAGCTTCGGTTTTAAGTCCATCGACTTGCATTACGTGCAAAGATCGTTAAGGACCTTCGCCTGTTGTTCCTCACTAAGAGGCTCTCCCATACGATTAACGTAACTTTTTAATCGGCGGTTCTGCTCAGCCTGACGATATGTCCGGGCGTAATGGTGAGCGTGGCAGTTGCCCATTAACGCGGAGAGGATAACCAGAATATACTTTTTTAATCCCCATCCGATAGGGATGGTGTCCCATGTGATTTTCATGGGAGCTATCTTACGCTGCATAGCGCACGCGGCACGGCAGAAAAACCAGAACTTTGCTGGATCCGTGTCCGGTAGAATAAACTGTAGGAGGAATTCCTCCGGATTTTCGGTAAATAGGATTTTAAACTGGGAAATTAATTCCCAATCTACTACGGAGATTTCGATGAGTTTTTCCTTAAGCTGGGAAATATCCAGCGCGCTACGCAGTCCATTACGCCGCGGCGTTTCATATCGCCGCACTTCCATTTGTCGAAACAAATCGATCTGATACATATTAATTGAATTGCGAATACGCAAATCGTACCCAACGATGTGTGTAACAGGTCTAAGGTATCAATGATGGCTTTGCCAATTTCGGTTCTTTGATCTGCATTAACGGTGCCAATTACTGACACGACACGATCAATATATTGATCCAGATCCCGACGAATAACGTCGATATCGCGACGAATACGCTGCGGATGTGTCTGTCGCTCGGGCATCAATAATACAGATGCATCTGGCTTGTACGGTGTAGGTTTCTCGCGCGTTGCGCGAACATTCCAATTTGCTGCCTTCTTCCTCTGAAATTTAACAGCTGCGTTCAGCTTACCGGGCATAATATCGCCTTCTTCAAAAGAATTATCTGGGGTTTTCCCCACATTCGGTAAATTGTAAGTAATTTTATGGCGAGTTTTGCCACTAGCATTGCTAGTGTTGCTAGAATAACTAGCGCCTGAGTTCGGCTCAGATTCAATAACCGGTTCACTCACGGGTACAGGCTGCACTCGCAGCAGCTCCAAAGACGATTGTTGATTCACTGACGGTTTCCTGGTCAGCGGCGGAAGATTCGCTAACAGCGGATTAATTTGCCGCTGTTGTGGTTCTTTCGGGGCTGTTCCGGCTGGCCATGGACACGGAGTTATCGTTTTCGTCTCCGGGTCATACCGGTAGCTTCCGCTGGGAAGGCTCTGCTGTAAGTGAGCAATATGCTCGGGTGGCAAAGTGCCCGGTGGTACTTGCAATGCCATATTCGTATATCGAATAGGCTGTTGTTGCTGCTGAAATCCTGGAAAAGGCAGACTTTGCTGCTGAAACATAACTGGCGGCTGCCACTGGCCATATACTGGCTGTTGAAACGGCGTTTGCTGTCCGCCGACATTCGTCGGATAATTCTGTAAATCAAGAGAATTATCTCTGTTCGATAAGTGTTGATTACCCGCGGTAACTGGGAATATTTCAAAATTCCCACAAGCACTATTCACAGGAATAGTTACCTGATTTGGTGGTGCGGTGATGCGTTGCATCAAATCGGCAGTACTTCGTCCGAAGTTTTCGGGATGAGTTGCGCACGACCATTCATCGGCATGATCGCCAATGAATTTAACGGCGCTTTTATAAATACCATTGTAATACAATGGTGTAGCACAGACGATCGTCCAGTACTCCGGTAGTGTTACAGTGCGGTACGCATCCAGGCTGCGCATAAGCACTTCATCATACAATCGGGAGACGACGGTCTGCGGATTTTCTGACCGGTAATTAGGTCCCAGCGTGCATTCCACGCATTTCCGATAGTTTGTATTAAGTGAACATCGATTGCAGGAGCGCATTGGCGCGTACTGGTACGGCAATTCCTCCATTTCTGCAAATTTAAAATAATTAAATTATGCAGTAATCGCGGCAATTTACTTTATTGCGTATTATACGCATCTACATCTCGGGGATACTGTAAAATTGGATTAATTCTCTTCTTCGCTAACGTGGTCTAACACCACGGATAAAACCATCCCGCGATGCGGGTCATTCAACCCGATAATTCTCGGGTCGCTAATTAAGCGGCTTATCGCTAGAGTTACAGCATCGTCCACTTGGTCAGCTATTGCTGGACATACAGTGGTAATATACTGTATGATTTCGTCAGGCGACGATCCCGAAGGGTCGGCAATTTCTGCAATCGTTTTTACAACGATTTCATCCCACTGGGGACTTTCTCGAATTGCACTCGCTGCAGAAAGGACAGTCCTTTACGACCAAAATAATAGGACGGCGAAGTTTCGCCATTATAACGACGGGTTATTTGTGAAGCTTCGTACATCGCACGAATCATAGACTGCACAGCGTACGGTTGATAAGTGCCGAAATACTCGCTTATCCGCTGTGCTGTGGGATTTTCCCTCTCTGCTCAATTTTATATATGGCTATTGCCAAATCATTACGCGATGGTTGTGCCAACAAAGTTTTTGTTCGTCTAGGGCTATAGGCCTTCGCCCGAATGGAACGCGCTTCGCGGGTGAATATGGTACTTCCTCTACGTGTTGGCCGGTTAATTCGGCTATCCTTTACGATTAGTTTCCACTAGCGCATAGCGCCCACTATTCCCTTCTAATGCTGCGTCTACGATTATTCCTGTGGCGATTGCCTCATTAACAGCGGTAGTGACATCTGAATAGCGCTGTTCGGGATTAACCGAGTCTAACGGCATAGTTAGGTACATATACCTAACAATTTCATCGATGGTTGATCCACGAACATTGTGGATGTCCCTAATGGCTATTGCCACTGCTTCTACCATTTCCTGCATGTTATTAACTCGCATGTCGACATATCGACTTTTACGGCTTGCGGTTATCGCATACTTCATTGTTGGTGACCAATTCTCGTAAACTTCCACCAACGTACCACGCTCTGAGGCTACCTTCACGGCAGATGCGTATTCCTCGGCGTCAATTTGTCGAGGGCCATAATCTGCCTGTATCTCTGTAGCAAATGGACCGGTGCTGCCATCTTATCCTTCTTCCGGACATTATTTATAATGTCCAATGTCAACGTTGTAATATGTGCTATCTGTTCACTGGTCACCGGTTTCGGCGGTTGTGATCGCCCAGTCTTTGCTGGTGATGGTAAACTGACATTCGGTAAGGGTTCCGGAATTTCCGGCGAGTTATTCCGACCATTTGACTCGCTAGAGAACTTAATCAAGTCCTCTTCACTACCTTTCTGTGCCTGATCGCTGCGGGTCTCGTCGATCACGAGACGGGAATGTTCTTCGTCTTCTGATGACGACGGCTGATGTCTCAGCCGCTCCCTTACTTGCACGACTTTTCGTGTGATTTCTCTTTTCCTCCACTAATTTCCGCTTCTTTTCTTCCTCACCTGGTGAGGTTGTGCTTTGCACTCGATGCGGATGTGTCCTGTAGGATACTGTGCTAGTAGCTGGCGACGGAGTACGCGTTCCCGATAATTTCGGGATTATATAACTCTGTTCCTCCTTAATTCTGACCGGGTTCGTACCCCTTTTTTAAGGTCCCAGCCGGTTGTTGGTGTTCGACCGGCGCTTGGACAACTCCCATAGGAGTAGGAAATCTGATTACGGCTGGCTTTAAACCAGTCTCTTTCCAGAACGCCGGGGGGCGGTTGCACTTGCAACTGTGGCCTTATCTGCGTTAAGACTTGTGGTGTATTATACACGTGCTGCGGTATCGTAACTACTCGAAGTTCTTTCCCATTAGGGGCGTCTGTTTTCGTCGGGGCGAACGGACCTTCCATTATGAAGGACTGTCCCCAACGCTGCCTATCTCTGGCCTCTTGTTGCTCGTGGTCAGCGATTAGCTTTGCTAATCGCTCGTCGGCATCTGCCGGTGGTTTCGGTGATCTGCTTCGCTTAGGGTTTGCCTTCAACGCCGTTTCTACTCCTGCTTTTGCAGGCGATTTAATAGGTTTCTTTACAATTGATTCGTACGGCACTTCTTCAATTTCTTTTGAAGCTTCCGCCGCATCACTCTGTGCCTTTGCACGCGCTATCATGGCCTTTGCCACTCTTTCTGCTGGCGGAGTAATATGCAGTTGATCAACTGCAGCTATTTCCTCTGGTTGGGCAGCAGTCGCTGCCAATGAGTGTCTGTATGATGCCAAGTCGCGTTCCCGATTACTACGCAACAATAGCTCGTATTCGGCATACGATGCCACTATTACGGGATCAGTTTGCGTGCTACGTGACATAGTCACTGGGATCACTTCTGGTGCCACATTGGGCAAATTACCGGCATTTTGAACGTTCTGGACACTCGGGGCAGCGAATCGCTGTATCGGGCGGTATGCTTGATTTCCCGCTACGGGTGGGGCGAAGAATCGAGGATTACCTCTGCCAACCGGTCGGTTCGGTCGCTGATCGCGGTCCATTGCGGAAATATCTGCAATGGAAAATTACACAATTTAATTGTGAAATTTTTAATACGGTATTACGGTATTAAAATAACGCTCGTTATTTTTATTTAAACAGTTATTACTGTTTAATGAATCTTGCACTTTGTGCACTTCGGTCCTACCATTATACGGTGGATTTTGACATATCCATTAGCGCTTTTGCGTAACTTAAGCAAAAATCGCCTTTTAGGCACTGTTTTATTAGCGCTATTGCGCTCATTGTCACTTTCCTCATTGTTTACCGTTTCCCATTCCTCCGTATCAATTACAGGGGATTTATTAGCAGCATTGTCTGCGGAGGTACGGACCACATCAGTGGCGGGGAAATTATTAATTGCAGAATTGTCTGCAATTGCTTGTACATCCTGTTTGTCAGGAAGTTCATTAAGATTGTTATTCTCTAATAAATCCCTAATTAATAGGATTTCGTTTTTTCGGTCTTCTTCTGTTGTCCTATAAGGCTTTATGCGTTCGCAGTTGACTATTCGAATTTCTTCTGACTTATCAGAATTTATCCGTTTTAACTCGACAGCATTTGTATACGGGAATCCGATGATTTCCCATGGTTCGATTTCGAACCGACGGCGGAACGATTCCGTCTCTCCCTTTTTCTTTTCTATTTTAAGGATCACCAGATCCCCAATGTTAAAACTATCTTCCGATCGACCCTTGTCGAACCGCTCAGCATTTTTCTCAAATTCGTTGCGAATATGCAACTCTGCTATATCGTGGGCGCGATTTAAATTGTAGCGCAGTTCCTCCATATATTCGCGAATTGTCGCGTGATCTGTCGGCAAATTGGTCTTCGTCTCTGTATCCGCAGGAATAACCTGCTCTCTACCGTACAGCATAAAATACGGCGACATATTCGTCGTCTTGTTTGCTACACGATTTTTTCCAGCAATTACAAATGGCAGGACTTTGTCCCAATTACGCTCCCGGCCGTCACTGGCGTACATCGCGAGTGAATCAGCTATTGTCTGCATTTGTCGTTCGACAAGTCCGCGTCCGATCGGATGATACGCAGCGCCAAAATGGTGCTGTATTCTTAATCTTTTATTTACTGCTTCCAATAAATGATTGTGGAAGTGTGTTCCTCTATCGGTGTTCAATATCTGAGGTGTTCCATACGGCAGGAACACATCATAAATTAAGAAACTAGCGACAGTTTCCGCTTTTGCGTCTGGTATCGGTTTTGCGATTACAAACTTTGTAAGTTCATCTATCGCCACTGCGATATAAGTATTTCCGCGTGTTGTTTTGGGCAATGGCCCTTTTAAATCCACTTGCATTCTAAACCACGGCTCACCGATAGCAATCTGCTGTAGCTTGCCGGGTGGCGCTTTGCGCAGTGTCTTGCGATGCTGGCATGCAAAACAGTGATCTACGTACTTGATAATCTGGGAGACCATATTCTCCCAGAAATATCGCAAGGCTATCGCCTGATAAGTTTTAGCGCGGCCTAGGTGACCGCTAGCCGGTGCATCATGCATCGCGTGCATGATATCCACACGCATGTGCTTTGGCACGACAAATCGACGGTTAATACGACCGTCTTTTTCCGATATTTTATATAGTACACCGTTCCACAATTCATAACCGGAATAACCGGGGCGTTTAAGCAAATGAACGCTTTCTACGCGTCCTTCTAATGCATGGATTATGCGCTCTACATTGGGGTCTTTTTCTTGTTCGATACGATAAAATTTGAAGTTGTCTTCGTCTTCTTCATGTTCGGCTCCATCTCGTATCGTTAATACACGGATCGATGGAGTACTAAACTTTGAATCCTTAAATTCATCCCAGTCATCGTCTGGGTATTCAGTGGCTTCTCCCACCGGGTGTCTACTCAACGCATCAGCGTTGTCACACTGTTTCCCAGGTCTATACAGTATCGTCATTTTATGACTACTAAGCTGGAGTGCCCAGCGTGTCAAACGGCCATTCAATCCCTCTTTGCGGGAAACTGATCGCAACAAATTAGTTAGGGCTTGGTGATCAGTTTGTACTGAAAAGTGTGAGTACTCAATGAAGTGTCGAAATTTCCGACACGCAAAGACTACTGCCATACACTCCAATTCAGTAATTGGATACTTTTTCTCTGCATCAGTGAGCAATTTGCTCGCATAAATAATCGGGTGTCCCTCTTGGTGTAATATAGCACCAATTCCTATTGTCGATGCATCGCATTCAATTACGGTTGGTTTACTGGGATCGAATTTCGCTAATACTGGTGCGTTAATTAATGCCGATTTTAAATCAGCAAATTCACTGTCATGGTCGATCGACCAGTTAGCTTTCACGTCGATTTCTCCTTTTAATAAACCGTATAAACGGCGCGTTCTACCGGCAAAGTCCTTAACGAATTTACGGTAATAATTACATAGTCCGAGGAATGACCTCAGATCTTTTTCTGTCTCCGGCTTTGGATATTTCTCGATAGCTACTATTTTATCAGGATCTGTTTTTATTCCGTCCTTGGACACAATATGTCCCAGGAAATGCAGCTCCGTTTCGCCAATATGGCACTTACTTGGTTTCAGTGTGAAACCTGCTTTTAAAAGACACTCACACATTAAACGTATTTTACGCTTAAGATCTTCAAAGTCTTTAGCGGCTGCGATAATGTCATCTAAGTAGGCAAAAATATTTTCGCAATGGACGTCCGATAATGTCCTATTCATGGCTTCCTGAAACGTTGCAGGGCCATTGCAGACACCAAACGGCATCCTTAGGAACTCATAAAGTCCATCCTGCGTAATAAACGCAGTTTTTTCGATGGAGTCTTCGTGCATTTGTACTTGCCAAAATCCTGCATTGCAGTCAAAGCCACAATAATATTTATTATCTGCGACGGCTTGTAGAAGTTCATCTGGGTTTGGAAGCGGATAGTTGTTTTTCTTCGTAGCATCATTTAGTTTAATATAATTCACGCAAAATCGCGTACCGATGGTTCCATCGGGATTTTTCTTACTGGCCAACACTACGGGAAAACACCAGGGAGAGTTCGATTTTCGAATTATCCCTTTCTCCAGCATTTCATTTACATGCTCTTGAATAATCTCGCGGCCTCGCCACGAGGTTCTATGCGGTTTGCATTTAATAGGTGCAATATCACCGGTATCAATCTGATGTTTAACTATTTGGACATCGCCAAACGGACGAGTTTTCGTCGCAAATAACCCAGGATATCCAAGAAATATTTCTTTAATTTCTTTAATTTCCTGGACGGTTAGTTCTGGATTTATTTTTAATTCATCTACCGCTTTTATCACAGTCTCCTGTTCTTCTGGTGTCATCCCAGCCAACATTGTGGCATTTACCTGAATGTTTACGTCAGGAATATCCTCGTACGGTTCTAAGTAGCCAATAAATTGGCCTTTTTTAATTGACTGCCGCTGATGTTGAAAATTAACGAATACCATATCAAATTTATTATTCAGTGGTTTAACCACTCGTTCCATCGGCCGTATACGCCGCTCCATATACAGGTGCGGACTTGGAAGAAATAAAAATTTGTCAGTATCGAACTGCTCGTCTGCATCGAAATGGACATTCACTGTCGCCCAATTAGTACCCGGATTAATTAATAGTTTATCGCCGGCGAAGACTTTGATAGGCTTAGCGCGTGTACCGCGGTAAGAAGGGTTAATGCTCGGAGACTCGGAAAATTCCCAAGTCGGAGATTCATTAGTGATCACGGCAGAATCAGTGGGCCCTACCAATTCTGCATTTACGATAATTAGATTATTAGAATCCGGTACTACTTCGATGCTAGTTTGATTAATTAATTTATTATTATTAGTTTCATTAGTAGCGGCAGTATCGAGGGTATTCCTCACTACGATAGGCGGATCATCTTTCATAAATTCGACAACGCGCGCCATCGGCGCAAAACTTACTGATCGGTTATGAGCAGCCAGTGTTTTTACTATTGTTTCGTTAGCATAATTATCAAGTGGCTTACACTCGGCCAATTGATATGGTAATACCGGCAATTGGCGCCGTGTTAATTGCGCTAATACGCGCAATGGTGTACGCAATACGTACGGCAACGGTATTTTTAGGTACCTGTATATCTCATTTAATTGTCGCTGCTTTTCTTCTAAAGCAGAATATTCCGCTTTATATTGCTTCGCTAAATTGCGGACGATCTCCTCTGCTTTTGCAGAATCAATCCCTGGTACAGGGGTATCTTCATCCATGAAAAGGTACATAACGTTTGTACCATTTTCTTTTGCTTTTATTAATTCTTGAATTTCTTTCACTAAAATCCTATATTCGCCCCATAGGCGTCGGAACGTTGATTTTGTTGCCAAGCGAATTTTCGTTGGTCTTTTTAACACCGATTTAATTTTGGCTTTTGCCACGGGTATCGGGAAGACTTTGCTCCCGTCTGGTACGGTTTCTTCTTGTACGGCTTCTTGTGCCGATATTACTAGTTCACCGGTAGTTTCTCCCGTTGCCACGGGTATCGGGAAGACTTCTTCCTCAGCTACTTCCAATTTCCTTTGCAGATCTTTAATCAATACCTGATTTGCCGAAATAGTTTCGGTTGCCTGTTTTAATTCCACGATACTGGAACCTGTTACCGGCTTAGCCGCTGAACTTAACAATTCATTCAAGTTAGCTGTATACGATTGCGATTTACGCAAGGTAGTCGGTATAACTGTCACAGGTTCTTCCTCCTCTTCCGTCGTTGCGGATTTATTCAGTTCGCTTTCACTCACTTGAGAAAACGACCCTGTTGTGGCCGTTGATTCGGTAGTGCTCTCAGATCGCTCTGGCGCAGGTGCCTGTACTTCTTCCCGATTATCGGGATTAACCTGTCGACTTTTCTCGGGAGTTAGCGGCCGGAAAAACAACTGTTCCGGTGGCTGCATTAATGGTGTATCAAGGAGATTATCTCCCTGATCCATTACGGTAGCTTTTCTCGGTTTACGAGGTTTATCCTCGAGGACTTTGTGGGTGATTTCCACACCTGCCCCCTTCAGCTGGTTTGCCTTACTACGAGTAACTTTATCCGGCTGTGGAGCTCCGCTTGTACCAGCCTTTGCTGGATCGTCAGTTATCCCTTTCAGTACTTTACTGGCTGACTTTAGGACGTCTTCTACGCCCTGTTTCAACCTGTCAATGGCTGGTTGCTTTCTGGTCGGAGAACGATGTATCGGCATTATGCCATCTACTACGGTGTTGTCTAGTTCGAAAAATGTTAGACGATAATAATTTTCGTCGAAATCTAAACTTATTTTTACCCGTTACGTTACAGGACTGCTTTGCAGTTTCCGATTTTGTACAGTTAGAAGGTTGGCCTGGGCGGCTGTAAATAGCCTGCCCCACGCAATTCTATTGGGCTGCTCTGCAGCTACACACAAAAGACCGGCTATCGCTGATAGGAATCAGCTAGTTCTTTGACATGACTTTCAGACAGAATCGGGGAAATCCGCTCCACTGAGCCATCGCTCCGTTACAAATAACCTTTGCAAATAGTAATTTGTGTGCTCCGTTAATAATCAAATCAAACAATATTCTCGAAATAGAACGATCGTTCTCCTACAGAAGGATGTCATCCAAATACACCACAACGATATCTGTTACAATAATCCGTACAACTCTGCCATCTATTACGATAGCCAAAACTTTCTTCATTTTAGACTGTACAATATGCAGTTTAGTCGAGAGCGATCGTTCTCTTCCTTCCCCGTTTTCATAAAACGTTAGTTTCTATAAGACACTATTTTCTGGACAGAAATAATCCGTCCTTTAAGGAATTTATCCTAGTAAATTCAAAATTATAGGCTTAATGCCTACCACTTTGATACGTTGTCCGCGGTTCTTCTCCTTGCTGGCGGCCGCGTGCCTTCCGAACCAGCGACGCTCCGTGCTTCAGTTCTGTGGGAGGTTTTCCTACTTCTGCTGTTCGTTGCTGGCTGTCACTGGTAGACCGAGGTCTCCGTCCGAAGAGAGGAAACTTCCGGGTCGCGGCGTGTTTGAGTGAACGCCGTTATCGAGTGCAAAAGACTAAGGGAATGACGAGGATCTTAAGGCATCTCCACCATCTCGGAGAAGCGTCTACGCTGTACAGAGAAACGACAACGGAAACAACATCTCCTCGAGAAATAACCTTTATTTCGATAGAAATCAAAGGGCAATCACAAAATCTAGCAAGAAAAAGAGCATGAAATCAGAATATGCTAGGAATCGATGTTGACGGTTCCGTAGCTGGCACTCGAATGGCAAAACATGCTTTAGCATGTGCGCAGAATGGCGAATGGTGAGCCGATCCAGTGATGGTGAGGCGAACACGCCAATATCCTGTGCACTACGCACAACACTCTGACAGGGGCGTATTATTCGTACTAACGCAACATTATCGTAACGCCCGCTTTTTCAAGCCTTTGGTCATTGAAGGCCACACAGGCGGTACCAGACTTTTTAGCTTTTTGTAACCGAAGACCAACCGAAGACCATTTTAACCTTTCGTAACCAAAGGTCACGCGTGCGTTATTTACACTTGTAGCCTTCGTCCCTTAAGAACCCGTAACGTTTTGAATAATTACACAAACGAGATCTAATTTTGTCAAAATGCAGTTCAGCTTGTCAAACTGAGGAGCTTTTTCGCTGTCGACTTTTTAGTTCATAAAGCTCAACAATTGGTTTGCGTTGGAGCGCCACGCGTTCTGCTTGTAGTTATTATGCCTTTTCAGCATAGTGTGTCGGTTTTAGTGGGTTCATGAAGGACCAGATGCGATAAAACTTTGTAGAAATAGCTCCAAGTTAAATTAATGAAGTCAATGCTAACAACAGACAAATCCACGTGGATTTATGGGGATCTTTGAGTGATACGATCGACTGGGTGGAAGAGGAAACCGTGTTTCCAACTCGCAAGCCTGGTACAGCGACAGCAGGAGCATAATCCTCGTTAACTAAAGTGGACCAGGCACAATTCTGGGTTTTTCCGGAGTTTGCAGGATATCTCAAGCATATGTGACCGTCCTGATGGAAAAATAACTGGCGTCCTATAAAAATAGTAAAAGAGGTACGGTGTATTTTAGGACCATGTCAAAAGGGTAGTCCATATTTAATTTGATACGAAATTTTCGTAGTTTTCGTTCGACGCTGTCTGTTTTTTCGACAACATTTCATAAAACATTCCTAAATGTTTTGGCCACCACTTGAGTGACAGGTACATGGTTTTTCAAAGCTTCTTCGCATAACAATTTGACCGCATTTTTACTGGTCATTTGTAGATAACCATTTACGAGGGAGATACCCGAACACGTCCGCGTCAGATCAGCATACACTTGGTACCATTAGAATCCTTAGAATTTCAGCTATTTTCTTTGATAATCAAAATACCCCCAAGTAAAGAACTCGAGTTTAGGGATCCCTGAGAAGCCAGCACAGATATGATGGCTGATTTCCATCGAAACGTCAGCAGACGCCATACAGAGCTATACGGCGCGCCTGTACGGATGCGAGATTGCGCAACCGTCTTTCAGCGAGAAGTTAAATAGCGCTTTATCGATAGCTATCGCAGTTTTTTAACTCATTAAGCGCAGCAGCATCGACTAGCTGCATAGAGATCAATGCAACCGCGGATGCTGTGCGCGCGATAGGGCAAAATAGGTGAGACAGCCGTCAACAAAACCAATACAGAATCAACAGATTGCAGTCAGACTGTGCGTAACGCATGGCGTATCTAGGCTGGACAATGCGTATGGCGCCTGCTGACGTTTCGATGGAAGTCAGCCATCATATCTGTGCTGGCTTCTCAGAGATCCCTAAACTCGAGTTCTTTATTTGGGGGTGTTTTGATTCTCGAAGAAAATAGCTGAAATTCTAAGGATTCTGATGGTACCGAGTGTATGCTGATCTGACGCGGACGTGTTCGGGTATCTCCCTCGTTAAAATGTTTAAAAGCCGCCACCGGTAGATCCGTGCTAGCCTAAAGCGGTGCACTTGACTTGAACGATGTAAAAGATCCGGGTTGCATCTAAAGTATATAATACTATGTATCTCGAAGAATAATGAGAACTAACCAGGGCACATAGGGGTCCTCCAAATTCAGAAAAATTTCATTTTTTGTAAAAAGGTAGTATATTATTGTAGTATGCTAAAATAATATTTTCATCAGCCATCGTCAAGGGGGATGGCCAGATAACAATTAAAAGTTTACATGCCATCAGATACCGTGTAATGCAGTGCAGTATAAGTTATTAGTAAATCGCAATTATTAGTATGTCAACTTTTTACTGCATCACCGTGGACTTTTACAGCTTTTGAGTAGTGATGTGAAAGAGGGCCACTTGCGGCGGCTCGTGCCATTGTTACCTGAGTAAACATTTTCTAAAATTTTATATCGAATAGTGTTTGAACAAAACCCTTTTTTCTACTTATAAGCAAATACGTGCTGTACTTGATAACTAGTTTTCGAAAATGTGCATTTAGGCAGCAATGGCACGAGCAGCCGCAAGTGGGCTTCTTTCACATCACTACTCGACAGCTGCTAAAGTCCACGGTGCTGCAGCAAAACGTAACCATAAAAATTACGAAGAACTTGCACAGTACTGCACTGCATTACACAGTATCTAGTATGTGATAATCTGCTAACTTTTAATTGTTGTCTGGCCACGCCCCCTTGACGATGGCAGATGAAAATATTTTTTCAAGCATATTACAATAGTACACCACCTTTCTGCAAAAAATGAAAATTTTCTGAATTTGGAGGATGCCTGGGTGCCCTGGTCAGTTGAGAAAAATTTCATAAACTGACTTTTTAATTTTTCATACTAATTCGTTCGTGTTTTGTTTTGTTGGGTTATAACTGATTTGGCGACCGAATACTGTACAGCATAAGCCAATAAATTCAAAAAATCCGTGAACTTTTTAAATATTGTTCAAAAGAGAAGTAAAGAAGGCTTGTGCGTACCAACTGAAGTTACACAGCCCTGCCGGCCGAAGTTGGGATCAGCTGCGCAAAATAAGCTTCAAAATATTTTTAAAAATGCAAGGCGGCTTGGCTTATACAAGCTTTTCTAGTGGAAATTTTTGTTACGGATTCAGTGAGAACAACATTTGAATCCTACGATACTCCAGCAAGGGGCAGAAAGGGTGGTTAAAAAGGTAGGGTAGTGCCCGATTTTTAACAGGCTTATACGTGTAAGATATTTTTGAATTAGCATGATAAATTTCCGGTAAGTACTGTAGTTCAGATTTCGGTGGAAAATTACGCTAGTAAAAAATCAGGAGCTATGATGAAAAATTAAGCTGAATATCTAAAACTTTGCTGATAAAAGCAGAAGAATTAGATGAGCGTCCCAATTTGGCCCAACAGAGCCACAAGGACTTACCGTTAAAAGCAAAAATGGAAAATAAAACATTTAATTAATTACCATTAAAATATTATTGCTGATGCTATTAAAAAATGAATTATTGGCCATTTTTGAACATTTCGACTTTGAAAACACCAGTGTACAATTGTGTACGTACCATCTGTGTTTACCCAACCGTTTCCTTGCTTTTCGCCGGCGACTCCACCTGCCCAGACTGCGGTTCCTCTCATGTACAGTACCGCGGCTCCATCTCTTTGCATGATAAGCTTTGGTGTACAAGAATATCCAAGAATTACTCTGTTGCTCCATATAACTTTATAAGTCGCGGTGTCGTATAGTATTAGGTTTCCGGAATTCTGTAGATGCAAGCAAAATTTTCCACTTTCGGAGCAGAATTTTTCATCCACGTTTAGAAAGTCATCCGGCTTCATAGTTCCCACTGCAAAAACGATTGAAATAACAAAGTACTGTCAATCACCATACATTCCGCTATTATGCAGACCAGCTAACACATTTGGTAATGCCGGTATTATAAAGACCATTATTACAACGTGGGATTAGCACGAGGAGCTTGAGTATTCTGTAAAAGCCTGGCACCGGTGTTACAATGTGTGGACGTTTCTACTCAAACGAATTTCTAAGATTCTTTGTAGCACAACAGAAGCTTAAATTTGAACTGGTGTGCCGCGCTTGCACCTTATGTTAATCTGACGGCTCTTGCCTGATAAAGTTTAAAAAGACATAAAACTTGTATAGGCATCAGGCATTTACAGTTTAGTCGGTCAAAAAGCCCCTAAAACCGCGCTTAAGGAAGCACGAGAGTGCGGTTCTAAAACTTAAGACCTTACAATGACCACTTCTGTACCAGACGCAAGCCACTTCGCAAGGTGGCGTATCGTAACTTACGAAATCTGTTTCGGACATGAAACCTAGTACCTACCCTGAAGTGCTTCGAATGTTTTTACTATCCCGGCCATCTAATACACTCGTATGTCTCACCGACCACCGCCAAGCCGCCGAGGTAGAGTACTGTACTGACACCCTGCACTCGGAGAAAGTTTTAGCTGTGCAGCCACGCGTACGTTGTACGACTGCGTTCACTGCTCACATACACGGCTTGCATCTGCATGCAGACTGCTGGCTATCGGCTGAACGCAATCGGCTTTAAATCCACCTGTCTACAGTACCGTGCTGCTCATACTGTACAAAATTTCTCCAAGTGCAGGGTGTCAGTACAGTACGTACCCCTGTACAGTATAGGGGTGAATGAGCAAGCTGCGAGACTGACTCGCGGTTGAGACTGCCGCAACAAAACGGGAATAACTCACTGCTGCGTGAAGACTGTGTGACACCATCTTACGTACATTCTCACTGCCATGTAGTACGTACTCGTACATGCTCGCATGCTTTACGGCGCACCGTGAAGCATACGAGTGCATTAGATGGCCGAGATAGGGAGTAGCCTATTTCGAAGTGAAGTACGGATACGGAGTAGCATATTTCGAAGTGAAGTACCGGATAGCTGACCACTCAACTCAAACGCAAAGTACTGTATATCCGTATTGTTCACAGACCTGGCCACTCTGTGATGCTTCGTTTCGGCGCGCACTTCATTACACTAAGCTTCACAGCATCCAGTCCAGTTTGCACAACGGTAATGCTTGAGCGCAAGGCTGCCAAATCCAAGTTTAGAAGGCTGAAGTTGCTGATCAGGTCATTTTTCATATTTCGTAATTCGTTTGCCAGTTCCGCAAGCGGGTTAGACGAATTACTTCCATATCCAGGGCTTGCCGAAACGGTATTGGACACATTCTGTCTAGCTGATTCTACTGCTACCAGAGGAGCGTCAATTTCCTTGGATGCAGCACTGGGCGTTGCTTGCACACTGGAGGCTAGCCATAAAAATAAGTCTGTAATTTTCCCCACGCCCATGTCAATTATTCTCACGACTGTTGCAGTTTCAGGCTAAGATGACTGACTTTTAACATGCTTTAATGGTTATTGCAAAATACTAGTTTAGGTGAGAAAGTTAATAGAACTTCGAGCGTGCCTCAGTGACTTACTGATTGTAGCATGTTGGGAATACAGCGTTGAAATAACAATAACTGCAGCTATCCAGTTTGTCATCTTGAGGAGGCAAAATAATATGAAAGTTATTTTAATACCACAATTTACTGCTATACGTGGGAAATATGTCGCACAGGAATGAAAACTCAACTTCTGAAAACCGACCGTACTACAAGATTTAGATTACCGATGCAGGAAATAATAAAACACTTTAATTTGGTACCTTCTTACAGAACGTCCTGTTTGGCTTGCAGCATGGTGCTTAATTGTTACCAGGCTACCGAAGGTCTTGTCAAATCTCGAGCAGTACTGTAAGTACTTGCGATAAGCCGCTAAGGTAGTAAGGACGTCGCCGCAAAGGACTACGCTGTATACTAATGCAACAACAACAGCAACAACAACAAGGTCGTTAACGTGTCACAGACTCACAACCACGTACGAACAAACTAAAGCGTACGAATGTTGTCTAAGCGGTTCACCATGTGTGGCTACCTGTTCTGACCAGCTCACCATGAGCGTAGCATGACTAGACATCTTTATCGGAAGATGCCCATTCTGTTTCTAAACTTGATTTTAGTTTTGGTCTTTCGTCCGTTCGTACGGAACGTACTAATAAAGTTAGGCCTGGGATCTGGCCGCACAGTAAACTGGTGTTTCTCGATTCTGGTAATTGTAATCACAGCTTTCTTCGTGACCTTGCATCCTTTTCCAACCTGAACAGTCGTAAGCTCCCTCGAAGCGCTGAGTAAGCAATTCGAGTTGAGTTGCTTTAAGAGCATCGTTTTAATATGTACGTGTTCCACGATTGCCGTCGTCCACACGGTGTATGCTCCCTTCGCATGGGAAAATTACTTGTGCTCTGAAGACTTAATTTTATACAACAAATCCTATCCGTTATAGCTAAAGTGCAAGTAGCATTACGTCCGAGTACCTTTTGCGCTTTTTCTTTGAAGATCTCCATAAATTTAAGCTAATTTTCCAAACTTTTTTGGTTGTTAAATCCGCCATTAAGAGAAGTTTGCAGGTACGAGGACATCTTATTTATGATACCACAAAGCCGTGTGGAGGTACGAAAACTTTGACATAATGACACCAGATGTCGCGCAATCTCAAACACTTCCGTGGATCCCAGCTGGCTCGTGCAGAAGCTTGGATCAGGATTCGGATTACTCAAACTTGGACCTCGATTACTCCAACTTGGATTCGAATTACCTGGATTTGGATTTCTCATCTCGGACTTGCATCACCTGACTCGAACTACTGATTACTTAACCTGGAATTGGGTTGACTTTGATTACCATACGGAAGTTGAAACAGCTTCAGCGGAGCGCACAAACTCGATCCCAAACGAAATTCTGGCAACAAAGTTTGATTGCAGCAGTAGTTTATTACTCTGCGATCAACCACCAGCTAAATTTAAACCGTGTGTATCTAGATTGGAATGCGTCACAAGTTCAATTACGATACAGCAACTCCACCACGGCAGGTGGCTTCCGGTGCAGTATCTGTTGGCGTGGCCGGTTGAGGAACCGCACCATAGCGAGATTCGCTTGGAGACCTATCCTACGGGCAGTTGGCGCGGGTTCGAGTCCCGTCATCGGCAGATTTTCGTATCTTCAGTAAATTCAGAAATCCATATTTAAATTTCATTTATAAAATCAGCAGTGTTCTCCTGTCGCAGGCGTCTGCCCGCTTAAGAGAAATACCAATGAACCAGGTGAATGTCGAAAAGGTTTTTGATGTTATAGATGCACAAAAGAACGGAAAAATGAGTGCGAAGGATCAAGTAAGGGCAAGAAATACGTTCCAAACCGTTCATGAGAGCCACCTACGAGAAAGAGGATCACAGAGGATTTCGGAAAGGCGGTAAATGGGCCAAGAAAAAGAAGCCGAAGAAGACTAAACTGAAGCTTCCAAGAGAGGTGAAAATTACCATTTCCTGAGGAGATGAAGAATCCAACCCGAAAAGTTTCTCGGATAACCCTTTGTCAATGTCCTCACAATACCTAATGATAGCCTGGCGTACGTGAAGAGTGACGGAGGACCCCCTACACCGTTCTCCGATGATAAAATATGGATATTGGAAAATATCAAATTGGACATATCCCATATTAATTCGCTTTGCCAATCCGGAGACAACGACAATATCGCTCGGGCGTACAGGACCGGGATCAACGTCAACTTCTACGACGCTTGTTACAAAACTCCTCTGATGTGTGTGCACTAACGGTTAGAACACCATTAATTGCTATCTTCCTCAGGTTATAATGTAATAGTTATAATGAATTACTGCAAAATGGAGCATTGGTTAACGCCCATACGCTAAGCGGAGCAAGCCCGTTATTAAAAGCCATAGAAAGATGTTGCGTGACAAACGGGGCTGAAAACCGGCCCCGTGTGTCATCTTTGCGGCCTTTCTGTTAAGGACTACGCAAGGACGTTCGGAGAATTTGCGGTTTACAATAGCCCTCTCTCGATTTCTTGAGGCACATAAAGGTGGAAGAAATCTTAGCAGCGATCTGGCGGCAGTCGACCCAGATACCGAACTGTTTTTTGGGAACAGAGTTTCGCCGAACCTCTACGGTAAAACCTCCGGGTAATGTTACGGAAAAAAATGACTTGTCACGTGAAAGTTTTGTCCTGTAAACGCAAAGCGAACCAGTTACCGTACGCGACGCTTTGAAAGCGGCAATTTCACTTTTTCCAGGCACAGAGCAGAGAGATGTATAAATTAAACCTTTGAAATAATGATAATTTGATGCAGGTTCAAATCCCCAGACAACACCGTAAGGCTCAGTAAGTTCTCAAACATGCCACTGCTACCTGACCGCATTCCTGTGTCTGTGATCGGAAAACCGCTTGGGTACAGTTGTTCCTGCCACTGAATCACAAGACAAAGGCCAAGCCGGCACAACTCCGGCGGTGATGGTAGGAGACAACAAAGAGGAGAAAAACAAGCTAGGCACTGAGTAGGACTAGGCGCCTTCGCTGGATAACAATTTCGTCGATCCCGCCATTTTCACGAGGGTTGCAATGTCGATTGTAGGTCTGCCATGCTTCTTCAGGAGACAGTTTTTCAAGATTTTCACGAAAGTATCGCCGTTTTGCGCTCTTTACTGCATTTTTGAATTCTGCCCGGATACGCTTGTAATTAATCCAGTTCTCAAGAGTATTTCTAAGTCTCCAAATTCTGAAGAACCGGAACATCTTTTGTCGCTTTGTGCTAAGAATAGTGCTCCACCATAGCGTTGTAACCTGACGGTTTTCAGAAAAAGGAACCTGGAGCGTGATACCGTGATTCAATCCATTATGTAATGGCTCTGTCAATGCATCCAAATCTGACGGCGTCTCACAGTCCGCTGCCAACAATTCATCAACCAGATCAGATGTGTACAGTTGAAATGCAGTCCAATCCGCTCTTTTATAGTTAAGCCTTTTGCGTGGAGAGGTGACGACACCGAGGTTGCAAAGCGACAAGAGAACTGGTAGATGGTCAGATCCTGTAAGCCAGTTAGCTTCGGCTTTAACTGTACAGTCAAATGTTGCTGATAAATTGTTGTCAGTCCAAACTAAATCGATCACGGAAGATCCTCCTACTGCGTGCACAAACGTTGGCACAAATGGTGGATTACACAGTTGCAAATTCCGCTTCATCATAGCTTCCAGCAGAAGGTCACCATAGTTGTCTGCTCTCGTATCCCAGATCGTATGATGTGCATTGAAGTCTCCGCAGACCACAGCTTTGAATCCTTGGGTTTTGTCATGCAAAGCGTTGAGTAGGGCGTTGAAGGTATTGTAGTTTGTCGAAGGTGGACGATAAACCGAAGCGAAAGCCACACGTCCAGCAGTAGTTATGACTGAAGCGATACACAAGTTGTCTTCATGGTGAATTAGCAATGGTTGCACGGGAAAGCGGAATTTCGAGAAATAAATAGCTTCAGAACTGGGCTCATTATCTGGGAATCGCCACCACTGAGAAAGCGTGACGGGGTTGGTCACTTGTCTTATTGGACATTCTTGGGCGCGAATAACAAGAACTGAATGCACAAGGGCAGTGTGTAAGGTGGAATGCAGGACTGGTAAACTTCGGTGCAAATTCATTTGAAGTATCTTCAGTTGAAATTCAGACGTTAAAGGCATTGCGTCATTGAAAGGTTGACATGTATCGTTCAACCGCTCGGATTTGCAGCCTACAACGGGAGTAGCCAGCCGTATGATTTTCACCGCAGTTGGGACACTTGTGGTTGGCCACTTCTACAGAGCATTCCCGAGTGAAATGATTACCGCAACATTTTCCGCAGGTCGGATTGGCTGCTTGGCATTCCTTCATTTTATGTCCATACTTATGGCACTTGTGGCAGCGGAGCACTGCCGTATCCGGGTTGATTTCTTCGACCCATCCTCTGGTGTTGTACACATACAAATGCTTCAGTGACATGGCTGTTTGTTTGGACTGTTGATCCACAAAGTGTACTTTATGTGTCCAGTTGGTCCAGATCCAAATTTCGAGTTGGGCCGTTGAGCTGCTGGATCTCTTTTGAAAATGACTTGAACAAATGCAACTTTGCCTCGGAAAAACGGATTGCGTAATTCAATCTCTTCTACTAATGTCTCTGGCGATTCGAGGTCAACGTTTTTGACGACAACAGGGAACGTGTTCCCTGGGACAGTCACTTTCCGTACATTAATCGCTTCATTTGGAGTACTTAAAAGGACTCTAGCTTGTTCACGATCTTTTTCACTGTGGAATGTAAGAACCAATTCACCACTAACTTTGCGCTGATACAGTTCCTTTAAAACGGGAGTATCTTCTGGGGACTTTGATTTGAACAAATTATCCAAAACTTTCATAGTTTCTTTGGGTTTGATGGGCTGGAAGGGTGAGTTGGGATCATTAGAGTCTAATGATTAGACTGCAGTGTCGCGACGAGATTGAAGCGTTTCTGATGAAAATTCGATGAAGTACTAGTAGTTGGCCGTACTAGTATTTTACGTATGAAGCTAGTATTTTTGCCGGTCACATGTGTGGCCTTGCAGAGCGTTAAAGAGCGACGAGACACTCCAAGTTCCAACTCAAAATCAAGTCTATGTATGAGAGGCTTCGCCTTCGCCTTCTCCTCCGCCTATGCCTTTTGAGCGGTTCGTATTCGCCTTCGCCTGCCAAAAGATGCACTTTTCATTGATCTTCTTATGTAATTCTTAAGTTTCTTGGATTATATTCCAATTTCCGAGGGAGTATTGTTAGCTATTCTTATGTTTGTTTTTCTAGCCATTGTTTGTTTTTCTAGCAGTAAAACCTATCTATAAAATATAGGCGCGGTTCCATCGGTTGCGTTTGTTATAGCGGGGTGTATTTTATAAAAGGAAACTGCCCCAGGGGCGCTGCTATAATTTGGGGTGGAGGGCGTTGCAGAACATGTATTTATAAATGCAAGATTAAGGCAGCAGCAAGAATCTGTAATACATTATAAATTTGTATTACATACGAGTAAATCAAAAAATCAAACTTCGTTTTGATTTCATACGAGTATGATTAGCACTTAAACACTGGTAAAATAAGGATATTCTATTGAGATTTACTCTTGCATATAGTAATTACCATTTACACACAAACAACGTTAATGTAGCTCCATATTAGTTCAGGATGTTAAGAACATCAGATTGCATCTGGCTATTTGTATATAACTGTATTTAACCGGAGCTGAATGTTGTTCATGTGATTCTCTACACTAGCTAAACTACATTCGGTTCCGCGCAAAGTGTATGTAACGCTTATGAAGAGGTAAATGTCATAAAGAGAATCCCCCCTATGTTATAACATGCGAGTCAATTCGGTTCCTTACAGAATATATAATGAAGAAGAGTATGTAACGAGAGGTTTCACTGTAGTCGAATTTATTTTCAAAATAACCATGCGTCGACGATTTTAGTCCGGCTTTTAGTACTGTTATCGGCAGCACAACTTAGAGGCTAGCGATTATAAACAGCTTTTTTGAGGAATCAATAAACTGGAGCAAACAAGGAGACGAAAATGCCCATCTGGAGCGATCTGGATCGAGCCTGATGGTTGTAGCGCTGTATTTTATGGTTTCACTCGAGCAAAACCCGTAGGTTCACCTGTAGCCAGCAGGTTCATATGAACCTGCTGGATACATACAACCTGACCAAAACAAACAAAACTACAACAAAGCATCCGCTTTTCAAACTTCAGTTATTCGTCAGTCTGCGAGTCAAATACCGCAAAAGAATTATTCATCAATCATCATGGGCAAACGAAAGTGTAATGATTTGGCTTTAGAGAAAAAGGTTGAAATTATTTATACTGTTGTTCACGATAAGCTTAGGCCTTGTCCCGAAATCAATTCGTATCTCGTTGCGATACAGCAACTCCACCTCAAGAGGTGGCTTCGCATACCGTATCTGTAGGCATGGCCACTGCATACAGCCAACTTGTGCGGTTGAGCAACCGTACCATAGCGAGATTCGCTGCGAATTCGGGACGAGGCCTTAGTTATCGAAAGCAGGAAAAACGTTTATTCTGTCTCATGCCTTATTACATCACATTAGTAAAGTAAAGTTTACTGCCGCCATTTCCGCTGCTACTTCCACCGTTGCAGCTTTCGTTCTGACTAGTGAATCCGCTACCTGGACTACCGGCTGAAGCCAACATTACCGCCGTAGTGAGCAGCTCGTCTCGGGTCTGCACGGGCGGCATCCCTATTGCGCAAACGGCACAGCCGGCAACGGCACAGCCGGGAACGGCCCGGTCAGGCAGAAACGTACGGCTACAAACCAACGAAAAAACAAAAAAAAACATGGCGGGCAAAATTTACGGCGGACGTTTTGGCGGCCTCCGGACGTTTTGGACGGTTTAGGCGCCAAAACGTCCGCCGGACGTCTTGGACGTCCGGACGTTTGGGACGGTTACACACGTTCACGAAATGCAACGAATCGCTTATGGCCATAAAACTATACAAGCTTGTGTGTGCCAGACGAGAACTGCTTGAAACGTCACAGGAGCTTAATCAAGTAACATAATTAAATCACCAAACCAAAAACAGCTATTGCGGCGATCTGCAGCTCATTCCGATAGTCGCTAAAGGGTATTATTTAGGCAAAATAGCAAAGGGCTATTGTAGCGCAGTGTGCGGCAAAATAGCAAAAGGCTATTTTGACGCACTGTAGAATACTGAGGCAAAATAGCCTTAGCCTCTTGCACTTTCGTGCAAGATATGCACGAAACCTGACTTTAAGATAATAGAAAGGCTATCGAAGAGATTGTTTACGATTTGTCGTGAGTCGTAAGTTGTGCGACATTCCGCTGCAACGCATTTATGGCATCTGCATAACTGTTAATTGTTAAGAATGTTACCAAGAGTTTCCTGGTTTTCTTCGGATGCATCCCTTTTGTCCGCTGCCGCGTCCGATCACTGCGGTTGCGTTACATTTCGGCCCATGCGATCACTTCGGCCAACCTTCATTTATTAAACAGCACATTTAGCCGTCTTCAGATTACCAGGATTTTCCTGTTTTTGTATGTTTCTTAGTTTTTCTTAGGTTTCTTAGGTTTTTCAGGTTTTTTTTTCTTAGGTTTCTTATTGTGTTTCATTGATTTATGCTTCTTTTCTTGTTTAGTTTTTAGGTTTTAACTCTATGATGCTTCGTATTTCATGTTTCTTTAGGTTTCGTTCTGAATGTTTTGTTTCAGTGTTTCGTTTCTGGATTTGGTATGTTTCTGCATCGTGCTTCGTGTTTCAAGTTTCGTAATTCATCATTCGTGTCTCGTTTTGCAGTAAAACTGAAGCATTTATCAATCGAGTTTCTTTATCATACAATTCATCTTATTGTTAGAAATAAATTTGTCTTTGCTATAACTGTAGTGTAGCGGCTGCTTTCTAAGCCTATGTACAAGCCGAATGACTCATTCTTGCATAAAGGTGACCTTTAAGCAAGAAATTAGTCACCCGGCTTGTGGATAGAAAGTCTGAAGTTCTGAACTAACCGGCGTTAAGGGTTACAACCAAGCCGCGGCTGACACAGCTGCCATGGTGCGCATACGGCGCCCGGGAGCTGTGGATCGTTCGGTTCACCTTTGGTAAGTGTTTAAGCAGCTGAGAATTTTTAAACAACTTTCAGAGCATCTTTAAAAGTCTCATGTACAACAACAGAATAAGGAAAGAAATTACGAAAGTAAGTACGAGCCGTAAAAGTGGCAAACTGCGGCGTCATGCAAGATCGAAACAATAATATATGCACGTTCTCTTCTATAGTGTAGCGGAAGACATTAAAGACAGTGCGATCATGGTATCGATAGCGACACTTTTGTCTACCACGTCTTCCAGACGCTCTCTAACGAAAGCAACTATGTATTTGGTTCACAAATCCACACGGAAACGACTAGCCACACCAAACAAACAAATTTTTCGCAGAGGACGTAGGCAAGATCTTTCTCTTTGTCTATGCAGAACTCGGCATGGCTGAGAAACCATTATCTCATTCGAAGCGAACATTCCCATCAGCCTTTCCTTACGTTGTTTTCGAAGAACATGAAATCCTGCAAACATACCGGTGTAAAATGCAAATAATTCATGTTCACATACGATTTAAAATTATATTTACAATTAAAAAGCAAGCGCCAAGCAAAGTTCCTTTCATATGAACATCCAGGTCTTTTGGAAACTGAATGCCAAAGTTGTCGGCATCTGTGAACATTTCCTTGAGCACTCCTGACCACTGCTTGGAGATTTTTCCAACTTGAGTTTTTCCGTCCGAACTGAGAACCTTGTGTTTAAATATATTCTTGATTTAATGCACCGTTATATATGCCTGAAACGTTTAGCCTACGGAATGTTACGTTACATCTGCATATATATGTAATACTAAGTGTCTCAGACTCTCAACGCAGCGGTTTCCCTTGCGGCATTGCATCCGTGGTCCGTACGGTATAGTTATTTGGATACTGAGTGCAACCCGAAAACTTAAATCCGCGGCGCAATGTTTCCATAAAAACCGACTTAGTTACTGTATAGGGTCACTAGGGTGCAGGAAGAACGTTTTCTGAATTTCATTATTGCATAACTGACCTGAAATTCTACGTTGCCAAAACAGCTGCTGGTGCAGACTGGGCCTTCTATCCGCAGCATTACTTCGTGGTTCGAGTTCTCAATTTTGAATTTTGGTATGCAAAAGCTCCACTCTTGGACAACATACCCAATTACGGTCCCCGGCGGGGCTGTAACTTCCAACACCTGTTATGCGTAACTGCGTAAAGAAAGATTCTTCGCCTAATTATGCAGATCGTCCACGATTACTTATACCTGTAAACAGCAAAAACAGCAACAGCTTTTGCATCTGTATGGTCGGTGAACACGTATGACTTCGTTCATGGCGTTGTCGAGGACCCGCAAATCAAAAGGCCTCATGTTTCCACAACACTGTCTTGTCAAGCAGTCCGTGGTTTCTTCGGCATAGTAAACCTGCTGCGCCATAGCATTTTTGATTCGGTACTTGTTGGCCCCTTCACAGCTTGTAAACACTGAAAAAGAGAACGAGCAATGGAAAACATAGATCTGCTTGTACTTGTGCAAATACAGTACGTGTGGTCGTAATAATTATGCTCACTGATTTCTTCTGGAGCTCAGCATTGAAAGGTTACCTTCTAGGAGCTCGACTTCTTGTTGGATAAGCAGCTGATCTAGTAGTGCCAAGTACTCCAATCCCGGGGGACAGTCAGGGACAGAAATATGAGGCATAGCCATCCAGACAACGGGCGATCCATGTGCGGTGTATGCAACGCCTGGTTGAATAATTTGAACAGGCGGAACAGCAGACGCGCCAGAAGGAGCGGCCATGCCAGATGCATGTTGACTGTAAGAACCTGGTGAAGGTTGTGCTGGCTGAGCGGTAGCGGAACGTTGTCCAACGGAAACCTGGCAGTGTCGCCAAAAGAATTGAACTTACGTCATCTCCTGCATCTGAATGACGGACGTAACCAAGTGCAACCCTACAAACCTACCGCGCTTTTCTGAGAATTGGGTGAAACTGGATTCATGATTTCAGCCTGAACGTATGCCGCAGAGAACGGGAACAAAAGTCTTGAGCTTAGAATGCGCTTGCTGTGTGTGGTCGTAAATTTTGTTGATGATTGCGATCACGCTTTAGTGACACGTTTCTCTGGTAACATGCCTAATACTTCTCAATAATAATGCCACCATGCCAGAGATCGGCATGTGGCTAGCTTCGGCGGAGCACAACGGTTTCCTCCAATCATATTGAGAGTTCCTGTAAGAATTTGCATAGCAATTAGGCTGTGTGCTGTTTTTAAATACAGGAGCATTTCTTTCAGGTGCCACACTTATGTAATCTACAGTAATAATACGCTTATCTGCATCCAGCGCAAGACATATTATTTTATTTACATTAATAGTAACTGGTAAGGCTTTGTCAAAAGTACAGTTTTGTCTGACGTTTCGCAGAGCACTTGCAGCCTTCTTTAATACCACTTCCTAATACCACTTCCATTCCATGGTGTCAGAGATCGTTCGGCGCATTGCTTGGGTGTTCACCACCCATTAGTTTTATGATCAGATGTTCTATGATCATTCGGCTTCAACGGCGATATGTCGCGTGTAGCGAGAAAGCAGAGGCAGATGCGCTTAAACTACGCATCTGCAACCATAAGATAATGGTATGCGTGCTTCGAATGTATATTGAGTTAGACCCAATTCTGATTCTTGACCCAGTAGTCGACTCAAAAAGCAATTACGGTACCTCTGATCGAAGACAAGGTACTGAGGTCCGTGATCTTTTCACAACCTTCTTAGATAGATGTCAGGCTTAGAATCAACTTAAGCTTCGGTTCGGGATTTGCTGCCTTAATACACGCAGCCAATCAGAAAATGGGACGGGGCTGAAGGTCCTTACCTTACAGTGCTTACATCGAATTTTGCATACGTAGCGCTTATACATGATGCCGCCTGAGCCAAACAAACCCCTTACATAAAGTATGAGGCGTTGTGGTCAATTAAGCGATAGCGTACGGCGAACATTCTTCCAAAATAATACCTTGTAGTTATACTTGTATTAAGCTCTACAGCGTAGTACGCCCCCTCAAGTAATTATTGATTATTAACATAAAAATTATTCCCTATAAATTTTCAAAATGTTTGCGAAAGTGCAGAAACCCAATATCTTGAGAATGTGCAGCGTTACACACGCTCCTTAATGTCACAAGATGATACCGTACGAGTAGTCCTTGGATTGCATCTGGTGGGATAGAATCATAGAAGACGTACGGGTCGGGGCAGGAAATCCACCGGGTTTCTGATTCAGTTTTCGGATTTCCAGATTTTCTGCCGCGAGACTTTAACTAAGTGAGTGTGTATACATATTATCTCACCAAGCCCACCGCAATTCCCCTGACAATTGTCCAAATTTGTGCAAAGCTCTGCCTTATTAGGCATATGGTTCATAGCGCTATTTTTTATGACCGCCATGCAGGACCAGCTTTATTTTTAAATCAAGACGGACGCAACCAGCCCTAGACGTTCACTTTTACAGTGCCGCTCCTGGCCAACATCATAAGAACATGTCTCTACATTGCTTTTATGCGGAAGTTGTGTTAGCGGAGCTGTAAAGCATTTTAGCATGACGCAAAGTTGTTGAAGATCCCTCTCCGAGTTGATTCTCAAGTTTAGTTTCCGCTATTGCATTTTTTTACTTTCAATTGGTGACAAATTCAAGTTTCTTAGGTTGCAGTTTGCGGAACCATTTTCTAAGGAAATAAATACGTAATGATTTTATTTGTCTTCACCGTTCACAAATTAAATATACTTCATATATATATATATATATATATATATATATATATATATATATATATATATATATATATATATATATATATATATATATATATATGAAGTATTAAAAATGTTTTCTATTGGCTAAACGCATAATTAATATAATATAATACCTAATGATGTCTGCAAGTTGTACAAGGTGAGAACGAATAAATGATAACTGGCTTATAATAAAAAATAAACGCCCGGAAATGGTATACCCTACTCGTACTCATTGTGTTGCAATTTTTATCCTAGAGTGGAAACCGATGTGCCTTGTCGGAATTTTCTGATGCAGCGTAATCATAATATTTTTTGTTAGAAGAGATTAAGTACTTTATCGTGGCACCGATATTAGTATATTCATAATTACAGTAATAAGGTTCCTGCAATAAAATTACTTAGAGTGTAGTTTTCAGACAGACTGTTACCAAGGCTAGATTTACCACTTTTGTCACCACTGTAAGTATTGTTTTCTACGCAGTAGATTTGCATCATTTGGTAACATTTTGTACCGTGAAAGACTGGCACCGGCCCATTTGGTATGGTTTGGCTAACTTTTTCTTTAATCGATTGTGATATTGTGCTAGTTTACAGCAGGTTAATGAGCTTGCCGCTCACCTGTGGATATGGCTAAAGTTGGAATCAACGGGTAAACAATATCCGGATGTTTTGTGCTTCAAATTTTGTTTTATTGCTTTTTTTGGTCCATATTTTTTATCCAGGTTTGGACGGATTGGCCGAATTGTTTTACGAGCATGCATGGAAAAGAACATCGATGTTGCTGCCATCAATGACCCATTTATCGATCTTAATTACATGGTGCAAAAAATTCAGAAGCCCACCTTAACGCTTTAATCAAATTATCCACGAGCGAAACCTTTTTATCTCAGGTGTACATGTTTAAATACGACTCAACTCATGGACAGTTTAAAGGAGATGTTAAGGCGGAAAATGGGCTTTTGGTTGTGAATGGCAGGAAAATCCAAGTGTTTGCGGAGTACGCATCGGGCCCAAATAAGGCTCAGTTTCTTCGGCAGTATCGGCTTGCTATTATGTGTAGGTTGCTTTAGTGTGCGCATATATTTCCTAGAATGAAACCCGAGAAAATACCCTGGGGAAAAGCTGGAGCTGTGTACATAGTAGAGTCAACAGGAGTTTTCACAACGATCGACAAATGCAAGGTCAGATATAGTTGAAAAATTTCACAACGGGAAATCATAATAATCATTATCAATAGCTTTTCTGTGCAAGTGACTATTTGTATTACAGTACAGTACATGTGACTCGTAGTGACTGTTACACTAAAGTGAGTGCTTTATTACAGGCTCACATAGAAGGAGGTGGAAAAAAAGTTGTTATTACAGCACCGTCTGCGGATGCTCCAATGTTCGTTTGTGGAGTCAATTTGGATAAGTACGATCCTAAAACGATGGACATTATCAGGTTTGCATATACGAACATATTTTATACCTAGCACTGCAAGCAACCGAAATAACATGGAATCGAAAGATCCATTGTTTGGAAAAGATGGTGGTTTATTGAAGAAACAAAACATAGTTTAAATGAAAGTTATTGCACGACATTGTTGTGGTGCTTCCTTTTGCTTTGCCACGCATTGATGGAAATACAGTAGTTACTTTATAGGAGTATTTGACAGTAGTAGGTAGTATTGACAGACTGACAGTGACGGTATTTGATTGTACTCGTATTGTATAATATTTAATTTGACAGTGACGGTACGTACTCGATAGTGAAGCCGCAGAATATAGGGGGAAAAATGTGTCTAGCCGAACCAATCCCTAGTACTTCTGATGTAAGCCAGCTGGTGGTTTACGTTGTGGCTTGACAGTGTTTTATGTAAAGCGCTGCCATTAAGATTGCAGGTACTGATAACAGGTAAGCAGCACTCGTACAACTGCAGGTAAACAGGCTAAAACTGTGTTATAGCCCGGACCTGCCTGGTGCAGCTAATACCACATGTACCGTCAATGCCGCACAGCCTTAATAGCGGCGCTGTACATAAAACGCTGTGAAGCCACAACGTAAACCACCATCAAAATAGATTCGGCTAGACACATTTTTCCCCTTATAGTCGTTGCATTCGGTAACAAGAATGATATGTGACAGATGAGACGTAGAAGTTACAGATTCTGTCACAGTACTTAATCTTGTCGCAGGCAAGCAATCTTGTCACAGCAAAGTTAATTAACATAAGGAAAAATTAAACAAACAGAATGTTACAACAATTTAAAAACGGTTGTAGAGTAGCAGTCTGTATTTTTGTAAAATGTATCTGTATTTCAGTAACGCATCCTGCACGACAAACTGCCTAGCTCCTCTGGCCAAAATTATTCACGAAAAATTTGGCATCGTTGAGGGCCTCATGAGTACAATCCACGCAGTTACAGCAACTCAGAAAGTGGTGGATGCACCAAGTCAAAAGGTACGAGTATAAAAATATAGTTATCTATGGATGCAACCTGTCCGTTTATAATGGTAGCGTTTAAATTACATAAAATCTGCTAGCACGCTTCGCATAGTTGGTCGGCTTAACCGGTATGTACTTGGGAAACTATGTTATGAATTAGTTGTGGCGAGATGGCCGTGGAGCATTCCAGAATATTATACCAGCACAAACCGGCGCAGCGAAGGCGGTGGGAAAGGTTATTCCTGACTTGAATAAGTATGTAAAACTTGGGATCAGTGCAGTGAAAGTATCTTACGTAATGGTCTTTCTTGCGTTATCTCAGCAAACTAACTGGCATGTCCTTTCGCGTTCCCGTCCCTGATGTGAGTGTCGTTGATCTCACCTGTCGGCTTAACAAAGAAGTAAGGGGGAATAACCTATTTGCTTTATTTATTTAACACGCGAGCGTTTAAAACCGTTTTTATTGAAAGTAATCATTTAAAGGCTACATATGACGATATAAAAAAGATAATGAAAGAAGCTAGCGAAAGCCCGAACTGGAAAGGCATCGTCGGTTACACCGAGGAGGAACTCGTTTCAACCGATTTTGTGTCGACAAAATTCAGCTGTACTTTCGATGCTGGAGCCGGGTTATCGCTAAACAAAAATTTCTGCAAATTAGTGGCGTGGTACGATAACGAATATGGATACAGCCATCGTGTGGCGGATTTAATAACGCATATTCACAGCAAATCCAGTTAGTTATCCATGATTCTCCATCGCTCAACACATTCCGTTGCACATCCGACCACCTATTACAGATTGGCTGTTGAAGATTGTTACCCATAATAAACTTCGAATAAATCACGCACTTGTTGGATATTTACCTAAGAAGCCACTTATGCCTATGATGGTCGGCAGGCGCGTCCGCGACTGCTTAGTCGGCAGTTCTTGCGACTAACCTTTATTTGTTTCAGTTTTTGGGTCTCCGATCTGCTTGTATGTTTACTCTAGCTTTTCGAATCTCTTTTTTGTATTTCACTAGAACACAGTAAAGGACGGTTTTGGACCTGCTTTCTGTTATCCAGTGGTAACGAATCGTTCCGTAAGCCTATGGAAAATGCCGCAGTTCCCATGGGAACTCCCTGCATAATTCTATTTTATAATGATGATTCAAAAGGTTTCTGTAATGGCGTATCTGATATCTGGACATGAGCGGGCGATACCGAAGTTCTTTGCGTAATGCATTGCATGGGGATAGATCTGCAGTAAATGCTGGTGCACGTTCTGTAGCTCGTAGTTCGCTTCATTCGTCATATATCCGCCATTATCCATTGCGATCCCATTATCTGTCTTTGCGTCACACCAGTGGATGCCTTAAGGACACTCACGCTAGGGCAATAACACCAACAGCAGTCGAAAAAATCTCTGGCAACGAAGACGGTATTGGGAAAGGTCAACTGCATCATATTTCCTATGCTGCTACGGGAATTAATGCCAGGTCACGGTCGCCTGATCCAACACGGTGCATGCAGACGTCTAAGAAGAGCGCCGCACATGTTGGCACGGAGCGAGCTGGTCTGACCGGCTTGAAAAACATTGGAAACACAGTACGAAGAGATTTATCGTTGTGAATATTTATTAGCTGAGAAAGGGGGAAAAGATATGGCTTACCGTTAGACCGCTCCCTTGTACCGATCACTTCATGTGAAACAGTCTTACCGATACTACATTAGCCTTACGTGTCATAGCTGAACAGAAGCAATCCGAGCTGTCTCTTGTTCCGACCTTCAACGTTATAGTGGCAAAAACGTCGTGTAATTAAAACTACAGTAGAAATCTTTTCAAAGTTTTTTCTGAGTTATGTTCCAGGCATTCTTCGATTTGAAACACATTTGACACCTACCCATTTGTGATTTAAACTTCTAGAGTTCGAGCTGAGTTAACACAACAGAACACTGCAGTTGCATAGTATTTGATACGTTGATTACACCCAGTCAAAGCTCTCGTCATGTACCTACATTTCTCTCAATTCAAACAATAATCTGTTGTACCAAATAGATGTGCTTGTTCAGAGCCTGCAGAATAGACAAATAGTACTAGCGGTGGCTGCGAACCACCTTATTGCACGAGCGCGAGCGCCAGTACCACTGGGAAATGGTACTGGGATTGTGGAATTGGAAAAGCGTGACGTACGCTCTTCGTGGCGTCAGACAAAAAAAAATTTTATGCTCTTGACGAAGACTTATTGCAGCACCTCGAGCTTCGCGCTCGGCGCAAACTATTCTAAATGCTTTGGCTCGCTCACTGTTGTTTTTCTTTTTCTCAGTGTTTTATGAACTCTATCTTGCAATGCCTTAGCAATACAAAAGAACTGCGTGATTACTGCACGTCTGGAGCATTTTTGTCAGAATTGAGCGCGTCCACGAGCCGCAAAGACACTCCTTTAATTGCAGGTAGCACCGTACACTTTGTACGAATTACGCTAACAAAATCTAATAATTATAACAAACTTTAAACTGAATGGCGGTTAAAATTTTGAATAATGATGATACCGATACTAATTTTTTTACCCCCAGATTTTTATCATTTTTTCACGTGACCTTTGTGGTTTTCTGGATGTTGGCGGTTTACTGTCCAGCTCGTTTTTAGCGCTGCCAGTCTTTTGTACTTGCACGTTTGCGTTGTAATTGGTCAATTTTGTTGCAGCTTTTGCGTCGGTTTTAGAAGCTTTGTGGAAACAACACTCGGTTTATACGACTGGAGGAGTGTACGACCCCGATCGGTTCCATAGAAAAGTACAACAGTATGCGCCACGGTTTTCTGGATATCTGTACGTTTTTTCCCGTTGGCAAAAGTAACTATTCGTACCCTGATAAAATTTGTTAATTTGAAACTGCATGCAGACAGCAAGACGCACAGGAATTCTTGCGTTACCTTCTTGAAGGACTGCACGAAGATGTCAACCGAGTTACAACAAAAGCGAAACTGGAAACGCAGGAAATCCCAGAACATTTTAGTGATTCCCAAAAATCAGCTGAAGCTTGGAAGCGTTATTTGAAGCGGGATAACAGTAAACTAGTTGGTTTGTTAATATAGCCAACCCGACTCCTACAAACTTGAATAATTATACTACGCTAGGCTTTTCTCTACAGATCTTTTCGTTGGACAGCTGAAAAGCTCTTTAGTCTGTGATAGATGTGGTCACTGCTCCGTAACCTTTGACCCATTCTGGGATCTCGCTCTTCCAATACCCAGTTACAGGAATTCGCCCTTGAGCGACTACACTGTTTATGACTGTTTTAAGTTATTTACAAAAAAGGAAGCTCTTGATGGAGATGAACGGCCGGTAACACATACACCGCTTTCTAAAATAACCGTAGGACTTGCGCTGGGTGAGGCTTCCGACATTGCAACAGCATTTCCCATGTTTACAGGTGTGCGAGCATTGTAAATCAAGGCAGCGATGTGTTAAATTCTTTTCCATACAGCGTTTCCCAAAGTATTTAGTAATTCACCTTAAACGGTTCTCGCAAGATCGGTACAGAGCAAAGATCTCCAGTTTGGTGGATTACCCGGTGGACGGTTTGGATCTGTTGCCCTTTGCTGCCGAAATGTACTCCGGGCCTCGACCTCGATACGATTTATATGCCGTGTCGTGCCATACTGGCAGCACCCATTATGGACATTATACGGCATTTTGCAAGCACTTTCTTACCGGAAAATGGAGTGAATACAATGATTCGCGGTAAGGCTGTTGCTGCTTTGAGCGATATTCAGAGCGGTATGTAAAGTATGGTACTTATAGCTTTCCTTATTCTGTTACACAATTATTACTACGCCATCTCCGAATATCAAATGCGATTGCATTTATGTTGCAACATATTATTCATAGAGCTTAAGTTTACCATTGTGTTGACCTTTCGGAGATTTGTACTGTTTTTCAGTGTCAGCAGTGCATCCGTTAGGGATTCGGTGACATCCGATGCCTATGTACTTTTCTATGAGCATACCGGCTAAAACAGCGAGCTACAGTATAATATGAGGTACTTGCAAAATTTAAGCTGATTATTGTTCTCAGATGATACCTGTTAATATAATGGTGTAATTTTTACTTGACTATCCTGTTCCCGAGTATTATTTCTGGCTAACTGCACTTGTTATCTCCAATAAAATAAACTGTTCGGTGGACAATTGTACTTACTGCACGCAGAATGACCGAGCCGCTGAGAACCTCGGCTTAACTATGTGATACTAAAGCAGATACTAAATTGCTATATTTTTAGCACCAATGACAGCTAGATATAGATGTACGGTATGTACTGTACCCTGTAGGTATGTTTATCTTTAATTTTTTTGTCTTCTGTTTGAGTGATTGTTTATTGAGTAGTCAAGCCTGTAAACGAGCATTTTCACAAAATATTCTCTATTCACGAAGAAAATCAAATGTGTTTAGTTAAACACCATTCACTACTCGAATATTAAAGATGCAATACGTTTTATGATTGCCGTGGCCTAAATTTCTCTAAACGGACACAAAACTGCATCATGCAAAAATGCAAGGCACAGAGCCATAGAACAACCAGATCAGTATCACTCTGAACATTAGAATTGAGTCGAAACTGAGGCCTCTTTGCACAACAGATGATCAGGGGCCCTTCTACGGGAGGCCTCTAACGGTGCCTGATCAAAAGACCGGCTCATCATTTCTAAAATTCCAAGAGCACATCGATGGCAACGTGATTGCAAAAGCATATGCAAAAAGTCGGACAAGTACGAGTAAGTTTAATAGTAACTCGTAGTAAGTTTAACAGTAACCAAGTTTTCTTATTACCTATATAAAGTTCTTAACGTGTCACCGCTCACTCTTTGCTTACCGTCCGAGTCACCATCGCTAAGAAGAACGTACGTAATAAGAGACCACACTTTTTTTGCAACGATTTGACGGTTTTTGAACACCTTAAACACATAGAACTCGTGGCCTACTAAACCACCAACATCACCCGTTCGGTTTTATGGCAGTTGTATTAATGGTGACAGTATAGTTATTGTGCTGACTTTGTGCGTATTAATGAGCACATCCACACCAAGACCAAATCGCAAAGGGGCAGCATTGAAGTACGTGTTCCAGATTTCCGTCACGTTCTCGCTTAGGCTGAAATGAAATAAACTTGAAACAGCGATAACATTGTTATCATGTTATGGTGAGCCTGGTTGTATTGCGATATCGAGGTGCAGTACAACAAAACGTTTCCGTAACCGTCGGCTAGTCGCCGTGCAACGATGTCGAATGTTTGTCAAACACAAAGAACTATGTGTTGGGTGATGGTCCTCTACAGCTACTGTACTATGTGGCTCAAACAGCCATGTCGATTTTTGATCGATGGAGAAATAATTTGGGAATAAATAAATCTAGCAGTAACTCAAGTACTCCTGTTACTCCTTCAAAAAAGCTCGAATCAAGCGAATTTCCCGCCCAGGCAACGGCAATCCAGGCTCCTCAGACTCTGAAGATAATCCTTCCCATCGTTCTTTGCCTAGTATTTCCTCCTCTGTTTTTTTAAAAGCCCCGCTACCGAAACCGAGCGAAGAAAGCCGGATTGTGCGCACCGGGCCGGAGCCATCGCGACGCCAAAACTTGATCGAGGTCAACGAAGCCTGTGGTGATCAGATTCGTAACCAGCTCTGCGAAACCAAGCAAAAATATAAGTATCCTTACACTTTCCGCCAGTTATTGGAGGACCCTCAGGCCGTTCCCAATCTTCATAAATCCCGGAGCAATAATAAATTTTTCTATCACGGTTTATTATCCCCGGACCAGATACGAAATCTCTTTTGGGTAGAAGAAGTTGCTCCAGAAGACCATTGTAAGTATGTTGATAATCATAATAACCAAATTTGCGCGAAATTTGTATATGCCTAACAGGTATTATGGTGCTGCTTTAGATACTCAAACGGCAAGAGTGTTGAATCTTTTTCGACAGAGAAAACGCCAGTGCGACGTACGAGTGACTATCGGCCACCATCAGTGTTATTGCCACAAAGCGGTTTTAGTAACATTTAGCCAAGACCTACACGACAGACTAGAATCCAGCTCTTCGTGGAAGTGCGGAAAAATCAGTTTGGATTTATCCAGTCGGAATTTTGACGCCTCAGCATTGCAGTCTGTGATAAATTGGATGTATACGGGCGAGCTGGCGCTAAAAAACTGGTTGGATATCGATAAATTGCTGGTAGTAAGTTCCACACACTTTGTGAAAATTAAAATTAGCATGGCCGTAAAATATCTCGAAGAAATAAAATAAGTTTGAAAAACTCGCGCTTTTGAATGATTCAGTATAAGTTTAGGTTGTATTACTTGTGCAGTTAATAAATTTTTAGCAAGCGATTTTCGAATTGAACACGCTTTTTGCTGGGGTTGGTTAGCGTACTGCTGGAATTCCAAGCAGTGCATGTCAGCATTATTGACGTAATGGTTATTTCAGGTCTCAGAGGGCCTGCAGGTTTCCAGGCTGATCAGAATGTGTCGAAAAATTATGCCAGGAGTAGTTCATGCGGCTGTGAGCTCTGTAGCGGAATTCTCTCCCGGTTCACCCGTTATATTACCAGCTCCGGTGGTACGAAGTGACCTCACCCATTACCGATCAGATAATAAGTAAGCGGCTTTCTTAAAGTCTCTACAGGGTTTGCAGTCAATTTGGCGCTGACGCTTTCTTTATTTCACAGGAGCCCCAGTGCATTTAGCAAATACACTAACACAGACGATTTTCCACAATGTGAGTTAATGATGAAATTTGATTACTGTATTTAATTGTTCATAGAGGTATAACTGCGGACATTTACAGGGTCTTTCGACCAAGTCGTTTCCTTACTATCAAAAGATTCAATATCGATTGAGGTTTGTCGTAGCTTATATAAAAATCAGACTTCTGCGTTAATTTTCTAGCGTTAAACGAAAGATTAATAAAACCTTGCTGTGCATTACAGAGTGAAGTAGAAGTTTATAAAGCAGCTATAAGGTGGATAAATCACAATCGCTCTACCAGAATAAACCACTTGGATCGCCTGATTAGTTGTGTCCGTTGGGTGTATATGTCGGCTGAAGAGCTCATTGAAACAAAGCATGCCGATCCCATTTTTTTGCTGATCCCGTGGTATCCTCTAGAGCGGCGATGGGTCAATGGCAGCGAGACCTGTTAAGGCGGGGTATAAAAGTAAACCATTCTGGTCTCCCTCTCAACAGGGTAGAGCAGACGCAGCTGCGAAAGTTGGTGTCAAATGTTAGCAGGTGATTTTATTGTGGCCTGTTATTTTCTTGTTTGCTCACAAAAAAATTGGCTGGTCCATGCATCCACCTTTTTTGGTATGATACGTTCATTATAATGTAAGTAGAATTCGTCATTAATTATTATTAGTTGTAAAAAGCTGTTATATGCAGATATAAACTTTCGCGCAGGGACATACCGCTTATTTACTATAATTTAGGCAGACTAATTAAGGAAGCAAAAAAAACAGTTGAAAAAAGTCTGTTCCACACGCGGTTCAAAAGTAGTACGTACTCGTACGCATTGCTTACAAGGGTTTTTTAATGCAAACTTAGAGGTGGTTGTGAAGGCTACGCTAAAGGGCTTCGCTGAAAATACGGCGTGGACCATGCTCTCACGTTTCCCGCTGGGCGGCTACCCGTTCCAGTATTTGCAGGAGCCTGGCGTACGTATTTCTGATCACTAGCATCATGTTGCCATGACCGTTCATATAATACATAAAGTGAACGTGAAAGATAATTTACAGGATCAAATTAATAGAAGTACTTATTAAGCGGCAATATTGCTGTAACAGCATCCACAAGGTATCAGTTAAGTACAGTACACGTGAAGCAACGACAGGCATTTTCTACATTAACGACTCATAAGACGTATGATGCTGTCATAAACCATGGTATACCACATAAAACATTACAGTACTTTTTAAGACGTGGTTCGAAAGTTTGTTTAGTCTTCTTTCATTATTTTTGTGCTATTACGCAACGAAGATGATGCACCTGCATCGTTTGGACACTAGACGAGCAAGCAGCGGAATTTTGTTAAGAATTACGGTCTGGAACATAGTTTATCGGAATGGTCAGCATAACGAACATCGAAAATCCACGCCAGTTTCAAACTGTTGTTGCTAATTCCGCGCAGTTTTCTGTTGTCAAGTTTTTTGCCACTTGGTAAGATTCCAGGCTTAACCATTCGACTGTTTGTATTTTAACTCCCATCTTTTCGGTGCATTGTATTGGTTTTCGGTTTACAATTTACAAAGCGTTAAAGGGCACAAAACTAATACTTAATATTTGCTACAATTACAAACCGAGCTGCACGAGCTTGGACATCTATAAGCATGAATTCCACTTGTGAACAATTCATCGGTATTTTTCATGATGCAGTTAGACGAAACCCAGGGCATACATTTTTTATAATAAATATTTTCAAGTGGGATGTTTCGAGTACTTTCTGCAGGCTTTTTTGCCAGGATTGCAAAAACAGTGAACAAAATGTTTGAGAAAATTTACTTCAACGTGGTTGCCTTGATCTTTGGAAGCACAATGATCCTTGAATTATAAAAGTTGTCATATTATTAGTAATTCACATACAAGATACAACTAGCATATAAGGGAAGATTTATTGGCTAATGGCAATCATGCAAAATTCACTGCTTCTGTAATTATCCCCTGCGGCTAGCACCTGTCTGTTTGTTTACTGGTTAGAAATATTAATAATTTCGTGCCAGTTACGCTATCTTGTTCGTTTTTGCCTCCCTTTTTAAGATCTTTAGGTCTATAAGAGAATGTAACGGAATAAAGGATTAACTTCTAAAGTTAAAGTATCGGAAAAAAGCCCATGAGTATGATTTCTGCAGTATTACTTTGCAGGTGCGGCGCTTGCAAAATGATGGCGCCCCATTATCACCGCATTGCATCGGAATTACCTCCTGATCAGTTTACATTTTATCGCGTGGACGTCGATAATAATAAGGATCTTGCCAAGCAGCATGGAGTAGAAATGCTGCCAACATTCGTCGTATACAAAGGTGGCCAATTGGTGTACAAGCAAAGCGGCACTGTCCACGACAAGCTTCGTCGGTCTTTGATGGATTTGCTAAACAATCGGCGTGTTTCGTTTTCCTGAGATTCGCATGTCTGATGGCGGTAGTGGTGCAAAATGTTGGCAAATAAAGTAACCTTGCATAGGCGAAATAACTGCGGGAAAATGGACTGACGCAACTACGGTTCTCATTAATTCACTATTAGGATCGCTCAAATAAATATAAAAAAACAATATTAATTGTTACAAACAATGCACTTTGAAGGTGTAAATAAAGTAAAGCCGTTAGTTAACATGAAAATACTGCGCCTGCATTTTAAGGAACGCGACAAGGCGATATCGTCACCTTATTACCGAATCCATAAAATATGTTCACATTCATGTGACAATCAGCAACTGCATAGAAGGGAAGTTCCCAACACAACTTATAATCACTCAGTGTAGAGTCTGTATGTTGTGTATGGGTAACGTTTATGCTATGTACGTAGTCCGAACCTCTGCAGTCTGTATTGTACACCAAAAGTATTGCCAATGTAAAATGTGCGACAGGTGTTACATTGAGCCCCTGCACGAAAGGGAAAGGTCACGGGTGGCAAAAAAAAGGAATCTCATAAAAACTGATGTCACTACAATTAAATTGTGGTGATACCCTTCGAAACTTTTTCTCGTATGCGTACCGTACTTTATCTTTATTAGTAACCCTCAGCCCCTCACCGCCTTGGAAATCCACTTGGAAGCGAGGGTGTAAAAGCTGATAAAGACCAGCATGAACGAGGCCAGCATGTTCTACACTTTCCCACATACCGGCAGTAACGTACCAGCTGTTATTTGTTCATCAAGTATTATGACTACGGTTTTCATCCTTATAATTTAGAACTATTACCACTTTACAAAAAGCAGTGGGGGAAACAAACCAAGCTGAAAAGAAAACAAAGCTTTCGAACTACTATATGCGAAGTATAGAAGAGTCTACTCGCACTTTGATAGCTTGCCGCACCCGTTCGCCTTTAGTTCCTGTTTTGCGCTGCGCATAAGGATTCTAGCTTTACTAAGGACTCTCTAAAACAAGAAAGGCGTATGCAGTAAAATCGTAACACTGCATGCAACAAAAAATGTGATCAAACTGGTGGCTGAAACTAGTCGCTGCTGGTAACATGCAGAGAAAGGCAAAATTCTAAATCCGAAAACTGCAAGCGTTGCCATCAAGACCGCTGAAAAAGGCGAGCGAGATAGGTTCTCTAGAAAATAAGAATTTTCAATCACTGCAGAATCTGCAATGGCGACAAAGAAGCAAACGCTTTACCGGAATTTCCTCGGGAATCGCCATTGCAAAAATCGCTTTGGCATGAGCAAACTGAAACGTTGAGTGCTTGGTTTTCAGGTGGCGTAATTCCACATGTCAAAGCAGTGTTTCCGAGGGGAGTCCAACAACCTTTTGCTAGAAGTAATCCTAAAAAACCGAGGCTTTTCGAAGAGAATCGGTAAGCCTGCAAGCTTGGGAATGACTACAGACTTTGTCATTAGTCAAAACGAGGTTTTGTATTACGTTCAGTAATTAAACCTGGATTTTAAAGTATTTTGACCCACCAAACTTCCATATTTTTAGATTCAACCAGGATGCTCAGCATATTTATAGAGAGAGCTACGATGCTTACGTTGAGTGCTCTGAGAGCACTCAACAGAGTACTGCGCAAATTTCGCGTTATTTTCCAGTTTTTTTCATAAGTGTTTACACTGATCGGTTTGAGTTCGAACTGTCAAATGTTTCCCAGTGTTCTTCAAGAGTAGTTGGCGGCGTTTGGTGCACTTGTGATCACTATATCTGTACGAAGATCAAATTGGTGCGCTCGAGCCGAAGAACTCAAAGTTAGCCACTGTCCGTGGCGTGCTTCGAAAGCTAGGTATTCGTAGTAGTAATTTCGTACCGAACTTGCGCCGTTCGTACCGAAAAGGCCATTCAGTTGGCTTGCCTTGCTCTCTTGTGGCCTATAAATCCTCTCTCGAAAAAATCACTGCGCGCAACGCGTAAAAATTAGCAATTAGTCAGCGAGAAAAATATACCGTACGACGATTTGCACGCCAATCGATGGTAAATTAGGTTGACGCGGTCACGCCGTCTCTCTTTATCATACTAACCAGTGGTTAGTAACCACTGTTCTTAACATTCTTGTCTTGACCTACTTGCGCATCTCACTGGCTGCCTATCAGTTACCTGTTTCTTCAACCACATTACATTACATTACATTATATTACTACATTATATTACTACATTGTATTACTACATTATATTACTACATTACATTGTACATTGAATCGATGCTACTTTCAGTTGAAAATTTTCTCCGACCTGTCTACTGATTAATCGCTCAATGTTTTGCACATCACCTAACGTAATACATAGCAGTGATGATAGCACACAAGTCACGTTCCCAGTGACCTTTAGCGAAGAAAACTCTGATCCCGCATACCCGCTTCCGCAGTTAATTAGCGATTAATTGTACCAGTATTATTGCGAAAATGACTGGAAGAGGACACGGTAACGGGAAACATTGCCGCGTGCGGAAAGGATCTAACAAAAAGACGACCGTTGTAGAAATTGCGGAGGCACCTGCCATTACATCAGCAGCTGCCCAGCACCGAGGAAATGTCAACCGGGCACGGGCAGCTCTTTCGAGCGCTTCCCGCCGCAGACGGGGAAATCTGCCGCAACTTCAACTACGGAAACTGCCCAACACCGTGCTGTGCCGGTAGAGTCCACGCTTGTGCCAGCTGTGGCGACCCCAGGCACCGAACAGCAACCTGCCCAAAACTAGGCAAGTAGGCAAGCGACAGTGCCGGCAAAGGCAACCACGCACCTACAATTAAACGCTGTAGCCAGACTGCTCGCACAACATCCGGACCCCTCATTAACATCATTCATTTCCACAACGCTAACTAACGGCTGCACAATATCTTATAACGGTCCTCAGACGCCACGCTCAACACCGAACGCCACATCGACACACGAACACCATGCGGCGGTAAGCTCTACCATACAAAAAGAGGTCAATGCTGGCCACACCATCGAACCATTTCTCTCCCCACCTTGCCGCACTTTGTCTGCAGCAGGCTGGGCGCGCGACCGAAGAAAGACGGTAACGTTCGCACCACCATCGTTCGGCTGGAATTATTCCAGCCGCACGACGACAGTGTGAACGATTACATTGACGCTGCACAGCTCCCGCTCGTATACTGTGCCATCGACCATGCAGTATCAATCCTTACTGAACTCGGCAGAGGCGCACTCTTGGCTAAAATCGACGTGAAATCAGCCTTCCGACTGATACCGGTACGCTCAGCGGAGTGGAACCTCCGCGGGTATCAGTAAAACGGTGAGTTCTGTTTTGAGGCAGTGTTGCCTTCCGGGTATAGGGAGTTGCCGTGCGTGTACGCAACACTGGATCGTGTCGAACCGCCCCGGTCTAGTCAGCATGCTCCACTACGTCGACGACTACCTGTTTGTTGTTGAGCACGGAAATAATCAGTGTAGCAAACTGATGTCCACCATGACACAGACGTGGAGTGAGCTCGGGGTCCCCTTAGCACATGACAAGACCGAAGGGCCCGCGACTGAGTTGACGTTCCTGGGTATCCGGCTGGAATCTGTCTGACAAAGCCTCAGCCTCCTCGACGATAAGCGACACAGCAATGAAGGAGCGCTGGAAGAATGGAGCAACCGCGACCATTGCACCAAACAGCGGCTCCAGTGCCTAATCGGAATACTCACGTCTGCCACCAAATGCGTCCCAGCGAGCAGCCTATTTACACGGCGCATGAACGCTCTGCTCACCGACAACCGCCACGAAAGGGTTAGCGCCCTCAACGGCGAATTCCGTAAGGACCTGGAATGGTGGAAAGAATTCCTCTCAGCTTGGAACGGCACCGCGTCTTTCATTCAGCCAGACTGGGCAATATCCGGCGTTCTTGACTTTACACAGACGCCTCCGGTGCCCTTGGGCTTGGTGTTCATTATCATGGTTCATGGTTCCAACTGCGCTGGCCACTGTGGATTCTCCAGCTGAAGCCCTGTATTGGATACCTTGAGCTGATACCAATACTCCTCAGCCTAATTGTTTGGAGCTCAAAACTACGAGGGAAGCTGGTGATTTACCAGTGCGACAACGAGTGCGCTACCAAGGCCCGGGAAAATCTCCGCTCAGCCAACGACGGCGTGTTAGAACTTATGCGCCGCATGTTGAAGGCCGCCGCTTGCGCTAACATGACCTTTACGTAAAACACATAAGCGGCGTTGATAACGCAACTGCTGACTCTCTAACCCGTTTCCACCCGCTCAGGTTTCGAGGGCTCGGACCAACAGCGTCGAAACGACCGGATCATGCCTGGACATCTTTCCGCAGCTGTTGGTTGCGTGCAACGCAGAACCGGCCTAAAAGACCCTGCTGCACGCTCACATTGCCAGCTCCACCAGGCAGACCTACGTCACCGCCGTCAAGCAGTTCTTAGCATTCTGCCGTTCTAGATCTGCGCAGCCACTACTAGCGACACCAAATATCACAGCGGAGTACGTCACTCAGCTGTACTCCACTAGGAAATCCCTGCGGACCGTGACTGTTTATCTTGCCGGCATCAATAACTGCCACCGTGAAGCCGGCATGGAGCCACCAACCAGTCACGACACTGTGATCCGCGCGCTGCAAGGCTACCGACGCCTGGCCCACCCGGCGCGGACAAACGACAGCTGATCACGCTGGAGACGATGCGCTATTTGATAGATACCATCCTCACCACAAGCAATCGCTGTACTCGGCTACGTTCACGCTCATGCACTTCGGCTTCCTGCGCGTGGGAGAGGTTACTTGCCCAGGTACCAAGAAGTACGATCCGCGGCGCACTTTCGTGTCCACAGACGTGCAAGACCACGAAGATCGAGTGCTTATCCAACTGAAAGTCACGAAGACCGATCCAACCGGTCAGGGCCACTCCGTAGCGCTGACGGCGGCAGGTCGTTCCGTATGTCCCATGACCAGAATTGATTTACAGGTTGGATGTTTGTGCTTGGGTGTTTTCGTTTCAAAACACAAAGCCGATAACCCGTCCCAAAAACTCTAGTTTACCAGTCAAAACGTTGACTTGTCGTGACGTGCAGTCTACGTAAGTAGTTCCAGTTCTTAACACCAAAGGATATATATGTGCGACTTACGATTGTAAGTCGCATTGAAGCAAGTTTGTTTATCGTCGCACTCCATAGGGGGCGTTTCAGTATCATCCGGAAGAAGACATTTGCCTCGATGTTCCTTTTCTCCAAAAATCTCCTTGAAAAATGTTTGCATTCCCTGTGCATTTTTGGTAGCATTAACGGCCTGCTGGAGCCACTTATATATCGTAGACGTGCTGAATTTTGAATCTGGGTTGTTGTAGCACTGATGGCATTTGAGTCCTGACCCTGAAAACGAGAAGTTGTAACACTTAACAAACAGCAATTAATAAGATCTATAATAATTTTGGGGGCGAATTTGGAGAGTATAGGAACTGTGAATATATATGTACAGAGTCTGCACTTCTCGAAGAACCCAAGAATACGTACCTTTGCTAATTAGACCGCAGGCGATTAAGAATATGCATGAGCTTAGCGACATCCTCAACCCCGCTCGATCCAGACATACGTTATCAAAAAGTAATATTTGAAGCACGCTAAATAAAGAAGCATAATTCTGAGAAAGGCAACGAACACGCGGGCAGCACTGGATTCTGTTTCTCTACATGACGCATAAGTAGTAAACGGCGTCCCGCAAAGGGATTTTGATCTCTACTACCCTACTGGACTTCCGGACTGCAGTTTATGACATCATAATAATGTTAAAAACATATTAATAAATAAAGTTAATTTAATTACACAAATTACATTAGTTCAGGGTATATGTAAATTGAACGGACAAAAATTACCGTGGTAAAAAACTGCAGATACTGTTTGTGAACAACCAAGAAAAAATCGGTTGCAATTACAGCCGTCTACGATAATATCCCGGACGCCATATATTATTCGTTCCTCGGGTAATATTTAATCAAGATAAATGCCAATTTACTGTGCTATTCACAACTTTCCCGTGCTACCAGTAAATTAACATACTGTAATACGAGTATTATTAAAAACAATAATGTTGCTACTGCTGAGAATCATCGGAATACTTCCTCAAAACACCACTGCAGGTTCACTTTGACTTCCGGCCATGCAGTTCATGATGTTTAACTAAAACATAAAAACATACTAATAAATAAAAAAATAGAATAAATTCGTCAAGTGAATTTTCACGGAAGGTACTAAATTTTGTTACGTAAAAAATACAGCACACATTAACATAAACCTCGATATAATAAAAATTTCATATTAAAATGTACACACGCCTACTTGGTGGAACAAGTTTGGGGCTGCTTACGCGTGGCTTCATGTCAGTTTGCGATCGCATGGGATCCAGAACGGCATCGAGAACCGCATGGCAGCACAAAATATTTCTCAGTTTACACTGAGCGTGCGTGCAGAAACGTGGGATATCCGCTGGACGAAAGTGTTTGCTGCAGATCTTGCTGGTTGCGGAAGGAGTGCAGTCGTTGGCACAGTGAAAGCGATCAGCGCTACACAAAAAACAACAAACTTAAGTAAACAAGACCATCGTATACGTATGCATAAAAAACTGCGTGCCATCGCAGCGATACCAATAATAAACCACACGCAGCCTTTCTCACAAAGTTTCCTCATATTTAACATCGATGATCAACTGCACGATATCGTAAAACTTATTTAACAGAATAAGACAAGGATTAAGATGAATAATTTTAACAACTGTCTTTATCGAACGGGGATCTTTTATTAATTGTTAAGAAAATCATCATGTTAAGGAAATCATAGTTATAATGAATAACAAAAAATAAATTGTAAACGTGTTATTTTAACAACAAAACTAAAATGCACGGATAAATACTCAAAAAAATTAGACAAAATAATGGTATCAATATTTAAAAAAATACTACGGGTATTCAAGAGATCGTCGCAAAAATCTAACTGCAAACAGTTAATGCTGCATAAATGAACATAATAATCAGCGTAAATCAAACGAAAGAGCGAACTACTGAACGAAAAAATATACTAAAATACTAGACTGCGATAATAATTTTGTTGTCAGCGTCAATGCTCACTTGAAAAAATTGTGATGTTGCACTTACCAAAATTAGCGTGAAAATTACATGGATTTCATCCAGTTGGACGTGTGATCGGAATCCAGTTGGAAGTCTCCCGTTTTTATGCAGTTCGTACATTCCTGCACCACAAACGAGCGCTCCGCTACCGCAACTTTCGTCATAAAATCTGTCAAAATCAGGAAAATTGCGGTAAAAATATGGTGCTGCGTAAACGTCAGCCCGCATTGCATGGGCATAACGTTTTCACCAGAAAAAAATTATCATGAACATTAAATTTAACAGCATTTTGTGAAATTCTTATCTATTCTGCAAGGCTTACCTGTGAGTCCGCCAGTCCAACGTCTCCCGTCTTTCCCCCCGTCTACCGTCGCATTCAGCGTGGCCTATCCCAAAATCCTCCTCGGGTACCCCGTCGTCTCTATTTCTATCGTTTTTCCTATCGTCTGCTGTTGTGGCCTGCAATTTCACGGCCCCGCGTCCATTATAGCCCCGCGTCTGTCACAGCCCGCGTCCGCTACAGCTCTGCGTCCGTCACAACCCCGCGCCTCCGCCGCCCAGCTTCCTGCCATTCCCTCGATCCCCCCTCACCCCGCCCTACGCTGCGCTGCCCTGTGTGTTCTGCTACCTATAACGCCCCTGTTTGTACTGTTACCTTTATGCGCTGCAAAACCACACTGCGTACGATTATCGTCAGAGAATTTTATTTACTTAATTACCGTCGTATTAAAGAACTGCCACAAAATCATCAAGTATACAGTTTACAAGTATCAAATCACTACAAATTACATTGCCATCTTATTTCCTATTCTCAATTCAATGTGGCTAGGCAAAAAAACACTGGATATTGTCAAAATTGTTTTTATGGAAAAGATCGTCGTCCAAGTCGGCCTTCCATTTGGCCGCCTGTTTCATTTCTTCATGCATCTGGGGCGTAATTTTAGAGGCAAAAAATGCCAAAGGCACTAAAAAACAATTAAATTACCTAAAAGCTAAGAAAATTATTAACAGCACTTACAATTTGCCTGCTGAGCGCTGCGACGCAAAAACGCGATGGTGTCCGCATCCAGATTCAATCTGCGGATTTCTTCTGGAAGATCGCTGTCCTCCGGAATGGTGGATGAAATCTCGTTGCTTTGCTGGCTGGCCATGTTGTTGGAAATCTTGAATTGCAGACTGCAGATGGCTTGACTGACTTCATTTCTGTCGCTATCACAGACTTATGAGCTAGAAAAATCTTTAACTGTCAACACGATGGAACGTGATGTTCCATCACTTTCTACTGAACAATCGCATTGGAACGTATACATTCACGATTGCGATTCTCCCTAAAATACAATATCTTTAATTTTACGCTTATACGTTTGAAAATTCAACAGGTACGTATAAATATGAGTTGTACATGTTTGTGAATAAAGTATAATGGTGATGTTTGTGATTCAGCTAGCCGTGCCATTGTGATATCGTTTCCTCCTTGGACGCGTCTGTTTAGCGTGTGTGCGTGTACATCTGTGGCCAGAAAAAGTTCCTGGCGGCACTACGCACATTTTTTCCGCACGAACCCTACCGTAAGTTCCTTGTCTAATTACTATGTACTAATTAACGTTTTTACCTAATACTTCGAAGGCTTATACTGAATGCTATTTGTTTTGATTGTATTCATACAGAACTAGAGTTTTGTGATCCAGTAGACAGTTTCGGGACTTGTAACGTTTGCCCTGGCTCTATCGGAAAATTTTCACTACTGATCTCGACGAAATTTTTCTTTCTGCATAAAAATCAACTTTTATTCTTTTGCTTTCTGTTTCATACTTTAAGACTTGTTAATTATTACTGAACATTATATTATTTCTACTTTATGAGTCTGAATGCAATTAATTACTAAAAATAATTGTTTACAGGTTATTACAAGCGGGATAGCGATACTATTAGGAACACCATCTATCCATAGGCTACACTGCGTGAACGTTTACGACGGTACAACTTACTTTTCGGAGATATATTATTCTGTGTTCCTAGCATAATATTAATATTGTTACATCGTAATTAATGCTATACTTTTCTTTACCGCAATTTATTTTTATTATCATTAAACTGTCTTACTTGCAGATACTTTACCACAATTACAACGGACTACGGCCGTATACCAAGCGCCAAAGTACATTTCCCCTTAAATATTTGTTTGTGAACTATTTGAATAATTTATTATAATTTTGGTGTATTATAGCAATTGATCAGTTATATCTGCTGTAATTATAAGTGTAACTATTTGCAGGCTGACATCACGACTGTGCTAGCATCACAACGCAAGTCCATATGGCTGAGCAGGAGCAAAGGTCAAAGCGGAAAATGGAACCAACAGAGTAAGCTAATTTCGTAAAAATATTCAGTGAAGGAAAAACAGTTTTCTATAGCATAATTTATAATTTTCATGAGAATCGATTCCGGTTTTCAAAATTTACCAAGTATAATACTGCTACTGAATAATATTCAATCTGCTGTACAACCAAATCAACCAAGTCTTGTATCGTTTTACCTTTATTTTAATTTGAACGTAAGCAAAATAAAAATACAGTAAAATCAAAATTATTCAATAGTTCAAAGACATCAATACTATTTAAGTCATCGGTCAGCAGAAGTGATGTAGTGCCAGAGTTATTTGCAAAATGGAGCAGCAGAGAAAACACAAGCCAGCTCTCACAGCGCTTGCTGCGGCTTGTATAATTATCCTGGTGATAATAATTTTAGTAGGCGATATTATTCTGCCTATCGTAATAGCGACGATACAGCAACAACAACAGCAGCAGCAGCAAGAGCTTAATAAAAATCAATCAGGAACGTTATTTTCGTCGACGTACCCGAACGGGAGTGTCGTCAAGTCCGGCAGTATCCTTCGTTTATCATAGGTAAGCTTAAAGCGCTTTACCTGGTCCACAGCATCAATTTCAAGGGTCCGTTTATTACGCCGTATCACGGAAGAATACCGTAAGGGGTACACTTGAGGTCCAGGGGTTGTCCAGAGTGAAGTGAAAGTATTTAAATTAAGAGTTTTCTTGATAGTCCGATTGAGTGTAAAACCTTTAACTTTGCAGACATGCTTTCCTTTGTTCGTCACATAAGCATAAGATTTAGGAGCGCAGATGGTGACCTCTGTGATGAATTCACCATCATTTAATTCGTTTGTCAAGTCCCCCATGTAGTTTCCCAATGACACTTCAGGATCTCCTTGCCGATGAATCCACATTAAGGAATCAGTATCAAAATATATTAGGTTACGCCCAACTTGAGCCATATAATTGTATAAGTGAAGGCGGGCATGGGCAGTCGTAAACCTAAATTATCCAAACAATAAACATTTTTGAGAAAAACGTATTTATTATATTTAATTTGCACTTACGCCGCAAGGATAACATTAGTCTTTGGGTTAACTGGAATAAAGTCTTCCTTGGACTTGTAAGCAACTTGAATTACGGTGTCACTGAAGAATTCGATATTGTGAATTTCCAACGCATCATTTAATAAAAGTTCATAAAAATCTTTGGGCTCGGAAATAAACTGTGTAGACAATCTGTCCTCGCGCATCCCGAGTCGACCCCAAAAACTATAAAGAGAATAGAAACATTAAGCAATTTCAACTAATGTATCCCTAAGAAATTGAAGACTTACTTGTTTAAAAATAACTTTGCAAGGGCGCGAAGCCCCAAGTTTTTTCCACTTTCTCGGCGTCAATAGATACACCTTCTCGAAGTAAAATTCTTCCATATACAGCTTTCTCTCTTCTTCGGTTTTAACATTAGAGGGCCAGCCGCTGGCCTCCGTTTTTAATTTCAAGAAATGCTGGATGTACTCTTTAAATAAGCCTTCGCGAGAACTCGGAAAATGCCAAATTTCGTAGACTTTTATCACCGTATATCCCAGGGATAGTGCCTTAATGATTTCCACAGAGCACCAGACGCCCGTAAGTGATCTTTCGGCGTCTGTGTGATGACAGCTAGAATTTTGCTGCGTCTCAGCACATAGCCGGCATAGCGGAAAAGTTAATTTTTCAGTACGATAGGGTAGAACTGGTAACCATAGACATTTGGGCGGTAGAATCGTCAGGTAAAATAGTCCGAAGTAATTTTCCAAATTTGCATCAAAGTCCGCAGTAATTCGCACGTGTGGGCCAACTGGATATCTCTTCCGCGAATTTACAAAGGGATATTCCGAAATGACATCGGCAAACCTAAAAACACCTATCAATAAAATCAAGATTATAATCCTTTCTTAACTAATTGTACCGTATTTGTTCTCCGGGCTCGCATTTATAATGCAACCGTGTCCCGTTGGTCCGGCCTCCATATAGAGCATCGCGGGTTGAAGAGGTGCGTGAACATGAATATCTTTTAGTGTTTCACGAAAATCCTCATCCTCTGCCAATTTCTGGTCGTACTCGCTTTCCCAAATTTTAATAACAGAGTATCCCATTTGCTCAAGGGCGATTTCTCGCTGGACGGTTGCCGCATGCAAATTCTCCATCGTTTGCTTGAGATGAGGATTTACAAATGTGCGTCTTGTGGTTGCGGATTGCCGTGCCAGTAGTCGCCATAGAATTCGTAAATAATTTCCGCTTCTTCGTCATAACCGTCCACGTAATATTTTCCAATCTTCTGTTCTCTTGCAAGTGCTTTGCCTTCCGTCATTTCAATGTAGCACAACCATTTACCACATTTGACTGACTGCGTGCGCTGACTAGGGTTTTTCACAATTGCAATAAGGTTTTTTTCCAGTATCCGTGCGCGCCAGAAAAAATGGCATATACCCGCAATTGTTAGCGCTGAAGTAAATGGGCAAAGCCCACCTGAAATACCCATGAACAACTTTCGGAATTCTTGAGAGCAAACGCGTAAGGTGCTAACATCTTGCTTGCAGTATTTGACGAGCTCCTCGTTGACATTGTACTTTCCTTTCTTTTTTCTGCGATCTTTTCGATAAAATCTTTGATAAAGTCTTTTCTTTCTTTGTTATTCATCAAGCTGTAATTGAATTCCTCCTCTTAGGATAGGGATAATTTTGCCAAAATTTTCTGGGCGATTGACGGGATGAGGGAATTTACCTTTTGCTCTGTCGCTCTGAACGCTTGAGCCCAAGCGTCTAACGATTGGGGATTGTAATTCAAAGTATCACGAAATTTTATGCCAAATTCAGGAACATCTAGTTGCATAATTTTTGAGCCGTTCATTATCAGCTTTGGAACTATCCCATTTCTTAGTAACCATTTCAGAACAAAAAAACCGTCGAACGCTCGAAGATTATGGGCCAAGACGTAGAAGTTTTTAAATAATCCGGAAAATATCGCACGAGTCAGTTTCCTGGCAAGAACGGCCACGGGTATGTCTCAAAATCGAAATAGAGAAACTGGGCCTGTTCGTGCTTTTCGAGATCCTGGTCCGTCAGGACTTCGGGCTCAATGTAGCAGACGTGGTCATTTGATACGTGTTCTTTGCACACCGTGCAAAATCTCACCGCACACGTGGTCCGTGGTACGAAAAACTCTGGAGACAAATGATTGGCAAGATGGACAGACAAATAACGTTTGACATACCGTAATCCCGTTTTCTCCCGAGCCAGCAGCGCGATGATGATTGAAACACTCCTCACCGTAAAATGTTCGGCAGCAGTCCGAACAGTATATTCTTTCTTCCAGGATTACATTCAAATCGCAGGCATTGTTTGCAACGGTATTGGCATCGATGGCGATTTTATGATCGTATCCGCGATTGCAACGGTCGCACCAGTACGATGTTTTGAACCAAGCCGGCAGGCTTTTCAAGACATCAAAATGGTTACTATGATGTAGCAAACGAATCTTTTTTTCGGCATATTCGCCGGCATAGACGATCGTATTGAGGTGGTCGACACTCGTTATCAGGATTTGGTAGTCCGGTAAGGCCAGTTGAAACTGTTGAACGTCTTCCAAAGTATATTGTCGAAGATCCAGTCCTGCGTTAGCAATGAGTTCTTTAGCCATTTTTGTCTGCAGCGTTCTGTCGGAAGCCGTACAGAGTTTTTTAGTGTGATACAAGCGTTCGTACAGCGGTATATTGTCATCTGCGAGGGCCTTAGCTATAACAAGCGCACGAGCCAAACAGAGGTTATCTGAATTACGAACAGGTATTACGCTCCTCATGGTCTCCAGCTTTTTGCGCAATAATAAAGGAACATCGTATCGACAGGATCCAGCGGGAAGGTTGGAATGGTGGATTTCCAGCTCAAAAGAATCATCCAGTACAAATTCTTGATTGGAATTGAGTACGCGGAAACTTCTTTCATCAATCGCGCAACGGTTAGCTGATCACGACGAATGAAAGTGTGTGAATAGGGTACGAGAGGTGACGGCTATGCAACTTGATTCTTACCCGCTCGTGATCTGGGATGTCAGTAAGGATTTCATTTAAAATTTCGTTCAAAATGGCTGTTATGACATCGGGAATCTCAGCAAAAGGAATATGACTGAGGCGATGAACTTTGCACGCAAATCTTTTACACGTCATCTGATAACGGCGATTGTAAAAATCGTTTATCGGTTTCAACACAAAAAAGTTCTTTATATGAAGTGGGTCTTCAGTAACATCGTCATCATCAACAGCATTAGTATCGTTATCATTATTATTAGAATCAACTGAATCAGCAGCGTCAGCAGCTATGCGAGACATTTTTGCAAGCAGAAAGGTCACAGCAACTGGTTCTTAATGACAGAAAAGTGTTCCTGACACTGCTTCACAAATTCTAACTCATCTGACTTTATATCAACACAATTTTTTATGGTATCGCCAGATCTGATACGTACAGACATGGCTGAGTCATCAGAGGCAGTCGTAGTACGGTTTTCATGAACAAAAGCTGCTTGGGTATTGGACGTGGTGTCGATAATGCACCAAGATAGGGTTTCCGGATGCGCATTGGCGGTGGAGGCGGAGACTGTTTTCTGGCGGTACTTTGCAAAAGCAGGCGTATTGGTCCATTCTACAATCTTTCCAGAATATCCATTCCGACAACCAGTTCATTGCACCGCGTATTTTTATGGCGGGCAATAACGAACTGTACGTTGGATTTTATGCAACCGGTAAAAGCCATGAAAGGATTATTGATCCTTTTCTGACAAAGATGCTATACGCATCGCGGTACTGTGAATAACTTCGGAAGGTCCGGTCGTCCCGTTTATCAGTAAAGGTCTGGTAGAGCCAGTCCACGGATTCAGCGTTTGCTAATCTGATACGCTTGGCAGGTGGCACGAGATGCTGGTCCCCAGAATCCGCTGGCGCTGCAGTAACAGTATCTACAAAATAAATAATGTAAATAATCAAAAAAGAGTTAAGGATCAG